GGTCCCAGTTTGGGTTTGGGGTCCCAGTTTGGGGTTTGGGGTCCCAGTTTGGGGTCCCAGTTTGGGGTCCCAGTTTGGGGTCCCAGTTTGGGTTTGGGGTCCCAGTTTGGGGTCCCAGTTTGGGGTCCCAGTTTGGGTTTGGGGTCCCAGTTTGGGGTTTGGGGTCCCAGTTTGGGGTCCCAGTTTGGGTTTGGGGTCCCAGTTTGGGGTCCCAGTTTGGGGTTTGGGGTCCCAGTTTGGGGTCCCAGTTTGGGGTTTGGGGTCCCAGTTTGGGGTCCCAGTTTGGGGTTTGGGGTCCCAGTTTGGGGTCCCAGTTTGGGGTTTGGGGTCCCAGTTTGGGGTTTGGGGTCCCAGTTTGGGGTCCCAGTTTGGGTTTGGGGTCCCAGTTTGGGGTCCCAGTTTGGGTTTGGGGTCCCAGTTTGGGGTCCCAGTTTGGGGTTTGGGGTCCCAGTTTGGGGTCCCAGTTTGGGGTTTGGGGTCCCAGTTTGGGGTTTGGGGTCCCAGTTTGGGGTCCCAGTTTGGGGTCCCAGTTTGGGGTTTGGGGTCCCAGTTTGGGGTCCCAGTTTGGGGTCCCAGTTTGGGTTTGGGGTCCCAGTTTGGGGTCCCAGTTTGGGGTTTGGGGTCCCAGTTTGGGGTTTGGGGTCCCAGTTTGGGGTTTGGGGTCCCAGTTTGGGGTCCCAGTTTGGCATTTGGGGTCCCAGTTTGGGTTTGGGGTCCCAGTTTGGGGTTTGGGGTCCCAGTTTGGGGTCCCAGTTTGGGTTTGGGGTCCCAGTTTGGGGTTTGGGGTCCCAGTTTGGGGTCCCAGTTTGGGGTCCCAGTTTGGGGTTTGGGGTCCCAGTTTGGGGTTTGGGGTCCCAGTTTGGGGTCCCAGTTTGGGGTCCCAGTTTGGGGTTTGGGGTCCCAGTTTGGGGTCCCAGTTTGGGGTTTGGGGTCCCAGTTTGGGGTCCCAGTTTGGGGTTTGGGGTCCCAGTTTGGGGTTTGGGGTCCCAGTTTGGGGTCCCAGTTTGGGTTTGGGGTCCCAGTTTGGGGTTTGGGGTCCCAGTTTGGGGTTTGGGGTCCCAGTTTGGGGTTTGGGGTCCCAGTTTGGGGTCCCAGTTTGGGGTCCCAGTTTGGGGTTTGGGGTCCCAGTTTGGGGTCCCAGTTTGGGGTCCCAGTTTGGGGTTTGGGGTCCCAGTTTGGGTTTGGGGTCCCAGTTTGGGGTCCCAGTTTGGGGTTTGGGGTCCCAGTTTGGGGTTTGGGGTCCCAGTTTGGGGTCCCAGTTTGGGGTTTGGGGTCCCAGTTTGGGGTCCCAGTTTGGGGTTTGGGGTCCCAGTTTGGGGTCCCAGTTTGGGGTTTGGGGTCCCAGTTTGGGTTTGGGGTCCCAGTTTGGGGTTTGGGGTCCCAGTTTGGGTTTGGGGTCCCAGTTTGGGGTTTGGGGTCCCAGTTTGGGGTTTGGGGTCCCAGTTTGGGGTCCCAGTTTGGGGTCCCAGTTTGGGTTTGGGGTCCCAGTTTGGGGTTTGGGGTCCCAGTTTGGGGTCCCAGTTTGGGGTCCCAGTTTGGGTTTGGGGTCCCAGTTTGGGGTCCCAGTTTGGGGTTTGGGGTCCCAGTTTGGGTTTGGGGTCCCAGTTTGGGGTTTGGGGTCCCAGTTTGGGGTCCCAGTTTGGGGTTTGGGGTCCCAGTTTGGGTTTGGGGTCCCAGTTTGGGTTTGGGGTCATTTTTGGGATTTTTGGGTCATTTTTGGGATTTTTGTGTCTTTTTGGGTTTTTGGGTCACTTTGGGATTTTTGGGTCACTTTGGGGGGTTCCAGTTTGATTTTTTTGGGGCAATTTTGTTGATTTTGGGTCACTTTGGTGTTTTTGGGTCACTTTGGGGTTTTTGGTCACTTTGGGATTTTTGTGTCTTTTTGGGATTTTTGGGTCACTTTGGGATTTTTGGGTCACTTTGGGATTTTCGGTCACTTTGGGATTTTGGGTCACTTTGAGGTTTTTGAGTCACTTTGGGATTTTTTGGGTCACTTTGGGGATTTTTGTGTCTTTTTGGGATTTTGGGTCACTTTGGGATTTTTGTGTCTTTTTGGTATTTTTGGGTCACTTTGGGATTTTTGGGTCACTTTGGGATTTTTAGGTCTTTTTGGGATTTTGGGTCACTTTGAGGTTTTTGTGTCTTTTTGGGATTTTGGGTCACTTTGGGATTTTGGGTAATTTTGGGATTTTGGGTCACTTTGGGGTTTTTTGGGTCACTTTGGGGTTTTTGGGTAATTTTGGGGTTTTTGGGTCACTTTGGGGGGTTCCAGTTTGGTCTTTTTTGGGTAATTTTGGGATTTTGGGTCACTTTGGGATTTTGGGTCACTTTGGGATTTTTTGGGTCACTTTCGGATTTTTGGGTCACTTTGGGATTTTGGGTCACTTTGGGGTTTTGGGTCACTTTGGGATTTTTGGGTCACTTTGATGTTTTTGGGTCACTTTGGTGGTTTTTGGGTCACTTTGGGGTTTTTGGGTCACTTTGGGGTTTTTGGGTAATTTTGGGGTTTTTGGGTCAATTTGGGGGGTTCCAGTTTGGTCTTTTTTGGGCAACTTTGGGATTTTTGGGTCATTTTGGGATTTTGGGTCACTTTGGGATTTTTGGGTCAGTTTGGGGTTTTTGGGTGAGTTTTGGGTTTTTGGGTCATTTTTGGGTCATTTTTGGGGTTTTTGGGTCACTTTGGGGATTTTGGGTCACTTTGGGGTTTTTGGGTCACTTTGGGATTTTTGGGTCACTTTGGGGTTTTTGTGTCTTTTTGGGATTTTTGGGTCACTTTGGGGTTTTTGGGTCACTTTGGGATTTTTGGGTCACTTTGGGATTTTTGGGTCACTTTGGGATTTTTGGGTCACTTTGGGATTTTGGGTCTTTTTGGGATTTTTGGGTCACTTTGGGGTTTTTGGGTCATTTTTGGGATTTTTGGGTCACTTTGGGATTTTTGTGTCTTTTTGGATTTTTCGGTCACTTTGGGATTTTTGTGTCTTTTTGGGATTTTTGTGTCACTTTGGAGTTTTTGTGTCACTTTGGGGTTTTTGTGTCTTTTTGGGATTTTTGGGTCATTTTTGGGATTTTGGGTCACTTTGGGATTTTTGGGTAATTTTTGGGATTTTGTGTCACTTTGGGGTTTTTGTGTCTTTTTGGGATTTTGGGTCACTTTGGGGTTTTTGGGTCACTTTGGGATTTTTGGGTCACTTTGGGGTTTTTGTGTCTTTTTGGGATTTTTGGGTCATTTGGGGATTTTGGGTCAATTTTGGGATTTTGGGTCATTTTTGAGTTTTTTGGGTCACTTTGGGGATTTTGGGTCAGTTTGGGATTTTTGTGTCTTTTTGGGATTTTGGGTCACTTTGGGATTTTTTGGGTCACTTTGGGGATTTTTGTGTCATTTTTGAGTTTTTGGGTAATTTTTGTTATTTTTGTGTCTTTTTGGGATTTTTGGGTTTTTTTGGGATTTTTGGGTCACTTTGGGGTTTTTGGGTCAGTTTGGTATTTTTGGGTCACTTTGGGGATTTTGGGTCACTTTGGGATTTTGGGTCACTTTGGGGGGTTCCAGTTTGATTTTTTTGGGCAATTTTGGGGATTTTGGGTCACTTTGTGGTTCTGCTCTCCCCAGGTGCTCTCAGCTGCCCCCAGGTGTGCCCAGGTGTGCCCAGGACCCCCCCCAGGTACGTGCCCCGCCCCCCCTGCTGCCCCCAGGTGTGCTCAGAACCCCCAGGTGTGTCCCAGGTGTCTCACCTGTCCCTCACCTGTCCCAGGTGTGTCTCAGGTCTCGTACCTTTCCCTCACCTGTCCCCAGGTGTGTTTAGACTCCTCAGGTGTGTTTTGGGTGTGTCTCACCTGTCTCTCACCTGTCTCAGGTGTCTCTCACCTGTCTCACCTGTCTCTTACCTGTCCCAGGTCTCTCACCTGTCCCTCACCTGTCCCCAGGTGTCTCAGGTGTGTCTCACCTGTCCCCAGGTGTTTTTAGGCTCCTCAAGTGTGTTTCAGGTGTGTCCCACCTATCCCAGGTGTGTCTCACCTGTCTCACCTGTCCCAGGTGTGTCTCACCTGTCCCTCACCTGTCCCCAGGTGTGTTTAGACTCCTCAGGTGTGTCTCACCTGTCTCTCACCTGTCCCAGGTGTGTCTCACCTGTCCCTCACCTGTCCCAGGTGTGTCTCACCTGTCTCACCTGTCCCAGGTGTGTCTCACCTGTCTCACCTGTCTCTCACCTGTCCCTCACCTGTCCCAGGTGTCTCAGGTGTGTCTCACCTATCCCCAGGTGTGTTTTGACTCCTCAGGTGTGTCTGTACCTGTCTCTCACCTGTACAGGTGTCTCTCACCTGTCCCTCACCTGTCCCAGGAGTGTTTAGACTCCTCAGGTGTGTCTCACCTGTCCCCAGGTGTGTTTAGGCTCCTCAGGTGTGTTTCAGGTGTGTCACACCTGTCCCCAGGTGTCTCACCTCTCCCTCACCTGTCTCAGGTGTCTCACCTGTCTCTCCCCTGTCTCTCACCTGTTCCAGGTGTGTCTGTACCTGTCCCAGGTGTGTCTGTACCTGTCCCAGGTGTGTCCCAGGTGTCTGTACCTGTCCCAGGTGTGTCTCACCTGTCTCACCTGTCTCTCACCTGTCCCAGGTGTGTCTCACCTGTCCCAGGTGTGTCTCAGGTGTGTCTCACCTGTCTCTCACCTGTCTCAGGTGTGTCTCACCTGTCTCTCACCTGTCCCAGGTGTGTCCCAGGTGTGTCTCACCTGTCCCCAGATGTGTTTAGACTCCTCAGGTGTGTCTCACCTGTCTCTCCTGTCTCTCACCTGTCCCTCACCTGTCCCTCACCTGTCTCAGGTGTGTCTCACCTATCCCCAGGTGTGTTTTGACTCCTCAGGTGTGTCTCACCTGTCTCAGGTGTGTCCCAGGTGTGTCTCACCTGTCTCAGGTGTGTCCCAGGTGTGTCTCACCTGTCTCTCACCTGTCCCCAGGTGTGTTTGGACTCCTCAGGTGTTTCTCACCTGTCTCTCACCTGTCCCCAGGACCCCCCCCCGGCCTCACCGGCACCGTGGAAGTTCAGTGTGAGGAGGAGGAGCAGGGCCCCGCCCACACAGGTGAGGGGACAGGTAAAGGTGGGAGGGGTCAGGTGTGCCCAGGTGAGCTCAGGTGTCCCAGGTGAACTCAGGGGTGTCTCAGGTGAGGCTGGGGGGGCTCAGGGGTGCCCAGGTGAGCTCAGGGGTGCCCAGGTGAGCTCAGGGGTGTCTCAGGTGTGTCTCACCTGCGCAGGTGCCGCGGCTCAGGTGAGGCTGGGGGTGCCCAGGTGAGGCTGGGGGGGGGCTCAGGTGTCTCAGGTGAGGTCAGGGGTGCCCAGGTGAGCTCTCAGGTGTCTCAGGTGTGTCTCACCTGCGCAGGTGCCGCGGCTCAGGTGAGGCTGGGGGGGCTCAGGTGTCCCAGGTGAGCTCTCAGGTGTCTGAGGTGTGTCTCACCTGCGCAGGTGCCGCGGCTCAGGTGAGGCTGGGGGTGCCCAGGTGAGCTCTCAGGTGTCCCAGGTGAGCTCAGGTGTCCCAGGTGAGCTCTCAGGTGTCTCAGGTGTGTCTCACCTGCGCAGGTGCCGCGGCTCAGGTGAGGCTGGGGGGGCTCAGGTGAGGCTGGGGGGGCTCAGGTGAGGCTGGGGGGGCTCAGGTGAGGTCAGTGATCCCCAGGTGAGCTCTCAGGTGTCCCAGGTGAGGCTGGGGGTGCCCAGGTGAGCTCTCAGGTGTCCCAGGTGAGCTCAGGGGTCCCCAGGTGAGCTCAGGGGTGTCTCAGGTGAGCTCTCAGGTGTCTCAGGTGTGTCTCACCTGCACAGGTGCCGCGGCTCAGGTGAGGCTGGGGGGGCTCAGGTGAGGCTGGGGGGGGCTCAGGTGAGTTTGGGGATCCCTAGGTGAGCTCAGGTGTGCCCAGGTGAGGCTGGGGGGGCTCAGGTGAGCTCAGGGGTGCCCAGGTGAGCTCAGGGGTGTCTCAGGTGAGCTCAGGGGTGCCCAGGTGAGCTCAGGGGTGCCCAGGTGAGCTCTCAGGTGTCTCAGGTGTGTCTCACCTGCGCAGGTGCCGCGGCTCAGGTGAGGCTGGGGGTGCCCAGGTGAGGCTGGGGGGGAGCTCAGGGGTGCCCAGGTGAGGTTGGGGATGCCCAGGTGAGGCTGGGGGGGGGCTCAGGTGTCCCAGGTGAGCTCTCAGGTGTCTCAGGTGTGTCTCACCTGCGCAGGTGCCGCGGCTCAGGTGAGGCTGGGGGTGCCCAGGTGAGGCTGGGGGGGGGCTCAGGTGTCTCAGGTGAGCTCAGGGGTGTCTCAGGTGTGTCTCACCTGCGCAGGTGCCGCGGCTCAGGTGAGGCTGGGGGGGCTCAGGTGAGGCTGGGGGGGCTCAGGTGAGGCTGGGGGGGCTCTCAGGTGTCTCAGGTGAGCTCAGGGGTGTCTCAGGTGTCTCAGGTGTGTCTCACCTGTGCAGGTGCCGCGGCTCAGGTGAGGCTGGGGGGGCTCAGGTGAGCTCAGGGGTGCTCAGGTGAGGTTGGGGATGCCCAGGTGAGGCTGGGGGGGCTCAGGTGAGGCTGGGGGGGGGCTCAGGTGTCTCAGGTGAGCTCAGGGGTGCTCAGGTGAGCTCTCAGGTGTCTCAGCTGTGTCTCACCTGTGCAGGTGCCGCGGCTCAGGTGAGGCTGGGCCGCCCGGGCGCCCCCCCCCAGCATGAGGCGCCCCCTACCCAGCAGCCCCTGCGGCCGGGGGGGGGGGGCGGCCCCGGGGCCCCCCCGCCCCACCCCCACCCCCCGCTGCACCCCCAGGTGAGTGGGGGAGGGGCGGGCGGGGGAGACCCCCAAAACCCACCTGAAAATACCCAAAAAACGGCCCCGAAATCACAAAAAATCCTCCCCAAAATTTCCCCAAAATCCCCCCCAAAATGGCCCCAAAAATACCCAAAAAACGGCCCCAAAATCGCAAAAAATGCCCCCAAAATCCCCCCCAAAATTTTCCCAAAACTGCCCCAAAAATACCCAAAAAACGGCCCCGAAATAACAAAAATTCCCCCCAAAATTCCCCCCAAAATGGACCCAAAATTCGCCCAAAACGGCCCCAAAAATGCCCAAAAAAGGCCCCAAAATCCCAAAAAATCTCCCCCCAAACGGCCCCAAAAATCCCCCAAAACAACCCAAAAATCCACTTAAAAACGGCCCCAAAATCCCAAAAAATCCCCCCAAAATCCCCCCCCAAACATCTCCCAAAACAGCCCGAAAAATACCCAAAAAACGGCCCCAAAATCTCAAAAAATCCCCCCAAAATCCCCCCCAAAATGGCCCCAAAATGGCCCCAAAATCCCTCCAAAACCGCCCCAAAAATCTCCCAAAATCTCCCCAAAATGCACCCAAAAATACCCAAAAAGCAGCCCCAAAATCCCAAAAAATTCCTCCCAAATTCCCCCAAAATCCCCCCCAATATGGCTCCAAAATCCCCCCAAAACGGCCCCAAAAATCCCCCAAAACAGCCCAAAAATCCACTCAAAAACAGCCCCAAAATCCTCCCCAAAACCACTCAAAAATCTCCCCAAAACTGCCCCAAAAATCTCCCAAAATCCCCCCAAAACTGCTCCAAAAATCCCCCAAAACGGCTCAAAAACGCACTCAAAGACGGCCCCAAAATCCTAAAAAATCCCCCCAAAATCCCCCCCAAAATGGCCCCAAAATCCCTCCAAAACTGCCTCAAAAATCTCCCCAAATCCCCCCAAAACGCACCCAAAAATACCCAAAAAACGGCCCCAAAATCCCAAAAAATCCCCCCCAAAATCCCCCCCAAATGGCCCCAAAATCCCTCCAAAAATGCCCCAAAGATCTCCCAAAATCTCCCCAAAACGCACCCAAAAATACCCAAAAAACTGCCCCGAAATCATAAAAAATCCCCCCAAAATCCCACCTAAAATGGCCCCAAAATTCCCCCAAAAAGGCCCCAAAAATACCCAAAAAACGGCCCCAAAATCACAAAAAATGCTCCCCAAAATGGCCCCAAAATGGCTCCAAAATCACTCCAAAACTGCTCCAAAAATCTCCCAAAATCCCCCAAAACACACCCAAAAATACCCAAAAAACGGCCCCAAAATCTCAAAAAATCCCCCCAAAATGGCCCCAAAATCCCTCCAAAACTGCCACAAAAATCTCCCAAAATCCCCCCAAAACGGCCCCAAAAATCTCCAAAAATGGCCCAAAAATCCACTCAAAAATGGCCCCAAAATCCTCCCCAAAACTGCCCCAAAAATCTCCCAAAATCCCCCCAAAACGGCCCCAAAAATACCCACAAAATGGCCCCAAAATCCCAAAAAATCCTCCCCAAAATCTCCCCAAAACGGCCTCAAAAATACCCAAAAAATGGCCCCAAAATCACAAAAAATTCCCCCCAAAACGGCCCCAAAAATCTCCCAAAACGGCCCCAAAAATACCACAAAATCCCAAAAAATCCCCCCCAAAATGGCCCCAAAACCCCCCCAAAACTGCCCCAAAAATCTCCCAAAATCGCCCCAGAATCGACCCAAAGATCCCCCAAAACAGCCCAAAAATCCCCCAAAACAGCCCAAAAATCCACTCAAAAACGGCCCCAAAATCCCCCCCAAAACGACCCCAAAAATCCCCAAAATCCACCCAAAACGGCCCTAAAAATCCCCCAAAACAGCCCAAAAATCCACTCAAAAATGGCCCCAAAATCCTCCCCAAAATGACTCAAGAATCTCCCCAAAAATCTCCCAAAATCTCCCCAAAACGGCCCCAAAAATCCACTTAAAAACGACCCCAAAATCCCAAAAAATCCCCCCAAAATCCCCCCAAAATGGCCCCAAAATCCCCCCAAAACTGCCCCAAAAATCTCCCAAAGTCCCCCCCAAAAGGAACCCAAAAATACCCAAAAAACGGCCCCAAAATCACAAAAAATCCCCTAAAATCCCCCCAAAATGGCCCCAAAATCCCCCCAAAACTGCCCCAAAAATCTCCCAAATGGACCCCCAAATCCACCTAAAACCAATCCCAAAGTCCCCCCAAAACGACCCAAAAATTCTCCCAAAATCCCCCCCAAAAATCTCCCAAAATCCCCCCAAAACGGCCCAAAAATCCACTCAAAAATGGCCCCAAAATCCTCCCCAAAACTGCCCCAAAAAATCTCCCAAAACTGCCCCAAAAATCCCCCAAAAACAGCCCAAAAATCCACTCAAAAACGGCCCCAAAATTCTCCCCAAAATGAGTCCAAAATCTCCCCAAAACTGCCCCAAAAATCTCCCAAAATCCCCCCAAAACCCCCCAAAAAATCCCCAAAATGGACCCCAAAATCCACCTACAACCAATCCCAAAGTCCCCCTAAAACGACCCAAAAATTCTCCCAAAATCCCCCCAAAACCTCCCAAAATTCCCCCAAAATGGACCCAAAAATCCACCTAAAAACAATCCCAAACTCCCCCCAAAACGACCCAAAAATTCTCCCAAAATCCCCCCAAAAGTGCTCCAAAAATCCCCAAAAACGGCCCCAAAATCCTCCCCAAAACGACCCCAAAATGCCCCTAAAAACAGCCCCAAATCCCCAAAAATCCCCCCAAAATGACCCCAAAATCGCCCCAAAATTCCCCCAAAAATCCCCCCAAAACTGCGCCAAAATCCCCCCAAAAATGGCCCCAAAACCCCCCAAAAATGACCCCAAAATCTCCTAAAAATGGCCCCAAAAAACGGCCCCAAAATCTACTTAAAAATGACCCCAAAATCCTCCCAAAAATGGCCCCAAAACCCCCCAAAAATGACCCCAAAATCCCCCAAAAATGACCCCAAAATCCCCCAAAAATGACCCCAAAATCCTCCCAAAAATGACCCCAAAATCCCCCAAAAATGTCCCCAAAAACGACTCAAAAATCTCCCCAAAAGTGCCCCAAAAATCTCCCAAAATCCCCCCAAAAATGGCCCCAAAATCCCCAAAATGCCCCCAAAATCCTCAAAATCCCCAAAATTCTCCCAAAATCCTCACAAAAAATACCCCAAAATTCCCCCCAAAAACGGCCTTAAAATCCCAACATGGCCCCCAAAATCCCCCCAAAATTACCCCAAAATTCCTCCCAAAACCTCCAAAAATTGCCCCAAAAATCTTCTCAAAAAGGCCCTAAATTCCTCCAAAATCCCCCCAAAACGGCCCCAAAAATCTCCCCAAAATCCCAAAAAAATGGCAACAAATTGACCCCAAAATCCCCGAAAATTCCCCCAAAATCCTCCCAAAACAACCCCAAAAATCACCCCAAAATAACCCCAAAATTTCTCCTCCAAAATCCCAAATTTTCCTCCCAAAATCCCAAATTTCCCCCCTAAATCTCAATTTTTTTCACTTAAAACCCCCAAAATCTCAAATTCCCACCCAAAATCCCAAATTTTCCCCCCCAAAATCCCAAATTTTTCACCTAAAATCCCTCTGAATCCCCTAAAAATCCCAAATTTTCCCCTGCAAACCCCCAAATTTCCCAAAATCCCCCAAATTTCCCTCAAATTTCCCAATTCCAGGTGCTCTCGGACATGGCCCAGGGGTCCCCAAAACCCCGAAAATCCCCCCAAAATCCCAAATTTTCCCCTAAAAACCCCAAATTTTTCATGAATTTTCCCAAAATCCCATTTTTTCCCCCTAAATCCAGGTGCCCAGAGGCTCCAGCCCTGTGTCCCCAAACCCCTCTGAAACCCCCCTAAAATCCCCAAATTTTCCCCTAAAAACCCCAAATTTTCCCCAAACCCCCCTTAAATCCCCCCTAAAACCCCCAAATTTTGTCATAAAAACCCCAAATTTTCCCCTAAAAACCCCAAATTTTCCCCTAAAAACCCCAAATTTTCACCTAAAAACCCCAAATTTTTACCCAAACCCTCAGAATTTTCCCAAATTTCCCATTTTTCCCCCCAAATCCAGGCCCGTGTCCCTGTCCCCAAACCCCCTTGAAACCCCCCTAAAAACCCCAAATTTTCCTCTAAAAACCCCAAATTTTCCCCTAAAAACCCCAAATTTTCCCCCAAACTGTCCGAATTTTCCCCCAAACTGTCCGAATTTTCCCAAATCTGCCTTTTTTCTCCCCATTCCCAGACTCCCACAGGCTCCAACCCTGTGTCCCCAAACCCCCCTGAAACCCCCCTAAAACCCCCCCCTAAAACCCCCAAATTTTCCCCTAAATTCCCCAAATTTTCACGTAAAAACCCCAAATTTTCCCCTAAAAACCCCAAATTTTCTCCTAAAAACCCCAATTTTCCCCCAAATTTTCCCAAATCTGCCCTTTTGCCCCCCATTCCCAGACCCCCACAGGCTCCAACCCCGTGTCCTCAAACCCCCTTAAATCCCCCCTAAAACCCCCAAATTTCCCCCTAAAAACCCCAATTTTTCCCCGAAAATCCCCAAATTTTCTCATAAAAATCCCAAATTTTTACCCAAACCCTCTAAATTTCCCCAAATCTCCCCTTTTTTCCCCCAAATCCAGGTGCCGGGCTCCAGTGTCCCCAAACCCCCCTGAAACCCCCCTTAAATCCCCCCTAAAATCCCCAAATTTTCCCCTAAAAGTGCCAAATTTTCCCCTAAAACCCCCAAATTTTTTTCCAAAAACCTCAAATTTTCCCCTAAAACCCACAAATATTCCTTTAAAAGTGCCAAATTTTCCCCAAAATCCCCAAATTTTCCCAAATCTGCCCTTTTTTCCCCCAAAATCCAGGTGCCCTCAGGCTCCAGCCCCGTGTCCCTGTGTCCCCAAACCCCCCTGAAACCCCCCTAAAATCCCCCCTAAAAACCCCAAATTTTCTCCTAAAAACCCCAAATTTTCCCCTAAAAACCCCCAATTTTCTCATAAAACCCCCAATTTTTTTTCTAAAAAACCTGAATTTTCCCAAATTTCCCTTTTTTCCCCCAAATCCAGCCCCATGTCCCTGTCCCCAAACCGCCCTGAAATCCCCCCTAAAACCCCCAAATTTTCTTATAAAAACCCCAAATTTTCCCCTAAAAACCCCAAATTTTTTTCTAAACTCCCCAAATTTTCCCAAAATCCGGTTTATTCTCCCCAAATCCAGGTGCCCACAGACTCCAGGCCTGTGTCCCTGTGTCCCAAAACCCCCCTGGAACCCCCCTAAAAACCCCCATAAAAACCCCAAATTTTCCCCTAAAAACTCCAACTTTTTTTGTAAAAACCCCAAATTTTTTGCTAAAATTCCCAAATTTTCCCAAATTTCTCGTTTTTCTCCCCAAAATCCAGGCCCCCTCGGGCAGGATGTCCGGCTCCAGCCCCGTGTCCCTGTGTCCCGGAAACCCCCTTAAATCCCCCCTAAAACCCCCAAATTTTCCCCTAAAACCCCCAAATTTTCCCCTAAAACCCCAAATTTTCCCCTAAAAACCCCACATTTTTTTCTAAAAAACCTGAATTTTCCCAAAACACCCAAATTTTCCCAAATCTCCCATTTTTCTCCCATTCCCATATCCCCACAGGCTCCAGCCCCGTCTCCCTGTGTCCCCAAACCCCCCTGAAACCCCCCTAAAATCCCCCCTAAAACCCCCAAATTTTCCCCTAAAACCCCCAAATTTTCCCCTAAAACCCCCAAATTTTCCCCTAAACACCCCAAATTTTTGCGCCAAAACCCCAAATTTTCCCCAAAATTTCCAAAAATCCTAAATTTTTTCCCCATTCCCAGGTGCCCACAGGCTCCAGCTCTGTGTCATCGGGTTCCCCAAACCCCCCTAAAACCCCCCTAAAATCCCCCCTAAAACCTCCAAATTTTCCCCTAAAAACCCCAAATTTTCTCATAAAAACCCCAAATTTTCCCAAATCTGCCCTTTTTCTCCCCAAATCTCGGTCCCCACAGGCTCCAGCCCCGTGTCCCTGTGTCCCCAAACCCCCCTGAAACCCCCCTAAAATCCCCCCTAAAACCCCCAAATTTTCCCCTAAAAACCCCAAATTTTCCCCTAAAAACCCCAAATTTTCCCCTAAAACCCACAAATATTCCTTTAAAAGTGCCAAATTTTCCCCAAAATCCCCAAATTTTCCCAAATCTGCCCTTTTTTCCCCCAAAATCCAGGTGCCCATAGGCTCCAACCCTGTGTCGTTGGGGCCACTAAACCCCCCTTGAACCCCCCTAAAACCCCCAAATTTTCCCCTAAAACCCCCAAATTTTCCCCCAAAAACCCCAAATTTTTTTCTAAAATTCCCAAATTTTCCCAAATTTCTCCTTTTTCTCCCCAAAATCCAGGCCCCCTCGGGCAGGATGACCGTCTCCAGCCCCGTGTCCCTGTGTTCCCAAACCCCCCTGAAACCCCCCTAAAAACCCCAAATTTTCACCTAAAAACCCCAAATTTCCCCCTAAAAACCCCAAATTTTCACCTAAAACCCCCAAATTTTCACTTAAAAACCCCAATTTTTTTTCGTAAAAAACGTGAATTTTCCCAAAATCTCCTTTTTTCTCCCCAAAATCCAGACTCCCAGAGGCTCCAATCCCGTGTCCTCAAACCCCCCTGAAACCCCCTAAAAACCCCAAATTTTCCCCTAAAAATGTCAAATTTTCACTTAAAAACCCCAAATTTTTTTCCTAAAAATGTGAATTTTCCCAAAATCTCCTTTTTTCTCCCCAAACCAGGCCCCCTCGGGCAGGATGACCGGCTCCAGCCCCGTCTCCCCCTCCTCATCCTCGGGGGGCAGCCCCTCCCCCCCCGGGGGACCCCCGGGACCCCCCGAACCGCTGCGGCCGGGGATGGCCGAGCAGGCCAAGCACGTAAGGGTTAAACTGTACTGGTTATACTGGTTTGTACTGGTTTGTACTGGGAGAGACACTGGGAATGGTTATACTGGGTTATACTGGGTTATACTGGGTTATACTGGGTTATACTGGGAGCACTGGGTTATACTGGGTTATACTGGGTTATACTGGGTTATACTGGGAGCGGAGCCCGGCGGGGATCGCCGAGCAGGCCAAGCACGTAAGGGTTAAACTGTACTGGTTATACTGGTTTGTACTGGTTTGTACTGGGAGAGACACTGGGAATGGTTCTACTGGGTTATACTGGGTTATACTGGGTTATACTGGGTTATACTGGGTTATACTGGGAGCGGAGCCCGGCGGGGATCGCCCAGCAGGCCAAGCACGTAAGGGTTAAACTGTACTGGTTATACTGGTTTGTACTGGTTTGTACTGGGAGAGACACTGGGAATGGTTATACTGGGTTATACTGGGTTATACTGGGTTATACTGGGTTATACTGGGTTATACTGGGTTATACTGGGAGCGGAGCCCGGCGGGGATCGCCGAGCAGGCCAAGCACGTAAGGGTTAAACTGTACTGGTTATACTGGTTTGTACTGGTTTGTACTGGGAGAGACACTGGGAATGGTTATACTGGGTTATACTGGTTTATACTGGGTTATACTGGGTTATACTGGGTTATACTGGGAGCGGAGCCCGGCGGGGATCGCCGAGCAGGCCAAGCACGTAAGGGTTAAACTGTACTGGTTATACTGGTTTGTACTGGTTTGTACTGGGAGAGACACTGGGAATGGTTATACTGGGTTATACTGGGTTATACTGGGTTATACTGGGTTATACTGGGTTATACTGGGAGCGGAGCCCGGCGGGGATCGCCGAGCAGGCCAAGCACGTAAGGGTTAAACTGTACTGGTTATACTGGTTTGTACTGGTTTGTACTGGGAGAGACACTGGGAATGGTTATACTGGGTTATACTGGGTTATACTGGGTTATACTGGTTTATACTGGGTTATACTGGGTTATACTGGGTTATACTGGGTTATACTGGGTTATACTGGGAGCGGAGCCCGGCGGGGATCGCCGAGCAGGCCAAGCACGTAAGGGTTAAACTGTACTGGTTATACTGGTTTGTACTGGTTTGTACTGGGAGAGACACTGGGAATGGTTATACTGGGTTATACTGGGTTATACTGGGTTATACTGGGTTATACTGGGTTATACTGGGAGCGGAGCCCGGCGGGGATCGCCGAGCAGGCCAAGCACGTAAGGGTTAAACTGTACTGGTTATACTGGTTTGTACTGGTTTGTACTGGGAGAGACACTGGGAATGGTTATACTGGGTTATACTGGGTTATACTGGTTATACTGGGTTATACTGGGTTATACTGGGTTATACTGGGTTATACTGGGTTATACTGGGTTATACTGGGAGCGGAGCCCGGCCGGGGATCGCCGAGCAGGCCAAGCACGTAAGGGTTAAACTGTACTGGTTATACTGGTTTGTACTGGTTTGTACTGGGAGAGACACTGGGAATGGTTCTACTGGGCTATACTGGGTTATACTGGGTTATACTGGGTTATACTGGGTTATACTGGGTTATACTGGGTTATACTGGGTTATACTGGGTTATACTGGGTTATACTGGGTTATACTGGTCTGTACTGGGTTATACTGGGTTATACTGGGTTATACTGGGTTATACTGGGTTATACTGGGTTATACTGGGCTATACTGGGTTATACTGGGTTATACTGGTTATACTGGGTTATACTGGGTTATACTGGTTTGTACTGGTTATACTGGGCTATACTGGGTTATACTGGTTTGTACTGGTTATACTGGGTTATACTGGGTTATACTGGGTTATACTGGGTTATACTGGTTATACTGGGTTATACTGGTTTGTACTGGGTTATACTGGGCTATACTGGGTTATACTGGTTTGTACTGGTTATACTGGGTTATACTGGGTTATACTGGGTTATACTGGGTTATACTGGTTTGTACTGGGTTATACTGGGTTATACTGGGTTATACTGGTTTGTACTGGGTTATACTGGTTTGTACTGGGTTATACTGGGTTATACTGGGTTATACTGGGTTATACTGGGTTATACTGGGTTATACTGGGTTATACTGGTTATACTGGGTTATACTGGTTTGTACTGGTTTATACTGGGTGATGCAGGAGGTTTGGAGCAAAATGGCTCCAATTTATTCAATTTTTGGGATAAAATCTCGGGGTTTTTGCATTTTTTTGGGTATTTTTTTGGGTTTTTTTCCCCCACCCGTCTCACCTGTCCCTCACCTGTCCCTCACCTGTCTCACCTGTCTGTGTCTCACCTGTCTCATCTGTCCCAGATGAAGCTTTTATTAATGAATTAAGCAGGTTTGGAATAAAAAAAAACCTCAATTTATTCAATTTTTGGGATAAAATCACGGGGTTTTTGCATTTTTTTGGGTATTTTTTTGGGTTTTTTTCCCCCACCCGTCTCACCTGTCCCTCACCTGTCCCACCTGTCTCACCTGTCCCAGGTGAAGCTTTTATTAACGAATGATGCAGGTTTGGAGTGAAATAACCCCAATTTATTCAATTTTTGGGATAAAATCATGGGGTTTTTTGCATTTTTTTGGGATTTTTTTGCCCCACCCGTCTCACCTGTCCCTCACCTGTCCCTCACCTGTCCCTCACCTGTGTCTCACCTGTGTCTCACCTGTCCCAGGTGAACCTTTAGGATGTTTGGAGTGAAATAACCCCAATTTATTCAATTTTTGGGCTAAAATCACGGGGTTTTTTGCATTTTTTTGGGTATTTTTTTGTTTTTTTTTTTGCCCCACCTGTCTCACCTGTCCCTCACCTGTCCCTCACCTGTGCTCACCTGCCTCACCTGTCTCACCTGTCTCACCTGTCCCAGGTGAATCCTTCAGGAGCTTTGGACTTAATTGACCCCAATTTATTCAATTTTTGAGATAAAATCACGGGGTTTTTTGCATTTTTTTTGGGTATTTTTTTGGTTTTTTTTACCCCACCCGTCTCACCTGTCCCTCACCTGTCTCACCTGTATCTCACCTGTCTGTGTCTCACCTGTCTCTCCCCTGTCTCACCTGTCCCAGATGAATAATTTATTAATGAATTAAGCAGGTTTAGAATGAAAAAACCCCAATTTATTCAATTTTTGGGATAAAATCTTGGGGTTTTTTCTCATTTTTTTGGTTTTATTTTGCCCCACCTGTCTCTCCTGTCTCACCTGTGCCTCACCTGTCTCACCTGTTCCTCACCTGCCCCTCACCTGTCCCAGGTGAATCCTTCAGGAGCTTTGGAGTGAAATGACCCCAATTTATTCAATTTTTGGGATAAAATCACGGGGTTTTTTGCATTTTTTTGGTTTTTTTTTTGCCCCAGCCATCTCACCTGTCCCTTACCTGTCCCTCATGTGTCTCACCTGTGCTCACCTGTCTCACCTGTCCCAGGTGAAACTTTAATTAATGAATGATGCAGGTTTGGAGTGAAATGGCTCCAATTTATTCAAATTTTGGGATAAAATTTCAGGTTTTTTTGCATTTTTTTGGGGTTTTTTTTCCCCACTTGTCTCACCTGTCCCTCACCTGTCTCACCTGTCCCTCCTCTGTCTGTCTCTCACCTGTCCGTGTCTCACCTGTCCCAGATGAACCTTTAGGAGGTTTGGAGTGAAATGGCTCCAATTTATTCAATTTTTGGGCTAAAATCTCGGGGTTTTTTGCCATTTTCTCGGGGTTTCTTTGCCCCTCACCTGTCTCACCTGTCCCACCTGCGCAGGAGGCGGAGGTGGAGCACCGCGTGGCCGAGATGAAGCGGGAGGGGTTCTGGTCTCTGCGGCGGCTGCCGAAGGTTCCGGAGCCGGCGCGGCCGAAGGTGCACTGGGATTACCTGTGCGAGGAGATGCAGTGGCTGGCCGCCGACTTCGCCCAGGAGCGCCGCTGGAAGAGGGGCGTGGCCCGCAAGGTAACGCACCTGGCCACACCTGGGCACACCTGGGCACACCTGGCCACACCTGGGCACACCTGGGCACACCTGGGCACACCTGGCGAAATTTGGGTGAAATTCCGGTGAAAATTGGGCAATTTTGGGCGAGTTTTGGCTGTTTTTTGGTGGTTTTGGGTTACCTGTGTATATCTGACCTGTCTCACCTGTCCATACCTGTGTCACCTGTCTCACCTGTGTCTCACCTGTCTGTACCTGTCTCACCTGTCCATACCTGTCTGTACCTGTCTCACCTGTATCTCACCTGTCTCACCTGTCTCACCTGCGCAGGTGGTGCGGATGGTGATGCGGCACCACGAGGAGCAGCGGGGTTGGGGCTGTGTGTGCTGTATCTCACCTGTCTCACCTGTCCATACCTGTATCTCACCTGTATCTCACCTGTCTCACCTGTCCAGGTGGTGCGGATGGTGATGCGGCACCACGAGGAGCAGCGGGGTTGGGGCTGTGTCTCACCTGTGTCTCACCTGTGTCACACCTGTGTTACCTGTGTCATACCTGTTTTATCTGTGTATATCTCACCTGTCACACCTGTGTTACCTGTATCTCACCTGTCTCACCTGTCTCACCTGTCCCAGGTGGTGCGGATGGTGATGCGGCACCACGAGGAGCAGCGGGGTCGGGCTGTGTGTGCTGTATCTCACCTGTCTGTCTCTCACCTGTCTCACCTGTCTCACCTGTCTCACCTGTGTTACCTGTGTTACCTGTCCCAGGTGGTGCGGATGGTGATGCGGCACCACGAGGAGCAGCGGGGTCGGGCTGTGTCTCACCTGTGTCTCACCTGTATTACCTGTGTTACCTGTACCTGTGTTACCTGTGTCTCACCTGTGTATATCTCACCTGTCTCACCTGTCCGTACCTGTGCAGGTGGTGCGGATGGTGCTGCGGCACCACGAGGAGCAGCGGGCTGGGGCTGTGTCTCACCTGTATTACCTGTGTTACCTGTACCTGTATCTCACCTGTCTCACCTGTCCGTACCTGTCTCACCTGCGCAGGTGGTGCGGATGGTGATGCGGCACCACGAGGAGCAGCGGGGTCGGGCTGTGTCACACCTGTGTCACACCTGTATTACCTGTATTACCTGTGTCTATCTCACCTGTCCGTACCTGTCTCACCTGTCTCACCTGTCTCACCTGTCACACGTGTATTACCTGTGTTACCTGTGTCACACCTGTCTCACCTGTCCGTACCTGTCGCAGGTGGTGCGGATGGTGATGCGGCACCACGAGGAGCAGCGGGGTCGGGCTGTATCTCACCTGTGTCTATCTCACCTGTCTGTACCTGTCACACCTGTCCATACCTGTCTCACCTGTCTCACCTGTCGCAGGTGGTGCGGATGGTGATGCGGCACCACGAGGAGCAGCGGGGTCGGGCTGTGTCACACCTGTATTACCTGTGTTACCTGTACCTGTATCTCACCTGTCTCACCTGTATTACCTGTGTCACACCTGTCTCACCTGTCTCACCTGCGCAGGTGGTGCGGATGGTGATGCGGCACCACGAGGAGCAGCGGGGTCGGGCTGTGTCTCACCTGTGTCACACCTGTATTACCTGTGTATATCTCACCTGTCCATACCTGTACCTGTATCTCACCTGTCCGTACCTGTCTCACCTGTGTTACCTGTCCAGGTGGTGCGGATGGTGATGCGGCACCACGAGGAGCAGCGGGGTGGGGCTGTGTCACACCTGTGTTACCTGTGTCTATCACACCTGTCTCTCTCACCTGTCACACCTGTCCATACCTGTCTCACCTGTGTCACACCTGTCTCACCTGTGTTACCTGCGCAGGTGGTGCGGATGGTGATGCGGCACCACGAGGAGCAGCGCCAGCGCCAGGAACGCGCCAAGCGGGAGGAACAGGCCAAGCTGCGCCGCGTGGCCGCCGCCATCGCCCGCGAGGTGCGCCACTTCTGGAGCAGCGTCGAGAAGGTACCTGGGCGCACCTGGGGGCACACCTGGGCGGGCATGGGGGGACATGGGGGGACATGGGATACACCTGAGATACACCTGGGCACACCTGGGCGGGCATGGGGGGGCATGGGGGGACGTGGGACACACCTGGGCGGGCATGGGGGGGCACCTGGGGGGCATGGGGGGCACCTGGGACACACCTGGGGACACCTGGGCACACCTGGGCACACGTGGGCGGGCATAGGATACACCTAGGGGGAATGGGATACACCTGGGGCACACCTGGGCACACCTGGGCAGGCATGGGGGGGCACCTGGGGACACACCTGGGCACACCTCGGGGCACATGGGCACACCTGGGGGAATATGGGATACACCTGGGCACACCTGGGCGGGCGTGGGGGGGCGTGGGACACACCTGGGCACACCTGGGGGCACCTGGGCACACCTGGGTGGGCGTGGGGGGCACCTGGGGGCACCTGGGGGTACAGGGGCACATGAGACACACCTGAGGGCACCTGGGCACACCTGGGTGGGCATGGAGGGGCACCTGGGGGCACCTGGGACACCTGGGCGGGCATGGGGTATACCTGGGGGTACCTGGGACACACCTGAGTACACCTGCGGGCACATGGGATACACCTGGGCACACCTGGGGGCACACCTGGGCGGGCATGGGGGGGCATGGGGTACACCTGGGGGCACATGGGATACACCTGAGGGCACCTGGGCACACCTGGGCGGGCATGGGGGAGCACCGGGGGGCACCTGGGACACACCTGGGCGGGCATGGGGGGGCACCTGGGGGGCATGGGGGGCACCTGGGACACACCTGGGGACAGCTGGGCACACCTGGGCACACGTGGGCGGGCATAGGATACACCTAGGGGGAATGGGATACACATGGGGCACACCTGGGCACACCTGGGCAGGCATGGGGGGCACCTGGGGGGGCATTGGGGGGCACCTGGGCACACCTGGGGGGCACCAGGGGGGCACATAGGGGGCATCTGGGGGGACATGGGACACACCTGGGCACACCTGGGGGGCACCAGGGGGGCACATAGGGGGCATCTGGGGGGACATGGGACACACCTGGGCACACCTGGGGGCACCTGGGGGTGCCTGGGGGGCACCTGGGGGGATGTGGGACACACCTGGGGACAGCTGGACCACACCTGGGCACACCTGGGCAAACCTGGGCGCACCTGGGTACACCTGGGATTCAACTGGATACACCTGAGGGCACATGGGCACACCTGGGCACACCTGGGGGACACCTGGGGGAACATGGGATACACCTGAGATACACCTGGGCACACCTGGGCGGGCATGGGGGCACCTGGGTGGGCATGGGGGGATGTGGGGGGACATGGGATACACATGGGATACACCTGGGGTGGCACATGGGACACACCTGGGCACACCTCGGGGCACCTGGGCACACCTGGGGGAATATGGGATACACCTGGGTACACCTGGGGGCACATGGGGGGCACCGGGGCGCACCTGGCGGGCATGGGGGGGGCATGGGGGGCACCTGGGGAGGCACCTGGGGGGGCATGGGATACACCTGGGCATACCTGGGGGTACAGGGGGGTACATGGGGAGGCACTTGGGCACACCTGGGCGGGCATGGGGGGGCACCTGGGGGCACCTGGGGGCACATGGGATACACCTGGGGACACCTGGGATACATCTGGAGGTACACGGGGGCACATGAGACACACCTGGGGGCACATGGGACACGCCTGGGGACATTGGGACACACCTGGGGACACACCTGGGCGGGCATGGGGGGCACCTGGGGGCACATTGGACACACCTGGGCACACCTAGGGGCACCTGGGGGTGCCTGGGGGGCACCTGGGGGGATGTGGGACACACCTGGGCACACATGGGATACACCTGGGGGCACCTGGGATACACCCAGGCACACCTAGAGACACATGGGATACACCTGGGGCACACCTGGGCACACCTGAGGGCACCTGGGCATGCCTGGGGTGACATGGAATATACCTGGGGACAGCTGGAGCACACCTGGGCACACCTGGGGGGTACCTGGGGGGACATGGGACACACCTGGGCACACCTGAGGGTACATGGGATACACCTGGGTACACCTGGGGGCACATGGGCATGCCTGGGGTGATATGGGACGCACCTGGTGGCACCTGAGATACACCTGGGTACACCTGGGCACACCTGGGGGTACATGGGATACACCTGGGGGCACCTGGACACACCTAGGGGGACATGGGACACACCTGAGTACACCTGGGCACACCTGGGGGCACATGGGACACACCTGGGCGCACCAGAGGATACCTGGATAGAGCTGAGATGCATCTGGAAATATCTGGGACACACCTGGGGGTACCTGGGGACAGTTAAGTACAGGCCGGCACACCTGGGATATACCTGGGCACACCTGAGATACACCTGGGCACACCTGGACACACCTGGGCACACCTGGGCACACCCCTGGGTGCCCACCAGTGACCGTTGCTGACCAGTAGTGACCGCAGGGCACGCAGGTACCTCACGTACCTGCTGGGGACCGATGGGCGCACAGGTGGCACACAGGTGCCCAGGTGCCCCCAGGTGAGCCCCAGGTGCCCGCAGGTGGTGCAGTTCAATGCACACAGGTGGCACACAGGTGCCCAGGTGCCCCCAGGTGAGCTCCCAGGTGTGCACACAGGTGGCACACAGGTGGTCACACAGGTGCCAAGGTGGCACACAGGTAGGCACACAGGTGCCCAGGTGCCCCAGGTGATCAGACAGGTGGGCAGAGGAACTCACAGGTGCCAAGGTGAGCCCACAGGTGGGCACATGGGCACACAGGTGAGCCCCAGGTGCCCGCAGGTGGTGCAGTTAAATGCACACAGGTGCCCAGGTGAGCCCCCAGGTGAGCTCACAGATGCCCAGGTGTGGCACACAGGTACACAGGTGGGCACAGGTGCCCAGGTGAGCCCCAGGTAATCTCCCAGGTGCCCGCAGGTGGTGCAGTTCAATACACAGAAGTGGCACACAGGTGCCCAGGTGGGATCACGGGCACACAGGTGGGCACACAGGTGGGCAGAGGAACTCACAGGTGCCCAGATGGGCACACAGGTGGGCACACGGGCACACAGGTGAGCACACAGGTGAGCTCACAGGTGGGCAGAGGAACTCAGAGATGCCCAGGTGAGCCCCCAGGTGGGCACAGGTGCCCCCAGGTGAGCTCCAGGTGGGACCACAGTTGGGAACACAGGTGCCCAGGAGGCACACAGGTGCCCAGGTGTGACACACAGGTACACAGGTGGGCACACCGGTGCCCAGGTGTGCCCAGGTGATCACACAGGTGGGCACACAGGTGGCACACAGGTGCCCAGGTGCCCCCAGGTGAGCTCCCAGGTGCCCGCAGTTGGTACAGAGGTGGGATCACAGATGGGCACACAGGCACACAGGTGGGCACACGGGCACACAGGTGCCCAGGTGAGCTTGCAGGTGGGATCACAGTTTGGCACACAGGTGGCACCCAGGTGTGCACACAGGTGCCCAGGTGGGCACACAGGTGAGCTCACAGGTACCCAGGTGTGCACACAGGTAATCTCAGAGGTGCCCGGGTGAGCACACAGGTGGGCACAGGTGCCCAGGTGCCCCCAGGTGAGCCCCAGGTGCCCGCAGGTGGTGCAGTTCAGGTGCACATGGGCACACAGATGCCCAGGTGTGCCCCAGATGCCCCAGGTGATCTCCAGGTGCCCGCAGGTGGTGCAGTTCAATGCACACAGGTGGCACACAGGTGCCCAGGTGCCCCCAGGTGATCACACAGGTGGCACACAGGTGGCACACAGGTGGGCACACAGGTGCCCAGGTGGGCAGAGAAGGACACAGGTGCCCAGGTGAGCACACAGGTGCCCAGGTCGCACACAGGCACACAGGTGGGCCCCAGGTGATCTCCAGGTGCCCGCAGGTGGTGCAGTTCAAGCAGCACACAGGTGCCCAGGTGGGATCACGGGCACACAGGTGTCCCACAGGTGGGCACAGGTGGGCACACAGGTGCCCAGGTGGGCACAGGTGCCCCAGGTGACCCCCAGGTGCCCGCAGGTGGTGCAGTTCAATGCACATAGATGCCCAGGTGGGCACAGGTGTGCCCCAGGTATGCACATGGGCACACAGGTGGGCACACAGGTGGGCACACAGGTGGGCAGAGGAACTCCCAGGTGCCCAGATGGGCACACAGGTGGGCACACAGGTGCCCCAGGTGTGCCCCAGGTGACCCCCAGGTGCCCGCAGGTGGTGCAGTTCAAGCAGCAGTCCCGGCTCGAGGAGCGCCGGAAGAAGGCCCTGGACCTGCACCTGGACTTCATCGTGGGGCAGACGGAGCGGTACTCGCACCTGCTGAGCCGCAGCCTCAATGCCACGCCCCGGCCACGCCCACAGCTCACCTGTGCAGGTGAGACTCACCTGAGAGGGGTTTGGGGTCACCTGAGAGGGGTTTGGGGTCACCTGTGCAGGTGAGACACACCTGAGGGGGGTTTGGGGGGGGTTTGGGGTCACACCTGCTGAGCCGCAGCCTGAACCAGGCCACGCCCCGGCCACGCCCACAGCTCACCTGTGCAGGTGAGACACACCTGGGAGGGGTTTGGGGACACCTGTGCCGGTGGGACTCACCTGAGAGGGGTTTGGGAGGGGTTTGGGGTTACCTGAGGGGGGTTTGGGGTCACACCTGCTGAGCCGGAGCCTCAATGCCACGCCCCGGCCACGCCCACAGCTCACCTGTGCAGGTGAGACACACCTGAGAGGGGTTTGGGGTCACCTGAGAGGGGTTTGGGTGGGGTTTGGGGGCACCTGTGCAGGTGAGACTCACCTGAGAGGGGTTTGGGGGGGGTTTGGGGTCACCTGTGCAGGTGAGACACACCTGGGGGGGTTTGGGGTCACCTGAGAGGGGTTTGGGGTCACCTGAGGGGGTTTGGGGTCACCTGTGCAGGTGAGACTCACCTGAGAGGGGTGTGGGACACACCTGAGAGGGGTTTGGGGGGCGTTTGGGGTCGCACCTGCTGAGCCGGAGCCTCAATGCCACGCCCCGGCCACGCCCACAGCTCACCTGTGCAGGTGAGGTCACCTGGGCGGGGTGTGGGACTCACCTGAGAGGGGTTTGGGGGGGTTTGGGGTCACCTGAGAGGGGTTTGGGTGGGGTTTGGGGGCACCTGTGCAGGTGGGACTCACCTGAGAGGGGTTTGGGGGCACCTGTGCAGGTGAGACTCACCTGAGAGGGGTTTGGGGGGGGTTTGGGGTCACCTGTGCAGGTGAGACACACCTGGGGGGGTTTGGGGTCACCTGAGAGGGGTTTGGGGTCACACCTGCTGAGCCGCAGCCTGAACCAGGCCCCACGGCCACGCCCACAGCTCACCTGTGCAGGTGAGACTCACCTGAGGGGGGTGTGGGACACACCTGAGAGGGGTTTGGGGGGGGTTTGGGGTCACCTGTGCAGGTGGGACTCACCTGAGAGGGGTTTGGGGGGGGTTTGGGGTCACACCTGCTGAGCCGGAGCTTCAATGCCACGCCCCGGCCACGCCCACAGCTCACCTGTGCAGGTGAGGTCACCTGGGGGGGAGTTTGGGGTCACCTGTGCAGGTGAGACTCACCTGGGGGGGGTTTGGGGTCACCTGAGCAGCTTTGCGGTCACCTGAGAGGGGTTTGGGGTCACCTGAGGGGGGTTTGGGGTCACCTGTGCAGGTGAGACTCACCTGAGAGGGGTTTGGGGGGGGTTTGGGGTCACCTGTGCAGGTGAGACACACCTGAGAGGGGTTTGGGGTCACCTGGGAGGGGTTTGGGGTCACCTGAGAGGGGTTTGGGGTTACCTGGGGGGGGGTTTGGGGTCACCTGTGCAGGTGAGACTCACCTGAGAGGGGTTTGGGTGGGGTTTGGGGTTACCTGAGAGGGGTTTGGGGTCACCTGTGCAGGTGAGACTCACCTGAGAGGGGTTTGGGTGGGGTTTGGGGTCACCTGTGCAGGTGAGACTCACCTGAGAGGGGTTTGGGGTCACCTGAGAGGGGTTTGGGGTCACCTGTGCAGGTGAGACTCACCTGAGAGGGGTTTGGGGGGGGTTTGGGGTCACCTGGGGGGGGTTTGGGGTCACACCTGCTGAGCCGCAGCCTGAACCAGGCCACGCCCCGGCCACGCCCACAGCTCACCTGTGCAGGTGAGACTCACCTGAGAGGGGTGTGGGGGGGGTTTGGGGGGGGTTTGGGGTCACCTGTGCAGGTTTGGGGTCACCTGAGAGGGGTTTGAGGTCACCTGTGCAGGTGGGACTCACCTGAGAGGGGTTTGGGGGGGGTTTGGGGTCACACCTGCTGAGCAGGAGCCTCAATGCCACGCCCCGGCCACGCCCACAGCTCACCTGTGCAGGTGGGACTCACCTGTGCAGGTGAGACACACCTGAGAGGGGTTTGGGGGGGCTTGGGGTCGCACCTGCTGAGCCGGAGCCTGAACCAGGCCCCACGGCCACGCCCACAGCTCACCTGTGCAGGTGAGACACACCTGGGAGGGGTTTGGGGGGGGTTTGGGGTCACCTGAGAGGGGTTTGGGGGGGGTTTGGGGTCACCTGTGCAGGTGAGACTCACCTGGGAGGGGTTTGGGTGGGGTTTGGGGTCACCTGAGGGGGGTTTGGGGTCACCTGTGCAGGTGGGACTCACCTGAGAGGGGTTTGGGAGGGGTTTGGGGTCACCTGAGGGGGGTTTGGGGTCACCTGTGCAGGTGGGACTCACCTGAGAGGGGTTTGGGGTCACCTGAGGGGTTTTGGGGTCACCTGAGGGGGGTTTGGGGACACCTGGGGGGGTTTGGGGTCACCTGGGGGGGTTTGGGGTCACACCTGCTGAGCCGCAGCCTGAACCAGGCCACGCCCCGGCCACGCCCACAGCTCACCTGTGCAGGTGGGACTCACCTGAGATGGGTTTGGGGTCACCTGTGCAGGTGAGACACACCTGAGCGGGGTTTGGGGTCACCTGAGGGGGGTTTGGGGGGCTTTGGGGTCACCTGTGCAGGTGGGACTCACCTGAGAGGGGTTTGGGGGGGGTTTGGGGTCACCTGAGAGGGGTTTGGGGTCACCGTTGGGTGCTCAGGTGTCACCTGTGGGTTCAGGTGCCACCCAAGGGTGCTGGGCCCTCACCTGTGGGTGCTCAGGTGTCACCCGTGGGTGCTCAGGTGTCACCCGTGGGTGCTCAGGTCTCACCTGTGGGTGCTCAGGTGTCACCCATGGGTGCTCAGATGTCACCTGTGGGTGCTCAGGTCTCACCTGTGGGTGCTCAGGTGTCACCCGTGGGTGCTCAGGTCTCACCTGTGGGTGCTCAGGTGTCACCCATGGGTGCTCAGGTGTCACCCATGGGTGCTCAGGTGCCACCCATGGGTGCTCAGGTGTCACCTGTGGGTGCTCAGGTGTCACCCGTGGGTGCTCAGGTGTCACCTGTGGGTGCTCAGGTGCCACCCATGGGTGCTCAGGTGTCACCCGTGGGTGCTCAGGTGTCACCCATGGGTGCTCAGGTGTCACCCGTGGGTGCTCAGGTGCCACCCATGGGTGCTCAGGTCTCACCCGTGGGTGCTCAGGTGTCACCCATGGGTGCTCAGGTGTCACCTGTGGGTGCTCAGGTGTCACCTATGGGTGCTCAGGTGTCACCCGTGGGTGCTCAGGTGCCACCCATGGGTGCTCAGGTCTCACCTGTGGGTGCTCAGGTGCCACCTGTGGGTTCTCAGGTGCCACCTATGGGTGCTCAGGTGTCACCTGTGGGTTCAGGTGTCACCCATGGGTGCTCAGTGTCACCCATGGGTGCTCAGGTGTCACCTGTGGGTGCTCAGGTGTCACCCATGGGTGCTCAGGTCTCACCTGTGGGTGCTCAGGTGTCACCTGTGGGTGCTCAGGTGCCACCCATGGGTGCCGAGGCCTCACCTGTGGGTTCAGGTCTCACCTGTGGGTGCTCAGGTGTCACCTGTGGGTGCTCAGGTGTCACCCATGGGTGCTCAGGTGTCACCCGTGGGTGCTCAGGTCTCACCTGTGGGTGCTCAGGTCTCACCCATGGGTGCTCAGGTGCCACCCGTGGGTGCTCAGGTGTCACCCGTGGGTGCTCAGGTGTCACCCATGGGTGCTCAGGTGCCACCCGTGGGTGCTCAGGTGTCACCTGTGGGTGCTCAGGTGTCACCCGTGGGTGCTCAGGTGTCACCTGTGGGTGCTCAGGTCTCACCTGTGGGTGCTCAGGTGTCACCTGTGGGTGCTCAGGTGTCACCCATGGGTGCTCAGGTCTCACCTGTGGGTGCTCAGGTGTCACCCGTGGGTGCTCAGGTGTCACCTGTGGGTGCTCAGGTGTCACCTGTGGGTGCTCAGGTGCCACCTGTGGGTGCTCAGTGTCACCCGTGGGTGCTCAGGTGTCACCTGTGGGTTCAGGTGTCACCCATGGGTGCTCAGGTGCCACCCATGGGTGCTCAGGTGTCACCCATGGGTGCTCAGGTGTCACCTGTGGGTGCTCAGGTGCCACCTATGGGTGCTCAGGTGCCACCTGTGGGTGCTCAGGTGTCACCTGTGGGTGCTCAGATGTCACCTGTGGGTGCTCAGGTGTCACCCATGGGTGCTCAGGTGTCACCTGTGGGTGCTCAGGTGTCACCTGTGGGTGCTCAGGTGTCACCCGTGGGTGCTCAGGTGTCACCCATGGGTGCTCAGGTGTCACCTGTGGGTTCAGGTGTCACCTGTGGGTGCTCAGGTGTCACCCATGGGTGCTCAGGTGTCACCTGTGGGTGCTCAGGTGCCACCTGTGGGTGCTCAGGTGCCACCCATGGGTGCTCAGGTGTCACCCATGGGTGCTCAGGTGCCACCCATGGGTGCTCAGGTCTCACCTGTGGGTGCTCAGGTGTCACCTGTGGGTGCTCAGGTGTCACCCATGGGTGCTGGGCCCTCACCTGTGGGTGCTCAGGTGTCACCCATGGGTGCTCAGGTCTCACCTGTGGGTGCTCAGGTGTCACCTATGGGTGCTCAGGTGTCACCTGTGGGTGCTCAGGTGTCACCTATGGGTGCTCAGGTCTCACCTGTGGGTGCTCAGGTGTCACCCATGGGTGCCCAGGTGTCACCTGTGGGTGCTCAGGTCTCACCTGTGGGTGCTCAGGTGTCACCCGTGGGTGCTCAGGTGCCACCCATGGGTGCTCAGGTGTCACCCATGGGTGCTCAGGTGTCACCCGTGGGTGCTCAGGTGTCACCCATGGGTGCTCAGGTGTCACCCATGGGTGCTCAGGTGTCACCTGTGGGTGCTCAGGTGCCACCTGTGGGTGCTCAGGTGCCACCTGTGGGTGCTCAGGTGTCACCCACGGGTGCTCAGGTGTCACCCATGGGTGCTCAGGTGTCACCTGCGGGTTCAGGTGTCACCCGTGGGTGCTCAGGTGCCACCCATGGGTGCTCAGGTGTCACCTGTGGGTGCCCATGTCTCACCTGTGGGTGCTCAGGTGTCACCCGTGGGTGCTCAGGTGCCACCCGTGGGTGCTCAGGTGTCACCTGTGGGTGCTCAGGTGCCACTCAGGGGTGCTCAGGTGCCACCCATGGGTGCTCAGGTGTCACCTGTGGGTGCTCAGGTCTCACCTGTGGGTGCTCAGGTGTCACCCGTGGGTGCTCAGGTGTCACCTGTGGGTGCTCAGGTGTCACCTGTGGGTGCTCAGGTCTCACCTGTGGGTGCTCAGGTGTCACCCATGGGTGCTCAGGTGTCACCTGTGGGTGCTCAGGTGTCACCTGTGGGTGCTCAGGTGCCACCCATGGGTGCTCAGGTGTCACCCGTGGGTGCTCAGGTGTCACCCGTGGGTGCTCAGGTGTCACCCGTGGGTGCTCAGGTGTCACCCGTGGGTGCTCAGGTGTCACCCGTGGGTGCTCAGGTGTCACCCATGGGTGCTCAGGTGCCACCGTTGGGTGCTCAGGTGTCACCTGTGGGTGCTCAGGTGCCACCCATGGGTGCTCAGGTGCCACCCGTGGGTGTTCAGGTCTCACCTGTGGGTGCTCAGGTCTCACCTGTGGGTGCTCAGGTGTCACCCATGGGTGCTCAGGTGTCACCCGTGGGTGCTCAGGTGTCACCTGTGGGTGCTCAGGTGCCACCCGTGGGTGCTCAGGTGTCACCCGTGGGTGCTCAGCTGTCACCCGTGGGTGCTCAGGTGTCACCTGTGGGTGCTCAGGTGTCACCTGTGGGTGCTCAGGTGTCACCCGTGGGTGCTCAGGTGTCACCTGTGGGTGCTCAGGTGTCACCCATGGGTGCTCAGGTGCCACCCACGGGTGTTCAGGTCTCACCTGTGGGTGCTCAGGTGTCACCTGTGGGTGCTCAGGTGTCACCTGTGGGTGCTCAGGTGTCACCCGTGGGTGCTCAGGTGTCACCTGTGGGTGCTCAGGTGCCACCCACGGGTGTTCAGGTCTCACCTGTGGGTGCTCAGGTGTCACCTATGGGTGCTCAGGTGTCACCTGTGGGTGCTCAGGTGCCACCCACGGGTGCTCAGGTGCCACCTATGGGTGCTCAGGTCTCACCTGTGGGTGCTCAGGTCTCACCCGTGGGTGCTCAGGTGTCACCTGTGGGTGCTCAGGTGTCACCTGTGAGTGCTCAGGTGTCACCTGTGGGTGCTCAGGTGCCACCCATGGGTGCTCAGGTGTCACCCATGGGTGCTCAGGTGTCACCTATGGGTGCTCAGGTGTCACCTGTGGGTGCTCAGGTGTCACCCATGGGTGTCGGGGTCTCACCTGTGGGTGCTCAGGTGTCACCTGTGGGTGCTCAGGTGTCACCTGTGGGTGCTCAGGTGCCACCCATGGGTGCTCAGGTCTCACCTGTGGGTGCTCAGGTGTCACCCATGGGTGCTCAGGTGTCACCCATGGGTGCTGGACCCTCACCTGTGGGTGCTCAGGTCTCACCTGTGGGTGCTCAGGTGTCACCCGTGGGTGCTCAGGTGCCACCCATGGGTGCTCAGGTGTCACCTGTGGGTGCTCAGGTGTCACCCATGGGTGCTCAGGTGTCACCTGTGGGTGCTCAGGTGTCACCTGTGGGTGCTCAGGTCTCACCTGTGGGTGCTCAGGTCTCACCTGTGGGTGCTCAGGTCTCACCCGTGGGTGCTCAGGTGCCACCCTTGGGTGCTCAGGTGTCACCTGTGGGTGCTCAGGTGTCACCTGTGGGTGCTCAGGTGCCACCCTTGGGTGCTCAGGTGCCACCCATGGGTGCCAAGGCCTCACCCGTGGGTGCTCAGGTGTCACCTGTGGGTGCTCAGGTGTCACCTGTGGGTGCTCAGGTGTCACCTGTGGGTGCTCAGGTGTCACCCATGGGTGCTCAGGTCTCACCTGTGGGTGCTCAGGTGTCACCCATGGGTGCTCAGGTGTCACCTGTGGGTGCTCAGGTGTCACCCGTGGGTGCTCAGGTGTCACCTGTGGGTGCTGGGCCCTCACCTGTGGGTGCTCAGGTGCCACCCATGGGTGCTGGGCCCTCACCTGTCCCCACCTTTGCAGCCTCATCCGAGAGCCCTCCCCGACCTTTGGGTGACCTCCTGGGGACCCTCCCCCCACAGGTAACGCCCCTCCCCCACCCCGACCCCTCCCCCACCCTCTGTCCCCTCCCCCACCCCCTCACCTGTCCCCTCCCCCTCCTCACCTGTCCCCTCCCCCCTCTCTCACCTGTCCCCTCCCCCACCCCTCCCCCCTCTCACCTGTCCCCTCCCCCATCTCTCACCTGTCCCCTCCCCCCTCTCTCACCTGTCCCCTCCCCCACCCTCTGTCCCCTCCCCCATTTCTCACCTGTCCCCTCCCCCATCTCACCTGTCCCCTCCCCCACCCCTCCCCCCTCTCACCTGTCCCCTCCCCCACAGGTGCTGGGCCGGGCCCCTCCCCCCCCCTGGGGCCCGCGGGAGGAGGATGAAGAGTTCGAGGCTGAGGAGGAGGAGGGTGAGAGGGGGAGGGGCGGGGGAGTGGTGGGGGAGGGGACAGGTGAGGGCGGAGGGGACAGGTGAGGGGGGAGGGGACAGGTGAGGGCGGAGGGGACAGGTGAGGGGGAGGGGACAGGTGAGGGGGAGGTGCCATTTTGTGCCTTTTTGGTACCATTTTTTGCCTTTTTTTACCATTTTTTTGCCTCTTTTTAACCATTTTTTGCCATTTTTGGTGCCAGTTTTGGCCTTTTTTTTACCATTTTTTGCCACTTTGGTGCCATTTTGTGCCTTTTTTTGCCATTTTTTGCCTATTTTTTACCATTTTTTACCATTTTGGTGCCATTTTAAAAGCATTTTTTTTTTTACCATTTTGGTTCCATTTTTTACCATTTCTTGCTGCTTTGGTGCCATTTTGTGCTATTTTGGTGCCATTTTGTGCCATTTTTTACCATTTTTTGCGTTTTTTTACCATTTTTTTGCCTTTTTTTACCATTTTTTAACCATTTTTTACCATTTCGTTGCCATTTTTTACCATTTCTTCACACTTTGGTGCCTTTTTTTACCATTTCTTGCCACTTTGGGGCCATTTTTTGCCACTTTGGTGCCATTTTGTGCCTTTTTTTTACCTTTTTTTGCCATTTTGGTGTCATTTTGTGCCATTTTTTTTCCATTTTGCGCCATTTTTTGCCACTTTGGTGCCATTTTTTACTTTTTTTACCATTTTTTGCCATTTTTTGCCATTTTTTTACCATTTCTTGCCACTTTGGTGCCATTTTGTGCCACTTTGGTGCCAATTTGTGGCGCTTTTTTGTGCCACTTTGGTGCCATTTTGTGCCATTTTTTTTTTCCATTTTGGTGCCATTTTGTGCCATTTTTTGCCATTTTGTGCCATTTTTTTTGCCATTTTTTGCCATTTTGGTGCCATTTTAATGGTATTTTTTACTGTTTTTAGCATTTTGGTTCCATTTTTTACCATTTCTTGCTGCTTTGGTGCCATTTGGTGCCCTTTTTTTGCCACTTTGCTGCCATTTTTTGCCCATTTTTTACCATTTTTTGCCAATTTGGTGCCATTTTTTACCTTTTTTGCCTCTTTTTACCATTTCTTGCCTTTTTTTAACCATTTTTTCCCATTTGGGTGCCATTTTTTGCCATTTTGTGCCATTTTTTTCCCCATTTTTGTGTCATTTTACTGCCACTTTGGTGCCATTTTGGTGCCATTTTGTTGCCATTTTTTGCCATTTTGGTGCCATTTTTTACCATTTTTTGGTGCTTTGGTGCCATTTTGTGCCATTTTTTACCATTTTGGTGCCATTTTTTGCCTGTTTTTTTCCATTTTTTGCCATTTTTTTCCATTTTGGTGCAACTTTTTGCCATTTTTTACCATTTTGGCACCTTTTTTACCGTTTTCTTGCCATCTCTTACCATTTCTTGCTACTTTGGTGCCATTTTGTGCCATTTTTTTGCCATTTTGGTGCCTTTTTTTACAATTTTTTACCATTTTTTACCATTTTGGTGCCATTTTTTGCCATTTTGCGCCATTTTTTTGCCGCTTTGTTGCCATTTTGTGCCATTTTTTGCCATTTTTTGCCTCTTTGGTGCCATTTTGTGCTTTTTTTTTGCCATTTTTTGCCATTTTGGTGCCATTTTTTAGCATTTTTTCCATTTTGTGCCATTTTGTGCCATTTTACCGCCACTTGGTGCCATTTTGGTGCCATTTTTTACCATTTTGGTGCAGTCTTATGACATTTGGTACCAATTAGAGAAATTTTTTACCATTTGTTGCCATTTGGTACCATTTTTTACCATTTTCGGGCCTTTTGTTGCAATTTTGTTGCCCTTTGATACCATTTGGTGCCATTTTGGTGCCATTTTTTACCGTTTTGGTGCCATTTTTAGCCATTTTTCACCACTTTGTGTCATTTTGATGCCATTTTGGTGCCATTTGTTACAATTTTGGTGCCATTTTTTACCATTTTGGTGCCATTTTTTACCATTTCTTGCCATTTTGGTGCCCTTTGGTAATGCTTGACAATATTTGGTGACATTCGGTACTAACTGGAGGCATTTTTTGCTATTTTTTGATATTTTTGTGCCATTTTTTAACACTTTGGTGCCATTTTTTACTACTTGGTTGCCATTTGGTACCATTTTGTTTAATTTGGTGCCATTTGGTGCAATTTTGGTGCCATTTTGGTGCCATTTGGCACCACTTGCTGCCTTTTGGTGCAATTTTGGTACCATTTTGTTCAATTTGGTGCCATTTTGGTACATTTTGGTACCGTTTGGTGCCATTTTGGTACCATTTTGTTCAGTTTGGTGCCATTTTGATGCCATTTCGTTCCATTTGCTGCCTTTTGGTGCCATTTTGGTACCTTTAGGTACCAATTGATGCCATTTTGGTACCATTTTGTTGAATTTGGTGCCATTTTGGTGCCATTTGTTACCATTTGGTGCCATTTTGGTACCATTTTGTTCAATTTGGTACCATTTTGATGCCATTTTGGTACCTTTTGGTGCCATTTGGTGCCATTTTGGTACCTTTTGGTACCAATTGATGCCATTTTGGTGCCATTTTGTTCAATTTGGTGCCATTTTGGTGCCATTTTGGTACCTTTTGGTGCCATTTGGTGCCTTTTAGTGCCATTTTGGTACCATTTCGTTCCATTTTGTTCAATTTGGTACCTTTTGGTGCCATTTCGGTACATTTTGGTGCCATTTTGGTACCTTTTGGTGCCATTTTGGTACCATTTTGTTCCATTTGGTGCCATTTTGGTGCCATTTGGTGCCATTTTGGTCCCATTTTGGTACAATTTTGTTCAATTTGGTGCCATTTGTTGCCATTTTTTTGCCATTTGGTACCATTTGGTGCAATTTTGGTGCAATTTTATTCAATTTGATGCCATTTTGGTGCCATTTGGAACCATTTGGTACCTTTTGGTGCCATTTTGGTACCTTTTGATGCCATTTTGGTGCAATTTTATTCAATTTGGTGCCATTTTGATGCCATTTCGTTCCATTTTGTGCCATTTCGGTGCCATTTTGGTACATTTTGGTACCATTTTGTTGAATTTGGTGCCATTTTGGTACATTTTGGTGCCATTTTGGTGCCATTTTGTTGAATTTGTTACCTTTTGGTGCCATTTTGTAACTTTTGGTGCCATTTTGGTGCCCCCGTGGCAGGTGAGGACGAGGAGGACACGATCGCGGCTCAGGAGCGCCTCGAGGGCGACGTCGACCACCAGCAGGAGCTGGACGACCTGGCCAGGGAGGGTAAGGGACAGAAACATCCTAAAATCACCAAAAATCACCCCAAAAATACCCCAAAATCACCCAGGAAATAACCTAAAAAATCACCCAAAGTCACCCTAAAAAATCTTTCAAAATCACCCCAAAACCCCCAGCAGGAGCTGGACGACCTGGCCAGGGAGGGTAAGGGACAGGAACACCCAAAATCACCTGAAATCACCCCAAAAATCACCTAAAATCACCCCAAAATCACGCCAAAAATACCCCAAAATCACCCCAGAAAATACCCCAAAATCACCCAGGAAATGCCCCAAAAAATCACCCAAAATCACCCAGAAAATAACCCAAAAAGTCACCCAAAGTCACACAAAAGTACCCCAAATCGCCCCAAAATCCCCAGCAGGAGCTGGACGAGCTGGCCAGGGAGGGTAAGGGACAGAAACACCCCAAAATCACCTGAAATCACCCCAAAATCACCCAAAAAATACTCCAAAAAATACCTCTAAACCACCCAGGAAATGCCCCAAAAAATCACCCAAAATCCCCCAGAAAATACCCCAAAAAATCCCCCAAAGTCACCAAAATATGCCCCAAAATCACCCAGAAAATAACCCAAAAAATCACCCATAATCACCCCAAAAATACCCCAAAATCACCCAGGAAATACCCCAAAATCACTGAGGAAATAACCCAAAAAATCCCTCAAAGTCACCCTAAAAATACCCCAAAAATCACCCCAAAAGTCCTCCAAAACCACCCAGAAAATAACCCAAAGAATCACCCATAAAATAACCTAAAAAATCACCCCAAAATCACCCCAAAAAATACCCCCAAATCACCCAGGAAATACCCCAAAAAATCACCCAAAATCACCCAGAAAATAACCCCAAAATCACCAAAAATACCCCAAAAAAATTGCCAAGAAAATAACCCAAAAAAATCCCCCAAAGTCACCAAAATATACCCCAAAATCACCCAGGAAATGCCCCAAAAACTCACCCAAAATCACCCCAAAAAATACCCCAAAATCACCCAGGAAATGCCCCAAAAAATCACCCAGAAAATACCCCAAAAAATCACTCAAAGTCACCCCAAAAAATCGCCCCAAAAATTCCCCAAAATTCTCCAAAGCTCCTTAATAATACCCCAAAAAATCACCCAAAATCACCCAGGAAATGCCCCCAAAAATCACCAAGAATCACCCCAAAAAAATCACCCCAAAATCACCCAGAATTACCTAAAATCACCCTAAAATCATGCGAAAATTCCCCAAAATCACCCCAAAACCCCGAGCAGGAGCTGGAGCACCTAGCCAGGGAGGGTAAGGGACAGAAACGCCCCAAAATCACCTAAAATCACCCCAAAAAATACCCCAAAATCACACAGAAAATACCCCAAAATCACCCAGGAAATGCTCCAAAAAAATCACCCAAAATCACCCAGAAAATAACCCAAAAAGTCACCCAAAGTCACACAAAAATACCCTAAAATCACCCAGAAAATACCTAAAAAAATCAGCCAAAATCACCCCAAAAATCACCCAAAATCACCCAGGAAACGCCCCAAAAAATCCCCCGAAGTCACCAAAATATACCCCAAAATCATCCAGGAAATACCCCAAAAAATCATCCAAAATCACCCCAAAAAATACCCCAAAATCACCCCAGAAAATCCCCTAGAATCCTCCAAAACCCCCCAAAAATACACCAAAAACTACCCAAAATCCCCCAGAAAATACCCCAAAAAAATCACCCACAAAATACCCCAAAAAATCACCCAAAGTCACCAAAATATACCCCAAAATCACCCAGGAAATAACCCAAAAATCACCCAAAATCACACAGAAAATAACCCAAAAAATCACCCAAAATCACACAGAAAATAACCCCAAAAATCACCCAAAATCACCAAAAAATACCCCAAAATTACCCAGGAAATACCCCAAAAAATCCCCCAAAGTCGCCCAAAAATACCCCAAAAATCACCCAGAAAATAACCAAAAAAATCACCCCAAAAAATACCCCAAAATCACCCAGGAAATGCCCCAAAAACTCACCCAAAATCGCCCAAAACATCCCAAAATCACCTTAAAATATCTCAGGATATTTCAAAATGACTCGAAGTAACCCAAAATTATCCGAAGTTTTCCAAAATGAGCCCCGGAAATCCCAAAATGGCCCAAAATGAGCCTTGAAACCCCAAAATGACCCAAAATTCGCCCTGAAAAATCCCAATATGGCTCAAAATGACCCAAAGTGAGCCATAAAAAAACCAAAATGTCCCAAAATGAGCCCTAAAAACCCCAAAATGACCCAAAATCAGCCTTGAAACCCCAAAATGTCCCAAAATGAGCATTAAAAACCCCAAAGTCCCCCAAAATCAGCCCCAAAAACCCCCAAATTTCCCCCAAACCGCGTTGGGACCCTCACCCAATCCACCTGGGAGCCCTCAGGTGTGCCCCAGGTGTGCCCAAGGTAACTCAGGTGCCCCTAGGTGTGTCCCAGGTGTGTTTCAGGTGCCCCCAGGTGTGTTTCAGGTGTTCTCCAGGTATGCCCAGGTATATTTCAGGTGCCCCCAGGTGACCCCAGGTGACCCCAGGTGACACCAGGTGTGTTTCAGGTACCCTCAGGTGACCCCAGGTGTGCCCAGGTGTGTTTCAGGTGTCCCCAGGTACGCCCCAGGTGTGCCCTAGCTACCCCAGGTGACTCTCAGGTGTGTCCCAGGTGTGCCAAGGTAAACCCAGGTGCCCCCAGGTGTGTCCCAGGTGTGCCCAGGTGTGTTCCAGGTGCCCCCAGGTGTGCCCAGGTGCCCCCAGGTGCCCCCAGGTGTGACCCAGGTGTGCCCCAGGTAACCCCAGGTGTGCCCAGGTGTGCCCCAGGTGTGTCTCAGGTGTTCCCCAGGTGCCCCCAGGTGTGTTTCAGGTGCCCCCAGATGTATCCAGGTGTGCCCCAGGTGTTCCCCAGGTGACCCAGGTGTGTTTAGGGTGTGTCCCAGGTGTGTCCCAGGTGCCCCCAGGGGTGACCCAGGTGTGTTTCAGGTGCCCCCAGGTGCCCCCAGGTGTGACCCAGGTGTGTTTCAGGTGCCCCCAAGTTTTCCCCAGGTGTGTTTCAGGTGCCCCCAGCTGTGCCCAGGTGCCCCCAGGTGACCTCAGGTGTCTCCCAGGTGCCCCCAGGTGTTCCCGAGGTGCCCCCAGGTGTGTTTCAGGTACCCTCAGGTGCCCTCAGGTGACCTCAGGTGTGTTTCAGGTGCCCCCAGGTGTCCCCAGGTGTGTTTCAGGTGTGTTTCAGTTCCCCAGGTATGACCCAGGTGTGACCCCAGGTGTGTCTCAGGTGCCCCCAGGTGTGTCTCAGGTGCCCCCAGGTGTGTTTCAGGTGTGTTGCAGTTCCCCAGGTGTGCCCCAGGTGCCCCCAGGTGTGTTTCAGGTGTGTCCCAGGTGTCTTTCAGGTGTGTTTCAGGAGTGTTTCAGTTCCCCAGGTGCCCTCAGGTGACTCAGGTGTGTCTCAGGTGTTCCCCAGGTGTGTCCCAGGTGTGTCCCAGGTGTATCTCAGATGTTCCCCAGGTGACTCAGGTGTGTTCCAGGTGCGCTGCCCATGGAGGAGCTGCTGCAGCGTTACCGCGGCGCCTTCACCGACTCCGACTGCGACTCCGCCCCCGGCGCCAGCAGCACCCGCTCAGGTGAGTTACCTGTGCAGGTGTGTCTGTACCTGTCCAGGTGTGTCTGTGCCTGTCCCAGGTGTGTCTGTACCTGTCCCAGGTGTGTCTGTACCTGTCCAGGTGTGTCTGTACCTGTCCCAGGTGTGTCTGTGCCTGTCCCAGGTGTGTCTGTACCTGTCCCAGGTGTGTCTCACCTGTCCCAGGTGTGTCTGTACCTGCCCAGGCGTGTCTGTGCCTGTCCAGGTGTGTCTGTACCTGTCCCAGGTGTGTCTCACCTGTCCCAGGTGTGTCTGTACCTGTCCAGGTGTGTCTGTGCCTGTCCCAGGTGTGTCTGTACCTGTCCCAGGTGTGTCTGTACCTGTCCCAGGTGTGTCTGTGCCTGTCCAGGTGTGTCTGTGCCTGTCCCAGGTGTGTCTGTACCTGTCCCAGGTGTGTCTGTACCTGTCCCAGGTGTGTCTGTGCCTGTCCCAGGTGTGTCTGTGCCTGTCCCAGGTGTGTCTGTACCTGTCCCAGGTGTGTCTGTACCTGTCCCAGGTGTGTCTGTGCCTGTCCAGGTGTGTCTGTACCTGTCCCAGGTGTGTCTGTGCCTGTCCCAGGTGTGTCTGTACCTGTCCCAGGTGTGTCTGTACCTGTCCAGGTGAGTCTGTACCTGTCCCAGGTGTGTCTGTACCTGTCCAGGTGTGTCTGTGCCTGTCCCAGGTGTGTCTGTACCTGTCCAGGTGTGTCTGTACCTGTCCAGGTGTCTCTCACCTGTCCCAGGTGTGTCTGTACCTGTCCCAGGTGTGTCCCAGGTGTGTCTGTACCTGTCCCAGGTGTGTCTGTGCCTGTCCAGGTGTGTCTGTACCTGTCCCAGGTGTGTCCCAACCCCCCTCAGGTGTGTCTCACCTGTCCAGGTGTGTCCCAAACCCCCTCAGGTGTGTCCCAACCCCCTCAGGTGTGTCCCACCTGTCCAGGTGTGTCCCAACCCCCCTCAGGTGTGTCCCAACCCCCTCAGGTGTGTCCCAACCCCCTCAGGTGTGTCCCACCTGTCCAGGTGTGTCCCAAACCCCCCCTCAGGTGTGTCCCACCTGTCCAGGTGTGTCCCAACCCCCCCTCAGGTGTGTCCCAACCCCCTCAGGTGTGTCCCAATCCCCTCAGGTGTGTCCCAACCCCCTCAGGTGTGTCCCAACCCCCTCCCAGGTGTGTCACACCTGTCCAGGTGTGTCCCAACCCCCTCAGGTGTGTCCCAACCCCCTCAGGTGTGTCCCAAACCCCCTCAGGTGTGTCACACCTGTCCAGGTGTGTCCCAACCCCCCTCAGGTGTGTCCCAACCCCCTCAGGTGTGTCCCAACCCCCTCAGGTGTGTCCCAAACCCCCTCAGGTGTGTCCCAACCCCCTCAGGTGTGTCCCAAACCCCCCTCAGGTGTGTCCCAAACCCCCTCAGGTGTGTCCCAAACCCCCTCAGGTGTGTCCCAACCCCCCTCAGGTGTGTCTCACCTGTCCAGGTGTGTCCCAACCCCCTCAGGTGTGTCCCAACCCCCTCAGGTGTGTCACACCTGTCCAGGTGTGTCCCAACCCCCCTCAGGTGTGTCCCAACCCCCCTCAGGTGTGTCCCAACCCCCTCAGGTGTGTCCCACCTGTCCAGGTGTGTCCCAAACCCCCCCTCAGGTGTGTCCCAAACCCCCCCCCAGGTGTGTCTCACCTGTCCAGGTGTGTCCCAAACCCCCTCAGGTGTGTCCCAAACCCCCCCAGGTGTGTCCCAACCCCCTCAGGTGTGTCCCAAACCCCCCCAGGTGTGTCCCAACCCCCTCAGGTGTGTCCCAAACCCCCTCAGGTGTGTCCCAACCCCCCTCAGGTGTGTCCCACCTGTCCAGGTGTGTCCCAACCCCCTCAGGTGTGTCCCAACCCCCCTCAGGTGTGTCCCAACCCCCTCAGGTGTGTCCCAAACCTCTCCCCAGGTGTGTCACACCTGTCCAGGTGTGTCACCCCCCCTCACCTGTCCCCAGACTCACCTGGCGGCGACACCGAGGAGGAGGAGGAGGAGGAAGAGGAGGAGGAGGAGGAGGACGAGGCCGAAGAGGAGGAGGAGGAGGAGGAGGGGGGGGAGGGGCCGGCAGGTGAGCCCCGGGGGGGCGCGGCCCCGCCCGCACCTGCCCAGGTGAGCCCCGCCCCGGCCCCGCCCCCCGGCCCCGCCCCCAAGAAGGAGATCAGCGACATCGCGGCGGCGGCCGAGAGCCTCCAGCCCAAGGGGTACACCTTGGCCACCACACAGGTAACGCACCTGGGCACACCTGGGCACACCTGGGCACACCTGGGATATACCTGAGATACACCTGGGTACAGCTGGGCACACCTGGGCACTCACCTGGGTACACCTAGGATACACCTGGGCACAGCTGAGATACACCTGGGCACACCTGACATACACCTGGGCACACCTGGGGGCACCTGGGCACACCTGAGATACATCTCGGTACACCTGGGTACAGCTAAAATACACCTGGGCACACCTGGGCACTCACCTGGGCACACCTGAGATACACCTGTGCACAGCTGGGCACAGCTAAAATACACCTGGACACTCACCTGAGATACACCTGGGCACACCTGGGATATACCTGAGATACACCTGGGCACACCTGGGCACACAGAGTCTCCAGCCCAAAGGGTACACCTTGGCAACCACGCAGGTGAGATACACCTGGGCACTCACCTGAGATACACCTGGGCACTCACCTGGGCACACCTGGGTACAGCTGGGCACACCTGAGATACACCTGGGCACACCTGGGCACTCCTGAGATACACCTGGGCACACCTGGGCACTCCTGAGATACACCTGGGCACACCTGGGCACACCTGGGGGCACCTGGGTACAGCTGGGATACACCTGGGTACACCAGGCACACCTGGGGGCACCTGGGCACTCACCTGGGGGCACCTGAGATACACCTGGGCACACCTGGGTACAGCTGGGGGCACCTGGGCACACCTGAGATACACCTGGGTACATTGGGTACAGCTGGGCACTCACCTGGGCACACAGAGTGACTCACCTGAGTGACTCACCTGGGACTGACTCACCTGTACCTACATCCTACCTATAATTCACCTGTGACTCACCTGGGACTGACTCACCTGGGACTGACTCACCTGGGGGTACCTGTGCCTCACCTGGGTACAGCTGGGACTGACCTGGACTGAGTCACCTGGGACTGACTCACCTGTACCTACATCTTACCTGTAATTCATTTGTGGCTTATTTGGGACTGACTCACCTGGGACTCACCTGGAAATGACTCGACTCACTTGGGATTGAGTTACCTGTGCCTCATCTGGGGGTACCTGGGACTGACTCACCTGGGGGTACCTGAGACTCACCTGGGACTGACTGGGACTGACTCACCTGGGACTGACTAACCTGGGGGCACCTGAGACTCACCTGGGGCTCACCTTGGGGTACCTGGGACTGACTCACCTGGGGGTTGAGTTACCTGTGACTCACCTGGGACTGACTCACCTGGGACTGACTCACCTGGGACTCACCTGAGACTGACCTGGGGGTACCTGTGCCTCACCTGGGGGTACCTGGGACTCACCTGGGAGCACCTGAGGCTCACCTGAGGCTCACCTGGGGCTCACCTGTGCCTCACCTGGGGGTACCTGTGCCCCACCTGTGTCTCACCTGGGACTGACTCACCTGTGGGTACCTGTGACTCACCTGTCTCACCTGGCCAGGTGAAGACCCCGATCCCGCACCTGCTGCGCACACGCTGCGCGAGTACCAGCACATCGGGCTGGGGGGGATTGGGGTACCTGTGCCTTACCTGGGGCTCACCTGGGACTGACTCACCTGGGACTGACTGGGACTGACTCACCTGGGATAGAGTTACCTGGGACTGAGTTACCTGTGCCTCACCTGGGGGTACCTGGGACTCACCTGGGGGTACCTGAGACTCACCTGGGACTCACCTGGGACTCACCTGAGACTCACATAGGACTGACTCACTTGGGACTGACTTTCCTGGGGGTACCTGTGCCTCACCTGGGGGTACCTGGGGGTACCTGGGACTGAACTAAGGGTACCTGTGCCTCACCTGGGACTAACCTGGACTGACTCACCTGTGGTGGATTCACCACGGACTGAGTTACCTGTGACTCATCTGGGGGCACCTGTGCCTCACCTGGGACTGACTCACCTGGGACTGACCTGAGACTCACCTTGGACTGACTCACCTGGGACTCACCTGAGACTCACCTTGGACTGACTCACCTGGGACTCACGTGGGTGACTCACCTGGGGGTACCTGAGACTGACTCACCTGGGATTGAGTTACCTGTGACTCACCTGGGACTGACTCACCTGGGGGTACCTGTGCCTCACCTGGGGGTACCTGTGACTCACCTGGGGGCACCTGTGCCTTACCTGGGGGTACCTGTGAGTGTCTCACCTGTCTCACCTGTCTCACCTGGGGCTCACCTGTCCCACCTGTGCAGGTGAAGACGCCGATCCCGCACCTGCTGCGCGGCACGCTGCGCGAGTACAGCACATTGGGCTGGGGGGGATTGGGGTTACCTGGGGGTACCTGTGAGTGTCTCAGCTGTCTCACCTGTCTCACCTGGCCAGGTGAAGACACCCATCCCGCACCTGCTGCGCGGCACGCTGCGCGAGTACCAGCACATCGGGCTGGGGGGGGATTGGGGTACCTGTGTTTTACCTGGGGCTCAGGTGTGTCTCACCTGTCCCACCTGTGACTCACCTGGGGTTACCTGTCTCACCTGGCCAGGTGAAGACACCGATCCCGCACCTGCTGCGCGGCACGCTGCGCGAGTACCAGCACATCGGGCTGGACTGGCTGGTCACCATGTACGAGAAGAAGCTGAACGGGATCCTCGCCGACGAGATGGGGCTGGGCAAGACCATCCAGACCATCTCCCTGCTGGCGCACCTGGCCTGCGAGAAAGGTACCTGGGCACACCTGGGCACACCTGGGCACGGCTGGGATACTCCTGACAGCCATTACACACACCTGGGATGGGGCTGGGCAAGACCATCCAGACCATCTCCCTGCTGGCGCACCTGGCCTGCGAGAAAGGTACCTGGCCACACCTGGGCACACCTGAGAATGGCTGGGATACACCTGAGATACACCTGGGCACACCTGGGCACACCTGGGCACACCTGGGATACACCTGAGAGTCATTACACACACCTGGGCACACCTGGGTACACCTGGGATACACCTGAGATACACCTGAGACACCTTGGATACACCTGGGATACACCTGGGCACACCTGGGTACACCTGGGATACACCTGGGATACACCTGGGCACACCTGGGTACACCTGGGATACACCTGGGATACACCTGAGTGCCATTACACACACCTGGGATACACCTGAGAGCCATTACACACAGCTGGGATACACCTGAGACACCTGGGATACACCTGGGTACACCTGGGCACACCTGGGTACACCTGAGATACACCTGAGTGTCATTACACACACCTGAGTGCCATTACACACACCTGAGTGCCATTACACACACCTGGGATACACCTGGGCACACCTGAGATACACCTGAGAGTCGTTACACACACCTGGGATCACACACCTGAGATGGGGCTGGGCAAGACCATCCAGACCATCTCCCTGCTGGCGCACCTGGCCTGCGAGAAAGGTACCTGGGCACACCTGGGCACACCTGGGCACTCCTGAGAGTCGTTACATACACCTGGGTACAGCTGGGATACACCTGAGTGCCGTTACACACACCTGGGATACACCTGGGCACACCTGGGATACACCTGAGAGTCATTAGATACACCTGAGACACCTGAGATACACCTGAGAGTCATTATACACACCTGGGATACACCTGAGACACCTGGGATACACCTGAGAGTCATTACACACACCTGGGATCCACCTGGGCACACCTGGGATACAGCTGGTTATGGCTGGGCACACCTGGGTACACCTGGGTACACCTGAGAGTCATTATACACACCTGGGATACACCTGAGATACACCTGGGCACACCTGGGTACACCTGGGATACACCTGAGAGTCATTACACACACCTGGGATACACCTGAGACACCTGGGATACACCTGGGATACACGTGGGCACACCTGGGTACACCTGGGTACACCTGGGATACACCTGAGAGTCATTACACACACCTGGAATACACCTGAGAGTCATTACACACACCTGGGATACACTTGGGCACACCTGGGCACACCTGGATACACCTGAGATACACCTGGGCACACCTGGGCACACCTGGGATACACCTGAGAGTCATTAAACACACCTGGGATACACCTGGGCACACCTGGGTACACCTGGGATACACCTGAGTGCCGTTACACACACCTGGGATACACCTGAGTGTCATTACATACACCTGGGATACACCTGGGTACACCTGGGTACGGCTGGGATACACCTGAGTGCCATTACACACACCTGGGATACACCTGGGATACACCTGGGCACACCTGGCGTCACACACCTGAGATGGGGCTGGGCAAGACCATCCAGACCATCTCCCTGCTGGCGCACCTGGCCTGCGAGAAAGGTACCTGGGCACACCTGGGCACACCTGGGCACACCTGAGATACACCTGGGCACACCTGGGTATGGCTGGGATACACCTGAGAGCCATTACACACACCTGGGATACACCTGAGACACCTGAGATACACCTGAGAGTCATTATACACACCTGGGCACACCTGAGATACACCTGGGATACACCTGGGATACACCTGAGTGCCATTACACACACCTGGGATACACCTGGAATATACCTGGCTACACCTGAGTGTCATTACACACACCTGAGAGCCATTATACACACCTGGGCACACCTGGGTACACCTGAGATACACCTGAGTGCCGTTACACACACCTGGGATACACCTGGGCACACCTGAGAGTCATTACACAGATCTGGGTACAGCTGGGATACACCTGGGATACACCTAGGTATGGCTAGGTACACCTGGTATACACCTGGGCACACCTGGGCACACCTGAGATACACCTGGGCACACCTGGGATACACCTGAGACACCTGGGATACACCTGAGAGCCGTTACACACACCTGGGGTCACACACCTGGGATGGGGCTGGGCAAGACCATCCAGACCAACTCCCTGCTGGCGCACCTGGCCTGCGAGAAAGGTACCTGGGCACACCTGAGACACCTGGGCACACCTGGGATACACCTGAGCACACCTGGGATACACCTGGGTATGCCTGGGATACACCTGAGATACACCTGGGCACACCTGGGCACACCTGGGATACACCTGGTTATGGCTGGGCACACCTGGCATATATCTGGGTACACCTGAGAGTCATTGCACACACCTGGGATACACCTGGGCACACCTGGGCACACCTGGGATACACCTGGGCACACCTGAGATACACCTGGGCACACCTGGGCACACCTGAGATACACCTGGGCACACCTGGGCACACCTGGGCACACCTGGGATACACCTGGGCACACCTGAGATACACCTGGGCACACCTGGGCACACCTGGGTACACCTGGGCACACCTGGGCACACCTGAGAGTCATTGCATACACCTGGGATACACCTGAGACACCTGGGTACATCTGGGACACACCTGAGACACCTGGGACTCACCTGAGCAGCCTCAGGGAGTCTCCACAGCTCACCTGAGGAGTTCTCAGTCACACCTGAGCCCATTTTGGGGTGTCTCACCTGTGTCCCACCTGCGCAAGTAGCTGGGGGCCTCACCTGGGACTCACCTGGGACTCACCTGGGCCTCACCTGGGGCTCACCTGAGCGTGTTTTGGGGTGTCTCTCACCTGTGCTCACCTGTGCAGATAGCTGGGGCCTCACCTGGGACTCACCTGAGGAGCTTTAGGGGGTTCCCAGGACTCACCTGAGGTGCTTTAGGGGGTGTCTCACCTGTGCCCCACCTGGACAGGTAGCTTGGGCCTCACCTGGGACTCACCTGAGGTGTTTTAGGGGGTGTCTCACCTGTGTCCCATTTGCGCAGGTAGCTGGGGCCTCACCTGGGCCTCACCTGGGGCTCACCTGGGACTCACCTGAGGAGCTTTAGGGGGTTCTCAGTCACACCTGGGCAGGTTTGGGGGTTCCCAGGACTCACCTGAGGCTGTTTTTGGGGTCTCTCACCTGTGTTCACCTGTGCAGGTAGCTGGGGCCGCACCTGGGACTCACCTGGGGCTCACCTGAGGAGCTTTAGGGGGTTCCCAGGACTCACCTGAGGAGCTTTAGGGGGTTCTCAGTCACACCTGGGCAGGTTTGGGGGTTCTCAGTCACACCTGGGCAGGTTTGGGGGTTCCCAGGACTCACCTGAGCCCATTTTCGGGTCTCTCACCTGTGCTCACCTGCGCAGGTAGCTGGGGCCCGCACCTGAGGAGCTTTAGGGGGTTCCCAGGACTCACCTGAGGAGCTTTAGGGGGTTCCCAGGACTCACCTGAGCCCAGTTTCAGGTGTCTCACCTGTGTCTCACCTGGACAGGTAGCTGGGGCCCGCACCTGAGGAGCTTTAGGGGGTTCCCAGGACTCACCTGAGGAGCTTTAGGGGGTTCTCAGTCACACCTGGGCAGGTTTGGGGGTTCCCAGGACTCACCTGAGGAGTTTTAGGAGGTTCTCAGGACTCACCTAGCCCCATATTCAGGTGTCTCACCTGTGCTCACCTGCGCAGGTACCTGGGGCCTCACCTGGGACTCACCTGAGGAGCTTTAGGGGGTTCCCAGGACTCACCTGAGGAGCTTTAGGGGGTTCCCAGGACTCACCTGAGGAGCTTTAGGGGGTTCTCAGGACTCACCTGAGGAGCTTTAGGGGGTTCCCAGGACTCACCTGAGGAGCTTTAGGGGGGCTGTAACTCACACCTGGGCAGGTTTGGGGGTTCCCAGGACTCACCTGAGGAGCTTTAGGGGGTTCCCAGGACTCACCTGAGGAGCTTTAGGGGTTCCCAGGACTCACCTGAGGAGCTTTAGGGGGTTCCCAGGACTCACCTGAGGAGCTTTAGGGGGTTCCCAGGACTCACCTGAGGAGCTTTAGGGGGTTCCCAGGACTCACCTGAGCCCAGTTTCAGGTGTCTCACCTGTGCTCACCTGCGCAGGTAGCTGGGGCCTCACCTGGGCCTCACCTGGGACTCACCTGAGTCCCTTTGGGTGTGTCTGAGTCACACCTGGGCAGGTTTGGGGGTTCCCAGGACTCACCTGAGGAGCTTTAGGGGGTTCCCAGGACTCACCTGAGCCCGTTTTGGGCTGTCTCACCTGTGTCCCACCTGCGCAGGTAGCTGGGGCCTCACCTGGGAATCACCTGGGCCTCACCTGAGGAGCTTTAGGGGGTTCCCAGGACTCACCTGAGGAGCTTTAGGGGGTTCTCAGGATTCACCTGAGGAGCTTTAGGGGGTTCCCAGGGCTCACCTGAGCGTGTTTTGGGGTGTCTCACCTGTGTCCCACCTGGACAGGTAGCTGGGGCCCGCACCTGAGGTGCTTTAGGGGGTTCCCAGGACTCACCTGAGGAGGTTTAGGGGGTTCTCAGTCACACCTGGGCAGGTTTGGGGGTTCCCAGGACTCACCTGAGGAGCTTTAGGGGGTTCCCAGGACTCACCTGAGCCCATTTTTGGGTCTCTCACCTGTGCTCACCTGGACAGGTAGCTGGGGCCTCACCTGCGCCTCACCTGGGGTTCACCTGAGTCCCTTTGGGTGTGTCTGAGTCACACCTGGGCAGGTTTGGGGGTTCCCAGGACTCACCTGAGGAGCTTTAGGGGGTGCCTCACCTGTGCTCACCTGCGCAGGTAGCTGGGGCCTCACCTGACACTCACCTGGGCCTCACCTGGGACTCACCTGAGGCTGTTTTCGGGGTGTCTCACCTGTGCTCACCTGCGCAGGTAGCTGGGGCCCGCACCTGATCATCGTGCCCACCTCGGTGATGCTGAACTGGGAGATGGAGCTCAAGCGCTGGTGCCCCGGCTTCAAAATCCTCACCTACTACGGGGCGCAGAAGGAGCGGCGCCTCAAGAGACAGGTGAGCGCACCTGGCACACCTGGGGGCACCTGGGGAGGGATCAGGGTGTGTGTCAGAGACAGGTAAGCACACCTGGGTATACCTGGGGGCACCTGGGAGGGTATTGGGGTGTGTCAGAGACAGGTGAGCGCACCTGGGCACACCTGGGCACACCTGGGCACACCTGGGCACAGCTGGGATCCATTGTGATACACCTGGCCACACCTGGAGGGGATTGGGGTGTGTCAGAGACAGGTGAGCGCACCTGGCACACCTGGGGGCAGCTGGGCACAGGTACACACACCTGGGCACACCTGGGGGGGATCGGGGTGTGTCAGAGACAGGTGAGTGTACCTGGGCACACCTGGGGGCACCTGAATGGGGGCACCTGAATGGGGGTACCTGAATGGGGCACCTGGGGGCACCTGGGGGCACCTGGGATCCATTGTGATATACCTGGGCACACCTGGGGGCACCTGGGCACTCACCTGGGCACACCTGGGGGCACCTGGGCACAGGTACACACACCTGCGGGCACCTGAATGGGGCTTGGGGTCTGTGAGAGAGAGGTGAGCGCACCTGGGCACCTGAATGGGCACCTGGGCACACCTGGGCACACCTGGGGGCACCTGAATGAGGCACCTGGGCACACCTGGGCACAGGTACACACACCTGGGCACACATGGGGCACCTGGGGGCACCTGAAGGGGGCACCTGGGGGCACCTGGGATACACCTGGGGGCACCTGGGATACACCTGGGGGCACCTGGGATACACCTGGGGGCACCTGGGAGGGATCAGGGTATGTGAGAGGCAGGTGAGCACACCTGGACACAACTGGGCACACCTGCGGGCACCTGGGCGCACCTGGAGGGGATTGGGGTGTGTCAGAGACAGGTGAGCGCACCTGGGCACACCTGGGGGCACCTGAATGGGGCACCTGGGGAGGGGATTGGGGTGTAACACAGACGGGTGAGCGCACCTGGATGGGGCACCTGAATAGGGCACCTGGGCACACCTGGGGGCACCTGGGGGCACCTGGAAGGGACTGGGGGCACCTGGGCACACCTGAGATATACCTGGGGGCACCTGAATGGGGCACCTGGGCACAGCTGGGCACACCTGGGGGCACCTGGGATCCATTGGGATACACCTGGGGGCACCTGGGGGCACCTGAATGGGGCACAGCCAGGCACACCTGGGGACACCTGGGCACACCTGAGATACACCTGGGGGCACCTGGGGAGGGATCAGGGTGTGTCACAGACAGGTGAGCACACCTGGGCACACCTGGGCACACCTGGGATCCATTCTGATACACCTGGGCACACCTGGGGGCACCTGGAGGGGATTGGGGTGTGCCAGAGACAGGTGAGCACACCTGGGGCACCTGAATGGGGCACTGGGGGGCACCTGGGGGCACCTGGGCTATCCTGGGCACACCTGGGCACACCTGGGATACACCTGGGCACTCACCTGGGCACACCTGGGGAGGGGATTGGGGTGTGTCAGAGACAGGTGAGCGCACCTGGATGGGGCACCTGAATGGGGCACCTGAATGGGGCACCTGAATGGGGCACCTGAATGGGGCACCTGGGCACAGGTACACACACCTGGGGGCACCTGGACGCACCTGGGGGCACCTGGGGGCACCTGAATGGGGCACCTGAGATACACCTGGGGGCACCTGGAGGGGATTGGGGTGTGTCACAGACAGGTGAGCGCACCTGGATGGGGCACCTGAATGGGCACCTGAATGGGGCACCTGGGGGCACCTGGGCACACCTGGGGGCACCTGGACACACCTGGGGGCACCTGGGTGCACCTGGGGGCACCTGGGATCCATTGTGATACACCTGGGGGCACCTGGACACACCTGGGGGCACCTGGGCGCACCTGGGCACACCTGGGGGCAGCTGGGGAGGGATCAGGGTGTGGTAGAGGCAGGTGAGCGCACCTGGGGGCACCTGGACGCACCTGGGATCCATTGTGATACACCTGGGCACACTTGGGGGCACCTGGAGGGGATTGGGGTGTGCCAGAGGCAGGTGAGCGCACCTGGGCACACCTGGGCTGTTTCGGGCAGGATTTTTGGGGTTTTTTAGGCAGTTTTTGATGGGGATTTTTGCCTCACCTGTCTCACCTGTCTCACCTGTCTCACCTGCAGGGCTGGACCAAGCCCAACGCGTTCCACGTGTGCATCACCTCCTACAAGCTGGTGCTGCACACCTGGGCACACCTGGGCACACCTGGGCACACCTGGGCTGTTTTTTGGGGTTTTTTAGGTGATTTTTAGTGGGGATTTTTGCCTCACCTGTCTCACCTGTCTCACCTGTCCCACCTGTCCCACCAAGCCCAACGCCTTCCAGGTGTACATCACACCTGGGCACACCTGGGCACACCTGGGCTGTTCTAGTTTGGGTTTTTCGGGTTTTTCGGGCAGAATTTTTGGGTTTTTAGGCAGTTTTTGGTGGGGATTTTTGCCTCACCTGTCTCACCTTTCTCACCTGTCTCACCTGTCCCACTTGCAGGGCTGGACCAAGCCCAACGCGTTCCACGTCTGCAGCACACCTGGGCACACCTGGGCTGTTTTAATTTGGGTTTTTTGGGGGTTTTTAGGCCGTTTTTAGTGGGGATTTTTTTCTCACCTGTCTCACCTGAGTTACCTGTCTCACCTGTCTCACCTGCAGGGCTGGACCAAGCCCAACCCCTTCCAGATGTGCATCACACCTGGGCACACCTGGGCTGTTTTTCTTTGGATTTTTTGGGTTTTTCGGGCAGGATTTTTTGGTTTTTTAGGCAGTTTTTGGTTGGGATTTCTTCCTCACCTGTCTCACCTGTCCCACCTGTCTCACCTGCAGGGCTGGACCAAGCCCAACGCGTTCCACGTCTGCATCACCTCCTACAAGCTGGTGCTGCACACCTGGGCACACCTGGGCTGTTTTTTGGGGTTTTTTAGGTGATTTTTAGTGGGGATTTTTGCCTCACCTGTCTCACCTGAGTTTCTCACCTGTCTCACCTGTCTCACCTGTCTCACCTGTCCCACCAAGCCCAACGCCTTCCAGGTGTGCATCATACCTGGGCACACCTGGGCACACCTGGGCTGTTCTAGTTTGGGTTTTTTGGGGGTTTTTGGGCAGTTTTTGATGGGGATTTTTGCCTCACCTGTCTCACCTGTCCATACCTGTCTCACCTGTCTCACCTGTCAGGGCTGGACCAAGCCCAACGCGTTCCACGTGTGCATCACCTCCTACAAGCTGGTGCTGCAGGACCACCAGGCGTTCCGCAGGAAGAACTGGAAGTACCTGATCCTGGACGAGGCGCAGAACATCAAAAACTTCAAATCGCAGCGCTGGCAGTCCCTGCTCAACTTCAACAGGTGAGCCGCACCTGGGCGCACCTGGGCACACCTGGGGCACACCTGAGAGAGCTGGGGGACACCTGGGCAGACCTGGGGCACACCTGGGATACCTGGGTGCACCTGGGGTACACCTGAGATAGCTGGGGCACACCTGTACCACACCTGAGTTACCTGAGCACACCTGGAGTACACCTGAATTAGGTAGGGTACACCTGGGCACACCTGGGATACACCTGGAGCACACCTGAGTTACCTGGGGTACACCTGGGGTACACCTGAAATAGCTGGGGTACACCTGGGCACACCTGAGATACGCCTGGGCGCACCTGGGGCACACCTGGGATAGCTGGGGGACACCTGAGTTACCTGGAATACACCTGGAGTACACCTGGGCACACCTGGGGTACACCTGGGCACACCTGGGGTATACCGGAGTTACCTGGGATACACCTGGGATACACCTGAGTTAGCTGGGATACACCTGGGTGCACCTGGGGTACACCTGAGATAGGTGGGGTACACCTGGGCACACCTGGGGTACACCTGGGCACACCAGGGTACACCTGGGATACACCTGGGCGCACCTGAGATAGGTGGAGCACACCTGGGCGCACCTGGGCTACACCTGAGTTACCTGGGATACACCTGGAGCACACCTGGGATACACCTGGAGCACAAATTAGTTACCTGGGGTACACCTGGAGTACACCTGAGTTAGCTGGGGTACACCTGTACCACACCTGAGTTACCTGAGCACACCTGGAGCACACCTGAGTTAGGTAGGGTACACCTGGGCGCACCTGAGATACACCTGGAGCACACCTGAGTTACCTGGGGTACACCTGGGGCACACCTGAGTTAGCTGGGATACACCTGGAGTACACCTGAGGTACCTAAACACACCTGGAGTACACCTGACTTACCTAGGGTACACCTGGGCACATCTGGGATACACCTGAGTTAGCTGGGGTACACCTGGGATACACCTGAGTTACCTGGGATACACCTGGGCACACCTGGGGTACACCTGAGTTACCTGAGCACACCTGGAGCACACCTGAGTTATCTGGGATACACCTGGGATACACCTGGGATACACCTGAGATAGTTGGGGTACACCTGGGTACACCTGGAGCGCACCTGAGTTACCTGGGATACACCTGGAGCACAAATTAGTTACCTGGGATACATCTGGGCACACCTGGGATACACCTGAGTTAGCTGGGATACACGTCGAGCACACTTGAGTTACCTGGGGCACACCTGGAGCACACCTGAGTTAGCTGAGATTCCCCTGGGATGCACCTGGGCACACCTGAGTTACCTGGGGTACACCTGGGCACACCTGAGATACACCTGGGCACACCTGGGCTATGCCTGAGTTAGCTGGGATACACCTGGAGCACACCTGAGTTACTTGGGATACACCTGGGATACACCTGGGCGCTCCTGGGGTACACCTGAGATAGGTGGGGTACACCTGGGCACAGCTGGGATAACTGGGATACACCTGGAGTACACCTGGGCACACCTGGGCTGTTTTAATTGGGGTTTTTTGGGGGGTTTTTAGGCAGTTTTTGATGGGGATTTTTGCCTCACCTGTCTCACCTGTCTCACCTGTCTGTACCTGTCTCACTTATCTCACCTGTCTCACCTGTCAGGGCTGGACCAAGCCCAACACATTCCACATCTGCATCACCTCCTGCAGGTGGTGCTGCACACCTGGGCACACCTGGGCACACCTGGGCACACCTGGGCTGTTTTAGTTTGGGGTTTTTTTGGGTTTTTTAGGCCGTTTTTAGTGGGGATTTTTGCTTTACCTGTCTGTACCTGTCTCACCTGAGTTACCTGTCTCACCTGTGTTACCTGTCAGGACTGGACCAACCCTAATATTTTCCAGGTGTGCAGCACACCTGGGCACACCTGGGCTGTTTAATTTGGCTTTTTTAGGGGATTTTTAGGCCGTTTTTGATGGGGATTTTTGCCTCACCTGTCTCACCTGTCTCACTTGTCTCACCTGTCTCACCTGTCTCACCTGTCTCACCTGAGTTTCTCACCTGTCTCACCTGTCTCACCTGTCTCACCTGCAGCCAGCGGCGGCTGCTGCTGACAGGTACGCCGCTGCAGAACTCGCTGATGGAGCTCTGGTCGCTGATGCACTTCCTGATGCCGAGCGTCTTCCAGTCCCACCGCGAGTTCCGCGAGTGGTTCCACAACCCCCTGACCGGCATGATCGAGGGCAGCCAGGAGTATAACGAGAGCCTGGTGAAACGGCTCCACAAGGTACCTGGGCACACCTGGGCACACCTGGGGAGTGTAAAAATGTGAAAAAATGGGGTAAAAATGTGAAAAAACGGGGTTAAAAGGAGCAAAAATGGGGTTAAAAGGAGCAAAAATGGGATTTTGGGCACATGAAATGCACCTGGGCACACCTGGGCACGGGTACACACACCTACATTACATTGGGTTACATTGGGTCACACTTGGGCACACCTGGGCACACCTGGGGAGGCAGAAACGCAAAAAAAACGGGGTTAAAAGGAGCAAAAATAGGGTTAAAATGAGCAAAAATGCGGTTTTGGGTATTAAAAATGGGGTCAGGGACACCCAGGTGGGTCTGGGCTCACCTGGGCACACCTGGACACGGGTACACACACCTACATTACATTGGGTTACATGGGGTCACACCTGGGCACACCTGGGCACACCTGGGCACACCTGGGGAGGGTAAAAATGTGAAAAAACGGGGTTAAAAGGAGCAAAAATGGGGTTTTGGGCACTGAAAACGCACCTGGGCACACCTGGGCACACCTGGATATGGTTATACACACCTGGGATACACCTGGGTTTCATTGGGACACACCTGGGCACACCTGACCGGGCATGATCGAGGGCAGCCAGGAGTACAACGAGAGTTTGGTGAAAAGGCTGCACAAGGTACCTGGGCACACCTGGGCACACCTGGGCACACCTGGGCACACCTGGGGAGGGTGAAACGCAAAAAAAACGGGGTTAAAAGGAGCAAAAATGGGGTTAAAATGAGCAAAAATGGGATTTTGGGCACTAAAAATGGAGTCAGGGACACCCAGCACAGGTGAGACTCACCTGGGCACACCTGGGGGCACCTGGGCACACCTGGAGAGGGCGAAACGCAAAAAAAACGGGGTTAAAAGGAGCAAAAATGGGGTTAAAAGGAGCAAAAATGGGATTTTGGGTATTAAAAATGGCGTCAAGGACACCCAGGTGATTCTGGGCACACCTGGGCACACCTGGGCACACCTGGGGTGGGTGAAACGCAAAAAAAACGGGGTTAAAAGGAGCAAAAACGGGGTTAAAAGGAGCAAAAATGGGATTTTGGGCACTAAAAATGGGGTCAGGGACACTCAGGTGGGTCTGGGCACACCTGGGCACAGGTGAGACTCACCTGGGCACACCTGGGCACACCTAGGGAGGGTAAAAATGTGAAAAAATGGGGTTAAAAGGAGCAAAAATGGGGTTAAAAGGAGCAAAAATGGGATTTTGGGCACTGAAAACACACCTGGGCACACCTGGGTACACCTGGGCACGCCTGGGCACACCTGGGCACGCCTGGGCACACCTGGGGAAGGTAAAAATGTGAAAAAATGGGGTTAAAAGGAGCAAAAATGGGGTTAAAAGGAGCAAAAATGGGGTTAAAAGGAGCAAAAATGGGATTTTGGGCACTAAAAATGGGGTCAGGGACACCCAGGTGAGTCTGGGCACACCTGGGCACACCTGGGGAGGGTAAAAATGTGAAAAAATGGGGTTAAAAGGAGCAAAAATGGGATTTTGGGCACTGAAAACGCACCTGGGCACAGCTGGGCACACCTGGGTATGGGTACATACACCTACATTACATGGGGGCACACCTGGGCACACCTGACTGGCATGATTGAGGGCAGCCAGGAGTACAACGAGAGTTTGGTGAAAAGGCTGCACAAGGTAACGCACCTGGGCACACCTGGGCACGGCTGGGGAGTGTAAAAATGTGAAAAAATGGGGTAAAAATGTGAAAAAACGGGGTTAAAAGGAGCAAAAATGGGGTTAAAAGGAGCAAAAATGGGGTTTTGGGCACTGAAAACGCACCTGGGCACGCCTGGCACAGGTGAGACTCACCTGGAGCACACCTGGGCACACCTGGGCACACCTGGGGAGGGGGAAATGCAAAAAAAACGGGGTTAAAAGGAGCAAAAATGGGGTTAAAAGGAGCAAAAATGGGGTTAAAAGGGGCAAAAATGGGAATAAAATGAGCAAAAATGGGGTTTTGGGTACTAAAAATGGGGCCAGGGACACCCAGGTGGGTCTGGGCACACCTGGGCACACCTGGGCACACCTGGGCACACCTGGGGAGTGTAAAAATGTGAAAAAATGGGGTAAAAATGTGAAAAAACAGGGTTAAAAGGAGCAAAAATGGGGTTAAAAGGAGCAAAAATGGGGTTTTGGGTACTAAAAATGGGGTCAGGGACACCCGGCACAGGTGAGACTCACCTGGGCACACCTGGGCACCCCTGGGCACACCTGGGGACGGTGAAGCGCAAAAAAAACAGGGTTAAAAGGAGCAAAAATGGGGTTAAAAGCAGCAAAAATGGGATTTGGGGCACTGAAAACGCACCTGGGCACACCTGGGGGCACCCAAAATACACCTGAGATACACCTGGGCACACCGGAGATACACCTGGGCACACCTGGGCACACCTGGATATGGGTACATACACCTACATTACATGGGGGCACACCTGGGCACACCTGACCGGCATGATCGAGGGCAGCCAGGAGTACAACGAGAGCCTGGTGAAACGGCTCCACAAGGTACCTGGGCACACCTGGGCACGGCTGGGTGCCCTTGTGACACTGTGGGCACACCTGGGCACACCTGTGACACTCTGGGCACACCTGGGACATGCTGGGTCACACCTGGGACACGCCTGTACACACCTAGGTCACACTAGTAACACTGTGGGCACACCTGGAACACGCTGGGACACACCTGTGACACTGTGGGCACACCTGGCACACCTGGGCACACCTGGGGCACACCTGGGACATGCTGGGTCACACCTGGGGCACACTTGGGACTTGCTGGGTCACACCTGGGCACACCTGGGGCACACCTGGGGCACACCTGGGCACACCTGTGACACTGTGGGCACACCTGGGCACAGCTGGGGCACACCTGGGGCACACCTGGGACACACCCGGGATGTTCTGGGTCACACCTGGGGACACCTGGGCACACCTGTCACACTGTGGGCACACCTGGGGCACACTGGTGACACTTTGGGCACACCTGGGCACACCTGGGACATTCTGGGTCACACCTGGGCACATGTGGGTCACACCTGGGGCACACCTGTGACACTGTGGGCACACCTGGGCACACCTGTACACACCTGGGCACACCTGGGACACACCTGGACACACCTGGGCACACCTGGGGCACACCTGGGCACACCTGTGACACTGTGGGCACACCTGGAACATTCTGGGTCACATCTGTGACACTGTGGGCATACCTGGGTCATGCTGGGTCACACCTGGGCACACCTGGGCACACCTGGGGCACACCTGGGTCACACCCGTGACACTCTGGCCACACCTGGGCACACCTGGGGCACACCTGGGACACATCTGGGCACACCTGGGACATGTTGGGACACACCTATGACACTGTGGGCACACATGTACCATTCTGAGACACACCTGGGGCACATCTGTACACACCTGTGACACTGTGGGCACACCTGGGCACACCTGATCACACCTGGGTCTCACCTGTGCCCACCCGGCAGGTGCTGCGGCCGTTCCTGCTGCGCCGGCTGAAGGTGGACGTGGAGAAGCAGATGCCCAAGAAGTACGAGCACGTGCTCAGGTGCCGCCTGTCCAAGCGCCAGCGCTTCCTCTACGACGACTTCATGGGCCAGGCCAGGTGAGGGCACACCTGGGCACACCTGGGCACACCTGGGCACACCTGGAAACCCCAAAAATCCCGAAAATCCCATGAAAATCTGCCCAAATTCCGTGAAATTTCATCAAAATCCACCCAAAAAATCACCTGTTTGAGGTCTCTGATGGTGCCATGGGCCAGGCCAGGTGAGGGGCACACCTGGGCACACCTGGGCACACCTGGGCACACCTGGGAACCCCAAAAATCGCGAATTTCCCATTAAAATCTACCCAAAATCCATGAAATTCTGTCAAAAATCCACCCAAAAATCACTTATTTTGGGTCTCTGATGATGTCATGGGTCAGGCCAGGTGAGGGCACACCTGGGCACACCTGGGCACACCTGGGCACACCTGGGAGCTCAAAAATCCCGAAAATCCCATGAAAATCTACCCAAATTCCATGAAATTCCACCCAAAATTCACCTGTTGGAGGTCTCTGATGACGTCATGGGTCCGGCCAGGTGAGGGGCACACCTGGGCGCACCTGGGCACACCTGGGCACACCTGGGAACCCCAAATCCCCAAAATTCCTATGGAATTGTGCCCAAATTCCATGAAATTCCAACCAAATCCACCCAAAATTCACCTGTTTGAGGTCTCTGATGGTGCCATGGGCCAGGCCAGGTGAGGGGCACACCTGGGCACACCTGGGCACACCTGGCAGCCCAAAAATCCCGAAAATCCCATGAAAATCTGCCCAAATTCAGTGAAATTTCATCAAAATTCACCCAAAAAATCACCTGTTGGAGGTCTCTGATAATGCCATGGGTTGGGCCAGGTGAGGGCACACCTGGGCACACCTGGGCACACCTGGGACCCCAAAAATCCCAAAATTCCCATGAAAATCTACCCAAATTCCATGAAATTCCGTCAAAATTCCATCCAAATCCACCCAAAAATCACTTATTTAGGGTCTCTGATGATGTCATGGGTCAGGGCAGGTGAGGGGCACACCTGGGCACACCTGGGCACACCTGGGCACACCTGGGCACACCTGGGAACCCCAAAAATCCCAAAAATCCCGAAAATCCCATGAAAATCTACCCAAATTCCATTAAATTCTACCCAAATCCACCCAAAAATCACTTATTTAGGATCTCTGATGATGTCATGGGTCGGGCCAGGTGAGGGGCACACCTGGGCACACCTGGGCACACCTGGGCACACCTGGGAGCCCAAAAATCCCGAAAATCCCATGAAAATCTACCCAAATTCCATGAAATTCCATCAAAATTCCATCCAAATCCACCCAAAATTCACCTGGTCAAGGTCTCTGATGACGTCATGGGTCAGGCCAGGTGAGGGGCACACCTGGGCACACCTGGGCACACCTGGGAGCCCAAAATCTCCAAAATTCCCATGAAAATCTACCCAAATTTCATGAAATTCTGTCAAAAATCCACCCAAAAATCACTTATTTTGGGTCTCTGATGATGTCATGGGTCAGGGCAGGTGAGGGGCACACCTGGGCACACCTGGGCACACCTGGGCACACCTGGGCACACCTGGGAGCTCAAAAATCCCCAAAATTCCCATCAAAATCTACCCAAATTCCATGAAATTCTACCCAAATCCACCCAAAAATTACTTATTTAGGGTCTCTGATGATGTCATAGGTCAGGGCAGGTGAGGGGCACACCTGGGCACACCTGGGCACACCTGGGCACACCTGGGCACACCTGGGAGCCCCAAAAATCCCGAAAATCCCATGAAAATACCCAAATTCCATGAAATTACGTCAAAATCCACCCAAAATTCACCTGTTGGAGGTCTCTGATGATGTCATGGGTCAGGCCAGGTGAGGGGCACACCTGGGCACACCTGGGCACACCTGGGCACACCTGGGCACACCTGGGCACCCCAAAAATCCCGAAAATCCCATGAAAATCTACCCAAATTCCGTGAAATTCCGTCAAAAATCCACCCAAAAATCACTTATTTTGGGTCTCTGATGATGTCATGGGTCAGGCCAGGTGAGGGGCACACCTGGGCACACCTGGGCACACCTGGCAGCCCAAAAATCCCAAAAATCCCATGAAAATCTACCCAAATTCCATGAAATTACGTCAAAATCCACCCAAAATTCTCCTGTTTGAGGTCTCTGATGATGTCATGGGTCAGGCCAGGTGAGGGGCACACCTGGGCACACCTGGGCACACCTGGGCACACCTGGGAACCCCAAAAATCCCAAAAATCCCATGAAAATCTGCCCAAATTCCGTGAAATTCTACCCAAATCCACCCAAAAATCACTTATTTAGGGCGTCTGATGATGTCATGGGTTGGACCAGGTGAGGGGCACACCTGGGCACACCTGGGCACACCTGGGCACACCTGGGAGACCAAAAATCCCGAAAATCCCATTAAAATCTACCCAAATTCCATGAAATTCTATCAAAATTTCATCCAAATCCACCCAAAATTCACCTGTTGGAGGTCTCTGATGATGTCATGGGTCAGGGCAGGTGAGGGCACACCTGGGCACACCTGGGCACACCTGGGCACACCTGGCAGCCCAAAAGTCCCAAAAATCCCATGAAAATCTACCCAAATTCCATGAAATTCTACCCAAATCCACCCAAAAATCTCTTATTTTGTGTCTCTGATGATGTCATGGGTCAGGCCAGGTGAGGGGCACACCTGGGCACACGTGGGCACACCTGGGCACACCTGGGAACCCCAAAAATCCCAAAATCCCATGAAAATCTACCCAAATTCCATGAAATTCCGTCAAAATTCCATCAAAATTCACCTGTTTAGGGTCTCTGATGATGTCATGGGCCAGGCCAGGTGAGGTGGCACACCTGGGCACACCTGGGCACACCTGGGCACACCTGGGAGCTCAAAATTCCCGAAAATCCCATGAAAATCTACCTGAATTTCACAAAATTACATCAAACTCCACCCAAAATTCACCTGTTGGAGGTCTGTGATGATGTCATGGGTCAGGCCAGGTGAGGGGCACACCTGGGCACACCTGGGCACACCTGGGAGCTCAAAAATCCCAAAAATCCCATGAAAATCTATCCAAATTCAATGAAATTCCATCAAAATTCACCCAAAATTCACCTGTTTGAGGTCTCTGATGATGTCATGGGTTGGGCCAGGTGAGGGGCACACCTGGGCACACCTGGGCACACCTGGGCACACCTGGGAGCCCGAAAATCCCATGAAAATCTACCCAAATTCCGTGAAATTACGTCAAAATCCACCCAAAATTCACCTGTTGGAGGTCTCTGATGACGTCATTGGCCAGGCCAGGTGAGGGCACACCTGGGCACACCTGGGCACACCTGGGCACACCTGGGAGCTCAAAAATCCCAAAAATCCCATGAAAATCTACCCAAATTTCATTAAATTCCCTCAAAATTCCATCAAAATCCACCCAAAAAATCACCTGTTGGAGGTCTCTGATGATGTCATGGGTCAGGCCAGGTGAGGGCACACCTGGGCACACCTGGGCACACCTGGCAGCCCAAAATTCCCAAAATTCCCATGAAAATCTACCCAAATTCCGTGAAATTACGTCCAAATCCACCCAAAATTCACCTGTTTAGGGTCTCTGATGATGTCATGGGCCAGGCCAGGTGAGGGCACACCTGGGCACACCTGGGCACACCTGGGCACACCTGGCAGCCCAAAAATCCCGAATTTCCCATGAAAATATACCCAAATTTCACAAAATTCTACCCAAATCTACCCAAAATTCACCTATTGGAGGTCTCTGATGATGTCATGGGTCAGGCCAGGTGAGGGGCACACCTGGGCACACCTGGGCACACCTGGGAACCCCAAATCCCCAAAATTCCCATAAAAATCTACCCAAATTCCATGAAATTCCATCCAAATCCACCCAAAATTCACCTGTTGTTGGTCTCTGATGATGTCATGGGTCAGGGCAGGTGAGGGGCACACCTGGGCACACCTGGGCACACCTGGGCACACCTGGGAACCCCAAAAATCCCGAATTTCCCATTAAAATCTACCCAAATTGCACAAAATTCTGTCAAAATCCACCCAAAAATCACTTATTTAGGGTCTCTGATGATGTCATGGGCCAGGCCAGGTGAGGGGCACACCTGGGCACACCTGGGCACACCTGGGCACACCTGGGCACACCTGGGAACCCCAAATCCCCAAAATTCCCATGAAAATCTACACAAATTCCATGAAATTACGTATAAATCCACCCAAAATTCACCCAAAATTCACCTGTTGGAGGTCTCTGATGATGTCATGGGTCAGGGCAGGTGAGGGGGCACCTGGGCACACCTGGGCACACCTGGGCACACCTGGGAGCCCAAAAATCCCAAAAAATCCCATGAAAATCTACCCAAATTCCACGAAATTCTGTCAAAATTCCATCCAAATCCACCCAAAATTCACCTGTTTAGGGTCTCTGATGATGTCATGGGTTGGGCCAGGTGAGGGGCACACCTGGGCACACCTGGGCACACCTGGGCACACCTGGGAGCTCAAAAATCCCCAAAATTCCCATGGAATTGTGCCCAAATTTCATGAAATTCCATCCAAATTCACCCAAAATTCACCTGTTTGAGGTCTCTGATGATGTCATGGGTCAGGGCAGGTGAGGGGCACACCTGGGCACACCTGGGCACACCTGGGCACACCTGGGAACCCCAAAAATCCCGAAAATCCCATGAAAATCTGCCCAAATTCAGTGAAATTCCGTCAAAATCCACCCAAAATTAATCTGTTCGAGGTGTCTGATGATGTCATGGATCAGGGCAGGTGAGGGGCACACCTGGGCACACCTGGGCACACCTGGGCACACCTGGGAACCCCAAATCCCCAAAATTCCCATGGAATTGTACCCAAATTCAGTGAAATTCTGTCAAAATTCCATCCAAATCCACCCAAAATTCACCTGTTTGAGGTCTCTGATGATGTCAGGGGCCAGGCCAGGTGAGGGGCACACCTGGGCACACCTGGGCACACCTGGGCACACCTGGGAACTCAAAACCCCCAAATTCCCATGAAAATCTCCCAAAATCCATCCAAATCTCACAAAATTCCATCCAAATTAACCCAAAATTCACCTGTTTGAGGTTTCTGATGATGTCATGGGTCAGGGCAGGTGAGTGGCACACCTGGGCACACCTGGGCACACCTGGGCACACCTGGGAACCCAAAAATCCCAAAAATCCCATGAAAATCTACCCAAATTTCATGAAATTCCATCAAAATCCACCCAAAACTCACCTGTTGGAGGTCTCTGATGATGTCATGGGTCAGGCCAGGTGAGGGGCACACCTGGGCACACCTGGGCACACCTGGGCACACCTGGGAGCCCCAAATCCCCAAAATTCCCATGAAAATCTACCCAAATTCCATGAAATTACATCAAAATCCACCCAAAATTCACCTGTTGGAGGTCTCTGATGATGTCATGGGTCAGGGCAGGTGAGGGGCACACCTGGGCACACCTGGGCACACCTGGGCACACCTGGGAGCTCCAAATCCCAAAAATTCCCATGAAAATCTACCCAAATTCCTTGAAATTCTACCCAAATCCACCCAAAATTCACTTATTTAGGGTCTCTGATGACGTCATGGGTCAGGCCAGGTGAGGGGCACACCTGGGCACACCTGGGCACACCTGGGCACACCTGGGCACACCTGGGAGCTCAAAAATCCCGAAAATCCCATGAAAATCTACCCAAATTCCATGAAATTTTATCAAAATCCACCCAAAATTCACCTGTTGGAGGTCTCTGATGATGTCATGGGTCAGACCAGGTGAGGGCACACCTGGGCACACCTGGGAACCCCAAATCCCCAAAATTCCTGTGAAAATCTACACAAATTCCATTAAATTCTACCCAAATCCACCCAAAAATCACTTGTTGAGGGTCTCTGATGATGTCATGGGTCAGGGCAGGTGAGGGGCACACCTGAGCACACCTGGGCACACCTGGGCACACCTGGCAGCTCAAAAATCCCAAAAATCCCATGAAAATCTACCCAAATTCCATGAAATTCCATCAAAATTCCATCCAAATCCACCCAAAATTCACCTGTTTGAGGTCTCTGATGATGTCATGGGCCAGGCCAGGTGAGGGGCACACCTGGGCACACCTGGGCACACCTGGGCACACCTGGCAGCCCAAAATCCCCAAAATTCCCATGAAAATCTACCCAAATTCCATGAAATTACGCCAAAATTCCATCCAAATCCACCCAAAATTCACCTGTTGGAGGTCTCTGATGATGTCATGGGTCAGGGCAGGTGAGGGGCACACCTGGGCACACCTGGGCACACCTGGGCACCCCAAAAATCGCGAATTTCCCATTAAAATCTACCCAAAATCCATGAAATTCTGTCAAAAATCCACCCAAAAATCACTTATTTTGGGTCTCTGATGATGTCATGGGTCAGGGCAGGTGAGGGGCACACCTGGGCACACCTGGGCACACCTGGCAGCCTAAAAACCCAAAAAATCCCGTGAAAATCTACCCAAATTCCATGAAATTCCCTCAAAATTCCACCCAAATCCACCCAAAATTCACCTGTTTGAGGTCTCTGATGATGTCATGGGTCAGTGCAGGTGAGGGGCACACCTGGGCACACCTGGGCACACCTGGGCACACCTGGGAGCTCAAAAATCCCGAAAATCCCATGAAAATCTGCCCAAATTCCATGAAATTCCGTTAAAATTCCATCAAAATCCACCCAAAATTCACCTGTTTGAGGTCTCTGGTGATGTCATGGGCCAGGCCAGGTGAGGGCACACCTGGGCACACCTGGGCACACCTGGGCACACCTGGGAGCCCCAAATCCCCAAAATTCCCATGGAATTGTACCCAAATTGCACAAAATTCCGTCAAAATCCACCCAAAATTCACCTGTTTGAGGTCTGTGGTGATGTCATAGGTCAGGCCAGGTGAGGGGCACACCTGGGCACACCTGGCAGCCCAAGAAATGCCCCAAATTCTCTCTTAAATCCCTTCAAATCCCCAAATTTCTTCCCGAATTTCTACAGAATTACCCCAGGATTTCTGCCTTTGCCCCCAGGTGAGCTCAGGTGAGCCCAGGTGACCCCCAGGTGAGCTCAGGTGACCCCCAGGTGATTTCTGTGTCCCATTTTTACCATCAAGGCCACCCTGGACCCCCAAATTTCCCCTTAAATCCCCAAATTTCCCTTTCAATCCCCAAATTTCCCTTTCAAACCCCTCCCACGTCTCTCAGGTAAGTTCAGGTAACCCCCAGGTGAGCTCAGGTGTGCTCAGGTGATCTCAGGTACCCCAGGTAACCCCTGTGCCCCTCCCCCGCAGCACCAAGGTCCCCCTGGACCCCCAAATTTCCCTTTCAAACCCCTCCCAAATTCTCCAGGTGATCTCAGGTGAGCTCAGATGACCCCCAGGTGCCCCCAGGTAACCCCCAGGTGAGCTCAGGTAACCCCCAGGTGACTTCTCCATCTGTTTTTGACCATCAAGGCCCCCCTGGACCCCCAAATTTCCCCTTAAATCCCCAAATTTCCCCTTCAAACCCCTCCCACATCTCTCAGGTGAGCTCAGGTGAGCTCAGGTGGGCTCAGGTAACCCCCAGGTGATCTCAGGTGTTCTCAGGTGATCTCAGGTGACCCCCAAGTGCCCCCAGGTGCCCCAGGTGACCCTGAATTTCCCTTTTAACCCCCCAAATTTCCTATTCAAACCCCTCCCACGTCTCTCAGGTGACCCCCAGGTGTATCTCAGGTGTGTTCAGGTGATCTCAGGTACCCCCAGGTAACCCCTGTGCCCCTCCCCCGCAGCACCAAGGCCCCCCTGGACCCCCAAATTTCCCCCTTAAATCCCCAAATTTCCCTTTCAAACCCCTCCCACGTCTCTCAGGTGAGCTCAGGTGAGCTCAGGTGTGTTCAGGTGAGCTCAAGTGACCCCAGGTGACCCCTGTGGCTGTCCCCTACATCACCTGATGCACTCTGGACCCCCAAATCTCCCCTTAAATCCCCAAATTTCACTTTCAAACCCCCAAATTTCCCCATCAAACCTCTCCCAAATTCCCCAGGTAACCCCCAGGTGTGCCCAGGTACCCCCAGGTGAGCTCAGGTGACCCCAAATTTCCCTTTTAAACCCCCAAATTTCCCTTTCAAATCCCCAAATTTCCCCTTCAAACCCCTCCCAGATTCCCCAGGTGATCTCAGGTGAGTTCAGGTGACCCCCAGGTGAGCTCAGGTGAGCTCAGGTGAGCTCAGGTAACCTCCAGGTGATTTTTGTGTCCCATTTTTACCACCAAGGCCCCCCAGGACCCCCAAATTTCCCTTTCAAACCCCTCCTACATCTCTCAGGTGTGTTCAGGTCATCTCAGGTGAGCTCAGGTAACCCTCAGGTGACTTCTCCACCTGTTTTTGACCATCAAGGCCCCCCTGGAACCCCAAATTTCCCTCTTAAATCCCCAAATTTCCCTTTCAAATCCCCAAATATCCCCATCAAACCCCTCCCAAATTCCCCAGGTAACCGCCAGGTGATCACAGGTGTGTTCAGGTGATCTCAGGTAACCCCCAGGTAACCCCAAATTTCCCTTTTAAACCCCCAAATTTCCCCTTAAACCCCCAAATTTCCCTTTCAAACCCCTCCCAAATTCCCCAGGTAACCCCCAGGTGAGCTCAGGTGTGTTCAGGTGATCTCAGGTGCTCTCAGGTACCTCCAGGTGACCCCAAATTCCCCTCTCACAGCACCAAGGCCCCCCTGGACCCCCAAATTTCCCTTTCAAACCCCTCCTACATCTCTCAGGTGATCTCAGGTGCCCCCCAGGTGAGCTCAGGTGACCCCCAAGTGCCCCCAGATGCCCCCAGGTGCCCCAGGTGACCCCGAATTTCCCTTTTAAACCCCTTCCAGATTCCCCAGGTAACCCCCAGGTGAGCTCAGGTAACCCTCAGGTGATCTCAGGTGATTTTTGTGTCCCATTTTTACCATCAAGGTCCCCCTGGACCCCCAAATTTCCCCTTAAATCCCCAAATTCCCCTTTCAAACCCCTCCCACATCTCTCAGGTGACCCCAGGTGACCCCCAGGTAACCCTCAGGTGATCTCAGGTGAGCTCAGGTAACCCCCAGGTGACTTCTCCACCTGTTTTTGACCAAGGCCCCCAAGCACCCCCAAATTTCCCTTTTTAACCCCCAAATTTCCCCTTCAAGCCCTCCCACATCTCTCAGGTGATCTCAGGTTTGCCCAGGTACCCCCAGGTGAGCTCAGGTGACCCCCAGGTGATTTCTGTGTCCCATTTTTATCATCAAGGCCCCCCTGGACCCCCAAATTTCCCCATTAAATCCCCAAATTTCCCCTTCAGACCCCTCCCATGTAACTCAGGTGTGCTCAGGTGTGTTCAGGTACCCCCAGGTACCCCAGGTAACCCCAAATCTCCCCGCAGCACCAAGGCCACCTTGGCCAGCGGCCACTTCATGAGCGTCATCAACGTGCTGATGCAGCTGCGGAAGGTGTGCAACCACCCCGACCTGTTCGAGCCCCGCCCCGTCACCTCCCCCCTCGTCACACCTGGCCTGAGCCTCGGCGCACCTGCGCTGGTCCTGCGGGCGCTGGAGCCACACCCCTTCCAGGTGAGATACACCTGGACAGGTGAGAGACAGGTACAGACACACCTGGGACAGGTATGGACAGGTACAGACACACCTGCGCTGGTCCTGCGGGCGCTGGAGCCACACCCCTTCCAGGTGAGATACACCTGGACAGGTGAGATACACCTGAGATAGGTACAGACAGGTACAGACACACCTGCGCTGGTCCTGAGAGCGCTGGAGCCACACCCCTTCCAGGTGAGACACACCTGGACAGGTGAGATACACCTGGACAGGTGAGATACAGGTACAGACACACCTGGACAGGTACAGACACACCTGGGACAGGTGAGAGATAACCTGAGATAGATATAGACATACCTGGGACAGGTGAGACACACCTGGGACAGGCACAGACACACCTGGACAGGTACAGACACACCTGGGACAGGCACAGACACACCTGGGACAGGTACAGACACACCTGGGACAGGTACAGACACACCTGGACAGGTACAGACACACCTGGGACAGGTACAGACACACCTGGACAGGCACAGACACACCTGGACAGGTACAACCACCCCGACCTGTTCGAGCCCCGCCCCGTCACCTCCCCCCTCGTCACACCTGGCCTGAGCCTCGGCGCACCTGCGCTGGTCCTGCGGGCGCTGGAGCCACACCCCTTCCAGGTGAGATACACCTGGGACAGGTGAGATACACCTGAGATAGATATAGACACACCTGGGACAGGTACAGATACACCTGCGCTGGTCCTGAGGGCGCTGGAGCCACACCCCTTCCAGGTGAGACACACCCGGACAGGTGAGATACACCTGGGACAGGTACAGACACACCTGGGACAGGCACAGACACACCTGCGCTGGTCCTGCGGGCGCTGGAGCCACACCCCTTCCAGGTGAGATACACCTGGACAGGTGAGATACACCTGAGACAGGTACAGACAGGTACAGACACACCTGGGACAGGTGAGAGATAACCTGAGATAGATATAGACACACCTGGGACAGGTACAGACAGGTACAGACACACCTGGGCTGGTCCTGAGGGCGCTGGAGCCACACCCCTTCCAGGTGAGATACACCTGGTCAGGTGAGAGATAACCTGGGACAGGTGAGAGACAGGTACAGACACACCTGGACAGGTGCAACCACCCCGACCTGTTCGAGCCCCGCCCCGTCACCTCCCCCCTCGTCACACCTGGCCTGAGCCTCGGCGCACCTGCGCTGGTCCTGCGGGCGCTGGAGCCGCACCCCTTCCAGGTGAGATACACCTGAGACAGGTACAGACAGGTACAGACACACCTGGGACAGGTACAGACACACCTGGACAGGTGAGATACACCTGAGATAGGGATAGACACACCTGGGACAGGTACAGACACACCTGGGACAGGCACAGACACACCTGGGACAGGTACAGACACACCTGTGCTGGTCCTGCGGGCGCTGGAGCCACACCCCTTCCAGGTGAGATACACCTGGACAGGTGAGACACACCTGGGATAGAGATAGACACACCTGGGACAGGTACAGACACACCTGGGACAGGTGAGACACACCTGGGACAGGTCAGAGACAGGCACAGACACACCTGGGACAGGTACAGACACACCTGTACAGGTGAGACACACCTGGACAGGTACAGACACACCTGGACAGGTGAGACACACCTGGGACAGGCACAGACACACCTGGGACAGGTACAGACACACCTGGGGCAGGTACAGACACACCTGGGACAGGTGAGACACACCTGGGACAGGTGAGACACACCTGGACAGGCACAGACACACCTGGGACAGGCACAGACACACCTGGGACAGGTACAGACACACCTGGACAGGTACAGACACACCTGGGACAGGTACAGACACACCTGGGACAGGTGAGACACACCTGGGACAGGCACAGACACACCTGGGACAGGTACAGACACACCTGGGCAGGTACAGACACACCTGGACAGGTACAGACACACCTGGGACAGGCACAGACACACCTGGACAGGTACAGACACACCTGGGACAGGCACAGACACACCTGGGACAGGTGAGACACACCTGGACAGGTGAGACACACCTGGGACAGGTACAGACACACCTGGACAGGTGAGATACACCTGGACAGGTACAGACACACCTGGGACAGGCACAGACACACCTGGACAGGTACAGACACACCTGGACAGGCACAGACACACCTGGACAGGTACAGACACACCTGGGACAGGTGAGACACACCTGGGACAGGCACAGACACACCTGGACAGGTACAGACACACCTGGACAGGTACAGACACACCTGGACAGGTGAGACACACCTGGGACAGGCACAGACACACCTGGGACAGGCACAGACACACCTGGACAGGTACAGACACACCTGGGACAGGTGAGAGACACACTTTGGACAGGTACAGACACACCTGGGGCGGTTTGGACACTCAGGTGTGACACAGGTGTGTCAGAGATCACTCAGGTGTATCACAGGTGTCACAGGTGTGTCACACAGGTGTGTCACACAGGTGTGTCACACAGGTGTGTCACACAGGTGTGTCACACAGGTGTGTCCCTGTCCCCAGCAGGTGGACCTGTCCCTGTTCCAGCTGCTGGCGCTGGAGGCTCACCTGAGCCTGGGGGTGGTACAGGTGGTACAGCTGTGACACAGGTGTGACACAGGTGTATCAGGGATGGGTATAGGCGTATCATCGGTCGCTCAGGTGTCACTCAGGTGTGTCACAGGTGTGTCACACAGGTGTGTCCCTCCCCAGCAGGTGGACCTGTCCCCGTTCCAGCTGCTGGCGCTGGAGGCTCACCTGAGCCTGGGGGTGGGTACAGGTGTATCAGAGATCACACAGGTGTATCAGAGATCACTCAGGTGTGTCACAGGTGTATCAGACATCACACAGGTGTGTCAGAAGTCACACAGGTGTGACAGAGGTGTGACACAGGTGTGTCAGAGATCACACAGGTGTGACACAGGTGTGTCAGAGATCACACAGGTGTGGCACAGGTGTGTCAGAGATCACACAGGTGTGGCACAGGTGTGTCAGAGATCACACAGGTGTGGCACAGGTGTGTCAGAGATCACTCAGGTGTGTCAAAGATCACACAGGTGTATCACAGGTCACTCAGGTGTGTCAGAGATCACACACAGGTGTAACAGAGATTGGTACAGGTGTGTCACAGGTGTGACAGAGATCACTCAGGTGTATCAGAGATCACACAGGTGTATCAGAGATCACACAGGTGTATCAGGGATTGGTACAGGTGTATCACAGGTGTATCACAGATCACACAGGTGTATCAGAGATGGGCACAGGTGTATCACAGGTGTCACAGGTGTGTCACAGGTGTGTCAGAGATCACTCAGGTGCATCAGGGATGGGCACAGCTGTATCACAGGTGTATCACAGGTATGACAGGTGTATCACAGGTGTGACACAGGTGTAACAGGGATGGGTACAGGTGTATCACAGGTGTATCACAGGTATGACAGGTGTATCACAGGTGTGTCACAGGTGTGTCACACAGGTGTGTCTGTCCCCCCCCAGCAGGTGGACCTGTCCCCGTTCCAGCTGCTGGCGCTGGAGGCTCACCTGAGCCTGGGGGTGGTACAGGTGTATTAGGGATGGGCACAGGTGTGTCACAGGTGTGACAGGTGTCACTCAGGTGTATCAGGGATGGGTACAGGTGTGACACAGCTGTGTCAGAGACCACACAGGTGTATCAGGGATGGGTACAGGTGTATCACAGGTATGACAGGTGTATCACAGGTGTGTCACACAGGTTTATCAGAGGGCACTCAGGTGTATCAGAGATCACTCAGGTGTGTCAGGGATTGGTACAGGTGTATCACAGGTGTATCAGAGATCACTCAGGTGTATCAGAGATCACACAGGTGTGACACAGGTGTGACAGGGATGGGTACAGGTGTATCAGAGGTCACTCAGGTGTGTCACAGATGTTACAGGTGTGACACAGGTGTGTCAGAGATCACACAGGTGTGTCACAGGTATATCAGATCACACAGGTGTGTCACACAGGTGTATCACAGGTCACACAGGTGTATCAGAGGTCACACAGGTGTATCAGAGATGGGTACAGGTGTGTCATAGGTCACACAGGTGTGACTCAGGTGTGTCAGGGATCACTCAGGTGTATCAGGGATGGGTACAGGTGTCACTCAGGTGTGACAGGGATGGGTACAGGTGTCACAGGTGTATCACAGGTGTGTCACACAGGTGTGTCCCCCCCCAGCAGGTGGACCTGTCCCCGTTCCAGCTGCTGGCGCTGGAGTCTCACCTGTCGCGCTACGCGGCCGATCGGTTCCTGCCGCGCTTCCGCCTGACGCGGCGCCTCCTGTGGGACGTGGCGGCCGCGCCCGAACCGCCCCCGCGCCCCAAACCCGTCCGCATGAAGGTCAACAGGTAACGCACCTGGGCATGCCTGGGGGGGGGTGGGGGCACACCTGGGCACACCTGGGGGGGTTTGGGACACACCTGGGGGCATGTGGGGGCACACATGGGCACGCACCTGGGGGGGGTTGGGGGGTGGGGACACACCTGGGGGGGTTTGGGGTCACCTGGGCACTGACCTGGGGGCACCTGGGGGGGGGGGGTTGAGCACACCTGGGGGGTGGGGACACACCTGGGGTCACCTGGGCACATCTTGAGGGTTTGGGGACACACATGGGCATACCTGGGCACACCTGGGGGGGGTTGGGACACACCTGAGGGGGTTTGGGACACACCTGAGGGGGGTTGGGACACATCTGGGGGGGGGTTGGGACACACCTGGACAGGTGTGACACACCTGAGGGGTTTGGGACACACCTGAGGGGTTTGGGACACACCTGAGGGGTTTGGGACACACCTGAGGGGTTGGGGACACACCTGAGGGGGTTGGGACACACCTGAGGGGGGTTGGGACACACCTGAGGGGGTTTGGGAACACCTGGGCACACCTGGGGGGGTTTGGGCACACCTGGGAGGGGTTGGGACACACCTGGGGGAATTGGGAACATATTTGGGGGGTCTTGGCACACCTGGGCAGGGTTGGGGATACACCTGGGCACATCTGGGGGCACCTGGGGGGAGTTTCGGGCACACCTGGGGGGGTCTGGGGACACCTGGGCACTCAGCTGGGGGTACCTGGGAGGGCTCTGGGCACACCTGGGGAGGGGCTGGGCACACCTGGACACACCTGGGGGGCTGGGCACACACCTGGGAGGGTTGGAGACACACCTGGGCACACCTGGAGGGGTGGGCACTCACCTGGGGGCACCTGGGCATGCACGTGGGCACATCTTGGGGGAGGTTTGGGGGCACACCTGGGCACACTTGGGCTTACCTGGGGGGGGTTGGGCACACCTGAGCACACCTGGGGAGGGGTTGGGCACACACCTGGGAGGGTGGGGACACCTGGGGGGAGTGGGGACACACCTGGGGGCACCTGGGCATGCACCTGGGCACACCTGGGGGGTGGGGACACGCCTGGGGGGGTTGGGCACACACCTGGGCACACACCTGGGGGATGGGGACACACCTGGGGGGGTTGGGGATACACCTGGGCACACCTGGGCACACCTGGGCACACCTGGGGGGATTTTGGACACACCTGTGAGGGTCTGGTGTCACACCTGGGCAGGTTTTGGGCACACCTGGTCACACCTGGGAGGCTCTTTGGGCACACCTAGTCACACCTGGGGGGGTCTGGTGTCACACCTGAGCACACCTGGGCACACCTGGGCAGGTTTTGGGCACACCTGGGCATACCTGGGAGGATTTTGGGCACACCTGGGGGGGGTTTGGGCACACCTGGGCACACCTGGGCACACCTGGGGGATATTTTGGGCACACCTGGGGGTGTCTCATGTCCCACCTGTCCCACCTGTCCCACCTGTCCCACCTGTCGGCCCCGCCCCTCCCCAGGATGCTGCAGCCGGTGCCGAAGGCGGAGCCTCGGGCTGTTCTCCTCCTCCCCGCCCCCCGCCCCGCCCCGGGGGGCGTGGCCTCACCTGGCCCCGCCCCCTCCGCGCCAAGCCCCGCCCCCTCCGCGCCGGGCCCCGCCCCCCTGCTGGTGGCCCCGCCCCTGGTGACGATTGGCCACGCCCCGACCACGCCCACCGCGCAGGGCCCCGCCCCCTTGGTGACGTCACAGGGGGCGGGGCTGAACCTGGGGCTGGCGCTGGCCCCGCCCCGGGCCACGCCCACTCTGCTGGCCACGCCCACCGCGGGCACCGCCCACGGTGAGTAATGGGTTAATTAGGGTGGGGTTAATTAGGGGTTAATTAGGGGCGGGTGGGGTTAATTGGGGCGGGGTTAATTGGGGTTTAATTAGGGGTGGGTGGGGTTAATTGGGGCGGGGTTAATTAGGGGTTAATTAGGGGTGGGTGGCGTTAATTGGGGTGGGTTAATTGGGAGCGGGGTTAATTGGGGCGGGGTTAATTGGGGTGGGACTTGATTGAGAGTTAATTAGGGGTGGAGTTTATTAGGGGTTGGTTAATTAGGGGTGGGGTTAATTAGGGGTGGGGATTGATAGGGAGTTAATTAGGGGTGGAGTTAATTAGAGGTGGGGCTTGGGTGGGAGTTTATTAGGGGTGCGGTTAATTAGGGTGGAGTTAACAAGGGGCGGGGCTTGATTGAGAGTTAATTAGAGGTGGGTTATTTAGGGGTGGGGTTAATTGGGAGTGGGGTTAATTAGGGTGGGGTTAATTGGGGTGTGGTTAATTAGAGGTGGGGTTAATTGGGGTGGGGTTAATTAGGGGTGGGACTCGATTTGGAGTTAATTAGGGGTGGGGTTAATTGGGGTAATGTTAATTAGGGGTGGGGTTAATTAGGGGTGGGGTTAATTAATTGGGGTGGGGTTATTTAGAGATGGGGTTAATTGGGGGTGGGGTTAATTGGGGTGAGGTTAATTGGGGGTGGGGTTAATTAGGGTGGGGCTTGATTGAGAGTTAATTAGGGGTGGGGTTAAGTAGGGGTGGGCCCTGATTGGGAGTTAATTACAGGTGGGGTTAATTAGGTATGGGGCTTGATTGGGAGTTAATTAGGGGTGGGGTTAATTAGGGGTGGAGTTAATTAGGAGTGGAGCTTGATTGGGAGTTAATTAGGGGTGGTCTTAATTAGAGGTGGATCTAATTACAAGTGGGGCTTGATTAAGAGGTAATTAGGGGTGGAACTTAATGGCTCATGTTAATTAGGGGTGGGTCTTAATTGGGAGTGGGGATTAACTGGGGGTGGGGCTTAATTAGGAAGGGGTGTGGCTTAATTAGTCAGGGGCAGGGCTTAATTAAGACACTTAATTAGGATTGGGGATTAAAATTGATGGGGAGGGCCTGGGGGGCAGAGCTTTCTGTATTTAAATGAGGTGGGCGTGGCCTAACCCAATTTCCTTTCAGCCGCCGCCTTGGCCACGCCCACCCCGGTGGTTGGCCCCGCCCCCTCGGCCACGCCCACCCCAAATTTGGGGAAGGGGGCGGGGCCAGCGCCGGCCCCGCCCGTCGCCGCCTTCGCGCTGCCCCAGCGGCTCCTGCTGGCCCCGGACATGCAGGCCCGGCTGCCCTGTAAGCCACGCCCCCTCCTCATTTGCATCTCATTTGCATGAACGCGCCCTCGAAGCTTTTCCCCTCCTCAAAGCGATTCCCGGGAGTTTTTCCCAAAATTTCTCCTAATTTCCTCAAAATTCCCCCAGATTTTCTAATTTTTCCACCAGAAGGCTCATTTTCCTCTCATTTGAATCTCATTTGCATATCATTTGCATATCATTTGCACACGGTTTAAACATTTTCTAATACTTAAAGCCATTCTTAAAAATTTTCCACAAATTATCCCAAATTTCCATGAAATTCTCCCAAATCCTCCCAAAATCTTCCTTTTGCGCTCATTTGTATCTCATTTTCATCTCATTTGCATGACTGCATCTTCAAAGCTTTTCCCCTCCTCAAAGCGATTCCTGAGAGTTTTCCCCAAAATTTCTCCAAATTTCCTCAAAATTCTCCCAGATTTTATCAGATTTTTTTCACTGAAATGCTCATTTTTATCTCATTTGCATCTCATTTGCATGAGCGCTATTTAAAGCTTTCTAGTCCCAAAAAAACAATTTGGAAAATTTTCCTTAAAGTTGCTCCAAATTTCCTCAAAATTCCCCCAAATCCTCTCAGGACCCTTCCCCAAACCTTCCCTTTCTGTTCATTTACATATCATTTGCATCTCATTTGCACGCAGTTTGAAAATTTTCTAATCCTTAAAGCCATTCTTAAAAATTTTCCACAAATTATCCCAAATTTCCACAAAATTCTCCCAAATCCTCTCAAAATCTTCCTTTTGCGCTCATTTGCATTTCATTTGCATCTCATTTGCATCTCATTTGCATGACCGCGCCTTTAAAGCTTTTCCCCATCCTCAAAGCGATTCCCGAGAGTTTCCCCCCAAAATTTCTCCAAATTTCCTCAAAATTCCCCCAGATTTTTTAAACTTTTCCACTGAAAAGCTCTTTTTCCTGTCATTTGCATCTCGTTTGCATCTCATAATTTGAATATTTTCTACATCGTACTCCCCCAGGCGCCATTTTTGAATCCCCAAATTCCTGTTTTTCCTCCTAAAATCCCCCCTAAATCCCCCTAAAACCTCCCCTGACCCCCTCTTATCCCCCTAATTAACATTTAATTTGCATAACCACCTCATAATTTGCATAACTACCCCCTCCCCCACCTCTTGGGCGCCATTTTGAAATTCCCAATTCCCGTTTTTCCTCCAAAATCCTCCCTAAATTTCCCTAAAACCTCCTCAAATCTCCTCTAATTCCCCTATTTAGTCCCTAATTTACATATTTATCATAAAATTTGCATAACTACTCCCTCCACCACCCCTAGGGCGCCATTTTAGAATTCACAAAATGCCCAAAATTCCCCATTTTCCCTCCAAAATCCCCCCAAAATCCCCCTGAAACCTCCCAAAACCCTCTGTAATCTTCCTAATTAACATCTAATTTACATAATTTCCACATAATTTGAATATTTACCTCATCCCATACCACCACGGCGCCATTTTGAAATTCACAATTTTCGTTTTTCCTCCCAAATCCCCCCAAAATCCCCCCAAACTCTCCGCAAACCCACTATAATCACCCCAATTAACCCCTAATTTGCATAGTCACCCCATAATTTGAAAATTTACCTCATCCCACACCCCCAGGACGCCATTTTTGAATTCTGAATTTCCCGTTTTTCCTCAAAAATTTTCCAAAAATCCCCCAGGAACCCCCCCAAACCCCCTCCCACCCCCCTAATTAACCCCTAATTTGCATAAATAGCCCACAATTTCCATACCCACCCCCTGCCCCACCCGCAGGGCGCCATTTTGGAATCCCCAAATTCCCATTTTTCCTCCAAAATCCTCCTGAAATCCCCCTAAAATCCCCCTAAAACCTTCCCAAACCCTCTGTAATCGCCCCAATTAACCCCTAATTTGCATAATCACCACAAAATTTACATAACTACCCTGTCCGTTGTCCCCCAGGCGCCATTTTGAATTTCGCAATTTTCGGTTTTCCTCCCCAAACCCTCCCAAATCCCCCTTAAAAGGCCCCGACACCCTCTCTAATCTTCCTAATTAACATCTAGTTTACATAATAACCACATAATTTGAATAATTGCCATATACCACACTTCCAGGGCGCCATTTTGGAATCCCCAATTTGCCGTTTTTCCTCAAAAATCCCTTTAAAACCCCCCTAAAACCACCGAAAACCCCCTCCAATGCTCCTAATTAACCCTTAATTTGCATAATCACAAAATTTGCATCACTACCTCGTCCCTTGCCCCCTGGGCGCCATTTTGGAATCCCCAAATTCCCGTTTTTCCTCCTAAAATCGCTTTAAAACCCCCCTGAAACCTCCCCAGACCCTCTGTAATCTTCCTAATTAGCCCATAATTTGCATAATTTGCATAACTACTCCCTCACCCACCTCTTGGGTGCCATTTTGGAATTCCCAAATTCCCGTTTTCCCTCCAAATTCCCCCCCAAAATCCCCCAAAATCCCCCCAAAACCCCCCCAAACCCCCTAATTACCCCCTAATTACCCCCTAATCACCCCTAATTTGCATATCCCCCCATTTAGCGGGCGAGCTCGTCAGCCTGGGCGCTCTGGCCGCGCTGGCCCCGCCCCGCCCCGCCCCCCCCGCCGCGGGGGGCGTGGCCAAACCCGCGGGGCCCCTCCCCCCTCCGGCCCCGCCCCCCGCGCAGGCCCCGCCCCCTCTGACGTTGCAGCTGCAGGGCGGGAAAGTGACGCTCGGCCCCGCCCCCCCATTACGTCACCTGGCGCTGGCCCCGCCCCCCGCGCGCGGATTGGCCCGTGAGTAACAGAGGGGGCGGGGCCACAGCGGGGGGCGGGGGGGTGGGGGAATTTGGGGGAATTTTGGGGGGATTTTGGGGGTTTTAGGGAAATTTGAGATTTTTTGGGGGAATTTAAGGGGGATTTTGGGGGATTTTGGGGGGATTTTAGGGAGAAATTTGGGAATTTTGGGGAATTTGGGGGGGAAATTTGGGATTTTGGGGGTTTTGGAACAATTTTGGGATTTTTTGGGGAATTTAAGGGGAAATTTGGGAGGATTTGGTGGGAAATTTTGGGAAAAATTTGGGGGCAATTGGGGATTTTGGGAGGAATTTGGGGATTTTGGGGGGATTTTAGGGGATTTTGGGGGGATTTTGGGGGAATTTTGGGAGGATTTGGGAAGAAATTTGGGAATTTTGGGGAATTTGGGGGGAATTTGGGGGAAATTTGGAATATTTTGGGGGAAATTCGGGGGGAATGTCGGGAAAAATTTGGTGATTTTGGGGGGAATTGGGGATTTTGGGGGGGATTTTGGGGGATTTTTGGGAAATTGGGGATTTTGGGGGCTTTTGGGGGAATTTTGGGGGGAAATTTGGGGGGAATGTGGGGAGAAATTTGGGGATTTTGGGATGAGTTTTGGGAATTCTTGGGAAGATTTTTGGGAGGATTTGGGGGGGATGTGAGGAAATTTTGGGGGGAAATTTGGGGAAATTGGGGATTTTGGGGGGATTTGGGGTAAATTTGGGAGGATTTGGGGATTTTGGGTGAGATTTTGGGGGAAATTTTTGAGATTTTAAGGAAATCTGGGATTTTTTTGGAATTTAAGGAGAAATTTTGGAGGGGAATTTGAGAGGATTTGGGGATTTTGGGGGGTATTTTGGGGAGAAATTCGGTAATTTGGGGGATTTGGGGAGAAAATTTGGCAATTTTAAGGGGATTTTGGGGGAATTCAGGAGGGAATTTTGGGGAAATTCGGGATTTTTTGGGGAATTTGGGGGAATTTTGGGGGAAATTGGGGATTTGGGGGGATTTTGGGGGGAATTCGGGAGATTTTGGGGGGATTTGGGGGGAATTTTGAGGGATTTGGGGGGAATTTGGGGAAATTTGGTGGATTTTGGGGGGAATTTGGGAATTTGGGGGATTTTTGGAGATTTTGGGGGAATTTTGGGAGATTTTGGGGGAATTCGGGAGATTTTGGGGGAATTTTGGGATTTTTTGGGGAATTTGGGGGAAAATTTGGGGGAAATTTTGGGAGGAATTGGGGGGAATGTTGAGAAAAATTTGGGGATTATGGGGGGATTTGGGGAAATTGGGGATTTTGGGGGGAAATTGATGATTTTGGGGGAGATTTTGTGGATTTTGGGGGGAATTCGGGAATTTTTGCGATTTTGGGGCAAATTTGGGGATTTTTGAGGGAATTATAGGAGGATTTGGGGGCATTTTGGGGGGAATGTTGGTGGATTTTGGGGATTTTTGGGGGAAATTTGGGGATTTTGGGAGAAAATTTGGGAATTTTAAGGTGATTTTGGGAGGATTTGGGGGAATTTGGGATTTTTGGGGGAATTTGGGATTTTTGGGGAATTTGTGGGGAATTTTGAAGGAACAATCCGAAATTTTGGGGATTTGGGAAGCAATTTTAGGGATTTTGGTGGAAATTTGGGAATTTGGGGGGAATTTGGAATTTTGGAGGAATTTTGGGAGGATTTGGGGAGAAATTTGGGAATTTTGGGGGAATTCGGGAGATTTTGGGGAAATTTGGGATTTTGGGGGATTTTGGGAGGATTTAGGGATTTTGGGAGGAATGTCGGGGATTTTGGGGGGAAATTTAGGAGATTTTGAGGGGATTTTAGGGAATTTTTGGAAAAATTCGTGATTTTTGGGGGGATTTTAGGGGGAAATTTGGGAGATTTTGGGGGGATTTTAAGGAAATTGGGGATTTTGGTGGGATTTTGGAGAATTTTGGGAGGAGTTGGGGATTTTGGGAGGAATTCGAGAATTTTTTGGGATTTTGGGGGGATTTGGGGATTTTGGGGGGGAAATTTGGGAATTTAAGGAGGATTTTTGGAGGATTTGGGGGGAATTTGGGGATTTTGGGGGAATTTTGGGAGGATTTTGGGGAAATTTGAGATTTTTGGGGAATTTGGGGGGGATTTGGGGGGAATTTTGAGGGGAAAATCAGAAACTTTTTGGGATTTTGGGAGAAGATTTGGGAATTTTTGGGGGAATTTGGAAGATTTTTGGGAAATTTGGGTTTTTAGGGGAAATTTTGGGAGAATTTGGGGGAATTTGGGGGGAATGTCGGGAAAAATTTGCGGATTTTGGGGGGATTTTGGGAATTCTTGGGGAGAATTTTGGGGGGATTTGGGGATTCTGGGGAGGATTTTGGGAATTTTGGGGAAAATGGGGAATTTTGGGGGGATATTTTGGGGGGAAATATGGGAGGAAAATGGGGAAAAATCGCAAAAAATTTGGGGAAAAAAGGGGAAAATTGGGAAAAAAAAGGGAAAATTTGGCGGGAAATAGGAAGATTTGTGATAATTTGGAAATTTGGGGGAAAATGGGAAATTTTTGGGAAAATGTGGGAAAAAAATGGGGGGAAATTGCAGTAAAAAGTTGGGGGGAAACGGGGGGAAATAAGGGAAAAAATGGGAAAATTTGCAGAAAAATGGGAAAATTTGTGTAATTTTGGGGAAAATAGGGAATTTTGGGGGGAAATTTGGGGTGGAAATTTGGGAAGAAAATGAGAAAAAAAATCACAAAAAATTGGGGGGAAAAGGGGGAAAATTGGCGGGAAATGGGAAAAGTTGTGGAAAACGGGAAAATTTGTGAAATTTTGGGGAAAATGGGGAATTTTGGGGGGAATTTTGGGAGAAATTTTGGGGTGGAAATTTTGGAATAAAATGGAGAAAAATCACAAAAAATTGGGGAAAAAAGGGAAAATGTAGAAAAAAAAGGGAAAATTTGGCGGGAAATGGGAAAATTATAAAATTTTGGGAATTTTGTGGGATTTTGGGAATTTTGTGGGGAATTTAGGGGGGAAATTTGGGAAGAAAATGGGGGAAAAAAATCACAAAAAATTGCGGGGTAAAGGCAGAAAATTGGGAAAAAAAAGGGAAAATTTGGCGGGAAATCGGAAAATTTGTGGAATTTATGGAATTTTGGGGAAAATGTGGAATTTTGGGGGGAAATATGGGAGGAAAATGGGGAAAAATCGCAAAAAAATTGGGGGTAAAAGGGGGAAAATTGGGGGAAAAAGGGAAAATTTGGCGGGAAATGGGAAAAATTGTGGAATTTATGGAATTTGTGGAATTTGTGAAATTTTGTGGGGAATTTAGGGGGAAATTTGGGAAGAAAATGGGAAAAATATCACAAAAAATTGAGGGAAATTGGGAGTCAAATTGGGAAAAAAAAGGGAAAATTTGGCGGGAAATGGGAAAATTTGTGGAAAATGCGGATATTTGGGAATTTTGGGGAAAATGTAATTTTGGGGGGGAATTTTGGGAAGAAAATGGGGAAAAATCACAAAAAATTAGGGAAAAAAGGGAAAATGTAGAAAAAATGGGAAAATTTGGTGGGAAATGGGAAATTTATGGAATTTCGGCAATTTGGTGGAATTCTGGGAAATTTAGGAAGAAAATGGGGAAAAATTGCAAAAATTGGGGGAAAAAGGGAAAATTTGCAGAAAATGGAAAACTTTCTGGAAAATGGGAAAATTTGTGAAAAATGGGGAATTTTGGGACTTTTGGGGGGGAATTTTGGGGTGGAAATATGGGAAGGACACGGGAAAAAATCACAAAAAATTTAGGGAAAAAAGGGGGGAACTGGGGAAAATTTGTGAAATTTGGGGGGAAATGGGGAATTTGTGGAATTCTGGGGAGATTTGGGGGGAAATTTGGAAAGAAAACGGGAAAAAAAATCACAAAAAATCGGGGGGAAAAGGGGGAAATTTGGGCAAAAAAAGGGAAAATTTGGCGGGAAATGGGAAAATTTGTGATAATTTGGGAATTTTGGGGAAAATGGGAATGTTTTGGGGAAAATTTGGGAAAAGAATGGGGGAAACTTGCAGTAAAAAGTTAAGGGAAAGGGGGGGGAAATTGGTGGAAAATAGGGAAAATTTGGCGGAAAATGGGAACATTTGGGATAATTTGAGAATTTTGGGGAAAATGGGAAGTTTTGGGGGAAATTTTGTGGAATTTTGGGAATTTTAGGCGGGAAATTTGGGAAAAAAATGGGGAAAAAATCACAAAAAAATGTGGGGAAAAGGCGGAAAATTGGGGGAAAAAAGGGAAAATTTGGCGGGAAACGGGAAACTTTGTGTAATTTTGTGTAACTTTACGGAATTTCGGGAATTTTCAGGTCACGTGGTGCACCTGGTGGCCGCGGGGGGGCAGCACCTGCTGGCCCCGCCCACCCAGCTGGCCCTGCTGGCGCCCCTGGGAGCCCCCGCGGCGGGGGGCGGGGCCGGGGGCGGGGCCGGGGGCGGGGCCGGGGTGGCCACGCCCCCTCCGCCCCCCGCGGGGCTCGGGCTCCCCCTGGCGGCGGCGCAAGGTCAGGCAGGAAGGGGTTAAACACACCTGGGGGGGGTAAATGCACCTGGGGGGGCACCTGGGCACACCTGGGCACTCACCTGGGCACACCTGGGGGTATCTGGGCACACCTGAGAGGGGTTAAACACACCTGAGAACTCACCTGGGCACACCTGGGGGGGGGAAATATACCTGGGGGGGGTTAGACACACCTGAGGGGGGGTTAAACACACCTGAGAACTCACCTGGGGGGGGTAAACACACCTGGGCACACCTGGATGGGGTTAAACACACCTGGGGGCACCTGGGCACACCTGGGGGTACCTGGGAGGTACTTGGGGGCTCACCTGGGCATAGCTGGGCACACCTGGGGGTACCTGGGCACGGTTAAAACACACCTGAGGGGGGGTTAAACACACCTGGGAACTCACCTGGGCACAGCTGGATGGGGTTAAACACACCTGGGCACACCTGGGGGCACCTGGGCACACCTGGGGGGGATTAGACACACCTGAGAACTCACCTGGGCACACCTGGGGGCACCTGGGGGCACCTGGGCACACCTGGGGTATATTTTGGGCATACCTGGACACACCTGGGCACACCTGCGGGGGGTTAAACACACGAGAGAACTCACCTGGGCACACCTGGGCACACCTGGGGGTACCTGGGCACACCTGGGCACAGTTAAAACACACCTGGGCACACCTGGGGGTACCTGGGCACACCTGGGCACAGTTAAAACACACCTGGGCACACCTGAGGGGTACCTGGACACACCTGAGCACTCACCTGGGCACAGCTGGGGGGCAGCTGGGGGTACCTGGGCACACCTGGGGGGGGTTCAACACACCTGAGAACTCACCTGGGCACACCTGGGCACAGTTAAAACACACCTGGGCACACCTGGGGGGGGTTTGGACACACCTGAAAACTCACCTGGGCACACCTGGGGGTACCTGGGGTGTACTTGGGAGCTCACCTGGGCACACCTGGGGCACACCTGGGGGTACCTGGGCACACCTGAGAACTCACCTGGGCACAGCTGGGGGGCAGCTGGGGGTACCTGGGCACAGCTGGGGAGGGTTCAACACACCTGACAACTCACCTGGGGGCACCTGGGCACACCTGGGCAGGGTTAGACACACCTGGGGGCACCTGGGGGTACCTGGGCACACCTCGGGGGGCTTAAACACACCTGACGGGGGGTTAAACACACCTGAAAACTCACCTGGGGACACCTGGGAGTACCTGGGGGGGTTAAACACACCTGGGCACACCTCGGGGTACCTCTGGGGGCACCTGGGGATACCTGGGGGCCACCTGGGCACACCTGGGGGGAGGTTAGGACACACCTGGGCACACCTGGGAGCTCACCTGGGCACACCTGGGCACAGCTGGGGGCACCTGGGGGCACCTGGGGGGGTTCAACACACCTGAGAACTCACCTGGGCACACCCAGGGGTATCTGGGCACACCTGGGCACAGTTAAAACACACCTGGGCACAGCTGGGCACACCTGGGGGCTTTGAGGGCTGTTTTGGGGGTGATTTTAGGATAATTTTTGGGTGTTTTTGGGAAAACTTTGGGATTGATTTTAGGATAACTTTGGGGTAATTTTGGGGTGACTTTGGGGTGATTTTAGGGTAATTTTGGGATAACTTTGGGATTGATTTTTAGGATAACTTTAAGGTGTATTTGGGGTGGTTTGGGGGTGTTTTTGGGGTGATTTTAGGGTAATTTTGGGGTGATTTTAGGATAACTTTGGGATTGATTTTAGGATAATTTTGGGGTGATTTTTGGGTAATTTTGGGGTGATTTCAGGATATTTTCGGGGTCCCTGACCCCCTTTTTCCCAGGTGATTTTAGGATCATTTCGGGGTTATTTTAGGGTAATTTTGGGGTGATTTTGGGATAACTTTTGGATTTTTTTTTAGGATCATATTGGGGTAATTTTAGGGTAATTTTGGGGTGTTTTTGGGATAACTTTGGGATTAACTTCAGGGTAATTTTGGGGTGTTTTGGGGTAATTTTGGGGTGATTTCGGGATATTTTCGGGGTCCCTGACCTCCTTTTTCCCAGGTGATTTAAGGATAATTTTGGGGTGTTTTTTGGGTAATTTTGGGCTTAATTTAGGATAATTTTGGGGTCCCTGACCCCCTTTTTCCCGGGGGATTTTAGAATCATTTTGGGGTGATTTTAGTGTAATTTTTGGGTGTTTTTGGGATAACTTTGGGATTGATTTTAGGATTATTTTGGGGTGTATTTGGTGTGGTTTTGGGGTGATTTCAGGATAATTTCGGGGTCCCTGACCCCTTTTTTTCCAGGTGATTTTAGGATAATTTTGGGGTGATTTTTGGGTAATTTTGGGGTGATTTCAGGATAATTTTGGGGTCCCTGACCCCCTTTTACCCAGGTGACTTTAGGATAATTTTGGGGTGTTTTTGGGGTAATTTTGGGGTGTTTTTGGGATAACTTTGGGATTGACTTTAGGATTATTTTGGGGTAGTTTTAGGGTAATTTTGGGGTGTTTTTGGGGTGATTTCGGGATAATTTCGGGGTCCCTAACCCCCTTTTTTCCCCCTTTTCCCGCAGTTCCGGCGCCGCTGGTGAACAGCGGGGGAGGGGTGGTGAAGATCGTGGTGCGCCAGGGGCCCCCCCCCGCCCCTCCCCCACCCCCCGGCCCCTCCCCCCAGCCCCGCCCCCCCCTCCTGCGGGTGCTGCCCGCCGCCCCTCCCCCACCCCCGCCCGGCCCCGCCCCCACCCCGGGACCGCCCCCGGGCGGGGCCAACGCCACGGAGACAGGTGAGTGATGAAAAACCCCGAAATTACCCCAAAAAATGGGCCAAAATGGACCCAAAAATGGCCCAAAATTGGCCCCAAAATGGCCCCAAAAAAGACCCAAATTGGCCCCAATGTGCCCCAAAATGGTCTCCATAAATGCCCCAAAATGGCCCAAAAAATGACCCAAATTGGCCCCAAAAATGGCCCAAATTGGCCCCAAAATGGACTCCAAAAATGGCCCCAAAATGGCCAAAAAAAATGCCCCAAAATTGGCCCCAAAAATGCCCCAAAATGGCCCCAAAAGTGCCTCAAAATGGCCTCAAAAATGCCCCAAATTGGCCTCCAAAAATGCCCCAAAATGGCCTCCAAAAATTACCGAAATTTGCCCCAAAAATCACCAAAAATGCCTCAAAATTGGTCCCAAAGATGCCCCAAAAATCACCCAAAAATGCTCTAAAATGGCAAAAAAAAGCCCCAAAATTGGCCCCAAATTGGCCCCAAAATCGCCCCACAATGGCCCCAAACATTCTCCCAAAATGGCCCCAAAAATTTGGCAACATGGCCCCAAAAATTCCCCCACAATGGCCCCAGAATGGCCCCAAAAATCACCATAACTGGACCTAAAATTTCCCCAAAATTGGCCCAAAAATTCCCCCAAAATGACCCAAATACTCCCCCAAATTGATCACAAAAAATGCCCCAAAATGGCCCCAAAAATTCCCTGAAATTGCCCCAAAAAGTCATTAAATTGTCCCGAAAAATCCATAAAATTGCCAAAAAAATTCCCCCAAATGGTTCCAAAATTTCCCCTAAAATAGCCCCAAAACTTCCCCAAAATGGCCCCAAAATCCCCGAATTCCCCCAAGTTCCCCCAAAATCCCCCAAATTCCCAAAATTCCCCCCAAAATCCCGCCAAATTCCCCAAAATCCCCCAAAATTCCCCAAAATCCCCCCAAATTCCCCCGCAAATGCCCCAAATTTCCCCAAAATCCCCCCAAAATTTCCAAATTTCCCCCCAAATTTCCCCCAATTTTCATCTTCTCCACCCGGGGGACGCCCCAAATTTTTCCCAAATTCCCCAAAATCCCCAAATTTCCCCAAAATCCCCCCAAAAACCCCCCCTGACCCCTCCCCCCTCTCTTTTCTCTCCGCAGCCCCTCCCCCCACGCCGCCCCTCCCCCCTCCCGCTCAGGCCCCGCCCCCTCCGCCTTTGGCCACGCCCCTTTCCCGCGAGGAACCGGAAGCGACGGGGGCGGGGCTTAGCCCGTCTTTGACCACGCCCACCGGTGCACAAGCCACGCCCACCGTTGCTCAAGCCACGCCCATTTCGGCTCAAGCCACGCCCCCTCCGGCTCAGGCCCCGCCCCTTTCCCCGCGGCCCCTCCCCCCCCGCCGGCAGCCGCCGCCCCCCCCGCGCTCCCCCTTCTACCTGGTAAGGGAATTTGGGGGGATTTGGGGGGTTTTGGGGGGGTTTGGGGGAATTTGGGGGGGTTTGGGGGAAATTTGGGGGGAAATTTGGGGGTTTGGGGGAGAAATTTTGGGGGATTCTGGGGGAAAATTTGGGAATTTTGGGGTAATTTGGGGATTTTTGGGGAAATTTGGGGATTTTTGAAAAAATTTGGGGGGATTTTGGGGGATGTTCGGGGGTCCTGGGGGTAGGGGAGGGGAAATTTGGGGGATTTTGGGAAAATTTGGTGGATTTTGGGGAAATTCGGGGGATTTTGGGGAAATTCGGGGGATTTGGGGGGTTTTGGGGGGGAATTTGGAGGAATTTGGGGGTTTTGGGGATTTTTGGGAAAATTTGGGGGGGTTTGAAGGGGAAATTTGGGGATTTCGGGAGATTTGGGGGGTTTTTTGTATTTTGAGGAATTTGGGGGGAAATTTTGCGAAATTTGGGGAGATTTTTCAGAAATTTTGGGAGATTTGGGGAAATTAGGGGATTTTTGGGAAAATTTGGGGGGGTTTGAGGAGAATTTGGGGATTTTGGGGAAATTTTGGGAATTTTGGGGGGTCCCGGGGGTGGGGGAGGGGAAATTTAAGGGATTTTGGGGGGGAATTTTGGAAAATTTGGGGGATTTTTGGAAAATTTGGGGATTTTGGGGAGATTTTGTGAAAATTTGGGAAATTTGGGGAAATTTGGGGGATTTTGGGGAGATTTGGGGAATTTTGCGGAAATTCGGGGGCTTTGGGGGGTCCTGGGTGTGGGGGAGGGGAAATTTGGGGATTTTTGGGGAAATTTGGGGATTTTTGGAAAATTTGGGGATTTTGGGGAGATTTTGTGAAAATTTGGGGATTTTGGTGGCATTTGGGAAAAATTCGGGGGTTCCCGGGTGTGGGGGAGGGAAGCTCGGGGGTTTTGGGGGAAATTTGGGGGATTTTGGGAGATTTTGGGGTTTTGGGGGATTTTGAGGATTTTTGGGAATTTGGGGGGAAATTTGGGGAGATTTTGGAAAATTTGGGGGATTTTCAGTGGGAATTTGGGGGTTTGGAAGGAAATTTGGGAAATTTGGGGGGAAATTTGGGGAAAATTTGGGAATTTTGGAGAAATTTTGGGGGGAGAATTGCGGGATTTTGGGTGGAACTTTTGGGGATTTTTAGGGGGGAATTTGGGGGATTTTTGGGGGGGTTTGGTGGAATTTGGGGGTTCAGGGGTGGGGGAGGGGAAATTTTGAGGGATTTTGGAGAAATTTTGGGGATTTTTGGGGGGACATTTGGCTAATTTTTGGCGAGAATTTGGGAATTTCGGGTGGAAATTTGGGAATTTTGGGGTATTTTTTGCCTTTTTTGAGCGTTTTTAGGATTTCCCCAGATTTTGGCCGTTTTAATGCATTTTTTCCCTGTTTTTTCCCCGTATTTCCCCCATTTTAAATCCGATTTTCCCCGGATTTTTTTTCCTGCTTTTCCCAACTTTTCCCATTTTTTCCTCCAAAACCCCAGTAATTTGAGATAATTTGGAATAATTTGGGACAATTTTTGGATATTTTAGAGCAGATCTTGGCTGTTTCAGTGTCGATTTGGGGGTATTTTTATGGCACTTTTTGGGTGAATTTTTCCCATTTTAAACCAGATTTTCCCCGGATTTTTTTCCTCGTTGTTCCTCAATTTTTTCCCAAATTTTTTTCACAAAATTCCCAGAATTTGGGCCCATGTTTGGGTATTTTAGAGCAGATTTTGGCCGTTTCAGTGCAGATTTTGGGACTCCCAAGACCATTTTTCTTGTGATTTTTTCCTGTATTTTCCCCATTTTAAATCCAATTTTCCCTGGATTTTTTTCCCTGCTTTTCCCACATTTTTCCCATTTTTTTTCCTCCAAAACCCCTGGAATTTGGGACAATTTGGGATAAATTTTTGGGGCTCCCAAGACCATTTTTATTGTGATTTTTCCCTGTATTTTCCCGATTTTAAATCCAGTTTTCCCCAAACTTTTTCCATGTGTTTCCTAATTTTTCCCCCAATTTTCCCTCAGAAATCCCTGGAATTTGGGATAATTTGGGATAAATTTTGGTTATTTTAGAGCAGATTTTGGCCATTTTAATGCATTTTTTCCCGTTTTTTCCCCGTATTTTCCCCATTTTAAATCCAATTCTCCCCAAATTTTTTTTCCTTATGTTTCCCAATTTTTTTCCCTATTTTTTCCCCAGGAATCCCTGGAATCCCGTCGCTCCCGGGGCCGCGCGGAGCGTCTGGAGCGGCTCCTGCGGCTGAACGAGCTTCGCTGCGGCCTCAGCCCCGTCTACGGCCGGGAGGTTTTGGGGTTCCTGACGCTGCCCCCCAGAACCTTCCAGCCCCCGGGGGGCGCCCTGGAGCGCGCCGTGCTGCCGCCCCCCCTGCGCAGACAGCAGATGCAGCCCCTGCTCGACAGGTGAGAGCGGTCCCCAAATTTTGGGGGAATTTTGGGAATTTTTTCAGGAATTTTTGCTGATTTTTTACAATTTTCCCTGATTTTTTGAGGATTTTATGGTGATTTTTAGTGATTTTTTTGGAATTTTTTGGGGTTTATTGGGATTTTTTTGGTGAGGTTTTGAGTCAGCGTGAAATTCTCAGAGTGGTAAAAACTTTAGGAATTTTTTTGGGAGTTTTTGGGGAATTTTTTAGGAATTTTTAGGATTTTTCCCAATTTTTGGGAAATTTATGGTGATTTTTTGGAGATTTTTTTTGGGATTTTTTGGGGATTTTTTGGGATTTTTTTTTGATTTTTTGGGAATTTTTCTTGATTTTTTTAGTGATTGTTTGAGCTAGGATGAAATTCTTACATTGGTAAACATTTTGGGAATTTTTTGGGAATTTTTGGTGATTTTTGGGAATTTTTGGGAATTTTTAGGATTTTTCCCAATTTTTTGGGTGATTTTTGGGGATTTTTTCCGGAATTTTAATGACTTTTTGAGCCGTTTCTATACTCAGGATAAAACTCTCAAATTGGGAAAATTTTGTGAATTTTGAGGGGAGTTTTTGGGGCCCTGGAGCGCCGTGCTGCCGCCCCCCCTGCGCCGGCAGCAGATGCAGCCCCTGCTCGACAGGTCAGCGAATTTTGGGAAGTTTTTGGGAATTTTTAGGCATTTTTTTAGCAAATTTTGGGGATTTTATAGTGATTTTTGGGGATTTTTTGGGGATTTTTTGGGGATTTTTGAGGATTTTTCTTGATTTTTTAATGATTTTTTAGGGTCAGGACGATATTAGTAGATTGGCAAAAATTTTGGGGATTTTTTGGGAATTTTTTTGGAATTTTTGGGAATTTTTTGGGGATTTTTTTGGGATTTTTTAGTGATTTTTTGGGATTTTTTTGGGATTTATTGGGATTTTTTTGATGGGGTTTTGGGTCAGGATGAAATTCTCAGAGTGGTAAAAATTTCTGGAATTTTTGGGAATTTTTTGGGGAATTTTTGGGGATTTTTGGGAATTTTTAGGGATTTTTTTTAGTACATTTTGGGGATTTTTTGGGACTTTTGCGATTTTTTGGGGATTTTTTTTGATTTTTTTTGGGATTTATGGCACGTTTTGGGTCAGGATGAAATTATCAGAGTGGTAAAAATTTCTGGAATTTTTTGGGAATTTTTAGGGATTTTTGGGATTTTTTGGTGATTTTTTGGGACTTTTTAGTGATTTTTTGGGATTTTTTGGGATTTTTCTGGATTTTTTAAATGATTTTTTTGGCTCAGCATGGTATTCTTTGATTGGTAAAAATTTGGGAAATTTTTGGGGATTTTTTGGGAATTTTTTCGGAATTTTTGGGCATTTTATGGTGATTTTTTGGGATTTTTTAGTGATTTTTTGTGGTTTTTTTACTGATTTTTTGGGATTTTTCTTGATTTTTTAATGATTTTTTTGGGTCAGCACGGTGTTCTTAGATTGCCAAAAATTTGGGGAATTTTTGGGTATTTTCTTGGGAATTTTTCGGAATTTTTGGTGATTTTTTGAAATTTTTTTGTGATTTTTTACGATTTTTTAGCGAATTCTTAGGGGTTTTTTTTGAATTTTTAGTAATTTCTTTGGCTAGTTCAGTGTCAAGGTGATATTATGAGATTAGTAAAACTTTGGGGAAATTCTGGGGATTTTTTGGGAATTTTTGGGAAATTTATGGTGATTTTTTGGGATTCTTTAGGGATTTTTTGGGATTTTTTGAGATTTTTCTTGATTTTTTTAGTGATTGTTTCAGGTCAGGATGAAATTCTTAGAGTGGTAAAAATTTGGGGAATTTTTGGGGAACTTTGAGGAACTTTCTGGCAGTTTTTAGGAATTTTAGGAGAATTTGGGAGAATTTGAGGGGAGTTTTTGGGGCTCTGGAGAGGGCGGTGCTGCCGCCCCCCCTGCGCCGGCAGCAGATGCAGCCCCTGCTCGACAGGTCAGCGAATTTTGGGGGAATTTTGGGAATTTTTCCCAAATTTTTGGTGATTTTTTGGGGGTTTTATGGTGATTTATGGTGATTTTTGGGGATTTTTTTGGGATTTTTTTGGGATTTTTTAGGATTTTTTTGGATTTATTGGGATTTTTTTCATCAGGTTTTGGGTCAGGATGAAATTATCAGAGTGGTAAAAATTTCGGGAATTTTTTGGGAATTTTTTGGGTGATTTTTGGGGGTTTTATGGTGATTCTTGGGGATTTTTTTTGGGATTTTTTAGGGATTTTTGCGATGTTCTTCAAATTTTTTAGTGATTTTTTTGGGCAGGTTTTGGGTCAAGATGACATTCTTAGATTGGTAAAATTTTGGGAATTTTTTGGGAATGTTTCCTGATTTTTTGGTGATTTTTTGGGATTTTATGGTGATTTTTTGCAATTTTTGGGGGGATTTTTTGGGGCTTTATTGTGATTTTTCTGGGCAGGTTTTGGGTCACAATGAAATTCTTAGCTCGTTAACAGTTTTGGGAATTTTTTTGGAATTTTTAGGAATTTTTAGGAATTTTTGAGAAATTTTTAGGATTTTTCCTAAATTGTTGGTGATTTTTTTGGGATTTTTTTGGAATTTTAATGATATTTTGAGCCACTTCTGTACTCAGGATAAAACTCTCAGATTGGGAAAATTTCGGGAACTTTTGGGGAACTTTGAGGAATTTTCTGGCAGTTTTTAGGAATTTTAGGGGAGTTTGGGAGGATTTGAGGGGAGTTTTTGGGGCCCTGGAGGTCCCCAAGGTGCCACCCCCCATTTCAGTGTCCCCAAATCCCAATTTTGGGGTGTCCCCCCCCCATTTCCATGTCCCCAAATCCCAATTTTGGGGTGTCCCGGTGTCCCCAGGGTGCCACCAGCCCAATTTCAGTGTCCCCAAATCCCAATTTTGGGGTGTCCAAGTAACTTTAGGGTAGAAAACCCCAAATTTAATGTGACAAACGCCCCAAAATTGTTCCCGGCTCCTCATTACCGATGTCCCCAAGGTGTCCCCAAGGTGCCACCTCCATTTTAATGTCCCCAAATCCCAATTTTGGGGTGTCACAGTGTCCCCATGGGCCAAACCAAGTGACTTTGTGGGGGGATCCAGGAGCTTTGGGCTGTTCCATGTCCCCAGGGGTGTCCCCAAGGTGCCACCCCCAATTTCATTGTCCCCAAATCCCAATTTTGGGGTGTCCCAGTGTCCCCAGGGGTGTCCCCAAAGTGCCACCCCCCATTTCCGTGTCCCCAAATCCCAATTTTGGGGTGTCCCAGTGTCCCCAAAGTGTCCCCAAGGTGCCACCCCCCATTTTAATGTCCCCAAATCCCAATTTTGGGGTGTCCAGTGTCCCCAGGGGTGTCCCAGTGTCCCCAAGTGCCACTCCAAGTAACTTTAGGGTGCAAAACTCCAACTTTAACATGACAAACGCCCCAAATTCGGTGCCAGGCCCCTGTTACCGACGTCCCCAAAGTGTCCCCAAGGTGCCACCCCCCATTTTAGTGTCCCCAAATCCCAATTTTGGGGTGTCCCAGTGTCCCCAGGTGTGTCCCAGTGTCCCCAAGTGCCACTCCAAGTAACTTTAGGGTAAAAAACTCCAAATTTAACGTCACAAACCCCCCAAATTCGATGCCGGACCCCCATAACCAACGTCCCCAAGGTGTCCCCAAGGTGCCACCTCCATTTTAATGTCCCCAAATTCCATTTTTGGGGTGTCCCAGTGTCCCCAAAGTGTCCCCAAATCCCAATTTCAGGGTATCCCAGTGACTTACAGGTAAGAAACTCAAAATTTAACATGATAAACGCCCCAAAATTGATACCAGGCCCCCCGTTAGTGATGTCCCCAAGGTGCCACCACCCCATTTTAATGTCCCCAAATCCCAATTTTGGGGTGTCCCAGTGTCCCCAGGGTGCCACCACCCCATTTCCATGTCCCCAAATCCCAATTTTGGGCTGTCCAAGTAACTTTAGGGTAAAAAACTCCAAATTTAACATGACAAACCCCCAAATTCCATACCAGGCCCCCATAACCAACATCCCCAAGGTGCCACCACCCCATTTTAATGTCCCCAAATCCCAATTTTGGGGTGTCACAGTGTCCCCAAAGTGTCCCCAAATCCAATTTTGGGGTATCCCAGTGACTTACAGGTAAAAAACTCCAAATTTAACATGACAAACCCCCCAAATTTTGTGCCCGGCCATCCATAACTGACGTCCCCAAGGTGCCACCTCTGTGTCCCCATGTCCCCACAGGTTCCAGGTGGCCGTGCCGGCGGTGGCCTCGCGGGGGGTGTCCCTTCACAGCGGCCGTCCCCCCCCGTGGGCGCAGCGGCAGCGGCAGCGCTTGGAGCAGCGGCTGCGGGAGGAGCTGCGGGCACGGGGGGCACTGCCCGGCCCGGGGCTGCAGAGCCACTTCCCCGACCCACGGCTGGTGCAGTACGACTGCGGTACGGGGACATCGGGGACATTGGGGACATTGGGGGCGTTGGGGACATTGGGGACATTGGGGTCAATGGGGGCAATGGGGCCAATGGGGACAATGTGGTCATGGAGGACCTGGAGAGTGTTTGGGACATTGGGGGTGTTGGGGACATTGGGGACATTGGGGACATTGGGGACATTGGGGACATTGGGGGGACATTGGGGACATTGGGGACATTGGGGGCATTGGGGACATTGGGGACATTGGGGGGACATTGGGGACATTGGGGACATTGGGGACACTGGGGACATTTGGGGCACTGAGGACATTTGGGGACATTTGGAGCAATGGGGCCAATGGGGACATTGGGGGACATTGGGGACAATGGGGACATTGAGGGCAATGGGGGCGTTGGGGACATTGGGGGCATTAGGGGGAATGGGGACATTGGGGACATTGGGGACATTTGGAGCAATGAGGACATTGGGGACACTGGGGACATTGGGGTCAATGGGGACATTGGGGGCAATGGGGACAATGGGGACATTGGGGACATCGGGGACATTGGGGACATCGGGCACGGGGGGCACTGCCCGGCCCGGGGCTGCAGAGCCACTTCCCCGACCCACGGCTGGTGCAGTACGACTGCGGTACGGGGACATTGGGGACATTGGGGACATTGGGGACATTGGGGACATTGGGGACAGTGGGGACATTTGGGACATTTGGAGCAATGGGCACATTGGGGTCAATCGGGGCAATGGGGGCAATGGGGACAATGTGGTCATGGAGGACCTGGAGAGTGTTGGGGACATTTGGGGTGTTCAGGACATTGGGGACATTGGGGACATCAGGGGGGTTGGGGACATTTGGGATATTTGGGGACATTGGGGACATTGGGGGTGTTCAGGACATTGAGAACATTGGGGACATTTTGGGTGTTGGAGACATTGGGGTCATGGAGGACATTGGGGACATTGGGGTCAATGGGGGCAATGGGGACAATGTGGTCATGGAGGACCTGGAGAGTGTTTGGGACATTGGGGACATTGGGGTCAATGGGGACATTTGGAGCAATGAGGACATTGGGGACATTGGGGACATTGGGGACATTGGGGACATTGGGGACATCGGGCACAGGGGGCACTGCCCGGCCCGGGGCTGCAGAGCCACTTCCCCGACCCACGGCTGGTGCAGTACGACTGCGGTACGGGGACATCGGGGACATTGGGGACATTGGGGACATTGGGGACATTGGGGGCGTTGGGGACATTGGGGACATTGGGGACATTGGGGGCATTGGGGTCATTGGGTCAATAGGGGCAATGGGGGCAATGGGGGCATTGGGGGGACATTGGGGACATTGGGGACATGGAGGACCTGGAGAGTGTTGGGGACATTGGGGACATTGGGGACATTGGGGACATTGGGGACATTGGGGTCAATGGGGGCAATGGGGACAATGTGGTCATGGAGGACCTGGAGAATGTTGGGGACATTTGGGGTGTTGGGGACATTGGGGACATTGGGGTCATGGAGAACATTGGGGACATTGGGGACATTGGGGACATTGGGGGGGTTGGGGGCGTTGGGGACATTGGGGACATTGGGGACATTGGGGACATTGGGGGCATTGGGGACATTGGGGACATTTGGGGGGACATTGGGGACATTGGGGACATTGGGGACATTGGGGACATTGGGGGGACATTTGGGACATTGGGGACATTGGGGACATTGGGGGGGACATTGGGGACATTGGGGACATTGGGGACATCGGGGACATTGGGGACATTGGGGACATTGGGGACATTGGGGACAATGGGGACATTGGGGGGACATTGGGGGTGTTGGGGACATTGGGGACATTGAGGACATTGGGGACATTGGGGACAATGGGGACATTGAGGACATTGGGGACATTGGGGACATTTGGAGCAATGGGGACATTGGGGACATTGGGGACAGTGGGGACATTGGGGACAGTGGGGACATTGGGGGGACATTGGGGACATTGGGGACATTGGGGACATTGGGGACATTGGGGACATTGGGGGACATTGGGGACATTGGGGGGACATTGGGGGACATTGGGGACATTGGGGACATCAGGGACATTGGGGACATTGGGGACATTGGGGGGACATTGGGGACATTGGGGGGACATTTGGGACATTGGGGACATCAGGGACATTGGGGACATTGGGGACATTGGGGACATTGGGGACATTGGGGACATTGGGGACATTGGGGGATTGGGGACATTGGGGACATTGGGGGGACATTGGGGACATTGGGGACATTGGGGGGACATTGGGGACAATGGGGACATTGGGGACATTGGGGACATTGGGGGGACATTGGGGACATTGGGGACATTGGGGGGACATTGGGGACATTGGGGGCAATGGGGACATCAGGGGGACATTGGGGACATTGGGGGCAATGGGGACATTGGGGACATTGGGGACATTGGGGGGACATTGGGGACATTGGGGACATTGGGGACAGTGGGGACATTGGGGACATTGGGGGGACATTGGGGACATTGGGGACATTGGGGACATTGGGGACATTGGGGGGACATTGGGGGACATTGGGGACATTGGGGGGACATTGGGGGGACATTGGGGACATTGGGGTCAATGGGGGCAATGGGGACATTGGGGGACATTGGGGGGACATTGGGGGGACATTGGGGGGACATTGGGGCATTGGGGACATTGGGGACATTGGGGACATTGGGGACATTGGGGACATTGGGGACATTGGGGGGGTTGGGGGGTTTGGAGTGAAATGACCCCAATTTATTCAATTTTTGGGCTAAAATCTCGGGGTTTTTTGCCTTTTTTCTGGGGTTTTTTTGCCCCTCACCTGTCTCACCTGTCTGTGTCTCACCTGTCCCTCCCGTGTCACCTGTCTCACCTGTCCCCCACCTGTCCGTGTCTCACCTGTGCTGGGTGAATAAATTAGGAGATTCAGACTGAAATGACCCCAATTTATTCAATTTTTGGGCCAAAATCTCGGGGTTTTTTGCCCTTTTTTGGGGTTTTTTTGCCCCTCACCTGTCCCACCTGTCTGTGTCTCACCCGTGTCTCACCTGTCTGTGTCTCACCTGTCTCACCTGTCTCACCTGTCCCTCACCTTTCTCACCTGTCTGTGTCTCACCTGTCCCACGTGAATAATTTGGGAGATTCAGAGTAAAATAACCCCAATTTATTCAATTTTTTTGCTAAATTTTCGGGGTTTTTTTCTATTTTTTCGGGGTTTCTCTGCCCCTCACCTGTCTCACCTGTCCGTGTCTCACCTGTCTCACGTGTCCCAGGTGAACCTTTAGGAGATTCGGATGAATAATTCAGGAGCTTTGGAGTGAAATGACCCCAATTTATTCAATTTTTGGGCTAAAATCTTGGGGTTTTTTGCCATTTTTTTGGGGGTTTCTTTGCCTCTCACCTGTGCTCACCTGTCTGTCCCTCACCTGTCTCACCTGTGTCTCACCTGTCTGTATCTCACCTGTGCTCACCTGTATCTTACCTGTCCCTCACCTGTCTGTGTCTCCCCTGTCCTGGGTGAATCCTTCAGGAGATTTGGAGTGAAATGGCCCAAATTTATTCAATTTTGGGGCTAAAATCTCGGGGTTTTTTGCCTTTTTTCCGGGTTTTTTTTGCCCCTCACCTGTGCTCACCTGTGCCTCACCTGTCTCACCTGTCTGTGTCTCACCTGTCCCAGGTGACTCCTTTAGGAGCTTTGGAGTGAAATTTCCCCAATTTATTCAATTTTTGGGCTAAAATCTCGGGGTTTTTTGCCATTTTTTCGGGATTTCTTTGCCCCTCACCTGTCTCACCTGTGGGGTCTCACCTGTATCTTACCTGTGTCTCACCTGTCTGTGTCTCACCTGTCCCAGGTGAATAATTCAGAAGGTTCAGACTGAAATGGCCCCAATTTATTCAATTTTTGGGATAAATTTTTGGGGTTTTTGTCTATTTTCTCGGGGTTTTTTGCCTCTCACCTGTCTCACCTGTCCCTCACCTGTATCTCACCTGTGTCACCTGTCTGTCCCTCACCTGTCTCACCTGTCTCTCACCTGTCTGTGTCTCACCTGTCCCAGGTGAATCCTTCAGGAGATTTTGAGTTAAATTGCACAAAATTATTAAATTTTTGGGCTAAAATTTTGGGGTTTTTTGCCATTTTTCCGGGTTTTTTTTGCCCCTCACCTGTCTCACCTGTCCCTCACCTGTCTGTGTCTCACCTGTCTCACCTGTCCCCAGGTGAACCTTTAGGAGATTTGGATGAATAATTCAGGAGATTTGCAGTAAAACGGCTCCAATTTATTCAATTTTTGGGCTAAAATCTCGGGATTTTTTGCCTTTTTTTGGGGTTTTCTTTGCCCCTCACCTGTCTCACCTGTATCTCACCTGTCTCACCTGTGTCTCACCTGTCTGTGTCCCACCTGTCTCACCTGTCCCAGGTGAATAATTCAGGAGATTTGGAGTGAAACAGCTCCAATTTATTCAATTTTTGGGATAAAATTTTGGGATTTTTTGCCATTTTTGGGGTTTTCTTTGCCCCTCACCTGTCCCACCTGTGCCTCACCTGTGTAACCTGTGTCTCACCTGTCTCACCTGTCCCTCACCTTTCTCACCTGTCTGTGTCTCACCTGTCCCACGTGAATAATTTGGGAGATTCAGAGTAAAACGGCCCCAATTTATTCAATTTTTGGAATAAATTTTTGGGGTTTTTTTCCTATTTTTTCGGGGTTTTTTGCCCCTCACCTGTCCCACCTGTGGCTCACCTGTATCTCACCTGTGTCAACTGTCTGACCCTCACCTGTCTCACCTGTCCCAGGTGAATCTCTAGGATGTTTGGAGTGAAATGACCCCAATTTATTCCATTTTTGGGCTAAAATCTCGGGGTTTTTTGCATTTTTTCTGGGTTTTTTTTGCCCCTCACCTGTCTCACCTGTTTCACCTGTCCCTCACCTGTCCCTCACCTGTGTCACCTGTCGCTCACCTGTCTGTGTCTCACCTGTCTCACCTGTCCCTCACCTGTCCTGGGTGAATAATTTAGGAGATTTGCAGTGAAATGACCCCAATTTATTCAATTTTTGGGCTAAAATTTTGGGGTTTTTTGCCTTTTTTTTGTGGTTTCTTTGCCCCTCACCTGTCTCACCTGTCTCACCTGTGCCTCACCTGTCTGTATCTCACCTGTCTGTGTCTCACCTGTGCTCACCTGTCTGTGCCTCACCTGTGCTGGGTGAATAATTTAGGAGATTTTCAATAAAACGGCTCCAATTTATTCAATTTTTGGGCTAAAATCTCGGGGTTTTTTGCCATTTTTTGGGGTTTCTTTGTCTCACCTGTCTGTATCTCACCTGTACAGGTAAGCTGCAGGCGCTGGACGCGCTGCTGCGGCGGCTGCGGGCCGGGGGGCACCGGGTGCTGATCTTCACGCAGATGACGCGGATGTTGGACGTGCTGGAGCGGTTCCTCACCTTCCACGGCCACATCTACCTGCGGCTGGACGGCTCCACCCGCGTGGAGCAGAGACAGGTGAGGGACACCTGGGCACACCTGGGGAGGGGTTAGAGACACCTGGGACACACCTGAACACACCTGGGGGGGGTGGGACACACCTGCGGCTGGACGGCTCCACCCGCGTGGAGCAGAGACAGGTGAGGGCACACCTGGGACACACCTGGGCACACCTGGGACACACCTGGGACACACCTGGGCACACCTGGGGGGGTGGGACACACCTGAACACACCTGGGACAGACCTGGGGAGGGGTTAGAGACACCTGGGACACACCTGGGACACACCTGGGGAGGGTGGGACACACCTGAACACACCTGGGGAGGGGTTAGAGACACATGGGCGGGGGTTGGAGACACCTGGGATACACCTGGGGAGAGTTAGACACACCTGGGTGGGGTTGGACACACCTGGGCACACCTGGGACACACCTGGAGATGGGTTAGACACACCTGGGACACACCTGAACACACCTGGGCACACCTGGGGAGGGTTAGAGACACCTGGGAGGGGTTGGAGACACCTGGGACACACCTGGGACACACCTGGGCACACCTGGACACACCTGGGGAGGGTGGGACACACCTGCGGCTGGACGGCTCCACCCGCGTGGAGCAGAGACAGGTGAGGGACACACCTGGGGAGGGACACACCTGGGACACACCTGGGCACACCTGGGTAGGGTTGGACACACCTGGGACACACCTGGGATACACCTGGGGAGGGTTGGAGACACCTGGGGAGGGGTTAGAGACACCTGGGACACACCTGGGGAGGGTGGGACACACCTGGGGAGGGTGGGACACACCTCGGGAGGGTTAGAGACACACCTGGGACACACCTGGACACACCTGGGGAGGGTGGGACACACCTGGGACACACCTGAACACACCTGGGGAGGGTTGGACACATCTGGGACACACCTGGGACACACCTGGGCACACCTGGGGAGGGTGGGACACACCTGGGCATACCTGGAACACACCTGGGGAGGGTGGGACACACCTGGGACACACCTGCGGCTGGACGGCTCCACCCGCGTGGAGCAGCGACAGGTGAGGGACACACCTGGGCACACCTGGGCACACCTGGGCACACCTGAACATACCTGGGCACACCTGGGGAGGGGTTAGAGACACCTGGGACACACCTGGAACACACCTGGGACACACCTGGGGAGGGTTGGACACACCTGGGGAGGGTGGGACACACCTGGGACACACCTGGGACACACCTGGGGGGGTTGGGACACACCTGGGACACACCTGAACACACCTGGGGAGGGTGGGACAAACCTGCGGCTGGACGGCTCCACCCGCGTGGAGCAGAGACAGGTGAGGGACACACCTGGGGAGGGTTGGGACACACCTGGAACACACCTGGGGAGGGTTAGAGACACACCTGGGGGGGTGGGACACACCTGGGACACACCTGGGGAGGGTTAGAGACACACCTCGGGGGGTGGGATACACCTGGGACACACCTGGGGATGGACGGCTCCACCCGCGTGGAGCAGAGACAGGTGAGGGCACACCTGGGCACACCTGGGGAGGGTTAGAGACACCTCAACACACCTGGGTACACCTGAATACACCTGGGGAGGGTTGGGACACACCTGGGCACACCTGGGCACACCTGGGACACACCTGGGCACACCTGGGCACATCTGGGGGGGGTTAGAGACACCTGGGGAGGGTTGGACACACCTGGGCACACCTGGGGAGGGGTTAGAGACACCTGAACACACCTGGGCACACCTGGGTAGGGTTAGACACACCTGGGGAGGGTGGGACACACCTGGGACACACCTGGGACACACCTGGGGGGGGTGGGACACACCTGCGGCTGGACGGCTCCACCCGCGTGGAGCAGAGACAGGTGAGGGACACACACCTGGGGAGGGGTTAGAGACACCTGGGACACACCTGGGGAGGGGTTAGACACACCTGGGACACACCTGGGGAAGGTTAGAGACACCTGGGGAGGGTTGAGACACACCTGGGCACATTTTGGACACACCTGGGGAGGGTTGGGACGCACCTGGGCACACCTGGGGAGGGTTAAAGACACCTGGGACACACCTGGGGAGGGTTAGAGACACCTGGGGAGGGGTTAGAGACACCTGGGGCACACCTGGAACACACCTGGGGAGGGGTTGGACACACCTCAGCGCATTTGGGACACACCTGGGTGTATCTCAGGTGTGCCCCAGGTGTGCCCCAGGTGTATCTCAGGTGTTCCCAAACTCACCTGCCTGCCCCTCAGGCGCTGATGGAGCGCTTCAACGCCGACAAGCGAATCTTCTGCTCCAACCTGTGCCAGGTGTCCCTCAGGTGTGCCCCAGGTGTGCCCCAGGTGTCTCAGGTGTATCTCAGGTGTGCCCCAGATATCTCAGATGTATTTCAGGTGTGCCCCAGGTGTGCCCCAGGTGTGCCCCAGCTATCTCAGGTGTATGTCAGGTGTGTCTCAGGTATCTCAGGTGTATCTCAGGTGTGTCCCAGGTGTCTCAGGTGTATCTCAGGTGTGCCCCAGATATCTCAGGTGTATCTCAGGTGTTCCCCAGGTGTGCCCCAAGTATCTCAGATGTCCCTCAGGTCTATCTCAGGTGTTCCCCAGGTGTGCCCCAGCTATCTCAGGTGTGCCCCAGGTATCTCAGGTGTGTCTCAGGTATGCCCCAGGTGTGCCCCAGCTATCTCAGGTATCCCCCAGCTATCTCAGGTGTGCCCCAGGTGTTCCCCAAGTATCTCAGGTGTATCCCAGGTGTGCCCCAGCTATCTCAGGTGTGCCCCAGGTATCCCCCAGCTATCTCAGGTGTGTCCCAGGTATCTCAGGTGTGTCTCAGGTGTCTCAGGTGTCTCAGGTGTGCCCAGGTGTGCCCCAGCTATGTCAGGTATATCTCAGGTGTGCTCCAGGTGTGTCCCAGGTACCTCAGGTGTATCCCAGGTATATCCCAGGTGTATCTCAGCTATCTCAGGTGTATCTCAGGTGTCCCTCAGGTCTATTTCAGGTGTGCCCCAGCTATCTCAGGTGTTCCCCAGGTGTGTCTCAGCTATCTCAGGTGTGCCCCAGCTATCCCCCAGGTATCCCAGGTGTGTCTCAGCTATCTCAGGTGTTCCCCAGGTGTGCCCCAGCTATCTCAGGTGTATCTCAGGTGTGTCTCAGGTGTGCCCCAGGTGTCTCAGGTGTGTCTCAGATGTATCTCAGGTGTGCCACAGGTGTCTCAGGTGTACCCCAGGTGTGTCCCACCTATCTCAGGTGTCTCAGGTGTATCTCAGGTGTGCCCCAGCTATCTCAGGTGTCTCAGGTGTATCTCAGGTGTGCCCCAGTTATCCCAGGTTTGCCCCAGGTGTGCCCCAAGTATCTCAGATGTCCCTCAGGTCTATCTCAGGTGTTCCCCAGGTGTGTCCCAGCTATCTCAGGTGTATCTCAGGTGTCTCAGGTGTATCTCAGGTGTCTCAGGTATAACTCAGGTGTTTCCCAGGTGTGCCCCAGCTATCTCAGGTGTGTCTCAGCTATCCCAGGTGTGCCCCAGGTGTGCCCCAGGTATCTCAGGTGTAGCTCAGGTGTATCTCAGGTGTGTCCCAGGTATCTCAGGTGTGTCCCAGCTATCTCAGGTGTCCCTCAGGTGTGCCCCAGGTGTGCCCCAGCTATCTCAGGTGTGCCCCAGCTATCTCAGGTGTGTCCCAGCTATCTCAGGTGTGCCCCAGGTGTGCCCCAGGTGTGCCCCAGGTATCTCAGGTGTCCCCAGGTGTTCCCCAGCTATCTCAGGTGTGCCCCAGGTGTATCTCAGGTGTGGCCCAGGTAATTCAGGTGTGTCCCAGGTGTGCCTCACCTGCCCGGCCAGGTGTGCCTCACCTGTGCGTCCCCTCAGGCGCTGATGGAGCGCTTCAACGCCGACAAGCGAATCTTCTGCTTCATCCTCTCGACGCGCTCGGGCGGCGTCGGCGTCAACCTGGCGGGCGCCGACACCGTCGTCTTCTACGACTCCGACTGGAACCCCACCATGGACGCGCAGGCCCAGGACAGGTGCCACCGCATCGGCCAGACCCGCGACGTCCACATCTACAGGTGAGCGCACCTGGGGCACCTGGGGGTACCTGGGGGGCACCTGGGCTGGGCATCTGGGGGGCACCTGAGAGGTTCTGTGGTAGTTGGAAGCACCTTTGGGTGGAAATTTGGGAGTCAGGAGCTCACCTGTGGCACCTGGATCTCACCTGTGGCACCTGGAGCTCACCTGTGGCACCTGGAGCTCACCTGGGCAGGTATTTGGGAGTTAAAGGCTCACCTGTGGCACCTGGAGCTCACCTGGGCAGGTATTTGGGAGTCAGGAGCTCACCTGTGGCACCTGGAGCTCACCTGTGGCACCTGGAGCTCACCTGTGGCACCTGGAGCTCACCTGGGCAGGTATTTGGGGATCAGGAGCTCACCTGTAGCACCTGGAGCTCACCTGGGCAGGTATTTGATAGTCAGGAGCTCACCTGTGGCACCTGGAGCTCACCTGGGCAGTTATTGGGGTACCTGGGCAGGTGTTTGGGTACCTGGGCAGGCCCAGGACAGGTGCCACCGCATCGGCCAGACCCGCCACGTCCACATCTACAGGTGAGCGCACCTGGGGTACCTGGGCACACCTGGGGGGCACCTGGGTGTCGGGTACGGACTCACCTGGGCAGGGGTTTGGGAGTTAAAAGCTCACCTGGGGCACCTGGAGCTCACCTGTGGCACCTGGAGCTCACCTGGGCAGGTATTTGGGGGTCACAGCCTCACCTGTGCAGGTGTTTCGGGTTCCGGAGCTCACCTGTCCAGGTATTTTGGAGTCAGGAGCTCACCTGTGGCACCTGGAGCTCACCTGTGGCACCTGGAGCTCACCTGGGCAGGTATTGGGGTACCTGGGCAGGTGTTTGGGTACCTGGGCAGGCCCAGGACAGGTGCCACCGCATCGGCCTCACCCGCGACGTCCACATCTACAGGTGAGCGCACCTGGGGCACCTGGGGACACCTGGGGGCACCTGGGGGGCACCTGGGGGTCGGGTACGGCCTCACCTGTGCAGGTATTTGGGAGTTAAAGGCTCACCTGTAGCACCTGGAGCTCACCTGTGGTACCTGGAGCTCACCTGGGCAGGTATTTGATAGTCAGGAGCTCACCTGTGGCACCTGGAGCTCACCTGGGCAGGTATTTGGGAGTTGCAGACTCACCTGTGCAGGTGTTTGGGAGTCAGGAGCTCACCTGTAGCACCTGGAGCTCACCTGTAGCACCTGGAGCTCACCTGTGGTACCTGGAGCTCACCTGCAGCCTCACCTGTGTTACCTGTCTGGTTTCTCTCAGCTGTGGTCTCACCTGTCCCACCTGTCCCACCTGTCTGTGCTCACCTGTGTCACCTGTCTGTGTCTCACCTGTCCATATCTCACCTGTCTCACCTGTATCTCACCTGTCTGTGCCCACCTGTCTCACCTGTCTCACCTGTCCAGGTTGACCAGCGAGCGCACGGTGGAGGAGAACACCTGTGTTACCTGTCCATATCTCACCTGTGTTACCTGTCCATGTCTCACCTGTATCTCACCTGTCTCACCTGTATCTCACCTGTCCATATCTCACCTGTGTTACCTGTCCATGTCTCACCTGTATCTCACCTGTCTCACCTGTGTCTCACCTGTCCTGGTGAATAAATCAGGAGATTCAGACTGAAATAACCCCAATTTATTCAAATTTTGGGCTAAAATCTCGGGGTTTTTTGCCATTTTTTTGGGGATTTCTTTGCCCCTCACCTGTCTCACCTGTCTCACCTGTATCTCACCTGTCTCACCTGTCTCACCTGTATCTCACCTGTGCCTCACCTGTGCAGGTTGATCAGCGAGCGCACGGTGGAGGAGAACACCTGTGTTACCTGTCCATATCTCACCTGTGTTACCTGTCCATATCTCACCTGTCTGTGCTCACCTGTCCATATCTCACCTGTCCATATCTCACCTGTCCATATCTCACCTGTATCTCACCTGTCCATATCTCACCTGTCTGTGCTCACCTGTCCATATCTCACCTGTCCATATCTCACCTGTCCATATCTCACCTGTATCTCACCTGTCCATATCTCACCTGTATCTCACCTGTCCATATCTCACCTGTCCGTATCTCACCTGTGTTACCTGTCCATGTCTCACCTGTCCATATCTCACCTGTATCTCACCTGTCTGTGTCTCACCTGTCTGTGCTCACCTGTGTCTCACCTGTCCTGGTGAATAAATCAGCAGATTCAGACTGAAATGACCCCAATTTATTCAATTTTTGGGCTAAAATCTCGGGGTTTTTTGCCATTTTTTTGGGGTTTCTTTGCCCCTCACCTGTCTCACCTGTCCCACCTGTATCTCACCTGTGTCTCACCTGTCCAGGTTGATCAGCGAGCGCACGGTGGAGGAGAACATTCTCCGCAAGGCCAACCAGAAGCGCCTCCTGGGGGATTTGGCCATCGAGGGCGGCAACTTCACCACGGCCTACTTCAAACAGGTGAGGGGGGCGCACCTGGGCGGGGCAGGTGAGGGGGTGGGGGGGTCCCAGGTGGGTTCTGGGTGTGTCCAGGTGAGGTTTGGGGGTCCCAGGTGAGGTCCCAGGTGAGATTTGGGGGTCCCAGGTGACATTTGGGGGTCCCAGGTGGGGTTTGGGGGTCCCAGGTGAGGTCACAGGTGATATTTGAGGGGTCCCAGGTGGGGTTTGGGGGTGTCCCAGGTGTGTCCCGGTGGGTTCTGGGTGTGTCCAGGTGAGGTTTTGGGGGGTCCCAGCTGTCCCCAGGTGCCCCCAGGTGTGTCCCCAAGTGTCCCCAGGTGTGCTCAGGTGTGTCCAGGTGGGTTCTGGGTGTGTCCAGGTGAGGTTTTGGGGGGCACAGGTGAGGTCTGGGTGTCCCCAGCTGTGTCCCCAGCTGTCCCCAGGTGTCCCCAGGTGTCCCCAGCTGTCCCCAGGTGTGTCCCCAGCTGTCCCCAGGTGCCCCCAGGTGTGTCCAGGTGACATTTGGGTGGTCCCAGGTGGGGTTTTGGGGGCACAGGTGAGGTCTGGGTGTCCCCAGGTGTGTCCCCAGGTGTCCCCAGCTGTCCCCAGCTGTCCCCAGGTGTGTCCCCAGGTGCCCCCAGCTGTCCCCAGGTGTCCCCAAGTGTCCCCAGGTGTCCCCAGGTGTGTCCCCACGTGTGTCCCCAAATGTCCCCAGCTGTCCCCAGGTGTCCCCAGCTGTCCCCAGGTATCCCCAGGTGTCCCAGGTGTCCCCAGGTGTGCCCAGGTGGGTTCTGGGTGTGTCCAGGTGAGGTTTTGGGGGGCCCCAGGTGTGTCCAGGTGTGTCCCCAGCTGTCCCCAGGTGCCCCCAGGTGTCCCCAAGTGTGTCCCCAGGTGTCCCCAGCTGTCCCCAGGTGCCCCCAGGTGTCCCCAGGTACCCCCAGGTGTGTCCCCAGCTGTCCCCAGGTGTCCCCAGGTGTCCCCAGGTGTGTCCCCAGCTGTCCCCAGGTGTGTCCCCAGGTGTCCCCAGCTGCCCCCAGGTGTCCCAGGTGTCCCCAGGTGTGTCCAGGTGGGTTCTGGGTGTGTCCAGGTGAGGTTTTGGGGGGTCCCAGGTGTGTCCCCAGGTGTGTCCCCAGCTGTCCCCAGCTGTCCCCAGGTGTGCCCAGGTGTGTCCCCAAGTGTCCCCAAGTGCCCCCAAGTGCCCCCAGGTGTCCCCAGGTGTCCCCAAGTGTCCCCAGGTGTCCCCAGGTGTGCCCAGGTGCCCCCAGGTGTGTCCCCAGGTGCCCCCAGGTGTGTCCCCAGGTGTCCCCAGGTGTGCCCAGGTGCCCCCAGGTGCCCCCAGGTGTGTCCAGGTGACATTTGGGTGGTCCCAGGTGGGGTTTTGGGGGCACAGGTGAGGTCTGGGTGTCCCCAGGTGTGTCCCCAAGTGCCCCCAGGTGTCCCCAGGTGTGCCCAGGTGTGTCCCCAGGTGCCCCCAGGTGTGTCCCCAGGTGTCCCCAGCTGTCCCCAGGTGTCCCCAGGTGTGTCCCCAGGTGTCCCCAGGTGTGTCCAGCTGTCCCCAGCTGCCCCCAGGTGCCCCAAGGTGTGTCCAGGTGGGTTCTGGGTGTGTCCAGGTGAGGTTTTGGGGGGTCCCAGGTGTCCCCAGGTGTGTCCCCAAGTGTCCCCAGCTGGCCCCAGGTGTGCCCCAGGTGTGCCCCAGGTGTCCCCAAGTGTGTCCCCAGCTGTCCCCAGGTGTCCCCAGGTGTGCCCAGGTGTGTCCCCAATGTCCCAGGTGTGCCCAGGTGTGTCCAGGTGTGTCCAGGTGAGGTTTTGGGGCATCCCAGGTGTCCCCAAGTGTCCCCAGGTGTGTCCCCAAGTGTCCCCAGGTGTCCCCAGGTGTCCCCAGGTGTGTCCCCAAGTGTCCCCAGGTGCCCCCAGGTGTGTCCAGGTGTGTCCAGGTGTGTCCAGATGGGTTCTGGGTGTCCCCAGGTGTCCCCAGGTGTGTCCCCAGGTGCCCCCAGGTGTGTCCAGGTGGGTTCTGGGTGTGTCCAGGTGTGCCCAGGTGTGTCCCCAGGTGTCCCCAGGTGTCCCCAGGTGTGCTCAGGTGCGTCTCTCTCCCCTCCCCCCCCAGCAAACCATCCGGGAGCTGTTCGAGATGGCGCCTGAGGAGCCACCGCGGGAGCGCGACCCCGACGGGGACAGAGGGGACAGAGGGGACAGAGGGGACAGGGACAGGGACAGGGACAGGGACAGGGACAGGGACAGGGACAGGGACAGGGACAGGGATGGACCCAACGAGGACGACGAGGACCCCGCGGCCACCCGCAGGACGCACATCCTGGAGCAGGTGAGGCACACCTGGGGCGGGTGGGGCACACCTGGGGCGGGTGGGGCACACCTGGGGAGGGTGTCACTGATGTCACCAGATGGCCACAATGGCCTCGATGGCCCCAAATGGACCCAAATGACCCCAAAATCCATGATGGTCCCAATGTCCCCAAATGTCCCCAAATGGTCTTGATGGCCACAATGACACCAATGTCCCCAAATGGCCTCGGTGGCCCTAAATGGACCCAAATGTCCCCAAATGGTCACAATGGCCCCAGTGGCCACAATGGCCACAATGGCACCGATGTCACCAATTGGCCAAAATGGCCCCAAATGGTCACAATGGCACCGATGGCACCAAATGGCCCCAAATGGCCCCAAATGGACCCAAATGGCCACAATGGCCACAATGGCACCAATGTCCCCAAATGTCCCCAGATGGCCCCAAATGGCCCCAAATGGACCCAAATGGTCTCGATGTCCCCAAATGGCCTTGATGGACCCAAATGTCCCCAATGGCCACAATGGCCCCAAATGTCCCCAAATGTCCCCAATGGCCACAATGACACCAATGACCCCAAATGGCCCCAATGTCCTCAGTGGCCACAATGGCCCCAATGGCACCGATGGCCCCAAATGGCCCCAAATGTCCCCAAAATCCTTGATGGCCTCGATGTCCCCAAATGGCCCCAAATGGCCTCAAATGGTCTTGATGGCCACAATGGCCCCGATGGCCCCAAATGGCCCCAAATGGTCACAATGGCACCAATGTCCCACAAATGGCCCCAAATGTCCCCAAAAGGTCACAATGACCCTGATGACCCCAAATGGACCCAAATGGCCACAATGGCCCCGATGGCCACAATGGCCACAATGGCACCAATGGCACCAAACGGACCCAAATGGCCCCAAATGTCCCCAATGGCCACAATGGCCGCGATGGCCCCGATGGCCCCAAATGTCCCCAAAAGGTCACAATGGCACCGATGGCCACAATGGCCCAAATGGACCCAAATTGTCTTGATGGCCACAAATGGCCCCAAATGGCCCCAATGGCCCCAATGGCCTCAATGGCCACAATGACACCGATGGCACCAAATGTCCCCAATGGCCCCGATGGCCACAATGGCACCGATGTCCCAAAATGGCCCCAATATCCCCAAAATCCTTGATGGCCTCGATGTCCCCAAATGTCACCAAATGGTCATGATGGCCACAATGGCACCGATGGCACCAATGGCACCAATGGCCCCAAGTGGCCCCAAATGGTCACAATGGCCACAATGGCCACAATGGCACCGATGGCCCCAAATGGCCCCAAATGGACCCAAATGGCCCCAAATGGTCACAATGGCCACAATGGCACCGATGGCCACAAATGGCCCCAAATGACCCCAAAATCCATGATGGTCCTAATGTCCCCAAATGTCCCCAAATGGTCTTGATGGCCTCGATGGCCTCAATGTCCCCAAATGGTCACAATGGCCACAATGGCACCGATGGCCACAAAGTCCCCAAAATCCTTGATGGCCTCGATGTCCCCAAATGTCCCCAAATGTCCCCAAATGGTCACAATGGCACTGATAGCCCCAAATGGCCCCAAATGGTCTTGATGGCCACAATGGCACCGATGGCCCCAAATGTCCCCATTGGCACCAATGGCACCGATGGCCACAATGGTCACAATGGCCACAATGTCCCCAAATGTCCCCAAATGGTCACAATGGCCACAATGGCACCGATGTTCCCAAATGGCTCCAGATGGTCACAATGGCCACAATGGCACCAAATGGCCACAAATGTCCCCAAATAGTCACAATGGCACCGATGTCCCCAAATGGCTCCAGATGGTCTTGATGGCCCCAAATGGCCCCAAATGGCCACAATGGCACCAATGTCCCAAATGGCCCCAAATGTCCCCAAATAGTCACAATTGCACCAATGTCCCAAATGTCACCGATGGCCACAATGGCACCGATGGCCACAAATGGTCCTGATGGCTCCAAGTGGTCCAAAATGGCCTCAATGGCCCCAAATGTCCCCGATGGCCACAATGTCCCCAATGGCCACAATGGCACCAATGGCCCCAAATGTCCCCAAATGTCCCCAATGGCCACAATGGCACTGATGGCCCCAAGTGACCCCAAATGTCCCCAATGGCCACAATGGCACTGATGGCCCCAAGTGACCCCAAATGTCCCCAGTGGCCACAATGGCCCCGATGACCCCAAATGGCCCCAGTGGACCCAAATGGCCTTGATGGACCCAAATGTCCCCAAATGTCCCCAGTGGCCACAATGGCCACAATGGCACCGATGGCCCCAAATGGACCCAAATGTCCCCAAATGGCCCCAGTGGCCACAATTTCCCAAAATGGCCCCAATATCCCCAAAATCCTTTATGGCCTCGATGTCCCCAAATGGCCCCAGCGGCCCCAAGTGACTCCAAATGTCCCCAATGGTCCCAACTGACCCCAAATGGCTTCAATGGCCCCAAATGGCCCCAAATGTCCCCAATGGGTGCAATGGCACCAATGGCCACAATGGCACCGATGGCCCCAAATGGTCTCAATGTCCCCAAATGGTCACAATGGCACCAACGGCCCCAAATGGCCCCAAATGGCCTCAATGGCCCCAAATGGACCCAAATGTCCCCAATGGCCACAATGGCCACAATGGCCCCAAATGGCCCCAATATCCCCAAAATCCTTGATGGCCTTGATGTCCCAAAATGGCCCCAAATGGACCCAAATGGCCCCAAATGGACCCAAATGTCCCCAATGGCCACAATGGCCCCGATGGTCTCAGTGTCACCAAATGTCCCCAATGTCCCAAAATGGCCCCAATATCCCCAAAATCCTCGATGGCCTCGATGGCCCCAAATGGCCACAAATGTCCCCAAATGGTCACAATGGCACCGATGGCCCCAAATGGCCCCAATGGCACCGATGGCACCAAACGGACCCAAATGGCCCCAATGGCCCAAATGGCCCCAAATGTCCCCAAATGGTCGTGATGGCCACAATGGCACCGATGGCCCCAAGTGGCCACAATGGCCACAATGGCCCCAAATGTCCCCAAATGGTCTCGATGTCCCAAAATGGCCACAATGGCACCAATGGCCTCGATGGCCCCAAATGGCCCAGATGGACACAAATGTCCCCAATGGCCCCAAATGTCCCCAAATGGTCATGATGGCCCTGATGTCACCAATTTGCCACAATGGCCCCAAATGGCCTCGATGGCCCCACATGGCCTCAGTGGCCCCAATGTCCCCAACGTCCCCAACCCCCCAAATGTCCCCTATGTCCCCAACACCCAAAATGCCCTCAATGTCCTCAATGTCCTCCATGACCTCAATGTCTCCAACACCCAAAATGTCCTCAATGTCCCCAATGTCCCCAATGTCCCCAACCCCCCAAACGTCCCCAATGATGTCCCCAGGCTCTGTGCGGGGCCGAGGACCCCGAGGACATCCGGGCGGCGTCGCAGGCTCAGGCCGAGCACGTGGCGGCGCTGGGCCCGTGTCCCCAATGTCCCCAATGTCCCCATTGCCCCAAATGTCCCCAATGTCCCCATTGCCCCAAATGTCCCAAATGTCCCCAATGTCCCCAATGTCCCCAATGTCCCCATTGCCCCAAATGTCCCAAATGTCCCCAATGTCCCCATTGACCCCAATGTCCCCAATGCCCCCAATGTCCCCATTGACCCCAATGTTCCCAACCCTTCAAATGTCCCCAATGTCCCCAATGTCCTCAATGTCCCCAATGTCGCCAATGTCCCCAGTGTCTTCAATGTTCTCCATGACCTCAATGTCCCCATTGTCCTCAATGTCCTCAGTGTCTCCAGTGTCCCCATTGCCACCAATGTCCTCAATGTTCTCCATGACCCCAATGTCCTCAGTGTCCCCAACACCCAAAATGTTCCCAATGTCCCCAATGTCCCCAATGTCCCCATTGTCCCAAATGCCCCATTGACCCCAATGTCCCCAATGTCCCCAATGTCCCCAATGTCCCCAATGTCCCCATTGTCCCAAATGCCCCATTGACCCCAATGTCCCCAATGTCCCCAATGTCCCCATTGCCCCCAATGTCCTCAATGTCCCCAATCCCCCCAATGTCCCCAATGTCCCCATTGACCCCAATGTCCCCATTGCCACCAATGTCCTCAATGACCCAAATGTCCTCAATGTCCTCAATCCCCCAAATGTCCCCAATGTCCTCATTGACCCCAATGTCCCCGATGTCCCCAATCCCCCAAATGTCCCCAATGTCCCAAAATGTCCCCAATGTCCCAAATGTCCTCAACACCCAAAATGTCCTCAATGTCCTCACTGTCCCCAATGTCCCCGATGTCCCCAATGTCCTCAATGTCCTCCATGACCTCAGTGTCTCCAACACCCAAAATGTCCTCAATGTCCCCCAATGTCCCCAATGTCCCCAATGTCCTCAATGTCCCCAACACCCCCAATGTCCTCAATGTCCTCCATGACCTCAATGTCCCCAATGTCCCAAACGCTCTCTGTGTCCTCCATGACCACAATGTCCCCAATGTCCCCATTACTACCAATGTCCCCAATGTCCCCAATGTTCTCCATGTCCCCAATGTCCTCCATGACCACAACGTCCCCAATGTCCCCAATGTCCCCATTGCCCCAAATGTCCCCAACCCCCCGGCTGTCCCCAGGCTCTGTGCGGGGCCGAGGACCCCGAGGACATCCGGGCGGCGTCGCAGGCTCAGGCCGAGCACGTGGCGGCGCTGGGCCCGTGTCCCCAATGTCCCCAATGTCCCCATTGCCCCAAATGTCCCCAATGTCCCCATTGACCCCAATGTCCCCAGTGTCCCCAATGTCCCCAACGTCCCCAATGTCCCCATTGCCCCAAATGTCCCCAACGTCCCCAATGTCCCCCAATGTCCCCAATGTCCCCAATGTCCCCAATGTCCCCAATGTCCCCAATCCCCCTAAATGTCCTCAATGTTCTCCATGACCCCAATGTCCTCAATCCCCCAAATGTCCCCAATGTTCTCAAGGTTCCAAATGTTCCCAATGTCCCAAATGTCCCCAACGTCCCCAATGTCCCCAATGTCCCAAATGTCCTCAATGTCCCCATTGCCCCCATTGCCCCAAATGTGCCCAATGCCCCAATGTCCCCAATGTCCCCAACACCCCAAATGTCCCCAATGTCCTCAATGTCCTCCATGACCTCAATGTCTCCAACACCCAAAACGTCCTCAGTGTCCCCAATGTCCCCAATGTCCCCAATGTCCCCAATGTCCCCAATCCCCCTAAATGTCCTCAATGTTCTCCATGACCCCAATGTCCTCAATCCCCCAAATGTCCCCAATGTCCCCAATGTCCCCAATGTCCCAAATGTCCCCAATATCCCAAATGTCCTCAACGTCCCCAATGTCCCCAATGTCCCCATTGCCCCCAATGTCCCCAATGTCCCCATTGCCACCAATGTCCCCAATGTCCCCATTGCCCCCAATGTCCCCAATGTCCCCATTGCCCCCATTGCCCCCAATGTCCCCAATCCCCCTAAATGTCTTCAGTGTTCTCCATGACCCCAATGTCCCCAATGTCCCCAATGTCCCCAATGTCCCCAACACTCTCTGTGTTCTCCATGACCCCAATGTCCCCAGTGTCCCCATTGCCACCAATGTCCTCAATGTCCCCAATCCCTTGAATGTCCCCAGGGTCCCCAATGTTCCCGATGTTCTCCATGTCCTCCATGGCCTTCATGACCACAACGTCCCCAACACCTCCAATGTCCCCATTGCCCCAAATGTTCCCAATGTCCCCAATGTCCTCAACACCCCAAATGTCCCCAACGTCCCCATTGCCCCAAATGTCCCCAATGTCCCCAATGTCCCCAATGTCCCCAAATGTCCCCAATGTCCCCAATGTCCCCAATGTCCCAAATGTCCCCATTGCCCCAAATGTCCTCATTGATCCAAATGTCCCCGATGTCCCCAATGTCCCCAAATGTCCCCAATGTCCCCAATGTCCCCAACACCCCAAATGTCCCAAACACCCCAAATGTCCCCAATGTCCCCAATGTCCCCAATGCCCCCAATGTCCCCAATGTCCCCAATGTCCCCATGTCCCCAACACCCCCAACATCCCCAGTGTCCCAATGCCCCAATGTCCTCAGTGTCCCCAATGTCCCAAATGTCCCCATTGACTCAAATGTCCCCAATGTCCCCGACACTCTCTGTGTCCTCCATGACCACAACGTCCCCATTGTCCCGAATGTCCCCAATGTCCCCATTGACCCAAATGTCCCCAATGTCCCCATTACTCCAATGTCACCAACACCCCCAACATCCCCAATGTCCCTAATCCCCCAAATGTCCCCAATGTCCCTATTGACCCAAATGTCCTCAATGTCCCCAACACCCAAAATGTCCTCAGTGTCTCCAATGTCCCCAATGTCCCCGATATTCTCCATGTCCTCCATGGCCTTCATGACCACAATGTCCCCAATGTCCTCCATGACCACAACGTCCCCATTACCTCAAATGTCCCCAATGTCCCCAACCCCCCAACTGTCCCCAACTGTCCCCAGGCTCTGTGCGGGGCCGAGGACCCCGAGGACATCCGGGCGGCGTCGCAGGCTCAGGCCGAGCACGTGGCGGCTCTGGGCCCGTGTCCCCAATGTCCCCGATGTCCCCAACGTCCCCAATGTCCCCAATGTCCCCAATGACTCAAATGTCCCCAATGTCCCCAACGCTCTCTGTGTCCTCCATGACCACAATGACCCCAATGTCCCCAACACCCCCAATGTCCCCAATGTCCCCAATGTCCCCAATGTCCCCAATGTCCCAAATGTCCCCAATGTCCCAAATGTCCCCAACACCCCCAATGTCCCCAATGTCCCCAATGTCCCCAATCCCCTCATTGTCCCCAATGTCCCCAATGTCCTCAATGTCCTCAATGTCCCCAATCCCCTGAATGTCCCCCATGTCCCCATTGACCCAAATGTCCCCAATGTCCCCAATGTCCCCATTGACTACATTACCACCAATGTTCTCAATGTTCTCCATGACCCCAATGTACTCAATGTCCCCAATGTCCCCATTGCCCCAAATGTCCCCAATGTCCCCAGTCCCCCACAATGTCCCAAATGTCCCCAGTCTCCCTGATGTTCTCCATGTCCTCCATGGCCTTCATGACCACAACGTCCCCAACATCCCCAATGTCCCCAATCCCCCCAATGTCCCCAGTGTCCCCAACGCCCCAAATGTCCCCAATGTCCCCAATGTCCCCAATGTCCCCAATGTCCCCGCTGTCCCCAGGCTCTGTGCGGGGCCGAGGACCCCGAGGACATCCGGGCGGCGTCGCAGGCTCAGGCCGAGCACGTGGCGGCGCTGGGCCCGTGTCCCCAATGTCCCCAATGTCCCCAACACCCAAAATGTCCTCAGTGTCCCCAATGTCCCCAATGCTCTCTGTGTCCTCCATGACCACAATGTCCTCAATGTCCCCATTCCCACCAGTGTCCTCAATGTTCTCAATGTTCTCCATGACCCCAATGTCCCAAATGTCCCCAGTGTCCCCAATGTCCCCAATGACCCCATTGACCCAAATGTCCCCATTGCCCCAATGTCCCCATTGCTCCCAATGTCCCCATTGTCCCCAATGTCCCCAACATCCCCAATCCCCTCAATGTCCCCAATGTCCCAAATGTCCCCATTGCCCCAAATGTCCCCAGTGTCCCCATTGACCCCATTGACCCCAATGTCCCCAATGTCCCCAATGTCCCCAATGTCACCAATGTCCCCAATGTCCTCAATGTCCTCCATGGCCTTCATGACCACAATGTCCCCAATGTCCTCCATGACCACAACGTCCCCATTACCCCAAATGTCTCCAACACCTCCATGTCCCCAATGGCCACAATGTCCCAAATGTCCCCAATGTCCCCAACCCCCCAAATGTCCCCAATGTCCCCAATGTCCCCAATGTCCCCAGGCTCTGTGCGGGGCCGAGGACCCCGAGGACATCCGGGCGGCGTCGCAGGCTCAGGCCGAGCACGTGGCGGCTCTGGCCGAGTTCAGCGAGTCGCTGAGCCCCGAGGACGGCGCCGGCCCCGAGGGCCCCGAGGAGGAGCTGAGTAAGGCCGAGCAGGAGATCGCCGCCCTGGTGGAGCAGGTGAGGCGCACCTGGGCCAGGTGAGGGCGGGGCGGGGCACAGGGGGGTTTTGGGGGGGTTTGGGGGGATTTGGGGTGTTTTGGGGGGTTTGGGGTGATTTGGGGGTGATTTAGGGGGATTTTGGGGTGTCCTGGGAGGTTTTTGGGGTGTCTCGGGAGGATTTTCGGGTGTCTTGGGAGGATTTTGGGGTGATTTTGAGATGATTTTGGGGGATTTTGGGGTGATTTTTGGGGGTATTGGCGTGTCTTGGGATCATTTTGGGGTGTTCAGGGGAGATTTTGGGGGATTTTGGGTGTCTTGAGGTGATTTAGGGGCAATTCAGGGGGATTTTAGGGTGTCTTGGGAGGATTTTGGGGGATTTTGGGGTTTCTTGAGGTGATTTTGGGGTGTCTTGAGGTGATTTTGGGTGTTTTGGGATGATTTTGGGATGTCTTAGGATGATTTAGGGGCAATTCAGGGGGATTTTGGGGTGTCTTGAGGTGATTTGGGGGGGTTTTGAGGTGTTTTGGGATGATTTTGGGATGTCTTAGGATGATTTAGGGGTGTCTTGAGGTGATTTTGGGGGAATTTAAGGATGTTTTAGGATGATTTTGGGGTGATTTGGGGTGATTTAGGGGGATTTTCGGGTGTTTGGGGTGATTTTGGGGTGTCTTGGGGGGAATTGGGGTTGTTCAGGGGAGATTTAGGGGGATTTTGGGGTGTCTTGGGAGGATTTCGGGGTGTTTTGGGGTGATTTAGGAATTTAGGGCAATTTTGGGGGATTTTGGGGTGACTTGAGGTGATTTTGGGGTGTTTTGAGAAGATTTTGGGGCATGTTGGAGAGATTTTGGGGTGTCTTGGGAAGATTTTGGGGCAATTTTATTGGATTTTGGGGTGTTTTGGGATGATTTTTGGGGTGTCTTGGGGTGATTTTGGTAGGATTTTGGGGTGTTCAGGGGAGATTTTGGGCTGTTTTGGGATGATTTTGGGTGTCTTGAGGCGATTTTGGGGTGTCTTGGGATGATTTTGGGGGAATTTGGGGGGATTTTGGGGTGTCTTGAGGTGATTTTGGGGTGTTTTGGGATGAATTTGGGGGGATTTAAGGAGGTTTTGGGAGGATTTTGGGAGATTCGGGGGCCCCAAATTTGGGGCTCCCACTCTTCCCCCATTAATTCTGGGAATATTTTGGGGGGTCTTTTGGGGTCTATTTGAACCGGGATTTTTTTGGGGGGGGTCCCTGGGGGTCTGGGGGTGTTTTTGGGGGGCTGCTGACCCCTCCCCAAATTTGGGGGTCCCGTTTTTCCCCCTCCCCAAATTTGGGGGTCCCGCTTTTCCCCCTCCCCAAATTTGGGCTCCCACTTTTCCCCCATTAATTTGGGGAATATTTTGGGGGGCTTTTTGGGGTCTATTTGAACCGGGATTTTTTTGGGGGGGTCCCTGGGGGTCTGGGGAGGTTTTTGGGGGGCTGCTGACCCCTCCCCAAATTGCAGCTGACCCCCATCGAGCGCTACGCCATGAACTTCCTGGAGGCGTCGCTGGAGGACGTCAGCCGGGAGGAGCTGAAGCAGGCCGAGGTTCGGGGGGGGGCCCAAATTGGGTCTGGGGGCTCCCGAGTGGGTCTGGGGGGTCCCGATTGGGTCTGGGGGCTCCAGTTTGGGTCTGAGGGGGGTCTCAGTTTGGGTCTGGGGGCTCCCGATTGGGTCTGGGGGTGGGTCACAGTTTGGGTCCGGGGGGGGGTTCCAGTTTGGGTCTGGGGTCCCAGTTTGGGATTTGGGGATCCCTAAATTGAGTCTGGGGGGTTCTGAATTGGGTCTGGGGTCCTGATTGGGTCTGGGGGGTCCTGATTGGGTCTGGTGGGGTCCCAGTTTGGGATTTTGGGAGTTCCTGAATTGGGTCTGGGGTCCCATTTGGGTTTTGGGGGGTCTCAGGGTGAGTTTTGGGGGTTCCCGAATTGGGTCTGGGGTCTCAGGGTGGGTTTTGGGGTTTCCTGAATTGGGTCTGGGGTCCCAGTTTGGTTCTGGGGGGTCCCAGTTTGGGTTTTGGGGGTTCTCGAATTGGGTCTGGGGGGTCCCAATTGGGTCTGGGGACTCCGAATTGGGTCTGGGGGTCCCAGTTTGGGATTTGGAGGGGTTCTCGAATTGGGTCTGGGGGGTTCCAGTTTGGGTTTTGGGGTTCCTAAATTGGGTCTGGGGTCCCAGTTTGGGATTTGGGGGTCCCTGAATTGAGTCTGGGGGGGGTCCCGAATTGGGTCTGGGGTCCCAGTTTGGGTTTTTTGGGTCCCTAAATTGGGTCTGAGGGCTCCCAATTGGGTCTGGGGGCTCCCGATTGGGTCTGGGGTCCCAGTTTGGGCTTTCAGGGGGTCCCAGTTTGGTTATTGGGGGTCCCAATTGGGTCTGGGGGCTCCTGTTTGGGTCTGAGGGGTCCCAATTGTGTTTTGGGGTTCCCAATTTGGGTCTGGGGGTCCCAATTGGGTCTGAGGGGTCCCAGTTTGGTTTGGGGGTCCCCAAATCGGGTCTGAGGTCCCCGAATCGGGTCTGGGGTCCCTGAATTGGGTCTGGGGTCTCAGGGTGGGTTTTGGGGTTTCCTGAATTGGGTCTGGGGTCCCATTTGGGTTTTGGGGGGTTCCAAATTGGGTCTGGGGTTCCCAAATTGGGTCTGGGGCCCCGAATTGGATCTGGGGTTCCAGTTTGGGATTTGGAGGGGTTCTCGAATTGGGTCTGGGGTCTCAGGGTGGGTTTTGGGGGATCCCAATTTGGGTCTGGGGTCCCACTTTGGGTCTGAGGGGTCCCAGTTTGGTTTGGGGGCGTCCCAGTTTGAGTCTGGGGGGTCACCGATTGGTTTGGGGGGTCCCAGTTTGGGTTTTTGGGGTCCCTAAATTGGGTCTGGGGGCTCCCAATTGGGTCTGAGGGGTCCCAAATTGGGTCTGGGGGGGATCCCAGTTTGGTTCTGGGGGGGTCCCAGTTTGGTTATTGGTAGTCCCCGAATTGGGTCTGGGGTCCCATTTGGGTTTTGGGGATCCCGATTCGGGTCAGGGGTCCCTAATTGGGTCTGGGGTCCCAATTTGGGTCTGGGGGTTCCCGAATTGGGTCAGGGGTCCCTAATTGGGTCAGGGGTCCCTAATTGGGTCAGGGGTCCCTAATTGGGTCTGGGGTCCCTAATTGGGTCTGGGGTCCCTAATTGGGTCTGGGGTTCCCGAATTGGGTCTGGGGTCCCTAATTGGGTCTGGGGTCCCTAATTGGGTCTGGGGGGTCCCTAATTGGGTCTGGGGTCCCTAATTGGGTCTGGGGTCCCTAATTGGGTCTGGGGTCCCTAATTGGGATTTGGGGTTCCTAATTGGGTCTGGGGGGTCCCTAATTGGGTCTGGGGGTCCCTAATTGGGCCAGGGGTCCCTAATTGGGTCTGGGGTCCCTAATTGGGTCTGGGGGGTCCCTAATTGGGTCTGGGGGTCCCTAATTGGGTCTGGGGTCCCTAATTGGGGTCTGGGGTCCCTAATTGGGTCTGGGGTCCCCGAATTGGGTCAGGGGTCCCTAATTGGGTCTGGGGTCCCACGGTGGGTTTTGGGGGTCCCTAATTGGGTCTGGGGTCCCTAATTGGGTCAGGGGTCCCTAATTGGGTCAGGGGTCCCTAATTGGGTCTGGGGTCCCTAATTGGGTCAGGGGTCCCTAATTGGGTCTGGGGTCCCTAATTGGGTCAGGGGTCCCTAATTGGGTCTGGGGTCCCTAATTGGGTCTGGGGTCCCTAATTGCGTCTGGGGTCCCTAATTGGGTCAGGGGTCACTAATTGGGTCTGGGGTCCCTAATTGGGTCTGGGGTCCCTAATTGGTCTGGGGTCCCTAATTGGGTCTGGGGTCCCTAATTGGGTCAGGGGTCCCTAATTGGGTCTGGGGTCCCTAATTGGGTCTGGGGTCCCTAATTGGGTCAGGGGTCCCTAATTGGGTCTGGGGTCCCTAATTGGGTCTGGGGTCCCTAATTGGGATTTGGGGTCCCGAATTGGGTCTGGGGTCCCTAATTGGGTCTGGGGTCCCTAATTGGGTCTGGGGTCCCTAATTGGGTCAGGGGTCCCTAATTGGGTCTGGGGTCCCTAATTGGGGTCAGGGGTCCCTAATTGGGTCTGGGGTCCCTAATTGGGGTCAGGGGTCCCTAATTGGGTCTGGGGTCCCTAATTGGGTCAGGGGTCCCTAATTGGGTCAGGGGTCCCTAATTGGGTCTGGGGTCCCTAATTGGGTCTGGGGTCCCGAATTGGGTCTGGGGTCCCTAATTGGGTCTGGGGGGTCCCTAATTGGGTCAGGGGTCCCTAATTGGGTCTGGGGTGCCTAATTGGGTCTGGGGTCCTTAATTGGGTCTGGGGTCCCTAATTGGGTCTGGGGTCCCGAATTGGGTCTGGGGTCCCGAATTGAGTCTGGGGTCCCTAATTGGGTTTTGGGGTCCCGAATTGGGTCTGGGATCCCTAATTGGGTCTGGGGTCCCTAATTGGGTCAGGGGTCCCTAATTGGGTCAGGGGTCCTGAATTGGGTCAGGGGTCCCTAATTGGGTCTGGGGTCCCTAATTGGGTCTGGGGTCCCTAATTGGGTCTGGGGTCCCTAATTGGGGTCTGGGGTCCCTAATTGGGTCTGGGGTCCCTAATTGGGTCAGGGGTCCCAAATTGGGTCAGGGGTCCCTAATTGGGGTCTGGGGTCCCTAATTGGGTCTGGGGTCCCTAATTGGGTCTGGGGTCCCTAATTGGGTCTGGGGTCCCCAAATTGGGTCTGGGGTCCCTAATTGGGGTCTGGGGTCCCTAATTGGGTCAGGGGTCCCTATTTGGGTCTGGGGTCCCTAATTGGGTCAGGGGTCCCTAATCGGGTCTGGGGTCCCTAATTGGGTCTGGGGTCCCTAATTGGGATTTGGGGGTCCCTAATTGGGTCAGGGGTCCCTAATTGGGTCTGGGGTCCCTAATTGGGTCTGGGGTCCCTAATTGGGTCAGGGGTCCCTAATTGGGATTTGGGGTCCCTAATTGGGATTTGGGGGTCCCTAATTGGGTCTGGGGTCCCTAATTGGGTCAGGGGTCCCTAATTGGGTCTGGGGTCCCCTAATTGGGTCAGGGGTCCCTAATTGGGTCTGGGGTCCCTAATTGGGTCAGGGGTCCCTAATTGGGTCTGGAGTCCCTAATTGGGTCAGGGGTCCCTAATTGGGTCTGGGGTCCCTAATTGGGTCTGGGGTCCCTAATTGGGTCTGGGGTCCCCCGCAGGAGCAGGTCGAGGCCGCCCGCAAGGACATCGACCAGGCCAAGGGGGGCGGGGGGCGCTTCCGGCCCCGCCCCGGCCCCGCCCCCATGGGGGAGGAGCCAATGGAGGGGGCGGAGCCTCGAGGGGGCGTGGCCACCTCCAATGTGGGCGTGGCCACCTCCAAAATGGGCGTGGCTACCTCCAATATGGGCGTGGCCTCATCCACAATGGGCGTGGTCAATGCGGAAGTGGGCGTGGCCACTGCTGAAGTAGGCGTGGCTGACACAGGGGGCGTGGCCCAATCAGAAGGGGGCGTGGCCATGTCGGAGGGGGCGGAGCCTCACTCGGAACGAGGGGCGGGGCCCCGAAAACCGCGCCGGGTTCGTGCCCCGCCCCGCCCCTCCCCCACCGCGGGGACGCGGGTCAGCCAACGCCTGCGGGCCGTGACGTCATCGGTGACGTCATCGGTGACGTCATCGGTGACGTCATCGGTGACGTCATCGGAAGTGCCGACGCAATCGGCCGCGTCGCCGCCCCCCGTGACGTCATCGCCGCCGCCCCCCGCCGCGGCCACGCCCCCTCCGTCCCCGCCCCCCGTGACGTCATCGCCGCCCCCCGTGACGTCATCGCCGCCCCCCGTGACGTCATCACCACCGCCCGCTATGACGTCATCGCCGCCTCGCTCTGCGCCGTCATCACCGCCACTTCCTGTGACGTCACAGGGGGCGGAGCTTGACGAGCCAAGCCCCTCCCCCCAACTTCCGGTTGAAGCCCCGCCCCCTCCCCCGGCCCCGCCCCCCCCGCGGCGCCGCCGCAGCGCCGACGTGGAGATCCGGCAGAGCCGCGGCGCCGGCCCGGCCGCCAAAGTGCTGCGGACGCTGCCCGGCCGATTGGTCACCGTGCTGGAGGCCCCGCCCCCCGGCCACGCCCCTTCGCGACGCCGCGCTCGGCCACGCCCACCCCCTCCCCCACCTTCCTCCCCATCCCCCTCCTCCCGCTCCTCCTCCTCGCCCGCCCCTCCCCCGCCGAAGCGACGCCGCGGTCGCCCGCCGAAGCCACGCCCACTTCCGGTTGGGGGCGGGGCTCGGCCGCGTCGGCGGCGCCGCCATTTTGTCGCGGCGGCGTCGCGGCGAAACGCCCGCGGGCGGCGGCGGCGGCGGCGGCCACGCCCAGGCCACGCCCCTTCCGGTGATGATCCCGGATCCGCCTCCCCTCCCCCGCCCCGGAAGCGCCGTCGGGGTCGCCCGCCCAAAATGGCGTCGCCGGAGCGCGATGGCGAAGAGGGGGAGGGGTCGCCCATCCCCCCGCCCCGTTCCACCCGCGCCCGTCCCGGTGACGCCCCCTTAGCCCCGCCCCTTCAGCGCGAACCGCGGCGCAGGCCACGCCCACAAGATGGCCGCCAGGAGGATGTCGCCCCGCCCCCACATAAGCGGCGTAAAATGGGGGGTGGGGTTGATGGTGGCCCCGCCCCTAAAAGGAGGAAAAGGGGGCGTGGCTCCTCTGAGGCCCCGCCCCGCCGCACGCAGCCCCCTCGGAGGTGCGCGGTGACCCCCGTGCAAAGTGGGGGAGGGGCGGCCCCGCAGGACCCCCCCGCTGGGGTGGGGGTGGGGGGGAGGGGGAGGAAGGGGAAGACGTGAGGGGTGAGGCAAGATGGCGGCGGGGGGGGAAAATGGGGGGTGGGTGGTAAAGGGGAGGGGGGCAAGATGGCTGACGGTGGGAGAGACAAAATGGCGGATGGAGGGAGACAAAATGGCCGACATTGTAAAGCAAAATGGCCGACGGTTAGAGTGAGACAAAATGGCTGACGGTGGGAGTGAGACAAAATGGCCGACGGTTAGAGTGAGACAAAATGGCTGACGGTGGGAGTGACACAAAATGGCCGACGGTGGGAGTGAGACAAAATGGCTGATGGTGGGAGTGAGACAAAATGGCCGATGGTGGGAGTGAGAGAAAATGGCTGACGGTGACTTCTGATTGACCCCAAAATGGCCGACATGGTGGATTTCGATTGACCCCAATATGGCTGCCACAGTGACCTTTAATTGACCCCAATATGGCCGACACCATGACCTCTGATTGACTCCAATATGGTTGACACAGTGACCTCTGACTGACCTTAATATGGCTGCCACAGTGACCTTTAATTGACCCCAATATGGCCGACAATTGAACTTTGATTGACCCCAATATGGCCGAAACAGTGACCTCTGATTGACCCCAATATGGCTGCCACGGTGACCTTTGGTTGACCCCAATATGGCTGACACGGTGACCTTTGATTGACCCCAATATGGCTGACACAGTGACCTCTGACTGACCCCAATATGGCCAACACTTGAACTTTGATTGACCCCAATATGGCTGCCACGGTGACCTTTGGTTGACCCCAATATGGCTGACACGATGACCTTTGATTGACCCCAATATGGCTGACGCGGTGACCTTTGATTGACCCCAAAATGGCCGACACAGTGACCTCTGACTGACTCCAATATGGCTGCCACAGTGACCTTTAATTGACCCCAATATGGCTGCCATAGTGACCTTTGGTTGACCCCAATATGGTTGACACAGTGACCTCTGATTGACCCCAATATGGCTGACACGGTGACCTTTGATTGACCCCAATATGGCTGACACGGTGACCTCTGATTGACCCCAAAATGGCCGGCATGGTGAACTTTGATTGACCCCAAAATGGCCGACACCATGACCTCTGATTGACCCCAAGATGGCCACCATGAAAGGGGGCGTGGTCTCAAAATGGCCGCCAGGGCGGTTCCAATATGGCCGCCGGGGTGACCTTTCAATGACCCCAAGATGGCCGCCACCACCAATCCAAGATGGCCGCCCGCATGCATCTGTGACATCACTTGTGGCGGCCATCTTTGCTTGGGTGACGTCATCGCCGGCGGACATTTTGAACGCGATGACATCACCAAAACCGGCGGCCATCTTGAATTTGGTGACGTCACCACCTTGCAATCGATGACATCACAAGCGGCGGCCATCTTGAAATCAGTGACATCATCGGCTGCCATTTTTACCTGTGGCTGGCGGCCATCTTGAACCTGGCGGCCATCTTGCTTTCCAGCAGCCATCTTGAATGCACACCCCAAAAGCGGCGGCCATCTTGCCTCCTGGCAGCCATCTTGTTCGATCATGGCGTGATTTGGCAGCCATCTTGTTTTCACTTTGACCCCGCCTCCCAGCGGCCATCTTGATTTTGGTCATCACATGACCCGGCAGCCATCTTGACACCCAAACCCGGCAGCCATCTTGACACCCAAACCCGGCGGCCATCTTGATCGTGAGATGCAAAAACTTGGCAGCCATTTTGTCTCCCGGTGGCCATCTTGTCTCTCACCAACACCTGGCAGCCATCTTGGCCATGAGCAGACTGCAAAACCCGGCGGCCATCTTGGCTCCCAGCAGCTTCATCGATGCCCAGGCGCCATTTTGATTCCTGGCGGCCATCTTGACCACGGGAAGATGCAGAAACTTGGCGGCCATCTTGACTCTGTCACATGACCCAGCAGCCATTTTGACTTCCGCCAACTTCTGTGAGTGCTGGCGGCCATCTTGGTTCCTGGCGGCCATCTTGACTGTAAACTTGGCGGCCATCTTGGTTCCTGGTGGCCATCTTGGCCATGAGAAGATCAAAGACTTGGCAGCCATTTTGCCTCCTGGTGGCCATCTTGACTCCGACCAACGTGTGACCTGGCGGCCATCTTGGCCATGAACTGACACTGAAATCCGGCGGCCATCTTGGCCTTTCCAACATTTGTAAGTCCCGGCAGCCATCTTGATTTCTGGCGGCCATCTTGACCGCGAGAAGACCACAAAACCCAGCGGCCATCTTAACTCCCGTGACACCTAGCAGCCATTTTGAATCCTGGCGGCCATCTTGACTGAAACACGATTACAAAACCCGGCGGTTATCTTAACCCTCGTGACTCCTGGCAGCCATTTTGATTCCTTTCGGCCATCTTGACCACAGGCAGACTACGAAACCCGGCGGCCATTTTGAATCCTGGCGGCCATCTTGATTGCGAGGAGACCACAAAATCTGGCGGCCATTTTGAATCCTGGCGGCCATCTTGCCTCCCGGCGGCCATTTTGTTTCAGGACCGTGCCCAGCAGAGTGGGGGTGGAGGGGGGGAGGGGTGCGGGGGTGGGGGAGGGGCATTTCCCCTCCCCCCCGGATGTAAATTTGGTTCCTTTTGAACCCGATCTATGCAAATGAGCTGGGCCGGGGGGCGGGGCCGGGATTTTGGGGGGGGGGCGGCGGTCGAGGCTTTTCCTGCCATGAATAAAAAAGGTTCAAAATTCCCAATTTTGGGGTTTTCCCCCTCCCCAAATCCGTTTTTTTTGGGTGGGGGAGGGGATTTGGGGCATTTTTAGGGGTGGGGAGAATTTAGGGGATTTTTGGGGGGGTCCCAGAGGAGTTTTGGGGTTCCCGGAGCGATTTTGGGGGTCCCCAGAGAGATTTTGGGGTTCTTTTAGGAATTGGGGGAATTTGGGGTTTCCTGAGCGATTTTGGGGGTCCCCAGAGAGATTTTGGGGTTCTTTTAAAAATTTGGGGAATTTTGGGGTTCCCTGTGAGATTTTGGGGTTCTTTTTAGAAATTGGGGGAAATTTGGGGGTCCCTGAGCGATTTTGGGGTTCCCTGAGAGATTTTGGGGGTCCCCAGAGGACCCAAGAGAGATTTTGGGGTTCTTTTAAAAATTTGGGGAATTTTGGGGGTCCCAGGCAGATTTTGGGGTTCTTTTAGAAATTGGGGGAATTTTGGGGGTCTCTGAGAGATTTTGGGGGTCCCCAGAGGATCCCTGAGAGATTTTGGGGTTCTTTTAGGAATTGGGGGAATTTTGGGGGTCCCAAAGAGATTTGGGGGGTCCCAGAAGAATTTTGGGGGTCCCTGAGCGATTTTGGGGTTCTTTTAAGGGTGGGGGGAATTTTTGGGATTTTTTGGGGGGTCCTAGAGGAGTTTTGGGGTTCCGAGAGCGATTTTGGGGTTCTTTTAGAAATTGGGGGAATTTTGGGGTTTCCTGAGCGATTTTGGGGTTCCCTGAGAGATTTTTGGGGTCCCCAGAGGATCCCAGAGAAATTTTTGGGTTCTTTTAAAAATTTGGGGAATTTTGGGGGTCTCAGGCAGATTTTGGGGGTCACAGAAGATTTTTGGGGGTCCCTGAGCGATTTTGGGGTTCTTTTAAGGGTGGGGAAATTTTGGGGATTTTTTGGGGGGGTCCCAGAGGAGTTTTGGGGTTCCCTGAGCGATTTTGGGGTTCTTTTTAGAAATTGGGGGAATTTTGGGGTTTCCTGAGCGATTTTGGGGGTCCCTGAGAGATTTTGGGGGTCCCCAGAGGGTCCCAGAGAGATTTTGGGGTTTTTTTTAGGAATTGGGGGAATTTAGGGGTCCCAGGCAGATTTTGGGGTTCCTTTTTAGGAATTGGGGGAATTTTGGGGTTTCCTGAGCGATTTTGGGGTTCCCTGAGAGATTTTGGGGGTCCCCAGAGGATCTCAGAGAGATTTTGGGGTTCTTTTAGGAATTTGGGGAATTTTGGGTATCCCAGAGAGATTTTGGGGGTCCCAGAAGAATTTTGGGGGTCCCAGAGAGGTTTTGGGGTTCTTTTAAGGGTGGGGGAAATTTTTTGGGATTTTTGGGGGGTCCCAGAGGAGTTTTGGGGTTCCCTGAGAGATTTTGGGTGTCCCCAGAGAGATTTTGGGGTTCTTTTAAAAATTTGGGGAATTTTGGGGGTCCCAGGCAGATTTTGGGGTTCTTTTAGGAATTGGGGGAATTTTGGGGGTCCCTGAGCGATTTTGGGGTTCCCCAGAGGATCCCAGAGAGATTTTGGGGGTCCCAGAAGAATTTTGGGGGTCCCAGAGAGATTTTGGGGCTCTTTTAAGGGTGGGGGGAATTTTGGGGATTTTTGGGGGGTTCCAGAGGAGTTTTGGGGTTCCCTGAGAGATTTTGGGGTTCATTTTAGAAATTGGGGGAATTTTGGGGTTTCCTGAGCAATTTTGGGGGTCCCTGAGAGTTTTTGGGGTTCTTTTTAGAAATTGGGGGAATTTTGGGTATCCCAGAGAAATTTTGGGGGTCCCAGAAGATTTTTGGGGGTCCCTGAGCGATTTTGGGGTTCTTTTAGGAATTGGGGGAATTTTGGGGGGGTCTTGAAGTAGAAATTGGGGAAATTTTGGGGCGTTTGAGGAAAATTTTGGGGGTTTTTTTGGGATTTAGGGAGAATTTGGGGGTCCTGAAGGGATTTTGGGGAAATTTTGGGGGGTCCTGATGGAAATTTGGGGGGTTTGGATGGATTTTGGTGGGGGCTGATAAAATTTTGGGGGTCCCTGAGCGATTTTGGGGTTTTTTTAAGGGTGGGGGGAATTTTGGGAATTTTTGGGGGGGTCCCAGAAGAGTTTTGGGGTTCCCAGAGTGATTTTGGGGTTCTTTTAGAAATTGGGGGAATTTTGGGGTTTCCTGAGCGATTTTGGGGGTCCCTGAGAGATTTTGGGGGTCCCCAGAGGATCCCAGAGAGATTTTGGGGTTCTTTTAAAAATTTGGGGAATTTTGGGGGTCTCAGGCAGATTTGGGGGGTCCCAGAAGAATTTTGGGGGTCCCTGAGCGATTTTGGGGTTCTTTTAAGGGTGGGGGGAATTTTGGGGATTTTTGGGGGGGTCCCAGAGGAGTTTTGGGGTTCCCAGAGCGATTTTGGGGTTCTTTTAGAAATTGGGGGAATTTTGGGGTTTCCTGAGCAATTTTGGGGGTCCCTGAGAGATTTTGGGGGTCCCCAGAGGATCCCAAAGAGATTTTGGGGTTCTTTTAGGAATTGAGGAAATTTTGGGTATCCCAGAGAAATTTTGGGGGTCCCAGAAGAATTTTGGGGGTCCCTGAGCGATTTTGGGGTTCTTTTAAGGGTGGGGGGAATTTTTTGGGATTTTTGGGGGGGTCCCAGAAGAGTTTTAGGGTTCCCTGTGAGATTTTGGGGTTCTTTTAGGAATTTTGAGAATTTTGGGGGTCCCTGAGCGATTTTGGGGTCCCTGAGAGATTTTGGGGTTCTTTTAGGAATTTTGAGAATTTTGGGTATCCCAAAGAGATTTGGGGGGTCCCAGAAGAATTTTGGGGGTCCCAGAGAAGTTTGGGGGTTCTTTTAGGAATTGGGAAAATTTTGGGGGGGTCTTGAAGCAGAAATTGGGTAAATTTTGAAAGGTTTGAGGAAAATTTTGGGGGGTTTTTTTGGGATTTAAGGAGAATTTGGGGGTCCTGAAAGAATTTTGGGGAGATTTTGGGGGGTCCTGATGGAATTTTGGGGTTTTTGGATGGATTTTGGTGGGGGCTGATAAAATTTGGGGATTTGTGAGAATTTTGGGGATCCTCGAGGGGATATTTGGGGGTCCCCGGAGAGAAAATTTGAGAAATTTGGGGGAAATTGAGGAATTTTGGGGTTTTTTGGGGATCTTTGGGAGAACTTTGGGGGAATTTTGGGGTCCCAGAGAATTTTTGGGGTCCCCAAGAGGATTTGGGGGGTTATTTTGACCTTGGACAGATTTTGGGGTCATTTTTTGGGATTTTCATATTTTTTGGGGCTCCCCGAGGGAATTTTGGGGTTCATTTTGGGGATTTGACGATTTTTGAGTGGTCTTAGAGGTCTTGGAAGGTCCCCAAGCGGTCCTGAAGGGTTGTGAGGGTCCCTAAAAGCCATGGGGAGCCCCAAAATTCTCGGGAATCCCCAAAATTCTCAAAAAACCCCCCAAAAAACCCCAAAATTCTCCAAAAATCCCCAAAAAAACCCTTTGGTGGGCCCCACCGCCGCCATCGCCGCTTTAAGAATTTCCCTTTACCCCTTTAAGAGCCGCTCCTTTTCCCGCCCTTTCGCCGTTACCACGGCAACGGGGCGTGGCTAAGACGGATCGGCCAATCAGAACGCGTAGAGGCGGGGAGGAGGCGTGGCTAGAGCGGCTTAGCCAATCAGCGACGCGGTGGGCGTGGCCTGAGCGGCTGCGCGGCGCTGACTCCGGTGAGCTCCGGGGGGAGGGGCGGGACGGGCGCTTAAAAAACCCCAAAAAAACCCCAAAAAACCCCAAAAAAGCTCCAAAAAAGCCCCAAAATCGCCAGAATTCCACCCAAAATCGCCCCAAATCTCATCGGAAACACCCCAGAAACCCCCGGGGGCCTTCCCGGGCCGATCCCCGCCCGCTCCTCCCTCAGGACGCGGCCGCCATTTTGGGGCTCAGGCGCCGCGCTCCGAAAGGGACGAAAATGCTCAAAATTCACCCAAAATTCACCTAAAATGCCCAAAATTCACCCAAAATGCTGAAATTCCACCCGAAATTCACCCAAAATGTCCCAAATTCCGCATAAAATGCTACAAATTTCATGCGAAATTGCCCAAATTCCGCCCGAAATGCCCCAAACACGAAATGTCTCAATATTCGCTCAAAAATCCCCGATTTTCTCCCAGAATTCGCCCCAAAAGCCCCAAATTTCACTCAAAACCCCGAAATTCAGCCAAATTGCCCCAAATCCCCACAAAATCGCCTCAAATCCATCCAAAATCCCAACAAATCCCCCCAAAATCACCTCAAACCTCCCCAAAATTCCCTCAAAGCCCCCCGAAATCCCCCCAAACTTTCCCAAATTCGTCCAATGTCCCCAAACTCCCCAAAATTCCCCAGATCCCCCAAAAATCATCTTAAACCCCTCAAAATTCCCCCAAACTCCCCCAAATCCCCCCAAAATCATTTCAGATCTCCCCAAATTCCCCAAAAATTCTCAAAATCACCTTAAACCCCCCCAAAATCAAACCAAATCCCCCCAAAATCACACAAAATTCACACAAAATCCCCCTAAACCCCCCCAAACCCCCCTGAAATCCCTCCAAAATCCCCTTAAATTCCCAAAATTCCCCCAAAATCCCTTTAAACACCCCCAAAGTACCCCTAAATCCACCCAGAATTCCCTCAAAATCCCTCCAAAATCACCTCAAACCCCCCCAAAATCCTCTTAAACACTTCTAAAATCACCTTAAATCCCCCCAAAATCCCCCAGAGCCCCCCAAAATCCCCCCAAAATCACCTTAAACCCCCCAAAATTCCCTCAAATTCCCCCAAAATCACATTAAACACCCCCAAAATTCCCTCAAATTCCCCCAAAATCACCTTAAGCCCCCCAAAATTCCCGCAAATTCCCCCAAAATCATCCTTAATCCCCCCAAAATCTCCCAAAGCCTCCCAAAATCCCCCCAAAATCACCTCAAATCACCTCAAATCCCCCCAAAATCCCCCCAAAATCACCTTAAATCCCCCCAAATCATCTCAAATCCCCCCAAAATGCCCACAAAATCCCCCCAAAATCACCTCAAATTCCCCGCAAATCCCCCCAAAATCACTTTAAACCCCCCAAAATTCCCCCGAACTCCCCCAAACCCCTTCAAATCTCTCACCTGTGCCTCACCTGTGCCTCACCTGTGCAGGTGCCCATGGCCGGGGTTGGTGCCAAGCGGGGACCCCCAAACTCCCCCAAAATCACCTCAAATCCTCCCAAAATCCCCCCAAAGCCCCCCAAAATTCCCCAAATCCCCCCAGAATCTCCTTAAACACCCCCAAAATCACCTCAAATCACCTCAAATCCCCACAAAATCCCCACAAAATTCCTATAAAATCACCTTAAACCCCTCCAAATCCCACCAAAATCCCCCCAAATTCCCCCAAAATCACCCTAAACCCCCCCAAAAGTCACCTCAAATTCCCTGAAAATTCACCCCAAATCCCCTAAAATGTGCCCAAATTTTCCCAAATCCCACCAAAATCCCCCAAAATCACCTCAAATCCCCCAAAAATCCCCACAAAATTCACCCAAATTCCCCCAAAATCTCCTTTAATCCCCCCAAAATCACCTTAAATCCCCCCAAAATCACCCTAAACCCCTCCAAACTCAACCAAAATCTCCCAAAATTTCCCCCAAAATACCCCAAAATTCCCTCAAATTCTCCCAAAATCCCCCAAATTTCCCTCAAATCCCCTCAAATCCCCCCAAAAATTCCCCCAAAATCCCCCAAATCTCTCACCTGTGCCTCACCTGTGCAGGTGCCCATGTCGGGGGTCGGCGCCAAGCGGGGACCCCCCGAGCCCGGGGGGGGGCCCCCCCGAGAAGAGACCCCCGAGGGAGGAGCAGCCCCCGACCACCCTGATCGAGCCCCTGCGGCTGGGGGGCATCTCCAGCACGGTGAGCACACCTGGGCACACCTGGGCACACCTGGGCACACCTGGGCACACCTGGGCACACCTGGGGGCACCTGGGCAAAAAAAACCCGGCGAAAATCGGGTTAAAAATGGGGATTTTGGGGGTTTTGGGGGCACCTGGAGGGGTAAAAACACACCTGGGCACACCTGAGATACACCTGGGCACACCTGAGATACACCTGGGCACACCTGGGCACACCTGGGCAGGGGGAAACGCAAAAAAAACGGGGTTAAAAGGAGCAAAAATGGGGTTAAAAGGGGCAAAAATGGGGTTAAAAGGAGCAAAAATGGCATTTTGGGCACTGAAAACCCACCTGGGCACACCTGGGCACACCTGAGATACACCTGGGCACACCTGGGCACACCTGAGATACACCTGGGCACACCTGGGCACACCTGGGGAGGGTAAAAATGTGAAAAAACGGGGTTAAAAGGGGCAAAAATGGGGTTAAAAGGGGCAAAAATGGGATTTTGGGGCACTGAAAACACACCTGGGCACACCTGAGATACACCTGGGCACACCTGGGCACACCTGGGCACACCTGGGCACACCTGGGGAGGAGGAAATGCAAAAAAAACGGGGTTAAAAGGAGCAAAAATGGGGTTAAAAGGGGCAAAAATGGGATTTTGGGGCACTGGAAACGCACCTGGGCACACCTGAGATACACCTGGGAGCACCTGGGCACAGATAAAATACACCTGGGCACACCTGGGGGCACCTGGGGAGGGGGAAACGCAAAAAAAACGGGGTTAAAAGGTGCAAAAATGGGGTTAAAAGGGGCAAAAATGGGGTTAAAAGGGGCAAAAATGGGATTTTGGGGCATTGAAAACGCACCTGGGCACACCTGGGCACAGATAAAATACACCTGGGCACACCTGGGCACTTACCTGGGCACACCTGTCTGTGTCTCACCTGTCCCAGGTGAATAATTCAGGAGCTTTGGAGTGAAATTACCCCAATTTATTCAATTTTTGGGCTAAAATTTTGCTTTTTTTTGCTGTTTTCTTGGGGTTTCTTTGCCCCACCTGTCCCCCACCTGTGCTCACCTGTCTGTGTCTCACCTGTCCCAGGTGAACCTTTTAGGAGATTTGCAGTAAAATGGCTCCAATTTATTCAATTTTTGGGATAAAATTTCGGGGTTTTTTCCATTTTCTCGGGGTTTTTTGCCCCTCACCTGTCCCACCTGCCCTCACCTGTATCCCACCTGTCTCACCTGTATCTCACCTGTGCTCACCTGTGCACAGGTGAGTCCTTTAAGAGTAAGTTCAGGAGATTTGCAGTAAAATGGCCCCAATTTATTCAATTTTTGGGCTAAAACCTCGGTGTTTTTTGCCATTTTCTCGGGGTTTTTTACCTTTTTTTTGGGATTTCTCCACCCCTCACCTGTCCCACCTGTCTCACCTGTATCTCACCTGTCTCACCTGTGCTGGGTGAATAATTTAGAAGGTTTGCAGTGTAATAACCCCAATTTATTCAATTTTCGGGCTAAAATCTCGGGATTTTTTGCCATTTTCTCGTGGTTTCTTTGCTCCTCACCTGTCTCACCTGTGCTCACCTGTGCCTCACCTGTCTGTGTTTCACCTGTCCCTCACCTTTCTCACCTGTGCACAGGTGAGTCCTTTAGAAGTGAGTATAGGATATTTGGAGTGAAATGGGTCCAATTTATTCAATTTTTGGGCTAAAATTTTGCTTTTTTTTGCTGTTTTTTTGGGGTTTCTTTGCCCCACCTGTCCCTCACCTGTCTCACCTGTGTCTCACCTGTGCACAGGTGAGTCCTTTAGGAGCAAATTTAGGAGTTTCGGAATGAAATTGCCCCAATTTATTGAATTTTTGGGCTAAAATCTCGGGGTTTTTTGCCATTTTTTTGGGGTTTTCTTTTCCCTACCTGTCCCTCACCTGTCTCACATGTGTCTCACCTGTCTGTGTGTCACCTGTCTGTGCTCACCTGTCTCACCTGTCCCAGGTGAATAATTTAGAAGATTTGCAGTGAAATGACCCCAATTTATTCAATTTTTGGGCTAAAATTTTGGTGGTTTTTGCCATTTTCTCGGGGTTTTTTGCCTTTTTTTGGGAGTTTTTTGCCCCTCACCTGTCTCTCCTGTCTCACGTGTCCCTTACCTGTCTGGGTCTCACCTGTCTCACCTGTGCTGGGTGAATAATTTAGGAGATTCAGAGTAAAATGACTCCAATTTATTCAAATTTTGGGCTAAAATCTTGCGGGTTTTTGCCATTTTTTTGGGGTTTTTTGCCATTTTCTCGGGGTTTTTTGCCCCTCACCTGCCCCACCTGTGCTCACCTGTCTCACCTGTGCCTCACCTGTCTGTGTCTCACCTGTGCACAGGTGAGTCCTTTAGGAGCGAGTTTAGGATGTTGGGAGTGAAACGGCTCCAATTTATTCCATTTTTGGGATAAAATCTCGGGGTTTTTTGCCATTTTCTCGGGGTTTCTTTGCTCCACCTGTCCCTCACCTGTCGGGTCTCACCTGTACTGGGTGAATAAATTTAGGAGATTCAGAGTGAAATAATCCCAATTTATTCAATTTTTGGGCTAAAACCTCGGGGTTTTTTGCCATTTTTTTGGGATTTTTTTGTCCCTCACCTGTCCCACCTGTCTGTGTCTCACCTGTGCACAGGTGAGTCCTATTGGAGCAAGTTTAGGAAGTTCAGAGTGAAATTACTCCAATTTATTCAAATTTTGGGATAAAATTTTGGTGTTTTTTCCGTTTTTTTGGGATTTCTTTGCCCCACCTGTCCCTCACCTGTCCCTCACCTGTGGGGTCTCACCTGTCCATGTCTCACCTGTCCCAGGTGAATAATTCAGGTGCTTTGAAGTGAAATGACCCCAATTTATTCAATTTTTGGGCTAAAATCTTGGGGTTTTTTGCCTTTTTCTCGGGGTTTTTGCCTTTTTTTTGGGATTTCTCTGCCCCTCACCTGTCTCACCTGCCCTCACCTGTCTGTGTCTCACCTGTGCACAGGTGAGTCCTTTAGGAGCAAGTTTAGGACGTTTGGAGTGAAATGACCCCAATTTATTCCATTTTTGGGCTAAAATCTCGGGATTTTTTGCCATTTTCTTGGGGTTTTTTTGCCCCTCACCTGTCCCTCACCTGTGTCTCACCTGTCCCACGTGTCTCACCTGTATCTCACCTGTGCTCACCTGTGGACAGGTGTGTCCTTTAGGAGCGAGTTTAGGATGTTGGGAGTGAAACGGCTCCAATTTATTCAATTTTTGGGCTAAAATTTTGCTTTTTTTTGCTGTTTTTTTGGGGTTTCTTTGCCCCACCTGTCCCTCACCTGTATCTCACCTGTTCTTCATCTGTCCCTCACCTGGCTCACCTGTCCCAGGTGAATCTTTCAGGATGTTTGGAGTGAAATGACCCCAATTTATTCAATTTTTGGGCTAAAATCTCGGGTTTTTTACCTTTTTCTCGGGTTTTTTTGTCCCTCACCTGTCTCACCTGTTCTGGGTGAAAAATTCAGGAGATTCAGAGTAAAATGATCCCAATTTATTCAATTTTTGGGCTAAAACCTTGTGGTTTTTTGCCATTTTCTCGGGGTTTTTGCCTTTTTTTTGGGTTTTTTTGCCCCTCACCTGTCTCACCTGTCTCACCTGTCTCACCTGTGCCTCACCTGTCTCACCTGTCCCAGGTGATTCCTTTAGGAGATTTGGAGTGAAATTACTCCAATTTATTCAATTTTTGGGCTAAAATCTCGGGGTTTTTTGCCATTTTTTTGGGGTTTTTTGCCCCACCTGTTCCTCACCTGTCTCACCTGTGTCTCACCTGTCTATATCTCACCTGTCTCACCTGTCTCACCTGTCCTGGTGAATAAATCAGGAGATTCAGACTGAAATGACCCCAATTTATTCAATTTTTGGGCTAAAATCTCGGGGGTTTTTGCCATTTTTTTGGGGTTTCTTTGCCCCACCTGTCTCTCACCTGTCTCACCTGTCTGTGTCTCACCTGTCTCACCTGTCCCAGGTGAATCCTTCAGGAGGTTCAGAGTAAAATAACACCAATTTATTCAATTTTTGGGCTAAAATCTCGGGGTTTTTTACCTTTTTTTCGGGATTTTTTTGCCCCTCACCTGTCCCTCACCTGTGCTCACCTGTCTGTGTCTCACCTGTGCACAGGTGAGTCCTTTAGGAGTGAGTTTAGGAGCTTTGGAGTGAAATGGCTCCAATTTATTCAATTTTTGGGCTAAAATTTTGGTGTTTTTTGCTGTTTTTTTGGGGTTTCTTTGCCCCACCTTTCCCTCACCTGTGGGGTCTCACCTGTCTGTGTCTCACCTGTGCTGGGTGAAAAATTTAGGCAATTCACAGTAAAATAACCCCAATTTATTCAAATTTTGGGCTAAAATCTCGGGGTTTTTTGCCATTTTCTCGGGGTTTTTTGCCCCTCACCTGTCTCACCTGTGCCTCACCTGTATCTTACCTGTGTCTCGCCTGTCTGTGTCTCACCTGTGCTCAGTGAATAATTTGGGAGATTCAGAGTAAAATAACCCCAATTTATTCAATTTTTGGGCTAAAATCTCGGGATTTTTTGCCATTTTCTCGGGGTTTTTTGCCCCTCACCTGTCCCACCTGTGTCTCACCTGTCTGTGCTCACCTGTCTCACCTGTTGTGGTGAATAAATTAGGAGATTCAGAGTGAAATTACTCCAATTTATTCAATTTTTGGGCTAAAACCTCTGGATTTTTTGCCATTTTTTGGGGTTTTTTTGCCTTTTTTTGGGATTTTTTGCCCCTCACCTGTCTCACCTGTCCTACCTGTCTGTATCTCACCTGTGCTCACCTGTCTGTGTCTCACCTGTCCCAGGTGACTCCTTTAGGAGATTCAGACTGAAATAACTCCAATTTATTCAATTTTTGGGCTAAAATCTCGGGGTTTTTTGCCATTTTCTCGGGGTTTTTTGCCATTTTTTGGGATTTTTTCGCCCCTCACCTGTCTCACCTGTGCTCACCTGTCCGTCTCTCACCTGTCTCATCTGTCTGTGTCTCACCTGTGCTGGGTGAAAAATTTAGGAAATTCACAGTAAAATAACCCCAAATTTTTTCAATTTTTGGGCTAAAATCTCGGGGTTTTTTGCCATTCTCTCGGGATTTTTTGCCATTTTTTGGGGTTTTTTTGCCCCATCTGTCCCTCACCTGTCTCACCTGTCTGTGTCTCACCTGTCGGGTCTCACCTGTCCCTCACCTGTCCTGGGTGAACAACTTAGAAGATTTGCAGCGAAATGACCCCAATTCATTCAATTTTTGGGATAAAATTTTGGGGATTTTTGCCATTTTCTCGGGATTTTTTGCCTTTTTTTGGGGTTTTTTGCCCCTCACCTGTCCCTCACCTGTGCTCACCTGTCGAGTCTCACCTGTCTGTGTCTCACCTGTCCCAGGTCAATAATTTAGGAGATTCACAGTGAAATGACCCCAATTTATTCAATTTTTGGGCTAAAATCTTGCGGTTTTTTGCCATTTTTTTGGGGGTTTTTGCCTTTTTTTTGGGATTTCTCTGCCCCTCACCTGTCCCACCTGTCGGTGTCCCACCTGTGCTGGGTGAATAATTTAGGCAATTCACAGTAAAATAACCCAAATTTATTCAAATTTTGGGCTAAAATCTTGGGATTTTTTACCATTTTCTCGGGATTTCTTTGCCCCTCACCTGTCCCACCTGTATCTCACCTGTGGGGTCACACCTGTATCTCACTTGTCTGTATCTCACCTGTGTCTCACCTGTCTCACCTGTCTGTGTCTCACCTGTTCTGGGTGAATAATTTAGAAGATTTGCAGTGAAATAACCCCAATTTTTTCGATTTTTGGGCGAAAATCTCGGGATTTTTTGCCATTTTTTCGGGGTTTCTTTGCTCCACCTGTCTCTCACCTGTCTGGGTCTCACCTGTCCATGTCTCAGCTGTCCCAGGTGAATAATTCAGGTGCTTTGAAGTGAAATGGCTCCAATTTATTCAATTTTTGGGTTAAAATCTCGGGATTTTTTGCCTTTTTCTCTGTTTTTTTTGCCCCTCACCTGTCCCACCTGTCCCTCACCTGTGGGGTCTCACCTGTCCCACCTGTGCTCACCTGTCTGTGTTTCACCTGTTCTGGGTGAATAATTTCGGAGATTCCGAGTGGAAATGGCCCCAATTTATTCAAATTTTGGGCTAAAATCTTGGGGTTTTTTGCATTTTTTTTGGGTTTTCTTTTCCCCACCTGTCCCTCACCTGTCTCACCTGTCCCTCACCTGTCCCTCACCTGTATCTCACCTGTCTCACCTGTCCCAGGTGAATAATTTAGGCGGTTCAGAGTGAAATGACCCCAATTTATTCAATTTTTGGGCTAAAATCTCGGGGTTTTTTGCCATTTTCTCGGGGTTTTTTGCCTTTTTTTTTGGGATTTTTTCGCCCCTCACCTGTCTCACCTGTCTCACCTGTATCTCACCTGTCTCACCTGTCTCACCTGTATCTCACCTGTCCTGGGTGAATAATTCGGGAGATCTGGAGTAAAACGGCTCCAATTTATTCAAATTTTGGGCTAAAATCTTGCGGTTTTTTGCCATTTTTTGGGGGTTTTTTGCCTTTTTTCGGGATTTTTTTGCCCCTCACCTGTCCCACCTGTATCTCACCTGTATCTCACCTGTCTGTGTCTCACCTGTCTCACCTGTCCCAGGTGAATTCTCTGGGATGTTCGGAGTGAAATGGCTCCAATTTATTCAATTTTTGGGCTAAAATCTCGCGGTTTTTTGCCTTTTTTTTGGGTTTTTTTGCCCCTCACCTGTCCCACCTGCTCCACCTGTGCTCACCTGTCCTGGGTGAAAAACTTAGGAAATTCACAGTAAAATAACCCCAATTTACTCAATTTTTGGGCTAAAATCTTGGGGTTTTTTGCCATTTTCTCGGGGATTTTTTTCTCCCTCACCTGTCCCACCTGTCCCACCTGTCCATGTCCCACCTGCGCAGGAGGAGATGGACGTGAAGGTGCTGCAGTTCCGGAACAAGAAGCTGGCGGAGCGGCTGGAGCAGCGCCAGGTGTGCGAGGACGAGCTCCGCGAGCGCATCGAGAAGCTGGAGAAGCGCCAGGCCACCGACGACGCCACCCTGCGCCTGGTCAACCGCTTCTGGGCGCAGGTGAGGGCACCTGGGCACACCTGGGCACACCTGGGGGCACCTGGGCATGGCTGGGGGGGGTACAGAGCAAAAAAAACGGGGTTAAAAGGTGAAAAAATGGGGTTAAAAGGTGAAAAAATGGAGGTTTTGGGCACTAAAAATGGGGTCAGGGACATCCAGGTGGGTCTGGGCACACCTGGGCACACCTGGCACAGGTGAGAGTCACCTGGGACACACCTGGGCACTCACCTGGGCACACCTGGGCACACCTGGGCACACCTGAGATACACCTGGGCACACCTGGGGAGGGTAAAAACGTGAAAAAATGGGGTTAAAAGGAGCAAAAATGGGATTTTGGGTACTGAGAACACACCTGGGACAGGTGACATTCACCTGGGCACACCTGGGCACACCTGGGGAGGGTACAGTGCAAAAAAAATGGGGTTAAAAGGTGAAAAAATGGGGTTAAAAGGAGCAAAAGTGGGGTTTTGGGAACTGAAAATGCACCTGGGCACAGCTGGCACAGGTGAGACTCACCTGGGGGCACCTGGGCACACCTGGGGGCACCTGGGCGCACCTGGGCACACCTAGGACAGGTAAAATTGTGAAAAAATGGGGTTACAATGAGTAAAAATGGGATTTGGGGCACTAAAAATGTACCTGGGAACCCCAAAAACTGAGTTTTGGACAGGTTACACCTGGTCAACCGCTTCTGGGCACAGGTGAGGGCACCTGGGGGCACCTGGGGGCACCTGGGCACACCTGGGCACACCTGGGGGCACCTGGGGGCACCTGGGGGGGGTGAAATGCAAAAAAAACGGGGTTAAAAGGTGAAAAAATGGGGTCAAAAGGGGCAAAAATGAGATTTGGGACATTGAAAACGCACCTGGGCACTCCTGGGCACACCTGGGCACACCTGGGGAGGGTAAAACCCAAAAAAAACGGGGTTAAAAGGTGAAAAAATGGGGTTAAAATGGGAAAAAATGGGGTTTTGGGCGCTGAAAACGCACCTGGGGGCACCTGGGGCAGGTAAAACCCCAAAAAATGGGGTTAAAAGGGGGAAAAATGGGGTTTTGGGCACTGAAAACGCACCTGGGCACACCTGGGCACACCTGGGGGCACCTGGGGGCACCTGGGGGGGTAAAATGCAAAAAAAACGGGGTTAAAAGGTGAAAAAATGGGGTTAAAACGGGAAAAATGGGGTTTTGGGTACTAAAAATGCACCTGGGATACCCAAAATTGAGGTCAGGGACACCCAGGTGGGTCTGGGCACACCTGGGCACAGGTGAGACTCACCTGGGCACACCTGGGCACACCTGGGGGCGGCTGGGGGGGTAAAATGCAAAAGAAACGGGGTTAAAAGGTGAAAAAAGGGGTTTTGGGCGCTGAAAATGCACCTGGGAACCTCAAAAATGGGGTCAGGGACACCCCAGGTGGGTCTGGCCACACCTGGGCACACCTGGGCACACCTGGGACACACAAAATTGCAAAAATTGGGGTTAAAAGGAGCAAAAATGGGATTTTGGGCACTAAAAACTCACCTGGGAACCTCAAAAATGGGGTCAGGGACACCCAGGTGGATCTGGGCACACCTGGGCACACCTGGGCACACCTGGGCACACCTAGGACAGGTAATATTGTGAAAAAATGGGGTTAAAAGGTGAAAAAATGGGGTTTTGGGCACTGAAAACACACCTGGGCACACCTGGGCACACCTGGGCACACCTGGGGGCGGCTGGGGGGGGTACAGCGCAAAAAAAACGGGGTTAAAAGGTGAAAAAATGGGGTTTTGGGTCCTAAAAATGTACCTGGGATACCCAAAAATGGGGTCAGGGACACCCAGGTGGGTCTGGGCACACCTGGGCACACCTGGGGAGGGTAAAAATGTGAAAAATGGGGTTAAAAGGAACCAAAATGGGGATAAAAGGAGCAAAAATGGGGTTAAAATGAGCAAAAATGGAATTTTGGGCACTGAAAATGTACCTGTGCGCAGCTGGCACAGGTGGGACTCACCTGTGCACACCTGGGGGCACCTGGGCACACCTGGGCACTCACTTGGGCACACCTGGGGGCATCTGGGGAGGGTGAAACGCAAAAAAAATGGGGTTAAAAGGAGCAAAAATGGGGTTGAAAGGAGAAAAAATGGGGTTAAAACAGGAAAAATGGAGTTTTGGACACTGAAAACGCACCTGGGCACCCCAAAAATTGGCTTAAGCAAAACCAAGATGGTTCTGGGCACACCTGGGCACACCTGGGCACACCTGGCACAGGTGAGACTCACCTGGGCACACCTGGGGGCACCTGAGACAGGCAGAAACGTGAAAAAATGGGGTTAAAAGGAGCAAAAATGGGGTTTAAAGGAGCAAAAATGGGATTTTGGGCACTGAAAACGCACCTGGGCACACCTGGGCACACCTGGGCACACCTGGGGGCACCTGGGCACACCTGGGCACACCTGGGCATGGATGGGGGGGGTAAAATGCAAAAAAAACGGGGTTAAAAGGTGAAAAAATGGGGTTTTGGGTACTAAAAATGCACCTGGGACACCCAAAATTGGGGTCAGGGACACCCAGGTGGGTCTGGGCACACCTGGGCACACCTGGGGGCACCTGGGCACACATGGGGAGGGTGAAACGCAAAAAAAACGGGGTAAAAGGTGAAAAAATGGGGTTAAAAGGAGCAAAAATGGGGTTAAAATGAGCAAAAATGGGGTTTTGGGCACTGAAAACACACCTGGGCACACCTGGGACAGGTGAGACTCACCTGGGCACACCTGGGCACTCACCTGGGGAGACCTGGGCACACCTAGGAAAGGCTAAATTGTGAAAAAATGGGGTTAAAAGGAGGAAAAATGGGGTTAAAAGGAGCAAAAATGGGTTTTGGGCATTGAAAATGGGGTCAGGGACACCCAGGTGGGTCTGGGCACACCTGGGCACACCTGGGCACACCTGGGCACACCTGGGCACAGCTGGGGGCACCTGGGCACACCTGGGGATGGTAAAACACAAAAAAACGGGGTAAAAGCCCCAAAAACGGCATCGATTTGGGTCAATTTTTGGGGTAATTTTGGGGATTTTTGGGCCATTTTAACCGTTTCCTCCCGGGCTGAATTTGGGTCAGTTTTGGGATAAATTTGGGTGATTTTGGGTCGATTTTTGGGGTAATTTTGGGGATTTTTGGCTCAATTTAACCCTTTCCTCCCCAGTTGGATTTGGGTCAGTTTTGGGTTGATTTTTGGGGTAATTCTGGGGATTTTTGGCTCATTTTTAACCTTTTCCTCCCCAGCTGGATTTGGGTCAGTTTTCGGTCAATTTTTGGGGTAATTTTGGGGTAAATTTGGGTCCATTTTTGGGGTAATTTTGGGGATTTTTAGCTGATTTTTAACCCTTTCCCTTCCAGCTGAATTTGGGTCAGTTTTGGGTTTATTTTGGGGTAATTTTGGGTGATTTTGGCTCATTTTTAACCCTTTCCTCCCCAGCTGGACTTTGTCAATTTGGGGTCGATTTTTGGGGTAAATTTGGGGATTTTTGGCTCATTTTTAACCCTTTCCTCCCCAGCTGGATTTGGGTCGAATTGGGGTCTATTTTGGGGTAATTTTTTGGGATTTTGGCTCATTTTTAACCCTTTTATCCCCAGCTGAATTTTGTCAATTTGGGGTCTATTTCTGGGGTAATTTTGGGTATTTTTGGCTCATTTTTAACCCTTTCCCCCCCAGCTGGATTTGGGTCAATTTAAGGTTGATTTTGGGGTAATTTTGGGTGATTTTGGGTCGTTTTTTGGGGTAATTTTGGGTGATTTTGGGTCGTTTTTTGGGGTAATTTTGGGTGATTTTGGGTCGATTTTTGGGTAAATTTTGGCTGATTTTGGGTCGATATTTGGGGGAATTTTGGAGATGTTTGCCTCATTTTTAACCCTTTCCCCCCCACCCGGATTTGGGTCCATTTAAGGTCGATTTTGGGGTAATTTTTGGGGATTTTTGTCTCATTTTTAAGCCTTTCCCCCCCAGCTGTGTTTGGGTCCATTTTCTGTCAATTTTTGGGGTAATTTTGGGTGATTTTGGGTCAATTTTTGGTGCAAGTTTGGGGATTTTTGGCTCATTGTTAACCCTTTCCCCCCCCCAGCTGAATTTGGGTCAATTTTGGGGTAATTTTGGGTCGGTTTTTGGGGTAATTTTGGACTTTTTTGGCTCATTTTTAACCCTTTCCTCATCAGCTGAATTTGGGTCAATTTTTTGTCAATTTTTGGGGTAATTTTGGGTGATTTTTGGGTCGATTTTTCGGGTAAATTTGGGTATTTTTGGATCATTTTTAACCCTTTCCTCCCCAGCCGGATTTGTGTCAGTTTTGTGTCGGTTTTTGGGGAAAATTTGGGTATTTTTGGCTCATTTTTAACCCTTTCCTCCCCAGATGGATTTGGATCGATTTAAGGTTTATTTTGGGGTAAATTTGGGTATTTTTGGCTCATTTTTAACCCTTTCTTCCCCAGCTGGATTTTGTCAATTTTAGGTCAATTTTGGGGTAAATTTGGGGGGTTTTGGTTAATTTTTAACCCTTTCCCCCCAGCTGGATTTGGGTCAATTTTGGGTCGATTTTTGGGGTAATTTTTGGGGTAATTTCGGCTCATTTTTAACCCTTTCCCCCCCAGCTGGATTTTGTCAATTTGGGGTCGATTTTTGGGGTAATTTTGGGTGATTTTGGGTCAATTTTTGAGGTAATTTCGGGTGATTTTTGGGTCGATATTTGGGGTAATTTTGGGTGATTTTGGGTCGACTTTTGGTGCAACTTTGTGTATTTTTGGCTCATTTTTAACCCTTTCCCTGCCAGCTGGATTTGGGTCAATTTAAGGTTGATTTTGGGGTAATTTTGGGTGATTTTGGGTCGTTTTTTGGGGTAATTTTGGGGTGATTTTGGGTCGATTTTTGGGGTAATTTTGGGTGATTTTGGGTCGATTTTTGGGGTAATTTTGGGTGATTTTGGGTCGATTTTTAGGGTAATTTTGGGTATTTTTGGCTCATTTTTAACCCTTTCCGTGGGTCGATTTTGGGTCGAGTTTAGGGGTAATTTTGGGTGATTTTCTGTCAATTTTTGGGATAATTTTGGGTATTTTTGGCTCGTTTTTAACCCTTTCCCCCCCAGCTGGATTTGGGTGGATTTTTGGGGTAATTTTGGGTGTTTTTGGCTCATTTTTAACCCTTTCCTCCCCAGTTGGATTTGGATCGATTTAAGGTCAATTTTTGGGGTAATTTTGGGTATTTTGGGCCATTTTTAACCCTTTCCCCCCAGCTGGATTTTGTCAATTTGGGGTCGATTTTTGGGGTAATTTTGGGGATTTTTGGCTGATTTTTAACCCTTTCCCCCCCCAGCTGGATTTGGGCTGATTTTAGGTCGATTTTTGGGGTAAATTTGGGGGGTTTTGGCTGATTTTTAACCCTTTCCCCCCCAGCTGTAATTGGGTCAATTTGGGGTCAATTTTGGGGGTAATTTTGGGTGAATTTGGGTTGATTTTTGGGGTAATTTTAGGGATTTTTGGCTCATTTTTAACCCTTTCCTCCCCAGCTGATTTGGGTCAGTTTTGGGTCAATTTTTGGGGTAATTTTGGGGATTTTTGGGTCATTTTTAACCCTTTCCTCCCCAGCTAGATTTGAGTCAGTTTTGGGTCAATTTTGGGTGATTTGGGGTCAGTTTTTGGGGTAATTTTGGAGATTTCTGGGCCATTTTTAACCCTTTTCCCCCCCAGCTGCATTTGGGTCAATTTTTGGGGTAATTTTGGGTGATTTTTGGGTTGATTTTTGAGGTAATTTTGGACAATTTTGGGTCGATTTTTGGAGTAAATTTGGAGATTTTTGGCTCATTTTTAACCCTTTCCCCCCCAGCTGGATTTAGGTGGATTTTTGGGGTAAATTTGGGTGATTTTGGCTCATTTTTAACCCTTTCCTCCCCAGCTGGATTTTGTCAATTTGGGGTCGATTTTTGGGGTAAATTTGGGTGATTTTGGCTCATTTTTAACCCTTTCCTCCCCAGCTGGACGCCGAGGTCCAGGCGCTGCTGCGCCGCTGCGAAGGCGACGGGGGGGGAGGGGCCGGGGGTGGGGGAGGGGCGGCCCCGCCCCCCGGGGACCCCCCCGGGGACCCCCCCGAGCCCCCCCCGAACCCCCCCGGGGACCCCGAGAGGAGAGGTGAGCGGGGCAGGGGAATTCGGGGGGGTTTGGGGGAGATTTGGGGGAAATTTGGGGGTTTTGGGGGAGATTTGGGGATTTTTGGGGGGGAATATGGGGGAAATTTGGGGATTTGGGGGGAAATTTTGAGGTTTTTGGGGAAATTTGGGATTTTTAGGGGATTTTAGGGGGAAATTTGGGATTTTTAGGGGATTTTGGGGGGAAATTTGGGGAATTTGGGGGAAATTTGGGATTTTTTGGGGGGGATTTGGGGGAAAATTGGTGATTTGGGGGGGAAATTTGGGGTTTTGGGGGGGAATTTGGAGGGAATTTTGGGATTTTTGGGAATCCTAGGTGGGATTTGGGGGGAAATTTGGGATTTTTGGGGGGATTTGGGGGAAATTTGGGGGGGAAATTTGGGGTTTTGGGGAAATTTGGGATTTTTTTGGGGGGAAATTTTGGGTTTTTGGGGAAATTTGGGATTTTTGGGGGGGAATTTGGGGTTTTGGGGGGGATTTGGGGGAAATTTGGGATTTTTGGGGGGGATTTGGGGGGAAATTTGGGGTTTTAGGGGAAATTTGGGATTATTTGGGTGGAATTTGGGATTTTTTTGGGGGGATTTGAGGGGGATTTTTGGGGTGGAAATTTGGGGTTTTGGGGTGGGAAATTTGGGGGGATTTTGGGGTGGAAATTTGGCATTTTGGGTGGGAAATTTGGGACTTTTAGGGTGGAAATTTGGGGTTTTGGGTGGGAAATTTGGGATTTTGGGGTTTTAGGGGTGGAAATTTGGGATTTGGGGGCATTTTGGGGCTTTTTCGAGGTGAAAAATCGGGAATTTCAGGGCGTGTCGTCGCTAATTTGCATAGATTAGCATTGACCCTCTCCCACCAATGGTTGCAGAGGTGTGGGCGGGGCCCGAGGAGGGCGTGGCCGCCCCTCCCCCGCCCCGGCTGAGCTTCGCCCCCGAGGCCGTGGCCAGGCTGGGGGGGGCCCTGGGCCGGGCCCAGAGGGGGCTGCAGCACCTGGGGGGGCACCTGAGCGCCCGCCGTGAGTACCCGGGGGCACCTGGGGGGTGAAAACACACCTGGGCACACCTGGGCACACCTGGGCACTCACCTGGGCACACCTGGGGGCACCTGGGCACACCTGGGGGCACCTGGGAGGGGGAGAACCAAAAAAACCCGGCGAAAATTGGGTTAAAAATGGGGATTTTGGGGGTTTTGGGGCACCTGGGCACACCTGGGCACTCACCTGGGCACAGCTGGGCACACCTGGGCAAAAAAAACCCGGTGAAAATCGGGTGAAAAATGGGGATTTTGGGGGTTTTGGGGGGTAAAAACACACCTGGGCACTCACCTGGGCACACCTGGGGGCACCTGGGGGCACCTGGGCACAGCTGGGCAAAAAAAACACGGTGAAAATCGGGTGAAAAATGGGGATTTTGGGGGTTTTGGGGGAGTAAAAACACACCTGGGCACACCTGGGCACACCTGGGAGGGGGAGAACCAAAAAAACCCGGTGGAAATGGGGTAAAAAATGCGGATTTTGGGCGTTTTGAGGTTACCTGGGCACACCTGGGGGCACCTGGGAGGGGTGGGGCAAAAAAAACCCGGTGGAAATGGGGTAAAAAATGGGGATTTTGGGGGTTTGGGGGGGGTAAAAACTCACCTGGGCACACCTGGGGGCACCTGGGCACACCTGGGCAAAAAAAACCCGGTGAAAATCAGGTGAAAAATGGGGATTTTGGGGGTTTTGGGGGGGTAAAAACACACCTGGGCACACCTGGGCGCACCTGGGGGCACCTGGGCAAAAAAAACCCGGCGAAAATCGGGTGAAAAATGGGGATTTTGGGGGTTTTAGGGGGTAAAAACACACCTGGGCACACCTGGGGACACCTGGGGGCACCTGGGCACAGCTGGGCAAAAAAAACCCGGCGGAAATTGGGTGAAAAATGGGGATTTTGGGGGTTTTGAGGTTACCTGGGCACACCTGGGGGTACCTGGGCACACCTGGGCACAGCTGGGCAAAAAAACCCGGTGAAAATTGGGTGAAAAATGGGGATTTTGGGGGTTTTGGGGGGGTAAAAACTCACCTGGGCACACCTGGGCACTCACCTGGGCACACCTGGGCACACCTGGGCACACCTGGGTATAACTAACACACACCTGGGGGCACCTGGGCTCACCTGGGCAAAAAAAACCCCGTGGAAATCGAGCTAAAAATGGGGATTTTGGGGGTTTTGGGGGGGTAAAAACACACCTGGGCACACCTGGGCCAAAAAAATCCGGCGAAATTTGGGTGAAAAATGGGGATTTTGGGGGTTTTTGGGGCACCTGGGGGGGTAAAAACACACCTGGGCACACCTGGGCACACCTGGGCACACCTGGGCAAAAAAAACCCGGCGGAAATTGGGTGAAAAATGAGGATTTTGGGGGTTTTGAGGTTACCTGGGCACACCCGGGCACACCTGGGGGCACCTGGGCAAAAAAAACCCGGTGAAAATCGGGTGAAAAATGAGGATTTTGGGGGTTTTGGGGCACCTGGGCACACCTGGGGGCACCTGGGCACACCTGAGGGATATTTTGGGCACACCTGGGGGCACCTGGGCACACCTGGGCAAAAAAAACCCGGGGAAAATCGGTTGAAAAATGGGGATTTTGGGGGTTTTGGGGCACCTGGGCACACCTGGGCACACCTGGGCACAGCTGGGCACACCTGGGAAAAAAAACCCGGCGAAAATCGGGTTAAAAATGGGGATTTTGGGGCACCTGGGGGGGTAAAAACACACCTGGGCACACCTGGGAGGGGGAGAACAAAAAAAACCTGGTAAAAATGGGGTTAAAAATGGGGATTTTGGGGGTTTGGGGGCACCTGGGCACACCTGGGCACACCTGGGGGCACCTGGGCAAAAAAAACCCGGTGAAAATCGGGTGAAAATGGGGATTTTGGTGGTTTTGAGGTTACCTGGGCACACCTGGGCACACCTGGGCACACCTGGGCAAAAAAAACCCGGTGAAAATCGGGTGAAAAATGGGGATTTTGGGGGTTTTGGGGTGGTAAAAACACACCTGGGGGCACCTGGGGGCACCTGGGCAAAAAAAACCCGGCGAAAATCGGGTTAAAAAAGAGGTTTTGGGGGGTAAAAACACACCTGGGCACAGCTGGGTACTCACCTGGCACACCTGGGGGCACCTGGGCACTCACCTGGGCACACCTGGGCAAAAAAAACCCGGTGAAAATCGGGTGAAAAATGAGGATTTTGGGGGTTTTTGGGGTGGTAAAAACACACCTGAGGGATATTTTGGGCACACCTGGGGGCACCTGGGCACACCTGGGCAAAAAAAACCCGGTGAAAATTGGGTGAAAAATGGGAATTTTGGGGGTTTTGGGGCACCTGGGCACACCTGGGCACACCTGGGCAAAAAAAAACTGGTGAAAATCGGGTGAAAAATGGGGATTTTGGGGGGTGTAAAAACACACCTGGGCACACCTGGGGGCACCTGGGCACACCTGGGCACACCTGGGCACACCTGGGGGCACAGCTGGGCAAAAAAAACCCGGTGAAAATCGGTTGAAAAATGAGGATTTTGGTGGGTTTTGAGGTTACCTGGGCACACCTGAGCACACCTGGGCAAAAAAAAACCCGGCGAAAATCGGGTTTGGCCATTTTTTTGGGAATTTTGTCCATTTTTTTGTGGTAATTTTGTCCGTTTTTTTGGGAATTCTGGCCGGTTTTTTGGGAATTTTGTCCGGTTTTGGTGGGAATTTTGGCTGTTTTTTGTGTTAATTTTGTCCCGTTTTAGTGCTATTTTTGTCTATTTTTTGGGAATTTTGTCCATTTTTTTGTGCTATTTTTGTCCGTTTTTGGTGGAAATTTTGTCCATTTTTGGCTAATTTTGTCCGTTTTTTGTGCTAATTTTGTCCGGTTTTTTGTGAATTTTGTCCGTTTTTGGTAGGAATTTTGTCCATTTTTTTGGGAATTTTGTCCGTTTTTTGTGGGAATTTTGTCCGGGTTTTTTTTGGCTAATTTTGTCTATTTTTTTGGGAATTTTGTCCATTTTTTCTGCTAATTTTGTCCGGTTTTGTGGAAATTTTGGCCATTTTTTTTGAGAATTTTGGCCATTTTTTTGGCTAATTTTGTCTGTTTTTTGTGGGAATTTTGTCCGTTTTTCTCGGAATTTTTTGGGAGATTCTTAGGAGATTTTGGGATTCCAGAGGATTTTTTTGGGATGAGTTTCAGTGGGATTTTCCCAAATTTTTGGCCTTATTTGTGCTAATTTTGTCCGTTTTTTGTGCTAATTTTATCTATTTTTTTGGGAATTTTGGCCATTTTTTTGGCTAATTTTGTCCGTTTTTTGTGGGAATTTTGTCCGTTTTTTGTGGGAATTTCGTCCGTTTTTTGTGGGAATTTTGTCCATTTTTGGCTAATTTTGTCCATTTTTTGTGCTAATTTTGTCCATTTTTTTGGGACTTTTGTCCATTTTTGGGTGGGAATTTTGTCCGGGTTTTTTTTTGCTAATTTCGTCCGTTTTTGTGGGAATTTTGTCCATTTTTTTGGGAATTTTGTCCATTTTTTTGGGAATTTTGTCCATTTTTTGTGCTAATTTTGTCCGTTTTTTTGGGAATTTTGTCCATTTTTTGTGCTAATTTTGTTTATTTTTTGGGGAATTCTGGCCACTTTTGGTGGGAATTTTGTCCATTTTTTGTGGGAATTTTGTCCGTTTTTTTGGCTAATTTTGTCCATTTTTTGCGGGAATTTTGTCCGTTTTTTTGGCTAATTTTGTCCATTTTTTGTGGGAATTTTTGTCCTTTTTTGGGGAATTCTGTCAGTTTTTGGTGGGAATTTTGTCCGTTTTTGGTGGGAATTCTGGCCGTTTTTCTCGGAATTTTTTTGGAGATTCTTAGGGGATTTTGGGATTCCAGGGGATTTTTTAGGATGAGTTTCAGTGGGATTTTCCTAAATTTGGGGCCTTTTTTGCGCAAGTTTTGGGCATTTTTTGGGGAATTTTGTCAGTTTTTTTGGCTAATTTTGGCCGGTTTTTTTGGGAATTTTGTCCGGTTTTGGTGGGAATTTTGGCTGTTTTTTGTGTTAATTTTTTCCGTTTTTAGTGCTATTTTTGTCTATTTTTTGGGGAATTTTGGCCATTTTTTTGGCTAATTTTGTCCGGTTTTGGTGTGAATTTTGTCCGTTTTTGGTGGGAATTTTGTCTGTTTTTTGTGTTAATTTTGTCCGTTTTTTGTGCTAATTTTGTCTATTTATCTGGGAATTTTGGCCATTTTTTTGGCTAATTTTGTCCGTTTTTTGTGCTAATTTCGTCCTTTTTTTATGAATTTTGTCCATTTTTTGGTGGGAATTTTGTCCATTTTTTTGGGAATTTTGGCCATTTTTGGTGAGAATTTTGTCTGTTTTTTGTGCTACTTTTTTCAGTTTTTTGTGGGAATTTAGTCCGTTTTTGGTGGGAATTTTGTCCTTTTTTTGTAATTTTGTCCCATTTTTTGGGAATTTTGTCCGTTTTTGGTGGGAATTTTGTCCGTTTTTGGTGGGAATTTTGTCCGTTTTTGGTGGGAATTTTGTCAGTTTTTTGTGCTAATTTTATCTATTTTTTTGGGAATTTTGGCCATTTTTTGGGCTAATTTTGTCCATTTTTTTGGGAATTCTGTCAGTTTTTTGTGGGAATTTTGGCCGTTTTTCTCGGAATTTTTTTGGAGATTCTTAGGGGATTTTTGGATTCCAAAGGATTTTTTGGGATGAGTTTCGATGGGATTTTCTCGCATTTTGGGCCTTTTTTGTTGGAATTTTGGCCAGTTTTTGGCTAATTTTGTCCGTTTTTTGTGGGAATTTTGGCCATTTTTTGGGGAATTTTGTCTGTTTTTTGTGCAAATTTTGGCTGCTTTTGGTGGGAATTTTTTTGGAATTGTTGGGGCACTCTCTGGGAATTCCAGGATTTTGGGGATCTTTGGGATTTAGGATGAATTTTGGTAGGATTTTCTCGAATTTTGGGCCATTTTTGTGGGAATTCTGGCTGGTTTCTGTGCAAATTTTGTCAGGTTTTCTTTGGAATTTTGGGCGTTTTTTGTCGGAATTTTTTGGGAATTTTGGGGGGATTCTTGGGGAATTTGGGGATTTTGGGATTCCAGGGGACTTTTTGGGGGGGATTCCAGGGGATGTTTTTGGGATTTGGGATGAGTTCCGTTGGATTTTCCCGAATTTTGGGCCTTTTTTGTTGGAATTTTGGCCGTTTTTTGTGCTAATTTTGTCTGTTTTTCTGGGAATTTTTTGGGATTTTGGGACTCCAGAGGATTTTTTGGGATGAGTTTCGGTGGGATTTTCACGAATTTTGGGCCTTTTTTGTGCTAATTTTGTCCATTTTTTCTGCTAATTGTGTCTGTTTTTTTGGGGAATTTTGGCCATTTTTTTGGGAATTTTGTCCAGTTTTTGCAGGAATTTCGTCCATTTATTTTTGGGAATTTTGTCCATTTATTTTTGGGAATTTTGACCATTTTTTGTGCTAATTTTGTCCGGTTTTTGTGCTATTTTTGTCTGGTTTTTTTGGCTAATTTTGTCTGTTTTTTGTGGGAATTTTGTCAGTTTTTTGTGGGAATTTTTGTCCTTTTTTTGGGAATTCTGTCAGGTTTTGTGGGAATTTTGTCCGGGTTTTTTTGGCTAATTTCGTCCATTTTTGTGGGAATTTTGTCCATTTTTTTGGTTAATTTTGTCCATTTTTTGTGCTAATTTTGTCCATTTTTGGGGAATTTTGTCCATTTTTTGTGCTGATTTTGGCCATTTTTGGTGGGAATTTTGTCCGGGTTTTTTTTTGCTAATTTCGTCCGTTTTTTTGCTAATTTCGTCCGTTTTTTTGCTAATTTTGTCCATTTTTTTGGGAATTTTGTCCGTTTTTTTGGCTAATTTTGTCGGTTTTTCTGGGAATTTTCGGGGATTTCCGTGAATTCCATGAATTCCGTCTGATCCGGGATATTTTCGGGACGGCAGCGGAGGTGTCGGAGGCGGGCCGGGAGCTGCTGCGGGAGCTGCTGCGGGAGCACCGGCGGCTGCAGGAGCTGACCCAGAACCTGCACGAGAAGCACCAGAGGGAGGCGCTCGAGGTACCTGAGACTCACCTGAGACTCACCTGTGTCACCTGTGTCACACCTGTGTCACCTGTCACACCTGTGTGTCATCTGTGTCACTTCAGTGTCACCTGTGTCACACCTGTCACACCTGAGACCTCACCTGTGTCACCTGTGTCACACCTGTGTCACCTGTGTCACCTCTGTCACACCTGAGACCTCACCTGTGTCACCTGAGACCTCACCTGTGTCACCTGTGTCACATCTGTGTCACCTGTGTCACACCTGTGTCACCTGTGCCACCTGTGTCATACCTGAGACCTCACCTGTGTCACCTGTGTCTCACCTGTGTGTCACCTGTGTGTCACTTGTGTCATCTATGTGTTACCTGTCTTACCTGTGTCTCACCTGTCACACCTGTGTCACACCTGCGTGTCACTTGTGTCACACCTGTGTCACACCTGTGTCACCTGCGTGTCACCTGTGTCACCTGTGTGTCACCTGTCTCACCTGTGTCACACCTGTGTGTCACCTGTGTCACACCTGTGTGTCACCTGTCACCTGAGACCTCACCTGTGTGTCACCTGTGTCACACCTGTGTCACCTTTGTGTCATCTCTGTCACACCTGAGACCTCACCTGTGTCACCTGTGTCTCACCTGTGTCACCTGAGACCTCACCTGTCTCACCTGTGTCTCACCTGTGTGTCACCTGTCTCACCTGTGTCACACCTGTGTCTCACCTGTGTCACCTGTGTCACCTGTGTGTCACCTGTGTCACCTTTGTGTCACACCTGTGTCACACCTGTGTCACCTGTGTCACCTGTGTCACACCTGTGTCACACCTGAGACCTCACCTGTCTCACCTGTGTGTCACACCTGTGTGTCACCTGTCTCACCTGTCTCACCTGTGTGTCACCTGTGTGTCCCTGTGTCACCTGTGCATCACCTGTGTCACACCTGTGTCACCTCTGTCACACCTGAGACCTCACCTGTGTCACCTGTGTCACCTGTGTCATCTGTGTCACACCTGTGTCACACCTGTGTCACACCTGTGTCACCTGTGTCACACCTGCGTCACACCAGAGACCTCACCTGTCTCACCTGTGTGTCACTTCTGTCACCTGTGTCACACCTGAGACCTCACCTGTGTCACCTCTGTGTCACCTGTGTGTCACCTGTGTCACACCTGAGACCTCACCTGTCTTACCTGTGTCACACCTGTGTCACTTCTGTGTCTCACCTGTGTCACCTGTGTCACCTCTGTCACACCTGTGTCACCTGTGTCACCTGTGTCATCTGTGTCACACCTGTGTCACCTGTGTCACACCTGTCACACCTGTGTCACACCTGAGACCTCACCTGTGTCACCTGAGACCTCACCTGTGTCACCTCTGTCACACCTGTGTCACCTGTGTCATACCTGAGACCTCACCTGTGTCTCACCTGTGTCTCACCTGTGTCTCACCTGTGTCTCACCTGTGTCACCTGTGTCTCACCTGTGTCACCTGTGTCACCTGTGTCACCTGTGTGTCACACCTGTGTCACACCTGTGTCACACCTGTGTCACCTGTGTGTCACCTGTGTCTCACCTGTGTCTCACCTGTGTCACACCTCTGTCACACCTGTGTCACCTGTGTCATACCTGTGTCACCTGTGTCATACCTGTCACACCTGTGTCACACCTGTGTCACCTGTGTCACCTGTGTCACACCTGTGTCACCTTTGTGTCATCTGTGTGTCACCTGTATCTCACCTGTGTGTCACCTGTCTCACACCTGTCTCACCTGTGTCACCTGTGTGTCACCTGTGTCTCACCTGTGTGTCACCTGTGTCACCTTTGTGTCACCTGTGTCACACCTGTCACACCTGTGTGTCACCTGCATCTCACCTGTGTGTCACCTGAGTGTCACCTGTGTCACCTGTCACACCTGTGTCACACCTGTGTCACCTGTCACACCTGTGTCACCTTTGTGTCATCTCTGTCACACCTGAGACCTCACCTGTGTGTCACCTGTGTCACTCCTGTCACACCTGTGTGTCACCTGTGTCACCTGTATCTCACCTGTCTCACCTGTCTCACCTGCAGCTTGCAGAGCTGCAGGACAAGGCGGGCTGTGTCTCACCTGTATCTCACCTGTCTGTATCTCACCTGTCTGTATCTCACCTGTCTTTATCTCACCTGTACCTGTCTCACCTGTGTCTCACCTGTATCTCACCTGTATCTCACCTGTCCAGCTAGCTGAGCTCCAGGACAAGGCGGGCTGTATCTCACCTGTCTCACCTGTACCTGTCTCACCTGTACCTGTCTCACCTGTGTCTATCTCACCTGTCTCACCTGTAGCTAGCAGAGCTCCAGGACAAGGCGGGCTGTGTCTCACCTGTCCATATCTCACCTGTCTCACCTGTCTCACCTGTCTCACCTGTACCTGTCTCACCTGTATCTCACCTGTCCAGCTAGCTGAGCTGCAGGACAAGGCGGGCTGGGCGGAGACGAAGGTTCTGGAACTCGGCACCACCCTGGAGGGGCTGCAGTGGGACAGCGCCAAACTGCGCAAGCGCGAGGGGCGCCTCGACCGGCACCTGGCCGAGGCCCTGGAGCAGGTAACGCACCTGGGCACACCTGGGCACACCTGGGCACTCACCTGGGGGCACCTGGGCAAAAAAAACCCGGCGAAAATCGGGTGAAAAATGGGGATTTTGGGGGGTAAAAACACACCTGGGCACTCACCTGGGCACACCTGAGATACACCTGGGCACACCTGAGATACACCTGGGAACAGCCAGGATACACTTGGGTACACCTGGGATACACCTGGGTACACCTGGGGTATATTTTGGGCACACCTGGGCACACCTGGGCACACCTGGGCACTCACCTGGGCACACCTGGGGGCACCTGGGCAAAAAAAACCCGGTGAAAATTGGGTGAAAAATGGGGATTTTGGGGGGTAAAAACACACCTGGGCACACCTGAGATACACCTGGGCACTCACCTGAGCACACCTGGGCACACCTGGGCACACCTGAGATACACCTGGGCACACCTGGGCACACCTGGGCACTCCTGGGCACACCTGAGATACACCTGGGCACACTTGGGCACACCTGGGCACACCTGGGGTATATTTTGGGCACACCTGGGCACACCTGGGCACACCTGGGCACACCTGGAGGGGCTGCAGTGGGACAGCGCCAAACTGCGCAAGCGCGAGGGGCGCCTCGACTGGCACCTGGCCGAGGCCCTGGAGCAGGTAACGCACCTGGGCACACCTGGGCACTCACCTGGGCACACCTGGGCACACCTGGGCAAAAAAACCCCGGCGAAAATCGGGTTAAAAATGGGGATTTTGGGGGTTTTGGGGGGGTAAAAACACACCTGGGCACACCTGGGGGCACCTGAGATACACCTGGGGGCACCTGGGCACACCTGGGGCACACCTGGGGGCACCTGGGCACACCTGGGTACACCTGAGATACACCTGGGCACACCTGGGCACACCTGGGGTATATTTTGGGCACACCTGGGCACACCTGGGCACACCTGGAGGGGCTGCAGTGGGACAGCGCCAAACTGCGCAAGCGCGAGGGGCGCCTCGACCGGCACCTGGCCGAGGCGCTGGAGCAGGTAACGCACCTGGGCACACCTGGGCACTCACCTGGGCACACCTGGGCACAGCTGGGCAAAAAAAACCCGGCGGAAATCGGGTGAAAAATGGGGATTTTGGGGGTTTTGGGGGGGTAAAAACACACCTGGGCACACCTGGGCACTCACCTGGCACAGCTGGGTACATCTGGGCACACCTGGGCACAGCTGAGATACACCTGGGGGAACCTGGAATACACCTGGGTACACCTGGGCACACCTGGGCACACCTGGGCACACCTGGGATACACCTGTGTAACTCACCTGTGTGATCTCACCTGACTCACCTGTCTGTGCTCACCTGTCCCACCTGTCTGTGTCTCATGTGTCCCACCTGTCTCTCACCTGTAACTCACCTGTTCGTGTCTCACCTGTGTCTCATCTGTGTAACTCACCTGTGTAACTCACCTGTCCATATCTCACCTGTGTTACTTGTCTGTGTCTCATGTGTCCCACCTGTCTCTCGTGTAACTCACCTGTCCATGTCTCACCTGTGTAACTCACCTGTTCATGTCACACCTGTCTCACCTGTCTGTGCTCACCTGTCTCACCTGTCCATGTCTCACCTGTGTAACTCACCTGTCCGTGTCTCACCTGTCCATGTCTCACTTCTGTAACTCACCTGTCTTTGTCTCACCTGTGTAACTCACCTGTAACTCACCTGTCTCTCTCTCTCACCTGTCTCACCTGTCTGTGTCTCACCTGTGTAACTCACCTGTAACTCACCTGTGTAACTCACCTGTAACTCACCTGTCCATATCTCACCTGTCCCATCTCACCTGTCCATCTCACCTGTCCATGTCTCACCTGTCCATGTCTCACGTGTCCATGCTCACCTGTCTGTGCTCACCTGTCTCACCTGTGTAACTCACCTGTCCGTGTCTCACCTGTGTAACTCACCTGTCCGTTTCTCACTTGTATAACTCACCTGTGTAACTCACCTGTGTAACTCACCTGTGTAACTCACCTGTGTAACTCACCTGTGTCTCACCTGTCTCACCTGTCCCACGTGTCTCACCTGTCTCACCTGTCGGTCTCTCACCTGTCCATGTCTCACCTGTCCACATCTCACCTGTGTAACTCACCTGTGTAACTCATCTCTAACTCACCTGTGTAACTCACCTGTCCATGCTCACCTGTCTTACCTGTCCGTGCTCACCTGTGTAACTCACCTGTGTCTCACCTGTCCCTGTCTCACTTGTCTCACCTGTCCATGTCTCACCTGTTTAACTCACCTGTAACTCACCTGTCTCTCTCTCTCACCTGTCTCACCTGTCTCACGTGTCTGTGCTCACCTGTGTAACTCACCTGTCGGTGCTCACCTGTCCGTGTCTCACCTGTCCATGCTTACCTGTTTCTCACCTGTCGGTGTCTCACCTGTCCCACCTGTCCATGTCTCACCTAACTTACCTGTCCATGCTCACCTGTCCATGCTCACCTGTCTCACCTGTCGGTGCTCACCTGTCCATATCTCACCTGTCCATGTCTCACCTGTCTCTCACCTGTCTCACCTGTAACTCACCTGTGTAACTCACCTGTGTCTCACCTGTCTCACCTGTGTAACTCACCTGTGTAACTCACCGGTCCATGCTCACCTGTCCGTGCTCACCTGTGTAACTCACCTGTAACTCACCTGTGTCTCCTGTCCGTGTCTCAACTGTGTAACTCACCTGTCCATGTCTCACCTGTCCATATCTCACCTGTCTCTCTCTCACCTGTGTAACTCACCTGTCCATATCTCACCTGTGTAACTCACCTGTCCATATCTCACCTGTGTAACTCACCTGTCTGTGTCTCACCTGTGTAACTCACATGTTCATGTCTCACCTGTCGGTGTCTCACCTGTAACTCACCTGTCCATGCTCACCTGTAACTCACCTGTCTCACCTGTGGGTCTCACTTGTCCATGTCTCACCTGTGTAACTCACCTGTGTAACTCACCTGTGTCACCTGTGTCTCACCTGTGTAACTCACCTGTGTAACTCACCTGTGTCACCTGTGTCTCACCTGTGTAACTCACCTGTGTAACTCACCTGTGTCACCTGTGTCTCACCTGTGTAACTCACTTGTCCATGTCTCACCTGTCTCACCTGTGGGTCTCACCTGTCCGTGTCTCACCTGTGTATCTCACCTGCATCTCACCTGTCCATGTGTCATGTGTCCCACTTGTGTAACTCAACTCACCTGTGTAACTCACCTGTGTGTCTCACCTGTGTAACTCACCTGTAACTCACCTGTGTAATTCACCTGTGTAACTCACCTGTCCATGTCTCACCTGTGTAACTCACCTGTGTAACTCACTCACCTGTAACTCACCTCTAACTCACCTGTCCCTCACCTATCCATGTCTCACCTGTGCAACTCACCTGTCTCACCTGTCTCTCACCTGTCCGTGCTCACCTGTGTAACTTACCTGTTGGTATCTCACCTGTCCGTGTCTCACCTGTCTCACCTGTCCATCTCACCTGTCCATCTCACCTGTCCATGTCTCACCTGTAACTCACCTCTCTGTGTCTCACCTGTCTCACCTGTGTAACTCACCTGTCCCACCTGTCCATGTCTCACCTGTGTAACTCACCTGTCCATGTCTCACCTGTGTAACTCACCTGTCTCACCTGTGTCTCACCTGTAACTCACTCACCTGTGTCTCACCTGTGTCTCACCTGTGTAACTCACCTGTATCTCACCTGTAACTTACCTGTAACTCACCTGTAACTCACCTGTAACTCACCTGTTCATGTCTCACCTGTCCGTGCTCACCTGTAACTCACCTGTGTCTCACCTGTGTAACTCACCTGTAACTCACCTGTCTGTGCTCACCTGTATAACTCACCTGTCCATGTTTCACCTGTGTAACTCACCTGTCGGTGTCTCACCTGTGTCTCACCTGTCCCAGCTGACCTCGGGCTCGTACGGCTGCGGCAGCTCCGGCGGTTTCCAGGGGGGTCAGATCACGCTCAGCGTGCAGAAGGTACCGGAAATGGGGCAAATTCCGCCGGTTTTGGGCAAATTCCGCTATTTTCAGGAATTCTGGGAGAAAACGGGGAAAATCCGGGAATTTGGGGGAAAATTGGGGGATTTTGGGAGAATTTTGGGGAAAATCGGGGAGTTTTTGGGAGAGTTTTGGTGGAAATGTGGAGAAAATCAGGGAAATTTTGGGAGAATTTTGTGGAAAATTGGGGAGTTTTTGGAGAATTTTGGGGAAAATTGGGACATTTTTGAAAAAATTTCGGTGGAAATGTGCAGAAAATTTTGGGGAAAATTTTGGAATTTTGGTGAAAATGTGGAGAAAATTTTGGGGAAAACTGGGGAATTTTTGGGAGAATTTTTGGGAAAATTCAGGAATTTTGGGAGAATTTTAGGCAAAATTGGGGAATTTTAGGGAGAATCTTCGTGGAAATGTGGAGAAAATTTTAATAAATTGGGGAAATTTTGGGGAGAATTTTGGGGAAAATTGGGGAAGTTTTGGGAGAATTTTGGTGGAAATGTGCAGAAAATTTTGGGGGAAATTGGGGAATTTTTGGGAGAATTTTGGTGGAAATGTGGAGAAAATTTTGGGGAATTTTTGGGAGAATTTTGGGGAAAATTGGGGAATTTTTGGGACAATTTTGGGGAAAACTGGGGAATTTTTGGGAGAATTTTGGGGAAAATGTGGAGAAAATTTTGGGGAAAATGTGGAGAATTTTTGGGAGAATTTTGGAGAAAATTGGGGAATTTTTAGGAGAATTTTGGGGAAAATTGGGAAGTTTTATGGCAAATTTTGGGCAAAATTGGGGAATTTGGGAGAATTTTTAATGAAAATTTGGGGAAAGTTTTAAAATTTTGTGGAAAATTTAGGGGAAACTTTGGAATTTTAGGAAAAATTGACAAAAATTTGGGAATTTTTGGGGAATTTAGGGGAAGATTTCAGGAATTTTGGGGAAAAATCGGAAATTTACGTGAATTTTTCTGAGAATTTAGATGGAAATTTTGGGGTAAATTGGGGAATTTTTGGGAGAATTTTGGAGAAAATTGGAGAGTTTTTGGGAGAATTTTAGGGAAAATTGGGGATTTTTGGGAGAATTTTGGGATAAATTGGGGAGTTTTGGGGAGAATTTTGGGGAAAATTGGGGAGTTTTTGGGAGAATTTTGGTGGAAATGTGGAGAAAATTTTGGGGAAAACTGGGGAATTTTTGGGGAAAATTGGGGAATTTTTGGGAGAATTTTGGGGAAAACTGGGGAATTTTGGGGAGAATTTTGGTGGAAACACTGAGAAAATTTTGGGGAAATTGGGGAATTTTTGGGAGAATTTTGGGGAAAATTGGGGGATTTTTGGGAGAATTTTAGGGAAAATTGGGGAGTTTTTGGGAGAGTTTTGGTGGAAATGTGGAGAAAATTTTGGGGAGTTTTTGGGAGAATTTTGGGGAAAATTGAATTTTTGGGAGAATTCTGGGGAAAATTGGGGAAATTTTGGGGGAATTTTGGGGAAAATTGGGAAATTTTGGGAGAATTTTGGAGAAAATTGGGGAATTTTGGGAGAATGTTGATGGAAACGCACAGAAAATTTTGGGGAAAATTGGGGAATTTTTGGAAGAATTTTGGTGGAAACGCTGAGAAAATTTGGGGGAAAATTTTGGAATTTTTGGGAGAGTTTTGGTGGAAATGAGGAGAAAATTTTGGGGGAAATTGGGGAATTTTAGGGAGAATTTTGGTGGAAATGTGGACAAAAATTTTGGGGAAAATTGGGGAATTTTTGGGTGAATTTGTGAATTTTTGGGTGTTTTTTCCCCAGTTTGAGACGCAGAATGGCGATTTTCATGGAATTTCTGTGGATTTTTGGTGGGATTTTTTTTGGGAATTTTTGGGAAATCTCTGTGAATGTCAGGAATTTTGGAATTTTGGGCTGAATTTGTGAATTTTTGGGTGTTTCTCCCGCAGTTTGAGCTGCTGAACGGCGGAGCTGGGCTGGATTTGGGATGGATTTTGATGAAATTTCTGTGGATTTTTGGGGTTTTTTATGAGATTTTTTTTTTTAATTCTTTCGGAAATTTCTGTGATTGTTGGGAATTGTGGAATTTTGGATGAATTTGGGAATTTTGGGTGTTTTTCCCCAGTTTTCAGACGCAGAATGAAGATTTGGGATGGATTTGGGGCAGATTTTCACGGAATTTCTGTGGATTTTTGGATTTTTTTATGGGATTTTTTTGGGAATTCTTTCGGAAATCTCTGTGATTGTTGGGAATGTGGAATTTTGTGCCGAATTTGTGAATTTTTGGGTGTTTTTCCCGCAGCTTGAGCTGCTGAACGTGGAGCTGGGCTGGATTTGGGATGGATTTTGATGGCATTTCTGTGGATTTTTGGGGGTTTTTTTGGGAATTTTTAGGGAATTCTTCTGGAAATCCCTGTGAATGTCGGGAATTGTGGAATTTTGGGCCGAATTTGTGAAATTTTGGGTGTTTTTCCCCAGTTTGAGATGCTGAACGCGGAGCTGGGCTGGATTTGGGGTGGATTTTGATGGAATTTCTGGGGATTTTTTTGGGAATTTTTTGGGAAATCTTTGGGAAATCCCTGTAAATGTCGGGAATTTCAGAATTTTGGGCCGAAATTGTGAATTTTTGGGTGTTTTTCCGGCAGTTTGAGCTGCTGAACGCGGAGCTGGGCTGGATTTGGGGTGGATTTGGATGGAATTTATGTGGATTTTTGGGGTTTTTTATGGGATTTTTTTGGAAATTCTTTCAGAAATCTCTGTGATTGTTGGGAATTGTGAAGTTTTGGGCTGAATTTGGGAATTTTTAGGTGTTTTTCCCCAGTTTGAGATGCTGAACGCGGAGCTGGGCTGGATTTGGGATGGATTTTGATGGCATTTCTGTGGATTTTTGGGATTTTTTTTGGGAATTTTTTGGGAAATTTTTGGGAAATCTCTCTGAATGTCGGGAATTTCGGAATTTTGGGTTGAATTTGTGAATTTTTGGGTATTTTTCCCCAGATTTGAGATGCAGAATGGGGATTTGGGATGGATTTGGGTTGGATTTTGATGGAATTTCTGTTGATTTGGGGATTTTTTGTGGGAATTCTTTGGGTTTTTTGAGTTTTTTTTGGGGAATTTCTGGGGAATTCTTTGGGAATTTTTGAATTTTGTGCTGAATTTGTGAATTTTTGGGTGTTTTTCCCCAGTTTGAGACACAGAATGAGGATTTGGGCTGGATTTGGGGCAGATTTTCATGGCATTTCTGTGGATTTTTGGGGTTTTTTAATGGGATTTTTTTGGGAAATCTCTGTAAATTTTTGGAATTTTGTAATTTTGTGCCGAATTTGTGGTTTTTTGGGTGTTTTTCCGGCAGTTTTGAGATGCAGAATGGGAATTTGGGATGGATTTGGGGTGAATTTTGATGGAATTTCTGTCAATTTTTGGTTTGTTTTTTTTTTTTTTTTTTTTTTGGGGGGATTGTTTTTGGAAATTTTTGGGGAATTTTCTGTGAATTTTTGGAATTGTGGAATTTTGGTAATTTTTGGGGATTTTTTGGGTGATTTCTTCCCTGGTTAGAGCTGCTGAACGTGGAACTGGGGTGGATTTAGATGGAATTTTTATGGAATTTCTGTGGATTTTTTTGGGAATTTTTTGGGAAATCTTCTGGAAAACCCTGTGAATTTTGGGGATTTTGTAATTTTGTGCAGAATTTGTGAAATTTTGGGTGTTTTTCGGCAGTTTGAGATGCTGAACGCGGAGCTGGAGGGGAACCAGGAGCTGGCCAACTCCCGCATGGCCGAGCTGGAGAAGCTGCAGCTGGAGCTGCAGGCGGCCGTCAGGGGCCAGGAGAGGCTCAAGGTGACATTTGGGGACGTTTGGGGACATTTGGGGACATTTGGGGGGATTTTGGGACTTTGGGGACATTGGGGGGATTGGGGGACATTTGGGACATTGGGGACATTTGGGGACATTCGGGGATTTGGGGACACTTAGGGACATTTGGGGGATTGGGAGGATTTGGGGGATTGGGGGACATTTGGGACATTGGGGACATTTGGGGACATTCGGGGATTTGGGGACACTTAGGGACATTTGGGGGATTGGGAGGATTTGGGATATTTGGGGACATTTGGGGACATTTGGAGACATTTGGAGATATTGAGGGGATTTGGGGGATTTGGGGACATTTGGGGACGTTTGGGAACATTGGGAGGATTTGGGGGGATTGGGGGAATTGGGGACATTGGGAGGATTTGGGATATTTGGGGATGTTTGGAGACATTTGGGGACATTTGAGGATTTTGGGACATTGGGGACATTTGGGGGGATTGGGGACTTTTAGGACATTTGGGGATATTTGGGGACATTGGGGACATTTGGGGACATTTGGGGATTTTGGGACATTTGGGGGATTTGGGGACATTTGGGACATTTGGGGAATTTGGGACATTCGGGGATTTGGGGACATTTGGGACATTTGGGGACATTTGGGGACATTTGGGGGGATTTGGGACATTGGGGACATTTGGGGACATTGGGGACTTTGGGGACTTTGGGGGATTTGGGGACATTTGGGGACATTTGGGGGGATTGGGGACATTTGGGGACATTGGGGACATTTGGGGATATTTGGGGACATTTGGGGACATTTGGGGGGATTTGGGGACTCAAGTGGTTCCAGGGGTCACTTGGGGTCACTCAGGGTCACTCATTGGTCACTCAGGGTCACTCAGAGGTCACTGATTGGTCACTCATTGGTCACTCAGGGGTCACTCATTGGTCACTTAGACTCACTCATTGGTCACTCATTGGTCACTCATTGGTCACTCATTGGTCACTCGGGGTCACTCGGGGTCACTCAGGGGTCACTCAGGGGTCACTCATTGGTCACTCAGGGTCACTCATTGGTCACTCAGGGGTCACTCATTGGTCACTCAGGGTCACTCAGGGGTCACTCAGGGTCACTCAGGGGTCACTCAGGGTCACTCAGGGGTCACTCAGGGTCACTCGGGGTCACTCGGGGTCACTCATTGGTCACTCAGGGTCACTCAGGTCACTCAGGGTCACTCAGGTCACTCAGGGTCACTCATTGGTCACCCAGTGGTCAGTGGTCACTCATTGGTCACTCATTGGTCACTCAGGGTCACTCATTGGTCACTCAGGGTCACTCGGGGTCACTCAGGGTCACTCAGGGGTCACTCAGGGTCACTCATTGGTCAGTGGTCACTCAGGGTCACTCAGGGTCACTCAGGGGTCACTCAGGGGTCACTCATTGGTCACTCAGGGTCACTCAGGGTCACTCGGGGTCACTCGGGTCACTCAGGGTCACTCATCGATCACTCATTAATCACTCATTGATCACTCATTGGTCACTCAGGGGTCACTCATTGGTCACTCATTGGTCATTGATCACTCATTGGTCACTCATTGGTCAGTGGTCACTCAGGGGTCACTCAGTGGTCAGTGGTCACTCAGGGTCACTCATTGGTCACTCATTGGTCACTCAGGGTCACTCAGGGGTCACTCAGGGTCACTCATTGGTCACTCAGGGTCACTCAGGGTCACTCAGGGTCACTCAGGGTCACTCAGGGTGACTAAGGGGTCACTCAGGGTCACTCACTGGTCACTGAGGATCACTCATTGGTCACTCAGTGTCAGTGGTCACTCAGGGGTCACTCATTGGTCACTCAGGGTCACTCATTGGTCAGTGGTCACTCGGGGTCACTCAGGGGTCACTCATTGATCACTCAGGGTCACTCATTGGTCAGTGGTCACTTATTGATCACTCATTGGTCACTCATTGGTCGCTCAGGGTCACTCATTGATCACTCATTGGTCAGTGGTCAGTGGTCACTCAGGGTCACTCAGGGTCACTCAGGGGTCACTCATTGGTCAGGGGTCACTCATTGGTCAGGGGTCACTCAGGGTCACTCAGGGTCACTCATTGGTCACTCATTGGTCAGTGGTCACTCAGGGTCACTCAGGGTCACTCATTGGTCACTCATTGGTCAGTGGTCACTCAGGGTCACTCAGGGTCACTCAGGTCACTCAGGGTCACTCGGCCCCCGCCGTGACTCGGTTTCCCCGCAGGTGGCGCTGCGCTCGCTGCCCGAGGAGGCCGTCAAGGAGGCGCTGGAGTACAAAGTGCTGCAGTCGCAGTTCTCGCTGCTCTACCACGAGAGCCTGCAGGTCAAGACGCAGCTGGACGAGGCCCGGGCGCTGCTGCTGGCCACCAAGAACAGCCACCTGCGCCACATCGAGCACATGGAGGTGGGACCGGCGCCCCCAGGGGTCCCCCCGGGGGGTCCCTGGTGGTTTTGGGGAGATTCGGGGGCGTTTGGGGTTGGTAAAGTAGGAAGGATTGTGATTCAAGATGGTCGCCGGAGCCATAAATCCCATCATACCTAATCCAAGATGGTCGCCAGAGCAATAAATCCAATTATGCCTCTTTCAAGATGGCCGCTGGAGCCATAAATCCCATAATGCTTCATCCAATATGGCGGCCGGAGCCATAAATCTCATCATGCTTCATCCAAGATGGCCGCCAGCACCATAAATCCCATCATGCTGCATCCAAGATGGCGGCTGGAACTACAAATCCCATCATGCCTCATCCAAGATGGCCACCAAAACCATAAATCCCATAATGCCTCATCCAATATGGCTGCCAGAGCCATAAATTCCATAATGCTGCAATCAATATGGCCGCCGGTACCATAAATCCCATAATGCTTCATCCAAGATGGCCGCCAGACCCATAAGTCTTATAATGCCTCATCCAATATGGCTGCCAGCACCATAAATCCCATCATGCCTTATTCAAGATGGCCACCAGCACATTAAATCCCATAATGCCTCATCCAATATGGCCGTCGGAGCCATAATCCCATCATGCCTCAATTCAAGATGGCTGCCAGAGCGATAAGTCCCATAATGCTTCATCCAATATGGCCGCCGGAGCCATATATTTAGTAATGCCACATCCAATATGGCTGCCGGAGCCATAAATCCCATAATGCCTCATCCAAGATGGCTGCCGACGCCATAAATCCCATCATGCCGCAATTCAAGATGGCTGCCGGCGCTATAAATCCCATCATGCCTTATTCAAGATGGCCGCCAGCACATTAAATCCCATAATGCTTTATCCAAGATGGCGGCCGGCACCATAAATCCCATCATGCCTCATCCAAGATGGCCGCCAGAGCAATAAATCCCATCATGCCACATCCAAGATGGCCGCCGGTGCCATAAATCCCATCATGCCTCAATTCAAGATGGCCGCTGGAGCCATAAATCCCACTATGCCGCATCCAAGATGGCGGCTGGAGCGATAAGTCCCATACTGCTTCATCCAAGATGGCCGCCAGCGCCATTTTGGAGACTTGGAGGTGGCGCCTGATGTCCCCAGGGGGGTCCCATTGAGTTTTGGGGACATTTTGGGGATATTTGGGTCATTAAGTCCCAATAATTTTAATCCAAGATGGCCGCCAGAGCCATAGATCCCATCATGCCGCATCCAAGATGGCTGCTGGAACTACAAATCCCATAATGCCTCATTCAAAATGGCCACTCATGCCGTAAATCCCATAATGCTTCGTCCAAAATGGCCACCAAAAATTGCAAAAAAAAATCGAAAAAAAAAGGGAAAAAATGGCAAAAAATCGTTGAAAAACCACCAAAAAATTGGGAAAAAAATTCCAGAATTCCCAAAAATTCCCGGAATTCTCCAGAGCTCCAAGCTGGCCCAGGTCAACCAATGGCCCCAAAAAACCAAAAAAAAAAATAAAAAAAAAAAACTTAAAAATTCCAGAAAATTCCTTTAAAAATTATTCAAAATTCCTTTTAAAATCCAAGAAAATTTTAGGGAATTTTTTGGTCTAAATGTGAGGAAAAAACATCAAAATAATGGAGGAAAAAAAGCAAAAAAAATTGAAAAAAAATGGCAAAAAATCATCAAAAAAACACCAAAAATCGTTGAAAAATTGGGAAAAAATGGAAAAAAATTCCAGAATTCCAAAAATTCCCAAAAAATTCGGGAATTTTGCAGAGCGACGAGCTGGGGGTGCAGAAGCGGCTGCGCCCCGAGGGGATCCTTGGGACAAGGTGGACTCAATGGCCCCAAAAACCCAAAAAACAAACAAAAAAAAATCCCAAAATAATTCTTAAAAAAATCCATAAAATTCCTTTAAAAATTCCTCAAAATTCCTTTAAAAATCCCAGAAAATTTTAAGGGAATTTTTCTTTGAAATGTGTGGGAAAAAAATTCGGATTAATGGAGAAAAAAAGCAAAAAAAAAAATCCGAAAAAAAATGGAAAAAAATGGGAAAAAATGGGAAAAAATCATCAAAAAACCACCAAAAATCGTCGAAAAAATTGGGAAAAAAATGGAAAAAAAAATCCAAAATTCCGAAAAATTCCGGAATTTTCCAGAGCGACGAGCTGGGGGTGCAGAAGCGGCTGCGCCCCGAGGGGATCCTTGGGACAAGGTGGAACCAATGGCCCCAAAAAGCCCCAAAATAACCTCCAAAAAATCCATAAAAATTCGTTAGAAATTTCTTTAAAATTCCTTTAAAAATCCAAGAAAATTTTAGGGGAATTTTTTTCTAATTGTGAGGAAAGAAATTTGGATTAATGGTGGAAAAAAGAAAAAAAAACCTGGAAAAAAATGGGAAAAAATGGCAAAAAATCGTCCAAAAAAATGGAAAAAAATGGGAAAAAATCGTCCAAAAACCACCAAAAATTGCAAAAAAAATCGAAAAAAAAAAGGGAAAAAATGGCAAAAAAATTGTCGAAAAAACCACCAAAAATTGCAAAAAAAATTGCAAAAAAATTCCAAAATTCGCAGAATTTTCTAGAGCTCCAATCTGACCCAGGTGGAACCAATGGCCCCAAAAACCCAAAACAAAACAAAACAAAAAAAAAAATCCCCCGAAAACTCTAAACATTCCAGAAAATTCATTTAAAAATTCCTCAAAATTCCTTTAAAAATCCGAGAAAATTTTAGGCAATTTTTCTTCTAAACGTGAGGAAAAAAAATCGGATTAATGGAGAAAAAAAGCAAAAAAAAATCGAAAAAAAATGGCAAAAAATCGTCAAAAAACTACCAAAAATCATGGAAAAATTGCAAAAAAAAATTGGAAAAAAAATTCCCAAAATTCCCGGAATTTTGCAGAGCGACGAGCCGGCCCAGGTGGAACCAATGGCCCCAAAAACCCCAAAAACCAAACAAAAAAAAAAATCCTGAAATAATTCTTAAAAATTCCATAAAATTCCTTTAAAAATTCCTCAAAATTCCTTTACAAATGCCTCAAAATTCCTTTAAAAATCTGAGAAAATTCTAGGGAATTTTTCTTTGAAATGTGAGGGAAAAAATTAAGATTATTGGTGAAAAAAAGCAAAAAAAATCCAAAAAAAATGGGGAAAAAAGTGCAAAAAATCATCAAAAAACCACCAAAAATCGTGGAAAAAATTGGGAAAAAAATGGAAAAAAATCCCAAAATTCCCAAAAATTCCCAAATTTTCAGAGTGATGAGCTGGGGGTGCAGAAGCGGCTGCGCACGGAGGTGATCCAGCTGGAGGACACGCTGGCCCAGGTGCGCAAGGAGTACGAGATGCTGCGCATCGAGTTCGAGCAGAACCTGGCGGCCAACGAGCAGGCGGGTGAGCGCACCTGGGCACACCTGGGCGCACCTGGGCACTCACCTGGGCACACCTGGGCACACCTGGGCACACCTGGGGTGGGTAAAATGCAAAAAAAATGGGGTTAAAAGGAGCAAAAATGGGGTTAAAAGGAGCAAAAATGGGATTTTGGGTGCTGAAAACGCACCTGGGCACAGGTGGCACAGGTGAGACTCACCTGGGCACTCACCTGGGCACACCTGGGGAGGGTAAAAACGTGAAAAAATGGGGTTAAAAGGAGCAAAAATGGGATTTTGGGCACTAAAAATGGGGTCAGGGACACCCAGGTGGGTCTGGGCACACCTGGGCACAGGTGAGACTCACCTGGGCACACCTGGGGGCACCTGGGCACACCTGAGGTGGGTAAAACCCAAAAAAATGGGGTTAAAAGGAGCAAAAATGGGATTTTGGGCACTCAAAAAAAAAAAATTGGGGGTTTTTTGCATTTTTTTGGGATTTCTTTGCCTCACCTGTGTCTCACCTGTCCCTCACCTGTCTCACCTGTCCCAGGTGAAATAACCCAAATTTATTCAATTTTTCGGATAAAATTTGGGGTTTTTTTGCATTTTTTTGGGATTTCTTTGCCCCTCACCTGCCTCACCTGTCCCAGGTGAAATAACCCAAATTTATTCAATTTTTGGGATAAAATTTTGGGGTTTTTTGCCATTTTTTCGGGGTTACTTTGCCCCACCTGTCCCTTACCTGTATCTCACCTGTCTCACCTGTCCCAGGTGAATCCTTCAGGAGCTTTGGAGTGAAATGACCCCAATTTATTCAATTTTGGGATAAAATTTGGGGGTTATTTGCATTTTTTTGGGATTTCTTTGCCTCACCTGTCCCTCACCTGTCCCAGGTGAAATAACCCAAATTTATTCAATTTTTGGGATAGAATTTGGTTTTTTTTTTCATTTTTTTGGGATTTCTTTGCCTCACCTGTCCCTCACCTGTCTCACCTGTCTGTCTCTCACCTGTCTGTGTCTCACCTGTCTCACCTGTCCCAGGTGAGTCTTTCAGGAGCTTCAGAGTGAAATGACCCCAATTTATTCAATTTTTGGGATAAATTTTCGGGGTTTTTTGCATTTTTTTGGGGATTTCTTTGCCTCACCTGTCTCACCTGTCCCTCAGCTGTCCGTCACCTTTCTCACCTGTCCCAGGTGAAATAACCCAAATTTATTCAATTTTTGGGATAAAATTTGGGGGATTTTTGCATTTTTTTGGGATTTCTTTGAGTCACCTGTGTCTCACCTGTCTCACCTGTCCCAGGTGAAATAACCCAAATTTATTCAATTTTTGGGATAGAATTTTGGGGTTTTTTGCCGTTTTCTCGGGGTTTCTTTGCCCCCCACCTGTCCCTCACCTGTCTCACCTGTCTCACCTGTCCCAGGTGAATCCTTTAGGAGGTTTAGAGTGAAATGACCCAAATTTATTCAATTTTTGGGATAAAATTTGGGGTTTTTTTGCATTTTTTTGGGATTTCTTTGCCCCTCACCTGTCCCAGGTGAAATAACCCAAATTTATTCAATTTTTGGGATAAATTTTGGGGGTTTTTGCCGTTTTCTCGGGGATTCTTTGCCCCACCCATCCCTCACCTGTCTCACCTGTCCCAGGTGAATCCTTCAGGAGATTTGGAGTGAAATGACCCCAATTTATTCAATTTTTGGGATAAAATTTGGGGTTTTTTTGCATTTTTTTCGGATTTCTTTGACTCACCTGTCCCTCACCTGTCCCTCACCTTTCTCACCTGTCCCAGGTGAAATAACCCAAATTTATTTAATTTTTGGGATAAAATTTGGGGGTTTTTTGCATTTTTTTGGGATTTCTTTGACTCACCTGTCTCACCTGTCTCTCACCTGTCTCACCTGTCTCAGGTGAACCTTTAGGGGGTTCGGAGTGAAATGACCCCAATTTATTCAATTTTTGGGATAAAATTTGGGGTTTTTTTTCATTTTTTTGGGATTTCTTTGCCTCACCTGTCCCTCACCTGTCCCAGGTGGAATAACTCAAATTTATTCAATTTTTGGGATAGAATTTTGGGGTTTTTTGCCATTTTCTCGGGGTTTCTTTGCCCCATCGGTCCCTCACCTGTCTCACCTGTCCCAGGTGAATCCTTCAGGAGCTTTGGCGTGAAATGACCCCAATTTATTCAATTTTTGGGCTAAAATCTCGGGGTTTTTTTGCATTTTTTTGGGGATTTCTTTGCCTCATCATTCTCACCTGTCCCAGGTGAAATAACCCAAATTTATTCCATTTTTGGGATAGAATTTTGGGGTTTTTTGCCGTTTTCTTGGGGTTTCTTTGCCCCACCTGTCCCTCACCTGTCTCACCTGTCCCAGGTGAAATAACCCAAATTTATTCAATTTTTGGGATAAAATTTTGGGTTTTTTTGCCTTTATCTCAGGGTTTCTTTGCCCCTCACCTGTCCCTCACCTGTCTCTCACCTGTCTCACCTGTCCCAGGTGAATCTTTTAGGAGCTTTGGAGTGAAATGACCCCAATTTATTCAATTTTTGGGATAAAATTTGTGGGTTTTTTGCATTTTTTTGGGATTTTTTTGCCCCTCACCTGTCCCACCTGTGTCTCACCTGTCTGGCCCCACCTGCAGGCCCCATCAACCGGGAGATGCGGCACCTGATCAGCTCCCTGCAGAACCACAACCACCAGCTGAAGGGCGACGTGCAGCGCTACAAGCGCAAACTGCGCGAGGTGCAGGCCGAGATCAACAAGGTGGGCGGGGCCTCCCCCGGGGGGCGTGGCCACAAATTAAAAACCCTGGGGGTGTGGCTTCAGTGGGCGTGGTCACTTTAAATGAGCGTGGTCACTTTAAGAGTGGGTGTGGTCACTTTAAAAGTGGGTGTGGTCCCTTTAAGAGTGGGCGTGGTCACTTTAAGAGTGGGTGTGGTCATTTTAAGAGTGGGCGTGGTCACCTTTAAGAGTGGGCGTGGTCAATTTAAAATGGGTTTTGGTTCCTTTAAGAGTGGGCGCGGTCACTTTAAGAACGGGCATGGTCACTTTAAGAGTGGGCGTGGTCACTTTAAAAGTGGGCGTGGTCCCTTTAACAGTGGGCGTGGTCACTTTAAAAGGGGTTTTGGTCCCTTTAAGAGTGGGCATGGTCACTTTAAGAAAGGGTGTGGTCACTTTAAAAATGGGCATGGTCACTTTAAGAGTGGGCGTGGTCACTTTAAAAAGAGGTTTTGGTCCCTTTAAGAGTGGGTGTGGTCACTTTAAGAGTGGGCGTGGTCACTTTAAGAGTGGGCGTGGCCACTTTTAGAGTGGGCGTGGTCACTTTAAAAGGGGGTTTGGTCCCTTTAAAAGTGGGCGTGGTCCCTTTAAGAATGGGCGTGGTCACTTTAAGACTGGGCGTGGTCCCTTTAAGAGTGGGCGTGGTCACTTTAAATGGGGTTGTGGTCCCTTTAAGAGTGGGCGTGGTCCCTTTAAGAGTGAGCGTGGTCATTTAAAAATGAGTTTTGGTCCCTTTAAGAGTGGACGTGGTCCCTTTAAGAGTGGGCGTGACCACTTTAAGAGTGGGCGTGGTCCCTTTAAGAGTGGGCGTGGTCACTTTAAGAATGGGCGTGGTCCCTTTAAGAATGGGCATGGTCCCTTTAAGAGTGGGCGTGGCCTCTTTAAAAGGCGTTGCGGTCCCTTTAAGGCTTGGTGGGTGTGGCTAAAAGGGGCGTGGCTTTAAAAATTACTTATGGCCCCTTTAAGAGAAGGTGGGCGTGGCTTAGAGGGGGCGGAGCCTCCTTCAAAAATGGGCGTGGTCCCTTTAAGAGGAACACTGATATTTGCATAAGGTGGAGCCTCAATGGGCGTGGCTTAAAGGGGGCGTGGTCACTTTAAAAGGGGCGTGGCCGCTTTAAATGGGCGTGGCTTTTAACTCCGCCCCCTTTTCCCTTTTAGCTCCGCCTCCAGGCCAGCGGAGCCCCGCCCCCACCCACCCAAGCCCCGCCCCCTCCCCCTCCCCCCTCCTCCACCTCTGGCCCCGCCCCCTCCTCAAGCTCCGCCCCTCCCCCTGACGAAACCCCGCCCCCTTCCCAAGCCCCGCCCCCTTCTGAGGAAAAAGAGGGCGTGGCCTCCTCAGGCCCCGCCCCCTCCCAAGACCCGCCCCCCAAACCCGCCCCTCCCCCACCCAAAGAGGAAGAGGAGGAGCCTCCCGCAGGCCCCGCCCCCACCCCAAGCCCCGCCCCCTCCCAAGCCCCGCCCCCTCCCCGCCCGTTGGCCCCGCCCCCTCCCAGGCCACGCCCCGAGCGGGGGGCGGGGCGGGAGCGGCCCAAGGGCGGAGCCGAGGAGGGGAAGAAGAAGGACTCGGAGGTGCTGAAGCAGCTGAGGGCGGAGCTCAAGTGAGTAGAGGCGGGGATATGCTAATGAGATGCTAATGAGGGGCGTGGGAGGGGTACCATGGGGGTGCTGAGGCGATTTGGGGAAGTTTGGAGGGGATTTGGGGGAGGTTTAAGGGGATTTTGGGGGGGTTGGATGGGGTTTGGGGGGGTTTAAAGGTGTGCCTATGCAAATGAGATGCAAATGAGGGACGTGGGAGGGGTCCCTTGGGGGTGCTGAGGCGTTTTGGGGAAGTTTCGAGGGGATTTGGGGCGGTTTAAGGGGATTTTGGGGGATTTGGGAGGGATTTGGGAGGGGTTTGGGTGGGTTTTATGCAAATGAGATGCTAATGAGGTACGTGGGAAGGGTCCCCGGGGGTGTTGAGGTGATTGGGGGGGGGTTGGAGGAGATTTTGGGGAGGTTTAAGGGGAATTTGGAGAGGTTTAAGGGGATTTTGGGGGATTTAGGAGGGGTTTGAGTGGGTTTTATGCAAATGAGATGCAAATGAGGTGTGTGGGAGGGGTCCCGGGAGGGTGTTGAGGTAATTTGGGGGAGATCTGAGGGGATTTGGGGGAGGTTTAAGGGGAATTTGGAGAGGTTTAAGGGGATTTTCGGGGATTTTAAGGGGCGTTTATGCAAATGAGATGCTAATGAGGGGCGTGGGAGGGGTCCCCGGTGGGTGTTAAGGGGATTTGGGGGGGGTTGGAGGGGATTTGGGGGAGGTTTAAGGGGATTTGGGGCATTTTGGGACAGGTTTGGGGGGTTTTAAAGGCACATTTATGCAAATGAGATGCTAATGAGGGGAGTGGGAATGTTTAGGGAGGGATCCTGGGAGGTTTTAGGGGGATTTGGGGGGTTTGGGGGACATTTTGGGGGGATTTAGGGGTAATTAACAATTGCTTAGTAAGCATTCAGGGAATATTTATGCAAATGAGATGCTAATTAGGAGAGTATGAGTGTTTAGGGAGGGATCCTGAGAGGTCTTAGGGGGATTTTAGGGAGATTTTGGGGGTTTTGGGGACATTTTGGGGGGATTTGGGGGAAATTAACACTGACTTAGAAAGCGGTCAAGGGGTGTTTATGCAAATGAGATGCTAATGAGGTACATGGGAAGGGTCCCGGGCAGGTGCTGAGGAGATTTGGGGGAGGTCTAAGGGAATTCGGGGGAGGTTTAAGGGGATTTTTGGGGGATTTGGGAGGGGTTTGGGGGGTTTAAAGGGGTGTTTATGCAAATGAGATGCTAATGATGGGTGTGGGATGGTTCAGGGAGGGGTTCTGGGAGGTTTTAGGGAGATTTTAGGGAGATTTTGGGGGTTTTGGGGACATTTTGGGGGGATTTGGGGGCAATTTAACAGTGGCTTAGTGAGCATTCAAGGGGTATTTATGCAAATGAGATGCTAATGAGGAACATGGGATGGTTCAGGGAGGGGTTCTGGGAGGTTTTAGGGGGATTTTAGGGAGATTTTGGGGGTTTTGGGGACATTATAGGGGGATTTGGGGATAATTAATAATGGCCTGGAGGGCGATAGAAGGGTTATTTATGCAAATGAGATGCTAATGAGGGACATGGGAAGGTTCAGGGAGGGGTCCCTGGAGGTTTTAGGGGGATTTTAGGGAGATTTTGGGCGTTTTGGGACATTTTGGGGGGATTTGGGTGTAATTAGTGATGGCTTGGAGGGTCTTAAGGGTGTATTTATGCAAATGAGATGCAAATGAGGTGTGTGGGAGGGGTCCCGGGCGGGTGCTGAGGCAATTTTGGGGGGTTTGGAGGGGATTTGGGGGAGGTTTAAGGGGATTTTGGGGGATTTGGGAGGGGTTTCGGGTCTTTTAAAGGGGTATTTATGCAAATGAGATGCTAATGAGGGGTGTGGGAGGGTTTAGGGAGGGATCCTGGGAGGTCTTAGGGAGATTTTAGGGGGATTTTTGGAGTTTTGGGGACATTTTGGGGGGATTTGGGTGTAATTAGTGATGGCTTGGAGGGTCTTAAGGGGGTATTTATGCAAATGAGATGCAAATGAGGTACGTGGGAGGGGTCCCGGGAGGGTGTTGAGGTGATTTGGGGGAGATCTGAGGGGATTTGGGGGCGGTTTAAAGGGATTTTGGGGGATTTTGGGAGGGGTTTGGGGGGTTTAAAGGTGTGCCTATGCAAATGAGATGCTAATGAGGGGTGTGGGAGGGTTTAGGGAGGGATCCTGGGAGGTCTTAGGGAGATTTTAGGGAGATTTTGGGGGTTTTGGGGACATTTTGGGGGGATTTGGGAGTAATTAACAGTGGGTTATAAAGCATTCAAGGCGTGTGTATGCAAATGAGATGCAAATGAGGGACGTGGGAGGGGTCCCGTGGGGGTGCTGAGGCGTTTTGGGGAAGTTTGGAGGGGATTTGGGGGAGGTTTAAGGGGATTTTGGGGTTATTAGCGATGGCTTGGAGGGCCTTAAGAGGGTATTTATGCAAATGAGATGCTAATGAGGGGCAGTGGATGGTTCAGGGAGGGGTCCTGGGACGTTTTAGGGAGATTTTAGGGAGAATTTTGGCGATTTTGGGACATTTGAGGGGGATTTGGGGGTAATTGACAGTGGGTTAGTAAGCATTTAAGGGGTATTTATGCAAATGAGATGCTAATGAGGGGTGTGGGATGATTTGGGGAGGGTTCCTGGGAGGTTTTAGGGGGATTTTAGGGAGATTTTGGGGTTTTTGGGGACATTTTAGGGAGATTTGGGGGTTATTAACACTGACTTAGGAAGCGGTCAAGGGGTATTTATGCAAATGAGATGCAAATGAGGGGAGTGGGAATGTTTAGGGAGGGGTCCCTGGAGGTTTTAGGGGGATTTTAGGGAGATTTTGGGGACATTTTGGGGGGATTTGGGGGCAATTTAACAGTGGCTTAGTGAGCATTCAAGGGGTATTTATGCAAATGAGATGCTAATGAGGAACATGGGATGGTTCAGGGAGGGGTTCCGGGAGGTTTTAGGGGGATTTTAGGGAGATTTTGGGGGGGTTTGTGGGATTTTTTGGGGGATTTGGGGGAATTAGTGATGGCTTGGAGGATCTTAAGAGGGTATTTATGCAAATGAGATGCTAATGAGGCACGTGGGAGGGGTCCCGGGTGGGTGTTGAGGCATTTTGGGGGGGTTTGGAGGGGATTTGGGGAGGTTTAAGGGGATTTTTGGGGATTTGGGAGGGGTTTAGGGGGGTTTTAAGAGGTGTTTATGCAAATGAGATGCTAATGAGGAGAGTATGAGGGTTTAGGGAGGGATCCTGGGAGGTTTTAGGGGGATTTGGGGGTTTTGGGGACATTTTGGGAGCACTTGAGGGTAATTAATAATGGCTTAGTAAGCATTTAAGGGGTATTTATGCAAATGAGATGCTAATGAGGTGCATGGGAGGGGCCCCGGGGGGCTGCTGAGGCGTTTTGGGGGGGGTCTAAGGCTATTTTGGGGTGGTTTAAGGGGATTTTGGTGGATTTTGGAGGGGTTGGGAGGGTTTTAAAGGCATGTTTATGCAAATGAGATGCTAATGAGGGGGGTGGGATGATTTGGGGAGGGGTCCCTGGAGGTTTTAGGGGGATTTTAGGGAGAATTTTGGCGATTTTGGGACATTTTGGGGGGATTTGGGGGTAATTAACAATGGGTTAGAAAGCGGTCAAGGGGTATTTATGCAAATGAGATGCAAATGAGATGCAGATTCAGCGAGGAAGGCGCAGGAAATCAAACTTGGGGTCGATTTTTGGGGCATTTTAGGGCCAATTTTTAGAGGTTTTGGGTGGGAATAAAAAGGGTGGAGCCAAGTGGATGGGCATGATAATTATGAATATGCAAATGAGATGGAAATTAGATACCGGTTTTGCAGGGAAAGTGCAGGAAATCAAATTTGGGGTCAATTTTTGGGGCATTTTGGGGCCAATTTTTGGGCGTTTTGGGGTCAAATTAAAGGGGTGGAGCCAAATATCTGCGTGATCACTGAATATGCAAATTAGATGGAAATGAGATGCAGATTTAGCAAGAAAGGTGCAGGAAATCAAATTCTGGGGTCGATTTTTGGGGCCAATTTTTGGGGGATTTTGAAGGAATAAAAAGGGGTGGAGTCAAATAAATGGGCATGATAACTATGAATATGCAAATGAGATGGAAATGAGATGCAGATTAAGCGAGAAATGTGCAGGAAATCAAATTTTGGGGTCGATTTTTGGGGCATTTTAGGGCCAATTTTTAGAGGTTTTGGGTGGGAATAAAAAGGGTGGAGCCAAATGGATGGGCATGATAATTATGAATATGCAAATGAGATGGAAATGAGATGCAGATTCGGCGAGGAAAGTGCAGGAAATCAAATTTGGGGTCAATTTTTGGGTCATTTCTGGGCCGATTTTTGGGTGATTTTTAAGGAATAAAAGGGGTGGGGCCAAATGGATGGGCATGATAACTATGAATATGCATATTAGATTGTAATGAGATGCAGATTTAGCTAGGAAAGTGCAGGAAATCAAATTCCGGGGTCGATTTTTGGGTCATTTCTGGGCCGATTTTTGGGGGATTTGGAAGGAATAAAAGGGGTGGAGCCAAATGGATGGGCATGATAACTATGAATATGTAAATGAGATGGAAATGAGATGCAGATTCAGCGAGGAAGGCGCAGGAAATCAAATTTGGGGTCGATTTTTGGGTCATTTCTGGGCCGATTTTGGGGGGATTTTTAAGGAATAAAAGGGGTGGAGCCAAATGGATGGGCATAATAACTATGAATATGCAAATGAGATGGAAATGAGATGCCGATTCAGCGAGGAAAGTGCAGGAAATCAAATTTGGGGTCGATTTTTGGGTCATTTTGGGGCCGATTTTTGGGGGATTTGGGGGCGAATAAAAAGGGTGGAACCAAATATCTGTGTGTGATCACTATGAATATGCAAATGAGATGCAAATAAGACGCAGATTCAGCAAGGAAGGTGCAGAAAATCAAATTTGGGGTCGATTTTTGGGGCATTTCGGGGCCGATTTTTGGGGTGTTTGGGGAGGAATTAATGAGGTGGTGCCTAATAAATGGGCGTGGTCCCATTAATATGCAAATGATATGTAAATTAGATGCCAGTTCAGCGAGGAAGGCACAGAAAATCAAATTTGGGGTCAATTTTTGGGTCATTTCGGGGCCGATTATTGGGGGATTTGGGGGGGATTTAATGAGGTGGTGCTGAATAAATGGGTGTGGTGTCCATGAATATGCAAATGAGATGGTAATGAGATGCAGATTTAGCAAGGAAGGCGCGGGAAGTCAAATTTGGGGTCGATTTTTGGGTCATTTCTGGGCCGATTTTTGGGGGATTTTTAAGGAATAAAATGGGTGGAGCCAAAGGGACAGCGGTTTAGGGTTCGGGGCTATGCAAATGAGATGCAAATGAGATGCAAACGCCCCAGGAAGGCGCAGGAGAACCAGAAGGAGATGAAGCTGCTGCTGGACATGTACAAATCGGCGCCCAAAGAGCAGCGGGACAAAGTGACGCTCATGGCAGCCGAGAGGAAGAGCAAGGCCGAGGTAATTAACGCTAATTAACGCTAATTAGGCGCTCATTAGCACCACAGGATGGGTTTGTGCAGTGGTGCAGCCTAATGAGATTTTAATGAGATGTTAATGGGTAAGTGGGGGTACGACAAGGCAGAAAAAGGGATGAAATGTGGGTAATTATATGCTAATTAATGCTAATTAGGTGCTCATTAATGTCATAAGTCAAATTTCTTCAGTACCAAATTCTAATGAGATGTTAATGAGCTTTTAATGGGTAATTAGAGGTTGGGCATGGCAAAAAATGGGATGGAATAAGGGGAGTTGTATGCTAATTAATGCTAATGAGGCTTTAATTAATGCTATGGAAGTGTTGTGTTTCCTTGTTAATGCTAATGAGGTGTTAATGAGGTGTTAATTGGCTGTTAATGAATCATTAGGGCTCGTTAGCGACATGAAAATGGGGGTATTAAGAGGAAATATTAGTAATGAGATGCTAATTAATGCTAATGAGGCACTCATTAAAGGCCACAAGTCGGGTTCCTGCAGTCGTGGTTCCTAATGAGATGTTAATGAGCTGTTAGTTGTTAATCAGGGGTTGGACAAGGCAGGAAAAGGGAGGAAATGTGAGTAATTGGATGCTAATTAATGGTAATTAGGCACTCATTAACGCCATAAGTCGGGTTTGTGCAGTGGCACATTCTAATGAGATGTTAATGAGCTGTTAATTGGTAATTAGGAGTTGTTAGCAGCCAAAAAATGGGATCAAATAAGAGGAATTCGATGTTAATTAATGCTAATTAGGCTTTAATTAATGCTGTAGAAGTGTTCTGTTTCCTTGTTAATTATTAATTAATGATTAATTAATGATACTTAATGAGCTGGACAAGCGCGAGCGCCGCCAGAACAAGAAGCTCCCGTTCGTTGCCGTGGGTTCATTAACAAACCGTGGTTAATTTGGGATTGATGAGCAGCTCATTAGGGATTCATTAATGACTAATTAACATTAATTAACAGTAATAAGCATTAATTAACACTAATTAACGAGCTGGAAGAGCTGCGGGGGTGCTGGAGGAGCACAAGCGCCGCCAGAAAAAGAATCTCCCGTTCATTGCTGTGGTTGACTGGGGATTGATTAACGCCTCATTAGGGATTAATTAATGACTAATTAACCTAATTAACGATTAATTAACGAGCTGGAGGAGCTGCGGGGGCGCTGGCGGGAGCCGGAGGAGCGCGAGCGCCGCGAGAACAAGAATCTCCCGTTCATTACCATGGGTGACTGGGGATTGATTAACTCTCATTAGGAATTCATTAATGACTAATTAACCTAATTACCGATTAATTAACGAGCTGGAGGAGCTGCGGGGGCGCTGGCGGGTGCTGGAGGAGCGCGAGCGCCGCCAGAACAAGAAGCTCTCATTAGTTACCATAGTTAATCACCAATTAATAAGCGGCTCATTGGGGATTCATTAATGACTAATTAGCATTAATTAACACTAATTAATGAGCTGGAGGAGCTGCGGGGGCGCTGGCGGGAGCTGGAGGAGCGCGAGCGCCGCGAGAACAAGAAACTCCCGTTCATTACCATGGGTTCATTAATGAACCGTAGTTAATTGGGGATTGATGAGCGGCTCATTATGGATTCATTAATGACTAAGTAACACTAATTAATGCTAATTAACAGTAATTAACACTAATTAACAAGCTGGAGGAGCGTGAGCGCCACCAGAACAAGAAGCGCCCATTCCTTACCGTGGGTTCATTAACGAGCTGTTATTAATCAGTGATTGATGAGTGGCTTATTAGGGATTCATTAAGGACTAATTAACATTAATTAACACTAATTAACACTAATTAACGAGGTTGAGGAGCTCTGGGGGTGCTGGAGGAGCGCTAGCGCCACAAGAACAAGAAGCTCCCGTTGGTTACTGTAGTTAATCACCGAATAATGAGCGGCTCATTAGGGATTCATTAATCACTAATTAACCTAATTAACGATTAATTAACGAGCTGGAGGAGCTCTGGGGGTGCTGGAGGAGCGCGAGCGCCGCGAGAACAAGAAGCTCCCATTGGTTACCATAGTTAATCACCGATTAATAAACGGCTCATTAGGGATTCATTAATGACTAATTAGCATTAATTAACACTAATTAGCATTAATTAACACTAATTAACGAGGCGGAGGAGCTGCAGAAGTGCTGGAGGTGTGGGAGCACTGCCAGAAAAAGAAACTCCTGTTCATTACTGTGGGTTCATTAACAAACCGTGGTTAATCACTGATTGATGAGTGGCTCATTAGGGATTCATTAATGACTAATTAACTTAATTAATGATTAATTACCGAGCTGGAGGAGCTGCGGGGGCGCTGGCGGGAGCTGGAGGAGCGCGAGCGCCGCGAGAACAAGAAGCTCCCGTTCATTACCATGGGTTCATTAATGAACCGTGGGTGACTGGAGATTGATTAACGCTTCATTAGGGATTCATTAATGACTAATTAGAATTAATTAACACTAATTAGCACTAATTAACGAGCTGGAGGAGCTCTGGGGGTGCTGGAAGAGCGCAAGCGCCGCCAGAACAAGAAACTCCCATTGGTCACCGTGGGTGACTGGGGATTGATTACCGCCTCATGAGGGATTAATTAATGACTAATTAGCATTAATTAACACTAATTAACGAGCTGGAGGAGCTGCGGGGGCGCTGGCGGGAGCTGGAGGAGCGCGAGCGCCGCGAGAACAAGAAGCTGGCGGACGAGGAGGCGCTGCGGCGGCTGCGGCTCAGCGAGGAGCAGATCGAGCACCTGCAGCGGCGGCTGGCGGCCACCAAGCAGGTGAGGCTCACCTGGGGGCACCTGGGCACACCTGGGGGCACCTGGGGGCACCTGGGCACACCTGGGCACACCTGGGCACACCTGGGGAGGGGGAAACGCAAAAAGAACGGGGTTAAAAGGAGCAAAAATGGGGTTAAAAGGGGCAAAAATGGGGTTTGCGGCACTAAAAACGCACCTGGGCACACCTGGGCACACCTGGGGGCACCTAGGACAGGTAAAATTGTGAAAAAATGGGGTTAAAAGGAACAAAAATGGGGTTTTGGGTGCTGAAAATGTAGCTGGGCACACCTGGGCACACCTGGGCACAGGTGGGGTGGGTAAAATGCAAAAAAAATGGGGTTAAAAGGAGCAAAAATGGGGTTAAAAGGAGGAAAAATGGGGTTTTGGGCACTAAAAATGGTGTCAGGAGACACCTGGACACAGGTGAGACTCACCTGGGGGCACCTGGGGGCACCTGGGCACACCTGGGGGCACCTGGGGGCACCTGGGGGCACCTGGGCACACCTGGGGTGGGTAAAAATGTGAAAAAATTGGGTTAAAAGGAGCAAAAATGGGGTTAAAAGGGGTAAAAATGGAATTTTTGGGCACTAAAAATGGGGTCAGGGACACCCAGGTGGGTCTGGGCACACCTGGGCACAGGTGAGGCTCACCTGGGCACACCTGGGGGCACCTGGGGGCACCTGGGGGCACCTGGGGTGGGTAAAATGCAAAAAAAATGGGGTTAAAAGGAGCCATCCTTCCTGGCAGCCATCTTGCCTGACTCACTCATGGCAGCCATCTTGCCTGGCAGCCATCTTGCCTATCTCCACTGCTGGCAGCCATTCCTCCTTCCCCACTGCTGGCAGCCATCTTGCCTTTCCCGCTGACGGCGGCCATCTTGCCTAGCCCCATTTATGGCGGCCATCTTGCCTTCCCCCCCGCTGGCAGCCATCTTGCCTTCCCCGCTGCCGGCAGCCATCTTGCCCACCCCACCTGCTGCCAGCAGCCATCTTGCCTAGCCCCACCTGCCAACGGTGGCCATCTTGCCTTCCCCACTCCTGGCAGCCATCTTGCCTTCCCCACCGCCAGTGGCCATCTTGCCTTCCCTGCTGCCAGCGGCCATCTTGCCTTCCCCACCTGCCACCAGCAGCCATCTTTCCCACCCCACCACCGGCAGCCATCTTGCCCACTCCCCCACCAGCAGCCATCTTGCCTTCCCCCCACCAGCAGCCATCTTGCCCACCCCACCTGCCACCGACAGCCATCTTGCCTACCCCACTGCCGATGGCCATCTTGCCCATCCCCCCACTGGCGGCCATCTTGCCTTCCTCACTCCTGGCAGCCATTCCTCATTCCCCATTCCTGGCAGCCATCTTGCCCACCCCACCTGCCACCAGCAGCCATCTTGCCCACCCCACCGGCAGCCATCTTTCCTTCCCTACTCATGGCAGCCATCTTGCCTTCCCCACCTATGGCAGCCATCTTGCCTGGCAGCCATCTTGCCTTCCCCACTCCCGGCAACCATCCTGCCCACCCCACCACCGGCAGCCATCTTGCCTAGCCTTACTTATGGCAGCCATCTTGCCTGGCAGCCATCTTGCCTAGCCCCACTCCTGGCAGCCATCTTGCCTGGCAGCCATCTTGCCTTTCCCACCGCCGGCAGCCATCTTACCCACCCCACTTACGGCAGCCATCTTGCCTAGCCCCACTCCTGGCAGCCATCTTGCCTTCCCTACTCATGGCAGCCATCTTGCCTTCCCCACTCATAGCAGCCATCTTGCCTAGCCGCACTGCTGGCAGCCATCTTGCCCACCCCCCCGCCGGCAGCCATCTTGCCTTTCCCACTCCTGGCGGCCATCTTGCCTTCCCCGCTGACAGCGGCCATCTTGCCTTTCCTGCTGGCAGCCATCTTGCCCACTCCCACTTCTGGCGGCCATCTTGCCCACCCCCTCACTGGTGGCCATCTTCCCTTCCCCGCTGACAGCAGCCATCTTGCCCTCCCTACTCATGGCGGCCATCTTACCTAGCCCCACTGATGGCAGCCATCTTGCCTGGCAGCCATCTTGCCTGGCAGCCATCTTGCCCACCCCACTCCTGGCAGCCATCCTGCCCACCCCCCCACCGGCAGCCATCTTGCCTTCCCCGCTGACAGCGACCATCTTGCCTTTCCTGCTGACGGCCATCTTGCCCACCCCACTCATAGGAGCCATCTTGCCTAGTCCCACTGCTGGCAGCCATCTTGCCTTCCCCACTCCTGGCAGCCATCTTGCCCACCCCACTGGCAGCCATCTTGCCTGGCGGCCATCTTGCCCTCCCCGCTGACAGCGCCATGTCTCCGTGCCGGTCAGGAGGAGGAGGCGCTGCTGTCGGAGATGGACGTGACGGGCCAGGCCTTCGAGGACATGCAGGAGCAGAACCTGCGGCTGCTGCAGCAGCTGCGCGAGAAGGACGACGCCAACTTCAAACTGATGTCGGAGCGCATCAAAGCCAACCAGATCCACAAACTGCTGCGCGAGGAGAAGGACGAGCTGGCCGAGCAGGTGCTGGCACTCAAGGCACAGGTGAGAGCCCTGAAATTCGTTAATTAGTCATTAATTAGGCATTAATTAGTCATTAATTAATTTTTAATAGGCACTAATAGCTGTTTATTAGCAATTTATTAGTTATTAATAGTGATTAGTGACCAGCAGGAGCACGTGCTTGCCCTCAAGGCGCAGGTGAGACTCCCAAAATTAGTTAATTAGTCATTAATTAGTGATTATTTAATTATTATTAGCCATTAATAATCATTTTTTAGTTATTAATTGGGTTTATTAGCTGTATATTAGTTATTAATAGGGTTTATCAGTTAATAGTTATTAATAGGGATTAGTTACCAGGATGAGCAGGTGCTGGCCCTCAAGGCGCAGGAGAGAGTCCCAAAATTAATTAATTAGTCATTAATTAGTCATTAATTTAATTCTAATAGCTATTAATAAGGTACTTAATAATTATTAATAAGTCTTATTAGCTAGTTAATAGCCATTGATAGCTCTTTAATAATGATTAATAAGGTTTATTAGTTGGCTAATAGCCAGCAATAGCCATTTATTAGTTATTAATGGAGTTTTTTAGTTGTATATTAGTTATTAATAGGGCTTATTAGTTGTATATTAGTTTTTTATAGGGTTTATTAGCTATTTATTAGGTATTAATAGGGATTAATGAGCTGGCCGAGCAGGTGCTGGCCCTCAAGGCACAGGTGAGAGGCCCAGAATTAATTAATTAGTCGTTAATTAGTCATTAATTAATTTTTAGTAGGTGTTAATAGCTATTTATTAGTTACTAATAGCGTTTATTAGCAATTTATTAGCAATTAATAGGGATTAGTGACCAGGAGGAGCACGTGCTGGCCCTCAAGGCACAGGTGAGAGCCCCGAAATTCATTAATGAGTCATTAATTAGTCATTAATTAATTATTAATAGGCGTTAATAGCTGTTTATTAGTTATTAATAAGGTTTTTTAGCTGGCTAATAGCCATTAATAGGTATTTAATAATGATTAATAAGGTTTATTAGCTGACTAATAGCCAGCAATAGCCATTTATTAGTTATTAAAAGGGTTTATTAGCTATCTATTAGGTATTAGTAGGGATTAATGAGCTGGCCGAGCAGGTGCTGGCCCTCAAGGCCCAGGTGAGAGTCCCAAAATTAATTAATTAGTCATTAATTAGTCATTAATTAGTCATTAATTACTTTTTAATCGGTCTTAATAGCGGTTTATTAGTCATTAATAGAGTTTATTAGCTGCTTAATAGCCATTAATAAGGTGGCCGAGCTGGTGATGGCCTTCAAGGCGCAGGTGAGACTCCCAAAATTCATTAATTAGTCATTAATTAGTGATTGATTAAATATTATTAGCCATTAATAATCATCTATTAGTTATTAATAGCATTTTTTAGCTATTTATTAGGTATTAATAGGGATTAATGAGCTGGCGAAGCAGGTGCTGGCCCTCAAGGCCCAGGTGAGGCCTATAAACGCCGTTATTTTGGCTATTAATGAGCCGATTTCGCTAATTAGCATTAATTAGTGACTAATTAATTATCTGTGCAGGTGGAGGCGCAGCTGCAGGTGGTGCAGAAGCATTAATTAATTGCATCAGACATTAATTACCTCTAATAATCGGCTAATAATCCCCTAATTTCAGCTACAAACGCCATTATTTTGGCTATTAACAAGCCGATTTTGCTAATTAGTGCTAATTAGTGATTAATTAATCGCCCGGGCAGGTGGAGGCGCAGCTGCAGGTGGTGCAGGAGCCCAATGAGATTAATTCGGAGTCAATTAGCACTAATAATTGGCTAATACTCCCCTAATTTCGGCTATAAACGCCATTATTTTGGCTATTAACGAGCCGATTTCTCTAATTAACATTAATTAGTGACTAATTAACCACCTGTGCAGGTGGAGGCACAGCTGCAGGTGGTGCAGGAGGGCAAATAGAATAAATAGGACTTAATTAGAGCTAATAGGTGTCTAATAATGCCCAAATTTTGTCTACAAACGCCGTTATTTTGTCTATTAACAAGCCGATTTCACTAATTAGCTTTAATTAACAATTAATTAACCACCCGTGCAGGTGGAGGCGCAGCTGCAGGTGATGCAGAGGTGTTAATTTATTGGATCAGACGTTAGTTACTGCTAATAATTGTCTAATAATCCCCTAATTTTGCCTATAAATGCCGTTATTTTGGCTATTAACGAGCCGATTTCGCTAATTAGCATTAATTAACAATTAATTAACCACCCGTGCAGGTGGAGGCGCAGCTGCAGGTGGTGCAGAAGCTGGAGGAGAAGGAGCGGGGGCTGCAGAGCGCGTTGGCCGCGGTGGAGAAGGAGCTGAGCCTGCGCTCGCAGGCGCTGGAGCTGCACAAGAGGAAGGTGAGGGACAGGTGGGCACAGGTGTGCCCAAAATGTGCCAAAATGTGCCCAAAATCTGCCCAAAATCTGCCCAAAATATCCGCCAGGTGTGCCCAAAACGTGCCCAAAATCTGCCGAAAATGTGCCCCAAAAGTGCCCCCAGGTGTGCCCCAGGTGTGCCCAAAATGTGCCCAAAATGGGCCAAAAATATCCCCCAGGTGTGCCCAAAATCTGCCCAAAATCTGCCCAAAATCTGCCCAAAATGTGCCCAAAATATCCCCCAGGTGTGCCCAAAATCTGCCCCAGGTGTGCCCAAAATCTGCCCAAAATCTGCCCAAAATCTGCCCAAAATCTGCCCAAAATGTGCCCAAAATCTGCCCCAAATATCCCCCAGGTGTGCCCAAAATATCCCCCAGGTGTGCCCAAAATCTGCCCAAAATGTGCCCAAAATATCCCCCAGGTGTGTCACAGGTACCCCCCAGGTGTGCCCAAAATCTGCCCAAAATCTGCCCAAAATGTGCCCAAAATATACCCTCAGGTGTGCCCAAAATGTGCCCAAAATGTGCCCAAAATATACCCTCAGGTGTGCCCAAAATGTGCCCAAAATCTGCCCCAAATATCCCCCAGGTGTGCCCAAAATCTGCCCCAAATATCCCCCAGGTGTGCCCAAAATATCCCCCAGGTGTGCCCAAAATCTGCCCAAAATGTGCCCAAAATATCCCCCAGGGGTGCCCAAAATGTGCCCCAGGTGTATCTCAGCTGTGCCCAGGTGCCCCCAGGTGTATCTCAGGTGTGCCCAGGGGTATCTCAGCTGTGCCCAGGTGTGCCCAGGTGTATCCCAGCTGTGCCCAGGTGTGCCCAGGTGTATCCCAGCTGTGCCCAGGTGTATCTCAGGTGTATCTCAGGTGTATTTTAGACAGACCCAGGTGTCTGTGAGTGCCCAGGTGAGTGCCCAGGTGTGTCCCAATGGATCTCAGGTGTGCCCAGCTGTGCCCAGGTGTGCCCAGGTGTGTGTTAGTTATACCCAGGTGTATGTTAGGGGTGCCCAGGTGTATCTGAGGTGCCTTTGGGTGTGCCCAGGTGTACCCAGGTGTGCCCAGGTGTGCCCAGGTGTATCCCAGGTGCCCCCAGGTGTATCCCAGCTGTGCCCAGCTGTGCCCAGGTGTATCTCAGGTGTGCCCAGGTGTGTCTCAGGTGTACTTTAGACAGACCCAGGTGTATGTGAGTGCCCAGGTGTGCCCAGGTGCGCCCAGGTGTGCCCAGGTGCCCCCAGGTGTATCTCAGCTGTGCCCAGGTGTGCCCAGGTGTTCCCAGGTGTTCCCAGCTGTGCCCAGGTGTATCTCAGGTGTATCCCAGGTGCCCCCAGATGTGCCCAGGTGTGCCCAGGTGTATCTCAGGTGCCCCCAGGTGTGCCCAGGTGCGCCCAGGTGTGCCCAGGTGTATCTCAGGTGCCCCCAGGTGTGCCCAGGTGCCCCCAGGTGTGCCCAGGTGTATCTCAGGTGTGCCCAGCTGTGCCCAGGTGTATCTGAGGTGTATCCCAGCCATGCCCAGGTGTGCCCAGGTGCCCCCAGGTGTATCTCAGGTGCCCCCAGGTGTGCCCAGGTGTACCCCAGGTGTGCCCAGGTGAGTGCCCAGGTGTATCTCACAGGCGGTGGAGGCGGCGCAGCTGGCGGAGGACCTGCGGGCGCAGGGGGAGCAGGTGCATGCGCGGCTGCGGGAGCTGCAGCTGTGCCCAGGTGTGCCCAGGTGTGCCCAGGTGTATCTCAGGTGTGCCCAGGTGTGCCCAGGTGTATCTCAGGTGTGCCCAGGTGTGCCCAGGTGTATCTCAGGTGTGCCCAGGTGTGCCCAGATGCCCCCAGCTGTGCCCAGGTGTGCCCAGGTGTATCTCAGGTGTGCCCAGGTGCCCCCAGGTGTATCTCAGGTGTGCCCAGGTGTGCTCAGGTGTATCCCAGGTGTGCCCAGGTGTATCTCAGGTGCCTCCAGGTGTATCTCAGGTGCCTCCAGGTGTATGTTAGGGGTGCCCAGGTGTGCCCAGCTGTGCCCAGGTGCCTTCAGGTGTGCCCAGGTGTATTTTAGCTGTGCCCCAGCTGTGCCCAGGTGTGCCCAGGTGTGTCTCAGGTGTATTTTAGACAGACCCAGGTGTATGTGAGTGCCCAGGTGAGTGCCCAGGTGTATCTCAGGTGTGCCCATGTGTGCCCAGGTGTATCTCAGGTGCCCCCAGGTGTATCTCAGGTGTGCCCAGGTGTGCCCAGGTGCCCCCAGCTGTGCCCAGCTGTGCCCAGGTGTGCCCAGGTGTGCCCAGGTGTGTGCCCGCAGGCGGTGGAGGCGGCGCAGCTGGCGGAGGACCTGCGGGCGCAGGGGGAGCAGGTGCATGCGCGGCTGCGGGAGCTGCAGCTGTGCCCAGGTGTGCCCAGGTGTGCCCAGGTGTATCCCAGGTGTGCCCAGGTGTGCCCAGGTGTGCCCAGGTGTATCCCAGGTGTGCCCAGGTGTGCCCAGGTGTATCTCAGGTGTGCCCAGGTGTATCTCAGGTGTGCCCAGGTGTATCTCAGGTGTGCCCAGGTGTATCTCAGGTGTGCCCAGGTGTATCTCAGGTGCCCCCAGGTGTATCTCAGGTGCCTTTAAGTGTGCCCAGGTGCCCCCAGGTGTGCCCAGGTGTGCCCAGGTGTGCCCAGCTGTATCTCAGGTGCCCCCAGGTGTATCCCAGTTTTATCTCAGGTGCCCCCAGGTGTATCTCAGCTGTGCCCAGGTGTGCCCAGCTGTGCCCAGGTGTATCCCAGGTGCCCCCAGGTGTGCCCAGGTGTATCTCAGGTGCCTTTGGGTGCCCCCAGGTGTATCTCAGGTGCCCCCAGGTGTGCCCAGGTGTGCCCAGGTGTATCTCAGCTGTGCCCAGGTGTGCCCAGGTGTGCCCAGGTGTGCCCAGGTGCCCCCAGGTGTATCTCAGCTGTGCCCAGGTGCCCCCAGGTGTATCTCAGCTGTGCCCAGGTGTATCTCAGGTGTGCCCAGGTGTATCTCAGGTGTGCCCAGGTGCCCCCAGGTGTGCCCAGGTGTGCCCAGGTGTATCTCACAGGCGGTGGAGGCGGCGCAGCTGGCAGAGGACCTGCGGGCGCAGGGGGAGCAGGTGCATGCGCGGCTGCGGGAGCTGCAGCTCTGCGCCAGCGAGAACCGCGCGGCCAAGGACAAGGAGGCGCTGAGCCTGAAACGGGCACAGGTGGGACAGGGGGGATTTGGGGGAATTTTGGGGAATTTTAGGGATTTTGGGAAAAATTTGGGGGAAATTTGGGGGTTTTGGGGGGGTGTTGGGGGGATTTTTGTGGATTTTTTGGGATTTTATAGAGATTTTGGAGGCATCTTTTTTCAATTTAGGGGGATTTTTGGGGGAATTTTGGGGGGGATTTTGAGGATTTGGGGGATTTGAGGGAATTTTGGGGATTTTGGGGGAATTTTGGGGATTTTGGGGGAATTTTGGGGGATTTTGGGGGGATTTTTGGGGGGTTTTGGAGGAATTTTTTGGGAATTTAAAGGAATTTCTGGGGATTTTGGGGGAATTTTTGGGATTTTTTTAGGAATTTTTGAGATTTCAGGGGGTTTTGGGAAGTTTTGGGAATTTTGGGGGATTTTGGGGAGATTTTTGGGGGATTTTTGGGGCTTCGGGGAGATTTTGGGGGATTTGCGGCGATTTTGAGGAGAAATTTGGGGATTTTTGGGTTTTTGGGGACTTTGGGAAAATTTAGGGAAATTTTGGGAATTTTGAGGGGAAAGTTGGGGGATTTTGGGTAATTTGAGGGATTTTTGGGAGAATTTTTGGGAAATTTGAGGCGAAATTTGGGATTTTTTGGGGATTTTGGGGGGATTTTTGGGCAGTTTGGGGGATTTGGGGGGAATTTTTGGGAATTTTTGGGAGTTTTGGGAGCATTTTGGGGAACTTTGCGGGAATTTGGGGGATTTTGGGGGAATTCTGGGGGGTTTGGGGGATTTTGGGGGGTTTGGGGGAAATTTTGGGGGGATTTTGAGGGGATTTGGGGGGATTTTGGGGGGGTTTTGTGGGAATTTTGGGGGATTTTGGGGATTTTTTTGGGGTTTTTTTTGGGAATTTTGGGTGGATTTTTGGAATTTGGGAGGAATTTTCTGAGAATTTTGGGGCCCTTTTATGAATTATTGGGGAACATTTTGAAATCGTTTTGGGGATTTTTTGGGACAATTTTTGGGAACCATTTGGAACCATTTTGGAACATTTTTGGGAACTTTTTTCGGGAATATTTTTGCCCTTTTTGGGGAACATTTTGGGAATTTCTGGGGAACATTTTGGGACGTTTTTGGGGTCATTTTGGGGGAACATTTTGAAACTATTTTGGGAATTTTTTGGGCCCATTTTGGGAATTTTTGGGTCAATTTTTCGGAATTTTTTGGGAATTTTTTGGAACCATTTTGGGAATTTTTGGGGAACATTTTGAAACCATTTTGGGGACATTTTGTGCCCATTTTGGGAATTTTTGGGAGAATTTTTTTGGGACATTTTTGGGCCCATTTTGGGAATTTTTGGGGGAGTTTTTTTGGGACATTTTTGTTCCCGTTTTGGGAATTTTTTGGGAACATTTTTGTTCCCATTTTGGGAATTTTGGGGGAACATTTTGGGACATTTTGGGAACTTTTGGGAAAGTTTTTTGGAAACATTTTTGTTCCCATTTTGGGGGAACATTTTGTGCCATTTTGGGAATTATTGGGGAACATTTTGGGACACTTTTGGGGACAATTTTTGGGAATATTTTTGCCCATTTTGGGACATTTTTTGGCACGTTTTGGGCATTTTTGGGGGAGTTTTTTGGGACATTTTTGTTCTCATTTTGGGAATTTTTGGGGAACATTTTGGGGGAGTTTTTTGGGACCATTTTTGCCCATTTTGGGAACTTTAGAGGGAGTTTTTTTGGGAACATTTGGAACCATTTTGGGAATTTTTGGGGAACATTTTGGGAATTTTTGGGGAACATTTTGGGAATTTTTTGGGCCCATTTTGGGAGATTTTTGGGGAACATTTTGGGACCATTTTTGCCCATTTTGGGAAGTTTTGGGGGAGTTTTTTTGGGAATATTTTTGCCCATTTTGGGACACTTTTGGGGAACATTTTGGGAATTATTGGGGAACATTTTGGGAACATTTTTGCCCATTTTGGGAATTTTTGGGGGAGTTTTTTTGGGAATATTTTTGCCCATTTTGGGACATTTTTGGGGAACATTTTGGAAATTATTGGGAGAATTTTTTGGGAATATTTTTGCCCATTTTGGGAATTTTTGGGGGAGTTTTTTGGGAACATTTTTGGGCCTTTTTTGGGAATTATTGGGGAACATTTTGGGACCATTTTTGCCCATTTTGGGAATTTTTGGGGGAGTTTTTTTTGGGACCATTTTTGCCCATTTTGGGAATTTTTGGGAAAGTTTTTTGGGAATATTTTTGCCCATTTTGAGACACTTTTGGGCCCATTTTGGGAATTATTGGGGAACATTTTAGGACGTTTTTGGGGCCATTTGGGGAATTTTGGGGGGAGTTTTTTTGGGAATATTTTTGCCTATTTTGGGAATTTTTTGGGACAATTTTTGGGACCATTTTTGCCCATTTTGGGAATTTTTGGGGGAGTTTTTTTGGGAATATTTTTGCCCATTTTGGGACATTTTTGGGCCCATTTTGGGAATTTTTGCGGAACATTTTGGGAATTTTTGGGGAACATTTTGGGAGATTTTTGGGTTATTTTTGGGGAACATTTTGGTAATTTTGGGCCCGCAGGAGGAGCTGTCGCGGCTGCGCCGGAAGTTGGAGAAGCAGCGCAAGGTCGAAGTTTACGCCGACGCCGACCAGATCCTGCAGGAGGAGATCAAAGAGTACCGGGTGAGCTTCCAGGACCTGCCGGGGCCTGCCGGGACCTTCCGGGACCTTTCAGAACCTTCCAGAACCTTCCAGGACCTTCTAGGAGCTCCTGGGACTTTTTGGGACTTTCTGGGAGCTTCCAGGACCTTCCAGGACTTTCTGGGGGCCTTCCAGGACCTTCTGGGACTTTTTGGGACGTTCTGGGACCTTCCAGGACCCTCCCGGACTTTCTGGGAGTTCCTGGGACTTTTTTTGGGAGCTTCCAGGACCTTTTGGGGACTTTTGGGACTTTCTGGGAGCTTCCAGGACCTTCCAGGACTTTTGGGGAGCTTCCGGGACCTTTCGTAACCTTCCAGGACCTCCTGGGACTTTTTGGGACATTCTGGGACTTTCTGGGAGCTCCCGGAACCTTCCAGGACTTTTTGGGGACCTTCCAGGACCTTTCAGAACCTTCCAGGACCTCCTGAGACTTTTTGGGACCTCCTGGGACCTTCCAGGACCTTTTGGGACTTTCTGGGAGCTTTTGGGACCTTCCAGGACCGTCTGGGACTTTTTGGGACCTTCTGGGACTTTCTGGGAGCTCCCGGAACCTTCCAGGACTCTTTGTGAGCTTCCAGGACCTTTCAGAACCTTCCAGGACCTTCTGGGACTTTCTGGAACCTTCTGGGAGCTTTTTGGACCTTCCAGGACCTTCCAGAACCTTCTGGGACCTCCTGGGACCTTCCAGGACCTTCCGGGACTTCTAATGACCATTAATGACTGTTAATGACCACTAATGAATTCTGATGACCATTGTTGACTATTAGCGATCGTTAATGACCTCTAGTGACCTTTGCTGACCATTAATGACCAGTAATGACCATTAATGACTCCTAATGACCATTAATGACTATTAGTAATCATTAACGAACTTTAGTGACGGTTAATGACCTCTAGTGACCGTTGCTGACCACTAATGACCATTAATGACTATTAGGGATCATTAATGACCTCTAGTGACCATTGCTGACCGTTAATGACCATTAACGATTTCTAATGACCATTATTGACTATTAGTGATCGTTATTGATCTCTGGTGACCATTGCTGACCACTAATGACCATTATTGACTATTAGTAATCATTAACGACCTCTAGTGACTATTGCTGACCGTTAATGACCATTAATGATTTCTAATGACCATTTTTGATTATTAGTGATGGTTAATGATCTCTAGTAACCATTAATGACCATTAATGACCACTAATGACCATTGCTGACTATTAATAACCACTAATGGTTTCTAATGACCATTATTGACTTCTAGCGATCGTTAATGACCTCCAGTGACTATTTTTGACCATTAGCGACTTCTAATGACCATTATTGACTATTAGTGATCATTAATGATCTCTAGTGACCACTAATGACCATTATTGACCATTAATGACCATTATTGACTATTAATGATCATGAACGACCTCTAGTGACCATTGCTGACCACTAACAACCACTAACAATTTCTAATGACCATAAACGACTATTAATTACTGTTAATAACCCCTAATTACCACTAATGACCGCCCGTTTCCCCCGGCCAGGCCCGCCTGACGTGTCCCTGCTGCAACGCGCGCAAGAAGGACGCAGTGCTGACGTTAACGACCATTATTGATTTCTAATGACTATTAACGACTATTAGCGATCGTTAATGACCTCTAGTGACCATTGCTGACCATTAATGACTTCTAATAGCCATTAATGACTATTAGTGATCATTAATGACTATTAGTGATCGTTAATGATCTCTAGTGACCATTGCTGACCATTGATGACTTCTAATGACCATTATTGATTTCTAATGACCATTATTGACTATTAGCGATCGTTAATGATCTCTAGTGACCATTGCTGACCGTTAATGACCATTAGTGACCATTAATGACTTCTAATGACCGTTAGTGGCTGTTAATGACCATTAATGGCAAATAATGACCATTAATGACCATTAATGATTTCCAATGACCATTAATAATTGTTAATGATCTCTAATGGCCACTGCTGGCCATTAATGACCATTAGTGACCACTAATGACCATCGCTGACCATTAACAACTTCTAATGACCATTATTGACTATTAGCGATCATTAATGACCTCTAGCGACCATTGCTGACCACTAACAACCACTAACAATTTCTAATGACCATTAACGACTATTAATTACCATTAATAACCCCTAATAACGATTAATAACCGCCCGTTTCCCCGGCCAGGCCCGCCTGACGTGCCCGTGCTGCAACGCGCGCAAGAAGGACGCGGTGCTGACCGTTAATGACCATTAACAATTTCTAATGACCACTAATGACCATTAACGACTATTAATTACCATTAATAACCCCTAATAACGATTAATGACCGCCCGTTTCCCCCGGCCAGGCCCGTCTGACGTGCCCGTGCTGCAACGCGTGCAAGAAGGACGCGGTGCTGACCGTTAATGACCATTAACGATTTCTAATGACCATTAACAACTATTAATTACCATTAATAACCGTTAATAACGATTAATAACCGCCTGCTTTCCCCGGCCAGGCCCGCCTGACGTGCCCGTGCTGCAACGCGCGCAAGAAGGACGCGGTGCTGACCGTTAATGACCGTTAATGACCATTAACAATTTCTAATGACCATTAATGACTATTAATTACCTTTAATTACCGCTAACGAGCGCCTGTTTCCCCCGGCCAGGCCCGCCTGACGTGCCCGTGCTGCAACGCGCGCAAGAAGGACGCGGTGCTGACCAAGTGCTTCCACGTCTTCTGCTTCGAGTGCGTCAAGAGCCGCTACGACACGCGGCAGAGGAAGTGCCCCAAGTGCAACGCCGCCTTCGGCGCGCACGACTTCCACCGCGTCTACATCAGCTGAGCGGCCAACGGTCAACCGTGGTCATCCATGGTCATCTTTGGTCATTTGTGGTCATTTGTGGTCATCTTTGGTCAACCGTGGTCATCTTTGGTCAACTGAGGTCATCTATGGTCATCTGGGGTCAACTGGGTTCATCCAATGCCGCCTTCGGCGCGCACGACTTCCACCGCGTCTACATCAGCTGAGCGGCTGATGGCCATCCGTGGTCATCTGTGGTCATTTATGGTCATCCATGGTCATCCATGGTCGTTCTGAGTGACCAATGGCCACCAATGACCATCCATGGTCACCCAACACCGCCTTGGTCAACCGTGGTCAACTGGGGTCATTCATGGTCATCCGTGGTCATCTGGGGTCATCTGTGGTCATCTATGGTCATTTGGGGTCATCCATGGTCAACTGGAATCATCTATGGTCAACTGGGGTCATCTGTGGTCATTAATGGTCATCTGTGGTCAACTGGGGTCATCTTTGGTCATCTACAGTCATCCATGGTTAACTGGGGTCATCTGGGGTCATCCCTGGTCATCTATGGTCAACTAGGGTCATTCATGGTCATCTATGGTCATCCATGGTCATCCATGGCCAACCGTGGTCATCTGTGTCCATCTTTGTTGACCATAGTCACCAATGACCATCTATGGTCAACCGTGGTCATCTTTGGTCATCTATGGTCAACTGGGGTCATCCATGGTCATCCATGGTCACCCAACGCCGCCTTCGGCGCGCACGACTTCCACCGCGTCTACATCAGCTGAGCGGCCAACGGTCAACCGTGGTCAACTGGGGTCATCCATGGTCATTTGTGGTCATCTGTGGTCAACTGGGGTCATCTGTGGTCATCTGGGGTCATCTGTGGTCATCTTTGGTCAACTGGGGTCATCTGGGGTCATCCATGGTCATCCATGGTCATCTATGGCCATCTGGGGTCATCTGGGGTAATCTATGGTCATCTAAGGTCATCCATGGTCATCCATGCTCAACTGGGGTCATCTATGGTCATCCATGGTCAACCGTGGTCAACCGTGGTCATCTATGGTCATCCATGGTCAACTGGGGTCATCTGTGGTCAACTGGGGTCATCTATGGTCTTCCATGGTCATCCATGGTCACCCAACGCCGCCTTCGGCGCGCACGACTTCCACCGCGTCTACATCAGCTGAGCGGCCCGTGGTCAACCGTGGTCATCTATGGTCAACTGGGGTCATCTATGGTCATCTGGGGTCATCTATGGTCAACTGGGGTCATCTGTGGTCATCCATGGTCAACCGTGGTCAACCGTGGTCATCTATGGTCAACTGGGGTCATCTATGGTCATCTGGGGTCATCTATGGTCAACTGGGGTCATCTGTGGTCATCCATGGTCAACCGTGGTCAACTGGGGTCATCTATGGTCATCTATGGTCATCTGTGGTCAACTGGGGTCATCTGTGGTCATCCGTGGTCACCCAACGCCGCCTTCAGCGCGCACGACTTCCACCGCGTCTACATCAGCTGAGCGGCTGATGGCCAACCGTGGTCATCTGTGGTCAACTGTGGTCATCCATGGTCATCTGTGGTCAACCGGGGTCATCTGTGGTCATCTGTGGTCATCTCTGTCCATCTTTGTTGACCATAGTCACCAATGACTGTCTATGGTCATCCATGGTCATCTATGGTCAACTGGGGTCATCCATGGTCATCTGGGGTCAACTAGGGTCATTTATGGTCATCTATGGTCATCTATGGTCATCCATGGTCAGCCATTGTCATCCATGGTCATCTATGGTCAGCTGGGGTCATTTGTGGTCAACTGGGGTCTTCTATGGTCAACTGGGGTCATCTATGTTCATCTATGGTCATCCGTGGTCATCTGTGTCCATCTTTGTTGACCATAGTCACCAATGACCATCTATGGTCATCCATGGTCATCTATGGTCATCTATGGTCATCTATGGTCATCTGTGGTCATTCAGGGTCATCTGGGGTCATCTATGGTCATCCATGGTCATCTGTGTCCATCTTTGTTGACCATAGTCACCAATGACCATCTATGATCATCCATGGTCATCCATGGTCATCTGTGGTCATCCATGGTCATCCATGGTCATCCATGGTCATTTGTGGTCAACTGGGGTCATCCATGGTCGTCTGTGTCCATCTTTGTTGACCATGGCCACCAATGACCACCTGCGGTCATCCTGTGTCCATCTTTGGTGGCCACTGACCACCAATGACCACCAGTGATGACCACTGACCACCAACAGTGACCACTGACCACCAGTGATGACCACTGACCACCACTGATGACCACCAACGATGACCACTGACCACCAGTGATGACCACTGACCACCAACGATGACCACTGACCACCAGTGATGACCACTGACCACCAACAATGACCACTGACCACCAACAATGACCACTGACCACCAATGATGACCACTGACCACCAACAATGACCACTGACCACCAGCGATGACCACTGACCACCAACAATGACCACTGACCACCAACGATGACCACTGACCACCAGAGATGACCACTGACCACCAATGATGACCACGGCCACCTCCGACCGCGTCCTGCTGACCGCTGACCGCTCTGCGGCCACTCCACAGTGACCACTGACCACTTGTGGTCACCTTGACCACCCCAAAGTGACCACTGGTCACTCCTGAGCCCCCAAAGTGACCACTGGTCACCCCCAGGCCACCCTTGACCACCCCAAGGCCACCTCAAAGTGACCACTGGTCACTCCTGACCACCCCAGGCCACCCCAAAGTGACCATTGGTCACTCCTGACCCCCCCCAAAGTGACCACTGGTCACTCTAAATTGACCTTTGGTCACTCCTGGCCATCTTGACCACCTCAAAGTGACCACTGGTCACTCCTGACCCCCCAAAGTGACCCTTGACCACCCCTGTCCATCCCAAGGTGACCACTGTCCATCCCATGCCACCCTTGACCACCCCAAAGTGACCAATGGTCACCCCTGACCACCCCAAAGTGACCACTGGTCATTCCTGACCCCCCAAAGTGACCACTGGTCACTCCTGACCACCCCCAGGCCACCCCAAAATGACCAATGGTCACTCTTGGCCACCTTGACCACCCCAAAGTGACCACTGGTCACCCCCAGGCCACCCTTGACCACCCCAAGGCCACCTCAAAGTGACCACTGGTCACTCCTGTCCATCCCAAACTGACCCTTGACCACCCCTGTCCATCCCAAGGTGACCACTGGTCACTCCTGGCCACCTCAAAGTGACCACTGTCCATCCCAAAGTGGCCACTGACTATCCCATGCCACCCTTGACCACCCCAAAGTGACCACTGGTCACTCATGACCATCTCAAAGTGACCACTGGTCACTCCTGACCACCCCAAAGTGACCACTGGTCACTCCTGGTCACCTCAAAGTGACCACTGGTCACTCTAAATTGACCTTTGGTCACTCCTGGCCATCTTGACCACCCCAAAGTGACCACTGGTCACCACCAGGCCACCCCTGACCACCCCAAGGCCACCACAAAGTGACCACTGGTCACTCCTGTCCATCCCAAACTGACCCTTGACCACCCCTGTCCATCCCAAGTGACCACTGGTCACTCTAAAGTCACCCCAAATGACCATTGGTCAGCTTGACCACCCCAAAGTGACCACTGGTCACCCCCAGGCCACCCTTGACCATCCCAGACCACCTCAAAGTGACCACTGGTCACTCCTGTCCACCTTGACCACCCCAAAGTGACCACTGGTCACCCCCAGGCCACTGTTGACCACCCCAGACCACCCCAAAGTGACCACTGGTCACTCTTGGTCACCTCAAAGTGACCACTGGTCACTCCTGGTCACTCTAAGGCCACCTCAAACTGACCACTGGTCACTCCTGTCCATCCCAAACTGACCCTGGACCACCCCTGTCCATCCCAAAGTGACCACTGGTCACTCTTGGTCACCTCAGAGTGACCTTTGACCACCCCTGTCCACGCCAAGTGACCACTGGTCACTCCTGGTCACTCGTGACCATCTCAAGTGACCACTGGTCACCCCCAGGCCACCCCTGTCCATCCCAAGTGACCACTGGTCACTCCTGGTCACCCCAAGTGACCACTGGTCATCCCAAAGTGGCCACTGACCGTCCCATGCCACCCTTGACCACCCCCAAAGTGACCACTGGTCACTCCTGGTGACCCCAAAGTGACCCTTGACCACCCCTGTCCACCTCAAAATGACCACTGGTCACTCTTGGCCACCTTGACCACCCCAAAGTGACCAGTGGTCACCCCCAGGCCACCCTTGACCACCCCAAGGCCACCCCAAAGTGACCACTGGTCACTCCTGGTCACTCTAAAGTGACCACTGGCCACTCCTGTCCATCCCAAACTGACCCTTGACCACCCCTGTCCATCCCAAGGTGACCACTGGTCACTCCTGGTCACCTTAAAGTGACCACTGTCCATCCCAAAGTGGCCACTGACCATCCCAGGCCACCCTTGACCACCCCAAAGTGACCACTGGTCACTCTTGGCCACCCGTGACCACCCCAAAGTGACCACTGGTCACTCCTGGTCACTCCTGGTCACTCCTGGTCACTCAGAAGTGACCACTGGTCACTCGTGACCATCTCAAGTGACCACTGGTCATTCCTGGTCACCTCAAATTGACCTTTGACCACCCCTGTCCATCCCAAGGTGACCACTGGTCACTCCTGACCCCCCAAAGTCACCACTGGTCACCCCCAGGCCACCCTTGACCACCCCAGACCACCCCAAAGTGACCACTGGTCACTCCTGGTGACCCCAAAGTGACCACTGGTCACTCCTGGTCACTCCTGGTCACCCCCGTGTCCACCCTGACCCCGCCCCCCTGGATCCCTGACCTTTGACCCTTGTCTGGCCCCGCCCCCTGTTCCCTTTCCCGGCCAATAAAATCGCTCCGAGCCGTTCCCGCGTGTCCGAGGGGTCACTCGGGGTCACGCGGGGTCACAGGGGGGTCAGGGGTCACTCGGGGGTCAGGGGTCAAGCGGGGTCACTTAGGGGGTCATTTGGGGTCATTTTGGGAATTTTGGGGTGAATTTTGGGGAGAATTTTGGGAATATTTGGGGGAATTCTTGGATGAATTTTGGGGGTTTTGGGGAGAAATTTTGGGATTAATTTTGGGAATATTTGGGTGAATTTTGGGGATCTTGGGGTGAATTTTGGGGTTTTTGAGATGAATTTTGGGGTTTTGGGGATTAATTTTCGGGGGAATTTCAGGATGAATTTGGGGTTTTTGGGGTGAATTTTGGGGTGATTTTGGGATGAATTTTGGGGGTTTTGGGGTCAATTTTGGGGTTTTGGGGGTCAATTTTGGGGAGAATTTTGGGGGGTTTGGGGTAAATTTTGGGGGTTTTGGGGAGAATTTTGAGGGGTTTGGGTGGATTTTGGGGATCTTGGGGTGAATTTGGGGTTTTTTTTATAAATTTTGGGTGTTTTGGGATGAAATTTGGGGGTTTTGGGGTCAATTTTGGGGAGAACTTTGAGGGTTTTGGGGTGAATTTTGGGATGAATTTTGGGGTGAATTTTTGGGGTTTTGGGTTGAATTTGGGGATCTTGGGTGAATTTTGGGGTTTCTGGGGTCAATTTGGGGGGGAATTTTGGGCTGAATTTGGGGTTTTTGGGGTCAATTTTTGGGGGAATTTTGGGTATTTTGGGGTGAATTTTGGGGAGAATTTGGGGAATATTTGGGGGAATTTTGGAGAGAATTTTGGGAATATTTGGGGGAATTTTGGGGTTTCTAGAGGGAATTTTGGGGTAAAATTTGGGGTTTTTGGGGAGGATTTTGGGGTCCATTTTCAGGGGGGATTTTGGGCTGAATTTTGGGGTTTTGGGGAAAATTTTGGGGTGAATTTTGGGGTTTTTGGGGTGAAATTTCAGGATGAGTTTTGGGAATATTTGGGGGAAATTTTGGGTGAATTTTGGGGGGTTTGGGTGAATTTTGGGGTATCTTGGAGTGAATTTTGGGGTTTTGGGGGTGAATTTTGCGGTGAAATTTGGGATTAATTTTGGGAATATTTGGGTGAATTTTGGGGATCTTGGGGTGAATTTTGGGGGTTTTGGGATGAATTTTGGGAATATTTGGGGAAATTTTGGAGTGACTTTTGGGGATTTTGAGGTGAATTTTGGGGTGAAATTTTGGCATGAATTTTGGGGTAAATTTTTTTGGATTTTATTGGGAATTTTGGGGTTTTGAAGTGAATTTTGGGGTGAGTTTTGGGGTGAATTTTGGGGTGAATTTTGGCGATATTGGGGAGGATTTTGGAGTCAATTTGTCGGAAATTTTGGGGGTTTTGGGGTGAATTTTGGGGATTTCGGGATGAATTTTGGGCTTTTGTGGCGAACGTGTGGGAAGCTGAGGTGAATTTTGGGGTTCTTGGGGTGAATTCTGATGATTTGGGGGTGAATTTTGAGGATTTTTGGGTGAATTTGGGGGGTTTGGGGTGAATTTGGGGGTTTTGGGGTGAATTTTGAGGATTTTGGGCTGAATTTTGGGTTTTTTTGGGGTTTTTGGGGTCATTTTCCCGCCGTGACCATCGAGTCGCGGAGGACTCGAGGCCGGAGCGGCTCAACCGGAACCGGAAGAGGCGTGGCCAGAGCGGCTCCGCTGTTCCCATGGCAACGACGGACGCCGGAAGTCCCATAACCGGAAGTGCCGAAACCCGGAAGTGCCGAAACCCGGAAGTGCCGATGGAGCGGCCGGAGGGTAACGTGGAGGTGGGGGGGGAACCCCAAAAATGCCCCAAAATCGCCCAAAAATGCCCCAAAATCGCCTCAAATCGTCCCAAATCGGCCTCGGGACCCCCAAAATCGCATCCGGGAGCCCAAAATTATCCAAAATCCACCCCGAGAGCTCCAAAATCGCTTCAAATTTACCCAAAATCAACCCAGAAAACCCGAAAATCCCAAATTTCCCCCAAAATTCCCCAAAATTCCCCCAAATTGCCCCAAAATTGTCCCGAATTTACGAATTTCTCCCAGAATCACACAAATCCCACAGGAATTCCCAAATTTCCTCAAATTTTCCCCAAATTTGTCCCGCAATTCCCCAAAATTCCCATTTTTTTCCCCCCCCCCACGATTTTCCCCAAAATTCCCAAATTTTTCCCAAATTCTCCTCGAATTCCCCCTTGAAAGTCCTGAAGGGTAAAAAAAAAACCCCAAATTTTTAAAAATAAACAACAAAAAAATAAATAGTCAGAAATCTGAAAAAAAAAATGGGAAAATGCCAAAAAAATCCCCCAAAAAACTCCTTAAACTCCCTAAAAGTCCCAAAAATCCCCCAAAATTCTCCTAAAACCCAAAAAAATCCCTCAAAATCCCTAAAAACTCCCAAAAATTCCTTAAAATTCCCCAAAATTTCCAAAAATCTCAAAAAAATCCTACAATTTCCAATAAAAATTCCCCAAAATAAAAATCCCCAAAAACGTCCATAAAATCCCTCAAAAGTCCCAAAATTCCCTAAAAAACAAACAAAAAAATCCCCCAAAAAATCCCTAAAAAAGCACCAAAAAAATCCTTTAAAATACCCCAAAATAATAAAAAAAAATTCCCAAAAATTCCTCAAAATAATCTAAGAAAATTCCCCCAAAAATCTCAAAAAATTCCAGGAAAAAAAAAAAAAAACCAAAATTCCCCCAAAATTTCTAAAAATCACCCCAAAAATATCCAAAAATATTTTTAAAAATCCCAGAAAATCCCTCAAAAAATGCCCAAAAAAACACAAAGAAAACACAAAAAATCCCTTTTTCTCCCCAAAACTCCCCAAATTTTTGCCATTTTTTCCAAAAAATTCCAATTTTTTTCTGAATTCTTAAAATTTTTCAATTTTCCCCCAAAATCCCAGAAAAAATCCCAGAAAAATCCAAAAAAAATTCCAAATTTTTCCCGTTCCAGCCGGGATCCTGTGCTGGGTTTTTTGGGGCTCAAAAATCCCCAAATTTCCCCCAAAAAAATCCGATTTAAAAATCCCAAAATTTCCAATAAAATCCTCAAAAAATCAACCAAGAAAACCCCCAAAAAAAACCCCAAAAAAATCCCAAAAAAACTTTAAAAATTCCCAAAAAATCTGCAAAAAATATCCAAAAATCTCCTTAAAACACCCAAAATTCACCCAAATTTCTCCTAAAACCCCAAAAAATTCCCTAAAAACTCCCCAAAATCCCTAAAAATTCCCCAACATTTCCCCAGTTCCCAAAAATTCCCAAAAGTTCCCACGGGAATCTCAGGAAAACCCAAAAAAAATCTCCCAAAATTTCAAAAAAACTCAAAAAAAAAAACCAAAAATCCCCCAAAAAGAGACCAAAAATCGCAATAAAACCCCTAAAAAATCCCATTTTTCCCCAAAATTCCCCAATTTTTTCCCCTAAATGCCCCAAATTTTCCCAAAATTACCCAAATCCCCCAAAAATCCCGAAAAAACCCCAAAAATCCTAAAAAAATCCCAAATTTCCCCCCAAAAATCCAAAAAATCCCAATTTTCCAGGCTCGATCCAGTGCCGGGTTTTCTGGGGCTCCCGCGAAGTCTCGCGTTGGGACCGCCCCAAATCTCGCGAGAGGCTGCGCAGGGCGGTGGCGGTGAGCGGAAAACCCGGAGCGGATCCGGGGACGGAGCGGGAGCGGATTCGGGGATTTGGGGATTTTGGGGGGAAATTCGGGAATTTTGGGGTTTTTTGGGGGGAAATTCGGAAATTTTTGGGATAAATTTCTGGATTTTGGGAGGAAATTTGGGATTTTGAGGATTTTTGGGGGGAATTTGGGGGATTTGGGGATTTTAGGGGGGAATTTTGGGGGAATTTTTTGGGATTTTTGGGAAGAATTTGGGGAATTTTGGGGGGGAATTCCGGAATTTTTGGGAGGAATTTTGGGGAATTTGGAGGAAATTCGGAGATTTGCGGAAAATTTGTCAAAAATTTGGGACCTTTTGAGGAAAATTTGGGGATTTTTGGGGGAAATTTGGCAATTTTTGGGGGAAATTTGGGGAAAAAGGGATTTTTTAAAGAATTTTTGAGGGATTTGGAAAATTTTGAGGAAATTTGGGGATTTTGGGGGATTTTGGGTGGAATTTTGGGGATTTGGGAGGGATTTTTGGGGGGAAACTTGGAAAAATTTGGGGATTTTTGGGGGGAAATTTTGGGGATATTTGGGGAAAATTTGGGGAAAATAGGGATTTTTTTAAAGAATTTTTAGGGGGATTTGGAAAATTTTGAGGAAATTTGGGGATTTTGGGGGATTTTCGGTGGAATTTTGGGGATTTGGGAGGAATTTTGGGGGGAAATTTGGAAAAAATTGGGGATTTTGGGGGGAAATTTGGGAAAAATAGGGATTTTTAAAGAGTTTTTGGGGATTTGGAAAATTTTGGGGAAATTTGGGGATTTTGGGTGGAATTTTGGGGATTTAGGGGGAATTTGGGGATTTTGGGGAGAAATTTGGGATTTTGGGGGGGGGAATTTTGGGGGGATTTTTGGGGAAGAATTTTGGGAATTTTGGGAGGAATTTTGGGTGGATTTGGGAATTTTGGGTGGGATTTTTTTTTTTTCATTTTGGGGAATTTTGGGTGGAATTTTTGGCAATTTTTGGGTGGAATTTTTGGCAATTTTTGGGTGGAATTTTTGGCAATTTTTGGGTGGAATTTTTGGCAATTTTAGGGCGAATTTTGGATGGAAGTTTTTGGAATTTTGGGTGAAATTTTGGGTGGAATTTTCGGTGGAATTTTTGGCAATTTTGGGGGGAATTTTGGGTGAAGTTTTTTTTTAATTTTGGGTGGAATTTTTGGTGGAATTTTTTTGGAATTTGGGTGAAATTTTGGGTGGAATCTTGGGTGGATTTGGGAATTTAGGGTGGAAATTTTTTTTTCATTTTGGGTGGAATTTTTTGGGAATTTTGGGGGATCTTTGGGTGGAATTTTTTTGGGTGGAATTTCAGGTGGATTTTTTTTTCATTTTGGGGAATTTTGGGTGGAATTTTTTGGGAATTTTTTGGGAATTTTTTGGAAATTTTGGGTGAATTTTGGGTGGATTTGGGAATTTCAGGTGGAATTTTTTTTTTTTCATTTTGGGGAATTTTGTGTGGATTTTTTTGGAATTTTGTGTGGAATTTCGGGTGGATTTTTTTTCATTTAGGGGAATTTTGGGTGAAATTTTTGGGGAATTTTTTTTGAATTTTTTGGGAATTTTGGGTGGAATTTTTTTTGAATTTTGGGGGAATTTTGGGTGGAATTTTTTTGGGTGGAATTTCGGGTGGATTTTTTTTTCATTTTGGAGAATTTTGGGTGAAATTTTTTGGGATTTTTTTTTAATTTTTTGGGAATTTTGGGTGGAATTTTTGGGGAATTTTGGGTGGAATTTTTGGTAATTTTTTGGGGTATTTTGGATGGAATTTTTTTGGAATTTTGGGTGAAATTTTGGGGTGAATTTTGGGTGGAGTTTTTTTGGAATTTTGGGTGGAATTTTGAGTGGAATTTTTTTGGAAATTTTGGGTGGATTTGGGAATTTCGGGTGGTTTTGTTTTTTTTTTTTATTTTGGGGAATTTTGGGTCGGAATTTCTGGGACTTCCGAGGAAACTTTTAGGGATTTTTTGGGGAAATTTCGTGGAATTTTTGTGGAATTTTTTGGGAATTTTGAATGGAATTTTTGGCAATTTTGAATGGAATTTTTGGTAATTTTTTTGGGGAATTTTGGGTAGAATTTTTTTTTTTTTTGGGAATTTTTTGGAAATTTTGGGTGGGATTTTGGGTCGAGTTTTTTGGGAATTTTTGGTGGAATTTTGGGTAGAATTTTTGGTAATTTTGGGTGGAATTTTTGGCAATTTTGGTGGAATTTTGGATGGAATTTTTTTTGGCATTTTGGAGGAATTTTGGGTGGATTTGGGACTTTCGGGCGGAATTTTTGGGGAATTTTTGGTCGGAATTTCTGGGACTTCCGAGGAAACTTTTAGGGATTTTTTGGGGGAATTTCGTGGAATTTTGTTTGAATTTTTTGGGAATTTTGGGTGGAATTTTTTTTAATTCTGGGTGGAATTTTTTGGCAATTTTGGGTGGAATTTTGGGTGGAATTTTTGGGAATTTTGGGTGGGATTTTTTTTTTTCATTTTGGGGAATTTTGGGTGGAATTTTTGGTAATTTTTTGGGGTATTTTGGATGGAATTTTTTTGGAATTTTGGGTGAAATTTTGGGGGGAATTTGGGGTATATTTGGGAATTTCGGGTGGAAATTTTTTTTCATTTTGGGGAATTTTGGGTGGAATTTTTGGTGGAATTTTTTCGGAATTTTGGGGGAATTTTGGGTGGAATTTTAGGTGGAATTTTGGGTGGATTTGGGAATTTCAGATGGATTTTTTTTTTTCCATTAGGGAATTTTTTTGGATTTTTTTTTGGAATTTTTTGGCAATTTTGGGTGGAATTTTGGGTGGAATTTTTTGGCATTTTGGAGGAATTTTGGGTGGAATTTTGGTTGGATTTGGGAATTTCGGGTGGAATTTTTGGGGATTTTTGGGTCAGAATTTCTGGGACTTCCGAGGAAACTTTTGGGGATTTTTTTTGGAAATTTCGTTGAATTTTTGTGGAATTTTTTGGGGAATTTTGTGTGGATTTTTTTTTTGAATTTTGGGTGGAATTTTTTTTTTCATTTTGGCAATTTTGGGTGGAATTTTTTGGGAATTTTGGGTGAAATTTTGGGTGGAATTTTGGGTGGATTTGGGAATTTCAGATGGATTTTTTTTTTTTTCATTTTAGGGAATTTTTTTGGATTTTTTTTGGAATTTTGGGGGAATTTTGGATGGAATTTTTTTGGCATTTTGGGGAATTTTGGGTGGAATTTTTTGGGAATTTTGGGGGAATTTTGGGTGGAATTTTTTTTGAATTTTTTGGGAATTTTGGGTGGAATTTTTTTGGGTGGAATTTCGGGTTGATTTTTTTTTCATTTTGGGGAATTTTGGGTGAAATTTTTGGGGAATTTTGGGTAGAATTTTTTTGGAATTTTTGCTGGAATTTTGGGTGGAATTTTTTGCAATTTTGTGTGGAATTTTTGGCAATTTTGGGTGGAATTTATTGGGAATTTTTTGGGAATTTTTTGGGAATTTTTTGAAATTTTGGGTGGATTTTGGGTGGAATTTATGGCAATTTTGGGTGGAATTTTTGGCAATTTTGGTGGAATTTTTTGGGAATTTTTTGGGAATTTTTTGGGAATTTTTTGGAAATTTTGGGTGGGATTTTGGGTGGATTTGGGACTTTCGGGTGGAATTTTTAGGGAATTTTGGTCAGAATTTCTGTGACTTCCGAGGAACCTTTTAGGGAATTTTTTTTGGAATTTCGTGGAATTTTCGTGTAATTTTTTTGGAATTTTGGAGGAATTCTGGGTGGAATTTTGGGTGGATTTTGCAATCTTTAGGGAATTTTTTTGGAATTTTTGAGGAATTTTCGGGAATTTTGGGCAATTCCGGCTCCTCTTCCCCTCCCCCAGTGACGTTTTCTCGTTTTTCCCCCCAAATTTTCGGGAATTTTGGGAATTTCGGGAATTGGCAGCGGCTGCTGCTCCCTCAGGGATTCCCCGAGAGCGTCAGCCCCGACTACGGCCGCTACCAGTGCTGGGACAGCCTGCAGGTACTGGGGATACTGGTTTGTACTGGGAGGGACTGGGAGGGACTGGGAGGGACTGGGAGGGACTGGGGGGGACTGGGGGGACTGGGAGGGACTGGGAGGGACTGGGAGGGAACTGGGAGGGACTGGGAGGGACTGGGAGGGACTGGGAGGGACTGGGATGGACTGGGAGGGACTGGGAGGGGACTGGGAGGGACTGGGAGGGAACTGGGAGTTACTGGTTTATACTGGGAGGGAACTGGGAGGGACTGGGAGGGACTGGGAGGGACTGGGAGGGACTGGGAGGGACTGGGAGGGACTGGGAGGGAACTGGGAGTTACTGGTTTATACTGGGAGGGAACTGGGAGGGACTGGGAGGGACTGGGAGGGACTGGGAGGGACTGGGAGGGAACTGGGAGGGGAACTGGGAGTTACTGGTCCATACTGGGAGGGGATTGGGATGAACTGGGAGGGAACTGGGATGGACTGGGAGGGACTGGGAGGGAACTGGGATGATACTGGGAGGTGATGGGAGGTTACTGGTCCATACTGGTTTATACTGGTCTGTACTGGTTTATACTGGTCCATACTGGTTTATACTGGTTTATACTGGTTTCTATAGATTTCTACGGGGTTTTTTGGGTCCATACTGGTTTATACTGGTCCATACTGGTTTATACTGGTTTCCATGGATTTCTATGGGGTTTTTTGGGTCCATACTGGTTTATATTGGTCCATACTGGTCCCATACCGGTTCATACTGGTCCATACCGGTTTATACTGGTTTATACTGGTCCGTACCAGTTCCATACCGGTTTATACTGGTTTATACTGGTTTATACTGGTTTCTATTGATTTCTACGGGCTTTTTTGGGTCCATACCGGTTCATACTGGTCCATACTGGTTTATACTGGCCCATACTGGTCCATACTGGTCCATACTGGTTTATACTGGTTAATACTGGTTTCTATGGATTTCTATGGGGTTTTTTGGGTCCATACTGGTCCATACTGGTTTATACTGGTCCATACTGGTCCATACTGGTTTATACTGGTTTCTATGGATTTTTACGGGGTTTTTTGGGTCAATACTGGTCCATACTGGTCCATACCGGTCCAACACCGGTTTATACTGGTTCATACTGGTTCATACTGGTTTATACTGGTTTCCCAGGCTCTCTGCTCCTCGCTGTGCTCGTCTCTCTCCGCCCGGGCCGTGCTCGAGGCCGTCGGGGTCGGCGACGGCGCCGCCTCCGTCACCGGGGCCGCGCTCACCTGGCTGCTGAGAGGTGGGGCCCGACTCCCAAATCCCGGATGGAATTCCCAAATTCCCGGAAAAATCCCGGAGTTCCCATCAAAAATATTGAATTCTTGGAAAAATCACAGAATTCTCATCAAAAATCCCGAATTCCCAGAAAAAAAAACTGAATTCACAACCAAAATCCCAATTTCCCAGCCAGGATTCCCAAATTTCCGGAAAAATCCCAGAATTCACATTAAAAATCCTGAATTCCCAGGAAAAATCCCCAATTCCCAGAAAAAATCCTGGAGTTCCCATCAAAAATATTGAATTCTTGGAAAAATCACAGAATTCTCATCAAAAATCCTGAATTCCTGAAAAAATCCCGGAATTCCCATCAAAAATCTTAAATTCTCGAAAAAATAACAGAATTTACATAAAAAATCAGGAATTCCCATCAAAAATCCCGAATACCCCAAAAAATCCCGGAATTCCCATCAAAAATATTGAATTCTCAGAAAAATCCCAAAATTCCCATCAAAAATCCCGAATTCCCAAAAAAATCCCAGAATTCCCAGAAAAATCCCGGAATTTCCATCAAAAATCCCAAATTCCTGAAAAAATCCCGGAATTCCCATCAAAAATCCCGAATTCCCGGGAAAATCTCGGAATTCCCATCAAAAATATTGAATTATCGGAAAAATCACGGAATTCCCATCAAAAATCCCAAATTCCCAGAAAAAAACCTGAATTCACATCCGAAATCCCAATTTCCCAGCCGGGATTCCCAAATTCCCAGAAAAATCCCGGAATTCGCATCAAAAATATTAAATTCCCCAAAAAATCCCGGAATTCACATCAAAAATCCCAAATTCTCGGAAAAAAATCAGAGAATTCCCATAAAAAATCCTGAATTCATGGAAAAAAATCCCGGAATTCCCGTCAAAAATCCCGAATTACAGGAAAAATCCCGGAATTCCCATCAAAAATTCCGAATTCTCAGAAAAATCCCGGAATTCACATAAAAAATCCCAAATTCTCGGAAAAATACCGGAATTACTGTCAAAAATCCCAGAATTCCTGAAAAAATCCCAATATTCCCATCAAAAATCACAAATTCTTGGAAAAATCCCGGAATTCCCATCAAAAATCCCGAATTTAAAAAAAAAAAAAATGGAATTCCCATCAAAAATCCCCAATTCCCAAAAAAAATCCCAGAATTCCCATCAAAAATCCTGAATTTTCAGAAAAACAAAAAGAATTCCCATCAATAATCCCGAATTCACAGAAAAAATCCCAGAATTCCCATAAAAAATACCGAATTCCTGAAAAAATCCCGGAATTCCCATCAAAAATCCCAGAATTCCTCAAAAAATCCCAGATTTCTGAAAAAATCCCAGAATTCCCATCAAAAATCTCAGAATTTCTGGAAAAATCCCAGAATTCACATCAAAAATCCCCAATTCCCAGAAGAATCCAGGAATTCCCATAAAAAATATTGAATTCTCAGAAAAATCCTGCAATTCCCATCAAAAATCCCAGAATTCCTGAAAAAATCCCAGAATTCCCATCAAAAATTAAGGAATTCCCATCAAAAATCCCGAATTCTCAGAAAAATCCCGGAATTCCCATCAAAAATCTTGAATTCTTGGGAAAATCACGGAATTCCCATCAAAAATCTTGAATTCTCGGAAAAATCCTGGAATTCCCATCAAAAATCTTGAATTCCCAGAAAAATCCCAGAATTCCCATCAAAAATCCCGAATTTCTGAAAAAATCACAGAATTCCCATCAAAAATCCTGAATTCCCAAAAAAATCCCGGAATTTCCATCTAAAATCCTGAATTCCCAGAAAAATCCCAGAATTCCCAGAAAAATCCCCGAATTCCCATCAAAAATCCCCAATTCCCAGAAAAAAAAACGGAATTCACATCCGAAATCCCAATTTCCAAGCCGGGATTCCCAAATTTCTGGAAAAATCACGGAATTCCCATCAAAAATCCTGAATTCTCAGAAAAATCCCGGGATTCCCATCAAAAACCCCGAATTCTCAGGAAAAAAAACAGAATTCACAACCGAAATCCCAAATTCCCAACCAAAATCCAGGAATTCCCAACTAAAATCCCGAATTTCTGGAAAAAATCCCATAATTCCCATCAAAAATCCCCAATTCCCAGAAAAATCCCGGCATTCCCATCAAAAATCCCAACGTCTCGGGGAAAAAAAACCAAAATTCCCAACCAAAATCCAGGAATTCCCAACCAAAATCCCGGAATTCACATCAAAAATCCCGTATTTCCAAAAAAAAAATGGAATTCCCATCAAAAATCCCAAATTCCCAGAAAAATCCTGGAATTCCCATCAAAAACCCCAAATTCTCAGAAAAAACACACAGAATTCACAACCGAAATCCCAATTTCCTAGCCAGGATTCCCAAATTTCCGGAAAAATCCCAGAATTCACATTAAAAATCCCGAATTCCCGGAAAAAATCCTGGAATTCCCATCAAAAATCTTGAATTATCGTAAAAATCCCGGAATTCCCATCAAAAATCCCCAATTCCTGAAAAAAAACAGAATTCCCATCAAAAATCCCCAATTCACGGGAAAAAAAATGGAATTCCCATCAAAAATCCCCAATTCCTGAAAAAATCCCGGAATTCCCATCAAAAATCCCCGAATTCCCAGAAAAAAACCCGAATTTCTGGAAAAACCCTGGAATTCACTTTAAAAATCCCTAATTCGCGGAAAAATCCCAGAATTCCCATCAAAAATCCCAGAATTTCTGGAAAATCCCGGAATTCCCATCAAAAATCCCCAATTCCTGGAAAAAAAAACAGAATTCCCATCAAAAATCTTGAATTCACAGAAAAATCCTGGAATTCTCATCAAAAATCCCCAATTCTCGGTAAAATCCTGGAATTCCCATCAAAAATCCCAGAATTTCTGGAAAAATCACGGAATTCACATCAAAAATCCCCAATTCCCGGAAAAATCCCAAAATTCCCATCAAAAATCCCGAATTCACGGAAAAATCCTGGAATTCCCATCAAAAATCACGAATTCTTGGAAAAAATCCCAGAATTCCCATCAAAAATCCTGAATTCCTGAAAAAATCCCACAATTCCCATTAAAAATCCCAAATTCACAGAAAAAAAAAACAGAATTCACATCCGAAATCCCAATTTCCCAGCCGGGATTCCCAAATTTACGTAAAAATCCTGGAATTCCCATCAAAAATCCCCAATTCCTGAAAAAAATCACGGAATTCACATCAAAAATCCCCAATTCTCGGAAAAAAAAACCAAAATTCACAACTGAAATCCCAAATTCCCAACCAAAATCCAGGAATTCCCAACTAAAATCCCAGAATTCCTGAAAAAATCCCAAATTCCAAACCAAAATCACAGAATTCACAATCAAAATCCTGGAATTCCTGAAAAAATCCTGGAATTCCCATCAAAAATCCTGACTTCCCAGGAAAAAAAACAAAATTCACATCCAGAATTCCCAAATTTCCAACCAAAATCCCGGAATTCCAAACCAAAATTCCCAAATATCCCCACGGAAATTCCCCACAAAAATCCCAAATTCCAGGAAAAAAAACAGAATTCACAACCGGAATTCCCAAATTTCCCACGAAATTCCCAAATTTCCCACAAAATTCCCAAATTCCCAGCCAGAATTCCCAAATTTCCCACAAAACCCCAGAATTCCCAAAAATATATCCTGGAATTCACAGACGGGGTCGGGATCGTCACCCGGATCGTCTTCGTGTGGCTGCAGGGGTGAGACTGGGACGGAACTGGGTCATACTGGTTTGTACTGGGACGGACTGGGAGGAACTGGGAGGGAACTGGGATAAACTGGGAGGGACTGGGAGGGACTGGGATGGACTGGGATAAACTGGGAGTGAACTGGGATAAACTGGGAGGGACTGGGAGGGACTGGGAGGGACTGGGAGGGAACTGGGAGGGACTGGGAATGGACTGGTTTGTACTGGGAGGGAACTGGGCCATGCTGGTTTATATGAAAGGGTTAAAAATGGGGACTCATCGGTGCTGGGGATGATTTTTTATACTGGTTTTTACTGGTTTTTACTGGTTTGTACTGGTTTATACTGGTTTTTACTGGTTTATACTGGTTTATACTGGTTTATACTGTTTTTTACTGGTTTATACTGGTTTTTACTATTTTTTACTGTTTTATACTGGTTTATACTGATTTTTACTGGTTTATACTGGTTTTTACTCATTTTTACTGGTTTATACTGGTTTTTACTATTTTTTACTGGTTTTTACTGGTTTATACTGGTTTATACTGATTTTTACTGGTTTGTACTGGTTTATACTGGTTTTTACTGGTTTATACTGATTTTTACTGGTTTATACTGATTTTTACTAGTTTATACTGGTTTGTACTTGTTTTGTACTGGTTTATACTGATTTTTACTGGTTTATACTGGTTTGTACTGGGTTTTACTCGTTTTTACTGTTTTATACTGGTTTATACTGATTTTTACTGGTTTTTACTGTTTTATACTGGTTTATACTGGATTTTACTGGTTTATACAGGTTTTTTACTTTTTTTTTACTGTTTTATACTGGTTTTTACTGGTTTTTACTGGCTTATACTGGTTTTTACTGTTTTACTGTTTTTTACTGTTTTATACTGGTTTATACTGGTTTTTACTGGTTTATACTGGTTTTTACTGATTTATACTGGTCTATACTGGTTTATACTGGTTTCCTCCCCCAGGAGCCACCTGGACTGTGAGGCCAAGCAATGGCGGTGAGGCCCCGCCCCTTTCCGCATACAAGACCACGCCCACCCAAGCCCCGCCCCCTTTACCACATATCGCATTGGCCCTTAAGCTCCGCCCCTTTGTAATATAAGGTCATGTTCATTAAGCTCCGCCCCCTGTGCAATATCTGGCACGGCTACTAAGCCACGCCCCTTTTCCATATATGATAATGTACCACCTTTAAGCCCCACCCCCTTTCCATATATAGCATTGGCCCTTAAGCTCCGCCCCTTTATAAGGTCATGGCCCTTAAGCTCCACCCCCTGTGCATTATAAGGTCATGGTCCTTAAGCTCCGCCCCCTGTGTAATATCTGGCATTGCTAAGCCACGCCCCTTTCCATATATGATAATTTTCCATCCTTAAGCCACGCCCCTTACCATATATGGCATTGGCCCCTCAGCTCCGCCCCTTTGTAATATAAGGTCATGGCCCTTAAGCTCCGCCCCCTGTGTAATATCTGGCACTGCTGCTAAGCCACGCCCCTTTCTCATATATGATAATGTGCCATCCTTAAGCTCCGCCCCCTGTGTAATATCTGGTACTAAGCCACGCCCCTTTCCAATATATTATAATTTGGCATCCTTAAGCCCCGCCCCTTACTATATATGACAATGGAGGTTAAGCTCCGCCCCCTGTGTATTATATGGCACTGTTAATAAGCCACGCCCCTTTTCCATATATGGTAATGTGCCATCCTTAAGCTCCGCCCCCTGTGTATTACATGGCACTGCTACTAAGCCCCGCCCCTTTTCCATATATGGTAATGTGCCATCCTTAAGCCCCGCCCCTTACCATATATAGCATTGGCCCTTAAGCTCCGCCCCCTGTGTAATATAAGGTCATGGCCCTTAAGCTCCGCCCCCTGTGTAATATAAGGTCATGGCCGTTAAGCTCCGCCCCCTGTGTATTATCTGGCTCTGCTACTAAACCACGCCCCTTTTTCATATATGGTAATGTGCCATCCTTAAGCTCCGCCCCTTTGTCATATATGGCACTGATCCTTAAGCTCCGCCCCCTTTGTAGTATATGTCAGTGTACCTAAGCCACGCCCCTTTTCATATATGATAATTTGCCATCCTTAAGCCCCGCCCCTTCCCGTATATAGCATTGGCCCTTAAGCTCCGCCCCGTGTATTATCTGTCACTGCTACTAAGCCACGCCCCTTTTTTACATATGGTAATTTTATTCAGCCATTAAGCCCCACCCCCTTTCCCATATATGGTAATGTTATTCAGTCATTAGGCCCCGCCCCTTTCCCATATATGGTAATGTTATGCAGCCATTAAGCCCCGCCCCCTTTGTAATATATGGTAATGTTATGCAGCCATTAAGCCCCGCCCCTTTCCATATATGGTAATTTTATTCAGCCATTAAGCCCCACCCCTTTGCCATATGTGGTAATTTAATGCAGCCATTAAGCCCCGCCCCCTTTCCCATATATGGTAATGTTATTCAGCCATTAAGCCCCGCCCCTTTCCATATATGGTAATTTAATGCTACCATTAAGCCCCACCCCTTTCCATATATGGTAATGATATGCAGACATTAAGCCCCGCCCCTTTCCATATATGGTAATTTAATGCAACCATTAAGCCCCACCCCTTTCCCAATTCCATAATTGGCCCCTCCCGGCCAAGCCCCGCCCCCTCATTTGCATCCCAGGCTGGTGGCGGACGTGCTCAATGACGTCGCCCTGGTGATGGAAATCCTGGCACCCCATTGGCTGAGCCTTGGCCCCGCCCTCCTGGTCATGGCGGCCGCCGCCAGGGTGAGACTGGGTTATACTGGGAGGGACTGGGTTATACTGGGTTATACTGGGAGGGGACTGGGTTATACTGGGTTATACTGGGAGGGGCTGGGATGGACTGGGAATAAACTGGGTTATACTGGGAGGGACTGGGTTATACTGGGAGGGACTGGGTTATACTGGGAGGGACTGGGAGGGAACTGGGAGGGACTGGGTTATACTGGGACGGAACTGGGAGGGAACTGGGAGGGAACTGGGAGGGAACTGAGAGGGACTGGGAGGGACTGGGTTATACTGGGAGGGACTGGGTTATACTGGGAGGGACTGGGAGGGAACTGGGAGGGACTGGGTTATACTGGGAGGGACTGGGGGGGACTGGGAGGGAACTGGGTTATACTGGGAGGGACTGGGAGGGAACTGGTTTATACTGGGAGGGACTGGGAGGGAACTGGTTTATACTGGGATGAACTGGGAATAAATTGGGATGAACTGGGATAAACTTGGATGTTACTGGTCCATACTGGGAGGAACTGGGAGGGACTGGGAATAAACTGGGATGAACTGGGATGTTACTGGTTTATACTGGGAGGGACTGGGATGGGACTGGGATGACACTGGGAGGGACTGGGAGGTTACTGGTTTATACTGGGAGGGACTGGGAGTCAGTTTAGGGGCTTAAACTGGTCCATACTGGTTTATAGTTGTCCATACTGGTTTATACTGGTTCATTCCATTTATACTGGTCTAAACCAGCATATACTGGTTTATACTGGTCCATACTGGTTTATACTGGTTTATGCTGTTTTTTCTCTTTGTACTGGTCCGTACTGGTCCATACTGGTTTATACTGGTTTATACTGGTTTGTACCAGTTTTTCCCATTTATATTGGTCCATACTGGTCCATACTGGTTTATACTGGTTTATACTGGTTTATGCCGTTTTTTTCTATTTGTCCTGGTCCGTACTGGTCCGTACTGGTTTATACTGGTCTGTACTGGTGGCAGTGCGTGGTGGGCGTGGCCGGCGGCGCCACCCGGGCGGCCTTGGCCGTGCACCAGGCCCGGAGGGACAACGTGGCCGACGTGGCCGCCAAGGACAGCAGCCAGGTGGGACTGGGAGCACTGGTTTGGACTGGGAGGGCACTGGGAGGGGATTGGGACCATCCATACTGGTTTATACTGGTTTGTACTGGTTTATACTGGTGCAGAGTTGCTCATCCAATATGGCGGCCAAATAATGTAATCCAAGATGGCCGCCAAGGACAGCAGCCAGGTGGGACTGGGAGCACTGGTTTGGACTGGGAGGGCACTGGGAGGGGATTGGGACCGTCCATACTGGTTTATACTGGTTTTTACTGGTTTATACTGGTGCTGAGTTGCTCATTCAATATGGCGGCCAAATAATGTAATCCAAGATGGCCGCCAAGGACAGCAGCCGGGTGGGACTGGGAGCACTGGTTTGGACTGGGAGGGCACTGGGAGGGGACTGGGAGGGGATTGGGACCGTCCATACTGGTTTATACTGGTTTGTACTGGTTTATACTGGTGCTGAGTTGCTCATTCAATATGGCGGCCAAATAATCTAATCCAAGATGGCCGCCAAGGACAGCAGCCGGGTGGGACTGGGAGCACTGGTTTGGACTGGTTTGGACTGGGAGGGAACTGGGAGGGGACTGGGAGGGGATTTGGGCCGCCCATACTGGTTTATACTGGTTTATACTGGTTTATACTGGTTTGTACTGGTGCTGAGTTGCTCATTCAATATGGCTGCCAAATAATGTAATCCAAGATGGCCGCCAAGGACAGCAGACGGGTAGGACTGGGAGCACTGGTTTGGACTGGGAGGGCACTGGGAGGGGATTTGGATCGTCTATAGTGGTTTATACTGGTTTATACTGGTTTATACTGGTGCTGAGTTGCTCATTCAATATGGCGGCCAAATAATGTAATCCAAGATGGCCGCCAAGGACAGCAGCCGGGTGGGACTGGGAGCACTGGTTTGGACTGGGAGGGCACTGGGAGGGCACTGGGAGAGGATTGGGACCGTCCATACTGGTTTATACTGGTTTGTACTGGTTTATACTGGTGCTGAGTTGCTCATTCAATATGGCTGCCAAATAATGTAATCCAAGATGGCCGCCAAGGACAGCAGCCGGGTGGGACTGGGAGCACTGGTTTGGACTGGGAGGAGATTGGGATAGTCTCTACTGGTTTATACTGGTTTGTACTGGTTTGTACTGGTTAATAGTGCTCAATGAGCTAGGAATCCAAGATGGCGGCCAAATAATGCAATCCAAGATGGCCGCCAAGTGACTTATCCAATTGATCCGTACTGGTCCATACTGGTTTATACTGGTCATACTGGTCCATACTGGTTTATCCTGGTTTATACTGGTTTATACTGGTTTTACTGGTTTATCCTGGTTTATACTGGTTTATACTGGTTTTACTGGTTTATACTGGTTTCTATCAATCTATACTGGTCATACTGGTCCATACTGGTTTATACTGGTTTTATACTGGTTTATACTGGTTTTTATCAACCCATACTGGTCCATACTGGTCCATACTACTTTATACTGGTATATACTGGTTTGTACTGGTCCATACTAGTTTATATTGGTTTTATACTGGTTTATACTGGTTTCTATCAATCTATACTTGCCTATACTGGTATATACTGGTTTTATACTGGTTTTACTGGTTTATACTGGTTTATACTGGTTTCTATCAACCCATACTGGTCCATACTGATCCATACTGATCCATACCGGTTTATATTGGTTTTATACTGGTTTATACTGGTTTCTATCAATCTATACTGGTCTATACTGGTAAATACTGGTTTATACTGGTTTTTACTGGTTTTAGTGGTTTATACTGGCTTCTTTCAATCCATACTGGTCCATACTGGTTTATACTGGTTTTATACTGGTTTATACTGGTTTCTATCAACCCATACTGGTCTATACTGGTCCATACTAGTTTATACTGGTATATACTGGTTTATACTGGGTTATACTGGTATATACTGGTTTATACTAGTCCATACTGGTTTATACTAATTTTATACTGGTTTATACTGGTTTCTATTAACCTATACTGGTCTATACTGGTTTATACTAGTTTATACTGGTCCATACTGGTTTATACTGGTTTTACTGGTTTATACTGGTTTCTATCAACCCATACTGGTCCATACTTGTCCATACTAGTTTATACTGGTATATACTGGTTTATACTGGTTTATACTGATTTATACTGGTCTATACTATTTTTATACTGGTTTATACTGTTTTCTATCAATCCTTATTGGTCCATACTGGTTTATACTGGTTTTATACTGGTCCATACTGGTCTGTCCTGGCAGGAGACGCTGGTGAACGGGGCGGGGCTGCTGCTGTCGCTGCTGCTGCTCCCCCTATTGGACGGGCGGCCATGGTGAGGGCGGGGCCGGGGGCGTGGCCAGTGGGCGTGGCCAATGGGCGTGGTCACTGTGGGGGCGTGGCTAAAGGGACAAAGGGGCGTGGCCTAAGAGGGAATAATGGCGAAGGGGCGGAGCTTAATTAGAATTGGGTGTGGCCGGGGGCGTGGCCAGTGTGGTGGGCGTGGCCAGGGTGGGGGCGTGGCTTAAGGGACAAAGGGGCGGGGCCTAAGGGAATAATGATAAATGGGCGGAGCTTAATTAGAATTGGGTGTGGCCGGGGGCGTGGCCAGGGTTGTGGGCGTGGCTAAAGGGACAAAGGGGCGTGGCCTAAGAGGGAATAATGGTAAAGGGGCGGAGCTTAATTTAAATAAATGTTGAAAGGGGCGTGGCCTAAAAGAGGAGGAGCTTAAAGGGGTGTGGCCGGAAGTGGGGTGGGTTTTGTGGGAAGGGGGCGTGGCCAGAAGGTTTTTGGGGCGTTTCAGGTGAGGTGGGCGTGGCCCAGGTGAGATTTGGGCTTTTTTAGGTGAGGTGGGCGTGGCCCAATTAAAGTGGGCGTGGCTTTTTTTGATAAAGGGGCGTGGCTTATTAATAAGTGGGCGTGGCCTAGCCTCACCTGGTCACGCCCTCACCTGTCCAGGTGAGGTGGGCGTGGCTTATCCTGAACTGGGCGTGGCCTATCAATAACTGGGTGAGGCCCAGGTGAGGTGGGTGGGGCTCAGGTGAGGTGGGCGTGGCTTTTTATGGGAAAGGGGCGTGGCCTATCCATAAGTGGGCGTGTCCCAGCCTCACCTGGCCCCGCCCTCACCTGTCCAGGTGATGTGGGCGTGGCCTATCCATAACTGGGTGAGGCCCAGGTGTGGTGGGCGTGGCTTTTTGTGAAATGGGCGTGGCTTTTTCCTAAGTGGGCGTGTCCCAGCCTCACCTGGCCACGCCCTCACCTGTCCAGGCTCACCTGGGCCGCGCTGGGGCTGCTCCTGGCCGCTCACCTGGGCTCCAACATGGCCGCCCTGGGCTCCCTCACCCTCACCTCCCTGAACAGGCCCCGCCTCCGCCTGGCCATTGGCTGGGCCCTGCGAGGGGGCGGGGCCGGCGGGGAAAGGGGCGTGGTCAGCCCCGGAGTGGGCGGGGTCGAGCTGGAGCTGCCCCGCCCCGAGCAGGTGAACCCGCGGGAGCCGCTGCTGCCAGGTGAGGGAGCCTGGGGGCACCTGGGGGCACCTGGGCACACCTGGGGGCACCTGGGGAGGATTTTGGGACCATTTTGGGGTCACCTGGGCACACCTGGTGGGCTTTGAGGCCATTTTGGGCACACCTGGACACACCTGTGGGCACCTGGGGGGGTTTGGGGCCATTTGGGCACACCTGGGCACACCTGGGCACACCTGGATGGGATTTTGGGGTCACCTGGGGGGATCTGGGGCCATTTTGGGGTCACCTGGGCACACCTGGGCACACCTGGGAGGGATTTTGGGGTCACCTGGGGGCACCTGGGGGGATTTGGGGCCATTTTGGGGTCACCTGGGCACACCTGGAGGGGATTTGGGGCCATTTTGGGCACACCTGGGCACACTTGGAGGGATTTGGGGCCATTTTGGGGTCACCTGGGCACACCTGGGGGCACCTGGATGGGATTTGGGGCTAATTTGGGCACACCTGGGCACGTTTGGGGCCATTTTGGGGGCACCTGGGCACACCTGGGGGGGATTTTGGGCCATTTTTGGGTCACCTGGGCACACCTGGGGACACCTGGGCACACCTGGATGGGATTTTGGGGTCACCTGGGGGGAATTTGGGGCTATTTTGGGGTCACCTGGGCACACCTGGGGGCACCTGGGGGCACCTGGGGGGGATTTGGGGCCATTTTAGGGTCACCTGGGCACACCTGAAGGGGTTTGGGGCCATTTTGGGGTCACCTGGGCACACCTGGGGGGGATTTGGGGCCATCTTGGGGTCACCTGGGCACACCTGGGGGGGATTTTGGGGCCATTTTGGGGTCACCTGGGGTCACCTGGACACACCTGGGCACACCTGGGGAGGATTTTGGGGAATTTGGGGTTTCCTGGGTGCCCCTGGGGAGGGTTTGGGACCATTTTGGGGCCATTTTGGGGTCACCTGGGCACACCTGGGGGCACCTGGGCACACCTGGGGGGAATTTTGGGGCCATTTTTCGGTTCACCTGGGCACACCTAGGGGGGATTTTAGGGCCATTTTGGGCACACCTGGGCACATCTGGGGGGGTTTGGGGGCCATTTTGGGCACACCTGGGCACACCTGGGGGGGAATTTGGGGCCATTTTGGGGTCACCTGGGCACACCTGGACACACCTGGGGGAGATTTTGGGGTCACCTGGGCACACCTGGGGGCACCTGGGGGGGTTTGGGGCCATTTTGGGCACACCTGGGCACACCTGGGGGGGATTTTGGGGCCATTTCGGGGGCACCTGGGCACACCTGGGCACATCTGGATGGGATTTTGGGGGCACCTGTAGGGGATTTTGGGGCCATTTTGGGGTCACCTGGGCACACCTGGGGAGGATTTTGGGGCCATTTTGGGGTCACCTGGGCACACCTGGGGGGGATTTGGGGCCATCTTGGGGTCACCTGAGGACACCTGAGGGGGATTTTGGTGGATTTGGGGTCACCTGGGCACACCTGGATGGGATTTTTGGGTGACCTGGGGGGGATTTGGGGCCATTTTGAGCACACCTGGCCACACCTGGGCACACCTGGAGGGGATTTTGGGAATTTTGGGGTTTCCCGGTCACACCTGGAGGGGATTTTGGGGGATTTTGGGGTTTCCTGGGTGCCCCTGGGGGGATTTTGGGGCCATTTTGGGCACACCGGGGGGGGATTTGGGGCCATTTTGGGGTCACCTGGACACACTTGGAGAAGATTTTGGGGGATTTTGGGGCCATTTTGGGGTCACCTGGACACACTTGGGCACACCTGGGGGCACCTGGGGGGGATTTTGGGGTCACCTGGGCACACCTGGAGAAGATTTTGGGGGATTTTGGGGCCATTTTGGGGTCACCTGGACACACCTGGGAGGATTTGGGGCCATTTTGGGTTCACCTGGGCACACCTGGGGAGGATTTTGGGGGATTTTTGGGTCACCTGGGCACACCTGGGGGCACCTGGGCACATCAGGGGGGATTTGGAGCCCTTTTTGGCACACCTGGGGGGGGTTGTGGCTATTTTGGGGTCACCTGGACACACCTGGGCACACCTGGGGAGGATTTTGGGGGCACCTGGAGGGGATTTTGGTGGATTTGGGGTCACCTGGGCACACCTGGATGGGATTTTTGGGTGACCTGGGGGGGATTTGGGGCTATTTTGGGGTCACCTGGGGTCACCTGGTCACACCTGGGGGGGATTTTGGGGTCACCTGGGGGCACCTGGGCACACCTGGGGGGGATTTTGGGGTCTCCTGGGGCCATTTTGGGGACACCTGGGAGGGTTTGGGCCCATTTTGGGCACACCTGGGCACACCTGGGGAGGATTTTGGGGTCACCTGGACACACCTGGGGGGGATTTCGGGGCCTTTTTGGGGTCACTTGGACACACCTGGGATAGGATTTTTGGGAATTTGGGGTTTCCCGGTCCCACCTGGAGGGGATTTCGGGCACACCTGGATGACGTCACTGCCCCTCCCCCCCCCCCAGGGTTCGGGTCCCGCCTCCGCCTCCACCTGGGGGCGCCCCTGGAGCGGCTCGTGAGCAGGTGAGGGGGGCAAAATTTGGGAATTTTGGGAATTTTTGGGATTTTTTTTGGTGATTTTTGCGGGGAAAAATTGGGGGAAATTTTGTTGTTTTTATTTAATTTTTCGGGGATTTTTTTTGAATTTTTGGAATTTTTTTTTTTAATATTTTTATAATTTTTGGTGATTTTTTTAGTGGTTTTTTGGAATTTTTTCGTGGCATTTTCTGGAAATTTTGGGGGGAAATTTTTTAGGGAAATTTTTGGAAAAATTTTATTTTTTGGGGGGAATTTTTGTGAATTTTTCAGAGTTTTTTTGTACATTTTTTTATTGTGATTTTTTTGTGGTTTTTTTTAATGGGAGTTTTTAGGGCATTTTGGGGAAAATTCTTGTAATTTTTATTTTGGGGGAATTTTTTGAATTTTTGGGAATATTTTTGGAATATTTTTATAATTTTTGGTGATTTTTTGTGGTTTTTTGGAATTTTTGGGGCAATTTTTGGCATTTTTGGGGCAATTTTTGGCATTTTTTGGGGAAAATTTTTGGGAAAAGTTTTCTATACATTTTTTTGATTTTTGCGGAATTTTTGAATTTTTTGGGATTTTTTTTAGGATATTTATATTATTTTTGTGATTTTTTCTGTTGTTTTTTTGAATTTTTGGGGGGAATTTTGGGAGAAATTTTGGGGAAAATTTTGGAGAAATTTTTTGGGGGAAATTTTTTTTTTTAATTTTTGGGAAATTTTTTTGAATATTTTCGTACTTTTGGGGGTTTTTTTGTATTTTTGGGGAATTCTGGGGGAATTTTGGGGAAAATTTTTCGAGAATTTTTTGGGGGGGAATTTTTTTTTATTTTTGGGAATTTTTTTGAATATTTTAATAATTTTTTGTGGTTTTTTTGTATTTTTTTTAATATTCGGGGGAAATTTATGGAATTTCGGGGGAATTTTCTGGGAATTTTGTGGGAATGTTGTGAATTTGTCGGAATTTGACCAATTTTGGGATTTTTCCCCCCCGTTTTTCAGCGAGGCCGAGTTCCGGAAGGCTCTGGAATGCGGAACCCCCGATTACATCATCGTGCTCCGCCCCTCCCAAGGTGGGAAAAACCCCCAAAAATCCCCCAAATTCCAAAAATTTTAGGGGAAAAAAAATCAAAATTTTGGGAGGACAAAGAAAAAAAAATCCAAAATTTTGGGGGAAAAAGGAAAAAATTCCAAAATTATTCTGGATTTGGGGAATAAATTCCTGGAACATTCCCAGATTTTTGGGCCCATTCCCAAATTCTGGGCCCGAATTCCGGGAACATTTCAGGATTTTTGGGAATGAATTCTGGGAACATTTCTGGATTCAAGGAACATTCCCAAATTCCGAAGCCCATTCCCAGATTTTTGGGAATGTTTCCGAATTCTGGGCACGTTTCAGGATTTTTGGGAATGAATTCCAGGCATGTTCCTGGATATTTTGGGAACGATTCCTGGGACCGCTTCCGGATTTTTGGGAATGATTCCTGGGAACGCTCCCGGATTTTTGGGAATAAATTCCGTGAATATTCCCGGATTTTTGGGAACGTTCCCGAATTCTGGGCACGTTTCAGGATTTTTGGGAATAAATTCCGGGAATGTTCCCGGATTTTTGGGAATGTTCCCAGATTTCTGGGTTTTTTGGGCCCATTCCCGAGTTCTGGGAACATTTCAGGATTTTTGGGAACATTTCTGACCCCAGATTTCTGGGCTTTTTTGGAAACATTCCCAAATAATTCCGTGCCCATTCCCGGATTTTTGGGAACGCTCCCGGATTTTTGGGAACGTTCCTGAATTCTGGGCACGTTTCAGGATTTTTGGGAATAAATTCCGTGAATGTTCCTGGATTTTTGGGAATGTTCCCGGATTTTTGGGAACGATTTCTGTGAACGCTCCCAGATTTTTGGGAACGCTCCCGAATTCTGTGCCCATTCCCGGATACAGGATTTTTGGGAATAAACTCCAGGAATGTTCCTGGATTTTTGGGAACGATTTCTGGGAACGCTCCCGGATTTTTGGTCCCATTCCCAAAAATCTGGGCCCGAATTCCGGGAACAAATCAGAATTTTTGGGACTAATTTCTGGGCACATTTCAGGATTTTTGGGAATAATTTCTGGGAACATTTCAGGACTTTTGGGAATGAATTCTGTGCCCATTCCCGGATTTTTGGGAACGTTCCTGAATTCTCGGAATGTTTCCGGATTTTGGGAATGAATTCCAGGAATGTTCCCGGATTTTTGGGAACAATTCCTGGGAACACTCCCGGATTTTTGGGCCCATTCCCGAATTCCGTTCCCGAATTCTGTTCCCGGATTTTTGGGCCCATTCCCAAATTCTGGGCCCGAATTCCGGGCACATTTCAGTATTTTCGGGAATAATCCCTATTCCCATTCCCGTTTTCCCGCAGGCCGCGTGTCCGTGGGGCTCCGTCGCGGCGCTCCCTCGGTATCGGCGCTGTTCGGCTGCGCTCAGGCGCTGCTGCTGGAGCAGCTCCTGGGGCCGCCCCTGGGGGGCGCCGCCACCGCCCTGGGACGGAAACTGGCGCCGCTGCAGAGACGCCTGCAGAGCTGCCGTGAGCGGGTTTGGGGAATTTGGGGATTTTGGGGGATTTGGGGGGAATTTTGGGGGTTTTGGGGAATTTTTGGGGATTTTTGGGAATTTTTGGAGGGTTCAGGATGGATTTTGGGGGGTTTAAATGGGAATTTTTGGGATTTAAATTGGACTTTTTTGGGAAATTTTGAAGAATTTTGGGGATTTTTGAGAATTTTGGGGAATTTGGGGGAATTTTTGGGGGATTTTTGGCAACATTTTGGGAATTTTTTGAATTTTTTGTGAATATTTGGGGAAATTTTGGGCAATTTTGAGGCTATAAATGGGATTTTAGGGGCATTGTTTGGGGGGTTTAAATGGGATTTATTTTGGAGTTTAAATGGGATTTTTTGAGGTTTAAATGGGATTTTTTTGGGAAATTTGGGAAATTTTGGGAAGATTTGTGAATTCTTGGGAATTTTTAGGAATTTTTGGGGGATTTTTGGCAACGTTTTGGGGTATTTTTGGGAATTTTTGGGTAAATTTTGGGGAATTTTGGGGAATTTTGGGGCTATAATTGGGATTTGTTGGGCATTGTTTGGGGGTTAAATGGGATTTTTTTTTGGGGGGCATTTTTGGGGGGTTTAAATGGGATTTTTGGAAAAATTTTGACAAATTTTGGGAAATTTTTGGGAATTTTTTTGATTTTTTGGGATTTTGGGGGAATTTCAGGGAATTTTTAGGAATTTTGTGGGATTTTTACAGGTTAAATGGGATGTTTTGAAATTTTAAACGGGATTTTGGATGATTTTTGGGAATTTCGGGGGATTTTTAGGAAATGGTGAGGAATTCTGGGGAATTTGGGGGATTTTGAGGAATTTTGGGGCAAGTTTTTGGGATTTTGGGGAAATTTTGAGGCTATAAATGGGATTTTTGGGGCATTTTTGGAGGGTTTAAATGGGATTTTTTTGGGATTTAAATTGGATTTTTTGGGGCATTTTTGGGGGGTTTAAATGGGATTTTTAGGAAAAATTTTGGCAAATTTTGGGAAATTTTTGGGAACTTTTTTGGAATTTGGGGAATTTTGTGGGAATTTCAGGGAATTTTAAGAATTATGTAGGATTTTTGCAGGTCAAATGCGATATTTTGAGGTTTTAAACGAGATTTTGGATTATTTTTGGGAATTTCGGGGAATTTTTAGGAAATGGTGAGGGATTTTTGGGGAATTTTGGGGATTTTGGGGCGAATATCGGGAATTTCGGGATTTTGGGGTGAATATGGTGGATTTTGGGGAATTTGGGGAATTCCGGTGGGATTTTGGGGCTGATCCGCCGCCCGCCCCTCCCCCCCCAGCTGCGGGCGCGGTGCCCTGGGGGGTCGTGGCCGAGACCTCGCGGCTCTTCCGGGAACTGGGCCCCGCCCTCCTGCGAGGTGGGTGCACTTCCGGTACACTTCCGGGTTCCACTTCCGGGTTTTACTTCCTGCTTCCGGTCCCTCCCGAGCCACTTCCGGGTTTTACTTCCTGCCTCCGATTCCTCCCGAGCCACTTTCGGTTTTTACTTCCTGCTTCCGGTCCTTCCCGAGCCACTTCCGGGTTTTACTTTCTGCTTCCGGTCCCTTCCTTTCCCTCCCGAGCCACTTCCGGGTGTTTCTGCTTCCGGGTGCCAGGAACGCGTCACTTCCGGCGGAATTTCCGGGTTGCGAATTCGGGAATTTGGGGGGGGGGGGGGGGGGGTTTTGGGGGGAATTTGGGAATTTTTGGGGGGAATTTTCTGGAATTTTGCAGTTCTGGGGGAATTTTCTGGAATTTGGGGGGATTTTTGTGGGAATTTTCTGGAATTTGGAAAATTTTGGGTGGAATTTTCGGTAATTTCGGGAATTTGGGAAATTTTGGGTGGAATTTTCTGGAATTTGGGGAATTTTGGGTGGAATTTTCTGGAATTTGGGGAGGAATTTTCTGGAATTTTAGAGAATTTGTGGAAATTTTGGGTAATTTGAGTGAAATTTGTGGGAATTTTGGGGGGAATTTGCGGGATTTTGGTGAAATTTTCGCTAATTTCGGGAATTTGGGAAATTTTGGGTGGGATTTTCTGTAACTTCGGGAATTTGTGGTAATTTTGGGTGGAATTTTCTGGAATTTGGGAAATTTTGGGTGGAATTTTCTGGAATTTGGGAAATTTTGGGTGGAATTTTCTGAAATTCGGGTAATTTTGGGTGGAATTCTCTGGAATTTGGGTAATTTTGGGTGGAACTTTCTGAAATTTGGGGAATTTTGGTGGAATTTGGGGGATTTCGGGCAATTCTGGGTGAATTTTGGGTAATTTGTGTGGAATTTGTGGGAATTTTGGGTGTAATTTGCGGGATTTTGGTAAAATTTTCGCTAATTTCTGGAATTTGGGAAATTTTGGGTGGAATTTTCTGAAATTTGGGAAATTTTGGGTGGAATTCTCTGGAATTTGGGGAATTTTGGGAAATTTTGGGTAATTTGAGTGAAATTTGTGGGAATTTCGGGTGGAATTTGGGGGATTTTGGTTAAATTTTCGCTAATTTCGGGAATTTGGGGAATTTTGGGTGGAATTTTCTGGAATTTGGGTAATTTTGGGTAAAATTTTCTGAAATTTGGGGAATTTGTGCGGAATTTGCATGAATTTTGGGTGGAATTTGCGGAATTTTGATAAAATTTTCGCTAATTTCGGGAATTTGGGAAATTTTGGGTGGAATTTTCTGAAATTCGGGGAATTTTGGGTGGAAATTTCTGTAATTTCGGGAATTTGGGAAATTTTGGGTGGAATTTTTTGAAATTTGAGAGAATTTGGGGGAATTTGTGCGGAATTTGTGGGAATTTTGGGTGTAATTATCTGAAATTTGGAGAATTTTGGGTGAAATTCTCTGAAATTCGGGAAATTTTGGGTGGAATTTGCGGGATTTTTGTGGAACTTTCTGTAACTTCGGGAATTTGGGGAATTTTGGGTGGAATTTTCCGGAATTTGGGACATTTTGGGGCGCCCCCGCAGGACTCGAGGCCGCGGGCTGGGACACGCAGCGCCCCCTCCTGGCCACGGACGAGTGGAGCCTCGAGTGGGCGGAGCCAGCGCCGGGCCACGCCCACGAGTGAGGCCACGCCCCCCTCCAGCAAAGCCACGCCCCCTTCGGCAAAGCCACGCCCACTTTCCGTGGGAAAAGGCGGGAAATGTCACGGAAAATAAAAATTTTGTGGAATTTTGGTGTTGTTTTGGTGGATTTTGGGGGGATTTTGGGGGATTTTGGGGGAATTGGGGAATTGTGGGAGGGTTTGGGGGAATTTTGGGGGATTTTTGGGTGGGTTTGGGAGAATTTTGGGAGATTTTTGGGAGATTTTTGGGTGGATTTGAGTGAATTTTGGGTGCATTTGGGAGATTTATGGGTGGATTTGGGGGATTTTTGGGTGGATTTGGGGGATTTTGGGGGATTTTGGGGGAATTTTGGGTGGGTTTGGGAGAATTTTGGGAGATTTTGGGGGGAATTTTGGGTGGGTTTGGGAGAATTTTGAGTGCATTTGGGGTGCATTTGAAGGAAATATTTTGAATTTGGGCAGAATTTTGGGTGAATTTTGGGTGAATTTTGGTGGATTTGGGGAATTTTGGCGGATTTGGGGGGATTTTGGGGGAATTGGGGAGTTGTGGGAGGGTATGGGGGAATTTTGGGGGATTTTTGGGTGGGTTTGTGGGAATTTTGGGTGGGTTTGGGGAATTTTGGGGGATTTTGGGGAAATTGGGTAATTGCGGGAGGGTTTGGGAGAATTTTGGGATATTTTTGGGTGAATTTGGTGGAATTTTGGGTGAATTTGGGGGGATTTGGGGTGGATTTGAGGGAAATATTTTGAATTTTGGTGGAATTTTGGATGAATTTTGGGTGAATTTTGGTGGATTTGGGGAATTTTTGGAGATTTTTGGGGGTTTTGGGGCAATTGGGGAATTTTGGGTCAGTTTGGGGGAATTTTGGGAGATTTTTGGGTGGGTTTGGGGGATTTTTAGGTGCATTTGGGGGGATTTGGGGTGGATTTGGGGGAAATATTTTGAATTTGGGCAGAATTTTGGGTGAATTTTGGGTGAATTTTGGGTGGATTTGGGGAATTTTGGGGGATTTTGGGGGATTTTGGTGGAATTGGAAAATTCTGGGAGGATTTGGCGAAAATTTCGGCGATTTTTGGGTGGGTTTGGAGGAAATTTTTGGAATTTTTTGGGAATTTTTGCAGAATTTTGATGGATTTTGTTGAAATTGGGAAATTCTGGGAGGATTTGGGGAAAATTTGGGCGATTTTTGGGTGGGTTTGAGAGAATTTGGAGGAATTTGGGGCAATTTTTGGTCAGAATTTATGAGGATTTGGTGAAAATTGAGGAATTAAGGAAATTTTGGGTGGAATTGGGGGAATTTGGGGAAGATTTTGGGCTCCAAATTTTCGGATTCGAGTCAATTTTGGGTCATTTCTGTCCCATTTTGGGGAAATTTTGGGTCTATTTTGAGACATTTTGGGTCACTTTCGGTGGATTTTGGTTCAATTTGGGCCAATTTTGGGTGGTTTTGGGCTCATTTTTAATCATTTTGGGGCATTTCCGTTTTTTCTCATTTTTGGACTTTTTAACCCCAATTAATTCCCCGCAATTAACGCGAATCAGCACAAAGTGGGCGGAGCCAATGACGTCACCAGCGTCCTGTTTATTATTCGCGGCGTTAATGAGCGCAATTATTTTTCCTTTTAATTAAATTTTTCCTTTGAAAGTGAAAATTTTGAGGTTTTTTTTCCCCCCATTTTTGGGGCTTTTTTTGGGTTTTTTTAATCCCTCCTCAATAGAATCTCAAATTTGGGGCAAAATCCGGCGGTTTTGGGGTTCCCAAATTCAGAAAATTGGGAATTTTGGGGCTCCTCCCCCCGCCCAAAGCGGGGCCCAGACGTGCTCCGGGAATTTCGGGATTTTTCCAGAACGTTCCGCCCGCGGCCGCTCCGGAACCTGAGAGGGAAACCCGAAATTCACCAAAAAATCCCAAAATTCACCCAAAAAAAAAAAAAAAAACAACCCAAAAAAATCCCAAATTTCACCCAAAAAAACCCCCACAAAAATCCAAAAATTCGCCCCAAAAAAGGGCAAAATTCACCCAACCTCCCCCCCAAAAAAACCCAAAATTCACCCAAAATAAACCACAAAAAAAATCCCAAAATTCCCCCCAAAAAATCCCAAAATTCACCCAAAAAAGGGCAAAATTCACCCAAAATAACCCCAAAAAAAATCCCAAAATTCCCCCCAAAAAATCCCCCAAAAAATCCCAAAATTCACCCAAAAAAGGGCAAAATTCACCCAAAAAACCCCACCAAAAAATCCCAAAATTCACCCAAAAAACCACAAAATTCACCCAAAAAAACCCCTCAAAAAATCCCACAATTCACCCAAAAAACCCCCAAAAAATCCCAAAATTCACCCAAAACCCACAAAATTCACCCAGGAAAGGAAAAAATTCACCCAAAAAAACCCCACAAAAAATCCCAAATTCACCAAAAAAAAGTCAAAATTCACCCCAAAAAGTCAAAATTCACCCCCCAAAAAATCAAATTCCACAAAAACAAAAAAACCCAAACAAAAAAAACCCAAATTCACCCAAAATCAACTAAAAAGACCAAAATTCAACCAAAAAAAAACCCCCAAAACTCCCTTTTCCCTCCCAAATTTCTCACCCCAAAAAATCCGAATTTCCACCAAATTTTCCATTTTTTCCCCCCCCAAAATTCCTTCCCCCCCCCAAAAAAAAAATCCATCCCCCAAAATTCCATTTTTTATCCCCGAAATTTTAATTTTTCTCCCCAAAATTCTGACATTTTTTCCAAAATTTCAATTTTCCCCCTGAAATTTCAATTTTTCCCCACAAATTTATATTTTTCCCCACAAATTTTCAAATTTACCCCCAAAAATTCCCTTTTTTCCCAAAAATTCCATTTTTACCCCAAAATTTCAAGTTTCCCCCCAAAAATTTCCATTTTCCCCCCAAATTTTATTTTCCCGACCCGAAACGACCCCAAAACCCACCAGAAAAACGAGAAAATTGGGATGTTTTAAATAATTATATTTTAAATAAAATTAACTCCAAAGAAAACGACAACGAAACGAAAGAAAATTCCCAAAAAAATTAAAATTTCAACAAAAAAAAAATCAAAAATTAAAAAAAAAAAGAAAAAAATTTAATAAAAGGAAAAAATGGAAAAAAAACCAAAAATTGACCCAAAACGCTGCCCCCCCCCTCCCAAAAAATGGAATTTTGGGGACCCCCATGGGAAAATAAATAGGGAAAAAAAAGGGGGGGACCCCAAAATTTTGGGGAAAATCTAAAAATATTTGGGAAAATCCCAAATTTGGTGGGGCCCAAACTCCAAATTTGGATTTTTGGGGGGTTTTGACCCCAAAATTGGGGGTTTGATCCAAAATTCTCCTCCAAATTTTGGATTTTGGGGGTTTTTGATCCCAAAAATGCCAAATTTTGGGGGAGATTTTGGGGTCAAAATAAGAAAAATTTGGGATTTTGGGGGGTTTGGTTGCCAAAATCTCCCACAAATCTGGGTTTTTTTGGGCTTTTTGACCCCAAAAATGGTCAAAAATCCCCAATTTTGGGGGAGATTTTGGGGTCAGGACCACAAATTTGAGGATTTTTGGGGTTTCTTTGGAGATTTTTAACATAAATTTGGGGTTTTCACCCCAAAATTTCCCACAAATTTTGGGATTTTTTTATTCTTCTGGAGGTTTTGACCCCAAATTTGGGATTCTGATCCCAAAATCTCCCCCAAATTTGGGATTTTGGGTCTTTTGACCCCAAAATCTCCCCAAATTTTGGGATTTTGGGTGTTTTGACCCCAAAATCTCCCCCAAATTTTGGGGATTTTTGGTTTTTCTGGAGGTTTTGACCCCAAATTTGGGATTCTGATCCCAAAACCTCCCCCAAATTTGGGATTTTTTTGGCTTTTCACCCCAAAACCTCCCCAAAACTTTGTGTTTTTGGGAAAATTTTGCCCCCAAATTTGTGGTTTTAACCCCAAAACCTCCCCCCAAAATTTGGGATTTTTGGGGTTTTTTTAACCCCAATTTTGTGGTTTTAACCCCAAAACCCTCCCGAAATTTAGGGATTTTTGGGTTTTTTTAACCCCAAATTTGTGGTTTTAACCCCGAAACCTCCCACAAAATTTGGGATTTTTGGTTGTTCTGGAGTCTTTCACCCCAAATTTGGGCTTTTAGCCCCAAAACCTCCCCACAAAATTTGGGATATTTGCGATTTTTAACCCCAAATTTGTGGTTTTAACCCCAAAACCCTCCGGAAATTTAGGGATTTTTGGGTTTTTTTAACCCCAAATTTGTGGTTTTAACCCCAAAACCTCCCGCAAAATTTGGGATTTTTGGTTGTTCTGGAGTCTTTCACCCCAAATTTGGGCTTTTAGCCCCAAAACCTCCCCACAAAATTCGGGATTTTTGCAATTTTTAACCCCAAATTTGGGCTTTTAGCCCCAAAACCTTGCCCAAAATTTGATATTTTTGGTTTTTCTGGAGTTTTTGACCCTAAATTTCAGTTTTTAACCCCAAAATTTTGGGGATTTTTTGGTTTTTTTGGGGGGGAGGGGAGGGGGGGATCCCCTTAGTGTCCATCCGCCCCTCCCCCACCCCAAAATCACCTCCAGGGCCGCCTGTTGGGGGGTGGGGGAGGGGCGGGGTGGGCGCCCCGAATTTGGGGTCCCTTTTTGGGGGGCGGGGGGAGGGGCCGGGGGGCGGGGCGGGGGATTCTGCTGGGTGGGGGAGGGGCGCGAGGAACCGCGGCAAAAAACCCCCAAAAACGGCGCCGAAAACGGCGAAAAACTGTCCAGAAACGATCGACGGCGCCCCAAAAACGCCGGGAACGCCGCGAGGTTGAACCAACACCCCGAAAACGTTTTTGGGGTACGGGCAGGCGGCTCCTGAACCTCATTTTGTTGGTTTTGGGGAAAAAAGCGAAAAGTCCTCGCTCGGAAGCCAAACCCAAACGGGAAAAAACGCGGAAGAGCGGAGGCGGTAACCCCAAAAGCGCCCGGAGCCACCAGCGGTGAGCGCGGCCGCCGCGGCAAAGCTCCCCCAAAACGTAAAGAGGTAAAAACAACCACGGAGAAAACCAAAGTTGCGCCGCCAAAACCACGGCGGGAGCGTAGCGGCGGCGGCGGCGAGCGCCCAACGCCGAAACGGCCGCCGCGCTCAAAATGGCCGCCGGCCATGAGGGGAAGGACGAGGAGGATGATGAGGGGGATGGAGGCCAAAAGTGATGGCGGAAAGGGAGGAAGGCGTGGGCCAGCGCCAGCCCGGCGGCGCCGCACTCCAAGGCGGGGAGGAAGGAGAGAAATCGGCGTTTTTGAGCCCAAAATGCGGCCGGGAGGAGGAGGAGGAGGAGGAGGAAGGAGGGGGGGGAAGGGTGGAGGGCGGTGAGGAAGGCCAGGAGGGAGAAGAGGAAGGCGGGGAGGAGGGAGGGGGTGGGGAGGGGGGTGGTGGCGCGGCGAGGGGTGGGTGGGGGGTAAAAGGGTGTGGGGAGGGGGGAAATGGGGGTTTTGGGGGGAAAAATGGGGGTTTTGGGGGAAAAAACGGAGGTTTTGGGGGGGAAAATGGAGGGGGACAAGATGGCGGATTGAGGGGGGGAAGCGAGGTTTGAGGGAGGATTTGGGGCTGGGGGTGGTAAAATGGTGTTTTTTAACGGGGGAATTGGGTCTGGGGGGGATAAAATGGGGTTTTGAGGGGGAAAAGTGGAGTTTTGTGTGGGTAAAGCGGCGTTTTGGGGAGAAAAAATGGGATTTTGGGACAAGGAAAGGGTGTGGGGATGAGACAAAATGGCGGCTTGAGGGGGGGAAGGGAGATTTGGGGGAGGATTTGGGGCTGGGGGTGGTAAAATGGTGTTTTTTGACGGGGGGTTTGGGTCTGGAGGGGATAAAATGGGGTTTTGAGGGGGAAAAGTGGAGTTTTGTGTGGGTGAAGCGGCGTTTTGGGGAGAAAAAATGGGATTTTGGGACAAGGAAAGGGTGTGGGGATGGGACAAAATGGCGGCTTGAGGGGGGGAAGGGAGGTTTGGGGGAGGATTTGGGGCTGGGGGTGGTAAAATGGCGTTTTCTGACAGGAGGTTTGGGTCTGGGGGTGATAAAATGGGGTTTTGAGGAGGAAAAGTGGAGTTTTCTGTGGGTGAAGAGGCGTTTTGGGGTGAAAAAATGGGATTTTGGGACAAGGAAAGGGTGTGGGGATGGGACAAAATGGCGGCTTGAGGGGGGGAAGGGAGGTTTGAGGGAGGATTTGGGGCTGGGGGTGGTAAAATGGAGTTTTTTGACGGGGGGATTGGGTCTGGGGGGGATAAAATGGGGTTTTGAGGGGGAAAAGTGGAGTTTTGTGTGGGTGAAGCGGCGTTTTGGGGTGAAAAAATGGGATTTTGGGACAAGGAAAGGGTGTGGGGAGGGGACAAAATGGCGGCCGGGGGGGGCACAGAGGGGGGAGGGGGGTTTGGGGAGGGGAAATTTGGGTCTGGCGGGGATGAAATTGGGGTATTTTGGGGTGGAATTGGGGTTTTTTGGGGTGAAACGGTGTTTTCTTGGGGTGGAATTGTGGTTTTGGGGGGTAAATTTGGGTCAAAAAAAGGTGAATCGGTGTTTTGAGGGGGGGAAGCAGGTGGAGACAAAATGGCGGCCTGAGGGGAAGGGGGAGGGGAAATGGAGGAGGAGGGGGGTGAGGGAGGGGTTTGGGTGGAAAAAAGGGGATTTTGGGTGCAGGGGATGAGGGTTTGGGTGGAAAAAAGGGGATTTTGGGTGCAGGGAATGAGGTTTTGGGGGAAAAAAGCGGGATTTTGGGAAGGGGATTGGGGGTCTGGGGAGGACAAAATGGCGGCCTGAGGGGACAAGATGGCGGAAATGGCGTCGTCCTGAGGAGAGAAAATGGGGAAAAATGAGGGGAAAATGGGAAAAAATGGGAAAAATGGGGAGAAATGGGGAAAATAATGGGAAATGGGAAAAAATGAGGGGAAAATGAGGGGAAAATGAGGGGAAAATGAGGGGGAAATTGGGTAAAAAATGGGGGAAATTGGGTAAAAAATGGGGGGAAATGGGGGAAAATTGGGGAAAAAATGGGGGAAAATGGGAAAAATGAGGGAAAAATGAATGGGAAATGAGAGGAAAATGGGAAAAATGGGAAAAAAATTAAAAAATGGGAGGAAAAAGGGGAAAATGAGGGGAAATCAGGGCAAAATGGGGAGAAAATGGAGAAAAATGAGGGGGAAAATGGGAAAAAATGGGGAAAAATGGGGGAAAATGGGGAAAAATGAGGGAAAAATGGGAAAAAATGGGGAAAAAATGGGGGGAAATGGGGAAAATGGGAAAATATGGAGGGAAATGGGGAAAAATGAAGGGAAAATGAGGGGAAAATGAGGGGGAAATTGGGTAAAAAATGGGGGGAAATGGGGGAAAATTGGAGAAAAAATGGGGGAAAATGGGAAAAATGAGGGAAAAATGAATGGGAAATGAGAGGAAAATGGGAAAAATGGAAAAAAAGAAAAATGGGAGGAAAAAGGGGAAAATGAGGGAAATCAGGGCAAAATGGGGAGAAAATGGAGAAAAATGAGGGGGAAATGAGGAAAAAATGGGGAAAATGGGAAAAATTAGGAGAAATTAGGGAAAATGGGAAAATATGGGGAAAATGGGGGGAAAATGAGAGGGAAATGGGGAAAATAGGGGGAAATACAGAAAAATGAGGAGAAAATGGGAAAATGAGACGAAAATTGAAAAAGTGAGGGAAAAATTAAGGAAAAATGGGAAAATCTGAAAAATTAGGAGAAAACGGGAAAAAACAGGGGAAAAATGAGGGAAAATGGGAAAAATGAGGGGAAATGGGAAAAGTGGGGGGAGAAGGAAAATGAGAATTATGAGGAAAAATTGAGAGCTCAGGAAAAAGATTAAAAAATCAGAAATATTGGGAAAAAGGAGATGAAGAATAAAAACAGCACCAAGAAAACAAAACGGCGCCGCTTGTGAGGTAAAAAAGGGTTAAAAATGTGTTTTTTGAGAAAAAAATATTAAAAAATGGAGGAAAAGTGAAATTCGTGAGGGAAAAAAGGGAATAAAGATTTATTTTTTGAGGGAAAAATAGGCGAAAATGGGAAAAAGGTAAAGTTTGTGAGAGATAAAAAGGGTAAAATATAATTACAAGGGAATTTTAGGACAAATTCGGATATTTTGGAGGGAAAATTGGGATTTAAAAAATGGGATAAAATTCCCTGAGGAATTTTTTGGGGTCCTGTGGGGATTTTTGGGAGGGGGAAGGGAAAGGATGAGCCCAAAAGGAAGGAGCAAAAAATTCCACCCAAAATTTCCTCAAATTTCCCCCCAACCCATAAATATTCCCAAAATTCCCCCAAATCCCATTAAAATTCCCCAAATTCCCCCAAATCCCAGAAAATTCCCCAAGAATCCCCACAAAATCCCCAAATTTCCCCAAATTCCCCTAAAATCCCCCAATTTTTTCCACAAAATCCCCAAATTTCCCACGTATTTCCCCAAAATCCCCAAATGTCCCCCCAAAATTCCCCAATTTTTCCCAAAAATTCCCAATTTCCCCCCAAAATTCCCTAATTTTCCCCAAAATCCCACAAATTTTTCCCAAATCTTCAAAATTTCTCCCAGAATTCCCCGAAATCCCCAAATTCTCCCCAAAATCCCCAATGTTCCCCCACAAATTCCCTAAAATTCCCAAATTTTCCAAAAAATTCCCCAAATTTTTTTGCAAAATTCCCAGATTTTCCCCAAAATTCATAAATTTTTCCCAAAAATCCCACAATTTTTTCCCAAATACCCCCAATTTTTCCCCGAAACTCCCAGATTTCACAAAAAAAAAAAATCCCCAAATTTTCCCAAAATTCCCTTTAAACAGCCCAATTTTTCCCGAAAATCTCCAAAATTTTTCCCCAAAATTCCCGAATTTTCCCCCAAATTCCCGAATTTCCCCCCAAAATTTCTGAATTTCCCCCCAAAATTCCCGAATTTTCCCCAAATTCCCAAATTTCCCCCCAAAATTCCCGAATTTCCCCCAATTCCCGAGTTCCGGCCTCACCTGTGGGGGGCTCCCGGGGCGCCCCTCCCCCCCCTCGGCGCCGTCCTCGGGGTCCCGCGGGCTGGGGGGGGCACTGGGAGAACTGGGAGAACTGGGCGGGGTGGGGGAGGGGCTGCGGGCGGCCTGGGGGGGGACACCGCGTCAGACTGGGGCAAACTGGGAGGGACTGGGATATACTGGGAGGGGTTTAAGGGGGACTGGGAGGGGACTGGGATGAACTGGGATGGACTGGGAGAGGTTTGGGAGGAACTGGGATATACTGGGAGGGACTGGGAGGGGACACCGGGTCAGACTGGGGCAACTGGGACAAACTGGGAGGGACTGGGAGGGAACCGGGAGGGACTGGTTTATACTGGGAGGGGTTTAAGGGGGACTGGGAGAGGTTTGGGACGAACTGGGACAAACTGGGATGGACTGGGAGGGACTGGGAAGGAACTGGGAGGGACTGGGAGGGACTGGGAGGGACTGGGAGGGAACTGGGAGGGACTGGGAGGGAACTGGGGGACACTGGTTTATACTGGAGGGGTTTAAGGGGGACTGGGACGAACTGGGATTGACTGGGAGGGACTGGGGGGCACTGGTTTATAATGGGAGGGACTGGGGGGGACACTGGTTTATACTGGGATAAACTGGGGGTGGACTGGAAGGGACTGGGAGGGGTTTGGGACAAACTGGGATGGACTGGGAGGAACTGGGAGGGGCTGGGGGGGCCTGGGGGGGGACACCGGGTCAGACTGGGGCAACTGGGAGGGACTGGGATATACTGGGAGGGACTGGGATATACTGGGAGGGACTGGGATGGGTTTAATGGGGACTGGGAGGGGACTGGGAGGGACTGGTTTATACTGGGAGGGACTGGGAGAGGACTGGGAGGGACTGGGAGGGACTGGGGCACACTGGTTTATACTGGGAGGGACTGGGAGTGGACTGGGAGGGGTTTGGGACAAACTGGGACAAACTGGGACCAACAACTGGAACCTCCCCAGTGCACTCCGGCCCATCCTGGTCTATACTGGTTTATACTGGTCTATACTGGTCTATACTGGTTTCTATACCCATCTATACTGGTTTATACTGGTCTATAGTGGTTTCTATACTGGTTTATACTGGTCTATACCAATTCCTGTACTAATCTATACTGGTTTATACTGGTCTACACTGGTTCCTATACTGATCTATGTGAGTTTATACTGGTCTACACTGGTTTCTATACCACTCCATACTGGTTTATACTGGTCTGTACTGGTTTCTATACCACTCCATACTGGTTTATACTGGTCTACACTGGTTTCTATACCACTCCATACTGGTTTATACTGGTCCGTACTGGTTTCTATACCACTCCATACTGGTTTATACTGGTCTGTACTGGTTTCTATACCACTCTGTACTGGTCTATACTGGTTTCTGTACCCATCTGTACTGGTCTATACTCATTTATACTGGTTTCTATACTGGTTTATACTGGTTCCTATACTGGTCTATACTGGTCTATACTGGTTTATACTGGTTCCTATACTGGTCTATACTGGTTTCTGTAACACCCTGTACTGGTCTATACTGGTCTATACTGGTCTATACTGGTTTCTATACCACTCCGTACTGGTTTGTACTGGTCTGTATTAGCTCACACTGGTCTATACTGGTTTATACTGGTTTCTATACTGGCTTATACTGGTCTATACTGGTTTCTAAAACACCCTGTACTGGTCTATACTGGTTTATACTGGTCTATACTGCTTTATACAGGTTTATACTGGTTTGTACTGGTCTATACTGGATTCTGTAACACCCTGTACTGGTCTATACTGGTTTCTACTGGTCTACACTGGTTTCTATACTGGTCTTTATACTGGTCTATACTGGTTTATACTGGTTCCTATACTGGTTTATACTGGTCTATACTGGTTTCTATACCACTCCGTACTGGTTTGTACTGGTCTGTATTAGCTCACACTGGTCTATACTGGTTTATACTGGTTTATACTGGTTTATACTGGTCTATACTGGTTTATACTGGTCTATACTGGTTTATACAGGTTTCTATACTGATCTATACTGGTTTGTACTGGTCTGTACTGGTGCTCACTCACCTCCTCCCTGGCGGCCATTTTGGTTCTGCGCAGCAGCTCCGGGACCACCCCCGGGGGGCGCTGCCGAGCCAGGAAGGGGTGCTGGGAACGGGGGGGGTTAGCCAAAATCACACCAATTCACCCCAAAATCAGCCCAAAATTCACATCAAAATCAGCCCAAAAATCAGCCCAAAATCAAAACCCAAAATCAGCCAAAATCGCACTAATTCACCCCAAAAATCACATCAAAATCACCCAAAATTCACCCCAAAATCAGCCCAAAATCAGCCCAAAATTCACACAAATTCACCCCAAAATTCACCCCAAAATTCACACCAAAAATCACACTAATTCACCCCAAAATTCACATTAAAATCAGCCCCAAGATCACACAAATTCACCCCAAATTCACCCCCAAAATCAGCCAAAATCACACTAATTCACCCCAAAATTAACTCCAAAATTCAGCCCAAAATCACACACATTCACCCCAAATTCACCCCCAAAATCAGCCAAAATCACACCAATTCACCCCAAAAATCACATCAAAATTCACCCCCAAAACAGCCCAAAATCAGCCAAAATTCACCCCCAAACCAGCCCAAATTCACCCCAAAATTTAGCCTAAAAATCAGCCCAAAATTCACCCAAATTCACCCAAAATTCAGCCCAAAATCACAAATTCACCCCAAAATCAGCCCAAATTCACACCAAAATCACCCCAAAATCACACAAATTCACCCCAAAAACAGCCCAAAATTCAACCCAAATTCACCCCAAAATCACCCCCAAAACAGCCCAAAATCAGCCCAAAATCACACAAATTCACCCCAAAATTCACCCCAAAATTCACACAAATTCACCCCAAAATTCACCCCAAAATCAGCCCAAATTCACCCAAAATCACACAAATTCACACCAATTCACCCCAAAATTCACACCAAATTCACCCCAAAATCACACAAATTCACCCCAAAATTAACTCCAAAATTCACCCCCAAAACAGCCCAAAATCACCCCAAAATTCACACCAAAATTAGCCCAAATTCACCCCCAAAATCAGCCAAAATTCACACAAATTCACCCCAAAATTCAACCCAAATTCACCCCCAAAACAGCCCAAAATCAGCCCCAAAATAAGCCCAAATTCACCCCAATTTCAGCCCAAAATTCAGCCAAAATTCACCCCAAAATCACCCCAAAATCAGCCCCAAAATCACACAAATTCACCCCAAAATCAGTCCCAAATTCACCCCAAAATTCACCCCAAAATCAGCCAAAAACATTTTTTGGGGTGAATTTTGGGCATTTTGGGGTTATTTTGGGATAGTTGCAGTTATTTTGGGTGATTTTGGGATTTTTTGGGGTGATTTTTGTGCATTTTGGGGTTATTTTGGGATAGTTATTTTTGGGTGATTGTGGGATTTTTTTGGGATGTTTTGGGTTATTTTGGGCGATTTTGGGATTTTTTGTTGCGATTTTTGGGCATTTTGGGTGATTTTGGGTAAATTTTGGCCGTTATGGAGTTATTTTGGGGTATTTTCAGTTATTTTTGGGCGATTTTGGGTTATTTTGCGATTTTTTTGGGGTGAATTTTGCGCATTTTGGGGTTATTTTGGGATAGTTATTTTTGGGTGATTTTGGGATTTTTTGGGGTGAATTTTGGGCATGTTGGGGTTATTTTGGCATTTTTTCAGTTACTTTTGGGTGATTTTGGGATTTTTTTTGGTTATTTTTGGGTGATTTTGGGATTTTTTAGGATGAGTTTTGCGCATTTTGGGGTTATTTTGGGGTTTTTTCAGTTACTTTTGGGTGATTTTGGGATTTTTTGGGTTATTTTTGGGTGATTTGGGGATTTTTTTTTTGGGCTGATTTTTGGGCATTTTGGGTGATTTTGGAATTTTTTGGGGTGAATTTTGGCCATTTTGGGGTTATTTTGGGATATTTTCAGTTATTTTGGGTGATTTTGGGATTTTTTGGGGTGATTTCTGTGCATTTTGGAGTTATTTTGGGATAGTTATTTTTGGGTGATTTTGGGATTTTTTGGGCTGATTTTTGGGCGTTTTGGACAATTTTGGGATTCTTTGTGTTATTTTTCAATTATTTTGGGATTTTTTGGGCTGATTTTTGGGCATTTTGGACAATTTTGGGATTCTTTGTGTTATTTTTCAATTATTTTGGGATTTTTTGGGCTGATTTTTGGGTGATTTTGGGGTAAATTTTGGCTGTTATGGGGTTATTTTGGGGTATTTTCAGTTATTTTGGGCGATTTTGGGTTATTTTGGGTGATTTTGGGATTTTTTGGGGGTGAATTTTGCGCATTCTGGGGTTATTTTGGGATAGTTATTTCTGGGTGATTTGGGGATTTTTTTGGGTGGATTTTTGGGCATTTTGGACGATTTTGGGATTCTTTGTGTTATTTTTGGATGATTTTGGGATTTTTTGGGCCGATTTTTGGCCATTTTGGGGTTATTCTGGGATATTTTCAGTTATTTTTGGGCGATTTTGGGATATTTTGGGTGATTTTGGGGTAAATTTTGGCCGTTATTGGGTTATTTTGGGGTATTTTCAGTTATTTTGGGCGATTTTGGGTTATTTTTGGCGATTTTGGGGATTTTTGGGGTGAATTTTGTCATTTTTGGGGCTCACCCGCAGCAGCTCCGGCGCTCGGGGCCGATCCTGCGGAACCTTCCGGAGACACCGAGAGACGAAATCCCGAAATTCCTCCGACCTGGGGGGACCCAAAATGTGGGGTGGGACCCCAAAATGTGGGGCAGGACCCCAAAATGTGGGGCAGGGACCCCAAAATGTGGGGCGGGACCCCAAAATATGGGGCAGGACCCCAAAGTGTGGGGCGGGACCCCAAAATGTGGGGCAGGACCCCAAAGTGTGGGGTGGGACCCCAAAATGTGGGGCTGGACCCCAAAATATGGGGCAGGGACCCCAAAATGTGGGGCGGGACCCCAAAATGTGGGGCAGGGACCCCAAAATGTGGGGGAGGGACCCCAAAATGTGGGGCAGGGACCCCAAAATGTGGGGGAGGGACCCCAAAATGTGGGGCTGGACCCCAAAATGTGGGGCAGGGACCCCAAAATGTGGGGCTGGACCCTCAAAATGTGGGGCTGGACCCCAAATGTGGGGCTGGACCCCAAAATGTGGGGTGGGATCTGTGGGGCAGGGGGACCTATAGGATAAATCCGTGGGTCAGACAGAATCTATAGGGTGAATCCATGGGTCACACATGATCTATGGGGTGGATCTATAGGGTGAATCCATGGGGCACACAGGATCCATAGGGTGAATCCATGGATCAGACAGGATCTATGGCACAGATCTATGGGTCAGACACGATCTATAGGGCGGATCTATATGGCAGATCTACGGATCAGACAGGATCTATGGGGCAGATCTCTGGGTCAGACAAGATCTATAGGGTAAATCCATGGGTCAGACAGGATCTATGGGGCAGGATCTATGGATCAGACAGGATCTATGGGTCAGACCCAATCTATAGGGCGGATCTATAGGGTGAATCTATAGGGTGAATCCATAAGGCAGACAGGATCTCTGGGTCAGAGGGATCTATAGGTCAGATCTATAGGGTGAATCCATAGGGTGAATCCATAGGGTGAACCCATGGACCAGACAGGATCTATTGGGCAGGATCTATGGATCAGACAGGATCTATGGATCAGACAGGATCTATGGGTCAGACACGATCTATAGGGTGAATCTATAGGGCAGATCTCTGGGTCAGAGGGATCTATAGGGCAGATCTATAGGTCAGACCCATAGGGTGAACCGCAGGCGCTGACCAGAGGCGGGGCTGGCGCAGGGCCGGGGGCTCCCTCTGCGCGATGTGGTACAGAGCGCTCAGCGCGTTCAGCTGGAACAGCGGCGGCCTCCGCTCCGCTTTGGGGCAAAAACGGCAAAAAATGGCACATTCAGACTGAATTCTGCACAAAATTCTGTCCCGAAAAACCCCAAATTCTGTCCCGAAAAAACCCCAAATTCTGCACAAAATTCTGTCCCGAAAATCCCAAATTCAGTTCCTAAAAACCCCAAATTCTGCACTAAATTCTGTCCCGAAAAACCCCAAATTCAGCCCAAAATTCTGCACAAAATTCTGTCCCGAAAATCCCCAAATTCTGTCCCAAAAAACCTCAAATTCAGTTCCTAAAAACCCCAAATTCAGACCAAAATTCTGTCCCTAAAAACCCAAAAATTCTGTCCCTAAAAACCCCAAATTCTGCACAAAATTCCGTCCTGAAAATCCCCAAATTCAGACCCAAATTCAGCACAAAATTCTATCCCTGAAAACTCCAAATTCAGCCCAAAATTCAGTCCCTAAAAATCCCAAATTCAGACCGAAATTCTGTCCTGAAAAACCCCAAATTCAGCCCAAAATTCTGTTCCCAAAAACCCGAAATTCAGCCCAAAATTCTGTCCCTAAAATCCCCAAATTCAGACCAAAATTCTGTCCCGAAACACCCCAAATTCTGTCGCAAAAAACCCCAAATTCAGACCAAAATTCTGTCCAAAATTATGTCCTGAAAACCCCAAATTCAGCCCAAAATTCTGTCCCTAAAAACCCAAAATTCTGTCCGAAAAAATCCCAAATTCAGACCCAAATTCTGCACAAAATTCTGTCCTGAAAACCGCAAATTCAGAACCTAAAAACCCCAAATTCAGACCAAAATTCTGTCCCGAAAAACCCCAAATTCAGACCAAAATTCTGTCACGAAAACCCCAAATTCAGACCAAAATTCTGTCCCTAAAAACCCCAAATTCAGACCAAAATTCAGCACAAAATTCGGTCCCGAAAAACCCAAAATTCCATCCCGAAAAACCCCAAATTCAGACCAAAATTCTGTCCCGAAAAACCCCAAATTCAGCCCAAAATTCAGCCCAAAATTCCGTCCCGAAAAACCCCAAATTCAGACCAAAATTCTGTTCCTAAAATCCCCAAATGCAGTTCCTAAAAACCCCAAATTCAGCCCAAAATTCTGTCCCTAAAAATCCCAAATTCAGCACAAAATTCTATCCCTGAAAACTCCAAATTCAGCCCAAAATTCAGTCCCTAAAAATCCCAAATTCAGACCGAAATTCTGTCCTGAAAAACCCCAAATTCAGCCCAAAATTCTGTTCCCAAAAACCCGAAATTCAGCCCAAAATTCTGTCCCTAAAATCCCCAAATTCAGACCAAAATTCTGTCCCGAAACACCCCAAATTCTGTCGCAAAAAACCCCAAATTCAGACCAAAATTCTGTCCAAAATTATGTCCTGAAAACCCCAAATTCAGCCCAAAATTCTGTCCCTAAAAACCCAAAATTCTGTCCGAAAAAATCCCAAATTCAGACCCAAATTCTGCACAAAATTCTGTCCTGAAAACCGCAAATTCAGAACCTAAAAACCCCAAATTCAGACCAAAATTCTGTCCCGAAAAACCCCAAATTCAGACCAAAATTCTGTCACGAAAACCCCAAATTCAGACCAAAATTCTGTCCCTAAAAACCCCAAATTCAGACCAAAATTCAGCACAAAATTCGGTCCCGAAAAACCCAAAATTCCATCCCGAAAAACCCCAAATTCAGACCAAAATTCTGTCCCGAAAAACCCCAAATTCAGCCCAAAATTCAGCCCAAAATTCCGTCCCGAAAAACCCCAAATTCAGACCAAAATTCTGTTCCTAAAATCCCCAAATGCAGTTCCTAAAAACCCCAAATTCAGCCCAAAATTCTGTCCCTAAAAATCCCAAATTCAGACCAAAATTCTGTCCTGAAAAACCCCAAATTCAGCCCAAAATTCGGGCCATAAAAACATCAAATTCAGGCCATAAAATCCCCAAAGTCACCCCAAATTCCCCCTAAAATCCCCCTAACCACCCCAATAACCCCCCAAAATTTCCAAAATTTTTCATAAATCCCCCCAAAAATCCCCAGAATTCCCCTGAAAATCTCCAGAATTTCTGCCAAAATCCCTAAAATTCCCCCAAAAATCCTCAAATTCCCCCAAAAATCCCCAAAATCCCCCCAAAATCCCCTCTCACCCAGCTCGATGCAGGTGATGCCCGCTGACCACACACACCCTCCAAAACCACCCAAAAATCCCCCCAAAATCCCCAAATTTTTTCCAAAACCCCCCCAAAAATTCCCCCAAAAATCCCCAAAATCTCTAAAATTTTTCCAAAATCCCCAAAACCCCCCAAATTTTCCCCAAATCCCCCCAAATTCCTGCTCACCCAGCTCAATGCAGGTGATGCCCGCTGACCACACACACCCCAAAAAAACCCCCAAAACCCCCCAATAACCACCCAAAACCCCCCTAAAATCCCCAAAATTCCCCCAAAAATCCCCTAAATTTTTCTAAAAACCCTAAAATTTTTCCAAAATCCCCCCAAATCTCCTCTCACCCAGCTCGATGCAGGTGATGCCCACTGACCACACACACCCCAGAACCACCCAAAAATCCCCCAAAAATCCCCAAATTTTTTCCAAAATTCCCCCAAAAATCCTTAAAATTCCCCCAAAAATCCCCTAAATTTTTCTAAAACCCCCCAAATTTTCCCAAAATCCCCCAAATTCCTGCTCACCCAGCTCGATGCAGGTGATGCCCACTGACCCCAAAACCCCCCTAAAAACCCCCCAATAACCCCCCAAAAACCCCCCAAACTTCCCCCAAGTCCCTAAAATACCCCCAAAAATCCCCAAAAATCCCCCAAAATCCCCAAAATCCCCAAAATTCCCCAAAATCCCCCAAATTCCTGCTCACCCAGCTCGATGCAGGTGATGCCCACTGATCACACACATCCCAAAACCCACCAAAAAATCCCCAAAATTCCCCCAAAAATCCCCAAAATTCCCCCAAAAATCCCCAAAATTCCCCCAGAAATCCCCAAAATTTCCCTAAATTTTTCTAAAAACCCCCAAATTTTTCCAAATCCCCCCAAAATCCCCAAAACCCCCCAAATCCCCTCTCACCCAACTCGATGCAGGTGATGCCCACTGACCACACACCCTCCAAAATTCCCCCAAAAATCTCCAAAATTCCCCCAAAAATCCCCAAAATTCCCCCAAAAATCCCCAAAATCCCCCAAATTTTTCCAAAATCCCCCAAAACCCCCCAAAACCCCCCAAATCCTCTCACCCAGCTCGATGCAGGTGATGCCCGCTGACCACAGACACCCCAAAAAAACCCCCAAAACCCCCAATAACCACCCAAAACCCCCCTAAATGCCCCAAAACTCCCAAAATTTTTCACAAAATCCCCCAAAATTCCATTAAATCCCCCTAAAATCCCCAAAATTCCCCCAAAAATCCCCTAAATCCCCCCAAATCTCTGGTCACCCACCTCGATGCAGGTGATGCCCGCTGACCACAGACACCCCAAAAAACCCTCCGAAAAATCCCCAAAATTCCCCCCAAAATCCCTAAAATTCCCCCCAAAACCCCCAAAATTTCCCTAAATTTTTCTAAAACCCCCAAATTTTTCCAAAATCCCCCAAAATCCCCCAAATCCCCCCAAAATTCCCTCTCACCCAGCTCGATGCAGGTGATGCCCGCTGACCAGACGTCGGCCCGCCCGTCGTAGCGCCCCTCGTCCATGGCCAGGATCACCTCGGGGGCCATCCTGGGGGGCGGGGGTCAGTTTGGGGGGACCCTCCCCCACCTGGGGTGCCCCTCCCCCACCCTGGGGACCCTCCCCCACCCCGGGGTGCCCCTCCCCCTCACCAGTAGGGGGTCCCCACCAGGGACTTGGCGGGGGTGGAGGCGGCGGCGGAGCCGAAGTCGCCGAGTTTGACCAGAGCCGGAGCGCCCAGCAGGATGTTCCCGGCCTTGACGTCCCTGCGGGGAGATGGGGGGCAGGGGCTGTGGGGCAGGGGCTGTGGGCAGGGTCTGTGGGTAGGGATCTATGGGTCACGATCTATAGGTCAGGGGGATCTATGGGTCAGGATTTCAGGATCTATGGGTCAGGATGATCTAGGGGTCAGGATGATCTATAGGTCAGGATAATCCATAGGTCAGGATCCATGGGTCAGCATGATCTATGGGTCAGGATTTCAGGATCTATGTGTCAGGATCTATAGGTCAGGATGATCTACAGATCAGGACGATCTATGGGGCAGGATCTATGGAGCAGGATCTATGGGACAGGATTTATGGATCAGGATCTATGGGGCAGGATCTATAGGTCAGGATCTGTGGGTGAGGCTCTATGGGTCAGGATCTGTGGGTCAGGATCTGTGAGTCAGGATGATCTATGGGTCAGGATGATCTATGGATCAGGATTTATGGATCAGGATCTATGGGACAGGATCTATGGGTCAGGATCTATGGGTCAGGATCTATAGGTCGGGATGATCTATGGGTCAGGATGATCTGTGGGTCCGAATCTGTGGGTGAGGCTCTATGGGTCAGGAATTCAGGATCTATAGATCAGGATCTGTGAGTCAGGATCTGTGGGTCAGGATCTATGGGTCAGGATCTATGGATCAGGATCTATGGGGCAGGATCTATAGATGAGGATCTATGGGGCAGGATGTATGGATCAGGATTTATGGGGCAGGATCTGTGGGGCAGGATGTATGGATCAGGATTTATGGGTCAGGATCTATGGGGCAGGATGATCTTTGGGTCAGGATCTGTGGGGCAGGATCTATGGGGCAGGATCTGTGGGGCAGATCTATGGGCCAGGATCTATGGGTCAGGATTTCAGGATCTATGGGTCAGGATCTGTGGGTGAGGCTCTATGGATCAGGATCTGTGGGGCAGGGTCTGTGGGGCAGGATCTATAGATCAGATTTGGGGTAAATTTGGGGGGTCCTGGGGGGATTTGGGGTAAATTTGGGGGGTCCCGGGAGGATTTTGGGTAAATTTGGGGGGGTTTAGGGGTGATTTCGGGGGTCCTGGGGGGGATTTTGGGGGGATTTGGGATAAATTTGGGGGCGTCCCAGGAGGATTTTGGGGGGATTTGGGGTAATCTATAGGTCAGGATGATCTGTGGGTCAGAATCTGTGGGTGAGGCTCTATGGGTCAGGATCTATGGGTCAGGGTTTCAGGATCTATAGATCAGGATGATCTATAGGTCAGGATCTATGGAGCAGGATGATCTATGGGTCAGGATTTCAGGATCTATGGGTCAGGATTTATAGGTCAGGATCTATGGAGCAGCATGATATATGGGGCTGGATTCCAGGATCTATAGGTCAGGATCTATGGGTCAGGATGATCTATGGGGCAGGATTTCAAGATCTATGGGTCAGGATTTCAGAACCTATGGGTCAGGACTTCAAGATCTATGGGTCAGGATATATACATCAGGAATTCAGGATCTATAGGTCAGGATCTATAGACAGGATAATCTATAGGTCAGGATGATCTATAGGTCAGGATGATCTATAGGTCAGGATCTATAGGTCAGGACCTGTGGGTCACGATCTATAAATCAGGATGTTCTATAGGTCAGGACGATCTATAGGTCAGATCTATAGGGCAGCCCCACCTGTGGATCACCCCCTGGCCGTGCAGGTAACCCATAGGTTGGGCTCTGTGGGTCAGGATGATCTATGGGTGAGGAATTCAGGATCTATGGGGCAGGATTTCGGGATCTATAGGTCAGGATGATCTATAGGTCAGATCTATGGGGCAGCCCCACCTGTGTATCACCCCTTGCCTGTGCAGGCAGCCCATAGGTTGGGCTCTGTGGGTCAGGATGATCTATGGGTCAGGAATTCAGGATCTATGGGTCAGGAATTCAGGATCTATGGGTCAGGATGATCTACAGATCAGGATAATCTACAGGTCAGATCTATGGGGCAGCCCCACCTGTGTATCACCCCCTGGCTGTGCAGGCAGCCCATAGGTTGGGCTCCGTGGGTCGGGATGATCTATGGGGCAGGAATTCAGGATCTATGGGGCAGGAATTCAGGATCTATGGGTCAGGATGATCTATGGGGCAGGAATTCAGGATCTATAGGTCAGATCTATGGGGCAGCCCCACCTGTGGATCACTCCCTGGCCGTGCAGGCAGCCCATAGGTTGGGCTCTGTGGGTCAGGATGATCTATGGGTCAGGAATTCAGGATCTCTGGGGCAGGAATTCAGGATCTATGGGTCAGGATTTCAGGACAATCTATAGGTCAGGACGATCTATAGGTCAGGATAATCTATGGGGCAGCCCCACCTGTGGATCACTCCCTGGCTGTGCAGGTAGCCCATAGGTTGGGCTCTGTGGGTCGGGATGATCTATGGGGCAGGAATTCAGGATCTCTGGGGCAGGAATTCAGGATCTATGGGTCAGGATGATCTATAGGTCAGGAATTCAGGATCTATAGGTCAGATCTATGGGGCAGCCCCACCTGTGTATCACCCCCTGGCTGTGCAGGCAGCCCATAGGTTGGGCTCCGTGGGTCAGGATTTCGGGATCTATGGGTCAGGATTTCAGGATCTATGGGGCAGGAATTCAGGATCTATGGGTCAGGAATTCAGGATCTAGGGGTCAGGATGATCTATAGGTCAGATCTATGGGGCAGCCCCACCTGTGTATCACGCCCTGGCCGTGCAGGCAGCCCATAGGTTGGGCTCCATGGGGCAGGATGATCTATGGGTCAGGAATTCAGGATCTATGGGGCAGGATTTCAGGATCTATGAGGCAGGACAATCTATAGGTCAGATCTATGGGGCAGCCCCACCTGTGTATCACCCCCTGGCCGTGCAGGCAGCCCATAGGTTGGGCTCTATGGGTCGGGATGATCTATGGGTCAGTAATTCAGGATCTATGGGGCAGGAATTCAGGATCTATAGGTCAGGATCTATGGGGCAGCCCCACCTGTGTATCACCCCCTGGCCGTGCAGGTAGCCCATAGGTTGGGCTCTGTGGGTCAGGATGATCTATGGGTCAGGATTTTGGGATCTATGGGTCAGGAATTCAGGATCTATAGGTCAGGATGATCTATAGGTCAGATCTATAGGGCAGCCCCACCTGTGTATCACCCCCTGGCTGTGCAGGTAGCCCATAGGTTGGGCTCCGTGGGGCAGGAATTCAGGATCTATGGGTCAGGAATTCAGGATCTATGGGGCAGGAATTCAGGATCTATGGGGCAGGAATTCAGGACAATCTATAGGTCAGGACGATCTATAGGTCAGATCTATGGGGCAGCCCCACCTGTGGATCACCCCCTGGCTGTGCAGGCAGCCCATAGGTTGGGCTCCGTGGGGCAGGAATTCAGGATCTATGGGGCAGGAATTCAGGATCTATGGGGCAGGAATTCAGGATCTATGGGTCCGGATTTCAGGATCTATGGGTCACGGTGATCTATAGGTCAGGATCTATGGGTCACGGTGATCTATGGGGCAGCCCCACCTGTGTATCACCCCCTGGCTGTGCAGGTAGCTCAGGCCCCGCAGGGCCCCCTCAGCGATGGCGCCGATCTCCTCCTCGCGCAGCGGCTCCTGGTGCGCTGGGGACACCCAAAATCACCCAAAATTACCCCAAAAGTTACCCAAAACATCCCCAAAATATCCCCAAAAATTACCCAAAATATCCCCCAAAATATACCCAAAATATACCCAAAACATCCCCGAAATATACCCAAAATAGCCCCAAAAATTACGCCAAAATATCCCCCAAAATTACCCAAAACATCCCCCAAAACATCCCCAAAATAGCCCCCAAAAATACCCCAAAATTCCCCCAAAACATCCCCAAAATATCCCCAAAATATCCCCAAAAATTACCCAAAATACCCCCAAAATATCCCTGAAATATCCCCAAAATATTGCCAAAATATCCCCAAAATATACCCAAAACATCCCCAAAATTCCCCCAAAAATTACCCCAAAACGCCCAGAAATCACCCCAAAATACCCCCCAAAACATCCCCAAAATTGCCCCAAAATATCCCCCAAGCAGCCCCAAAAATACCCCCAAAATTATCCCCAAAACATCCCCAAAATATCCCCAAAACATCCCCAAAATATCCCCGAAATAACCCCAAAATAGCCCCAAAAATCACCCAAAATATTCCCAAAATATCCCCCAAGTATCCCCAAAACATCCCCAAAAATCACCCCAAAACGCCCAGAAATCACCCCAAAAATTACCCCAAAACATCCCCCAAAATATCCCCAAAACATCCCCCAAACATCCCCCCAAAATTACCCCAAAACATCCCCAAAACATTCCCAAAATATCCCAGAAATATCCCCAAAAATACCCTCGAAATAGCCCCAAAAATCCCGCAAAACATCCCCAAAATAGCCCTAAAATATCCCACAAATTATCCCAAATCATCCCCCAAAATATTCCCCAAAATTATTACTAAATCCCCCAAATTATCCCCCAAAATATTCCCCAAAATTCCCCAAAAATCCCCCCAAAAATCCATCTAAATTTCCTAAAAAACCCCCCAAAATTCCCGTTTAAATCCCAAAATTCCCAAAAAAAAACCCCCAAAATTCCCGAAAACCTCCAAAATTCCCGAAAACCCCCGAAATTGCCCAAAAAGCCCCAAAATTACCCGAAGTGCCCCAAATTCTCACCTTCCAGCAGGTCCAGGGCTGATCCCACACAGAACTCCATGGCCAGCTGGGGGAGGGGCGGGTGGGGACCCCAAAATTGTCCCAAAATACCCCAAAATTGTCCCAAAAATCAACCCCAAATTGTCCCAAAAATCAACCACAAAATACCCCGAAATTATCCCAAAAATCAACCCCAAATTGTCCCAAAAATACCCCGAAATTATCCTAAAAATCAACCCCAAATTGTTCCTAAAATACCCCAAAATTATCCCAAAAATCAACCCCAAATTGTTCCTAAAATACCCCAAAATTATCCCAAAAATACCCCCAAAATCATCCCAAAAATCCTCCAAAATTATCCCAAAAATCCCCCCTTAAATTATCCCAAATATCCCCCCCAAAATCCCAAAAACCCTCCAAAATTACTCTAAAATACCAAAAATATCCCAAAATCCCAAAAATTCCCCCAAATCCCAAAAATCAACCCAAAATTATCCCGAAAATCTCCCAAAATCCCCAAAATTCCCCCAAAATAACTCTAAAATCCCCCAAAATTTCCCCAAAGTCACCCTAAAAATCCCAAAAAATCCCCTCAAGTCACAAAAAGATTTGCCAAAATCTCAAAAATCCCTTCAAAAAAATCCCCCCCCCAAAAAAAACCCCAAAAAATTTTAAAAATCCCAAAAACCCCCAAAATTGCCCCAAATTTGGGGGTGCTCACCCAGGCCGTGTTCTCCCGCAGGTAGCACCCCCTGAACCCCAAAAATCCCCTAAAAAACCCCAAAAAAACCAAAAATCTCAAAGAAACCCTCAAAAAAATCCCTAAAAAATCCCAAAAAATTTTTAAAAATCCCAAAAACACCCAAAATTGCCCCAAATTTGGGGTGCTCACCCAGGCCGTGTTCTCCCGCAGGTAACACCCCCTGAACCCCAAAAATCCCCTAAAAAACACAAAAAATCCCCAAAAAAACCCCAAAAAATCCCCAAAAAAACCCAAAAAAAAATCCCAAAAAAACCCGCAAAAAAATTTTAAAAAATCCCAAAAACCCCCAAATTTCCCCCAAATTTTGGGGTGCTCACCCAGGCCATGTTCTCCCGCAGGTAGCACCCCCTGAACCCCAAAAATCCCCTAAAAAAACCCAAAAAAATCCCTAAAAAACCCCAAAAATCCCCCAAAAAACCCAAAAAAAAATCCCAAAAAAACCCGCAAAAAAATTTTAAAAAATCCCAAAAACCCCCAAATTTCCCCCAAATTTTGGGGTGCTCACCCAGGCCGTGTTCTCCCGCAGGTAGCACCCCCTGAACCCCAAAAATCCCCTAAAAAAACCCAAAAAATACCCAAAAAACCCCAAAAGATCCCAAAAAAAACCCCAAAAAATGCAAAAAAAAATTTTTTAAAATCCCAAAAACCCCCAAAATTGCCCCAAATTGGGGGTGCTCACCCAGGCCGTGTTCTCCCGCAGGTAGCACCCCCTGAACCCCAAAAATCCCCTAAAAAAAGCCAAAAAAACCCCAAGAAAACCCCAAAAAAACTCCAATAAAAATTAAAAAAAAAAGACAAAAAAAAAAATCCCAAAAATCCCAAAAAACCCCAAAATTGCCCCAAAATTGGGGTGCTCACCCAGGCCGTGTTCTCCCGCAGGTAGCACCCCCTGAACCCCAAAAATCCCCTAAAAAAAGCCAAAAAAACCCCAAGAAAACCCCAAAAAAACTCCAATAAAAATTAAAAAAAAAAGACAAAAAAAAAAATCCCAAAAATCCCAAAAAACCCCAAAATTGCCCCAAATTGGGGGTGCTCACCCAGGCCGTCTTCTCCTGCAGGTAGCACCCCCTGAACCCCAAAAATCCCCTAAAAAACCCCAAAAATCCCTAAAAAAACCCCAAAAACTCTCAAAAAAAACCCCAAAAAATGCAAAAAAAATTTTAAAAAATCCCAAAAAACCCCAAAATTGCCCCAAATTTTGGGGTGCTCACCCAGGCCGTGTTCTCCCGCAGGTAGCACCCCCTGAACCCCAAAAATCCCCTAAAAAAAGCCAAAAAAACCCCAAGAAAACCCCAAAAAAACTCCAATAAAAATTAAAAAAAAAAGACAAAAAAAAAATCCCAAAAATCCCAAAAAACCCCAAAATTGCCCCAAATTGGGGGTGCTCACCCAGGCCGTCTTCTCCTGCAGGTAGCACCCCCTGAACCCCAAAAATCCCCTAAAAAACCCCAAAAAATCCCTAAAAAAACCCCAAAAACTCTCAAAAAAAACCCCAAAAAATGCAAAAAAAATTTTAAAAAATCCCAAAAAACCCCAAAATTGCCCCAAATTTTGGGGTGCTCACCCAGGCCGTGTTCTCCCGCAGGTAGCACCCCCTGAACCCCAAAAATCCCCTAAAAAAAGCCAAAAAAACCCCAAGAAAACCCCAAAAAAACTCCAATAAAAATTAAAAAAAAAAGACAAAAAAAAAAATCCCAAAAATCCCAAAAAACCCCAAAATTGCCCCAAATTGGGGGTGCTCACCCAGGCCGTGTTCTCCCGCAGGTAGCACCCCCTGAACCCCACGGTGTTGGGGTGCCGGAGCCGCTGCAGCACCTTCACCTCCCTCACGATGTCCTGCCACTTCTTTGGGGCAAAAAAAGCACATTTTGGGATTTTTGGGGATTTTTTTGGGGGGATTTTTTTGGGGGGAATTTGGGGGATTTTGGGGGTCTCACCTCGCTGGAGGCTCGGCCCCGGTAGGACATTTTCTTGATGGCCACCAACTCCTGGGAGCGCAGGTCACGGGCCTGGGGGATTTTGGGGAAATTTGGGGATTTTTGGGGGGATTTGGGGGATTTTGGGGAGATTTGAGGGAATTTTTGGGGTTTTGGGGGGATTTGAGGGGGAGTTTTGGGGGATTTTGGGGTTTTTTTGGGATTTTTGGGAGGATTTTGGGGAGATCTGAGGGGATTTTTGGGGTTTTGGGGGGATTTGAGGGGGAGTTTAGGGGGATTTTGGGGGTTTTTGGGGATTTTTGGGGGGATTTGGGAGATTTGAGGGGATTTTGGGGGAATTTCTGGGGTTTTGAGGGGGACTTTGGGAGAATTTGGGAGATTTGGGGGGTTTTTGTTGTTTTGGGGGGATTTGAGGGGGCGTTTAGGGGGATTTTGGGTTTTTTTTGGGATTTTTGGAGGGATTTGGGGGAATTTTGGGAGATTTGAGGGGATTTTGGGGGGATTTTTGGCATTTTGGGGGGATTTGAGGGTGAGTTTGGGGAATTTTTGGGGGGATTTGGGAGATTTGAGGGGATTTGGGGGTTTTTTGGGGATTTTTGGGGTTTTGGGGGGATTTGAGGGGGAGTTTGGGGGGAATTTGAAGGGATTTTGGGGGGATTTTTGGGATTTTGGGGGATTTGAGAGAAATTTTGGGTTTTAGGGGGATTTTGGGGAATTTTAGGGGGATTTCTGGGGGATTTGAAGGGATTTTGGGGGACATTTCAGGGTTTTGGGGGGATTTGAGGAAGTTTTGGCGGGACTGGGAGAAGTTTACAATAATTTTGGGGGTTCTGAAAAAGATTTTGGGGGATTTTGGGGGTATTTAAAGGGATTTTTTTTGGATTTTACGGGAGTTCGGGGGGATTTGAGGTACTTTTGGGGGGATTTTTGAGAATTTTAGGTGATCCCTGAAAGATTTCAAAGAACTTTGGGGATACCAGAGGAGTTTTGGGGTAGATTTTAGGGCGATTCGGATGGATTTAAAAATTTATGGCATTTTGGGAATTTTTGAAGGATTTTGAGGGGAATTTCGGAGAGTTTGGGGGTTTTTTGGGAGTGATTTGAATGGATTTTGGAATTTTATGGCGGTTTGGGTGGATTTTGAAGCGTTTCACAACAATCTGGACAAATTTTGGGGCGTTCATGATAAATTTGTGCCACTTTAGACCATTTAAATTCAATTTTAAACGGATTTTTAGAGGGATTGGGCTGTTCCAGGTGAATCCTGAGGTGTTTTATTGGATTTTTGAGGCTGTTTTAGTCCAATTTCAGGCGGAATTTTGGTTTTTTTCCCTCACTCACACTGAAAACAGCTCCGAAACTTCCGTGCCCGATCTCCCGCAGCTCCCCAAAAACCTTCTCGGGGTCATCTTTGAGGAATAATTCCGCAATTTCGGGGTCCCGGAGGTTCCCAGGTCGGCTTGGGGGACGAGGAGCCGGCATGGCAAGGGTGAAACTGAGGGGAAAAAGCACCAAAATCCACCTTAAATCCCATTTTTTACCCCTAAATTCACCCCCCAAACCCACCCCTACCCCTCAAACCCTCACGACTCCCTCAGGATTTCTACACAAATTTTCATTAATGACCCCCAAAGTCATAAAAGTGACCCCAAAGCGCACGAGGGAGCCCAAAAAGCCTCAAAATTCCCTCAGGACCCCTCCCCAAATCCCCAAATTCCCAAATTCCCCTCAGCCCCCCCCCCCCCTTCCCCTCACCGGCGGCTCCGGCGGGCGCTGAGGGAGCCCCGGGCCGCCCCCCCCCGGCCGCTGCAGCTCCGGGGGGGGGCTCCGCTCTTCCCCCGACGCCTCCTGGAGGTGGGGGTGGCTCAGAAGTCCCAAAATCGCCGAATTTCACCTCAAAAAATCGGTGGGGAAGGAGGGGGGGGGGGGGAACCCCCCCGGTGCCGCCTCAGCGCCCCGGGCAAGATGGCGCCGGCGGGAGGGGCGGGAAGCGGCGGCGCGTGCGCAGTGACGTCAGTGAAGGCGAGGGAAGTGCGGGCGTGCCAGAAGTTGGGCGGAAACAACCAGCCAATCAGCGAAAAGAGCGGGAAAAAAGGCGTAAAATGATTGGTGGAAGGGTAAAGAGGGCGGGAAGGAAGGAGGAGCGGGATTGGTGGAAAAAGGAAAAGGGCGGGGCGATGAGGGGAGAGTAAGGATGTGATTGGTTGGGAGGGAAGGAGGAAAAGGCGGGAAGATGGGAGGGGAAGCAAGATGGCGGCGCTGAGGTCTGAGGGGAGGAAGGAAGCGGCTCAGTGACGTCACTGCCCCGCCTCAAAATTTGGGAATTTCGGGGAATTTTGGGGGGGAATTTGGGAATTTTTTTGAGGAGAGTTTGAGGAATTTTTGGGGGAAATTCGGGGGGTTTTTACAGGAAATTTTGGGGGAATTTGGGGAATTTTTAAGGAGAATTTTGGGGGGATTTGGGAATTATTTGATGGGAGTTTGAGGAATTTTGGGGGATTTTTAGGGGGAATTTTTGGGGGAAATTTGGGGGATTTTGAGGGGGGAATTTTTTGAGAGAAGTTCGAGGAATTTTGGGGGGAATTTGGGAGGGTTTAACAGGAAATTTTGGGAGAATTTGGGGAATTTTTTGGGAAATTTGGGAATTTTGGGGGGAATTTTTGGATGGGATTTTGAGGGATTTTGGGGAATTTTTTGGGGGGGATTTGGGGAACATTTGGGGGGAATTTTGTGGAATTTTGGGGACGTTTGTTGGGAATTTGGGGGAATTTTGGGAGAATTTGGGAATTTTTGAGAGGAATTTTGGGGAGAAAATGGGGAATTTTTAGGGGAAATTTTGGGGAGATTTTGGGAATTTTGGGAGATTTTTTAGGGGGAATTTTAGGTGAATTTGGGGGAATTTCGGGCTCGGGATTTGAGGGTTTTTTGGGGGGGAATTTGGGATTTTTTAGGAATTTGAGGTCGGGATTTTGTTGTTTTTTTTTTTTTTTTTCCCAGGAATTTTGGGATTTTCCAGGATTTTTTTGGGAATTTGGGATTTTTTTTGGGAATTTTGGGATCTCGACCACACCCGATGCTTTCACCACTTCTTTATTCGCTCCAAAACCGCCCGAAAACGCCCCAAAAAAAAAAAAATCCTCCCCCAAAATTCCAGAAGGTCCCAGAAAATTCCAGAAGGTCCCGAAAATTCCAGAAATTCTCCAAATCCCCCCAATGACGTCATCGTCACCCGGGGTGGCCCCAAAATTGTTTTTGGGGTGTTCAAAGTCCTTTTTGGGGTCCCCAAGGTCCTTTTGGGGGCCCCAAAATTGTCCCCAAGGTCCCAAAATTGTCCCCAAGGTCCTTTTTGGGGTCCCCAAGGTCCTTTTCAGGGTCCCCAAAATCATTTTTGGTGTCCCCAAGGTCCTCAAAAATTATCCCCAAGGTCTTTTTTGGGTCCCCAAAATCATTCTTCGTGTCCCCAAGGTCCCAAAATTGTCCCCAGGGTCCTTTTTTGGGGTCCCCAAGGTCCTTTTGGTGTCCCCAGGGTCCTTTTCAGTGTCCCCAAGGTCCCAAAAATTGTCCCCAAGGTCCCCAAAATTGTCCCAAGGGTCCTTTTTGGTGTCCCCAAGGTCCTTTTGAGGTCCCCAAAATTGTCCCCAGGGTCCTTTTTGGGGTCAAGGTCCTTTTTGGGGTCCCCAAAATCATTTTTGGTGTCCCCAAGGTCCCGAAATTGTCCCCAAGGTCTTTTTTGGGTCCCCAAAATTGTCCCCGGGGTCCTTTTTGGTGTCCCCAAGGTCCTTTTTGGGGTCTTCAAGGTCCTTTTGGTGTCCCCAGGGTCCTTTTCGGTGTCCCCAAGGTCCTTTTTGAGGTCCCCAAATCCTCTCAGGTGTCCCCAAAACTGTCCCCAAAATCATTTTTGGTGTCCCCAAGGACCTTTTGGTGTCCCCAAGGTCCTTTTTGGGTCCCCAAGGTCCTTTTAGGGTCCCCAAAATTGTCCCTGAGGTCCTTTTGGTGTCCCCAAGGTCCTTTTTGGTGTCCCCAAGGTCCTTTTGGTGTCCCCAAAATCATTTTTGGTGTCCCCAAGGTCCTTTTAGGGTCCCCAAAATTGTCCCCAAGGTCTTTTTTGGTGTACCCGAGGTCCCTTTTTGGGGTCACTTTTGGGGGTCTCCCCCCAAACCCCCTTTTCACCTCCACCCCTCCCCCTCCACATCCCCTTCCTCCTCCTCCATGACATCATCCTCCTCCTCCATGACATCATCGGCGTCACCCATGACATCATCGGCGTCACCCATGACATCATCAGTGTCCCCCATGACATCACCCCCCAGCAGGGGGTCCCACGCCGCCCCTCCCCCCATCTCCAGCGGGGCGGGGGAGGGGCAGATCTCCCCCATCAAGGCCCGGGCCAGCACCGACGCATTTTGGGCCACCTCGGCCACCTCCGCCAACCTTTTGGCCACCACCGATGTCCCCCCCGCCCCCAGGACGTCCCCGGCCACCCTCCGGGCCAGGGGGGGACACCCCCAGAGCTCCGCCAGCCCCCAGAGCCGGGCGGGGGTCCCCGAGATGGCCGTGGCCACCCAGAGCTCGAATTGGGCCACCAAGAAGCGCCGGGCCAGCGCCAGCGCCAGCCCGGCCAGCGCGGGGCTCGGGGACATGCGGGGACAGCGGCGGCAGCCGTGCAGGAAATGCAGCAGCAGCAGCAGGGGGGCGCGGGGACAGCGGCGCAGTGTCACCTGCCTGCGGTGGCCCTCCAGGAACGGTCCCTCGAGCAGCGCGGCCAGGGCCGGGGACGCGCGGCACAGCGCCGAGCGGCACGCGGGGACGGCAGGGGGACGGTCCGGCACCAGGGACACGTCCCACCGGGACACCGAGTAGGGACACCGGGGAGGGGGGTGAGGGGGTTTGGGGACGTTTGGGGGGGATTTGGGGAGGGTTCAGGGGGATTTGGGGGTGTTTGGGGACATTTCGGGCAGGGGTCGGGGGGATTTGGGGACATCTGGGGGCAGGAATTGGGATTTGGGGATGTTTGGGGACATTTTGGGAAGGGTTCGAGGGGGTTTGGGGACATTTGGGGGGGCTTTGGGGGCGTTTGGGGACATTTCATGGAGGTTTGGGGACATTTTGGGGAGGTTTGAGGGGAATTATTGGGTGTTTGCGGAGGATTTGGGGTGGTTTGGGGACATTTCAGGGAGGTTTGGGGGCGATTTGGGGAGGTTTGGGGACATTTTGGGAAGGGTTCAACGGGGTTTGGGGAGGTGTGGGGTGGATTTGGGGACATTTGGGGGAGATTTGGGGACATGTGGGGGAGATTTGGGGAGGTTTGGGAGGGATTTGGGGTGGTTTGGGGACATTTCGGGGAGGTTTGGGGAGCGTTTGGGGACAATTGGGGGAGATTTGGGGACGTGTGGGGACATTGTAGGGACATTTGGGGGGGATTTGGGGTGGTTTGGCGGGGATTTGGGGAGATACAGGGGGGGTTTGGGGATGTTTGGGGACATTTTGGGAAGGGTTCAAGGGGGTTTGGGGACGTGTGGGGGGGATTTGGGGATGTTTGGGGGGGGTTTGGGGACATTTGGGGACATTTCAGGGAGATTTGGGGACATTTCAGGGAGGGTTCAACAGGGTTTGGGGAGGTTTGGGGACATTTGGGGGACAGTTCGGAGGTATTTGGGGATGTTTCGGGGGGATTTGGGAATGTGTGGGGGGGATTTGGGGAGGTTTGGGGGGAATTTGGGGAGGTTTGGGGGAGATTTGGGGATGTGTGGGGACATTTTGGGGACATTTCGGGGGGGTTTGGGGACATTTGGGGACATTTTGGGGAGGGTTCAGGAGGGTTTGAGGATGTGTGGGGGGGATTTGGGGACGTTTGGGGACAGGAATTGGAATTTGGGGACATTTGGGGGACATTTGGGGACACCTGGGGGGAATTTGGGGACATTCGTCGACGTTTGCAGGGGGGTGGGGACATTTGGGGCCACCTGGGGACAGGTGAGAGCGTCCCAGAGGTGTCCCCAGAGGTGTCCCCAGGTGTGTCCAGGTGGTCCCAGGTGTCCCCAGAGGTGTCCCCAGGTGTGTCCTCGATGTCCCCAAGTGTGTCCTCGATGTCCGCAGGTGTGTCCAGGTGGTTCCAGGTGTCCCCAGGTGTGTCCCAGGTGTCCTCAGGTGCGTCCTCAATGTCCCCAGGTGTGTCCAGGTGGTCCCAGGTGTCCCCAGAGGTGTCCTCAATGTCCCCAGGTCCATTTTGGATGTCCCCAGATGCGTCCCAGGTGTCCCCAGGTCCGTTTTGGATGTCCTCAGGTGCGTCCCAGGTGTCCCCAGGTGTGTCCTGCATGTCCCCAGGTGTGTCCAGGGGGTCCCAGGTGTCCCCAGGTGTGTCCCAGGTGTCCTCAGGTGCATCCTCAGTGTCCCCAGATGCGTCCCAGGTGTTCCCAGGTCCGTTTTGGATGTCCCCAGGTCCGTTTTGGATGTCCCCAGGTCCGTTTTGGATGTCCCCAGGTCCGTTTTGGATGTCCCCAGGTCCATTTTGGATGTCCCCAGGTGCGTCCCAGGTGTCCCCAGAGGTGTCCAGGTGTCCCCAGGTGTCCCCCAGGTCCCCGTTGGTGTCACCGCTGTCCCCGTGGCCGTTCACCTGCGGGTCCAAAATGTCCCAGGTGAGTCCCCAGGTGTGTCCCCAATGTCCCTCACCTGTCCCAGGTGTGTCCCAGGTGTGTCCCCAATGTCCCCAGGTGCGTCCCAGGTGTGTCTCAGGTGTGTCCCCAGGTGTGTCCCCAGGTGTGTCCCCAGGTGTGTCCCAGGTGTGTCCCAGGTGTCCCCAGGTGTGTCCCCAGGTGTGTCCCCAGCTGTGTCCCAGGTGTGTCTCACCTGTCCCCAGGTGTGTCCCCAATGTCCCCAGGTGTGTCCCCAGGTGTGTCTCACCTGTCCCAGGTGTGTCCCAGGTGTGTCCCCAGGTGTGTCCCCTCTGTCCCAGGTGTGCCCCAGGTGTCCCCAGGTGTCCCTCACCTGTCCCAGGTGTCCCTCACCTGTCCCCAGGTGTGTCTCACCTGTCCCAGGTGTGTCCCAGGTGTGTCCCCAATGTCCCAGGTGTGTCCCCAATGTCCCTCACCTGTCCCCAGGTGTGTCTCACCTGTCCCAGGTGTGTCCCAGGTGTGTCCCCAATGTCCCAGGTGTGTCCCCAATGTCCCTCACCTGTCCCAGGTGTGTCCCCAATGTCCCCAGGTGTGTCTCACCTGTCCCAGGTGTGTCCCCAATGTCCCTCACCTGTCCCCAGGTGTGTCCCAGGTGTGTCCCCAGGTGTGTCCCCACTGTCCCCAGGTGTGTCCCCAGGTGTGTCTCACCTGTCCCAGGTGTGTCCCCAATGTCCCAGGTGTGTCCCAGGTGTGTCCCCAATGTCCCTCACCTGTCCCCAGGTGTGTCCCCAGGTGTGTCTCACCTGTCCCCAGGTGTGTCCCAGGTGTCCCCAGGTGTGTCCCTCACCTGTCCCAGGTGTGTCTCACCTGTCCCAGGTGTGTCCCCAATGTCCGTCATCTGTCCCAGGTGTGTCCCAGGTGTGTCCCCAATGTCCCCAGGTGTGTCCCAGGTGTGTCCCAGGTGTGTCCCCAGGTGTCCCTCACCTGTCCCAGGTGTCCCCAATGTCCCAGGTGTGTCCCTCACCTGTCCCAGGTGTCCCAGGTGTGTCCCAGGTGTGTCCCTCACCTGTCCCAGGTGTCCCAGGTGTGTCCCCAATGTCCCCAGGTGTGTCTCAGGTGTGTCCCAGGTGTGTCCCCAATGTCCCTCACCTGTCCCAGGTGTGTCCCAGGTGTCCCCAGGTGTGTCCCAGGTGTGTCCCCAGGTGTGTCCCCTCTGTCCCAGGTGTGCCCCAGGTGTCCCCAATGTCCCCAGGTGTGTCCCCAGGTGTGTCTCACCTGTCCCAGGTGTGTCCCAGGTGTGTCCCCAATGTCCCAGGTGTGTCCCCAATGTCCCTCACCTGTCCCAGGTGTGTCCCCAATGTCCCCAGGTGTGTCTCACCTGTCCCAGGTGTGTCCCCACTGTCCCTCACCTGTCCCAGGTGTGTCTCACCTGTCCCCAGGTGTGTCCCCAGGTGTGTCTCACCTGTCCCAGGTGCCGTCTCAGCTCCCCGATGGCGGCGGCGGCGTAGAGGAGGAAGGGGGGAGGGGCGGCCCCTCCCCCGCCCCGGGCGGCGGCTCCGAGCAGCAGCGGCAGCGCCCCTCCCCCGCCCCACAGCAGCGCCCACAGCGCCGAGCCCGGCCTGGAGCGACATATCGCGATATATTGCACTTTATATCGCGATATATCGCATGTTATCATGTTATATCTCGATATAGCACCTTATATAGTGATATATCGTGTTATATCGCGATATATCGCACGTTATATCCCGACACAGCCCCTCCCCCGCCCCACAGCAGCGGCCACAGCGCCGAGCCCGGCCTGTCACGATATATCGCGATATGGGGTGTTATGTCACGATATAGAGCGTTATATCGCGATATATCGTGTTATATCGCGATATATCGCACGTTATATCCCGACACAGCCCCTCCCCCGCCCCACAGCAGCGGCCACAGCGCCGAGCCCGGCCTGGGGGGGATATCGCGATATAGAGCACGTTATATCGCGATATATCACATTATATAGTGATATATGGCATTATATTGTGATATATCGTGTTATATCGCGATATATCGCACGTTATATCCCAACACAGCCCCTCCCCCGCCCCACAGCAGCGGCCACAGCGACGAGCCCGGCCTGGAGCGACATATCGCGATATGGGGCGTTATGTCACGATATAGCGCGTTATATACTGATATATCGCATTGTATAGTGATACATCACGTTCTATTGTGATATAGCGCATTGTATCATGATATATCACATTATATCGCGATATATTGCATTATATCATTATATATCGCATTATATTGTGGTATATCGCACTATATCGTGATATATCACATTATATCACAATATATCACACTATACCATGATATATTGCATTATACCGTGATATATCACATTATATCATGATATACCACATTATATCGCGATATATGGCACTATACAGTGATATATCGCATTATATCACAATATACTGCAGCATACACTGATATATCCCATTATATCGCGATATATCCCACTGTGTTGTGATAGATCACATCATATCGCGATATACGGCACTACAGTGATATATCGCACTATATTGTGATATATCACATTATATCGTGATATATCACACTATAGTGATATACTGCATTGCATTGTGATATATCCCATTATATCGCGATATATCGCACTATCCCCAGCCCGCCCAGTCCCGATCTATCGCGATATGGGGGCGGGGCAGGGGAATTTTGGGGGATTTTTGGAACGATTTTTGGGGGGTTTTTGGATGTTTTTGAGGGAATTTTGGGGTGTTTTTATTGGGGTTTTTGGGCGTATTTAGGAGCAGATTTTTGGGGCGTTTCGGGGGGATTTTTGGGGGAATTTTGGGAGATTTTGGGGGGATTTTGGGGGGGATTTTTTTGGATTTTGGGTGATTTTGGGGATGATTTGGGATATTTTTGGGCTGATTTTGAGGGATTTTGGGCTGATTTTGGGGGATTTTGGGCTGATTTTGGGGTGTGTTTGGGGTATGTTTGGGGCATTTTGGGTAATTTTGAGGGATTTTCAGGGGATATTTTGGGATATTTTGGGGTAATTTTGAGGGATTTTTAGGGGATATGTTTGGGGTATTTTGGGGTGTGTTTGGGGGTATTTTGGGGGTGATTTTGAGGGATTTTTAGGGGGTACGTTTGGGATATTTTGGGGTACATTTGGGGTATGTTTGGGGTATTTTGGGGTAATTTTGAGGGATTTTTTGGGGTATGTTTGGGGTATTTTGGGGTAATTTTGACGGATTTTTTGGGGCGTGTTTGGGGATATTTTGGGGTGCATTTGGGATATTTTGGGGTACATTTGGGGGTATTTTGGGGTGTGTTTGGGATATTTTAGGGTGCGTTTGGGGGTATTTTGGGGTGCGTTTGGGGCTATTTTGGGGGTGATTTTGAGGGATTTTAGGGGCTGTGTTTGGGATATTTTGGGGTACATTTGGGGCTATTTTGGGGTAATTTTGAGGGATTTTTTTGGGGTATGTTTGGGATATTTTGGGGTGTTTTTGGGACATTGTGGGGTAATTTTGAGGGATATTTTGGGGTGTGTTTGGGGTAATTTTAAGGGATTTTAGGGGCTGTGTTTGGGATATTTTGGGGTACATTTGGCGATATTTTGGGGTACATTTGGGGGTATTTTAGGGGCTGTGTCTGGGATATTTTAGGCTGTGTTTGGGGGTATTTTGAGGGATATTTTGGGGTATATTTGGGGATATTTTAGGGTGTGTTTGGGATATTTTGGGGTGCGTTTGGGGATATTTTGGGGTACATTTGGGGATATTTTAGGTGCTGTGTTTGGGATATTTTGGGGTGTGTTTGGGATATTTTGGGGTATATTTGGGGGTATTTTGAGGGATATTTTGGGGTGTGTTTGGGATATTTTAGGGGCTGTGTTTGGGGATATTTTGGGTAATTTTGAGGGATATTTTGGGGTGCATTTGGGGTATTTTGGGGGGTATGTTTGGGATATTTTAGGGTGTGTTGGGGGCGATTTTGGAGGATATTGTGGGGTACGTTTGGGGTATTTTGGGGTGTGTTTTGGGGTGTGTTTGGGATATTTTGGGGTGTTCCCGGGGGTCTCTGACCTGGCCAGCAGGACCAGGGCGGTGGCGCAGGCCAGGCGGGCGGGGGGGGTCCCACACCTCAGGCCGTGGGTCAGGACCCCCACCCCGAACGGCGCCGCCGCCGTCGCCCCCAAACTCCGCAGCAGGGCCTCGCCTGGGGGGAAAAACAAAATTTTGGGGGGTCAAAATTCACCTGAGACCCCCAAGGGTGAATTTGGGATACCCCAAAACCCCCCAGGAATGGAGAATCCGAAAAAATCCGCCCGGGATTGGTGAAAATCCAGAGGATTTGGGGGAAAAATGCGCCAAAAAATGGGATTTTCACACAAATCCACGATTTTCACACAAATCCTCCACAAAATTTCACTCAATTCACCCAAAAATCCCCCAAACTCCCATTTTTCCACAGAATTCCCCAGTTTTCTCAAAATCTCCCCCAAAATCTTCATTTTCCCCCCAACGTCTCCAAAATCCCAAGCAAAAAAGCCAAAACCTCCCCCATTTTCCCCCCAAATCCTTCAAAATTCCCATTTTCTCCCCAAAATCCCCATTTTTCCTGAGAGTTCCCTCAAAACCCCCCAAAAAAACCCAAATCCCCCCAAAAAACCCCAATTTTCCCCCAATCCCCATTTTCCCCCCCAAAATCCCCATTTTTCCCCTCAATTTCCTCCTAAATCCCCCCAAAATCCCCATTTTTCCCCCCAAATTTCCCCAAAATCCCCATTTTTCCCCCCAAATCTCCCCAAATCCCCAATTTCCTCCCAAATTCCCCCAAAATCCCCATTTCCCCCCCCAAATCTCCCCCAAATCCCCATTTTTTTCATCCAATCCCCCCAAAACCCCATTTTTCCCCAAAATCCCCATTTTCCCACTTAATTTCCTCCTAAATCCCCCCAAATCCTCATTTTCCCCCAAATCCCCATTTTCCCCCCCAAATCTCCCCAAAATCCCTATTTTTCCCCCAAAACCCCCCCAAATCCCCATTTTCCCCCTCAATTTCCCCCAAAATCCCCATTTTTCCCCCCAAAATCCCCATTTTTCCCCCAAATCTCCCCAAAATCCCCATTTTCCCCCTCAATTTCCCCCAAACCCCCCCCAAATCCCCATTTCCCCCCATTTTCCCCCCAAACCCCCCCCCCCCAAATCCCCATTTTTTCCCTCAAATCCCCATTTTTCCCCCCAAAATTTCTGGTTTTTTCCCCCAAAATCCCCCCAAATCCCCATTTTTTCTCCCAAAATCCCCATTTTTCCCCTCAATTTCCCCCAAAATCTCCATTTTTTTCCCCCAAACTCCCCCAAATCCCCATTTTTTCCCCCAAACCCCCATTTATTCCCCCCAAAATCCCATTTTTTCCCCCCAAAACCCCATTTTTCCCCAATTTCCCCCCAAAAACTCACCCAGCTCCTTCAGCCTCTCCCTCCTCTCCCGGGGGGGTCCGGGCTGGGGATTTTTGGGGGTATTTTTGGGGCGGGGGTCCCTCCCCTCCCCCACCTCCCGCAGCCACTTTTGGGGCGGGACCCCCAAAACCAGCCAGGAGTGGATGAGGGACGGGACGAAGCCGCGGAGGAGGAGCCCCAAAAATTGGGGATTTTCCACCAAAAGCTGCAGCAGGCGGGGGGCGCGGGGGGAGGGGCGGGGGACCCCCGCCAGGTACCCCAAAATGGCCGAGACCAGGGTGGGGGAGGGGAGGGAGGGGGAGGGGCAGGGGGGCTCGGCCAGGCGCTCCAGCAGCAGCAGCACGGGGGTCTCGGGCAGTTTGGGGTCCCCCAAAAGGGTCGGGGGGATTTGGGGCAGGGCCAGGGTGGCCAGGGTGGGGGGGAGGGGCGGGCGGGGTCGTTTTTTGGGGGGGGGGGCAAGGGGGGGGAGGGGAGGGGGGAGGGGTGGTGGGGGAGGTAGAGGAGAGCCAGGAGCTGGGGAGGGGGAGGGGAGAGAGCAAAGGAAAATTGGATTTAAAATGTTAAAAAACGGCTGAAATGTGGTGAAATAAACCCAAAAATCCCGTTAAATTACCTCAAAAATCCCATTAAATAACCCCAAAAATCCCTTTAAGTAACCACAAAAACCCCATTTAATAACCCCAAAAATCCCATTAAATAACCCGAAAAATTCCGTTGAATAACCCCAAAAATCCCATCAAATAACCCCAAAAATCCCGTTAAATTACCCGAAAAATCCCGTTAAATAACCCCAAAAATCCCTTGAAATAACCCCCCAAAAATCCCGTTAAATAAACCCAAAAACCCTTTTAAATTACCCCAAAAATTCCATTAAATAACCCAAAAAAAATCCCTTTAATTAATCCCAAAAATCCCGTTAAATAACCCCAAAAATCCCATTAAATAACCCCAAAAATCCCATTAAGTAACTCAAAAAAATCCCTTTAATAACCCCCCTCCCCAATATCCCAAACCCTCTCAAACCCCCAAAATCACCCCAAAATCTCCTCCCCAACATCCCAAAACCCCCCAAATCCCCCTCCCCAATATCTCAACCGCCCCAAAATCCCACAAAACCCCCCAAAAACCCCCCAAAATCCACTCAAGTCCCCCTCCCCAACGTCCCAAAACCCCTCAAATCCCCCCCCCAATATCTCAACCACCCCAAAATCCCCCAAACCCCCCCCCAAAATCCCCTCAAACCCCCCAAATGCTCCCCAAATCCCCCTCCCCAATATCCTAAACCCCCTCAAATCCCCCCAAAACCCCCCAAACCCCCCCAAATCCCCCTCCCCACTCACCTCAACCCCCTCCAGCTCCTCACCGCCGCCTCCCCGGGGCTCCCCAGCCCCAAATCCCCCCAAAAACGCCCCCAAAATCCCCTCAAACCCCCCAAAATCCCCCCAAATCCCTCTCCCCAACGTCCCAAATCTCCCCAAACCCCCCAAATCCCCCTCCCCAATATCTCAACTGCCCCAAAGCCCCTCAAACCCCCCAAAATCCCCCAAATCCCCCTCCCCAACATCCCAAATCCCCCCAAACCCCCCAAATCCCCCTCCCCAATGTCCCAAACCCCCTCAAATCCCCTCAAATCCCCCAAAATCCCCTCAAACTCCCCAAAATCCCCCCCAAACCCCCTCCCCACTCACCTCAACCCCCTCCAGCTCCCTGCCGCTGCCTCCCCGGTGCTCCCAAACCCCAAATCCCCCCAAAAACCCCTCAAACCCCCAAAATCTCCCCAAAATCCCCTCAAATCCCCCTCCCCAATATCCCAAATCACCCCAAAATCCCCTCAAACCCCCCAAAATCCCCTCAAGTCCCCCTCCCCAACATCCCAAATCTCCTCAAACCCTCCAAAATCCCCTCAAAACCCCCTCCCCAATATCCCAAACCCCTTAGATCCCCCCAAACCCCCCAAATCCCCCTCCCCAATGTCCTAAACCCCCCCAAAATCCCCTCAAACCCCCCAAAATCCCCCTCCCCAATGTCCCAAATCCCCTCAAACCCCCCAAAATCCCCTCAAATCCCTCTCCCCAATATCCCAAATCCCCCCAAACCCCCCAAAATCCCCCCCAACTCCCCCTCCCCACTCACCTCAGCCCCCTCCAGCTCCCCGCCGCCGCCTCCCCGGCGCTCCCAAACCCCAAATCCCCCCAAAAACCCCCTCAAACCCCCAAAATCCCCCCGAAATCCCCTCAAATCCCTCTCCCCAATATCCCAAATCCCCTCAAACCCCCCAAAACCCCCTGAAACCCCCAAAATCCCCCCGAATCCCCCTCCCCAATATCTCAAACCCCTTAAGTCCCCCAAATCCCCCCCAAATCCCCCTCCCCAATATCCCAAATCCCCCCAAACCCCCCAAATCCCCCTCCCCAATATCCCAAATGCCCCCAAAACCCCTGAAACCCCCCAAACCCCCAAAATCCCTGTCCCAAATATCCCAAACCCCCTGAAATCTCCCCCAAAACCCCCCAAATCCCCCCAAATCCTCTCCCCAAACCCCCCAAATGCTCCTCCCTAATATCCCAAATCACCCCAAACCCCCTGAATCCCCCTCCCCAATGTCCAAAACCCCCTCAAACCCCCAAAATCCCCCCAAATCCCCCTCCCCACTCACCTCAACCCCCTCCAGCTCCCTGCCGCCGCCTCCCCGGGGCTCCCAAACCCCAAATCCCCCCAAATCCTCTCCCCAAACCCCCCAAATCCCCCTCCCCAATATCCCAAAACCCCCCAAAATCCCCCCAAATCCCCCTCCTCAATATCCCAAACCCCCTCAAATCCCCCCAAAACTTCTCAAATCTCCCCAAATCCCCCCCAAATCCCCCTCCCCACTCACCTCAACCCCCTCCAGCTCCCCGCCGCCGCCTCCCCGCCGCTCCCAACCCCCAAATCTCGGGGCAGATCCGCCGACTTCGCCTCCTCTTCCTCCTTTTCCTCCTCCTCCTCCTCCTCCTCGGGGACCCCTCGGGGCAGCCTCCGGGCCAGCAGCGGCACCAGCCCGGCCGCGTCCAGGGCCCGCAGCGCGGGCGGGTCCCAGGAGAAGGCGGCCAGGGCCAGCAGCACCGCGCCGTGCCAGCGCCGCGCCCGCGGCTCCCGCAGCACGGCCAGCAGCGCCCCCAGGCCCCCCGAGCGCCGCACCCGCGCCCGGTTCACCGCCTCGCGGCACAGCAGGCACAGCGCCCGGATAGCGCAGTCCAGCGGGCCGCCCCCAGACTCAATTGGGGGAGCGCTGGAGGGGGGCTTGGGGGGCGTGGGGTGGGGTTTGGGGGGCGTTAATTGGGGTTTGGGGAAGGTAGAGGGGGGTTTGGGGGGTGCACAGGGGGGTTTGGGGGGTGTGGGGTGGGGTTTGGGGAGCCTAAGTTGGGGTTTGGGGGGCATAGACTCAATTTGGGGAGGGGTGGAGGGGGGTTTGGGGGAGGTAGAGAGGGGTTTGGGGGGTGCAGAAGGGGGTTTGGGGGGCATAGACTCAATTGGGGGAGGGGTGGAGGGGGGCTTGGGGGGGGCACGGGGGGGTTTGGGGGGTGCACAGGGGGGTTTGGGGGGTGCAGAAGGGAGTTTGGGGAGCGTAGGTTGGGGTTTGGGGGTCGCAGACTCAATTTGGGGAGCGCCGGAGCGGGATTTGGGGGTCTTGGAGGGGGGTTTGGGGGGTGTGGGGTGGGGTTTGGGGGGCATAGACTCAATTTGGGGAGGGGTGGAGAGGGGTTTGGGGGGGGCACAGGGGGGTTTGGGGGGTGTGGGGTGGGGTTTGGGGGCTGTAGAAGGGGTTTTGGGGGGCGTAGGTTGGGGTTTGGGGGGCGTGGGGTGGGGTTTGGGGGTCTCAGAGGGGAATTTGGGGGGCGCAGAGGGGATTTTGGGGGTCTCAGACTCAATTTGGGCACTCCCGGAGCGGGATTTGGGGGTCTTGGAGGGGGGTTTGGGGGTCTCAGAGGGGGGTTTGGGGGTCTCAGACTGGAATTGGGGAGCCCCAGAGGGGAATTTGGGGGACGTGGATTGGGGTTTGGGGGTCGCAGACTCAATTTGGGGACGCCCAGAGGGGAATTTGGGGGGTGTAGACTCGAATTTGGGAGCCCCAGAGGAGATTTTGGGACCCCCAGACTCAATTTGGGGAGAGGTGGAGAGGGGTTTGGGGGGGGCACGGGGGGGTTTGGGGGGCGTGGGGTGGGGTTTGGGGGGCGTGGGGTGGGGTTTGGGGAAGGTAGAGGGGGGTTTGGGGGGCGCAGACTCAATTTGGGGACCCCCGGAGTGGGATTTGGGGGCTGCAGATTGGGTTTTGGGGGAGGTAGAGGGGGGTTTGGGGGTCTCAGACTCAATTTGGGGACCCCCAGAGGGGAATTTGGGGGGTGTAGACTCGAATTTGGGAGCCCCAGAGGAGATTTTGGGACCCCCAGACTCAATTTGGGGACCGCCGGAGCGGGATTTGGGGGGTGCACAGGGGGTTTTGGGGGGCGCGGGTTGGATTTTGGGGGTCTCAGACTGGAATTGGGGAGTCCCAGAGGACATTTTGGGACCCCCAGACTCAATTTGGGCACCCCCGGAGCGGGATTTGGGGGGCGCAATTTGGGTTTTGGGGGTCTCAGACTGGAATTGGGGAGCCCCAGAAGGGAATTTGGGGGTCTCAGAGGGGGTTTTGGGGGGCTCAGAGGGGATTTTGGGGGGTGCAGACCAGAATTGGGGACCCCCAGAGGGGAATTTGGGGGTCACACACTCAATTTTAGGACCCCTGGAGGGGACTTTGGGGGTCTCAAACTCAATTTGGGGACCCCCAGAGGAGAATTTGGGGGGTGCAGAGGGGATTTTGGGGACTTTGGAGGAGGTTTTGGGACCCCCAGACTCAATTCGGGGACCCCCAGAGGAGAATTTGGGGGTCTCAGAGGGGAATTTGGGGGGCTCAGACTGAATTTGGGGACCCCCAGAAGGGAATTTGGGGGTCTCAGAGGGGGTTTTGGGGGGCTCAGACCGGAATTGGGGACCCCCAGAGTCGATTTTGGGACGTTTGGTCCTGGGTTTGGAACCCCCAGACTCAAATTCGGGACCCCCAGACTCAATTCGGGGAGACCCAGAGGAGATTTTGGGGCTCTGGGAGGGGATTTGGGGACCCCCAGACTCAAATTGGGGACCCCCAGAGTCGAATTTGGGACGCTTGGTCCTGTGTTTGGAACCCCCAGACTCAAATTTGGGATTTTCACCTAATTCAGAACCCCCAGACCCAAATTTGGGCCCCCCATTCAAATGGGGACCCCCGTTCATTTGGGGACCACCGCCCCCAAATTGGGGGGGTTGGGGGCGACCCCCAACCAATTTGGGACCCCCAAAATTAACTTGGGGACCCCCAGCCTTAATTTCAGACCCCTCACCCAATTTGGGACCCCCACCCAATTCGGGACCCTTAATTTCAGGACCCCTACCCAATTTAGGACCCCCAATCTCAAATTTGGGACCCTCACCCAATTTAGGACCCCCACCTAATTTAGGATCACCCCCAAATTTGGGACCCTCACCCAATTTAGGATCACTGCCAAATTTGGGGCCCCCACCCTCCAATTTAGGACCCCCACCCAATTTGGGACCTTCACCCAATTTAACACCCTCACCCCCAAATTCAGGACCCTCACCCAATTTAGGACCACCCTTAAATTTAGGACCCTCATCCCCAAATTCAGGACCCTCACCCAATTTAGGATCACCTTCAAACTCAGGACCCCCACTCCATTTAGGATCACACCCAAATTTGGGACCCCCACCCAATTTAGGATCACCCTCAAACTCAGGACCCCCACTCCATTTAGGATCACTCCCAAATTTGGGACCCTCACCCAATTCAAGACCCTCACCCAATTTAACACCCTCACCCCCAAATTCAGGACCCTCACCCAATTTGGGACCACCCTGAAATTTAGGACCCTCATCCCCAAATTCAGGACCCCCACCCAATTCAGGATCACCCTCAAACTCAGGACCCCCACTCAATTCAGGATCACACCCAAATTTGGGACCCTCACCCAATTCAGGACCCCCACTCAATTCAGGCTCACCCTCAAACTCAGGACCCCCACCCAATTTAGGATCACACCCAAATTTGTGTCCCTCACCCAATTCAGGACCCTCACTCAATTCAGGACCCCCACTCAATTCAGGACCCCCACTCAATTCAGGACCCCCACTCAATTCAGGACCCCCACTCAATTCAGTATCACACCCAAATTTGTGTCCCTCACCCAATTCAGGATCACCCTCAAACTCAGGACCCTCACCCAATTTTGGATCACACCCAAATTTGGGACCCTCACCCAATTCAGGACCCTCACCCAATTCAGGACCCCCACCCAATTCAGGATCACACCCAAATTTGTCTCCCTCACCCAATTCAGGACCCTCACCCAATTCAGGACCCCCACTCAATTCAGGATCACCCCCCTCAAACCCACCCCCCTCCCCAAATTCCCCGTGGGCGCCCCCAGCCCCTTTTAACCCCCTCCTGACCGCGGCCACCGCCGCCTCCACGGCTCCGGCGGCTCCCAGGGCCGGCCGCAGCCACCCTCGGCCGCTGACCGCCGCCAGCACGGCCAGAGCCCAGCCCCGGGCGTCCAGCGCCGGCCGGGCGGCCAGAGCGGCCAGAGCGGCCAGGGCGGGGGTCACGGCCTCGGCCACGGCCGCCGGGCACGGAGTGACCAGCAGCCCCCGCAGCGCCCGCGCCAGCGCCGGGCACGAGGGGTGCCCGGGGGGCAGAGCGGTCAGACGTCCGGCCAGAGCCGCGGCCGCTCGGACACGGGCGGGGTCAGGCAGAGGGGGGGCGCGGGGTGAGGTTTTGGGGGGGTTTGGGGGGGTTTGGGGGGTACCCAGGATGCGAAGGGCGCGGGCGGCGCTGGTCAGGCAGGCCGGGGTGCTGCAGGTGGAGGTGAGGGAGATCAGCAGGGGCGCGGCACCTGAGGGGTTAATGGGCGGTTAGGGGGGTTTTGGGGGGTTTTGGGGTGAAATAGAATGAGTTGGGTTCAAAATGCCGTGAAATTGTGGTAAATTCCCCTCAAATCACCACCAAATTCACCCCCAAATTCGTCCCATTTCCCCCAGATTCCTCTAAAATTTTCCCCAAATTCCTCCATATTTCTCCCAAATCCCCCTCAAATCGCCCCCAAATTTCCACTAAATTCACCCCCAAATTCGTCCGATTTTCCCCCAAATTCCTCTAAAGTTTTACCCAAATCACCCCCAAATTCCTCTCAAATTTTCCCCAAATCACCCCCAAATCCCTCCCAAATATCCCCCAAATCACCCCCAAATTCCTCTCAAATTTTCCCCAAATCACCCCCAAATTCCTCTCAAATTTTCCCCAAATTCCTCCAAATTTCTCCCACATTTCTCTAAAATTTCCCCCAAATCGCCCCCAAATTTCTCCCATATTTCTTCCAAATTTCCCTCAAATCCCTCCCAAATTTCCCCCAAATCTCCCTTGAACTTCCCCAAAATCCCTAAAAAATCGCCAATTTTTTTCCCAAAGTCTGCTAATTCCCCCCAAAAATTCCAAAAAAATCCCCTTAAATCCCTCAAAAATCCCCCCAAAATTCCCTTAAAAATCCCCCAAGATTTCCCCAAAAATTCCCAAATTTTCCCCAAAATCCCCAAAATCACAGATTACCCCCAGAATTCCCTAAAACCCAAAAAAATCCCGAAAATTCCCCAAAAATCCCCCAAATTTTTTCGAAAAGCCACAAAAATTCCCAAATTCCCACATAAACCCCCAAGTTTTCCCCCAAAATCCCCCAAACCCCCAAAAAATCCAAATTTTCCCCTAAAATTCCCAAAAATCCCCCCAAAATCCCCAAATTTTCCCCAAAATCCCCAAAATCACAGATTACCGCCAGAATTCCCTAAAACCCAAAAAAATCCCAAAATTTCCCCAAAAATCCAAAAAAACCTCCCCAAAAATCCCCCAAATTTTTTCGAAAAGCCACAAAAATTCCTCCATAAACCCCCAAGTTTTCCCCCAAAATCCCCCCAACCCCAAAAAAATCCAAATTTTTCCCTAAAATTCCCAAAAATCCCCCCAAAATCCCCAAATTTTCCCCCAAATCCCCACATTTTTGCCCAAAATCCCCCGAATTTCCCCCAAATCGGGTCCCTCACCGGCGTCTAGCACATCGCGGGCCCCGTCCGGCTCCAGGGCCAGGTTGGCCAAAGTCCGAGCGGTGCGATTCCGGACGCTCTCGGGGGCAGCGGTCAGCGCCAGGATGGACACTGCGGACAGGGGTCAAAGGTCAGGGATGGACACCACAATGGGGTCAAAGGTCAGGGATGGACACTCAAGGGTCAGTGGTGAGTGGTCAGCACCAGGATGGACACTGCGGACAGGGCTCAGTCCCGATAATTTCTCACATTCCCAACATTTTCCCTCATTCCCATCACTTTCCCCCTCATTCCCAGCACTTTTCCCCAATTTTCCCTCATTCCTGATATTTTTTCCCACATTCCCGCCACTTTTCCCCTCATCCAAGACACTTTTCCCCTCACAAACAGCACTTTTTCCCTCACAAATGACATTTTTCCCCTCACTCCAGACACTTTTCCCTCACAAACGACACTTCCACCGCATTCCCATCACTTTCCCCCTCACAAACAGCATTTTTCCCTCATTCCTGATATTTTTTCCACATTCCCGCCACTTTTTGCCACATTCCCTCACACCCGCCACTTTTCCCCTCATCCATGACGCTTTTCCCCCTCACAAAAAGCAACTTTCCCCTCACAAATGACATTTTTTCCCTCACAAATTACACCTTTCCCCCTCATTCCCAGCACTTTTCCCCAATTTTCCCTCATTCCTAATATTTTTTCCCACATTCCCGCCACTTTTCCCCTCACAAACAGAACTTTTCCCCTCACAAATGACATTTTTTCCCTCACTCCGGACACTTTTCCCTCACAAATGACATTTTCCCCCTCATTCCCGCCACTTTTCCCCTCACAAACAGCACTTTTCCCCTCACAAATTACATTTTTTCCCTCACTCCAGACACTTTTCCCTCACAAATGACACTTCCCCCTCATTCCCATCACAAACAGCACTTTTCCCCACTTTTCCCTCATTCCTGATATCTTTTCCCACATTCCCGCCACTTTTCCCTTCACACCTGACACTTTTCCCCTCACAAACAGCACTTTTCCCCTCACAAATGACATTTTTTCTCTCACTCCGGACACTTTTCCCTCACAAATGACACTTCCCCCTCATTCCCATCACTTTTCCCCTCACAAACAGCACTTTTCCCCACTTTTCCCTCATTCCTGATATTTTTTCCACATTCCCGCCACTTTTCCCCTCACAAACAGCACTTTTCCCCTCACAAATGACATTTTTTCCCTCACTCCGGACACTTTTCCCTCACAAACTATACTCTCCCCCTCATTCCTGCAACTTTTCCCCTCACAAACAGCATTTTTCCCCACTTTTCCCTCATTCCTGATATCTTTTCCCACATTCCCGCCACTTTTCCCTTCACACCTGACACTTTTCCCCTCACAAACAGCATTTTTCCCCTCACAAATGACATTTTTTCTCTCACTCCGGACACTTTTCCCTCACAAATGACACTTCCCCCTCATTCCCATCACTTTTCCCCTCACAAATGACATTTTTTCTCTCACTCCGGACACTTTTCCCTCACAAATGACACTTCCCCCTCATTCCCATCACTTTTCCCCTCACAAATGACTTTTTTTCTCTCACTCCAGACACTTTTCCTTCACAAAAGACACTCTCCCCCTCATTCCCATCACTTTTCCCCTCACAAACAGCACTTTTCCCCACTTTTCCCTCATTCCTGATATTTTTTTACCACATTCCCGCCACTTTTCCCCTCACAAATGACATTTTTTCCCTCACTCTGGACACTTTTCCTTCACAGCACACACTTTCCCCTCATTCCCGGCACTTTCCCCCTCACATTTCCCAGTTTCCCCCTCACATTTCCCCCTTTTCCCCTCACAAATGAAACTTTTCCCTCACAAATGGCAGTTTTTTCCCTCACACCACGCAATTTCCCCTCACAAATGACACTTTTCCCCTCACATTTCCCACTTTTCCCCTCACTTTCCCCCTCTCAAATGACACTTTTTCCCTCACATCACACACTTTTCCAGCCATTTCCGGCACTTTTTTCCCTCACACCTGACACTTTTCCCCTCACAAAAAGCACTTTTCCCCTCACAAATGACATTTTCTCCCTCACTCCGGACACTTTCCCCTCACTCCAGACACTTTTCCCCCTCATTCCCATCACTTTCCCCCTCACATTTCCCACTTCCCCCTCACAAATGACACTTTTCCCCTCACATCTCCCACTTTCCCCTCACATCTCCCACTTTCCCCCTCACATTTCCCACTTTCCCCCTGACATTTCCTACTTTCCCCCTCACATTTCCCGCTTTCCCCCTCACAAATGACACTTTTCCCCTCACATCACACACTTTTCCACCCATTTCCCGCACTTTTTTCCCTCACACCACGCAATTTTCCCTCACAAATGACACTTTTCCCCTCACAGCACACACTTTCCCCTCATTCCAGCCACTTTCCCCCTCACATTTCCCACTTTCCCCCTCACATTTCCCACTTTCCCCACCCATTTCCCGCACTTTTTCCTCTCACACCACACACTTTCCCCTCATTCCCGGCACTTTCCCCCTCACATCTCCCACTTTTCCCCTCACATTTCCTACTTTCCCCCTCACTAATGAAACTTTTCCCTCACAAATGGCACTTTTTTCCCTCACACCACGCAATTTCCCCTCACAAATGACACTTTCCCCCTCACATTTCCCACTTTTCCCCTCACATCTCCCACTTTTCCCTCACATTTCCCACTTTCCCCCTCACATCTCCCACTTTCCCCCTCACACCACGCACTTTCCCCCTCACATCTCCCATTTCCCCCTCACATTCCCCACTTTCCCCCTCACATTTCCCACTTTTCCCTACACATTTCCCACTTTCCCCCTCACATTTCCCACTTTCCCCCCTCACATTTCCCACTTCTCCCCTCACAATTCCCACTTTTCCCCTCACATTTCCTACTTTCCCCCTCACAAATGACACTTTTCCCTCACAAATGACACTTCTCCCCTCACATCTCCCACTTTTCCACCCACATTCCCCACTTTTCCCCTCACATTTCCCACTTTCCCCCTCACATTTCCCACTTTCCCCTCACATTCCCCACTTTCCCCCCACATTTCCCCCATCCCCTCTCCCGCACTCACCGAGCCGCTGCACCCCTCCGAGGCTCCGCGCCTGCCGCCGGCAGCCGGGCTCGGTGCAGCAGTTGCCGAGCACGCTCAGCGCCAGCTCCAGCACCCGCCGGGGCTGCTCGGGCCGCACCAGCTCCAGCAGCGGCCCGAGCCCGCCGCGCTCCCGGAACCGCGCGGGGCCCCCGGCCCGCCGCGTGTGCCGCCCGCGCAGCGCCACCAGCGCCCGCGACAGCGCCGGCTCGGCCGCGGCCCGCACGGCCTCCACGCACCAGCCCAGCGACTCCGACATGGCGGGGGGAAAAACGGGAGAAGTGGGAAAAATCAAAAATATAAACTCTGGAGGGGGGAGAGGGGAACGGCGAGGGGCGGAACGGGCGGAGAGGGGAGAGCGGGGAGGGGGGAACGGCGGGGAAGGGGCACAGAGAGAGCGGGGGAAGGGAGAGGGGGAGGGACGCGGCGCGCGGGGTTGATGGGAGAGAGGCGGGGCTTGGGAGACGGAAAGGGGCGGGGCTTGGGGTGATTGACAGGTGGGGCGTGAGGGGCGGGTGATTGATTGACAGGCGTGTGGGTGATTGATTAGGCTGACTAATCGATTGATAATTAGATTGATTGATTGATTAAGAGGCATGGCAATACGGGATTGATTAGGCAAATATTGATTGATTGATTGATTGATTAAGGGGCGTGACAGAGTGATTGATTAGGCAAATATTGATTGATTGATTGAATAAGGGGCGTGACAGAGTGATGGATTAGGCAAATATTGATTGATTGATTGATTGATTAAGGGGCGTGACAGAGTGATTGATCAGGCAAATATTGATTGATTGATTAAGGGGAGTGTCAATGGGGGATTGATGGAGCTGCGGGTGATCAGATCAATAGGAAAGGGGCGTGGCAATGAGTGTTTCATTAGGCAAATTGCTTGATGGTATTGATTGAGCGTGGGGTGAAAAGGGCAGTGCCACAGGTGATTGAGAGGGAAATTGCCGAATGATTAAGTGATTGATTACTTTGATTGACAGGCAGAGGATTAAATGAATCGCAGAAGGGGCGGGGCAACGGATGATTGACACTAAATTATGCAAAGTGGGCGTGGCATCGAGTGATTGACAGCACGTTTAACTATAGACTGATAAATAGTGGGCGTGGTTTGTGGGCGTGGCTTACTGGTTGATTGACAGCTGCGTGCCGCGGCCAACGAAACCTCGCGAGATTTCCCGAGATTTGGCGCCGTTCCCGCCCTTTTTCCCCTCCCACCCAACATGGCGGCGCACGCGGGGTCCCCCCCCGGGCCGGGCATGTCGCGACAGTGGCGACAATCGCGACAGTCGTGGCCTCGCCTCGATCCCGACACCGCCGAGTATTTCCGGAGGGCTCTGGAGACGCTGGAGGAGGGGCTGAGCGAAGAGGAGCTCGGTGAGGGGGGGTTTGGGGTGGGTTTGGGGGGTCGTGAGGGGATTTTGGGGCTGCCTGAGGGGATTGGGGGGGTGGTTATAAGGGGATTTTGGGGGTTTATGAGGGAATTTGGAGTCTATGAGGGGGTTTTGGGGGTTTATGAGAGGTTTGGGGGTCCCTGAGGGGATTTGGGGGGGTTTGTGAGGGGATTTTGGGGGTTTATGAGGGATTTGGGGGTTTATAAGGAAATATGGGGGGTTTATGAGGGGATGTTTGGACTTATGAGGGGATTTTGGGGGTTTATGAGGGAGTTTTGGCATTTTTGAGGGGGTTTTGAGGTTTATGAGAGGTTTGGGGGTCCCTGAGGGGATTTGGGGGGGTTTGCGAGGGGATTTTGGGGGTTTATGAGGGGATTTGGGGGTTTATAAGGGAATATGGGAGGTTTATGAGGGGATGTTGGGACTTATGAGGGGATTTTGGGGGTTTATGAGGGGATTTTGGGGGTTTATGAGGGAGTTCTGGCATTTATGAGGGGATTTTGGGGTTTATGAGGGGTTTGGGGGTCCCTGAGGGGATTTGGGGGGGGTTGTTAGGGGATTTGGGGGGTTTATGAGGGGATTTGGGGGTTTATAAGGGAATATGGGAGGTTTATGAGGGGATGTTTGGACTTATGAGGGGATTTTGGGGGTTTATGAGGGGATTTTGGGGTTTATGAGGGGTCTGGGGGAATTATGAGGGGATTTTGGGGGTTTATAATGGATTTTGTGGGGGTTATGAGGGGGTTTTGGGGTTTATGAGGAGATTTGGGGGTTTATGAGGGGATTTGGGGGATTTGTGAGGGGATTTTGTGTCTATAAGGGAATTTGGGAGTTTATGAGGGAATTTGGGGGCTTTATGAGGGGATTTTTGGGTATATAAGGGAATTTGGGGGATTTATGAGGAGATTTGGGTGTTTATGAGGGGGTTTTGGGGTTTATGAGCGAATATCAGGGAGTTTATGAGGGGTTTGGGTGAATTATGAGGGGATTTTGGCATTTATGAGGAATTTGGGAGAGTTTATGAGAAGATTTTGGGGCTTTATGAGGGGATTTTGGGATTTGTAAGGCAATTTGGGGAGTTAATGAGGGGATTTTAGGGCTTATGAGAGGCTTTGGGGGGTTTATGAGGGGATTTTTTTCCCTCCCAACCCACATTTTTTTGTGTTTAACCCCTATTTTTTGCATTTAACCTCTGTTTTTTGTATTTAACCGCTGTTTGTTTGCATCTAACCCCCATTTTTTTTTGCATTTAATCCCATTTTTTGTATTTAACCTCCATTTTTCTGCATTTAACCCCCATTTTTTCAGTTAACCCCCATTTATTTTATTTTAACTCCCTTTTTTTATCTCTAACCCCACTTTTTTTGCGTTTAACCTCCATTTTTTTGCATTTAACCCCACTTTCTTTTGCATTTAACCCCCATTTTTTGCATTTAACCCCCATTTTTTTAATTTTAACTCCCTTTTTTATCTCTAACCCCATTTTTTTGTGTTTAATCTCCACTTTTTAGCATTTAACCCCACTTTCTTTAGCTTTTAACTCCCTTTTTTTATCTCTAACCCCATTATTTTGTGCTTAACCGCCATTTTCTCACTCCCAACTCTCACTTTTTTGCATTTAACCCCCTTTTTTTTGTGTTTAACCCCCATTTTCCCCCTCCCAACCCCTATTTTTTCTGCATTTAACCCCATTTTTTGCATTTAACCCCCTTTTTTAAATTTTAACTCCCTTTTTTATCTCTAACCCCATTTTTTTTGCGTTGAATCTCCATTTTTTTGCACTTAACCCCCATTTTTTTTATTTTACCTCCCTTTTTTATCTCTAACCCCATTTTTTTTTATTGGATCTCCATTTTTTTGCATGTAACCCCACTTTCTTTTGCTTTTAACTCCCTTTTTTTATCTCTAACCCCATTTTTTTGCATTTAACCTCCACTTTTTAGCATTTAACCCCAGTTTCTTTTGCTTTTAACTCCCTTTTTATATATCTAACCCCATTTTTTTGCATTTAACCCCATTTTTTTGCGTTTAACCCCCATTTTTTTGCATTTAACCCCAATCTAACCCCATTTTCCCCTTCTCTTTGCAGCTCTCTTCACCCCCAACGTGCTCTCCGAGGTCTCCCAGCACCTCCCCGCCGTGGCCCTGGACCCGGGGGGCTCCCGCCTCCTCCTCCTGCTGCTCCCCCAGACCCCCCCGACCACCCTCCCCACCCTCCTGCTCCACTTGGGGGGCGTCCCCCGCCACCCCCGGGGGTCCCGGGTGCTGGAGGCCGCCCTGGGGAGGGTCCTGGGGGTGCTGGGGGAGGGGCGGGGGGTGGGCGAGGACCTGGAGGGGGCTTTGGGGGGGCTGGTCCGGCTTTTTCTGGAGCAGGATTTGGGGGGCTTGGCCCGGGACCCCAACGGCAGCTTCGTGCTCCGGGCGCTGCTGGCGGTGCTGGGGGGCGGCAGGGACGAAGGTGAGGGGATTTTGGGGTTTTGGGGGGGCTTGAGGGGATTTGAGGGGAGATTTTGGGCTTTTGGGGGGTTTGGGGGAGGTTTGGGGGTGCTGGGGGGCGGCAGGGACGAAGGTGAGGGGGATTTTGGGGGGATTTTGGGGTTTTGGGGGGGCTCGAGGGGCTTTGAGGGGAGATTTTGGGGTTTTGGGAGGGTTTGGGGGGGTTTTGGGGGGCCTGGGGGCGGCAGGGACGAAGGTAAGGGGGATTTTGGGGGCATTTTGGGGTTTTGGGGGGGCTTGAGGGGATTTGAGGGGAGATTTTGGGGTTTTGGGAGGGTTTGAGGGGGTTTGGGGGGGTTTGGGATGGTTTGGGGGGGTTTTGGGGGTGCTGGGAACGGCAGGGACGAAGGTGAGGGGAATTTTGGGGGGGATTTTGGGGTTTTGGGGGGTTTTGGGAGGGTTTTGGGGGGTTTGTGGGGATTTGGGTGGTTTGAGGGGGTTTTGAGAGGATTTGGGGGATTTTGGGAGGTTTTTGGGGAGAATTTTGGGAAGGATTTTTGGGAAAGGATGTGGGGAATTTTGGGGAGGACATGGGGAATTTTTGGGAGGACTTGGGGAATTTTGGGGACGTTTTTCGGGATTTTGGCGGGGGTTTGGGGCTTTTGGGTAGATTTGGTGGATTTTGGGGGGGTTTTTGGGGGTTTGGGGGAGGATTTGGTGGATTTTGGGGTGGTTTTGGGGCTTTTGTGGTGGATTTGGTGTATTTTGGGGAGGACTTCAGGAATTTTGGGGATATTTTGGGGAGGTTTTTGGGGATTTTGGGGAGGATTTTGGGGATTTTGGTGAGGTTTTTGGTGGTTTTGAGGGGATTTTGGGAGGTTTTGGGGTGGATTTGGTGAATTTTGGGGGATTTGGGGGATTTTGGGCTGGATTTGGGAGATTTTTGGGGTGGATTTTTGGGGATTTTTGGCAGTTTTGGGAATTCCCGCCCCCCCCAATTTTTGCCTCATCCCCCCCAGTCCCTCCCCCCAAGGGGGCGGAGCCAAAGACAAAGAAGGCGGAGCTAAAGGCGAAGGGGGCGTGGTCACTGCCCGAGGGGGCGGAGCTTCCGCCCTCCTTCCGCCCCCTGCTGGAGGAGCTGGCGCAGGAGTTGGAGCAGCAAATTCCAGGTGAGCCCAAAATTACCAAAATTCACCCCAAAATCACCCCAAAATCCTCCAGAACAACCCCAAATCCCCCTCCAAATCACCCCAAAATTCACCCCAAAAAACCACAAAATCCTCCAGAACAACCCAAAATCCCCCTCCAAATCACCCCAAAAATCACCCCAAAAAAACCAAATTACCCCCAAAAAACCCCAAATTTCTGTCAAAATTCCCCAAATTTCCCGCAAAATCACCCCAAAAGTCCCGAATTCATCCCAGAATTTCCATCAAAGTCCCCAATTCTTAAATTCCCCCCAAAATCCCCTAATTCCCCCCAAATCCCCAAATTTCCCCCAAATCTCCACAAAATTCCCCCATATTCCATCAAAATTCCCTAATTTCTCTCTAAACCTCTCCCAAAATTCCCAAAATGCCCACCAAAATTCCTGAATTTTCCCTGAAAATCTCCAAATTTATTTCAGAATTCCCCAAATTTTCCCCAAAATCTCCCCCAGAATTCCCAAATTTTCCCAATTTTCCCTAAAATCTCCCCTAATTTCCCTCCAAAATTCCCAAAATCTCCCCCAAATCCCCAAATTTTCCCCCAAATCTCCACAAATTTCCCCCAAATTCCCCAAATCTCCCCTAAAATTCCCGAATTGCCCCAAAATCCCCGAATTTGCCCCGAATTTCCGCAGCGCTGCTGAGCCCGGCCTGCGCCAGCCTGTGCCTGCAGGGGGCGCTGGGGGCGCTGCGCCGCAGCCAATCACCGTCCTGCGCCCGCTTCTGCCGCGCCCTCATTGGCTGCCTCCGCCAGCCCGACCCCGCCCACCAGCAAAGGTGAGCGCTGATTGGCCGGAGCGTCCTGCTGCTCTTTTCTGATTGGTTGGGCGCTCCCACACCGCGTTTCCTGATTGGCTGGCCCCTGCCCGCCCTTTTCTGTGATTGGCTGCCTTCTCATGGGGTGTGGGCGGAGCCACGCTTGTCGTTCTTTGATTGGCTGCTGCTTTGGATCGCCTTTCTTTGATTGGTCGTCCCCTGTGGGCGCTGTGCTGTGATTGGCTGCTGTTCCTCATCCCTTTGTTCTGATTGGCCAGTTCTCCCGATCCTTTCTCTCTGGTTGATCGCTGTCCTCAATCCTCTTTCCCTGATTGGCTGTGGCCTGCGGGTCCTGCTCTCTGATTGGCCGTTTCTCCTGATCCCTTTTTTCCATTTGGTTGTTGTTTTAATTCTTTTTTTCTGATTGGCTGATTCTCCAGATCCTTTCTCACTGATTGGCTGATTCTCCAGATCCTTTCTCACTGATTAGTCAATGTCACTGATCCTTAATCTCTGATTGGCTGCTGCTCCCAATCCCTTTTTTCCCATTGGCCGCTCCTTTAAATCCCTTTTCTTTGATTGGCCGGGCCTCCCAATCCTTTATCTCTGATTGGTCGCTGTCCCGGACTCTTTTCCACTGATTGGCTGCTGCTCCTGATCCCCTGGCGCTGATTGGCCACGTCCCGCACCCCCTGCTCTCTTATTGGCCGCTTCTCCCACCTCCTTTATCCCGATTGGCCACTTCCCCGGATGCCTTTTCTCTGATTGGCCGCCCTCTCTGTCTGTCTCTCTCCCATTGGCCCAGCGCTCTGCTGACGTCACTGCAGGACCCCGCCCGGTCCCGCCTCCTGGAGGCGGCCATGACAGTCCTGGACCCGCCGGGGCTCCGGGAGCTCTTCCGGGGTCACCTGCGGGGTCACCTGAGGGGCGTGGCCTCCCACCCCGTGGCCAATCACGGCCTGCAGCGCCTCCTGGACCACGCCCCCGAGGATGTGGTAGGCGGGGCTTAGCTGGGCGGGGCCTTTGGGGGCGTGGTTTGAGTGGGAGAGGTTTAAATATTAAAATTAGGGGTGGGGCTTAATTGGGAGGGATTAAATATTAAAATTAGGGGCGGGGCTTAATTGGGAGGGGTTAAATTAAGGGATTAAGGGGCGTGGTTTAAGTGGGAGGGATTTAAATCAGGAAATTAGGGGCGTGGGTTAAGTGGGAGGGGTTTTAATATGGAAATTAGGGGCGTGGCATAAGTGGGAGGAGGTTAAATAGTAAAATTAGGGGCATGGGTTAAGTGGGAGGGGCTTAAATATGTAAATTAGGGGCATGGCTTATACAGGAGAGATTTAAATATCAACATTAAAGGCGTGGCTTAGGTAGGAGGGGTTTAAATATGGAAATTAGGGGCGGGGCTTAAAGTGGGATGGGTTTAAATATGGAAATTAGGGGTGTAGGTTAAGTGGGAGGGGTTTAAATATGGAAATTAGGGGAATGGCATAAGTGGGAGGAGGTTAAATAGTAAAATTAGGGGCATGGGTTAAGTAGGAGGGGTTTAAATATGGAAATTAGGGGTGTGGCTTACACGGGAGGGATTTAAATACAAGAGTTAAAGGCGTGGCTTAAGTAGGAGGGGTTTAAATATGGAAATTAGGGGCGGGGCTTAAAGTGGGAAGGGTTTAGATCAGGAAATTAGGGGCATGGGTTAAGTGGGAGGGGTTTAAATATGGAAATTAGGGGCATGGCTTACACGGGAGGGATTCAAATATGCAAATTAGGGGCGTGGCATAAGCAGGAGGAGGTTAAATAGTAAAATTAGGGGCATGGGTTAAGTAGGAGGGGTTAAAATATGGAAATTAGGGGTGTGGCTTACACAGGAGGGATTTAAATATGAACGTTAAAGGCGTGGCTTAAGTAGGAGGGGTTTAAATATGGAAATTAGGGGCGTTGCCTAATGGGAGGCTCCTATTGGCCAGAAGGGTGGTGGGAGGGGTTTAAATGGGTGGGGCTGAAAGAGGAGGAGCTTAAGGGGGGTGTGGTTTAATAAACGGTTCCTATTGGCCAAAAGGGCGGTGGGAGGAGCTTAAAAAGCCAAACCCAAATGGGCGGAGCTCCACCTCATTATTCCCACCCCCCGATTGGCTGGGGAGGCGCGGAGGGGGCGTGGCTAAGCCCAGGTGGGCGTGTCCATCCCGCACAGGTGTCGGAGGTGCTGTCGGAGCTGGGCCCCGCCCTGGAGGAGCCGCTGGCCCGGGGGCACCCCGGGGTGGTGCTGGCGCTGCTGGGAGCGGCCCTGCGGCACCCCCGGCTCCAGGGGGAGGCGCTGCGATGGCTCTTCCAGGTGGGACACGCCCCCTTTTCCGCCCAGACCACGCCCCCTTTGTGTTATACCACACCCACTTCCCCTTAAGCCACGCCCACTTTGCGTTATACCACGCCTGCTTACGGTTAAACCACACCCCTCATTTGTTACAAGCCACGCCCCCTCATTAAACCACACCTTATTAATTATAAGCCCCACCCACCAAGCCAAATAAACCACACCCCTTCCCATTTTCACCCCATTTCAGACCCTGCCTACTTTAAATATTCTAATTAGGCCACACCCCTTTCTGTAAGCCACACCGTTATTTGGCCACACCCATTTTTGCCAAGCCACACTCATCTATGCTAAGCCCCACCCCTTTTAGCCCCACCCTTTTAAGCCCCGCCTTGTTAACCAAACACTCATTAGCCCCACCCCTTTTAGCCACACCCTTTAAAACCCTGCCCCTTTGACCACACCTCTTTAGCCCCACCCACTTTTTAGGCACGCCCTTTTTAAGCTCCACCTATTTTAGCCACACCCACTTTTAGCCCCACCCTGTGTAAGCCACGCCCTTTTAACCACACCGTCATCATGCCCACCCACTTTTAGCCCCACCCTGCTAAGCTCCGCCCCTTCAACCACACCCTCATTAGCCCCTCCCACTTTTAAGCCACACCCGGTTTAAGCCCCGCCTCTTTAACCACACCCTTAATAGCTCCACCCACTTTTAGCCCCACCCTTTTTGAGCTCCACCCCTTTAGCCACACCCACTTTTAGCCCCACCCTGTCTAAGTCCCGCCCCTTTAACCACACCCTTATTGGCTCCACCCACTTTTTGCCCCACCCTGCTAAGCTCCGCCCCTTCATCCACACCCTCATTAGCCCCACCCCATTTTAGCCACACCCTCCCTAAGCCCCACCCCTTTTTGCCTTACCTTTTTAAGCCCCGCCCCTTTAACCAAACCCCATTGGCCCCACCCACTTTTTAGTCACACCCTCTCCAAGCCCCACCCCTTTTGCCCCACCCTGTCTAAGCTCCGCCCCTTTAACCACACCCTCATTAGCCCCACCCACTTTTAGCCACACCCTCCCTAAGCCCCACCCCTTTTTGCCTCACCCTTTTAAGCTCAACCCCTTTAACCACACCCTCGTTAGCCCCACCCACTTCTAGTCACGCCCTGTCTAAGCCCCGCCCCTTCAACCACACCCTCATTAGCCCCACCCCTTTTTGCCCCACCCTGCAAAGCTCCGCCCCTTTAACCACACCTTTATTAGCTCCACCCACTTTTTAGCCACACCTGTTCTAAGCTCCGCCTCTTTAACCACACCCTCATTAGCCCCACCCCATTTTAGCCACACCCTCATTAGGACCACCCACTTTTAGCCCCACCCTTTTAAGCCCCGCCCCTTTAACCAAACCCCATTGGCCCCACCCACTTTTTAGCCACACCCTCTCCAAGCCCCACCCCTTTTGCCCCGCCCTGCTAAGCCCCGCCCCTTTTCCCACCAGGCTTTGCGCTGCTGGGCCCCGCCCCACCACCCCCATTGCGTCACCGCCCTGGCCAAGCTCCGCCCCCTGGAGGGCGGGGCCAGCGAGGAGGGGGCGGTGCTTGAGGTAAAGGGGCGTGGCTTAACGGGGTGGGGCTAAATGGGGAGGAGCTTAATGGGGTGGGGTTAAATGGGGTGGGGTTAAAGTGGGTGTGGCTAAAAGGGGCGGGGCTTTCTGGGATTTTTTTCTATTTATTTGAGTTTAAATTGATTTTTTTTGCCTTTTCGGATTTTTTTTAATTTCCTTTTTCCCAATCTCCTCCATTTTCCTCCCCATTTTCCCCCAATGCTGTTTCTCCATTTTCTTAATTTCCCAATTCTCACAATTCCCCCCAATTCCCCCCAAATCCCAAATCCCCCCATTTTGCCCCAAATCCCAAACCCTCAAATCCCCCAATTTTTCCAAATTTCAAACCCCCAAACTCCCCGATTATCACCCAAATCCCCCCTAAACCCCAAATCCCCCAATTTTTCCAAATTTCAAACCCCCAAATTCCTGATTATCACCCAAATCCCCCCTAAATCCCAAATCCCCAAATTTCCCCATTTCGCCCCAAATCCCAAACCCCCAAATCACCCCCAATTTTTCCAAATTTCAAACCCCCAAATTCCCCGATTATCACCTAAATTCCTCCTAAATCCCAAACCCCCAAATCCCCCAATTTTTCCAAATTTCAAACTCCCAAATTCCCCGATTTTCACCCAAACTCCCCTAAATCCCCAACCCCCAAATCCCCCAATTTTTCCACATTTCAAACCCCCAAACTCCCCGATTTCCACCCAAATCCTCTCTAAATCCCAAATCCCCCAATTTTTCCAAATTTCAAACCCCCAAATTCCCCGATTTCCACCCAAATTCCCCTAAATCCCCAATCCCCCAATTTTTCCCAATTTCAACCCCCCAAATTCCCGATTACCACCCAAATTCCTCCTAAAACCCAAACCCTCAAATTCCCCCATTTCCCCACAAATCCTAAACCCAAAAATCCCCCTTTTTTTCCACATTTCAAACTCCCAAACTCCCCGATTACCACCCAAATCCCCCTAAATCCCAACGCCCCATATCCGAATCCCCAAATTTCCCTTAAATTTTCCCAAAATCCCCGTTTTTCCCCCCAAATTCTCAGCCCTCCCCCGCCGGTTCCCGCGCTCTGCAGCTGCTGCTGCGCTTCCGCTGCTCAAGCCCCGCCCCTTGCCCCGCCCACAATGCGCCAGGCCACGCCCCCAGCGATACCCTCAATGGGACAGACCACGCCCCCAATGTGCCAGACCACGCCCACACCGCACCAAACCACGCCCACTGCAATGCACTCAATGGGTCAGGCCACGCCCCCAGCGCCACAGGCCCCGCCCCCCTGCCAGGCCCCGCCCCCATCTCGCGGGCGCTGGGGGCGCTCTCTGGCGCCGCCCTGGTGGCGCTGGCGCGCAGCGGCCCCGGCAGCCGCCTCTGTGACGTCATTTTGGGCTCCAAACCGGCGCGGAAATGGCTCCTGAAAAGGCTCAAGGTACCCCAAAATTTGGGAAAATTTGGGGAAAAATTGGGGAAAAAGTCCCCCTTTCACGGGAAAAAAAATTGGAATTTTTGGTGAAAAAATCTGATTTTTTTGGCATAAAATCTGATTTTTTTAAGGAAAAAATGGGGTTTTTTTAGTGGAAAAAATAAGATTTTTTGGGGGGAAATTGGGATTTTATTTGGGAAAAAAATCCCCCCTTTTGTGGGAAAAAAAATGGGAAGTTTTGGTGAAAAAATCTGGATTTTTTTGCAAAAAAATCGGATTTTTTAGTGGAAAAAGTGGGGTTTTTTAGTGGAAAAGATAAAATTTTTTGGGGGAAAATTGAGATTTTATTTGGGGAAAAGTTCTGATTTTTTTGACAAAAAAAAATTGAGTTTTTTTAGCAGGTTTTTAGGAAAAAAATCCCAAGGTTTTTTATTAGAATCGGATTTTTAGTGAAAAAATGTGATTTTTTAGTGAAAAATCACTGACTTTTTTAGTGAAGAAAGAGGAGATTACTGGGGGACAAATGGGAATTTTTTGATGAATAAAGTCCGACTTTTTGGAGAAAATTTTGATTTTTTTTGCAAAAAAATTGGATTTTTTTGTGAAAAAAAATGGGTTGTTTTATCCAAAAAATCCCATTTTTCAGCATGAAAATTCGGGATTTTTAGCACAAAACTCGGGAATTTTTTGGGGGAAATTTGGGATTTTTGGAGCCCCAGCCGGGATTTTCAGCGGCCCCGGCAGCCGCCTCTGTGACGTCATTTTGGGCTCCAAACCCGCGCGGAAGTGGCTCCTGAAAAGGCTCAAGGTACCCCAAAATTTGGGAAAAATTTGGGGAAAATTTGGGGAAAAATTGGGATTTTGTTTGGGGAAAAAATTCCCCCTTTCACGGGAAAAAAATGGGAATTTTTGGTGAAAAAGTCTGGATTTTTCTGCGAAAAAATCGGATTTTTTAGTGGAAAAAGTGGGGTTTTTTAGTGGAAAAAATAAAATTTTTTGGGGGGGAAATTGGGATTTTATTTGGGGAAAAATCCCCCCTTTCATGGGAAAAAAAAGTGAATTTTTGGTGAAAAAATCTGGATTTTTTGGCAAAAAACCTGATTTTTTTTAGGAAAAAAATGGGGTTTTTTAGTGGAAAAAATAAAATTTTTTTGGGGGGAAATTGGGATTTTATGTGGGGAAAAATCCCCCCTTTCGTGGGAAAAAAAATGGGAATTTTTGGTGAAAAAGTCTGGATTTTTTTGCGAAAAAATCAGATTTTTTAGTGGAAAAAGTGGGATTTTTTAGTGGAAAAAATAAAATTTTTTTGGGGAAATTTGGGATTTTATTTGAGGAAAAGAATTTGATATTTTGGAGAAAAAAATAATCTGTTTTTTTAGCAAAAAATGGCATTTTTGGTGAAAGAAATAAGATTTTTTGGGAGAAAAAACCTGGTTCTTTAGTTGAAAAATTATGGTTTTATTGCGTAAAAAATTTCGTGTTTTTGGGAAAATAATTCTAAGTTTTTAGAAAAGAATCTGATTTCTTAGTGAAAAAATCTGATTTTCTAGTGAAAAATTCTGTTTTTTTAATGAAAAAATACAGATTTTTTAGTGAACAAACAGGATATTACTGGTGGACAAATGGAAATTTTTTAGTGGAAAAAATAAGATTTTTCTGGGAAAATTTGGATTTTATTTGGGAAAAAATTTGATTTTTTGGAGAAAAAAAAATCTGGATTTTTAGCATAAAAATGGCATTTTTTAGTGAAAATAATAAGATATTTTTGGGGGAAAAATCAAATTTTTTAGTGGAAAAAGTCTGATTTTATTGGGAAAAACATTCCAGGTTTTTAGGAAAAAAATTTCAACTTTTTACAAAAGAATCTGATTTTCTAGTGAAAAAAATCTGATTTTTTTCTTGCACAAAAATTGGAGTTTTCTCATGAGAAAATCCCAACTTTCAGTGAAAAAATAGAGATTTTTTTAAGTGAAAATATGGGGTTCTGTTTGGGGAAAAATTCCCATTTTTTGCGAAAAAAAATCTGCTTTTCTTGTAGAAAAACTGGATTTGTTAGGTAAAAAATGTGATTTTACTAGGAAAAAAATGGGATTTTTTTGGGTGTGAAAAATTGGAATTTTTTGGGTGAAAAATGTGATTTTTTTGATGAAAAATGGGATTTTATTAGGGAAAAAATGGGATTTTTTTGGGATGAAAAATGGGGTTTTTTTGGGATGAAAAATGGGATTTTGTTAGGGAAAAAATGGGATTTTTTGGGGTGAAAAATGGGATTTTTTTTGATGAATAATGGGATTTCATTGGTGAAAAATGGGATTTTATTAGGGAAAAAATGGGATTTTTTTTTGAGTGATAAATGTGATTTTGTTAGGTAAAAATGGGAATTTTTTTTGGGTGAAAAATGGGATTTTATTAGGAAAAAAATTGGATTTTTTGGGTGAAAAATGCAATTTTTTTGATGAAAAATGGGATTTTTTTCGGGAAAAAAATGCGATTTTGCTTCCGTTTCGAATCTTTTAATTTAATTTTGAATAACTATAATTAGTTATTATTAATTTTAATTAATTTTAATTTTTTTTTCCCCCAGGGTCAGTGGTTGGGGCTGGCCCGGGACCGGTTCGGGAGCCGAGTGCTGGACACGGCGTGGGCCAATGGAAACCCCCGGCAGCGAGTCCGGCTGGCCACCGAGCTGGGTACGGTGGCTACCAAAATATTTTGGGAATTTTGGGAAAATTTGGGAAAAATTTGGGAAAATTTGGGTGAAATTTGGGGGAATTTGGGGTTTTTTGGGGGTTTTAATGTGATTTTAATTTGATTTTTGGGGGAATTTTGGGCGCCCGGCTGGCCACCGAGATGGGTCCGGTGGCCACCAAAATATTTTGGGAATTGTTGGAATTTTTGGGAAAAATTTGGGAATTTTTGGGTGGAATTTAGGGCAATTTCGGGGGTTTTTTGGGGTTTTAATGGGATTTTAATGAGATTTTTGGGGGAATTTTGGGCGCCCGGCTGGCCACCGAGCTGGGTCCGGTGGCTACCAAAATATTTTGGGAATTTTGGGAAAATTTGGGAAAAATTTGGGAAATTTTGGGTGAAATTTGGGGGAATTTGGGGGTTTTAATGGGATTTTAATGTGATTTTTGGGGGAACTTTGGGCTCACAGCTCAGCTCGGCTGCCACTGAGATGGGACTGGTGGCTACCAAATTATTTTGGGAATTTGGGGAAAATTTGGGAATTTGGGGAAAATTTGGGAAATTTTAGGTGGATTTTTGGGGTTTTAATGGGATTTTAATGAGGTTTTTGGGGGAATTTTGGGCTCACAGTTCAGGCCTGGCTGCCACCGAGATGGGTCCGGTGGCCACCAAAATATTTTGGGAATTTTGGGAAAATTTGGGAAAAATTTGGGAAAATTTGGGTGAAATTTGGGGGAATTTTGGGGTTTTTTTGGGGTTTTAATGGGATTTTAATGAGATTTTTGGGGGAATTTTGGGCTCACAGCTCAGGCCCGGTTGGCCACCGAGCTGGGTCCGGTGGCCACCAAAATATTTTGGGAATTTTGGGAATTTTTGGGAAAAATTTGGGAATTTTTGGGTGGAATTTAGGGCAATTTCAGGGTTTTTTTGGGGTTTTAATGGGATTTTAATGAGATTTTTGGGGGAATTTTGGGCGCCCGGCTGGCCACCGAGCTGGGTCTGGTGGCTACCAAAATATTTTGGGAATTTTGGGAAAATTTGGGAAAAATTTGGGAATTTTTAGGTGAAATTTTGGGGAATTTGGGGTTTTTTTGGGGATTTTAATGAGATTTTAATTTGATTTTTGGGGGAATTTTGGGCTCACAGTTCAGGCCTGGCTGCCACCGAGATGGGTCCGGTGGCTACCAAAATATTTTGGGAATTTTGGGAAAATTTGGGAAAAATTTGGGTGAAATTTGGGGGAATTTGGGGGTTTTTGGGGGTTTTAATGTGATTTTAATTTGATTTTTGGGGGAATTTTGGGCTCACAACTCAGGCCCAGTTGGCCACCGAGATGGGTCTGGTGGCTACCAAATTATTCCGGAATTTTGGGAAAATTTGGGAAAAATTGGGAAAAATTTGGGAATTTTTGGGTGGAATTTTGGGAATTTTGGGGTTTTTTGGGGGTTTTAATGGGATTTTAATGTGATTTTTGGGGGAATTTTGGGCTCACAGCTCAGGCCCGGTTGGCCACCGAGATGGGTCTGGTGGCTACCAAATTATTCCAGAATTTTAGGAAAATTTGGGAAAAATTTGGGGAATTTTGGGTGGAATTTGGGGGAATTTTGGGGTTTTTTTGGGGGTTTTAATGGGATTTTAATGAGATTTTTGGGGAATTTTGGGCTCACAGCTCAGGCCCAGTTGGTCACCGAGCTGGGTCCGGTGGCCACCAAAATATTTTGGGAATTGTTGGAATTTTTGGGAAAATTTGGGAAAAATTTGGGAAAATTTGGGTGAAATTTGAGGGAATTTTGGGGGTTTTTGGGGGGTTTTAATGGGATTTTAATGTGATTTTTCGGGGAATTTTGGGCTCACAGCTCAGGCCCGGCTGCCACCGAGATGGGTCCGGTGGCCACCAAAATATTTTAGGAATTTTGGGAAATTTTGGGAAAATTTTGGAAAAATTTGGGGGAATTTTGGGCTTTTTTTGGGGTTTTAATGTGATTTTAATGAGATTTTTGGGGGAATTTTGGGCTCACGGCTCAGGCCCGCCTGGCCACCAAATTATTTTGGGAATTTTTGGAAAATTTGGGAAAATTTGGGGTGATTTGGGTGGAATTTCAGGGGAATTGGGGGTGGAATTTTGGGGGATTTTTGGGTGGAATTTTGGAGGATTATGGGGTGATTTTGTCCAATCTTAGAGGAAATTTTTTGGGAATTTTGGGATCTTTTGGGGTTCAATTTTTGGGGATTTCTGCGCAGAATTTGGGGAATTTTTGTGTTGATTTTCTCTAATTTTAGAGGAAATTTTTTGGAAATTTTGGGGTGGAATTTTTGGGGATTTCTGTGTGGAATTTGGGGAATTTCTGTGTTGATTTTCTCTAATTTTAGGGGGAATTTGGGGATATTTTGGGATGTAAATTTTGGGGATTTCTGCATGGAATTTAGGAATTTTTTGTTGATTTTCTTTAATTTTAGGGGAATTTTTTGGGAATTTCGGGATATTTTGGGGTGCAATTTCTGGGGATTTCTGTGTGGAATTTTGGGAATTTTTGTGTTGATTTTCTCTAATCTTAGACGAAATTTTTTGGGATATTTTGGGGTGTAAAATTTGGGGATTTCTGCGTGGAATTTAGGAAATTTTTGTGTTGATTTTTCTCTAATTTTAGGGGAAATTTTGGGGGAATTTCGGGATCTTTTCGGGTGCAATTTTTGAGGATTTCTGTGTGGAATTTAAAGAATTTTTGTGTTGATTTTCTATAATTTTAGGGGAAATTTTTTGGGAATTTTGGGATCTTTGGGGGTGCAATTTTTTGAGATTTCTGCGCGGAATTTGGGGAATTTTTGTGTTGATTTTCTCTAATTTTACAGGAAATTTTTGGGGAATTTTGGGATCTTTTGGGGTGCAATTTTTGGGGATTTCTGCATGGAATCTGGGGAATTTTTGTGTTGGTTTTCACTAATTTTAGGGGAATTTTTTGGGAATTTTGGGATATTTTGGGGTACAATTTTTGAGGATTTCTGTGTGAAATCTGGGGAATTTTTGTGTTGATTTTCTCTAATTTTAGGGGGAATTGTGTGGGAATTTCGGGATCTCTTGGCGTGCAATATTTGGGGATTTCTGCGTGGAATTTTTAGGGGGAATTTTGGGATATTTTGGGGTGCAATTTTTGGGGATTTCTGCGTGGAATTTGGGGAATTTTTGTGTTGATTTTCTCTAATCTTAGGGGGAATTTTTTGGGGAATTTTGGGATATTTTGGGGTGCAATTTTTGGGGATTTCTGTGTGAAATTTGCGGAATTTTTGTGTTGATTTTCTCTAATTTTAGGGGAAATTTTGTGGGAATTTTGGGATCTTTTAGGGTGCGATTTTTGGCGATTTCTGCGCGAAATTTGCGGAATTTTTGTGTTGATTTTCTCTAATTTTAACGGAATTTTTTTGGGAATTTTGGGATATATTTGGGGTACAATTTTTGGGGATTTCTGCGCGAAATTTGGGGAATTTTTGTGTTGATTTTCTCTAATTTTAGGGGGAATTTCTTGGGAATTTTGGGGTATTTTGGGGTGCAATTTTCGGGGATTTCTGCGCAGAATTTTGGGAATTTTTATGCTGATTTTCTCTAATTTTAGGGGAATTTTTTGGGAATTTCGGGATATTTTGGAATGCAATTTTTAGGCAAATTTCTGGGAATTTCTGGTTGAAATTTGTGATTTTTTTTGGGCTAATTTCCCCGTTTTTCCCCATTCCAGCCCCCCACGTGCCGGCGCTGCTGCGGGACCCGTTCGGCCGCGGCGTCGTTCGGAATTTCTCTCTGGAGCTTTTCCGGAGGGATCGGCCGCAATGGGAGCGGCTCCAGAGGGGGGCGGGGCCAAAGGGGCGTGGCTTCATCCTCTGACCACGCCCCCACCCTTATTCCCCGCCCCTCATTTGCATATTTATAATTAAAAGGTTTGTTTTGGTTTTGATTTGGCGTGGCTTTCTGACAAAGGGGCGTGGTTAAGTGACAAAGGGGCGTGGCCTGATGCTCTGACCACGCCCACAAATCAATCTTAACCTTCTGTGCCCCTCCCCTAATTTGCATATTCATAATTAAAAGTTTTATTTTAATTTTTAATGTTATTTTTATAATAATGGGCGTGGCTTTGTGGAAAATGGGCGTGGTCTGTTGATCTGGCCACGCCCACAAGCCCTCCTGTCTTGTGCCTCATTTGCATATTTGTAATTTAAAGTTTAATTTTTAATTGGGTGTTGTTGTTTAAATGAGAATGGGCGTGGCTTGTTGAGAAAGGGGCGTGGTTTAGTGAGAAATGGGCGTGGCCTGTTCTGACCACGCCCATAAATAGCCCACTGCCCCTGGCCCCGCCCCTCATTTGCATATTAAACGTTTTATTTTTAATCGGGCGAGGTAAACATTGAGAATTTGGGGAGCAAAATGTGAATTTTGAGGTGAAAAATTGGGAATTTTGGGGTAAAATTTGGGAATTTAGGACTAAAAATTGGGATTTTGTGGTAAAAAAGGAGTTTTTAACCCAAAAATTGGGAATTTTTAACCCAAAAATTGGGAATTTTCCATCACGTAGACACAAATTCCCGCCCTTTCCCGTCTCCTCAAAATTGGGAATTTGGGGGGGAAAATGGAAATTTTGGGGAAAAAATGGGAATTTTGGGGGAAAACATGGGGAATTTGGTGCAAAAAATTGGAATTTTGGTGGGGGGAAATTGGGAATTTTGGGGAAAAAATTAGAATTTTTGGTGAACAAATCAGAATTTGGCACAAAAAATTGGGAATTTTGAGGGGGAAAAATGGGAATTTTGAGGGGAATTTGGAATTTGGGACGAAACTTGGAAAATTTGAGGTAAAAAATAGGGAATTTTGGGGGTAAATGGGGAATTTTTGGGGAAAATGGGAAATTTTGGAGGGGAAAATAGGAATTTTGGGGGCAAAGAAGTGAATTTTGGGGGAAAATTGTGAATTTTGGGGAAAAAACTCAGAATTTTGGGGGTAAAAATCAGGATTTTGGCACAAAAATATTGGGAATTTTGAGGTTAAAAATTTAGGAATTCAGTGCAAAAAAATGAGAAATTTGAGTTAAAATGGAGAATTTTTAATCCAAAAAATTGAATTTTGGGGTAAAAAATGGAATTTTTAACTCAGAACTTGGGAATTTTCCCTTTTCTGTCACGCAGCAACAAATTCCCGCCCTTTTTGGTCTCAGCAGTTGGGAATTTGGAAGGAATTTTTGGGGAAAAAAGGGATAATTTGGGACAAAAAAAGGAATTTAAAGCTGAAAATTGGGAATTTGGGACCAAAAATTGTGAATTTTGAGGGGAAAATGGGAATTTTGGGTGAAAATTTTGAGTTTTGGGTTAAGAAAATCAGAATTTTGGGGGTGAAAATTGGAATTTTGAGGGTGAAAATTGGAATTTTGAGGTAAAAATTGGGAATTTGGCACAAAAGATTGGGAATTTTGAGGGAAAAAATGGGAATTTGGGGGGAAGTGGGATTTTGGGGGGAAAAATCAATTTTGGGAGGGAAATGGGAATTTTTGGGCGGAAAAACTGGAAGTTTGGGGGGAAAGTTGGAATTTGGGGTGAAAATTTGGATTTTTGAGGTGAAAAAGTGGAATTATGGGTTAAAAACTGGAATTTTTACCCGAAAATTTGGAATTTTGAGTAGAAAGTTGGGAATTTGGGACCAAAAGTTGAGAATCTGGGACCAAAAAAGGGAATTTTGATGTAAAAACCAGGAATTTGGTGCAGAAATTTGGGAATTTGGGGGCAAAATTTGGCAATTTGGGGAGCAAGGTGAAAGATTGGAATTTTGTGGTAAAATCGGGATTTTTTTTAACCCAAAAAAAGGGAATTTTGATGTAAAAATCAAGAATTTGGTGCGAAAAATCGGGAATTTGGGGAGCAAGTTGTGATTTTTTGAGGTGAAATATTGGAATTTTGTGATAAAATGGGGATTTTTTTACCCACAAAAAGGGAATTTTGATGTAAAAATCAGGAACGTGTTGCGAAAAATCGGGAATTTGGGGAGCAAGTTGTGATTTTTGAGGTGAAAGATCGGGATTTTGTGGTAAAATCGTGATTTTTTTACCCCAAAAAAAGGGAATTTGGGGGTTGAAAATTTGAAATTTTGAGGTGAAAAAGTGGAATTACGTGTTAAAAACTGGAATTTTTACCCAAAAATTTGGAATTTTGAGTAGAAAGTTGGGAATTTGGGACAAAAAAAAGGGAATTTTGATGTAAAAACTAGGAATTTGGTGCAGAAATTTGGGAATTTGGGGGCAAAATTCGGCAATTTATGGAGCAAGTTGTGATTTTTTGAGGTGAAAGATCGGGATTTTGGGGTAAAATCGTGATTTTTTTACCCAAAAAGGAGAATTGGGGGTGAAAAATGTGAAATTTTGTGGTTTAAAAAGGGAATTTTTAACCTAAAAATTGGGAATTTGTCGCCTCACAACCACTTCCCGCCCTTTTTGGTTTCCATGGCAACCACTTCCCGCCCTTTTTCCGTCTCCATAGCAACCACTTCCGGCTTTTTCCGTCTCCATAGCAACAGCTCTGGCCACTTCCGTCTCCTTCACGGCATCACTTCCGCCTCTCTAAGATGGCGGCGGCCGGGCCGGGCCCGCTCCCGGAGGCTCCGGGCGGCTCCGGGACGGCCCCGGGCGGGCCCCGAACGGCCCCGGAGGGTCCCGGGAGCGGCTCCGGGAGCGGAACCGGCAGCGGAACCGGGAGCGGGGCCGGGAGCGGCGGCGGGAGCGGCAGCGGAGGCGGGAGGGGCCCGGCGGGAGCGGCGCGGGACGCGGAGGTGGCGGTGGAGATCGGGGAGACGTATCTGTGCCGCAGGGCGGACGGCAGCTGGCGTGAGTGGGGTGTACTGGGATGTACTGGTTTGTACTGGGGGGGACTGGGGTCTACTGGGGTGTACTGGGTTATACTGGATTATACTGGATTGTACTGGTGTGTACTGGGATATACTGGGAGGGATTGGGGTGTATTGGGTTATACTGATTTGTACTGGGATATATTGGGGTGTACTGGGGTGTACTGGTTTGTACTGGGTTATACTGGGTTATACTGGTTTGGACTGGGATATATTGGTTTGTACTGGGATATACTGGTTTGTACTGGGGGGGATTGGGGTGTACTGGTTTGTACTGGGGTGTACTGGGTTATACTGGGTTTGTACTGGTTTGTACTGGGGGGGACTGGGGTGTACTGGGGTGTACTGGTTTGTACTGGTTTGTACTGGGTTGTACTGGGTTATACTGGTTTGGACTGGGGGGGGCTGGGGTGTACTGGGTTGTATTGGGTTATACTGGTTTGTACTGGGGTGTACTGGGTTATAGTGGTTTGAACTGGGTTATACTGGTTTGTACTGGGGGGGGACTGGGGTGTACTGGGTTATACTGGTTTGGACTGGGAGGGACTGGGGGGGATTGGGGTGTACTGGGTTATACTGGTTTCTATTGGGTTATACTGGTTTGGACTGGGAGGGACGGGGGTGTACTGGGTTATACTGGTTTGTACTGTGGGGATTGGGGTGTACTGGGGGGGAGTGGGGTGTACTGGGTTATACTGGGTTATACTGGTTTGGACTGGGGGGGATTGGGGTGTACTGGGGTGTACTGGGTTATACTGGGTTATACTGGTTTGGACTGGGGGGGATTGGGGTGTACTGGGGTGTACTGGGTTATACTGGGTTATACTGGTTTGTACTGGGGGGGATTGGGGTGTACTGGTTTGGACTGGGTTATACTGGGGTGTACTGGGATGTATTGGGTTGTACTGGGGTGTACTGGTTTGTACTGGGATATACTGGGTTATACTGGGTTATATTGGGGTGTACTGGGTTATACTGGTTTGGACTGGGTTATACTGGTTTGTACTGGGATATACTGGGTTGTACTGGGTTGTACTGGTTTGTACTGGGGGGGACTGGGGTGTGCTGGTTTGTACTGGGTTATACTGGGTTGTACTGGTTTGTACTGGGGGGGACGGGGGGATTGGAGTGTACTGGGTTGTACTGGGTTGTACTGGGTTGTACTGGGTTATACTGGTTTGTACTGGGGGTGACTGGGGTGTACTGGTTTGTGTTGGGTTATAATGGGATATACTGGGTTGTACTGGGTTATACTGGTTTGTATTGGGGTGTACTGGTTTGTACTGGGTTGTACTGGGATATACTTGGATATACTGGTTTGTACTGGGAGAGACGGGGGTGTACGGGGTTATACTGGTTTGTACTGGGTTGTACTGGGATATACTGGTTTGTACTGGGCTGTACTGGGTTATACTGGTTTGTACTGGGGTGTCCTGGGTTATACTGGTTTGTACTGGGTTATACTGGGTTGTACTGGGTTATACTGGGTTGTACTGGGTTATACTGGGCTGTACTGGGTTATACTGGGAGTGTCATACTGGGTGAACTGGGCAAACTGGGGATACTGGGAATGGGAAGGGGAGAGGGGGAAGTTGGTCCCAGTCCGTCCCAGTTAATCCCAGTTGGTCCCAGTCCGTCCCAGTTTATCCCAGTTTGTTCCAGACCCATTCCCAGTTAATCCCAGTCCCTCCCAGTTTATCCCAGTTTATCCCAGTTAGTTCCAGCCCCATTCCCAGTCCCTCCCAGTCCCTCCCAGTTAATCCCAGTTTGTCCCAGTCCGTCCCAGTTTATCCCAGTTTGTTCCAGACCCATTCCCAGTCCCTCCCAGTCCCTCCCAGTTTGTCCCAGTCCTCCCAGTTTGTTCCAGCCCCATTCCCAGTCCCTCCCAGTCCCTCCCAGTCCCTCCCAGTTTGTCCCAGTCCCTCCCAGTCCCTCCCAGTTTGTCCCAGTCCCTCCCAGTCCCTCCCAGTTCCCTCCCAGTCCCTCCCAGTCCCCCCCAGTCCCTCCCAGTCCCTCCCAGTTTGTTCCAGACCCATTCCCAGTTTGTCCCAGTTGATCCCAGTCCCTCCCAGTCCATCCCAGTTTGTTCCCGCCCCATTCCCAGTCCTTCCCAGTCCCTCCCAGTCCATCCCAGTCCCTCCCAGTTTGTTCCAGCCCCATCCCCAGTCCATCCCAGTCCCTCCCAGTCCATCCCAGTCCCTCCCAGTCCCTCCCAGTTCCCTCCCAGTCCCTCCCAGTCCCTCCCAGTTTGTTCCAGCCCCATTCCCAGTCCCTCCCAGTCCCTCCCAGTTCCCTCCCAGTCCCTCCCAGTTCCCTCCCAGTCCCTCCCAGTCCCTCCCAGTTTGTTCCAGACCCATTCCCAGTTTGTCCCAGTTGATCCCAGTCCATCCCAGTCCCTCCCAGTCCCTCCCAGTCCCTCCCAGTCCCTCCCAGTTGATCCCAGTTTGTTCCAGCCCCATTCCCAGTCCCCCCCAGCCCCTCCCAGTCCCTCCCAGTCCCTCCCAGTTAATCCCAGTTGGTTCCAGACTCGGCCGAGGTGATCCAGTCCCGCCTGAACGAGCAGGAGGCGCGGGAGGAGTTCTACGTGCACTACGTGGGCTGTGAGTGAACTGGGCAAACTGGGCAAACTGGGACGGACTGGGAGGGACTGGGAGGGACTGGGAAAGGGCTGGGATGGAACTGGGAGCACTGGGATGGAACTGGGAGCACTGGGATGGAACTGGGAGGGACTGGGAGCCACTAGGAGGGAACTGGGAGGGAACTGGGAGGGACTGGGATGGGCTGGGAGGGACTGGGAGGGACTGGGAAGGACTGGGATGGACTGGGAGGGAACTGGGAGGGAACTGGGAGGGACTGGGATGGAACTGGGAGGGACTGGAATGGGACTGGGAGCCACTGAAATGGGACTGGGAGCCACTGGGATGGACTGGGAGCTACTGGGATGGAACTGGGATGGACTGGGAGCACTGGGAGGGACTGGGACGGTTCCCAGTGCTCCCAGTAAGGCCCAGTGCTCCCAGTTAACCCCAAACTGGGGGATTGGGACACACTGGGATGAACTGGGATGAACTGGGAGGGCTCCCAGTGCTCCCAGTAAGGCCCAGTGCTCCCAGTTAACCCCAAACTGGGGGATTTGAAGGCCCTTGGCTAACTGGGATGGACTGGGAGGGCTCCCAGTGCTCCCAGTTCAATGCACCCAATGGGGATTTGAAGGGACTGGGCTGGTTGGGGGTGGATGTACTGAACTGGGCTGAACTGGGATGGACTGGGAGGGCTCCCAGTGCTCCCAGTAAGAACCAGTGCTCCCAGTTAACCAGCGGCTGGATGAGTGGGTGGACAGGAACCGGCTGGGGATGAACTGGGATGGCTCCCAGTGCTCCCAGTTCAATGCACACCATGGGGATTTGAAGGCAGTGGGATGGACGGGCTGAACTGGGATGAACTGGGATGAACTGGGAGGGGTTCCCAGTGCTCCCAGTAAGGCCCAGTGCTCCCAGTTAACCCCAAACTGGGGGATTTGAAGGCACTGGGATGGACAGGAATGGATGGGGAGGGTTTTCAGTGCTCCCAGACTGGGGGGATTTGAAGGCAGTGGAATGGGTAGGAATGGATATACTGAACTGGGATGAACTGGGATGAACTGGGAGGGCTCCCAGTGCTCCCAGTAAGGCCCAGTGCTCCCAGTTAACCCCAAACTGGGGGATTTGAAGGCACTGGGATGAACTGGGAGGGCTCCCAGTGCTCCCAGTTCAATGCACCCAATGGGGATTTGAAGGCACTGGGATGAGTAGGGATGGATGTACCGAACTGGGCTGAACTGGGATGGACTGGGAGGGCTCCCAGTGCTCCCAGTGCTCCCAGTAAGGCCCAGTGCTCCCAGTTAACCCCAAACTGGGGGATTTGAAGGTACTGGGATGGCTCCCAGTGCTCCCAGTTCAGTGCACCCAATGGGGATTTGAAGGCAGTGGGATGGATGTACTGAACTGGGATGAACTGGGATGAACTGGGAGGGCTCCCAGTGCTCCCAGTAAGGCCCAGTGCTCCCAGTTAACCCCAAACTGGGGGATTGGAACACACTGGGATGTCTGGGATGGATGGGGATGGTTCCCAGTGCTCCCAGACTGGGGGGATTTGAAGGCAGTGGAATGGGTAGGGATGGATGTACTGAACTGGGATGGACTGGGATGGACTGGGAGGGTTCCCAGTGCTCCCAGTAAGGCCCAGTGCTCCCAGTTAACCCCAAACTGGGGGATTTGAAGGTACTGGGATGGACAGGAATGGATGGGGAGGGTTCCCAGTGCTCCCAGACTGGGGGGATTTGAAGGCAGTGGGATGGGTAGGGATGGATGGACTGAACTGGGATGGACTGGGATGGACTGGGATGGACTGGGAGGGGCTCCCAGTGCTCCCAGTAAGGCCCAGTGCTCCCAGTTAACCCCAAACTGGGGGATTTGAAGGCAATGGGATGTCTGGGATGGATGGGGATGGTTCCCAGTGCTCCCAGACTGAAGGGATTTAAAGGCAGTGGGATGGATGTACTGAACTGGGATGAACTGGGATGAACTGGGATGGACTGGGAGGGCTCCCAGTGCTCCCAGTAATGCCCAGTGCTCCCAGTTAACCGGCGGCTGGACGAGTGGGTGGACAGGAACCGGCTGGCGCTGTCCAAGAGCCTGAAGGAGGCGGCGCAGAAGAGCTCCGAGCCCTTCCTGGGCGAGCTGGCCGAGCCCGAGAGGAAAATCACCCGCAACCAGAAACGCAAACACGACGAGATCAACCACGTGCAGAAGGTCTGGGGTGAACTGGGATGGACTGGGAGGGACTGGGAGGGACTGGGATATACTGGGAGGGACTGGGAGGGACTGGGAGCAAGTTAAAATGACTCGGAATGAGCTAGAGGGGACTGGGAGGGAGTTAGAGGGGATTTGGATCACTTTAGGGGGAACTGGGATGGACTGGGAGGGCACTGGGAGGGACTGGGATGGGGTCAGGGTGTACTGGGATGGACTGGGACAAACTGGGATATACTGGGATGTACTGGGAGCGAGTTAGAGTGACTTGGAATGAGCTAGAGGGGACTGGGAGGGAGTTAGAGGGGCTTGGGATGGGGTTAGAGGGAACTGGGATGGACTGGGAGGGACTGGGACAAACTGGGATATACTGGGAGCAAGTTAGACTGAGTTAGAGGGCACTGGGATGGACTGGGATGGACTGGGAGGGACTGGGATATACTGGGACAGACTGGGAGGGACTGGGACAAACTGGGATATACTGGGACAAACTGGGATATACTGGGACAAACTGGGAGGCACTGGGATATACTGGGAGCAAGTTAGAGTGAGTTAGAGGGGGCTGGGATGGGGTTAGAGGGCACTGGGATGGGGTTAGAGGGAACTGGGAGGGCACTGGGAGGTCACTGGGATGGACTGGGAGGGCACTGGGATGGACTGGGACCAAGTGGGAGGCACTGGGACAAACTGGGAGGGACTGGGACAAACTGGGAGGGACTGGGACAAACTGGGAGGGACTGGGACAAACTGGGAGGGACTGGGATGTACTGGGAGCGAGTTAGAGCGACTTGGAACGAGCTAGAGGGGACTGGGATGGACTGGGAGGGAGTTAGAGGGAACTGGGATTGACTGGGAGGTCACTGGGAGGCACTGGGAGGGACTGGGATGGGGTCAGGGTGTACTGGGATGGACTGGGACAAACTGGGATGTACTGGGATGAACTGGGAGTGACTTAGAGCAACTTGGATCGAGTTAGAGGGGACTGGGAGGGCACTGGGAGGCACTGGCAGGGACTGGGAGGGACTGGGATGGGGTCAGGGTGTACTGGGATGGACTGGGACAAACTGGGATATACTGGGACAAACTGGGAGGCACTGGGATATACTGGGAGGGAGTTAGAGTGAGTTAGAGGGGGCTGGGATAGAGTTACAGGGGATTGAAATGGGGTTAGAGGGAACTGGGAGGGCACTGGGATGGGGTTAGGGGGTACTGGGATGGACTGAGACCAACTGGGAGGCACTGGGACAAACTGGGAGGGACTGGGAGGCACTGGGAGGGACTGGGATGGGGTTAGGGGGTACTGGGAGGGACTGGGACAAACTGGGATATACTGGGATGGACTGGGAGCGAGTTACAGGGGACTGGGAAGGCACTGGGATGGACTGGGACCAACTGGGAGGGACTGGGATATACTGGGAGGGACTGGGACCAACTGGGAGGGACTGGGATGGGGTTAGGGGGTACTGGGATGTACTGGGAGGGACTGGGAGGGACTGGGAGCGAGTTAGAGGGGACTGGGATGGAACTGGGCTATACTGGTTTATACTGGGAGGGCACTGGGATGGGGTTAGAGGGTGGACTGGGATGGAACTGGGTTATACTGGTTTATACTGGTTTCCATGGATTTCTATGGGGTTTTTTGGGTCCCTACTGGTTTATACTGGTCCATACTGGTTTATACTGGTTTCTGTGGATTTCTATGGGGTTTTTTGGGTCCATACTGGTTTGTACTGGTTTATACTGGTTTCTATGGATTTCTATGGGGTTTTTTGGGTTTATACTGGTCCAAACTGGTCCATACTGGTTTATACTGGTTTCTATGGATTTCTATGGGGATTTTTGGGTTTATACTGGTCCAAACTGGTCCATACTGGTTTATACTGGTTTCTATGGATTTCTATGGGGTTTTTGGGGTGCATACTGGTTTATACTGGTCCATACTGGTTTATACTGGTTTCTGTGGATTTCTGTGGGGTTTTTTGGGTTTATACTGGTTCATACTGGTTTATACTGGTTTGATGGATTTTTATGGGTTTTTTTGGGCCCATACTGGTTTATACTGGTCCATACTGGTTTATACTGGTTTCCATGGATTTCTATGGGGTTTTTTGGGTCCATACTGGTCTATACTGGTCTAAACTGGTCCATACTGGTTTTGCAGACCTACGCCGAGATGGACCCGACCACGGCGGCGCTGGAGAAGGAGCACGAGGCCGTGAGTGGGCGGGGCTTGGATTTTGGGGGGGCGGGGCCAGCCCAAACCCCCAAATTTTGGGTGGATTTTGGCCATTTTTGGCAATTTTTGGTCATTTTTTGCACTTTTTGGTCATTTTTTGCACTTTTTGGCCATTTTTGGGTCATTTTAAATGGGATTTTTCTGGATTTGGGCACTCCAGGTGTGCCCAGGTACCCCCAGGTATGCCCAGGTGTGCCCAGGTGTGCCCAGGTGTGCCCAAACCCCGGAAATCCCCAAATTTTGGGCGGTTTTTGGCCATTTTTGGGTCATTTTTGCAATTTTTTGCAATTTTTGGCCATTTTCGCTCATTTTTGGGTCATTTTTCATGGGGTTTTCGCGGGGTTTTGATGCCCACCTGTGCCCAGGTGTGCCCAGCTGTGCCACCTGCCAGTGCCAGGTCACCAAGGTGAATTCCTGGATAAAATCTGCAATTCTGACTTGATTTTGACCAGTTTTGGGTCATTTTTGGTCATATTTCGGTCGTTTTTGGACCTTTTTTCGCGGGGTTTTCGCGGGGTTTGGGTGCCCACCTGTGCCCAGGTGTGCCCAGGTGTGCCACCTGCCAGTGCCAGGTCACCAAGGTGAATTCGTGGATAAAATCTGGATTTGTGACTTGATTTAGGTCGCTTTTGGGTCATTTTTGATCGTTTTTGGTCATATTTTGGTCATTTTTCGTCCTTTTTTCGCGGGGTTTTCGCGGGGTTTGGGTGCCCACCTGTGCCCAGCTGTGCCACCTGCCAGTGCCACGTCACCAAGCTGAATTCCTGAATCAAATCTTGATTTCTGACTTGATTTCGGTCATTTTTGGTCAGGTTTTGGTCATTTTTCGTCCTTTTTTCGCGGGGTTTTCGCGGGGTTTTCGGTGCCCAGGTGTGCCCAGGTGTGCCCAGCTGTGCCACCTGTCGGTGCCAGGTCACCAAGGTGAATTCCTGGATAAAATCTGCAATTCTGACCTGATTTAGTTAATTTTTGGGTCAATTTTGGTCATTTTTGATCGTTTTTGGTCATATTTTGGCCATTTTTCATCCTTTTTTCGCGGGGTTTTCGCGGGGTTTGGGTGCCCACCTGTGCCCAGGTGTGCCCAGCTGTGCCACCTGCCAGTGCCAGGTCACCAAGGTGAATTCCCGGATAAAATCCGGGAATATTCCCAGATTTTTGGGCCACTTATGGCCATTTTTGGTCATATTTTGACCGTTTTTGGACCGTTTTTCGCGGGGTTTTCGCGGGGTTTGGGTACCCAGGTGTGCCCAGGTGTGCCCAGCTGTGCCACCTGTCGGTGCCAGGTCACCAAAGTGAATTCCTGGATAAAATCTGGAATTCCGGCTTGATTTCTGTCATTTTTGGGTCAATTTTGGTCATTTTTGGTCGTTTTTCGTCCTTTTTTCGCGGGGTTTGGGTGCCCACCTGTGCCCAGGTGTGCCCAGCTGTGCCACCTGTCAGTGCCAGGTGACCAAGGTGAATTCCTGGATAAAATCTGCAATTCTGAGCTGGTTTAGTTCATTTTTGGGTCAATTTTGGTCATTTTTGGGTCATTTTTCGCGGGGTTTTCGCGGGGTTTTGGTGCCCACCTGTGCCCAGGTGTGCCCAGGTGTGCCACCTGCCAGTGCCACATCACCAAGGTGAATTCCTGGATAAAATCTGGGAATATTCCGATTTTTGGGCCACTTATGGCCATTTTTTGTCCGATTTTGGTTGTTTTTGGACCGTTTTTCGCGGGGTTTTCGCGGGGTTTCGGTGCCCACCTGTGCCCAGGTGTGCCCAGGTGTGCCCCCCCTGTCTCCCGCAGATCACCAAGGTGAAGTACGTGGACAAGATCCACATCGGGCACTACGAGATCGACGCCTGGGGGAGACCCTGGGCTGCTTGTGGCCATTTTTGGGTCATTTTGGGCCATTTTTGGGTCATTTTAAATGAGATTTTTGAGGGATTTGGGCACTCAGGTGTGCCCAGGTGTGCCCAGGTGTGCCACCTGCCAGTGCCAGGTCACTAAAGTGAATTCCTGGATAAAATCTGGAATTCTGGCTTGATTTTGGTCGCTTTTGGGTCATTTTTGGTCGTTTTTGGTCGTTTTTCGTCCTTTTTTTGCGGGGTTTGGGTGCCCACCTGTGCCCAGGTGTGCCAGCTGTGCCACCTGCCAGTGCCAGGTCACCAAGGTGAATTCGTAAATAAAATCTAGAATTCTGAGCTGTCTTTGGCTGGTTTTGGGTCAATTTGGATCATTTTTTGATCGTTTTTTGGTCATATTTTGACCATTTTTCGTCCTTTTTTCGCGGGGTTTTCGCAGGATTTCGGTGCCCACCTGTGCCCAGGCGTGCCCAGGTGTGCCACCCCTGTCTCCCGCAGATCACCAAGGTGAAGTACGTGGACAAGATCCACATCGGGCACTACGAGATCGACGCCTGGTACTTCTCGCCCTTCCCGGAGGACTACGGGAAGCAGCCCAAGCTCTGGATCTGCGAGTTCTGCCTCAAGTACATGAAGTTCGAGAGGAGCTACCGCCTGCACCTGGTGGGCACACCTGGCACACCTGGGGGCACCTGGGCACACACCTGGGGGCAGCTGGGAGGGGTGGGGCAAAAAAAACCCGGTGAAAATTGGGTTAAAAATGGGGGTTTTGGGGCACCTGGGCACACCTGAGGGTACCTAGGCACACCTTGGGGATATTTTGGGCACACCTGGGCACACCTGTGGGTACCTGGGCACACCTGGGCACACACCTGGGGGCACCTGGGAGGGGATGAAGGAAAAAAACCCGGTGAAAATCGGGTTAAAAATGAGGATTTTGGGGGGTTTTGGGGCACCTGGGCACACCTGGGGGGTGTAAAAACACACCTGGGCACACCTGGGCACACCTGGGCACACCTGGGCACACACCTGGGGGCACTTGGGAGGGGCGGGGCAAAAAAAACCCGGTGAAAATTGGGTGAAAAATGGGGATTTTGGGGGGTTTTTGGGCACCTGGGCACACTTGGGCACACTTGGGGGTACCTGGGCACATTTTGGGCACACCTGGGCACACCTGGGCACACCTGGGGGCAGCTGGGAGGGGCGGAAGGAAAAAAACCCGGTGAAAATTGGGTGAAAAATGGGGATTTTGGGGAGTTTTGGGGCACCTGGGCACACCTGGGGCACACCTGGGGGCATCTGGGGCACACCTGGGCACACCTGGGGGTACCTGGGCACATTTTGGGCACACCTGGGGGTACCTGGGCACACCTGGAGGCACCTGGGAGGGCAAGAAGGAAAAAACCCGGTGGAAATGGGGTGAAAAATGGGGATTTTGGGGGGTTTTGGGGCACCTGGGCACACCTTGGGGAACCTGGGCACATTTTGGACACACCGGAGGGTACCTGGGAACACCTAGGCACACCTGAGGGATATTTTGGGCACACCTGACACTCACATGGGCACCCCTGGCACACACCTGGGCACACCTGGAACTCACCTGGGCACATTTGGGGGATATTTTGGGCACACCTGGGCCCCCCTGGGCACCCCTGGGTACCCCTGTCCCTCACCTGGGCACACCTGGGGCACATTTGGGGCACATTTTTGGGTACCTGGGCACACCTGGGCACACCTAGGCACACCTGCCCCTCACCTGGGCACACCTGGGCACACCTGCCCCTCACCTGGGCACCCCTGGGGCTACCTGGGCACATTTTGGGCACACCTGGGCACACCTGAGGGATATTTTGGGCACACCTGACACTCACCTGGGCACCCCCTGGGTTACCTGGGGCACACCTGGGCACACCTGGGGGATATTTTGGGCACAGCTGGGGTTACCTGGGCACACCTGGAGACACTTGGGGCACACCTGAGCACATTTTGGGCACACCTGGCACTTACCTGGGCACACCCATGTCTCACCTGGGCACACCTGGGCACCCCTGGCACTCACCTGGGCACACCTGGGGGTACCTGGGGAATATTTTGGGCACACTTGGGGGTACCTGGGCACACCTGGGCACACCTGGGCACCCCTGGGGCTCACCTGGGCACCCCTGTCCCTCACTTGGGCACACCTGGGCACATTTGGGGCACACCTGGGCACACCTGTCCCTCACCTGGGCACACCCGTGTCTCCCCTGGCACTCACCTGGGCACACCTGGGCACACCTGTCCCTCACCTGGGCACACTTGGGGGATATTTTGGGCACACCTGGGCACACCTGGGCACCCCTGGGGGTACCTGGGCACACTTGGGGCACACCTGGGCCCCCCTGCCCCTCACCTGGGCACCCCTGGGCACCCCTGGGGATATTTTGGGCACACCTGGGCACACCTGGGCACACCTGGAGATACCTGGGCACACACCTGTCCCTCACCTGGCCGTGCCCATCTCCCCTGGCAGGGGCAGTGCCAGTGGCGGCAGCCGCCGGGGCGGGAGATTTACCGCAAGGGCAACATCTCCGTGTATGAGGTGGACGGCAAGGACCACAAGGTGAGTGCCAGCGGTGCCAGGTGTGCCCAGGTGTGCCCAGGTGTGCCAGCCTCACCTGGGCACCCTGAATTTGGGGCACTTTGGGGTGGTTTTGGGCATTTTTGGGGATTTTTTGCGATTTTTTGTCATTTTTTTACCTTTTTTTTCCATTTTTTGGGCATTTTTTAGGGATTTTCGGCCACCCGGGCACCCAGGTGTGCCAGGAGTGCCCAGGTGTGCCAGCCTCACCTGGGCACCCCAAATTTTGGGCAGTTTGGGGTGGTTTTGGGCGTTTTTGGGGCATTTTTTGTCATTTTTTGTCATTTTTTGGCCTTTTTTTCCATTTTTTGTGAGTTTTTTGGGGATTTTGGTGGCATTTGGGCACCCAGGTGTGCCAGGCATGCCCAGGTGTGCCCAGGTGTGCCAGCCTCACCTGGGCACTCCAAATTTTGGGGAGTTTCAGGTGGTTTTGGGCATTTTTTGGGCATTTTTTGTGATTTTTTCTTCATTTTTTTGCAATTTTTTGCTATTTTTTGCCATTTTTTTGGCATTTTCGGCTGCCTGGGCACCCATGTGTGCCAGGTGTGCCCAGGTGTGCCAACCTCACCTGGGCACCCCAAATTTTGGGGAGTTTCGGGTGGTTTTGGGCATTTTTTGGTCATTTTTTGCCATTTTTTGGTGGTTTTTTGCGATTTTTTGTGGTTTTTCCTTAGTTTTTTTGGGATTTTGGTGGCATTTGGGCACCCAGGTGTGCCAGGTGTGCCCAGGTGTGCCAACCTCACCTGGGCATCCCAAATTTTGGGGAGTTTCGGGAGGTTTTGGGCAAATTTTGGGCATTTTTTGCTATTTTTTGTCATTTTTTTGCCATTTTTTGCCATTTTTCAGGATTTTTGGCCACGTGGGCACCCCAGGTGTGCCAGGCGTGCCCAGGTGTGCCCAGGTGTGCCAGCCTCACCTGGGCACCCCAAATTTGGGGCACTTTGGGGTGGGTTATGGTGTTTTTGGTAATTTTTTGACATTTTTTGTCATTTTTTGCTGTTTTTTTGCGATTTTTGGTGAGTTTTTCGGGATTTTTGGCCGCCTGTGCCCACCACCTGTGCCCACCTGTGCCCAGGTGTGCCAACCTCACCTGGGCACCCCAAATTTGGGGCACTTTGGGGTGGTTTTGGGCGGTTTTTGGGCCTTTTTTGCCATTTCTTTACATTTTTTGTCATTTTTTGCTGTTTTTTTGCGATTTTTGGTGAGTTTTTCGGGATTTTCGGCCGCCTGTGCCCGCGGGCGGTGCCCAGGTGTGCCCAGGTGTGCCCAGGTGTGCCAACCTCACCTGGGCACCCCAAACCTGGAAAATCTTCAAATTTCAGGGAGTTTTTGGGGTGATTTTAGTCGGTTTTTATGCATTTTTATGGGATTTTTTGCGATTTTTTCGCCGTTTTTTCGGGATTTTCGGCCACCTGTGCCCGCGGGCGGTGCCCAGGTGTGCCCAGGTGTGCCAACCTCACCTGGGCACCTGAAATTTGGGGCACTTTGAGGTGATTTTGGGGTATTTTTAGTCATTTTTTGTGTTTTTTTGCCATTTTTTCGCCGTTTTTCGCTGTTTTTTCGGGATTTTGGGCCGCCTGTGCCCGCGGGCGGTGCCCAGGTGTGCCCAGGTGTGCCCAGGTGTGCCCAGGTGTGCCCCCGCAGATCTATTGCCAGAACCTGTGCCTGCTGGCCAAGCTGTTCCTGGACCACAAGACGCTTTATTTCGATGTCGAACCCTTCGTCTTCTACCTGCTGACCGAGGTGGATCGGCACGGCGCCCACATCGTCGGCTACTTCTCCAAGGTGGGCACACCTGGGCACACCTGGGGCACCTGGGGCACCTGGGGGCACCCAAAATACACCTGGGGGCACCTGGGTACACCTGGGCACACCTGGGATACATCTGGGCACACCTGGGCACTCACCTGGGCACATTTGGGGTACCTGGGAACTCACCTGGGCACACCTGGGCGGGGAAAAACACACCTGGGCACACCTGGGGCACTCACTGGGCACACCTGGGGCACTCATCTGGGCACATTTGGGCACATTTGGGGTAACCTGGACACTCACCTGGGCACACCTGGGGGGGTAAAAACACACCTGGGCACACCTGGGAACTCACCTGGATACTCACCTGGCACACCTGGGCACATCTGAGGGGGTAAAAACACACCTGGGCACATCTGGGCACACCCAAAATACACCTGGGCACACCTGGGGGGTAAAAACACACCTGGGCACACCTGAGCATTCATCTGTCACATTTGGGCACACCCAAAACACACCTGGGCACACCTGGGCACACCTGGGGTACCTGGGAACTCACCTGGGCACTCACCTGGGGCACCTCCTGACCGAGGTGGATCGGCACGGCGCCCACATCGTCGGCTACTTCTCCAAGGTGGGCACACCTGGGCACACCTGGGCACACCTGGGGGCACCCAAAACACACCTGGGCACACCCAAAATACACCTGGGCACACCCAAAACACACCTGGGCACACCCAAAATACACCTGGGCACTCACCTGGGGCACCTGGGAACTCACCTGGCATACCTGGGCATTCACCTGTCACATTTGGGCACATTTGGGGGCACCTGAGGGCACCTGGGCACACCTGGGCACACCCAAAATACACCTGGGCACACCTGGGAACTCACCTGGGGGGTAAAAACACACCTGGGCACACCTGGGCACTCACCTGGATACTCACCTGGATACTCACCTGGCACACCTGGGCACATCTGAGGGGTTAAAAACACAACTTGGCACACCTGGGCACACCCAAAATACACCTGGGCACACCCAAAATACAGCTGGGGGGTAAAAGCACACCTGGGCACTCACCTGGGCACACCTGGAGTACCTGGGAACTCACCTGGGCACACCTGAGGGGGTAAAAACACACCTGGGCACATCTGGGCACACACCTGGGCACACCTGGGGTACCTGGGCACTCACCTGGGCACTCACGTGGCACACCTGGGGGGGTAAAAACACACCTGGGCTCAGCTGGGCACACCTGGGGTACCTGGGAACTCACCTGGGCACAGCTGGGCACACCCAAAATACACCTGGGCACACCTGGGATACATCTGGGCACACCTGGGCACTCACCTGGGCACATTTGGGGTACCTGGGAACTCACCTGGGCACACCTGGGTGGGGAAAAACACACCTGGGCACACCTGGGGCACTCACTGGGCACACCTGCTCACACCTGGGGGCACCTGGGCAGGTAAAAACACACCTGGGCACACTCAAAACACACCTGGGGGTACCTGGGCACACCTGAGGGCACCTGGGCACTCACCTGGGGTACCTGGAAACTCACCTGGGCACATTTGGGCACATCTGAGCACTCACCTGGGCACACCTGGGGGGGGTAAAAACACACCTGGGCACACCTGGGGCACTCATCTGTCACATTCGGGCACACCTGGGCACACCTGGGGGCACCTGGGCACACCCAAAACACACCTGGGCACACCTTGGGGCACTCATCTGGCACAGCTGGGGGCACCAAATGTCCCCAGAAATGCCCAAAATTCTGACTTTTCCCCCCATTTTCAACCCAAAAACGGACCCCAAAACTCCGGAATTTTTGGGATTTTCCTAAAATTCCCAATTTTTAAAGGAAAATAAATAAACCCCCTCACTTGTGGTAACTAAATATCCCAAAAATCCATCCAAAAATGCCAAAAAATGCCCAAAAATCGGATTTTTTTCCACGTTTTCAACCCCAAAACGCCCAAAAACGGCCCCAAAATTCCGGAATTTTTTGGGATTTGCCCAAAATTCCCAATTTTTAAAGGAAAATAAATAAACCCCCTCACTTGTGGTAACTAAATATCCCAAAAATCCATCAAAAATTCCAAAAAAATGCCCAAAAATTGGAATTTTTTCCCCATTTTCAACCCCAAAACGCCCAAACCTGGCCCCAAAATTCCGGAATTTTTTTTTATTTTCCAAAATTCCCATTTTTTTAGGAAAATGAATAAACACCATCACTTGTGGTCACTAAATATCCCAAAAATCCATCCAAAAATGCAAAAAAATGCCCAAAAATTGGATTTTTTTCCCCTTTTTCAACCCCAAAACGCCCAAAAACGGCCCCAAAATTCCGGAATTTTTTTGGATTTTCCCAAAAATCCCAAATTTTTTCGGAAAAGGATTCGACAGCTTTGCCTGTGCTCTTGAAGTGTCCCAAAAATCCCAAAAAATGCCCAAAAATCAGAATTTTTTCCCCATTTTCAACCCTAAAACGCCCAAAAACGGCCCCAAAATTCCGGATTTTTTTTGGATTTTCCCAAAATTCCCAATTTTTTTAGGAAAAGAAATAAACACCATCACTTGTGGTCACTAAATACCCCAAAAATCCATCAAAAATTCCCAAGAAATGCCCAAAAATGGGAATTTTTCCCCATTTTCAACCCCAAAACACCCAAAAACGGCCCCAAAATTCCAGAATTTTTTGGGATTTTCCTAAAATTCCCAATTTTTTAAGGAAAACAAATAAAGAACTCCAATTGTGTTCTGTAAATGCCCAAAGATTCCCAAAAAAAAGCCAAAAAATTGGAATTTTTTCTCCATTTTCAACCCTAAAACGCCCAAAAATGACCCCAAAATTCCGGAATTTTTGGGATTTTCCCAAAATTCCCAATTTTTTTAGGAAAACAAATAGAGAACTCCAATTTTGTTCTCCAATTGCCGAAGAAATCCCAAAAAAATCTCAAAAAATGCCCCAAAATTGGAATTTTTTCCCCATTTTCAACCCCAGAACACCCCAAAACGGCCCCAAAATTCCGGAATTTTTTTTTATTTTCCCAAAAATCCCAAATTTTTTAGGGAAATGATTCAACAACTTTGCCTGTGCTCTTGAAATGTCCCAAAAACCCCTAAAAAAATCCCAAAAAATGCCCAAAAATCTGAATTTTTTCCCATTTTCAACCCCAAAACGCCCAAAAATGCCCCCAAAATTCCGGAATTTTTTGGGATTTTCCCAAAATTCCCAATTTTTTTAGGAAAACAAATAGAGAACTCCAATTTTGTTCTCCAATTGCCGAAGAAATCCCAAAAAATTCCAAAAAAATGCCCCAAACTTGGAATTTTTTCCCCGTTTTCAACCCTAAAACGCCCAAAAACGGCCCCAAAATTCCGGATTTTTTGGGGATTTTACCAAAATTCCCGTTTTTTTAGGAAAAAGAGTCTCCGGACGGGAACAACGTGGCCTGCATCCTGACCCTGCCCCCGTACCAGCGCCGCGGCTACGGGAAATTCCTCATCGCCTTCAGTCAGTGCCGAAATTCGGGAATTTGGGGAATTTTGGGAATTTGGGGAATTTTGGAGAGTTCTGGAAAAAAATTTGGGAATTTTTGGAGGGGTTACGGTAAAAGAAATTGGGAATTTTGGAGGGTTTTGGGGGAAAAAAAATGGGATTTTTGGGATTCAGGAAAGAAAAAAAAAGGGAATTTTGGGGGGATTTAAAAGAAAAAAAAGGGAATTTTTGGCTGATTTGGGGAATTTTTTGGGATTCTGATTAAAAAGGAATTTTTGGGAGGTTCTGATAAAAAAATTTGGGTATTTTTGGGCTTTTTTAAAAATAATTGGGAATTTCTGGGTGGTTTTGGGTGAATTTTTCTGATTTTGGGTGAATTTTGGCTGATTTTGGGTGAATTTTGCCGATTTTGGGTGAATTTCGGCTGATTTTGGGTGAATTTTGGGTGAATTTTGGCCGATTTGGGTGAATTTTGGCTGATATCCAAGTTTGGCTGATTTTGGGTGGGATTTGATGAACTTTGGGTGTAATTTAACCGGGTTTTTTGCAACTTTGACCAGATTTTGCCTGGAATTTCACATTTTTTCTATTCTCCATCCAAATTTTGGGTGAATTTGGGCTGTTTTTGGGGAGATTTTTGGGTGGAATTTGATGAATTTCGGGTGGAATTTTATAGAATTGGCTGAATTTTGCCTGAATTTAGGTGTAATTTAACAGGGTTTTTTGCACCTTTGACCAGGATTTACCTTGAATTTCACATTTTTTCTATTCTCCATCCAAATTTTGGGTGAATTTGGGCTGTTTTGGGGGGAATTTTGGGTGGAATTCATTGAATTTTGGGTGGACTTTTATGGAATTGGCTGAATTTTGGCTGAATTTTGGCATAATTTAACGGGGTTTTTTTGCGATTTTGACCAGATTTTGCCTGGAATTTCACATTTTTTCTATTCTCCATCCAAATTTTGGGTGAATTTTGGCCAATTTTGGGGAGATTTTGGGTGGAATTCGTTGAATTTTGGGTGGAATTTTATAGAATTGGCTGGATTTTGGCTGAATTTAGGTGTAATTTAACGGGGTTTTTTGCGATTTTGACCAGGATTTTGCCTGGAATTTCACATTTTTTCTATTCTCCATCCAAATTTTGGGTGAATTTTGGGTGAATTTTGTCCGATTTTGGCTCCCCAGGCTACGAACTCTCCAAGCTGGAGAGCACCGTCGGCTCCCCGGAGAAGCCGCTCTCGGACCTGGGCAAGCTCAGCTACCGCAGCTACTGGTCCTGGGTGCTGCTGGAGATCCTCAGGGACTTCCGGGGGACCCTGTCCATCAAGGACCTCAGGTAGGACCAGTAAAAACCAGTACAGACCAGTACAGACCAGTATGGACCAGTATAAACCAGTATAGAGCCAAAAATCCCCATAGAAATCCATCAAACCAGTATAAACCAGTGACTTCTACTGGTCCTCCGGGACTTCCGGGGAACCCTGTCCATCAAGGACCTCAGGTAGGACCAGTAAAAACCAGTATAGACCAGTATAAACCAGTACAAACCAGTATAGACCAGTATGGACCAGTATAAACCAGTATGGGCCCAAAAAACCCCATAAAAATCCATCAAACCAGTACAAACCAGTACAAACCAGTGACTCCTCCTGGTCCTCCGGGACTTCCGGGGGACCCTGTCCATCAAGGACCTCAGGTGGGACCAGTAAAAACCAGTATAAACCAGTACAGACCAGTATGGACCAGTATGGCCCAAAAAAACCCATAGAAATCCATCAAACCAGTATAAACCAGTATGGACCAGTATGGACCAGTATAAACCAGTATGGACCAGTATGGACCAGTATGGACCAGTATGGACCAGTATAAACCAGTATAAACCAGTATGGACCAGTATAAACCATTACAAACCAGTATAAACCAGTGACTCCTAAGGGTCAGTGGTCACTCACTGGTCACTCCATTGGTCACTCAGTGGTCACTCCCATGGGTCAGTGGTCACTCACTGGTCACTCACTGGTCACTCAGGGTCACTCATTGGTCACTCAGTGGTCACTCAGTGGGTCAGTGGTCACTGGTCACTCAGTGGTCACTCAGGGTCACTCAGTGGTCACTCAGTGGTCACTGTGGTCACTCATTGGTCACTCCATTGGTCACTGTGGTCACTCAGTGGTCACTCAGTGGTCACTCCATTGGTCACTCAGTGGTCACTCAGGGTCACTCAGTGGTCACTCAGTGCTCACTCAGTGGTCACTCCCATGGGTCAGTGGTCACTGTGGTCACTCAGTGGTCACTCAGTGGTCACTCAGTGGTCACTCAGGGTCACTCATTGGTCACTCATTGGTCACTCAGTGGTCACTCAGGGTCACTCATTGGTCACTCAGTGGTCACTCAGGGTCACTGTGGTCACTCCCATGGGTCAGTGGTCACTGTGGTCACTCAGTGGTCACTCCCATGGGTCAGTGGTCACTCAGTGGTCAGTGGTCACTCAGTGGTCACTCTCCAGCCAGATGACCAGCATCACGCAGACCGACATCATCAGCCCATTGGGATGGGCAGTGCCGGGGGTCGGTGCCATGGGGTCAGTGGTCACTGTGGTCACTCAGTGGTCACTCCCATGGGTCAGTGGTCACTCAGTGGTCACTCAGTGGTCACTCACTGGTCACTCAATGTCCAGCCAGATGACCAGCATCACGCAGACCGACATCATCAGCCCATTGGGATGGGCAGTGCCGGGGGTTGGTGCCATGGGGTCAGTGGTCACTGTGGTCACTCAGTGGTCACTCCCATGGGTCAGTGGTCACTGTGGTCACTCAGTGGTCACTCAGTGGTCACTCAGTGGTCACTCTCTCCAGCCAGATGACCAGCATCACGCAGACCGACATCATCAGCCCCACTGACCACTGACAGTGACCATTGACAATGACAGAAGTCAATGGTCACTCCCATGGGTCAGTGGTCACTCCCATGGGTCAGTGGTCACTGTGGTCACTCAGTGGTCACTCAGTGGTCACTCAGTGGTCACTCAGTGGTCACTCTCCAGCCAGATGACCAGCATCACGCAGACCGACATCATCAGCCCATTGGGATGGGCAGTGCCGGGGGTCGGTGCCATGGGGTCAGTGGTCACTGTGGTCACTCAGTGGTCACTCCCATGGGTCAGTGGTCACTCAGTGGTCAGTGGTCACTCAGTGGTCACTCTGTCCCCAGCCAGATGACCAGCATCACGCAGACCGACATCATCAGCCCATTGGGATGGGCAGTGCCGGGGGTTGGTGCTGTGGGGTCAGTGGTCACTCCCGTGGGTCAGTGGTCACTGTGGTCACTCAGTGGTCACTCAGTGGTCACTCAGTGGTCACTCTCTCCAGCCAGATGACCAGCATCACGCAGACCGACATCATCAGCCCATTGGGATGGGCAGTGCCGGGGGTTGGTGCCATGGGGTCAGTGGTCACTCCCATGGGTCAGTGGTCACTCCCATGGGTCAGTGGTCACTCAGTGGTCACTCAGTGGTCACTCAGTGGTCACTCCCCAGCCATATGACCAGCATCACGCAGACCGACATCATCAGCCCATTGGGATGGGCAGTGCCGGGGGTTGGTGCCATGGGGTCAGTGGTCACTGTGGTCACTCAGTGGTCACTCCCATGGGTCAGTGGTCACTCCCACGGGTCAGTGGTCACTCAGTGGTCAGTGGTCACTCAGTGGTCACTCAGTGGTCACTCAGTGGTCACTCACTGGTCACTCTCTCCAGCCAGATGACCAGCATCACGCAGACCGACATCATCAGCCCCACTGACCACTGACAGTGACCATTGGGATGGGCAGTGCCGGGGGTTGGTGCCATGGGGTCAGTGGTCACTCCCATGGGTCAGTGGTCACTCAGTGGTCACTGTGGTCACTCCCATGGGTCAGTGGTCACTCAGTGGTCACTCAGTGGTCACTCTCTCCAGCCAGATGACCAGCATCACGCAGACCGACATCATCAGCCCATTGGGATGGGCAGTGCCGGGGGCCGGTGCTGTGGGGTCAGTGGTCACTGTGGTCACTCAGTGGTCACTCCCGTGGGTCAGTGGTCACTCAGTGGTCACTCACTGGTCACTCTGGTCACTCTCCAGCCAGATGACCAGCATCACGCAGACCGACATCATCAGCCCATTGGGATGGGCAGTGCCGGGGGTCGGTGCCATGGGGTCAGTGGTCACTCCCATGGGTCAATGGTCACTCCCATGGGTCAGTGGTCACTCAGTGGTCAGTGGTCACTCACTGGTCACTCAGTGGTCACTCTCCAGCCAGATGACCAGCATCACACAGACCGACATCATCAGCCCCACTGACCACTGACAGTGACCATTGGGATGGGCAGTGCCGGGGGTTGGTGCCATGGGGTCAGTGGTCACTGTGGTCACTCAGTGGTCACTCCCATGGGTCAGTGGTCACTCAGTGGTCACTCAGTGGTCACTCAGTGGTCACTCTCTCCAGCCAGATGACCAGCATCACGCAGACCGACATCATCAGCCCATTGGGATGGGCAGTGCCGGGGGTCGGTGCCATGGGGTCAGTGGTCACTCCCATGGGTCAGTGGTCACTCCCATGGGTCAGTGGTCACTCAGTGGTCAGTGGTCACTCAGTGGTCACTCAGTGGTCACTCTCCAGCCAGATGACCAGCATCACGCAGACCGACATCATCAGCACGCTGCAGTCGCTGAACATGGTCAAGTACTGGAAGGGGCAGCACGTCATCTGCGTCACCCCCCGCCTCGTGGAGGAGCACCTCAAGAGCGCCCAGTACAAGAAACCCCCCATCACCGGTCAGTAATTAGTGCTAATTAGCGACAGCCTTAATGAGCCGGTCGTAATTAGCGCCCTCGTTAAGCTGCTGAAAGGGGATTGGGGTGTAATTAGCGCTGGAGGGGGATTTGTGTTCCTCCTCCGGTCTTGGTACAAGTGGTTTAGTCCAGGGTTTTGTCCTTAATTAATGAGTTTAATTAATTTGTTCCATAATTAATGAGTGTAATTAATTAGTTCTCACTAATGAGTGGTAGTTTAGTGAGGTTTTGTTAAGGAAAGTGCTCATTAACGTATAGTTAATTAATGAATCAGCATAAATGGACATTCTCCCTTGTGATCCGCATTCAGTGGTTTGGTCCAGGGTTTTGTCCCTAATTAATGACTTTAATTAATTAGTTCCATAATTAATGAGTGTAATTAATTCGTTCTCGCTAATGAGTGGTAGTTTTGTGAGGTTGTGTTAAGGAAAGTGCTCATTAACATATGGTAATTAATGAATATGCATAAATGGACATTCTCCCTTATGATCCGCATTCAGTGGTTTGGTCCAGGGTTTTGTCCTTAATTAATGAGTTTAATTAATTAGTTTCATAATTTAGGATCGGAATTAATTATTTTGCATTAATGAGTGGTAGTTTAATGAGGTTGTGTTAAGGAAAGTGCTCATTAACGTATGGTGATTAATTAATATCTATTAATCCCCCCCTAATTAACACTGTTAATGACTCTCCCCATTAATTACCCCCTAATTAACTCCCCCCGTTAATCACCGCCTAATTAACACCGTCTATAACTCCCCCATTAATTACCCTCTAATTAACGCTGTTAATGATTCCCTCATTAATCCCCCCTAATTAACTCCCTCCATTAATTACCCCTAATTAACATGGCAAATAACTCCCCCCATTAATTACTCCTAATTAACTCCCCTCATTAATCCCCCCCAATAACTCCCCCTATTACTTCCCCCTAAATAATTACCCCCTAATTAAAACCCCTAATTAATCCCCCCGCTAATGAAGCCACAGTGGGTGGGTGGGGGCGCTAATTAGCGCTAATTAACGCTAATTAATTTGTTAATTGCAGTGGACTCCATCTGCCTTCGCTGGGCCCCCCCGAAGCACAAACAGGCCAAAGTGGCCAAGAAGTGAAACCCAAATTTTCCCATTTTTGGGGTTTTTCACCCAAATTTTTGGGGCTTTTTCCTCCACTTTTGGGATTTCCCAAAATTTTGGGATTTTTTTTCCAAAATTTGGGGGTTTTTTCCCAAAATTTTGGGGTTTTTTCCCAAAAAAATTTGGGGTTTTTCTTCAGATTTTTGGTGTTTTTCCTCTCATAATTGAGGTTTTTTTCTCAATTTTTCTTTGTTTTTCCTCCAGTTTTGGGGATTTTTTTTCCAATTTTGGGATTTTCCAAAATTTTGGGGGTTTTTCTCAAAATTTTGAGGTTTTTTTCCCAAAATATTTGAAATTTTCCCCAAATTTTTGGCGTTTTTCATCTGAAATTTGGCGTTTTTTCCTCCAGTTTTGGTTTTCTCTCCATGTTTGAGATTTCCCCAATTTTGGTGTTTTCACTAAAATTTTTGGGGCTTTTTCCTCCACTTTTGGGATTTTCCAAAATTTTGGGGATTTTTCCCAAAATCTTGTGGGTTTTTTTCCCCAAAATTTTTGAGGGTTTTCCCAAATTTTTTGGGGATTTTCCCACAGATTTTTATGGTTTTTCCTTTCAATTTTGGGTTTTTTTCCCCCAAATTTTTGGCATTTTTCCTGAAATTTTTGGGATTTTTCCTCTCAATTTTGGGATTTTCCAAAATTTTTGGGATTTGTCTCAAAAGTTTGAGGGTTTTTCCCAAATTTTTGGGGTTTTCCCTCTCAATTTTGGGTTTTTTTATTTCCAGTTTTGCGATTTTCCCCAAATTTTTGGGTTTTTCCCCAAATTTTGGCTTTTCCCAATTTTTGGAGGTCCCCATTTCTCCCCCCCCCCAGATTTCGGGGTCCCCCCACCCCAAATAAAGCACGAAAAGGACAAAAAGGTGACTCAGCAGTTTTTATTTTGGGAAATTTTGGGATTTTTTTGGGAATTTTGGGGATTTTTGGGGCTCCCAGGACTCAATTTTGGGGTCCCACCCCCATTTTTAGGGACCCCACCCATCCCCATTTTTGGGCTCCCAGGGTTTAAATTTGGGGTCCCACCCCAAATTTCAGCATTTCTACCCCAAAACCCAACCCAGAACCCCAAATGTTGCCATTTTCACCCCAAAACCCAACCCAGAACCCCAAATTCTGCCATTTTCACCCCATAACCCAACCCAGGACCCCAAATTTTCCCCTTTCAACCCCAAAACCCACCTCGGAACCCCCAAATTTTAGCATTTTCACCCCAAATTTTGCCCTTTCCACCCCAAACTCAACCTGAACCCCCAAATTTTAGCATTTTCACCCCATATTTGGGCCCTGGGACCCCAAATTTTTCCCCTTTCCACCCCAAAAGGAGGCTCAGGACCCCAAATTTTGCCCTTTTCACCCCAAAACGAGGGTCAGGACCCCAATTTTTGCCCTTTCCACCCCAAGACCCAACCCAGAACCCCCAAATTTCACCATTTTCACCCCAAAACCCAACTTGGAACCCCAACTTTTCCCCTTTCCACCCCAAAACCCAACCCAGAACACTCAAATTTCAGCATTTTCACCCCATAACCCCCAAATTCTGCCATTTTCACCCCAAAACCCCACCCAAACCCCCAAATTTCACCATTTTCACCCCAGAACCCCCAAATTTTCCCCTTTTCACCCCAAAAGGAGGAGCAGCAGCGCCCCCAGTGCCACCCCCAGTGCCACCCCCCGTGTCCCCCCCGCTGCCACCCCCGATGTCCCCCCGGGGTCCCCATCGGGGTCCCCATTGGGGTCGGGGCCGAGCGGCCGCGGCCACCCCGGGGGGAGCGCCCCGAAATCGCAGGGGTCCCCCCCGGGGGGCTCGGGGACATCGGGGACATTGGGGGGGTGGCCCGGGGACAGCTCGGGGACAGCGGGGGGGGGGGCCCGGGGACAGCTCGGGGACAAGGGACAGGATCCAGGAGAGGTGCGGGGACACCCCCGTGTACACCCCCGGGCGGCCGGGGACCCCGCAGGCGTCACCCCAGCTGACCACGCCCGCCAGGTGCCAGGTGCCACCCAGCTGGCAGGTGAGGGGACCCCCGGAGTCACCCTGGGGACAGAGGGGACATTAGGGACAGAGGGGACATTGGGGGCATTGGGGACATTGAGGGGATTTGGGGGATTGGGGACATTGGGGACATTGTGGGGACATTGGGGGTTTGGGGACATTGGGGACACCGGGGACACGGGGACACCACAGGCGTCACCCCAGCTGACCACGCCCGCCAGGTGCCAGGTGCCACCCAGCTGGCAGGTGAGGGGACCCCCGGAGTCACCCTGGGGACAGAGGGGACATTAGGGACAGAGGGGACATTGAGAGGATTTGGGGACATTTGGGGGTTTGGGGACATTGGGGACATTGAGGGGACATTGGGGGCATTGGGGACATTGAGGATTTGGGGACATGGGGGGATTGGGGACATTGGAGACATTGAGGGGATTTGGGGGATTGGGGACATTTGGGACATTGGGGGGATTGGGGGGATTTGGGGACATTAGGGAGATTTGGGACATTGGGACACTGAGGGGACATTGGGGGGATTGGGGACACTGGGACATTGAGGGGACATTGGGGGTTTGGGGACATTGGGACACTGAGGGGACACGGGGACACCGCAGGCGTCACCCCAGCTGACCACGCCCGCCAGGTGCCAGGTGCCACCCAGCTGGCAGGTGAGGGGACCCCCGGAGTCACCCTGGGGACAGAGGGGATGTTGGGGACATCAGAGGGGTTGGGGGCATTGGGGACATTGAGGGGACATTGGGGATTTTGGGACACTGAGGACATTGGGGGCATTGGGGCAATGAGGGGATTTGGGGGATTTGGGACACTCAGGGGACATTGGGACATTGAGGGACATTGGGGACATTGGGGGGTTTGGGGGGATTTGGGACACTGGGGACATTGGGACACTGGTGGGACGTTGGGGGATTTGGGACATTGGGGTCATTGGGGACATTGAGGGGATTGGGGACATTGGAGGACGTTGGGGACATTGGGGGGATTTGGGGACAGTGGGGACACTGAGGGGATTGGGGACATTGAGGTGATTTGGGGACATTTGGGGGATTTGGGGACATTGAGGGGACATTGAGGGATTGGGGACATTGGGGTAATTGGGGACATTGGGGACATTGAGGACATTTGGACATTGGGGACCCTGAGGACATTAGAGATTTGGGGACATTGGGGACATTGAGGGGTTTGGGGACATTGGGACATTGGGGGGACATGGGAGGGATTGGGGACATTGGGGACATTGGGACACTGAGGGGACATTGGGGATTTGGGGACATTTGGGGGATTTGGGACACTGGAGACATTGGGGGGGTGTTGAGGGATTTGGGGACATTGGGGACATGGGAGGGATTGGGGGTGTTGGGCACATTGGGGTCAATGGGGACATTGGGGACATTGGGGACATTGAGGGGCTGTTGGGGGGTTTGGGGACATTGGGGGGACATTGGGGACATTGGGACACTGGGGACATTGGGGGGATTGGGGACATTGAGGGGACATTGGGGACATTGGGGTTTTGGGGACATTGGGGACATTGAGGACCTTGGGGACACTGGGGGGATTGGGGACATTGGGGACCCTGAGGACACTGGGGATTTGGGGACATTGGGCACACTGAAGGGACATTGGGGGGATTTGGGACATTGAGGACATTGGGGACATTGGGGGATTTGGGGACATGGGAGGGACTGGGGACATTTGGGGGACATTGGGGACACTGGGAGGTGGCACCACCACGGGGGAGGTGACAGCGACACAGGGAAGGTGACAAGGGAGGTGACAGCGGTGACACCGGCACAGGGGTGGCACAGAGGGAGGTGGCAGCGGCACGGGGGTGGCACGGGGAAGGTGACACTGTCAGAGGGGAGGTGACAGCGGTGACAGAGGGAGGTGACACTGGCACAGGGGAGGTGACATTGTCAGAGGGGAGGTGACACTGTCAGAGGGCAGGTGACACTGTCAGAGGGGAGGTGACACTGTCAGAGGGGAGGTGACACTGGCACAGGGGAGGTGACATTGTCAGAGGGGAGGTGACACTGGCACAGCGGAGGTGACACTGGCACAGGGGAGGTGACACTGGCACAGCGGAGGTGACACTGTCAGAGGGGAGGTGACAGCGGTGACAGAGGGAGGTGACACTGGCACAGGGGAGGTGACACTGTCAGAGGGGAGGTGACACTGGCACAGCGGAGGTGACACTGGCACAGGGGAGGTGACACTGGCACAGCGGAGGTGACACTGGCACAGGGGAGGTGACACTGGCACAGCGGAGGTGACACTGTCAGAGGGGAGGTGACAGCGGTGACAGAGGGAGGTGACACTGGCACAGGGGAGGTGACACTGTCAGAGGGGAGGTGACAAGGTAAATGCCAGCGGTGCCACCCACCTGGCAGGCGTCGCGCTGTCCCTGCGGCAGGCCGGCGCAGATGGTGTCCCCGGCGGGTGTCCCCAGCCCCTCTGTGGCTGTCCCCTGTGTCCCCTGTGTCACTGTCCCCAGGGCGTACAGGCAGCGGCAGTGGCGGTGGCTCAGCAGTGGCACCTCCAGGTGCTGCAGCGTCTTCGGGGGTGGCAGCGGCACTGCGGGGACAGTGGGGTCACAGAGGTGTCACCTCGGGTCACCTCGGGGTCACCAGCCCTGTCCTGGTCACTGTGGGGACAGCGCTGTCACCTCGGGTCACCTCGGGGTCACCAGCCCTGTCCTGGTCACCTCGGGTCACCTCGGGTCACCTCGGGGTCACCAGCCCTGTCCTGGTCACTCTGGTGTCCCCAAATCTGTCCTGGTCACTCTGATGTCCCCATCCCTGTCCTGGGGTCACCTCGGTGTCACCTACCCTGTCCTGGGGTCACCTCCCTGTCCCCAACCCTGCCCTGGTCACTGCGGGGACAGCGCTGTCACCTCGGGTCACCTCGGGGTCACCTCGGGGTCACCTCGGTGTCCCCAACCCTGTCATGGTCACCTCGGGGTCACCAGCCCTGTCCTGGTCACTGCGGGGACAGCGGTGTCACCTCAGTGTCACCCCAGTGTCACCTACCCTGCCCTGGTCACTTCCGTGTCACCTCGGTGTCCCCAACCCTGTCCTGGTCACACTGAGTCCCCATCCCTGTCCTGGGGTCACCTCCCTGTCCCCAACCCTGCCCTGGTCACCTCAGTGTCACCTCAGTGTCACCTATCCTGTCCTGGGTGTCCCAATGTCCCAATGTCCCCCCAATGTCCCCAATCCCTGCCATGTCCCCCCAATGTCCCAATGTCCCCAAACCCCTCAATGTCCCCAATGTCCCCAAATCTCCAATGTCCTCAGGGTCCCCAATGTCCAAATGTCCTCAATGTCCCCAATGTCCCCAATGTCCCCAATTACCCAAATGTCCCCAAATCCCCAATGTCCCCTCAATGTCCCCAATGTCTTCAATGTCCCCAATCCCTCCCATGTCCCCAGTGTCCCCAAACCCCCAATGTCCCCGCAATGTCCCAATGTCCCCAATCCCCTCAATGTCCCCAATGTCCCCAATCCACCCAATGTCCCAAATCCCTCAATGTCCCCAATGTCCCCAGTGCCCCCAAACCCTCTGATGTCCCCTCTGTCCCCAAGGTCTCCAATCCCCACCAAGGATGTCCCCAATGACTCCAAGGATGTCCCCAATGCCCCAACGATGTCCCCAAGGATGTTCCCAATGACCCAAGGATGTCCCCAATGACCCAAATGATCCCAATGATGTCCCCAAGGATGTCCCCAACGCCCCAAGGCTGTCCCCAGGGATGTCCCAGTGCCACCCACCGGCGGTGCGGACGTGTCCCCAATGCCCCCAGGATGTCCCGGTGCCACCCACCGGCGGTGCGGACGTGTCCCCAACGCCCCCAAGGATGTCCCCAATGTCCCCAATGACCCAACGATGACCCCGAGGATGTCCCCAGTGACCCAATGATGTCCCCAACCCCCCAAGGACACCCCCAGTGCCACCCACCGGCGGTGCGGACGTGTCCCCAATGCCCCCGAGGATGTCCCCAATGCCCCAGGGATGTCCCAGTGCCACCCACCGGCGGTGCGGACGTGTCCCCAATGTCCCCAATGATGTCCCCAGTGCCACCCACCGGCGGTGCGGACGTGTCCCCAGCCGGTGACGGTGCAGTTGGTGCCGGGGACGAAGGCCACGCCGGCGCGGGGGACGCAGACCGGCCGCACCAGGCGCGAGGGGCTGGCGGGGGGCTCCAGCCGGGCCAGCGCCAGGTCCCCGGCGATGTCACCGTCACTGTCACTGTCACCGTCGCGATAGTCGCGATAGGCCGGGTGCCGCGTCACCGAGGCCACGGCGCGGACCTGCGCGTCCGGGGGGGGGGACAGCAGCTGCAGCACCCCCAGCGTGACACGGTAATCGCCGAGGGCGTTCTCCCTGTGGGGGATTTGGGGTTTTTGGGGTTTTTTTGGGGTTTTGGGGGGGTTTGGGGTCAGGATTTGGGGTTTTTGAGGGGATTTTCGGGCTTTTTGGGGGGTTTGGGGTCAGGATTTGGGGTTTTGGGGGTCAGGATTGGGGGTTCTGGGGTCAGGATTGGGGGTTTTTGGGGGGATTTAGGGGGTTTGGGGTCATGATTTGGGATTTTGGGGGGGATTTGGGGTTTTTTTGGGGGTTTGGGGTTAGAATTTGGGGTTCCTGAAGGGGTGATGCGGTAGTCACGGAGGGCGTTCTCCCTGCAGGGGGATTTGGGGTTTTCGGGGGGATTTTGGGGGGTTTGGGGGGAATATTCAGGTTTTTTGGGGGATTTGGGGTCAGGATTTGGGGTTTTTGGGGGATTTGGGGTCAGGATTTGGGGGTTTGGGGTCAGGATTTGGGGTTCCTGAAGGGGTGACACGGTAGTTGCGGAGGGTGTTCTCCCTGCAAAGGGATTTGGGGTTTTTGGGGGGATTTTGTCAGGATTTGGGGATTTGGGGTCAGGATTTGGGGGTTTTGGGGTGATTTTGGGGGGTTTGGGGTCAGGATTTGGGATTTTTGGGGGGATTTTTGGGTTTTTTAGGGTGTTTGGGGTCAGGATTTGGGGTTTTTGGGGGGTTTTGGGGTCAGGATTTGGGGTTTTGGGGGGGATTTGGGTCAGGATTTGGGGTTTTTGGGGGGGTTTGGGGTCAGGATTTGGGGTTCATGAAGGGGTGACGCGGTAGTCGCGGAGGGCGTTCTCCCTGAAAAGGGATTGGGGATTTTGGGGGGTTTTGAGGGTTTTGGGGGGAATATTCAGGTTTTTTGGGGGGTTTGGGGTCAGGATTTAGGGTTTTGAGGGGATTTTCGGGCTTTTTGGGGGGTTTGGGGTTAGGATTTGGGGTTCATGAAGGGGTGACGTGGTAGTTGGAGAGGGGGTTCTCCCTGCAAAGGGATTGGGGGTTTTTGGGGGGGTTTGGGGTCAGGATTTGGGGTTTTTGGAGAGGTTGGGGTCAGGATTTGGGGTTTTTGCGGGATTTTCCGTTTTTTTGGGGCTATCTCAGGGCACGTTTGTGGTATTTTTTAGGGTCTCTCAAGGTGATTTTTGGGGTGATTTTGGGGTGATTTCAGGGTATTTTTGGGGCTATTTCAGGGCAGGTTTGTGGTATTTTTGGGGCTATTTCAGGGTATTTTTGAGGCTATTTCAGGGCAGGTTTGTGGTATTTTTGGGGCTATTTCAGGTCACGTTTGTGGTATTTTTTAGGGCTATCTCAGGGCACATTTGTGGTATTTTTTGGGGTCCCTCGGGGTGATTTTTGGGGTGATTTCAGGGTGATTTCAGGGTATTTTTGGGTCTATTTCAGGTCACGTTAGTGGTATTTTTTTAGGGTATCTCAGGGTGATTTTGGGGTGATTTGGGGTGATTTGGGGGTGCTTTCTCTGACTCACGGCGGGAAGCAGTGGGCGGCTGTCAGCACCCAGGCCGGGGCGATCAGGGCCCCGCCGCAGACGTGGCGGCCGCGGAAGGCGACGCTGACGGTCCAGGGCCACTGTCCCTCCTGGGCTCCTGCACCGCCCACCACGCGCCGGAGAACCGGGGTCCCGCACGGCACTGAAGGGGTTAAAGGGGTTAAAGGGGTTACAGGGGTGAGGGGACCCCAAAATCAGCCCCCAGACCCAATTCAGGGCATCCCCCCCCGCCCCGACCCTCCTGCACCGCCCACCACGCGCCGCAGAACCGGGGTCCCGCACGGCACTGAAGGGGTTAAAGGGGTTAAAGGGGTTACAGGGGTGAGGGGACCCCAAAATCAGCCCCCAGACCCAATTCAGGGCATCCCCACTGTCCCTCCTGGGCTCCTGCACCGCCCACCACGCGCCGCAGAACCGGCGTCCCGCACGGCACTGAAGGGGTTAAAGGGGTTAAAGGGGTTAAAGGGGTTACAGGGGTGAGGGGACCCCAAAATCAGCCCCCAGACCCAATTCAGGGCATCCCCTCCCGACCCCGACCCTCCTGCACCCCCACCACGCGCCGCAGAACCGGCGTCCCGCACGGCACTGAAGGGGTTAAAGAAGAGTTTTGGGTTAAAAAAAAACAAACAAAAAATGGGGTTAAAATGAGTTCCCAAAATTTGGGATTTTGGGGTTAAAGGAGTCCCAAAAAAAGGGATTTTGGGGTAAAAAGAGGACCTAAAAATGGGATTTTGGGGTTAAAAGGAGTCCCCAAAAATGGGATTGAAAGAGTCCCAAAAACTGGGATTAAAGGAGTCCCCAAAATGGGATTAAAGGGGTCCCCAAAAATGGGATTTTGAGGTTAAAGGAGTCCCCAAAAAATTTGATTTTGAGTTTAAAGGAGTCCCCAAAAATGGGAATGAAGGAACCCCTAAAATGGGATTAAAGGAGTCACAAAAAATTTGGGATTTTGGGTTAAATGAGTTCCCAAAAATGGGGTTAAAAAAGTCCCCAAATGGGTTAAAAGGAATCCCTAAAATTTGGGATTTTGGGGTTAAAAGGAGTCCCCAAAATTGGGATTAAAGGAGTCCCTGGAAATGGGGTTAAAGGGGTCCCGCACGGCACTGAAGGGGTTAAAGGGGTTAAAGGGGTTAAAGGGGTTAAAGGGGTGAGGGGACCCCAAAATCAGCCCCCAGACCCAATTCAGGGCATCCCCCCCCACCCTGACCCGCCCACCACGCGCCGCAGAACCGGGGTCCCGCACGGCACTGAAGGGGTTAAAGAGGATTTTTGGGTTAAAAAATACAAACCAGAAATGGGGTTAAAGGAGTCCCCAAAATTTGGGATTTTGGGGTTAAAAGGAGTCCCCAAAAATGGGATTAAAGGAGTCCCTGGAAATGGGGTTAAAGGGGTCCCGCACGGCACTGAAGGGGTTAAAGGAGTTCAAATAGTCCCCAAAAATTTGGGATTTTGGGGATAAAGGAGTCACCAAAATTGGGGATTTTTGGTGTTAAAGGAGTCCTCAAAATTTGGGATTTAGGGGTTAAAGGAGTCCTTAAATATGGGATTAAAGGGGTCCCCAAAAATGGGGTTAAAAAATTCCCCAAATGGGTTAAAAGGAGTTCCCAAAATTTGGGATTTTGGGGTTAAAGGAGTCCCCAAAAATGGGATTAAAGGAGTCCCTGGAAATGGGGTTAAAGGGGTCCCTGCACGGCACTGAAGGGGTTAAAGGAGTCCCCAAAAATTTGGAATTTGGGGGAAAAAAGAGCCCTGAAAATTTGGGATTTGGGGGTTAATGGAGTCTCAAAAAAAATGGGATTTTGGGGTAAAAAGAGTCACCAAAAATGGGATTTTGGGCTTAAAGGAGTCCCCAAAATGGGATTAAAGGAGTCCCCAAAAAATGGGATTTTGGCTTAAAGGAGTCCCCAAAAATTGGGATTTTGGGGTAAAAAGATGACCTAAAAACGGGATTTTGGGGATTAAAGGAATCCCAAAATTCGGGAGCCCTCCCCTAAAGAACCCCAAAATTGGGACCCCTCCCCTAAATAACCCCAAAATTGGGACCCCTCCCCTTAAGGAACCCCAAATTTGGGACCCCTCCCCTTAAGGAACCCCAAAATTTGGGACCCCTTCCCTAAAGAACCCCAAAATTGGGACCCCTCCCCTAAAGAACCCCAAAATTGGGACCCCTCCCCTAAATAACCCCAAAACTCGGGACCCCTCCCCTTAAAGGACCCCAAAATTGGGACCACTCCCCTGAATAACCCCAAAAATGGGACCCCTCCCCTTAAAGGCACCCCAAAATTGGGACCCCTCCCCTAAAGAGCCCCAAAATTGGGACCCCTACCCTAAATAACCCCAAAATTGGGACCCCTCCCCTAAATAACCCCAAAATTGGGACCCCCTCCCCTAAATAACCCCAAATTTGGGACCCCTCCCCTTAGGGCACCCCAAAATTGGGACCCCTCCCCTAAATAACCCCAAAATTGGGACCCCTCCCCTAAATAACCCCAAAATTCGGACCCCTCCCCTAAAGGACCCCAAAATTGGGACCCCTCCCTTAAAAGACCCCAAAATTGGGACCCCTCCCCTAAAGAACCCCAAAATTGGGACCACTCCCCTAAAGAACCCCAAAATTGGGACCCCTCCCCTAAATAACCCCAAATTTGGGACCCCTCCCCTAAAGAACCCCAAAATTGGGACCCCCTCCCCTAAAGGAACCCCAAAATTTGGGACCCCCCTCACCTGTCTCATCCTCCGCTGTCACCCCCCAGTGACCTGTGAGGGACAAGGGGAGGGGGTGATGACGTCAGAGACCCGATTTGGGGACAATTACGAGGTTGATGACGTCAGAGACCCAATTTGGGGGACAATTAGGAGGGCGATGACGTCACAACCCCCCCAAAAAATGAGCTGGCCGGACATCCGGGGCGAGGCGGAAAAACCGGCCCCGGGAATGTCACCTGTCCGTGTCACCTGTGCCACCTCCGGGTCACCTCCGGGTCTCCCCAAAATCCCTTCAAGGACCCCTCAAAATTTCCCAGAATTTCCCTCGTCCCGCTCAAGACCCCCCACCCCAAAATTTTGTGCCACTTCAGAGCCTCTCTATGCCCCCCAAAATCTTGGGTGTCAGCAAAAAACACCCTCAGAACTACTCAAAATGCATCAAATCGCCCCAAAAATCCCCTCAGAATTCCCAAATCCCCTCAGAACTCTCCAAAACCACCTAAGGGCTCCTCAAATCCCCTCAAATTGACCCCAAAACCCCCTCAGAACCCCCCAAAATCCCCTCAGAACCCCCCAAAAGCCCCTCAGAAACCCCCAAAATCTATCAAATTGACCCAAAACCCCCTCAGAACTCCTCAGAACTCCTCGAATCCCCTCAGAAACCCCCAAAACCTCTCAAATCGCCCCAAAATCCCCTCAGAAATCCCTAAATCCCCTCTGAGCCCCCCAAAACCCCATCAAAACTTCCTCAAATCTCCTGAGAAATGCTCAAATCTCTTCAGAACTCCCCAAAACCTCTCAAATAGCACCAAACCCCCTCAGGACTCCCCAAAACCCCCTCAGAAATCCTTAAATCCCCTAAGAACTCCCCGAAACCCCTCAGAACTCCCCCAAACCCCCTCAGAAACTCCCCAAACCTCTCAGATAACCCTAAAACCCCCTCAGGACTCCCCAAAACCCCCTCAGAACTCCTCAAAACTCCCTCACAGCCCCTCAAATCCCCTCAAATTGACCCCAAATCCCCTCAAATCGCAGCAGAGCCCCCTCAGAACCTCTCAAATCCCCTCAAAAAACCCCAAATCCCCTCAGACTTTCCTTAACCCCCTCACGATTCCCGCCGAAATCCCTTCACCATTTTCTACCAAAAATCCCATCCCAAATCCCCTCACAAATCCCCTCAGATTCCCCCAAAACCCCCCAAATCCTCTCAGACTCTCCTTAAACCCCTCATGATTCCCGCCAAAATCCCCTCAATCCCCCCAAATCCTCTCTGAACCCCGCAAATCCCCTCAAAAAAACCCAAATCCCCTCAGACTTTCCTTAACCCCCTCAGGATTCCCGCCGAAATCCCCTCACGATTCTCTGCCAAACATCCCCTCAAACCCCCCGAAATCCCCTCAGTCTCCCACAAATCCCCTCAGATTCCCATCAAAACCTTCCAAAAAAAAACCCCAAATCCCCCCAAACTGCCCCAAATCCCCTCAGACCCCCTTCAAAACCCCTCAAACCCCCCCAAATCCCCTCAGAACCCCCAAAACCCCCCAAATCCTTTGAAACCCACCCCAAATCCTTTGAAAGCCCCCAATTCCCTCAGACTCCCATCAAAACACCTCAAACCCCCCCAGATTCCCTCAAAACCCCTCAAAAAAAAAAAAAAAAAAACAACAAAACCCAAATCCCTTCACACTCTCCTAAATCCCCTCATGATTCCCTCCCAAATCCCATCAAAACACCTCAACCCCCCCCCAAATCACTTCAAAGCCCCCAAATCCCCTCAAAAAAACTCCAAATCCCCTCAAACCCCCCAAATCCCCTCAAACCCCCCCCAAATCCCCTCAGAATCTCTTTAATCCCCTCACGATTCTCTGTCAAAAATCCCCTCACGATTCCCTCCCAAATCACCTCAAACTACCCCAAATCCCCTCAAAACCCCTCAAATCCCCTCAGACTCCGCTCAAAACACTCCAAACCCCCCCAAATCCCCTCAGAACACCCAAATCCCCTCAAATCCCCCCAAAAATCCTTTCAGACACCCCCAAATCCCCTCAGACTCTCCTTAACCCCCTCACGATTCCCGCCGAAATCCCCTCACGAATCTCTGCCAAAACCCCTCCCAAATCCCCCCAAACCCACTCAAACTCCCCCAAATCCCCTCAACCCCCCCAAATCTCCTCAGGACCCCCCAAATTCCCTCAAAACCCCCCAAATCCCCTCAAACCCCCCAAATCCCCTCAGACTCTCCTCAAAATCACCTCACGATTCCCGCCGAAATCCCCTCACGAATCTCTGCCAAAAACCCCTCAAAACCCCCCCAAATCCCCTCGGACTCCCATCAAAACCCCTCAAAAAAACCGCAACCCCCCCAAATCCCCTCAGGACCCCCCAAATTCCCTCAAACTCCCCCCGAAATCCCCTCAAACCCCCCAAAATCCCTTCAGACACCCCCAAATCCCCTCAGACTCTCCTTAACCCCCTCACGGTTCCCGCCGAAATCCCCTCACGAATCTCTGCCAAAAACCCCCTCAGGACCCCCCAAATCACCTCAAACCCCCCCAAATCCCCTCAAAAGCCCCCAAATCCCCTCAACCCCCCAAAATCCTTTCAGACACCCCCAAATCACCTCAGACTCTCCTTAACCCCCTCAGGATTCCCGCCGAAATCCCCTCACCAATCTCTGCCAAAAACCCCCTCAGGACCCCCCAAATCCCCTCAAAACGCCCCCGAAATCCCCTCAACCCCCCCAAATCTCCTCAGGACCCCCCAAATCCCCTCAAACCCCCCAAATCCCCTCAAATTCCCCTCAAACCCCCAAAATCCTTTCAGACACCCCCAAATCCCCTCAGACTCTCCTTAACCCCCTCAGGATTCCCGCCGAAATCCCCTCACGAATCTCTTCCAAAACCCCCCCCCCAAATCTCCCCAAACCGACTCAAACTCCCCCAAATCCCCTCAACCGCCCCAGATCTCCTCAGGACCCCCCAAATCCCCTCAAACCCCCTCCAAAATCCCCTCAAAACCCCCCAAATCCCCTCAAACCTCCCAAAACCCCTCAAACCCCCCAAAACCCCTCAAAACTCTCCAAATCCCCTCAGACTCTCCTCAAAATCACCTCACGATTCCTGCCGAAATCCTCTCACGAATCTCTGCCAAAAACCCCCTCAAACCCCCCCAAATCCCCTCGGACTCCCATCAAAACCCCTCAAAAAACCCACAAACACCTCCAAATCCCCTTAAACCCCCCCAAATCCCCTAAAAGCCCCCCAAAATCCCTTCAGACACCCCCAAATCCCCTCAGACTCTCCTTAACCCCCTCACGATTCCCGCCAAAATCCCCTCACGATTCTCTGCCAAAAAAACACCCTCAAAACCCCTCAAACAACCCCAAATCCCTTCAAACCCCCCTAAATCCCCTCAGACTCCTATCAAAACCCCTCAAAAAACCCGAAACCCCCCCAAATCCCCTCAAACCCCCCCCCCCAAATCCTTTCAGACACCCCCAAATCCCCTCAGACTCTCCTAAACGCCCTCAGGATTCCCGCCGAAATCCCCTCACGAATCTCTGCCAAAAACCCCCTCAAACCCCCCCAAATCCCCTTAGAGTCCCATCAAAACCCCTCAAAACAACCGCAACGCCCCCAAAATCCCCTCAAGACACCCCAGATCCCCTCAAACTCCCATAAATCCCCCCAAAATCCTTTCAGACACCCCCAAATCCCCTCAGGCTCTCCTTAACCCCCTCAGGATTCCCGCCAAAATCCCCTCACGAATCTCTGCCAAAAACCCCCTCAGACCCTGAAATCCCCTCAGACTCCCATCAAAACCCCTCAAAAAAACCACAACTCCCCCCCAAATCCCCTCAGGACCCCCCAAATCCCCTCAAACTCCCATAAAAGCCCCCAAAATCCTTTCAGACACCCCCAAATACCCTCAGACTCTCCTTAACCCCCTCACGATTCCCACCGAAATCCCCTCACGAATCTCTGCCAAAAACCCCCTCAGACCCTGAAATCCCCTCAGACTCCCATCAAAACCCCTCAAAAAAACCGCAACGCCCCCAAATCCCCTCAGAACCCCCCAAATCCCCTCAAATTCCCATCAAACCCCCCCAAATCCCCTCAGACACCCCCAAATCTTCTCAGACTCTCCTTAACCCCCTCACGATTCCCACCAAAATCCCCTCATGATTCCCTCCCAAACCCCCCCAAATTCCCATCAAAACACCTCAAAAAAACTCCCAAATTCCCTCAGGCTGCCACTAAACCCCCCAAAAACCCCCTAAAATCCCCCAAATTCCCCCAAACCGCCTCTCACCGCCCGCCACCAGCACCAGAATCAGCAGAATCGGCTCCGGCCCCGCTCCCGTCTGCCGCCGCCGCCTCCTCATCGCTCCTGTGTCACCTTCCTCACCTGTGCCTTCACCTGAGCGCGGCCACGCCCCTTTACCTGCCCGGAATGTGCCACCCCCACCCCCACCCTCACCTGTGCCGCGGACACGCCCCGGGTGTCACCTGTGCAGGTATTTCCTGGGCTGGGCGGCGCTTCCGTGTCACCTGGGCCTGTACCTGGCTGGGTTCTGTCTCACCTGTAAATTTACCTGGCTGAGTTCTGTCTCACCTGTGCCATTACCTGGCTGGGTTCTGTCTCACCTGTGCCTGTACCTGGCTGGGTTCTGCCTCTCCTGTCTCACCTGTGCCATTACCTGGCTGGGTTCTGTCTCACCTTCTCACCTGTGCCATTACCTGGCTGGGTTCTGTCTCACCTGTGCCTTTACCTGGCTGGGTTCTGCCCCTCCTGTCTCACCTGTGCCATTACCTGGCTGGGTTCTGCCTTTACCTGGCTGGGTTCTGTCTCACCTGTGCCTGTACCTGGCTGGGTTCTGTCTCACCTGTGCCTGTACCTGGCTGAGTTCTGTGTCACCTGTGCCTTTACCTGGCTGGGTTCTGTCTCTCCTGTGTCACCTGTGCCCTTACCTGGCTGGGTTCTGCCTTTACCTGGCTGGGTTCTGTCTCACCTGTGCCTTTACCTGGCTGGGTTCTGCCTTTACCTGGCTGGGTTCTGTCCCTCCTGTGTCACCTGTGCCTTTACCTGGCTGGGTTCTGTCTCACCTGTGCCTGTACCTGGCTGGGTTCTGTCTCACCTGTGCCTTTACCTGGCTGGGTTCTGTCTCACCTGTGCCTTTACCTGGCTGGGTTCTGCCCCTCCTGTGTCACCTGTGCCTTTACCTGGCTGGGTTCTGTCTCACCTGTGCCTTTACCTGGCTGGGTTCTGTCTCACCTTCTCACCTGTGCCATTACCTGGCTGGGTTCTGTCTCACCTGTGCCTTTACCTGGCTGGGTTCTGCCTTTACCTGGCTGGGTTCTGCCTCTCCTGTCTCACCTGTGCCTTTACCTGGCTGGGTTCTGTCTCACCTGTGCCTTTACCTGGCTGGGTTCTGTCCCACCTGTGCCTTTACCTGGCTGGGTTCTGTCTCACCTGTGCCTGTACCTGGCTGGGTTCTGTCTCACCTGTGCCTTTACCTGGCTGGGTTCTGCCTTTACCTGGCTGGGTTCTGTCTCACCTGTGCCTGTACCTGGCTGGGTTCTGTCTCACCTGTGCCTTTACCTGGCTGGGTTCTGCCTAACCTGTGCCTTTACCTGGCTGGGTTCTGCCTTTACCTGGCTGGGTTCTGTCTCACCTGTGCCTTTACCTGGACGGGTTCTGTCTCACCTGTGCCTGTACCTGGCTGGGTTCTGTCTCACCTGTGCCTTTACCTGGCTGGGTTCTGTCTCACCTGTGCCTTTACCTGGCTGGGTTCTGTCTCACCTGTGCCTTTACCTGGCTGGGTTCTGTCTCACCTGTGCCTTTACCTGGCTGGGTTCTGTCTCACCTGTGCCTGTACCTGGCTGGGTTCTGTCCCTCCTCTCTCACCTGTGCCTTTACCTGGCTGGGTTCTGTCTCACCTGTGCCTTTACCTGGCTGGGTTCTGTCCCTCCTGTCTCACCTGTGCCTTTACCTGGCTGGGTTCTGTCCCTCCTGTCTCACCTGTGCCTTTACCTGGCTGGGTTCTGTCTCACCTGTCTCACCTGTGCCTGTACCTGGCTGGGTTCTGCCTTTACCTGGCTGGGTTCTGCCCCCCCTCACCTTTACCTTTACCTAAACAGGGCATGGCCACGCCCCCAATGTCCATTTATGGACAAACCACGCCCTCAATATGCAAATATGGACAAGATACGCCCCTAAATTCCATTTATATGCAAACCACGCCCTCAATATGCAAATATGGGAAAGACACGCCCCTAAAGTTCATTTATATGCAAACCACGCCCCTTACTCAGCTAAAACCACCCCTCAATGTCCCATTATATGCAGACCACGCCCCTTATGCTAATTAGCCATTAAACCAACCCCAAACTGCTAAAGGTGTGCAAACCACGCCCCCAAAAGATATTTATGCTAATTAACCATGACTATTATGCTAATTAAACCATTACACTTAACCCCCAAGTGTGAAAACCACACCCCCATAAGGTATATATGCTAATCACGGCCATTATGCTATATAACTATTACCATAACCCCCCAGTGTGAAAACCACGCCCCCATAAGCTATTTATGCTAATTACCCATGCCCATTATGCAAATTAACATTACGATAACACCCCAAGCGTGCAAACCACGCCCCCATTAGCTATTTATGCTAATTAACCACGCCCAATATGCTAATTAACATTACAATAACACCCATAAATGTGCAAACCACGCTCCCGTAAGCTATATGTGCTAATTAACCACGCCCATTATGCTAATTAACATTACAATAACCCGAGTGTGCAAACCACGCCCCCATAATCTATATATGCTAATTACCCATGCCCATTATGCTAATTAGCCAAATCAATCCACGCCCCCAGAGCAGCTACTTGTGACAAGCCAAACCCCTTCAATTTATGCTAATAAATGCATATTATGCAAATTAACCCTCCCAGCCGCGCACCACCCTGCCCCTTGTAACGACCTCATTTACGTCAGTGTTTAACGAGCTTGTTAACGAGCTCATTAGGCATTAATTAGGCACGTTAATGACCTCCCAGTGAAGCCACGCCCCTTCCCAGCGCCAGCCAATCAGATCGTTCCCCAAAATCCCTTTATTGGGGGGGAGGGGTTAAAAACGGGGGCGGGGCCCGCGGGGAGGGGGCGGGGCCAAAGGGGGGTGGGGGAGGGGCGAACATACAAAAATTTGGGGAGGGGGAGGGGTAAAAAAGGGGTGGGGGAGGGGCTCAATATGGCCGCTCGCGTCGGTCCTGCCGGTGGTCACCCCTGCGGATGATTGGACAGCGTCAGCACGCTCATTTGCATAAATTAATTAATCATCAACCTTGATTAACGCCCAAAAATCGGCTTTAAAACCCCCAAATTCCCCGATTTTTCCCCAAAATCCCATGCTTTTTCCTCCCAAAATCCCCATTTTCCTCCACCAAATTCCCATTTTTTCCTCCAACCCCCACAAAATTTTCCCAAAATCCCCATTTTCCTCCCCAAAATCCCAAGTTTTTTTCTGAAAACCGCCCAGATTCTCCCCAAAATCATAATTTTACCCCCACACCCCCCGGGTTTTCCAAAAATCCCCATTTTTACCCCCAAAATTCCTAATTTTCTTAAAAAAAATCCCATCTCCCCCTCAAAATCCCTTTTACCCCAAAATCACTATTTTCTCCCCCAAATCCCCTGAATGTTCCCAAAATCCCCATTTTTTCACCCTAAAATCCCCAGTTTACCCCCAAAACCCTGCTTTTCCTCCCAAAATCCCAATTTTCCCCCCCAAACCCCCCGACTTTTCCCAAAATCCCCATTTCCCCCCAAAACCCCCCTGAAATTTCCATAAATCCCCATTTTTCCCCCCAAATCCCCCTGAATTTTCCCATTATCCCCATTTTTCCCCCTAACCCACTGAATTTTCCCAAAAATCCCCCTTTTTCACCCCAAAATCCCCATTTCCCCCCCCCAAACCCCCTGAATTTTCCCAAAATCCCCGTTTTTCACCCCAAAATCTCCATTCCCCCCCCCAAACCCCCCTGAATTTCCCCCAAATCCCCATTTCCCCCCCAAACCCCCTGAATTTTCCCAAAATCCCCGTTTTTCACCCCCAAACCCCTATGAATTTTCCCAAAATCCTTGTTTTTCACCCCAAAACCCTCACCTTTCCCCCAAAAACTCCTAATTTCCTCCAAAAATCTCCCATTTTCACCCCAAAAATCCAAATTATCTCCCCCAAAAATCTACCTTTTTCCCCCCCAAACCCCTATGAAATTTCCCAAAATCCCTGTTTTCCCCCCAAACCCCACTGAATTTTCCCAAAATCCCCGTTTTTCCCCCCAAAACCCCTATGAATTTTCCCAAAATCCCTATTTTTTACCCCAAAATCCCCATTTTTCCCCCCAAACCCCCGAATTTTCCCAAAATCCCCATTTTCCCCCCCAAACCACTATGAATTTTCCCAAAAACCCTGTTTTTCCCCCAAACTCCCCGAATTTTCCCAGAATACCCGTTTTCCACACCAAAATCCCCATTTTTCCCCAAACCCCCCCAGAATTTTCCCAAAATCCCCATTTCCCCCCAAAATCCCCATTTTTCCCCCCAAACCCCCTGAATTTTCCAAAAAATCCCCCTTTTTCACCCCAAAATCCCCATTTTCCCCCCCAAACCCTTATGAATTTTCCCAAAATCCCCGTTTTTCCCCCCAAACCCCTATGAATTTCCCCAAAATCCCTATTTTTTCCCCCAAACCCCCGTTTTCCCCCCAAACCCCGATGAATTTTCCCAAAATCCCCGTTTTCCCCCCCCAAACCCCACTGAATTTTCCCAAAATCCCCATTTTTCCCCCCAAACCCATATGAATTTTCCCAAAATCCCCGTTTTTCCCCCCAAACCCATATGAATTTTCCCAAAATCCCCGTTTTTCCCCCCCAAACCCCAATGAATTTTCCCAAAATCCCCGTTTTCCCCCGCAACCCATATGAATTTTTCCCAAATCCCCGTTTTTCCCTCCAAACCCCTATGAATTTCCCCAAATCCCCATTTACCCCCCCAAATTTTCCCAAAATCCCCATTTTCCCCCCAAACCCCTATAAATTTTCCCAAAATCCCGGTTTTTCCTCCCAAAACCCCATCCCCACCTGCTGTCCATCTTGCCGGGCCCGAAGCCGCCGCGGTCGCCCCCTCGGCCGCCCCGGAACCCGCCGCGGTCGCCGCGGCCACGGAACCCGCCCCGGTCGAAGCCGCCGCGGCCGCCCCGGCGCTCCTCGAAACCCCCACCTGGGCAGGTGAGACACAGGTGAGACACAGGTGAGACCCACAGGTGTGTACAGGTGTGTAAAAGTGTGATAAACATGTGTACAGGTGTGTAAAGGTGTGCCCAGGTGTGCCCAGGTGTGCCCAACCCGCCCCGGTCGAAGCCGCCGCGGCCGCCCCGGCGCTCCTCGAAACCCCCACCTGGGCAGGTGAGACACAGGTGAGATACACAGGTGTGAACAGGTGTGTAAAAGTGTGTAAAGGTGTGATAAACATGTGTACAGGTGTGCCCAGGTGTGCCTAACCCGCCCCGCTCGAAGCCGCCGCGGCCGCCCCGGCGCTCCTCGAAACCCCCACCTGGGCAGGTGAGACACAGGTGAGAACAGGTGAGATATAGGTGTGCAAAGGTGTGTAAAACATGTGTACAGGTGTGTAAATGTGTGCCCAGGTGTGCCCAACCCGCCCCGGTCGAAGCCGCTGCGGCCGCCCCGGCGCTCCTCGAAACCCCCACCTGGGACAGGTGAGAACAGGTGAGATACAGGTGTGTACAGGTGTGATAAACATGTGTACAGGTGTGCCCAGGTGTGCCCAACCCGCCCCGGTCGAAGCCGCCGCGGCCGCCCCGGCGCTCCTCGAAACCCCCACCTGGGCAGGTGAGACACAGGTGAGATACAGGTGTGTAAAACATGTGTACAGGTGTGATAAACATGTGTACAGGTGTGCCCAGGTGTGCCCAACCCGCCCCGCTCGAAGCCACCGCGGCCGCCCCGGCGCTCCTCGAAACCCCCACCTGGGCAGGTGAGACACACAGGTGTGTAAAGGTGTGTAAAACATGTGTACAGGTGTGTAAATGTGTGCCCAGGTGTGCCCAGGTGTGCCCAACCCGCCCTGCTCGAAGCCGCCGCGGCCGCCCCGGCGCTCCTCGAAACCCCCACCTGGGACAGGTGTGAACAGGTGAGACTCACAGGTGAGACCAACAGGTGTGTAAAGGTGAGAGAAATGTGTGCCCAGGTGTGCCCAGGTGTGCCCAACCCGCCCCGCTCGAAGCCGCCGCGGCCGCCCCAGCGCTCCTCGAAACCCCCACCTGGGACAGGTGAGAACAGGTGTGACCAACAGGTGTGTAAAGGTGAGATACAGGTGTGTAAAGGTGTGTACAGGTGTGCCCAGCTGTGCCCAGGTGTGCCCAACCCGCCCCGGTCGAAGCCGCCGCGGCCGCCCCGGCGCTCCTCGAAACCCCCACCTGGGACAGGTGTGAACAGGTGTGACCAACAGGTGTGAACAGGTGTGAGAAACGTGTGCCCAGGTGTGCCCAGGTGCATTTTAGGTGTGCACAGGTACCCCCAGGTGTGTTTTTACCCCCCCAGGTGAGTGCCCAGGTGAGTTTTTACTCCCCCATGTTCCCCCAGGTGCTTCCAGGTGAGTGCCCAGGAGTATTTTGGGTGCCCCCAGGTGTAATGTTGGTGCCCCCAGGTGTATTTTGGGTGTGTCCAGGTGTATTTTAGATGTGCCCAGGTATATTTTGGGTGCCCCAGGGGGGCCCAGGTGTATTTTAGGTGTGCCCAGGTGTACTTTGGGTGTGCTCAGGTATATTTTGGTTGCCCCAGATGTACTTTGGGTGCCCCCAGGTGTGCCCAGGTGCCCCCAGGTGTGCCAAGGTGTATTTTAGGTGCCCCCAGGCGTTCCCAGGTGCCCCCAGGTGAGTGCCCAGCTGTGCCCAGGTATATCTGAGGTGCGCCCAGGTGTGTTTTTACCCCCCCAGGTGCCCCCAGGTGTGCCCAGGTGTATTTTGGGTGCCCCCAGGTGTGCCCAGGTGTATTTTGGGTGCCCCCAGGTGTATGTTGGGTGCCCCCAGGTGTGCCCAGGTGTGTTTTTACCCCCCCAGGTGCATTTTGGGCGCCCCCAGGTGTATTTTGGGTGCCCCCAGGTGTGCCCAGGTGTATTTAGGGGGTGCCCAGGTATATTTTGGGTGCCCCCAGGTGTATTTCGGGTGCCCCCAGGTGTACTTTATGTGCCCCCAGGTGTATTTAGGGTGCCCCCAAGTGTATCTCCGGTGCCCCCAGGTGTGTTTTTACCCCCCCCAGGTGTGCCCAGGTGTATCTCAGGTGCCCCCAGGTGTGTTTTTACCCCCCCAGGTGCCCCCAGGTGTATCTCAGGTGCCCCCAGGTGTATTTCGGGTGCCCCCGGGTGTGCCCAGGTGTATCTCAGGTGCCCCCAGGTGCCCCAGGTGTGCCCAGGTGTGCCCAGGTGTGCCCCAGGTGCCACTCACCCATGTGGCTGCCGCCGCTGCCGCCGCGGTTGCCGCCTCCTCCTCCTCCTCCTCCTGCTCCGGCCCCTCCCCCCGGGTACTTGCCGGCCCCGCCCCCGCCCAGGTGAGGCCCCCCGGGGCCCCCCTCGGGCTTGGGCGCCTTGCACTGGTTGCACTCGTTCCGCCACGAGAAGTTCATGTTCTCACACGCCCTGTGATGATGTCATCGTGAGGTCAGCAGTGACGTCATTGCGTCATCGGTGACATCACAGAAAGAGAGAAAGGTTGTCCCGTCCCAGTAACCCCCAGTCCCTCCCAGTTTGTCCCAGTTCCCCATCCCAGTTCCCCATCCCAGTCCACAGTAAAAGCTTCCCTGTTCTCGCACGCCCTGTGACATCATCGGTGACATCATCAGTGACATCATCAGGTCACCAGTGACATCACAGAAAGAGAGAAACGTTGTCCCGTCCCAGTTCCCTCCCAGTTTCCCCTCCCAGTTCCGCCACGAGAAGTTCATGTTCTCACACGCCCTGTGACGTCATCATGAGATCATCAGTGACGTCATCAGGTCACCGGTGACGTCACAGAAATAGAGAAACGTTGTCCCGTCCCAGTTCCCTCCCAGTTTGTCCCAGTTCCCCATCCCAGTTTGTCCCAGTTTCCCCTCCCAGTTCATGTTCTCACACGCCCTGCGGTGACGTCATCGGTGATGTCAGCGGTGACGTCATCGCGACACCGGTGACGTCACAGAAAGAGAGAAACTTTGTCCCCTCCCAGTCCGTCCCAGTTTGTCCCAGTTCCCCATCCCAGTTTGTCCCCCCAGTTCATCCCTAACACTTCCCCCATGTTCTTGCACGCCCTGTGATGTCATCAATGATGTCAACATGACATCATCGCATCATCAGTGACATCATAGAAAGAAACAAAGGTTGTCCCATCCCAGTCCCTCCCAGTTTGTCCCAGTTCCTCCCAGTCCATCCCAGTTTACACTAAAAGCTTCCCCCTGTTCTCGCATGCCCTGTGACGTCATCAATGACGTCATCGCATCGTCAATGACGTCACAGACAGACACAAACGTTGTCCCATCCCAGTCCCTCCAGTCCCTCCCAGTTTGTCCCAGTTCCCCATCCCAGTTTGTCCTCCCAATGAATCCCAAATGCGTCCCCTGTGTTCTGGCATGCCCTGTGACGTCATCAATGACGTCATCACATCATTGATGACGTCACAGACAGAGACAAACGTTGTCCCATCCCAGTCCAAACCAGTCCCTCCCAGTTTGTCCCAGTTTCCCATCCTAGTTCATCCCAAATGCTTCCCTTGTGTTCTTGTATGCCCTGTGATGTCATCGATGATGTCATCGGTGATGTCATCACGTCATTGATGATGTCACAGACAGACAGAAACGTTGTCCCGTCCCAGTTCCTCCCAGTTTGTCCCAGTTCCCATCCCAGTTTCCCCTCCCAGTTCATGTTCTCACACGCCCTGGGATGTCATCAATGATGTCATCAGTGATGTCAGCACGACACTGGTGACGTCACAGAAAGAGACAAAGATTGTCCCATCCCAGTTCTTCCCAGTCCCTCCCAGTTTGTCCCAGTTCCCCCTCCCAGTTCCGCCATGAGAAGTTTATGTTCTCGCACGCCCTGTGACATCATCAATGATGTCATCAGCGATGTCATTGCATCATTGATGATGTCACAGAGAAAGACAAATGTTGTCCCGTTCCAGTTCCCCCCAGTCTCTCCCAGTTCCCCCCAGTCCATCCCAGTCCACACTAAAAGCTTCCCTGTTCTCGCACGCCCCGTGATGTCATCAGTGACGTCATCAGTGACTTCATCGATGATGTCACAGACAGACGAACATTGTCCCATCCCAGTTCCCCCAGTCCCTCCCAGTTTCCCGCCCCAGTTCATCCCTAACGCTTCCCCCGTGTTATCACACACCCTGTGATGTCATCAATGACGTCATCAGTGACGTCACCGCGTCTTTGATGATGTCACAGAAAGAGACAAACGTTGTCCCATCCCAGTCCAAACCAGTCCCTCCCAGTTTGTCCCAGTTTCCCCATCCCGGTTCCTTCCCTAAACACTTCCTAATGTTCTCACACGCCCTGTGACATCATCGATGATGTCATCGGTGATGTCATTGCATCATTGATGACGTCACAGGCAGAGACAAACATTGTCCCATCCCAGTCCCTCTGAATCAAAACCAGTATAACCCAGTATAACCCAGTATAACCAGTCCCTCACAATCCAAACCAGTATAAACCAGTATAACCCAGTCCAAACCAGTATAACCCAATATAACCAGTCTCTTCCAGTCCAAACCACTATAAACCAGTATAACCCAGTATAAACCAGTCCCTCTCAATCCAAACCAGTATAACGTAGTCCAAACCAGTATATCCCAGTATAACCAGTTCCTCCCAGTATGAACCAGTATAACCCAGTATATCCCAGTCCAGACCAGTCCAAACCAGTATAAACCAGTACAAACCAGCCCAAACGAGCCCAAACCAGTCCCTCCCAGTACAAACCAGTATAAACCAGTATAACACTCACAGGTTGGGGCATTTCCAGTCCCCCGCTCGCTGTTGGGCCCCTCCCCCGCCCGTGAAGTACAAACCAGTATAACCCAGTCCAAACCAGTATAACCCAGTATAACCACCCCAAACCAGTCCCTCCCAGTACAAACCAGTATAAACCAGTTTGGCACTCACGGGTTGGGGCATTTCCAGTCCCCCGCTCGCTGCTGGGCCCCTCCCCCGCCCGTGAAGCACAAACCAGTATAACCCAGTACAAACCAGTATAACCCAGTATAACCAGTATAACCCAGTCCCTCCCAGTCCCTCCCAGTACAAACCAGTATAAACCAGTTTGGCACTCACGGGTTGGGGCATTTCCAGTCCCCCGCTCGCTGCTGGGCCCCTCCCCCGCCCGTGAAGCACAAACCAGTATAACCCAGTACAAACCAGTATAACCCAGTATAACCAGTATAACCCAGTCCCTCCCAGTCCCTCCCAGTACAAACCAGTATAAACCAGTACGACACTCACGGATTTGGGCATTTCCAGTCCCCCGCTCGCTGCTGGGCCCCTCCCCCGCCCGTGAAGGCGCCGCGGCCGCCGGAGCCGGAACCGAACCCGCCCCGGCCCAGCGGGCCTGAAATGGGGCAAAAACACGGGATTTTGGTTAAAATGGGGGAAAAAAATGGGATTTTGGGAAAAATGGGGGAAAAAACGGGGATTTTGGTTAAAATTGGGGAAAAAATGGGATTTTGGTAAAAATGGGGGAAAAAAACGGGATTTTGGTAAAAATGGGGGAAAAAAAGGGATTTTGGGAAAAATGGGGGAAAAAATGGGATTTTGGTAAAAATGGGGGGAAAAACGGGATTTTGGGAAAAATGGGGGAAAAAACGGGATTTTGGGAAAAATGGGGGAAAAAACGGGATTTTGGGAAAAATGGGGGAAAACCACGGGATTTTGGGAAAAATAGGGGGGGAAAACCACGGGATTTGGGGAAAAATGGGGGAAAAAAACGGGAGTTTGGAAAAAATGGGGGAAAAAGCGGGATTTTGGGAAAAATACAGAAAAATGGGGGGGAAAACGGGATTTTGGTAAAAATAGAGAAAATTAAGGGGGAAAAAATGGGGATTTTGGTAAAAATGGGGTGAAAAATGGGGGGAAGATGGGGATTTTGGGAAAAATACCAAAAATGGGGGGAAAAACGGGATTTTGGTAAAAATGGGGGAAAAAACGGGATTTTGGGAAAAATGCGGGGAAAAACGGGATTTTGGTAAAAATAGAGAAAAAAAAGGGGGGAAAAATGGGGATTTTGGTAAAAATGGGGTGAAAAATGGGGGGAAAATGGGGATTTTGGGAAAAATACCAAAAATGGGGGGAAAAACGGGATTTTAGTAAAAATACAGAAAAATGGGGATTTTGGTAAAAATAGGGAAAAAATGGGGGGGAAAACAGGAAAAATTGGGAAGGGGAAATGGGGTAAAATATGGGCTGAAAAATGGTGGAAAATGGGAATTTTGAGGTGAAAAATGGGGGTTTGGGGAAAACAGAGGTGGAAAACAATGGATTTTGGGACAAGCAGGGATTTTGGGGTGAAAAATGCAGATTTTGGGGGAGAAAAAAGAGGATTATGGGATGGAAAATGGGGACTTTTGGGATGGAAAATGGGATTTTGAGACGGGAAATGGAATTTGGGATGGAAATTGGGATTTTGAGATGGAAAATGGGATTTTGGGGTGAAAAAAGGGGATTTTGGGGTGAGAAATGGAGATTTTGGGAAAAGATGGGGATTTTGGGGGACAAAATGAGGATTTTGGGATAGTAAATGGGATTTTGGGATAAAAAATGGGGATTCTGGGAAAAAGGGATGGAAAAAGAATTTTGGGGTGAAAAATGGGAAATCTGGGTTGAAAAATGAGGATTTGGGGAAAAAAGGGATGGAAAAACAAGGGATTTTGGGAAAGAAAATGGGATTTTAAGATGGAAAAGGGGTATTTTGGGACAAGAAGGGATTTTTGGGTGAAAAATGGAGATTTTGGGAAAAGATGGGGATTTTGGGGGAGAAAAAAGAGGATTATGGCATGGAAAATGGGGATTTTTGGGATGGAAAAAGGGTATTTTGGGTGAAAAAAGGGTATTTTGGGGGGGAAAATGGGGATTTTGGGATGAAAAATGAGATTTTGGGATAAAAAATGTAGATTTTGGGAAAAAGGGATGGAAAAAAGGAATTTTGGGGTGAAAAATTGGGATCTGGGAAAAAATGGATGGAAAAAACGAATTTTGGGGGGGAAAATGGGATTTTGAGATGGAAAAGGGTATTTTGGGACAAGCAGGGATTTTGGGGTGAAAAAAGGAGATTTTGGGGGAGAAAATGGGAATTTTGGGGTGAAAAGGGGGGATTTGGGAAAAATGGGATAAAAAAAGGATTTTGGGATGGTAAATGGAATTTTGGGATAAAAAGGGATGGATAATGGGAATTTTGGGGTGGAAAATGGGAATTTTGGGTGGAAAAGGGTATTTTGAGATGGAAAAGGGTACTTTGGGACAAGAAGGGATTTTTGGGCGAAAAATTGAGATTTTGGGAAAAGATGGGGATTTTGGGGGACAAAATGAGGATTTTGGGATAGTAAATAGGATTTTGGGATAAAAACTGGGGATTTTGGGAAAAAGGGATGGAAAAACAAGGGATTTTGGGAAAGAAAATGGGATTTTGAGATGGAAAAGGGTATTTTGGGACAAGCAGGGATTTTGGGGGAAAAAAAAGAGGATTTTTGGGATCGAAAATGGGGATTTTTGGGATGGAAAATGTGATTTTGGGATGGGAAATGTGATTTTGAGACGGGAAATGTTAGTTTTGGGGTGAAAAAAGGGGATTTTGGGGCGCTCACCTCCCCGGCCGCGGCCCCGGCCGCCCCCTCGGCTGAAGTCGGCGCGACGAGTGGCGAAGGAGACCTTGATGGGGTTCCCCGAGAATTCCTTCCCTGGAACAGACGGAAAAGGGGAAAAGTGAGAAATTATGGGAAAAACGGGAATTTTGGGAAAAATCTGGGGGGAAATGGAAAAAATTTGGGGGAAAAAGGAGGAAATTTGGGGAAAAAATGAGGAAATTTGGGGAAAAAATGGGGAATTTTTAAGGAAAAAGGAGGAATTTTTAGGGAAAAAGGAGGGATTTTAAGGGAAAAAAGGAGGAATTTTGGGAGAATAAAGAAGGAATTCAGGAAAAAAAATTCGGAGGGAAAAGGAAAAAATTTGAGAAGAAGGAAAAAATTTTTGGGGAAAAAAAAGAATTTTTAGGGAAAAAGGAGGAATTTTTGGGAACTTTGGAAATTTGGGATTTTTGGGATGGGGAATTTTGGGAATTTCAGGAAATTTGGGAATCCTGACCGTCAAACCAGTCGATGATGGCCTTGGCCGAGGGCGGTGATTGAAGGACACGGGAATTTGGGGATTTTTGGGAATTTTGGGAGCAGGAAATTGGGGATTTTTGGGAATTTGGGGTTTTTGGGATGGGGATTTTTGGGAATTTGGGATTTTTGGGATGGGGAATTTTGGGAATTTCGGGAAATTTGGGAATTCTGACCGTCAAACCAGTCGATGGCGGCCTTGGCCGAGGGCGGGTCAAAGGAAACGGGAATTTGGGGATTTTTGGGAATTTTGGCACCAGGAAATCGGGGAATTTTGGGAATTTGGGATTTTTGGGATGGGGAATTTTGGGATTTTCAGGGAATTTGGGAATTCTGACCGTCGAGCCAGTCGATGGCGGCCTTGGCCAAGAGCGGCCTTTGCCACGGGAATTTGGGGATTTTCGGGAATTTTGGGAGCAGGAAATTCGGGAATTTTGGGAATTTGGGGTTTTTGGGATTGGGAATTTTGGGAATTTCAGGAAATTTGGGAATTCTGACCGTCGAACCAGTCAATGGCGGCCTTGGCTGAAAGCGGAGTCAAAGGACATGGGGATTTGGGGATTTTTGGGATTTTTGGGAGCAGGAAATTGGGGATTTTTGTGAATTTGGGATTTTTGGGATTGGGAATTTTGGGAATTTCGGGAAATTTGGGAATTCTGACCGTCGAACCAGTCGATGGCGGCCTTGGCCGAGGGCGGGGTCAAAGGACACGGGAATTTGGGGATTTTCAGGAATTTTGGGAGCAGGAAAATGGGATTTTTGGGAATTTGGGATTTTTGGGCTGGGGAATTTTGGGAATTTCAGGGAATTTGGGAATTCTGACTGTCGAACCAGTTGATGGCGGCCTTGGCCGAGGGCGGTGATTGAAGGACACGGAAATTTGGGGATTTTTGGGCATTTTGGGAGCAGGAAATTGGGGATTTTTGGGAATTTGGGGTTTTTGGGATGGGGAATTTTGGCAATTTCAGGAATTTGGGAATTCTGACCGTCGAACCATTTGATGACGGCATTGGCTGAGGGCGGCAATGGCCAAGGGAATTTGGGGATTTTTGGGAATTTTGGCACCAGGAAATTGGGGATTTTGGGGAATTTGGGGTTTTGGGGATGGGGAATTTTGGGATTTTCAGGGAATTTGGGAATTCTGACCGTCGAACCAGTCGATGGCGGCCTTGGCCGAGGGCAGTCATCGAAGGACACGGGAATTTGGGGGATTTTTGGTAATTTTGGGATTTTTGGGATGGGGAATTTTGGGAATTTGGGGTTTTTGGGATGGGCAATTTCGGGAATTTGAGGAAATTTGGGAATTCTGACCGTCGAACCAGTCGATGGCGGCCTTGGCCGAGGGCAGGTCGTCGAAGGACACGGGAATTTGGGGATTTTTGGTAATTTTGGGATTTTTGGAATAGGGAATTTTGGGAATCTGGGATTTCTGGGATGCGGAATTTTGGGAATTTGAGGAAATTTGGGAATTCTGACCGTCGAACCAGTTGATGGTGGCCTTGGCTGAAGCCTGGTCATCGACGGACACGGGAATTGGGGATTTTCAGGAATTTTGGGAGCAGGAAATTGGGGATTTTTGGTAATTTTGGGATTTTTCGGATAGGGGTTTTTGGGGATTTGGGGTTTTTGGGATGGGGAATTCCGGGAATTTGAGGGAATTTGGGAATTCTGACCGTCGAACCAGTCGATGGCGGCCTTGGCCGAGGGCGGGTCGTCGAAGGACACGGTGGCCTCTCCCTTCAGCTTCCCCGTCTCGCGGTCAGTGTAGAGATTGATCATGGGCTGGCCGGTCTTCTTGTTGGTCTGAGTGACCAGTGAGTGACCACTGAGTGACCACTGACCACTGAGTGACCCCTGAGTGACCACTGACCAACAAACCCCCCTTAGAGTCAGCCCTGAGTGACCACTGACCCCTGAGTGACCACACACTGACCATGGGCTGGCCGGGCTTCTTGTTGGTCTGAGTGACCAGTGAGTGACCAGTGAGTGACCACTGAGTGACCACTGAGTGACCAATGACCCCTGAGTGACCACTGACCCCTGAGTGACCACACACTGCCCATGGGCTGGCCGGTCTTCTTGTTGGTCTGAGTGACCAGTGAGTGACCAGTGAGTGACCACTGAGTGACCACTGACCCCTGAGTGACCACTGAGTGACCACACACTGCCCATGGGCTGGCCGGGCTTCTTGTTGGTCTGAGTGACCAGTGAGTGACCGTGAGTGACCACTGAGTGACCACTGACCCCTGAGTGACCACTGAGTGACCACTGAGTGACCACTGACCACTGAGTGACCACTGACCACTGAGTGACCCTGAGTGACCCTGAGTGACCACTGACCACTGAGTGACCACTGAGTGACCACAGTGACCCCCGAGCCAGGCACTGCCCTCCCTGAGTGACCACACACTGACCATGGGCTGGCCGGGCTTCTTGTTGGTCTGGGGGAGCAGAGTGACCATGAGTGACCACTGAGTGACCACTGACTGAGAAATGAGTGACCACTGACCCCTGAGTGACCACTGAGTGACCAATGCGTGACCACTGAGTGACCACTGAGTGACCACTGACCCCTGAGTGACCACTGAGTGACCACTGAGTGACCCTGAGTGACCACTGAGTGACCACTGAGTGACCACTGACCCCTGAGTGACCACACACTGACCATGGGCTGGATGGGCTTCTTGTTGGTCTGAGTGACCAATGAGTGACCATGAGTGACCACTGACCACTGAGTGACCCCTGAGTGACCAATGAGTGACCATGAGTGACCGCTGAGTGACCCTGAGTGACCACTGAGTGACCACTGAGTGACCACTGACCACTGAGTGACCACTGAGTGACCAATGAGTGACCACTGACCCATGGGAGTGACCACTGAGTGACCACTGAGTGACCCTGAGTGACCACTGAGTGACCAATGAGTGACCAATGAGTGACCACTGAGTGACCCCGAGTGACCCCGAGTGACCCCTGAGTGACCAGTGAGTGACCCTGAGTGACCCCTGAGTGACCCCTGAGTGCCCAGGTACCCCCAAAATCCCCGTTTTTCTCCCCATTTCCACCGGGTTTTTTTTGTCCTGCCCCTCCCAGGTACCCCCAGGTGTGCCCAGGTGAATTTTGGGCATGTTTTGGGTATATTTTTTGTATATTTTGGCTGTATTTTTTCTATACTTTGGCTGTATTCTGGGCATATTTTGGGTACATTTTGGGTATACTTTGGGTGTGTTCTGGGTGTATTTTGTGTATATTTTGGGTGTATTTTGGTGCATTTTGGGTGTATTTTGGCAATATTTTGTGTATATTCTGGTTGTATTTTGGGCATATTTTGGGTATATTTTGGATGTAATTTGGGTATATTTTGGGTGTATTCTGGGTGTACTTTGGGTATATTTTGGATGTAATTTGGGTACATTTTGTGTATATTTTGGGTGTATTTTGGGTATATTTTGGATGTATTTTGGGTGTATTTTGGGTATATCTTGGCCATATTCTGGGTATAATTCGGGTGTATTTTGGCCATATTTTGGGCGTATTTTGGGTGTATTTCAGGTATATTTTGGCTGTATTTTGTATATGTTTTGGGTGTATTTTGGGTGTATTTTGGGTGTATTTTCGGAATATTTTGGCCATATTTTGGGCATATTTTGGGTGTATTTTGGGTGTGTATTTTGGGTATATTTTGGGTGTATTCTGGGTGTATTTTGGGTGTATTTTCGGAATATTTTGGGCATATTTTGGGTGTATTTTGGGAATATTTGGTGCATATTTTGGGTGTATTTTGGGCATATTTTGGGTATATTCTCGGCATATTTTGGGGGTATTTCGTGTATATTTTGGGTGTATTCTGGGTATATTCTGGGTGTATTTGGGGCATATTTTGGGTGTATTTTCGGCATATTTGGGGTGTTTTCTGGGTGTATTTTGTGTATATTTTTGCTGCATTCTGGGTGTATTTTGGGCATATTTTGGGTGTATTTTGGACGTATTTTCGAAATATTTTGGCAATATTTTGGCTGCATTTTGGGCGTATTTTGGGTGTGTATTTTGGGTATATTTTGGATGTATTCTGGGTATATTTTAAGTGCATTTTGGGAATATTTTGGGCGTACTTTCGGAATATTTTGGCCATGTTTTGGGTGCATTTTGGGTGTACTTTGGGCATATTTTGGGTGTATTCTGGGTGTATTTTGGGTATATTTTGAGTGTATTTCCTGTATATTTTGGGTGTATTCTGGGAATATTTTGGGTACATTTAGGGAATATTTTGGCCTTATTTTGGGTGTATTCTGGGCGTATTTTATGTATATTTTGGGCGTATTTTGGGTGTATTTTGAGCGTATTTTGGGCGCATTTTGTGTATATTCTGGGTGTATTTTGTGTATATTCTGGGTGTATTTTGTGTATATTCTGGGTGTATTTTGGGAATAGTTTGGGTGTATTCTGGGTGTATTTTGGGTATATTTAGGGAATATTTTGGGTGCATTTTGGGCGTATTTTGGCCGTATTTTGGGTGTATTTTGGGCATATTCTGGGTATGTTTTGGGCGTATTTTGGGTGTATTTTGGGCATATTTTAGATGTATTCTGGGTATATTTTGGCTGTATTCTGGGTATATTTTGGGCGTATTTTTGGAATATTTTGGCCATATTTTGGGTGTATTTTGGGTATATTTTGGGTGCATTTTGGGCGTATTTTGTGCATATTTTGTGCGTATTTCAGGTCCCCACCTTGATGATCCCGATCTGTTTGAAGTAGTCGGCCACGGACTCGATGGTGACGTTCTCGCCCAGCCCCTGCACGAAGATGGTGTTGTTGTCCGAGTTGTCCTGCTCCCCTGCGGGAAATTAGCGCTAATTAACACTAATTAACGTTAATGAGCGTTCATAACTGACCCAAATGCTAATTAACCCTCATTAGCCCCACCCTATGCCTCACTAATGTCCCCTCCCCCACGCTAAAATGGTGTTGTTGTCCGAGTTGTCCTGCTCCCCTGCGGGCAATTAGCGATAATTAACACTAATTAACGCTAATTAATGCTAATTAGTATTCATTAGTCACCATAAATGCTAATTAACTCTTGTTAGCTCCGCCCCAGGGTTCAGAAACGGCCCCTCCCCCTCACTCAGATCATTAATTGTCATGCTCACCTGCAGATAATTAACTAATCAGCACTAATTATTGCTGCTTACTATGCTTTACTGATAATTAATGCTAATTAACCCCACCCCAGCACATGCAAATGGCCCCAAAGCCCCTCCCCCAAACCAAGATTACGCTGTTCTTACTTAGAGCTAATTAACCAACGTTAATCAACACAATTTCCTGTTAATTACTAATTAAAGCTAATTAAAATCTGGCCCCAAAATCCCTCCCTCATGCTAGAATCTGCTTACCCGGAATTAATTATTATTCAGTGTTAATTACTGCTAATGAACCTCATTATCCACTTAGTAGTTTATTCCTGATAAATGCTAATTAATGCTGATTAACACCACTTTATTTTTGATAAGTATTTATTACTAATTAACCTCATTATGTTCTATCACTTGATTCCCAATAATAAACAATTAATACTAATTAAGGCTAATCAACGTCATTATGCTCTACCACTTTATTCCTGATAATTACGAATTAATACTAATTAATGCTCATTAACCTCATTATTCCCTATCACTTTATCCCTGATAATTATTAATTACCCTTTACCCCACTCTATGATTAACCCCGCAATTAACCCATTAATTATCCCGCTAATTAACCCCACCCCCACCAGTAACCTTGACCCCAATTACCCATTAATTATTTACCTAATTAACAAAAGAATTAATTACCTGGGTCATGTCTCGGCCCCTGGTCCCGGGGTCCTTTTGGGGCCACACATGGAAGGAAAAAATTTACATATGCAAATCAGAAGTGCTATTTTGGGCGTGGTTTATCCAAGCCCCGCCCCCTCCTTGGCCCCGCCCCCTTCCCGGCCGCCATTTTAGGGGCAAAAATCCCAATTTTGGCACCAAAATTCTCCTTTTTTTTCTGTTTTTTAATAATTTTTTTTTAATTTTTCCTCTTTTTCTTCATCTTTTTCCATTTTTCCCTTATTTTCCCTGATTTTTTCCCTATTTTTACAGGATTTTTCATCATTTTTCTCAATTTTTTTCTTATATTTTTATCCATTTTTCTTTCATTTTTTCCCCATCTTTTTTTTCTTTATTTTTCCTTATTTTCCCTCATTTTTCCATATTTTCCCCTCATTTTCCACTCCGTGTTTTTCCATTTATCTATTATTTTTCCCATCATTTTTCTTCAAATTTTTTATTCATTTTTTGCACCATTTTTCATAATTTTTCCTGATTTTTCTACATTTTCTTCCTCATTTTTCTCAATTTCCCCCTCATTTTCCCACGAATTTTTCTGTATTTTTTTCTAATAAATTTTTTCTCATTTTCCCCTCATTTTTCTTATTTTCAGCTCCATTTCCATTTTTTCTCCATTATTTTTTTTAATTTTTTCCTCATTTTTCACTCAGTTTTTCCATTTTTTTTCCTCCATTTTCCCACATTTTCCACCTCATTTTCCACTTAATTTTTTCCATTTTTCCCTCATTTTTTTTCTCATTTTCCACTCAATTTTCTATTTTTTCCTCTCATTTTTTCCAACATTTTCCCTTTTCCACTCAATTTTTCTGTATTTTTTCCCTCATTTTTGAGTATTTTCCACTCCATTTTTTCCATTTATTTTTCCATATTTTCCCTTCATTTTTCCCTCATTTTTCTCTCTTTATTTCCACATTTTTTCAATTTTTCCGTTATTTTTACCCTCATTTTTTCAATATTTTCCCCTTATTTTTCCATTATTTTTTTCATATTTTCCCCCTCATTTTCCACTCAATTTTTTCCATTTTTTCCTTCATTTTTCTCCATTTTTCCCACACTTTCCCCTGATTTTTTTCCATTTTTTTCCACATTTCCCCCTGATTTTTTTTCCATTTTTTCCCCTTTAATTTTTTCCATTTTTCCACCCAAACCTCCCCAAAATTTTATATTTTTTTATCCATTTCCCCTCTCAGAACCTTCGGTTTTGGGTCCACTGCAGCTCCGACCTCACCCCAATTTTTGGGGCAAATTTTCCATTTTTCCACCAAAAAAACCAAAACCTTCAAAGGTCACCGGCGCTTCCACCAAAATCCTCATTTTTGGGGTTTTTCCCCCAAAACACCAAACTTTGAATTTTTCACCACACATGCAACAATTCCACCAAAAATCACCTTTTTTTTTCCCTTAATCCCCTCTTCAAAAATCACCATTTTCACCTGAATTTTCAACCAAAAAACACCTTTTTTATTCCATTTTTTGTGGTTTTTTCCACCTAAAATTCCATTTTTTTTTTTGAGGGGATTTTCCCCCGAATTTCTCCCGCCCGGGAAAAATGGGGGGGAAAAAAAATCAAAATTAAACATTTTTTTGTGTTTTTTTTTGGGGTGAAAACCTCGAATTTTGGGACTTACCACCGAATTTATTGAAGCCACCACGCTCACCACCGCTGAGGAGATAAATTAGAAGAAAATCAGGAATTTGGCAGCCCTGCCGCAAAGCCGGGGACGCGGAAAACCAACAATTTGGGGGGAAATTCCACTTTTTGGGGCTTTTTTTTCGGATGATTTTTGGGGTTTTTTTTTACTAATTTTTTGGGATTTTTTGGTCAATTTTTGGGGTTTTTTTGGTCAACTTTTGGGGTTTTTTTTGTCGTTTCTTGATATTTTTTTTGAGATTTTTGAGGATTTTTTGGCAATTTTTTGGACAATTTTTTGTGACATTTTTACCAATTTTTGGGATTTCTTGGTCAATTTTGGGGATTTTTGTGATGATTTTTTAGGATTTTTTTGGGCATTTTTTGGGTATTTTTAAAAAAACTTTCGTGACTTTAAGCAATTTTTGGGATTTTTTTCGTCAAATTTTTGGGATTTTTTGAGTAAATTTTTGGGATTTTTGTGATGATTTTTAAGGATTTTTTTTGGCATTTTTTGGCAAATTTTTTGTGACTTTTTTATCAATTTTTGAGATTTTTTTGAAATTTTTTACTATTTATTTAATGATTTTTTAGGATTTTTTTGGACATTTTTTGGCAACTTTTAAAAAATTTTTTGTGACTTTTTTACCGAATTTTGGGATTTTTTTGGTCATTTTTTGATACTTTTTAAATGATTTTTTAGCATTTTAGGGCATTTTTTGGCAATTTTTTTGGACAATTTTTTGTGACTTTTTTACCAATTTTTGGGATTTTTTGGACAAATTTTTGGGATTTTTTTGTCAAATTTTTGGGATTTTTTTGTCATTTTTGGAGATATTTTTCATGAGTTTTTACGATTTTTTTGGGCATTTTTTGGCAATTTTTTAAAAACTTTGTGACTTTACCAATTTTTGGGATCTCTTGGTCAAATTTTTGGGATTTTTTAGTCTTTTTTTTGATTTTTTTTTCATGATTTTTTAGGATTTTTCGGGCAGTTTTTGGTCAATTCTTTGACAATTTTTTGTGACTTTTTTACCAATCATGGGGATTTTTTGGGTCAATTTTTGGGATTTTTTTCGTCATTTTTTGATACTTTTTTCATTATTTTTTAGGATTTTTCGGGCGATTTTTTGGCAATTTTTGGAAATTTTTTTGTGGCTTTTTTACCAATTTTTGGGATTTTTTGGGTCAATTTTTTGGATTTTTTGTAATCATTTTTATTTTTTTTTTCATGATTTTTTGATGATTTTTTTGGACATTTTTGAGAATTTTTTTTAGGTTTTTTGACCATTTTTTTGGACAATAATTTGGGCGTTTTTAGACAATTTTTTGGGATTTTTTGAGCTTTTTTTTGACAATTTTTTTTATTTTTTTACAACATTTTGCGATTTTTTTTTATAATTTTCTGATGATATTTTGGGATTATTTTGGACAATTTTTTTGAATTTTTTGGGCTTTTTTTGCCGATTTTTGGTCATTTTTTGGGCTTTTTTGGGCGTTTTTCCCTCGCCGCCGTCGCTTTTTCCTCCCGGCTGCCGCAGCGTTGGGATCGAGCCCAAAATTGAATAAAAATCCCATTTTTTCCCTTTTTTCCCCTTTCCTGGATCTCCCCCTCCTCTCCCCGAGCGCCTCAAAAATCCAATTTTTTTTTATAATTTTTTTTTTTTTTTTGCCCTTTTCTGCCTTTTTTCAACCCAAAACAACGGCGGATTTTGAATTTTCGCTGCTTTTTTTTCACACCTGCAGCACACAAAAGGCAGAGGTTGGTCAGACAGGAACAACAAAAATCCCCAAAATTCCCCCCAAAATACTCACCTGCAATGGCCCAAAATTCCCATTTTTCCACCCAAAATCCGGCGGCAGAAACGCCCCCAGGACACTTTTTTAACCTCTTTTTTTTTACCTTCTTTATTTTTATTTTTAAACCATTTTTTGCCTTTTTTTGGTATTTTTTAACCTCATTTTTTTTGTATTTTTTTACATTTTTTAAACTTTTTTTTTGCATTTATTACCATTTTTCTAAACCCTTTTTTAGCCATATTTTAACCTCTTTTTTAACTTACTTTGTATTTTTAATCCTTTTTTTTTGTATTTTTAAACAGTTTTTTCCATTTTATTTTATTATTACACTTTTTTTACTATTTTTAACCATTTTTTGCCTTTTTTTATATTTTTGTATTTTCAACCCATTATTTACCCTTTTTTGGTGTTTTTTAGCAATTTATTGCCATTTCTTTTGTATTTCTATGCACTTTTCTTCTACTTTTAATTAGTTTTTTTACCTTTTTTTTAAATTCTTAACTTTTTTTGCCTTTTTTGGTCCTTTTTTACCATTTTTACCATTTTTTCGCATTTCTTACTCAATTTTTTACCCTTTTCTTGCACTTTTAACCTTTTTTTTACCATTTTTTTCTGTATTTTTTGAATTTTTTACCTTTTGTATTTTTAGGGGTTTTTAAAATTTACCCTTTTTGATGTTTTTGAATATTTTTTAAACTTTTCTGTACTTCAAAATTTTTTGTTATTTTTTATATTTTTTAGATACTTTACGTTTTTTACCTTTTTTTTGCATTATTAAATTTTTTTAATTTAAAAAAAAATTCTGAATTTTTTTTAACCTTTTGGTATTTCTACCTCCTTTTTTTTACCCAATTTTGGCATTTTTTACCTTTTTTTTTGCATTTTATTCCTTTTTTTAACCACTTTTGACCCTTTTCTAGTATTTTAAAATTCTTTTACCCTTTCTTGTATTTTTTCCTTTTTTTAACCTATTTTTGCGTTTTTACCCTTTTTTCGGAATTTTTAAACCACTTTTACTTTTTCTTCCCTTTTTTTTCTTTTTCCATATTTCCATTTTTTCTCTTTTCTTTTGCACTTTTTAACTTTTTTTTAAACTTATTTGTGGGAACTTTGTAAAACAATTTTTATCCTCTTCTTGTATTTTTCTCCTTTTTTGTATTTTTAACCGTTTTTTTTGTATTTCAACCCTTTTTTGGAATTATTCACCTTTTTTAAATAATTTATTTTCATTTAAGACCCATTTTCTGCATTTTTAAATAATTTTTTTTAACCATTTCCCCCCTTTTATTTGAAATATTTCCCAACTTTCCTCATTTTCTTTTTACATTTTTCCAAATTTTTCCTTTTTAACCCTGTTTTCACCATTCTCAGGTGTTTTTTTTCATTTTTTCACCATTTTTTCACCATTTCCTCTTTTCTTTTTCCATTTTTCACCATTTTTTACCATTTTCTTTTTTCTTCCATTTTTTTTCACTTTTTAGGTTTTTTCCACCATTTTTCACATTTTTCCCCATTTTTTCACCATTTTCCTCTGCATTTTCACCTTTTCCACTTTCTTTTTTTATAAACCAATTTTTCACCAATTTCTGAATTTTTCAATTATTTTTCCCTTTTCTTTTATCATTTTCTTCATTTTTTCCCGAATTTTTCATTTTTTCCACCATTTTTCCCATTTTTCTTTTCCTTTTTTACCACTCAAACCTCCATTATTTTGTATTTTTTGCATTTTTTAACCACTTAAAACCAATTTTTTACCATTTTCTCCTTTTTTCCCCTATATTTTCATTTTTTTGCTTTTTTTAACCACTCCACATTTTTTTTACCATTTCTTTTTTCCACATTTTTAATATTTTTTTTGCTGTTTTTAACCACTCCAAACCAATTTTTTTACCATTTTTCCTTTTTTTCCACCATTTTCCTCCAATTTTTTCCATTTTTTGACCATTTTTTACCATTTCCCCAAAATTTTTACCATTCTCCCTTTTTCTTTCAATTTTTTATCATTTTTAAACCATTTTTCCATTTTAAAAAATATTTTTTCCCATTTTTTGTAAATTTCCAACCATTTTTTCCTTTTTAACCATTTCTGTGGTTTTTTCTTCCATTTTCTTTCACTTTTTTAAAATTTTTAAACCATTTTTCTATTTTTTCCCATTTTTTTCAATTTCCAACCATTTTTTTTCTGCCTTTTAACCATTTTTCTGCTTTTTAACCTTTTTTAAAATTATTTTTCCACCTTTGTTCACCATTTCCGAGCACCGGGACATCAAAATTTCCTCTCCAGTGGATTTACCCTCAAAATCCGCTTTTTTTTACACCGTTTTTTACCATTTTTGACCCATTTTTCTCTGCAGTGACCTCAAAACGCACCTTTTTAATTTTTCCATTTTTCACCTTTTTTTTACCCCAATATTTTTTCTTTAAATTCCACCATTTTCCTTTTTATTTTTCCATATTTTCCCCTAAATTCAACATTTTTTCCCTCAAAATTCCACTTTTTTTCCATTGGAATTTTTTCCACCTTTTCCCTTGAAAATTTTTCATTTTTCTTTCATTATTTTTCCACCATTTTTATCCCAAAATTCACCTTTTTTTTATCATTTTTTCCCTTTTTATACCACCTTTTTCCCCACAAAATTCCTCCCAAAATTCACTTTTTCAAAAAACTTATTTCCCACCATTTTTAAGTTATTTTTCCTTGAAAATCCTTTTTTTTTCTCTCATTATTTTGCCCAAAATCCACTTTTTTTTTCTGTATTTTCCCCCTGCCGGGACCAGAGGCTGCAGGTGACCTTGGCAACATTTTCCACCTTTTTTTTTTAATAAATCCATTTTTTTTAAATTTTCCCACCTTTATCTTTCTCCAAAATCCATTTTTCCTCTTTTTTTACCTCTTTTTCACCCAAAATTTCATTTTTTCCAACCAAACTCTATTTTTCCCATTTTTCTTACCCAAAATCCCATTTTTTTACCATTTACCCCCATTTTTTCACCCTTTTCCTTCCCCAAACCTCCACTTTTTCAATTTTCCTATAATTTTTCCTCCTTTTCCCATTTTTTCTATTTTTCTACAACTTTTTCCCATTTTCCTAAAATTTTTCCTAATTTATCCCAATTTTTTTCCCATTTTCCCCCGTTTTCACCCGGACTCACCCCATGGCGCCGCAGCGGTTCCCATTTTCCCCCATTTTCTTCCATTTTTTCCCAATTATTCCTAATTTTTTCCCATTTTCCCCATTTTCTTTTATTTTTTCCCCAATTTCTCCTCATTTTTTTCCCAAATTTCACCTTTTTTCCCCATTTTCCCCCATTTTTTCTCCTGCACTCACCCCAAGGCGCTGCCATGGTTGCTGCAGTTGCCATTTCCCCATTTTCCCTCATTTTTTCTAAATTTCTCCTTATTTTTTCCATTTTCCCCCATTTCCCCCTATTTTCTTTTATTTTTTCCCCAATTTCTCCTCATTTTTTCCCATTTTCCTCCCATTTTTTCTCAGATTTCTTTCATTTTTTTTCCAATTTCTCATTTTTTCCCATTTTCCCCCCATTTCCCCCCTTCACTCACACCATGGCACCGCTGCGGTTGCCATTTCCCCATTTTCCCCTAATTTTTCCTCAAATTTCACCTTTTTTTCCCCATTTTCCACTCATTTTCCCCTATTTTCTTTAATTTTTTCCCTAATTTCTCCTCTTTTTTTCCTAAATTTCACCTTTTTTCCCCATTTTCCCCCTGCACTCACCCCATGGAGCTACCACGGTTGCCATTTCCCCATTTTTCCCCCATTTTTTCCTCAAATTTAATCTTTTTTCCCCATTTTCTCTAATTTTTACCCCAAATTTCACCTTTTTTCCCCATTTTCTCTTGTTTTTCCCCAAATTTCTCACCTTTTATCCCCATTTTCCCCCCGTTTCCCGGCCGCCGCCGCAGTTGCCGCGGGTGCCATTTCCCCATTTTACCCCCATTTTCTCTCAGTTTTACCCCATTTTTTCCCATTTTCTCTCATTTTTTCCCCAATTTCTCTCATTTTTCCCTGTTTTTCCCCCGCACTCACCCCATGGCGCCGCCGCCGCAGTTGCTGCGGGTGCCATTTCCCCATTTTTTTCTCAAATTTCACCTTTTTCCCCCATTTTACCCCCATTTTTTCCCATTTTCTCTCATTTTCCCCCATTTTTTCCCATTTTCTCTCATTTCCCCCCGTTTTCCCCCGGCACTCACCCCATGCCAGCGTCGCCGCCGCAGTTGCCGCGGGTGCCATTTCCCCATTTTACCCCCATTTTTTCCCCAAATTTCACCTTTTTTCCCCATTTTCTCTCATTTTTCCCCCATTTTTCCCATTTTCCCCCCATTTTCCCCCGGCACTCACCCCATGCTGCCGCCGCGGTTGCCGCGGGTGCCGCGGGTGCCGCGCTCGAAGCCGCCGCGGTTGCCGAAGGCGCCACGGCCGCGGCTGCGCTCGCTCGGGGCGGCGGCTCCGTAAGCGCCGCCGGGCTCCGGGTACCCCCCCGAGCTCAGCGAGCCGCCCTCCTGCCCGTAGCTGTTGGCTGGAAATCGGGAAAAACATGGGATTAGGGAATAAAGGAAATTTGGGAAAAATTGGGGGAAAAAAATGGGAAAATTGGGCGAAATTTGGGAGAAATCGGCGCGAAATTGAGGGAAAATCGGAGCAAAATTGGAGAGTTTCAGACCCAAATCTGAGGGATTTTGCCTTAAACCAAACCCAACGCCGCCCTCCTGCCCGTAGCTGTTGGCTGGAAAATGGGAAAAACACCGGGATTAGGGAATAAAGGAATTCCGGGAGAAATCGGGGAAAATCGCGGTGAAAATACGGGAAAATCGGGCGAAATCAGGGAGAAATCGGCGCGAAATTGAGGGAAAATCGGAGCAAAACTGGGGGAAAATCAGAGAGTTTCAGACCCAAATCCGAGGGATCTTGTCCCAAATCTCCCAAATTTCAGCAGATTGTGCCCAAAATCCCCGGATTTTGCCCCAAAATCCTCAATTTTTTTTTGGGAATGTGACTCAGATCTCTGAATGTGATTTGGGACCTATTGGAGAACGACTGTTCGCACCTCAAATCCCAAAACTCCACCCCAAATCTCAGCCGATTTCGGTCACGATTTCAGCCGATTTTGCTGATTTTTCCCAAAATCCTCGTATTTCGCCCCAAAATTCCTGGTTTTTTTGGGAATTTCACTCAAATTTCTGGATATATTTTGGTGGGAGTTGCAGAATGATGGTTCCTGTCCAAAATCCTAGAACTCCTCCCCAAATCCGTCCAATATCAGCCGAAAATTTTCGCTGCTTTCGGTCCCAATTTAAGCCGATTTCGCTCCTGATTTTGCCCAAAATCCTCAGATTTCACCCCAAAATTCCCAAAATTTTCGGGAATTTTTTGGGAATGTGAGTCAAATCCCTGCATGTGATGTGGAGTGACTCTTCCACTCCAAATCCCAAAATTCCACCTCAAATCCTCCCATTTCAACCGATTTTGCTGCAGATTTCGCCGATTTCGCTCCCGATTTTGCCCAAATTCGTCATATTTGGGCCCAAAACTCCCATTTTTTTTTTTGCAATCTCACTCACAGGAGGCGTTTCCGTAGTGTCCCTGCTGTCCGTAGCCCGGGGGCGGGTTGTAGGAGCCCTGCTGCCCGTAGCCCTGCTGCCCGTAGCCGCCGCTCGGGGGCTTGGGGGACAACTCATCCCACCCCAAATCCACCCAAATTCAGCAGATTGTGCCCAAAATCTGCGGATTTCACCTCAAAATCCCTGATTGTTTTGGGGGAATGTGACTCAGATCCCTGAATGTGATTTGGGGCCAACTGGAGGACGACTGTTCGCACCTCAAATCCCAAAACTCTACCCCAAATCTCAGCCGACTTTGGTCACGATTTCAGCTGATTTCGCTCCTGATATTGCCCTAAATCTGCAGATTTCGCCCCAAAATTCCCGTTTTTTTGAGGATTTTGTTGGGAATTTTTTGGGAATGTGACTCAGATCCCTGGATACAATTTGGGACCAGTTGGAGAACAACTGATTCCATCCCAAATCCCCAAAATTCCACCCCAAATCCCATCCCAAATCCTCCCATTTCAACCGATTCTTTAGGCGATTTCACTCCCGATTTTGCCCAAAATCCTCAGATTTCACCCCAAAATTCCCAATTCTTTCAGGAATTTTGTGGGAATGTGAGTCAAATCCCTGCATGTGATGTGGAGTGACTGTTCCACTCCAAATCCCAGAATTCCACCCCAAATCCCCCCATTTTAACCGAATCTTTGGCCGATTTCGCTCCCGATTTTGCCGATTTCGCTCCTGATTTTTCCCAAAATCTTCAGATTTCACCCCAAAATTCCCAAAATTTTCGGGAATTTTTTGGGAATGCGACTCAAATCCCTGGATGTGATTGGGAGTGGGATGTGGAGTGACTGTTCCCACTCCAAATCCCAGAATTCCACTCCAAATCCTCCCATTTCAACCGATTTTGCTGCAGATTTCGCCGATTTCGCTCCCGATTTTGCCCAAATTCGTCATATTTGGGCCCAGAATTCCCGTTTTTTTTGGGAATTTTTTGTAACTGTCACTCACAGGAGGCGTTTCCGTAGTGCCCCTGCTGCCCGTAGCCCGGGGGCGGGTTGTAGGAGCCCTGCTGCCCGTAGCCCTGCTGCCCGTAGCCGCCGCTCGGGGGCTGTGCCGGCGGCTGCGCCGGCGGCTGCTGCGGCTGCTGCCCGTAGGCGCCGCCCGCCGCGCCCGGCCCGTACCCCGAGCCGCCCGAGCCCCCGCCGTAGCTGCGGAGAGAGAGAGGTTTGGGGTGAAAAACGGGGATTTTGGGAAAAATGGGGATTTTTGGGGGGGAATATGTGGGGGTTTGGGGGGAAAATGGGGGAATTAGGGGGCGAAATGTGGGAGTCTGGGGGGAAAAACGGGAAGATTTGGGAACGAAATGTGGGGGTTTGGCGGTAAAACGGGGGAATTTGGGGTGAAAAACGGGGATTTTGGGGTGAAAAACGGGGATTTGGGGAGAAAAACAGGGATTTTGGGTGAGAAACGGGGATTTTGGGGAGAAAAATGGGGATTTTGTGGTGAGAAACGGGGATTTGGGGAAAAATGGGGGTTGGAGGAGGGAAAATGTGGGCGTTTGGGGGGGAAACACCAGAATTTGGAGGAGAAAACGGGGATTTTGTGGGGATAAAAAGAAAGTTTTTGAGGTGAAAAGGAGATTTTTGGGGTGAAAAAGGGGATTTTTGGGGTGAAAAACGGGGATTTTGGGTGAGAAACGGGGGAATTAGGGGGTGAAATGTGGAGGTTTGGGGGGAAAAACGGGATGATTTGGGAACAAAATGTGGGGGTTTGGGGGTAAAACGGGGATTTTGGGGTGAGAAACGGGGATTTGGGGGGGAAAAACGGGGATTTTGGGGTGAGAAACGGGGATTTTGGGGTGAAAATTGGGGATTTTGGGGGGAAAAACGGGGATTTTGGGAAAAACGGGGATTGGGGGGTGAGAAACGGGGATTTTGGGGTGAGAAACGGGGGTTTTGGGGTGAAAAACGGGGATTTTGGGAAAAATGGAGCTCTGGGGTTACTGGGAGTGACTGGGTTGGGGTGGGCGTTACTGGTTTGGAGTTTTAATTAACAGTAACAATTAATTAATGATTAATTAGTTAATTAATCACCTGCCAGAGGCCGAGGCAGCTGCGGGGAACTGGGAAGAGTCGGGGTAGGAGGAGCTGTGGGGTTACTGGGAGTGACTGGGTTGGGGTGGGCATTACTGGTTTGGGGTTTTATTTAACAGTAACAATTAATTAAGGGTTAATTAGTTAATTAATCACCTGCCAGAGGCCGAGGCAGCCGCGGGGGGCTGGGAATAACTGGGGTAGGAGGAGCTTTGGCCGTAGCTGCCCTGGGAGCTCTGCCCGGAGCCGAAACCGCCGGAGCCGTACGAGGGAGGAGCCGCCGGCGCCGAGTAACCTAAATTAATTAAAATTAATTAATTAATTAATTAGGGATTTAAAATGGTGGGGGAAGGGGAAGAAATGGGGGGAAATTGGGGAAAAAAATGGGGTAATTCGGGGGAAAAACAAGGAAAAAATGGAGGAAAACGGGGAAAAAACACGGAAGAAATGGGGGAAACGGGAAAAAAAATTGAGGCTAATTGAAGTAATTAATGATTAAAAAATGAATAGATTAAATATTTTGGGAATTTTCTGGGAATTTTTGGCTCACTCACGTCTCTCGTTTTGCCCAGGCACTTTTGGGTCAATTTTGCTACAATTTTGGCTCCGAAAGTGCTGATTTCAGTTAAAATGCAACACAACGATGGAGATTTTTGGGAATTTCAGGATATTTTTTGGAAATTTCGGGAATTTTTTGGCAATTTTGGGAATGTTGAGCTCACTCACTATTCTGGCTCTGCCCAGACAGTTCTGGGTTGGTTTTGAGCCATTTTTGGGTCAGTTTTGGCTCAGAAAGTGCCGATTTTGATTAAAATGAGATACGAGAATGGGGATTTTTGGGAATTTCGTGAGTTTTTCAGGAATTTTGGGAACTTTCTGGAAGTTTTTGGGAATGTTGATCTCATTTAGCACGCTACATCTGCCCAGGTAGTTTTGGGTCAGTTTTGGCTCCATTTTGGCCCTAAAGGTGCCGATTTTCATTAAAATGCGATACGAGAATGGTGATTTTTGAGAAATTTCGGTAATTTTTTGAAAATTTTCTAAGAATTTTGAAACTTTCTGGGAATTTTGGGAATGTTGAGCTCACTCAGCGCGCTAGATCTGCCCAGGTAGTTTTGGGTCAGTTTTGGCTCCATTTTGGCTCCAAAGGCGCCAATTTTGATTAAAATGAGATACGAGAATGGTGATTTTGGGGAATTTCTTGAAAATTTTTCGGGAATTTTGCAAATTTTCTGGGAATTTCGGGAATGCTGACCTCACTCACCATCCTGGCTCTGCCCAGGCCAAGTTTCCGTCACTTTTGGGTCAATTCTGAGCCAATTTTGGCTCCGAAGGTGCCGATTTTGAGCACAGTACCCCAGAACTGTGGGGATTTTTGTGGAATTTTGGGATTTTTTGGGAATTTTGGGAATGTTTTCCATGCTCACCGCTCTGGCTCTGTCCGTAGGAGGATCCAGAGCCCCCCTGGCCGTAGCCCGTGTCCGAGCCCTGCCCTTGGGGTCAGTTTTGGGTCAGTTTTGGTTCCAAAAGTGCCAATTTTGGTTCCAACGTGATAGAACCATGCGGATTTTTGGGAATTTCAGGAATTTTTTGGGAATTTTGGGACCTTTTCGGGAATGTTGAGCTCACTCAGCGTGCTGGATCTGCCAAGGTCGTTTTGGGTCAGTTTTGGCTCCATTTTGGCTCCAAAGGTGCCGATTTTGATTAAAATATGATACAAGAATGGGAATTTTTGGGAAATTTTGGGAATTTCTGAAAATTTTCTGGGAATTTTGAAACTTTCTGGGAATTTTGGGAATGCTGACCTCACTCACCATCCTGGCTCTGCCCAGGCCAAATTTCCGTCACTTTTGGGTCAATTCTGAGCCAATTTTGGCTCCGAAGGTGCCGATTTTGAGCACAGTACCACAGAACCACAGGGATTTTTGGGGAATTTTGGTATTTTTTGGGAATTTGGGGAATGTTTTCCATGCTCACCGCTCTGGCTCTGTCCGTAGGAGGATCCGTAGCCCCCCTGGCCGTAGCCCGTGTCCGAGCCCTGCCCGTAGCCGCCGTAGCTCTGCTGGGAGTAGCTCTGCCCCCCGCCCTGCGAGTAGCTCTGGCTGGGCGGCGCGGGGTAAGCGCCGTAGCTGGGGAGAAAAATCACAAATTTGGGTAAAATATCCCCAAAAAACGGGGATTTTTGGGGATGGGGGAAATTGGGGAAATGGGGTTTTACCTTTGGGTGGCTGTCTGGCTGTAATCTGCGGAGGAAAGGGTTAAAAAATGGGGTTAGTGCAGCAAAAAAACGAATAAAATCAATTTATTTTTGCTCATTAAATCTGGGGAGGAAGGGGTTAAAAATTGGGTTAATCCTGTAGAAATTGGTTAAAATAAATTTATTTTTCCTCATTTATTAAATCTGGGGAGGAATGGGTTAAAGATTTGCAGTTAATCCAACAGAAATGAAATCAAATCTATTTATTTCCCTATATTATTTCATTTGGGGAGAAAAGGGTTAAAGAACTGGAGTTAATCAATAAGAAATCAGATAAAATAAATTTATTTTCCCTTATTTATTAAATCTGAAAAGGAAAAGGTTAAAATTTTGGATTAATTACCAGAAATCAAATCAAATAAATTTATTTTTTCTAAATTATTAAACCTGGGGAGGAAATATTTAAAAAATTCAGATTAACCCACCAGAAATTTCTTAAAATTTATCAGAATTTAAAATGGGGTTAAAAATTGGGGCTAATCCAGCAGAAATCAAAAAAATTAAATTTATTTTACAACATTTTTAAAGTCTGGAGAGCAATGGGTTAAAAATTTTGGACTCATTAATTAGAAATAAGATAAATTTATTTTCCCTGATTTATTAAGTCTGAGGAGGAAAGTATTAAAAATTTTCCCTTAATAAGAAATCAAATACATTTATTTTTCCTAAATTAATAAACCTGAGGAAGAATGGGTTTAAAATTTGGGGTTAATCCATCAGAAACTGGTTAAAATAAACTTATTCTATTTAATTTATAAAATTTCGGTAGGAAAAGGTTTAAAAATTTCAATTTATAAGAAATAAAAATAAAACCATTTCCCCTAAATATCCCGCCAAAAAAACCCAAATTAATTAATTTATCCCCAAAATCATCGCAAACTTTGATTTTTAATTGAAATAAATGAAGATAAAGAGAATTTTTATTCATTATTTAAATGTGACAATGAACGCGAAGCTTTCAATCGCCCTCAGACTCAGCAGAATAAAAAGGGTTTAAAAATTCGCTTTTAACAGCAAATATGCCCCTGCAAAAGGACTCAGGAGGTGGAAATTAATTATTTACGTGTTTTAAAAATCATATTTAATTATTTAAATATAAAAATTAGTTATTTCGAGGAAAATTTAATGATTTTGACAGGAAATTGAAATAAGAAAACGAAAATTTCCCTCAGGCACCACACGACAAAAAAAGCCACTAAAACCTCACAAAATCAACTAATTTAAAAAAGATTTAATTTTAAACGGATTTAAAAATAAAAATTAAAAGGGATAAATTAAAATTTAAATATTTCGATGTTGAAATGAAGGGGAAATTTAAAATTCCCCTCAGGCTCCGCCTAACAAAAGGCGTGCCCTGAGGGGGGGGAAATGTTTAAAAACCTGGATTTAAAATTGAATCTCCGCAAAAAAAAAGAGATTTAACAGCACAATTAAGCATAAATTTAAAAATAAATCTTTATATTTAATGAAAATAATTTGAATTTTCCCTCATAAATTCGCTTTAAAGCGAGGGAAGCTGGACCGAACCCCCCCCCCCACCCCCTGAGGACGGGAAGGGAATTTCCCGCCTCGCATGGGAGAAACGGCGGGCGGGGAGGGATTTTTAACATCGAAAGCGAAGTTTTAGGGTGGAAATTTGGAATTTGTTTAATTTGATTTATTTTTTATTTAATTTTGATTTAATTTGATTTAAAGGACCCGGATGCGTCGCTGCGGCAGCGGCGCCGCGCATGCGCCGCGCGCACAAAATGGAGGCGGTGGCGCAGAGGCCAAACCACAAAATGGCGGGCGAGGAAATAAAAATATAAAACGGGTCCCAAATCCCCCCTAAAACACCCCGAAATTACCCCAAAATCCAAACAGTTCCACGGGAATTGCAGCTATAATTTAAGTTTTTGTGGTAAAATTGGCGGGTTTAGGGTTAATTCGCTTCCGCAGCATCCGGGCGCGGCGCGCTTTGTTTGGCACCCGCCCCATTATCCGCGATGTTATTAGGAAATACCACCCAGAAAATCCCCGAAATTTGCGGTTTGGGATTAAAACGTGTCAAAGTGGGGATGTATTAAAAGCAAAAGGGAAGATAAATTGAAAATAAAATATAGAGAAGCGTGGCGGAAAATGGGGCGGCATCAAACCCCACACAGAGCAGCGCTGAGGGTGAAAAACCCCCAATGAAACAACGCCTCGACTACACCAAATAAACGAGGAAACGACAGATTTAAACAGCACAAATTAAAAACAAATTACAAACAACACAATTGTTATGTGCAACAGATATAGTCCGCGCGATTTTTAGTATGATATAGGGGGTATTAAGCGCTGCGACGCCGGAATCCCCTCAGAATTCCCCCCCGGGTGCCCCCACACCGCGCTGGGCTCGGCAATCCCCGCCCGCCCTGAGGGTTCCCGGGGCAGGAGGGGAGTTCCAGGGGTCCCTCCCTGAGGTTCGGGGCAGTCCCGTGAGGGCTCAAAGGGAGGCGCGGGAGGATTCCCCGCGCTTTGCCGGTACCGTTGGAGGCCATGGCGGTGCCGCGCGTCCCGCGTCCCGCTCCACGTGGCGCCCGCACTGCGCGCCCCGCGCGCTCCGCCCGCTTTTTTATAGCCTCGGTCGGCGCGTTCCACTCGGGCGGGGGGGGCGGGGGGGGGACGGGGGAGATGGTACGGTCCTAGGGAAGGGGGCGTGGCGATGGGCGTGGCCATGGGCGTGGCCATGAATAGCGGGGTTCTATAGGGGACGGGGACCTATAGAGGGGACAGCAGGTATGGGGGGGTCTGTGGGGCACAGGGGGGTTCTATAGGGGGCAGGGGGGTTCTATAGGGGGAAAGAGCCTATAGATGGGTGGGGGAGGGGTTCTATAGGGGGCAGGAGCCTGTGGATGGGTGGGGGAGGGGTTCTATAGGGGGCAGGAGCCTGTGGAGGGGTTCTATAGGGGGCAAGGGGGGTTCTGTGGGGGGCAGGAACCTATATATGGCTGGGGGAGGGGTTCTATAGGGGGCAGGACCCTATAGATGGGTGGGGGAGGGGTTCTATAGGGGGCAGGACCCTATAGTTCGGTGGGGGAGGGGTTCTATAGGGGGCAGGAACCTATATATGGCTGGGGGAGGGGTTCTATAGGGGGCAGGACCCTATAGATGTGTGAGGGAGGGGTTCTATAGGGGGCAGGACCCTATAGATGGGGTGGGGGAGGGGTTCTATAGGGGACGGGGGGATCTATGGGGTGTTCTATAGGGGGCAGGGGGGTTCTGTGGGGGTAGGAACCTATATTTGGGGTGGGGGAGGGGATCTATAGGGGACAGACCCCATAGAGAGGGTGGGGGAGGGGTTCTATAGGGGACGGGGGGGAACTATGGGGCGCAGGGGGGTTCTATGGGGGCAGGGGGGTTCTGTGGGGGGCAGGAGCCTATAGATGGGTGGGGGAGGGGATCTATAGGGGGCAGGACCCTATAGAGGGGGTGGGGAAGGGGTTCTATAGGGGACGGGGGGATCTGTGGGGTGTTCTATAGGGGGCAAGGGGGGTTCTATAGGGGGCAGGGACCTATAGATGGGTGGGAGAGGGGGATCTATAGGGGGAGTGACCGCTGGGGGGGGCAGGGTCCGGTGTCCACCCCCCCAGTGTCCACCCCCAGTGTCCATCCCCAGTGTCCACTCCCACTGACCACCCCCAGTGTCCACTCCCAGTGTCCACTCACCACTCTCACTGTCCACTCCCAGTGTCCACCCCCAGTGTCCACTCTCAGTGTCCAGTGTCCACCCCACTGTCCACTCTCACTGTCCACTCCCCACTCACAGTGTCCACTCGCCACTCCCAGTGCCCAGTGTCCACTCCCACTGACCACTCCCCAATCCCAGTGTCCACTCCGTGTCCACTCCCAGTGTCCACTCTCCACTCCCAGTGTCCAGCGTCCACTCCCACTGACCACTCCCCACTCCCAGTGTCCACCCCTGTCCACTCCCAGTGTCCACTCCCCAATCCCACTGTCCATCCCCAGTGTCCACTCCCACTGTCCACCCCCAGTGTCCATCCCAGTGTCCACTCCCAGTGTCCACTCCCAGTGTCCACTCCCATTGTCCAGTGTCCACTCCCAGTGTCCACTCCCAGTGTCCACTCCCATTGTCCAGTGTCCATTCCCAGTGTCCATTCCCAGTGTCCATCCCCAGTGTCCACTCCCAGTGTCCACTCCCAGTGTCCATCCCCAGTGTCCATTCCCCACTCCCAGTGTCCACTCCCAGTGCCCAGTGTCCACCTCAATGTCCACTCTCATTGTCCAGTGTCCACTCTCACTGTCCACTCCCAGTGCCCAGTGTCCACTCCCAGTGTCCACTCTCATTGTCCAGTGTCCACCCCAATGTCCACTCTCATTGTCCAGTGTCCACTCTCACTGTCCACTCCCAGTGCCCAGTGTCCACTCCCAGTGTCCACTCTCATTGTCCAGTGTCCACCCCAATGTCCACTCTCAGTGTCCAGTGTCCACCCTCACTGTCCACTCTCCAATCCCAGTGTCCATTCCCAGTGTCCATCCCCAGTGTCCACTCCCAGTGTCCACCCTCAGTGTCCACCCCCAGTGTCCACTCCCACTGTCCACTCCCAGTGTCCACTCCCACTGTCCACCCCCAGTGTCCACTCCCCACTCCCAGTGTCCACTCACCACTCCCACTGTCCACTCCCACTGTCCACTCACCACTCCCAGTGTCCAGCGTCCATCCCAGTGTCCACTCTGCCCTCCCAGTGTCCACTCTCACTGTCCACTCCCAGTGTCCACTCCCCAATCCCACTGTCCACTCTCACTGTCCACTCACCACTCCCAGTGTCCAGCGTCCACCCCAGTGTCCACTCTGCCCTCCCAGTGTCCACTCCCAGTGTCCACTCTGCCCTCCCAGTGTCCACTCCCAGTGTCCACTCCCACTGACCACTCCCCAATCCCAGTGTCCAGTGTCCACTCCCACTGACCACTCCACCGTCCACCCCTCTGTCCCATGTCCACGCTGGACCGTGTCCGAGGGGGCGGCCGGAGCCTGGATCGCCGGCTGGACGCCGTGTCCGGCCAGGCCCTGCTGGCCGGGCTGCGGGCGGCCGGAGCCGTGTCCGAGCCCGAGGTGGCCGCGCTCGGACCGCCGGACAGTTGGGGCTGGGCGCGGCGACTCCGCGCTCTGGCCGCGGCCAAAGGGGACCGGACGTGCCGCGTGCTGCTGACCGTCCTGGAGGGGCTGGAGGGGCCGCCCCGGCCGGGGCCCTTCGGTGAGTGACCGCTCCGACGGCCGGCCGGGGGCACTGGGCACGCAGTGGTCACTCAGTGGTCACTCCGGTGGTCACTCAGTGGTCACTCCGGTGGTCATTTTGGGTTTTTTTCCTGTTTTTCCCAATTTTTACACCCCCAACTTCAGTGAGTGACCGCTCCAATGTCCAGCCATGGCCTGGGAGTGGTCAGTGCCCAGTGGTCACTCAGTGGTCACTCCATTGGTCATTCAGTGGTCACTCCAGTGGTCACTCAGTGGTCACTCCATTGGTCACTCCATTGGTAACTCCAGTGGTAACTCCAGTGGTCACTCCATTGGTCACTCAGTGGTCACTCCATTGGTCACTCAGTGGTCACTCCGGTGGTCACTCCATTGGTCACTCAGCGGTCACTCCCATGGGTCAGTGGTCACTCAGTGGTCACTCAGCGGTCACTCATTGGTCACTCATTGGTCACTCAGGGGTCACTCATTGGTCACTCAGGGTCACTCAGGGTCACTCAGTGGTCACTCAGGGGTCACTCCATTGGCTCTCCATTGACGTCTCCATTGGTCACTCAGTGGTCACTCCATTGGCCATTCCATTGGTCACTCAGTGGTCATTCCATTGGTCACTCAGTGGTCACTCCATTGGCCACTCCATCGGTCACTCCACTGGTCACTCAGTGGTCACTCAGTGGTCACTCCATTGGCCTCTCCATTAACCTCTCTATTGGTCACTCAGTGGTCACTTAGTGGTCACCCCATTGGTCACTCCAGTTGTCACTCAGTGGTCACTCCATTGGTCACTCCATTGGTCACTCAGTGGTCACTCAGTGGTCACTTAGTGGTCACTCCGGTGGTCACTCCAGTGGTCACTCCAGTGGTCACTCCATTAGCCTCTCCATTGGTCACTCAGTGGTTACTCAGTGGTCACTCCATTGGTCACTCATTGGTCACTCATTGGTCACTCAGCGGTCACTCAGTGGTCACTCATTGGTCACTCAGTGGTCACTCAGTGGTCACTTAGTGGTCACTCATTGGTCACTCATTGGTCACTCAGTGGTCACTCCAGTGGTCACTCAGCGGTCACTCAGTGGTGACTCCATTGGTCACTCATTGGTCACTCATTGGTCACTCATTGGTCACTCCATTGGTCACTCTGGTCACTCAGTGGTCACTCAGGGGTCACTCATTGGTCACTCATTGGTCACTCAGTGGTCACTCCATTGGTCACTCAGTGGTCACTCCATTGGCCTCTCCATTGGTCACTCAGTGGTCCCCCCATTGGTCACTCAGTGGTCACTCAGTGGTACTCCATTGGCCACTCCATTGGTCACTCCATTGGTCACTCAGTGGTCACTCAGTGGTCACTCCAGTGGTCACTCCAGTGGTCATTCCATTGGCCACTCCATTGGTCACTCCAGTGGTCACTTAGTGGTCACTCCATTGGCCACTCCATTGGTCACTCAGTGGTCACTCCATTGGTCACTCAGTGGTCATTCCATTGATCACTCCATTGGTCACTCATTGGTCACTCCATTGGTCACTCCATTGGTCACTCCATGGTCACTCCATTGGTCACTCAGTGATCACTCAGTGGTCTCTCCATGGTCACTCAGTGGTCACTCAGTGGTCACTCATTGGTCACTCAGCGGTCACTCAGTGGTAACTCAGTGGTCACTCAGTGATCACTCAGTGGTCTCTCCATGGTCACTCAGTGGTCACTCAGCGGTCACTCAGTGGTCACTCATTGGTCACTCAGTGGTCACTCAGTGGTCACTCATTGGTCACTCCCATGGGTCAGTGGTCACTCCCATGGGTCAGTGGTCACTCAGTGGTCACTCATTGGTCACTCAGTGGTCACTCCATTGGTCACTCAGTGGTCACTCCCATGGGTCAGTGGTCACTGTGGTCACTCCCATGGGTCAGTGGTCACTGTGGTCACTCCCATGGGTCAGTGGTCACTCAGCGGTCACTGGTGGTCACTCACTGGTCACTCAGTGGTCACTCAGTGGTCACTCATTGGTCACTCAGCGGTCACTCAGTGGTCACTCAGTGGTCACTCATTGGTCACTCATTGGTCACTCAGCGGTCACTCACTGGTCACTCAGTGGTCACTTTGGGGCGTTTCCCGCAGACTTTTACGACCCCGAGCGCGACGCCGCGGCCGGACACCGCTCGGACTGTCCGTGCTGCCGGCCGGAGCCCGAGTGGACGCGCCAGGATGATGATGGAGAACCCAAAATTGGTGATGAAGGCCACAAGGATGATGATGAAGAACCCAAAATTGGGGATGAAGAACCCAAAAACGACGATGAAGGCCATGAGGATGATGATGAAGAACCCAAAAACGATGATGAAGGCCACGAGGAAGAGGATGGAGAACCCAAAATTGGTGATGAAGGCCACGAGGATGATGATGATGAACCCAAAAACGACGATGAAGGCCATGAGGATGATGAAGAACCCAAAAATGGTGATGAAGGCCACGAGGATGATGATGAAGAACCCAAAAACGATGATGAAGGCCACGAGGATGATGATGAAGAACCGAAAAATGACGATGATGAAGGCCACGAGGATGATGAAGGAGAACCCGAAAATGAAGATGAAGGCCACGAGGATGATGAAGAACCCAAAAACGACGATGAAGGCCACGAGGATGATGAAGAACCCCAAAACGATGATGAAGGCCACGAGGATGAGGATGGAGGGGATGAAGATTAAGGGGTGGGGAAGAGGCTGAGGAGGAGGAAGAGGAGGAGGGTGGGGAGGAAGGTGATGGAGATGAAGATGATGAAGATGAAGAATTTTGGGTCAAAAAAGGGCCAAAATGGACAATTGGATTTCCATGATGATGAAGATGAGGATGATGAAGATGAAGAATTTTGGGTCAAAAAAGGCCCAAAATAGACACTTGGGTCTCCATGATGAAGATGAGGATGATGAAGATGAAGAATTTTAGGTCAAAAAAAGCCCAAAATGGAGCTTTGGGCTTCCATGATGATGATGAAGATGAAGATGAGGGATTTTGGGTCAAAAAAGGCCCAAAATGGACAATTGGACCTCCATGATGAAGATGAAGATGATGAAGATGAAGAATTTTAGGTCAAAAAAGACCCAAAATGGACACTTGGATTTCCATGATGAAGATGAAGATGATGAAGACGAGAGATTTTGGGTCCAAAAAGCAGAAAATGGACAATTGGTTCTCCATGATGAAGATGAAGGTGATGACGATGAAGAATTTTGGGTCAAAAAAAGCCAAAAATGGAGCTTTGGGCTTCCATGATGAAGATGATGAAGATGAAGATGAAGAATTTTGGGTAAAAAAAGACCCAAAATGGACAATTGGACCTCCATGATGAAGATGAAGATGAAGATGATGAAGATGAGAGATTTTGGGTCAAAAAAGACCCAAAATGGACAATTGGAGCTCCATGATGAAGATGAAGATGATGAAGATGAAGAATTTTGGGTCAAAAAAGGCCCAAAATGGACAATTAGATCTCCATGATGAAGATGAAGATGATGAAGATGAGAGATTTTGGGTCAAAAAAAGCCAAAAATGGAGCTTTGGGCTTCCATGATGATGATGAAGATGAAGATGATGAAGATGAAGAATTTTGGGTCAAAAAAGGCCCAAAATGGACAATTGGATCTCCATGATGAAGGTGAAGATGATGAAGATGAAGATGAAAAATTTTGGGTCAAAAAAGGCCCAAAATGGACAATTGGTTCTCCATGATGAAGATGAAGATGATGAAGAATTTTGGGTCGAAAAAAGCCCAAATTGGGCCCAAGTCCCACCCCACCCCCACCCGGATCCTTCCTCCCTCCCCTCCTCCTCCTCCTCACCCCTCCCCCAATAAAGTCCATGATGACCAAAACCCAACTTTGGAAGGTTCTCCATGACTTTAATGACCAAACCCAACTTTGGAAGGTTCTCCATGGTTTCAATGACCAAAACCCGACTTTGGAAGGTTCTCCATGGTTCTCATGACCAAACCCCAACTTTTAAGGGTTCCACGACCCAAAAACTCCAACTTTGGAAGGTTCTCCACCATTTTAATGACCAAAACCCAACTTTGGAAGGTTCTCCATGACTTTAATGACCAAAACCCAACTTTTAAGAGTCTTCCATGACTTTAATGACCAAAACCCAACTTTGGGTTGGTTCCCCTTGACTTTCATGACCTGAAAGTCCAACTTTGGAGAGTTTTGATGACCAAAACTCAACTTTGGAAGGTTCTCCATGGTTTCCATGACCAAACCCCAATTTTTAAGGGTTCCACGACCCAAAAGTCCAACTTTGGAAGGTTCTCCACCATTTTAATGACCAAAACCCAATTTTTAAGGGTTCCACCACCCAAAAGTCCAACTTTGGAAGGTTCTCCACCATTTTAATGACCAAAACCCAATTTTTAAGGGTTCCACGACCCAAAAGTCCAACTTTGGAAGGTTCTCCACCATTTTAATGACCAAAACCCAACTTTTAGGGGTTCCACGACCCAAAAGTCCAACTTTGGAAGGTTCTCCATGGTTCTCACCCAACTTTGGGGTCCGGCCGCGGCCCCGATGACCGATGTCCACCTGGAAGCCCCCCTAGATGCGGAAGCTCTCGGCTTTGCCGTCGATGTGCCGCAGCCTCAGGTAGACGTCGGTGCCGACGCCCTGCAGGGACTGCAGCACCAGGGACCCCCCCAGGTACTCGGCGTAGGCGCGCGACGTCGGCAGCCCGAAGCCGAACCTGGGGAGACACCAAAAAGTCCCAAAATAATCCCAAAAATCCAAAAAAAAATCTCAATAAATATGCCAAAAATATCCTGTTAAATATCCCAAAAAATCTCATTAAATATCCCCAAATCCCATTAAATATCCCAAAATCCCACCCCAAAATCGCCTCCAAAATCCACCCCAAAACCGAACCTGGGGGGAAACTGAGAAGTCCCAAAAGTGGCCCCAAAATTCCCAAAAAAAAAAAAAAAAACAACTCATTTAATATCCTAAAAATCGCATTAAATATCCCAAAATCCCATTAAATGCCCCAAATCCCATCCCAAAACCCCAGAACTGCCTCCAAAATCCACCCCAAAACCGAACCTGGGGGGACACCAAGAAGTCCAAAACGTGGCCCAAAATGATCCCAAAATCCAAAAAAATCTCGTTAAATATCCAAAAAATCCTATGAAATACCCAAAAAATCCCATTAAATATCCCAAAATCCCACCCCAAAACCCCCAGAACTGCCTCCAAAATTCACCCCAAAATCGAACCTGGGGGGACGCCGAGAAGTCCCAAAAGTGGCACCAAAATTCCCAAAAATCAAAAAAAACTCATTAAATACCAAAAAAATCCCATTAAATACCCAAAAAATCCCATTAAATATCCCAAAAATCCCATTAAATATCCCAAATCCCACCCCAAAACCTCCTCCAAAATCCACCCCAAAACCGAACCTGGGGGGACACTGAGAAGTCCCAAAAGTGGCCCCAAAATTCCCAAAAATAAAAAAAAAAATCTTGTTAAATATCCCAAAATCCCATTAAAAATCCCAAATCCCACCCCAAAATCGCCTCCAAAATCCACCCCAAAACTGACCCTGGGGGGACACTGAGAAGTCCAAAAAGTGGCCCAAAATAATCCCAAAAATCAAAAAAAATCTCGTTAAATATCCAAAAAATCCTATGAAATACCCAAAAAATCCCATTAAATATCCCAAAATCCCATTAAATGCCCCAAATCCCACCCAAAAACCCCAAAACTGCCTCCAAAATCCACCCCAAAACTGAACTTGGGTGGACACTGAGAAGTCCCAAAAGTGGCCCAAAATGATCCCAAAAATCAAAAAAAATCTCAATGAATATTCCAAAAAAATCCCGTTAAATATCCCAAAAAATCCCATGAAATACCCAAAAAAATCCCATTAAATATCCCAAATCCCACCCCAAAACCCCAAAACTGCCTCCAAAATCCACCCCAAAGTTGAATCTGGGGAGACACCAAAAAGTCCCAAAAGTGGCCCCAAATTATCCCAAAAAATCCAAAAAAATCTCATTAAATATCCCCAAAATCCCATTAAATGCCCCAAATCCCATCCCAAAACCGCCTCCAAAATCCACCCCAAAACCGAACCTGGGGGGACACCAAAAAGTCCCAAAAGTGGCCCAAAATAATCCTAAAAATCAAAAAAAATCTCGTTAAATATCCCAAAATCCCATTAAAAATCCCAAATCCCACCCCAAAATCGCCTCCAAAATCCACCCCAAAACTGACCCTGGGGGGACACTGAGAAGTCCAAAAAGTGGCCCAAAATAATCCCAAAAATCAAAAAAAATCTCGTTAAATATCCAAAAAATCCTATGAAATACCCAAAAAATCCCATTAAATATCCCAAAATCCCATTAAATGCCCCAAATCCCACCCAAAAACCCCAAAACTGCCTCCAAAATCCACCCCAAAACTGAACTTGGGTGGACACTGAGAAGTCCCAAAAGTGGCCCAAAATGATCCCAAAAATCAAAAAAAATCTCAATGAATATTCCAAAAAAATCCCGTTAAATATCCCAAAAAATCCCATGAAATACCCAAAAAAATCCCATTAAATATCCCAAATCCCACCCCAAAACCCCAAAACTGCCTCCAAAATCCACCCCAAAGTTGAATCTGGGGAGACACCAAAAAGTCCCAAAAGTGGCCCCAAATTATCCCAAAAAATCCAAAAAAATCTCATTAAATATCCCCAAAATCCCATTAAATGCCCCAAATCCCATCCCAAAACCGCCTCCAAAATCCACCCCAAAACCGAACCTGGGGGGACACCAAAAAGTCCCAAAAGTGGCCCAAAATAATCCTAAAAATCAAAAAAAATCTCGTTAAATATCCCCAAAATCCCATTAAATATCCCAAAATCCCACCCCAAAATCACCTCCAAAATCCACCCCAAAACTGAACCTGGGTGGACACTGAGAAGTCCCAAAAGTGGCCCCAAATTCACAAAAATCCAAAAATATCTCATTAAATATCCCAAAAATCCCATTAAATGCCCCAAATCCCACTCCAAAACCCCAAAACTGCCTCCAAAATCCACCCCAAAACCGAACCTGGGGAGACACCAAAAAGTCCCAAAAGTGGCCCAAAATAATCCCAAAATTCCAAAAAAATCTCAATAAGTATTCCAAAAAAATCCCGTTAAATATCCCAAAAAATCCCATGAAATACCCAAAAAAATCCCATTAAATATCCCAAATCCCACCCCAAAACCCCAAAACTGCCTCCAAAATCCACCCCAAAACCGAACCTGAGGGGACACTGAGAAGTCCAAAAAGTGGCCCCAAAATTCCCAAAAATAAAAAAAAAAATCTCATTAAATATCCCAAAAATCCCATTAAATATCCCAAAATCCCACCCAAAAACCCCCAGAACTGCCTCCAAAATCCACCCCAAAACCGAACCTGGGGGGACACCAAAACGTCCCAAAAGTGGCCCAAAATAATCCTAAAAATCCAAAAAAATAAATATTAAAAAAAATCCCATTAAATATCCCAAAAAGTCCCATGAAATACCTAAAAAATCCCATTAAATATACCAAAATCCCATTAAATGCCCCAAATCCCACCCAAAAACCCCCAGAACTGCCTCCAAAATCCACCCCAAAACCGAACCTGGGGAGACACCAAAAAGTCCCAAAAGTGGCCCAAAATGATCCCAAAAATCAAAAAAAATCTCATTAAATATCAAAGAAATCCCATTAAATATCCCAAAAAATCCCATGAAATATCCCAAAAATCCCATTAAATATCCCAAAATCCCACCCCAAAATCGCCTCCAAAATCCACCCCAAAACCGAACCTGGGGGGACACTGAGAAGTCCCAAAAGTGGCCCCAAAATTCCCAAAAATAAAAAAAAATAAATCTTGTTAAATATCCAAAAAATGCAATTAAACACCCGAAAAATCCCATTAAATATCCCAAAAATCCCATTAAATACCCCAAAAATCCCACTTCAGGGCTTGACCCAAATGATCCCAAAAATCCCAAAAAAATCTCATTAAATACCCCAAAATCCTATGAAATATCCCAAATCCCACCCCAAAAACCCCAAAATCGTCTCCAAAACCACCCAAAATCCACCCCGAAGCTTAATCTGGGGGGAAACTGAAAATTCCCAAAAGTGGCCCCAAATTATCCCAAAAAATCCAAAAAATTCCCATTAAATATCCCAAAAATCCCATTAAATACCCCAAAAATCCCATTAAATACCCCAAAAATCCCATTAAATACCCCAAAAATCCCGCTCCAGGGCTTGACCCAAATGATCCCAAAAATCAAAAAAAATTCTCATTAAATATCCCAAAATTCCCATTAAATATCCCAAAAATCCCATTAATTACCCCAAAAATCCCATTAAATACCCCAAAAATCCCACTCCAGGGCTTGACCCAAATTTTTGGGGTTTGTCCCCAATTTGGGGAGGGGTCCCCAATTTGAAACCCCCCCAAAACTTTCCCAAACCCCCCCAAATTCCCCCCAAACCCAACCCTGGTCATTGTCCGCCATTTTGAAGGGATGTCCCAAATTTCTGGGAAATGTCCCAAATTTCCCCAAATTTTTCGGGGGTGCCCCCAAATTTTTGGGGACTATCCCAAATTTGGGTAGGGGTCCCCAATTTAAAACCCCCCAAAATCCCCCAAATTCCCCCCAAATTCCCCCCCAAACCCAACCCCGGTCATTGTCCGCCATTTTGAAGGGATGTCCCAAATTTCTGGGAAATGTCCCAAATTTCCCCGAATTTTTCGGGGCTGCCCCAAATTTTTGGGGGTCACCCCAGATTTTGGGGAGGGGTCCCTGACCCGTGCATGGGTCCCGGCTGGCCGCTGGCGTCCATCAGGCCGCGGAAGGGCCCCCCCAGGCGCGGGTCCTGCGCGCTGGCCTCGGCCGTGCTGAAGTGGTACTCGGTCACCTTGTCCAGCAGCTCGTGAGGGATGCCACCGCCACGGTCCGAGATCCTGCGGACATTTGGGGACATTTGGGGACATCAGAGACGTTGGGGACATTTGGGACATTTGGGATGTTTGGGACATTGGGGACATTGGGGACACATGGGACATTTGGGACATTTTAGGACATTGGGGACATTTGGGGACATTTGGGGACATTGATGACCTTTGGGTGATTTGGGACATTGGGGACATTGGGGATGTTTGGGACATTTGGAAGATTTGGGGACATTGGGGAGATTTGGGACATTTGGGGACATTGGGGACATTTGGGGACATTTGGGACATTGGGGATGTTGGGTTTGTCCAGCAGCTCGTGAGGGATGCCACCGCCCCGGTCCAAGATCCTGCGGACATTTGGGGACATTTGGGGACATCAGAGACGTTGGGTACGTTTGGGACATTGGGGACATTGGGGACATTGGGGACATTTGGGAGATTTGGGACATTTGGGACATTGGGGACATTGGGGACGTTTGGGACATTGGGGAGATTTGGGACATTTGGGACATTTGGGAGATTTGGGACATTGGGGACGTTTGGGACATTTGGGACATTTTGGGACATTGGGGACATTTGAGGACACTTGGGGACATTTTCAGGAATTTGAGGAGATTTTGAGGACATTTAGGGACATTTGGGGACACTTGGAGATATTTGGGGACATTTTCAGGACATTTTTGGACATTTTGGGGACATTTTGGGGACATTTTGAGGACACTTTGAGAACATTTAGGGACTATTTGGGACACTTTGAGGACATTTGGGAACATTTGAGGACACCTGAGGACATTTTGGGAACATCTGGGGACATTTTGAGGACACTTTGAGGGCATTTAGGGACACTTTGGGACATTTTGAGGACATTTTGGGGACATTTCAGGACACTCAAGGAATTTTGGGGACATTTAGGGACATTCGGAGGCATTTTGAGGACATTTTGAGGACATTTTGGGGACATTTGGGGACGTTTTGGGGACATTTGAGGACACATGGGGTCATTTGAGGACACCTGAGGACACTTTGGGGACATTTTGGGGACATTTCAGGACACCTGAGGACATTTTGGGGACATTTGGGGACATTTGGGGACATCTGGGGACATTTGGGGACATTTGGGGACGTTCTGGGGCCGTACCGGATGACGAGGTCGATGTCGTTGTTGGCGATGGTCACCACGATGTCGGGGACGTTGTAGGGCGTGTCCAGGTGGGACTCCATGGTGGCCCTGGGGACCCCAAAATGGCACCGGGGTCACCCCAAAATGGCACCGGGGTCACCCCAAAAATGGCACCAAAGTCACCCCAAAATGGCACCAAAGTCACCCCAAAATGTCCCCAAAACCCCCCAAAAATCGCCAAAAAATCCCTCTAAAATCATCCCAAAATTACCCCAAAACCGCAAAAAATCCCCAAAATTGCCCAAAATCTCCAGAATTCACCCCAAAAATTTCATCCCCGGGCACCTCATGGTATTCTAGTACACCAAAACATCCCCAAACCCCCCAAAATACCCCCAAAATCCCCTAAAATCACCCCAAAATCCCCCTAAAATCACCCCAAAATCCCTCCAAAATCCCCCCAAATCTCCAAAAAATGCCCCAAATTGCCCAAAATCCCCGGAATTGGCCCCAAAACCCGTCCCCAAACACCTCATGGCGTTCTTGAGCAGCAAATCCCCACAAACCCCCAAAAATACCCCCAAAATGGCCCCAAATCCCCCTAAAATCACACCAAAATCCCCCTAAAATCACCCCAAAATCCCTCTAAAATCCCCCCAAAATCTCCAAAAAACGCCCAAAATTGCCCAAAATCCCCGGAATTCGCCCCAAAATCCCCTCTTGGGTACCTCATGGCGTTCTTGAGCAGCTCGGGCAGGACGTAGTCCAGGGGCAGGGGGATGAAGGGGAAGCGCGCGGCCACGTGGCCGTTGATGCGCACGCGCGGCGCCGTCCCGTACTGGTGCTCGCAGAGACGCCTGCGCAGGTGAGACACACCTGAGTGACACCTGAGTGACACCTGAGTGACCTCACCTGTGTCACCTGTGTCACCTGTGTGACCTCTGACACCTGTGTGACCTCACCTGTGTGACCTGTGTCACTTCACCTGGGTCACCTGTGTGACCTCACCTGTGTGACCTCACCTGTGTCACCTGTGTCACCTATGTAACCTCTGACACTCGTGTCACCTGTGTGACCTGTGTGATCTCACCTGTGTGACCTCACCTGTGTCACCTGTGTCACCTATGTAACCTCTGACACCTGTGTCACCTGTGTGACTTCACCTGTGTCACCTGAGTGACCTTACCTGTGTGACCTGTGTGATCTCACCTGTGTGACCTCACCTGTATGACATCACCTGTGTAACCTGTGTGAACTGACCTGTGTAATCTCACCTGTCTCACCTGTGTGACCTCACCTGTGTCATCTGGGTGATCTCACCTGTGTCACCTGTGTGACCTCTGACACCTGTGCCACCTGTGCCACCTGTCACTGTCACCCCCCGTCCCCCATTCACACCTGGGCGCCGTCCCGTACTGGTGCTCGCAGAGACGCCTGCGCAGGTGAGACACACCTGAGTGATGTCACCTGTGTGACCTCTGACACCTGTGTGACCTGTGTGATCTCACCTGTGTGATCTCACCTGTGTGATCTCACCTGTGTCACCTGAGTGACCTCACCTGTGTGATCTCACCTGTGTGACCTGTGTGATCTCACCTGTGTGACCTCACCTGTGTGACCTCACCTGTGTGACCTCACCTGTGTGACCTGTGTGACCTCACCTGGGTCACCTGTGTGACCTCACCTGTGTGACCTGTGTGACCTGTGTCACCTGTGTGACCTCACCTGTGTAATCTCACCTGTGTCACCTGTGTGACCTCACCTGTGTGACCTCACCTGTGTGACCTCACCTGTGTCACCAGTGTGACCTCATCTGTGTGATCTCACCTGTGACCTCACCTGTGTGACACCTGTGTGACCTCTGACACCTGTGTCACCTGTGTGATCTCACCTGTGTGACCTCTGACACCTGTGTCACCTGTCACTGTCACCCCTGTCCCCCATTGACACCTGGGCGCCGTCCCGTACTGGTGCTCGCAGAGACGCCTGCACAGGTGAGACACACCTGAGTGACACCTGAGTGACACACCTGTGTCACCTGTGTGACCTCACCTGTGTGACCTCACCTGTGTGACCTGAGTGACCTCACCTGTGTGACCTCTGACACCTGTGTGACCTCACCTGTGTGACCTCACCTGTGTCACCTATGTGACCTCACCTGGGTCACCTGTGTGATCTCACCTGCCACAGTCACCTGCTGTCACCTGCTGTGTCCCAGGTGTGTTTTGGGTGCCCCCAGGTGTGCCCAGGTGTGTTTTGGGTGCCCCCAGGTGTGCCCAGGTGCCCCCAGGTGTGCCCAGGTGAGTGCCCAGGTGTATTTCGGGTGCCCCCAGCTGTGCCCCGGTGTGTTTTGGGTGCCCCCAGGTGCCCCCAGGTGTGCCCAGGTGTGTTTTGGGTGCCCCAGGTGTGCCTAGCTGTGCCCAGGTGTTCCCAGGTGTATTTTGGGTGTGCCCAAGTGAGTTTTGGGTGCCCCCAGGTGCCCCCAGGTGTATCCCAGGTGCTCCCAGGTGTGCCCAGGTGTATTTTAGGTGTGCCCAGGTGTGCCCAATGTGTGCCCAGGTGAGTGCCCAGGTGCCCCCAGGTGTATCCCAGGTGTGTTTTGGGTGCCCCCAGGTGTGCCCAGGTGTGCCCAGGTGTGTTTTGGGTGTGCCCAGGCATGCCCAGGTGTGCCCAGGTGCGCTCACCTGGCGAAGTCTGCCCACTTCTCGACGAGTCTCTTGGGGGACAGGCGGGTGCAGATGATGCCGACGAAATCCGGCTGCGGATTGGGGCGAAAAACGGGGAAAACGGGAAAAGTGAGAAAAACGGGAATTGGGAAAAGTGAGAAAAACGGGGAATTGGAGAAAATCGGGGAAAATTAGGAATTTTGGGGGAAAATTGGGAAAAAAATTGGGGAAAAAATTGGGGAAAAATGGGGGGAAATTGGGGAAATGGGGGGAAATTGGGAAAAATTGGGAATTTTGGGGGAAAATTGGGAAGAAAATGGGGAAAATAAGGGAAAAATTTGAGGGGAAAATTGGGAAAAATTGGGAAAAAATTGAGGAAAATTGGGGGGGAAGGAAAATTTCAGAAAAATTTGGGAAAATTGAGAAAAATTGATAAAAATTGGGAGAAAATATAGGAAAATGGGGGAAAATTGCGGAAAATTGGGAATTTAGGGGAAAATGGGGGGGAAAATTCAGGAAAAATTGGGGAAAATGAGGGAAACTGGGGAAAAATTGGGAATTTAGGGGAAAAAATGGGGAAAAATTGGTAAAAATTTGGGATAAAAATGGGAAAATGGGGGGAAATTGGGGAAAATGGTGGGAAATAGGGAACAATTGGGAATTTGGGGGAAAAATGAGGGAAAATTTTGGGAAAAAATAGGGCAAATTGGAAATTTTGGGAGAAATGGTAAAAATTGGGGTAAAATTTGGGAAAATTGGGGGAAAATTGGGAATTTCGGGAAAAATTGGGGGGGGAAACGGGGAAAATTTAGAGGAAATTGGGAAAATGGGGAAAAAAGGAAAATTGGGGGAAAGTTGGGAGAAAATGGGAAAAATTCAGGGAAAAATGGGAGAAAAATCTCAAAAATAGGGAAAAAATTGGGGGTAAATCAGGAATTTTGGAGAAAATTGGGAAAAAATTGGGGGAAAATGGGAAAATTTTGGAAAAATTGGGGCAAATTTACCCGGGGCAGCTGCACAGGTGATGCACAGGTGAGCTATGGGATCTATAGGACACACCTGGCCAGGTGAGCTCACCTTGTCCTCGTGCAGCACCAGGTGATGCACAGGTGAGCTATGGGCTCTATAGGACACACCTGGCCAGGTGAGCTCACCTTGTCCTCGTGCAGCGCCAGGTGATGCACAGGTGAGCTATGGGATCTATAGGACACACCTGGCCAGGTGAGCTCACCTTGTCCTCGTGCAGCGCCAGGTGATGCACAGGTGAGCTATGGGATCTATAGGACACACCTGGCAGACAGGTGAGCTCACCTTGTCCTCGTGCAGCGCCAGGTGATGCACAGGTGAGCTATGGGCTCTATAGGACACACCTGGCCAGGTGAGCTCACCTTGTCCTCGTGCAGCGCCAGGTGATGCACAGGTGAGCTATGGGATCTATAGGACACACCTGGCCAGGTGAGCTCACCTTGTCCTCGTGCAGCGCCAGGTGATGCACAGGTGAGCTATGGGATCTATAGGATCTATAGGACACACCTGGCAGACAGGTGAGCTCACCTTGTCCTCGTGCAGCGCCAGGTGATGCACAGGTGAGCTATGGGATCTATAGGACACACCTGGCAGACAGGTGAGCTCACCTTGTCCTCGTGCAGCGCCAGGTGATGCGCCGCCAGCATTCGCATCCCCAGGCGCGACGTCAGCGTCTTGTCCAGGAACGGCCGCAGCAAACGCTCGTCCTGACAGGTAACGACAGGTGAGACAGGTGAGTTACAGGTGAGACACGGACAGGTGAGTTACAGGTGAGACATGGACAGGTGGGACACGGACAGGTGAGACAGGTGAGGGAAAGGTGGGACAGGTGAGGCACAGGTGAGACATGGACAGGTAAGACATGGACAGGTGAGACATAAGTGGGACATGGACAGGTGAGACATGGACAGGTGAGTTACACAGGTGAGACAGGTGAGACATCAACAGGTGAGACAGGAAGAGGACAGGTGAGGGACAAGTGAGATGTGGACAGGTGAGACAGGTGAGACAAGGACAGGTGAGACAGGTGAGACAAGGACAAGTGAGACAGGTGGGACAGGTGAGGGACAGACAGGTGAGACAGGTGGGACAGGTGACGGACAGGTGGGACAGGTGAGACACAGACAGGTGGGACAGATGGGACAGGTGGGACAGGTGAGACATGGACAGGTGAGACGGGTGAGGCACAGGTACAGACAGGTGAGACATGGACAGGTGAGACATGGACAGGTGGGACAAGTGAGACGTGTACAGGTGAGACAGGTGAGGGACAGGTGAGACAGGTGAGATACAGACATGTGAGACAGGTGAGACTGACAGGTGAGCCAGACAGTGGCTGTGGCTCCAATGGAACTTCCCCAGGTGTTCCCCAGGTGTACCCCAGGTGTGTTACCTATCTCAGGTGTGTCTCAGGTGAGTTACCTGTCCCAGGTGAGGTTACATGTCTCAGGTGTGTCTCAGGTGAGTTACCTGTCCCAGGTGAGGTTACCTGTCTCAGGTGTGTCTCAGGTGAGTTACCTGTCCCAGGTGAGTTACCTGTGCCAGGTGAGTTACCTGTATGTGCCGCCGGCACTCCCTGAGCCCCTCGGCCAGCAGCGTGTGTAACCCAGGTGTAACCCAGGTGTATCCCAGGTGTGCCACCTATCTCAGGTGTATCTCAGGTGAGGTTACCTGTGCCAGGTGAGTTACCTGTATGTGCCGCCGGCACTCCCGCAGCCCCTCGGCCAGCAGTGTGTGTAACCCAGGTGTAACCCAGGTGTATCCCAGGTGTGCCACCTATCTCAGGTGTATCTCAGGTGAGGTTACCTGTGCCAGGTGAGTTACCTGTATGTGCCGCCGGCACTCCCTGAGCCCCTCGGCCAGCAGTGTGTGTAACCCAGGTGTAACCCAGGTGTGTTACCTATCTCAGGTGTGTCCCAGGTGAGTTACCTGTCCCAGGTGAGGTTACCTGTGCCAGGTGAGTTACCTGTATGTGCCGCCGGCACTCCCGCAGCCCCTCGGCCAGCAGCGTGTGTAACCCAGGTGTACCCCAGGTAAAGTCACCTATCTCAGGTGTATCTCAGGTGTGTCCCAGGTGAGGTTACATATTACAGGTGAGTTACCTGTGCCAGGTGAGTTACCTGTGCCAGGTGAGTTACCTGTATGTGCCGCCGGCACTCCCTGAGCCCCTTGGCCAGCAGTGTGTGTAACCCAGGTGTACCCCAGGTGTAACCCAGGTGTGTTACCTATCTCAGGTGTATCTCAGGTGTGTCCCAGGTGAGTTACCTGTGCCAGGTGAGTTACCTGTATGTGCCGCCGGCACTCCCTGAGCCCCTCGGCCAACAGTGTGTGTAACCCAGGTGTAACCCAGGTGTGTTACCTATCTCAGGTGTGTCCCAGGTGAGTTACCTGTGCCAGGTGAGGTTACCTGTGCCAGGTGAGTTACCTGTATGTGCCGCCGGCACTCCCTGAGCCCCTCGGCCAACAGCGTGTGTAACCCAGGTGTAACCCAGGTGTACCCAGGTGTGTTACCTGTCCCAGGTGAGTTACCTGTGCCAGGTGAGTTACCTGTATGTGCCGCCGGCACTCCCTGAGCCCCTCGGCCAACAGCGTGTGTAACCCAGGTGTAACCAGGTGAAGTTACCTATCTCAGGTGTATCTCAGGTGTGTCTCAGGTGAGTTACCTGTCCCAGGTGAGTTACCTGTATGTGCCGCCGGCACTCCCTGAGCCCCTCGGCCAACAGTGTGTGTAACCCAGGTGTAACCCAGGTGTACCCAGGTGAGTTACCTGTCTCAGGTGTGTCTCAGGTGAGGTTACCTGTCCCAGGTGAGTTACCTGTATGTGCCGCCGGCACTCCCGCAGCCCCTCGGCCAGCAGCGTGTGTAACCCAGGTGTACCCAGGTGTGTTACCTATCTTAGGTGTGTCCCAGGTGAGGTTACATATTACAGGTGAGGTTACCTGTGCCAGGTGAGTTACCTGTATGTGCCGCCGGCACTCCCGCAGCCCCTCCGCCAACAGCGTGTGTAACCCAGGTGTAACCCAGGTGTAACTCAGGTGTAACCCAGGTGTGTTACCTATCTCAGGTGTGTCTCAGGTGAGGTTACCTGTCTCAGGTGAGTTACCTGTATGTGCCACCGGCACTCCCGGAGCCCCTCGGCCAGCAGCGTGTGTAACCCAGGTGTAACCCAGGTGTACCCCAGGTGTGTTACCTGTCTCAGGTGTGTCCCAGGTGTGTCTCAGGTGAGTTACCTGTCCCAGGTGAGTTACCTGTCCCAGGTGAGTTACCTGTATGTGCCGCCGGCACTCCCTCAGCCCCTCGGCCAAGAGCGTGTGTAACCCAGGTGTACCCCAGGTGTGTTACCTGTGCCAGGTGAGGTTACCTGTGCCAGGTGAGTTACCTGTATGTGCCGCCGGCACTCCCGCAGCCCCTCGGCCAACAGCGTCACGACGTCCTTGTGATCCTCCAGCAGCTGCCGCAGCAGCGCACAGTACTGCGCCTCATCGCTGCGCACCTGGATCTGCACAGGTGAGATACAGACAGGTGAGTTACACACAGGTGTGACAATGGCAGCACTGCGCCTCATCGCTGCGCACCTGGATCTGCACAGGTGAGACACAGACAGGTGAGTCACACACAGGTGTGACAATGGCAGCACTGCGCCTCATCGCTGCGCACCTGGATCTGCACAGGTGAGACACAGACAGGTGAGTCACACACAGGTGAGACAGGTGAGTCACACACAGGTGAGACAGGTGAGTTACACACAGGTGTGACAATGGCAGCACTGCGCCTCATCGCTGCGCACCTGGATCTGCACAGGTGAGACACAGACAGGTGAGTCACACACAGGTGTGACAATGGCAGCACTGCGCCTCATCGCTGCGCACCTGGATCTGCACAGGTGAGACAGGTGAGTTACACACAGGTGTGACAATGGCAGCACTGCGCCTCATCGCTGCGCACCTGGATCTGCACAGGTGAGTTACACACAGGTGAGTTACACACAGGTGTGACAATGGCAGCACTGCGCCTCATCGCTGCGCACCTGGATCTGCACAGGTGAGATACAGGTGAGTTACACACAGGTGTGACAATGGCAGCACTGCGCCTCATCGCTGCGCACCTGGATCTGCACAGGTGAGACACACACAGGTGAGTTACACACAGGTGTGACACAGGTGAGACAGGTGAGTTACACACAGGTGTGACAATGGCAGCACTGCGCCTCATCACTGCGCACCTGGATCTGCACAGGTGAGATACACACAGGTGAGTTACACACAGGTGTGACAATGGCAGCACTGCGCCTCATCGCTGCGCACCTGGATCTGCACAGGTGAGACAGGTGAGACACACACAGGTGTGACAATGGCAGCACTGCGCCTCATCGCTGCGCACCTGGATCTGCACAGGTGAGACAGGTGAGTTACACACAGGTGTGACAATGGCAGCACTGCGCCTCATCGCTGCGCACCTGGATCTGCACAGGTGAGACAGGTGAGTCACACACAGGTGTGACAATGGCAGCACTGCGCCTCATCGCTGCGCACCTGGATCTGCACAGGTGAGTTACACACAGGTGAGTCACACACAGGTGTGACAATGGCAGCACTGCGCCTCATTGCTGCGCACCTGGATCTGCACAGGTGAGTTACACACAGGTGTGACAATGGCAGCACTGCGCCTCATCGCTGCGCACCTGGATCTGCACAGGTGAGACAGGTGAGACACACACAGGTGTGACAATGGCAGCACTGCGCCTCATCGCTGCGCACCTGGATCTGCACAGGTGAGACAGGTGAGTCACACACAGGTGTGAGACGCGTGTGACAGGTGTGACAGGTGATACACAGACCGGTGAGACACTGATGGTCCTCTGCATCGGCACAGGTGTGCCCAGGTGTGCCCAGATACCTCCAGGTGCCCCCAGGTGTGCCCAGGTGTGCCCAAAATGTGCCCCAGGTGTGCCCATGTACCTCCAGGTGTGCCTAGGTGTGGCCAGGTACCCTCAGGTGTGCCCAAAATGTGCCCCAGGTGTGCCTAGGTGCCCTCAGGTGTACCCAGGTGTGCCCAGGTACCTACAGATGTGCCCAGGTGTGCCCAGCTACCTTTAGGTGTGTCGAGATACCTCCAGGTGTGCCCAGGTACCTCCAGGTGTGCCCAGGTACCCCAGGTGTGCCCAGGTGAGCCCAAAATGTGCCCCAGGTATGCCCAGGTACCTCCAGGTGTGCCCCAGGTGTGTCCAGGTACTCTCAGGTACCCTCAGGTGTGCCCAAAATATGCTCCAGGTGTGCCCAGGTGCCCTCAGGTTTGTGCCCAGGTACCTCCAGGTGTGCCCAGGTACGCTCAGGTACCCTCAGGTGTGCCCAAAATGTGCTGCAGGTGTGCCTAGGTGCCCTCAGGTGTGCCCAGGTGTGCCCAGGTACCCCCAGGTGTGCCCAGGTGAGTTCCCAGGTGTGCCCAGGTGTGCCCAGGTGTGCCCAGTTACCCCCATGTGTGCCCAGGTGTGGCCAGGTACCTCCAGGTGTGCCCAAAATGTACCCCAGGTGTGTCCCAGGTACCTCCAGGTGAGTGCCTAGTTATGTCCAGGTACCTCCAGGTGTGCCCAGGTGTGTTTTTACCCCCCCAGGTGCCCCCAAAACCCACCAAAATCCCCATTTTTCACCCAAATTCCACCGTGTTTTTTTGTCCTGCCCCTCCCAGGTGTGCCCAGGTGAGTGCCCAGGTGTGCCCAGGTGTGCCCAGGTGTGCCCAGGTGTGCTCAGGTCACTCACCGGGGGGAAGTCGCTCAGTTTCTGGAAGGCGCGGATGTAGAGCTCGTGCTGGGGGGAGGGGAGAGATCAGAGCCCTGCCCCGAAATTCCCGGAATTTTGGGCATTTTTTGGGAATTTTTGGGAGTTTGGGGGAAGTTTTGGGGAATTTTGGGATTTTTTGGGAGATTTTTGGGGAATTTTTGGGGTTTTTTGGGGATTTTTGGGGGAATTTTGGGAATTTTTGGGGAATTTATCAGGGAATTTATCGGGGAATTTTTGGGGATTTTTGGGGGATTTCGGGTGATTTTTGGGAGTTTTCGGGGATTTTTTTTGGGATTTTAAATAAGTTTGGGGTTTTTTTTGGGGGGATTTTTGGCGAATTTTTAGGAAGTTTTGTAAATTTTGGGGGATATTTGGGAAATTTCTGAGATTTTTTTGTTTTGGGAATTTTAAAGAATTTTCGGGCATTTTTTGGGAATTTTTGTGAAATTTCTGGATATTTTTGGGGGATTATTAGGGAATTTTTAGGTATTTTCGGTAAGTTTTGGAAATTTTTAGGAAGTTTATGGAAATTTTGGGACATTTTTGGGGATTTTTTTTTGATTTTTAGGAAGTTGTGGGAATTTTTGGAGACATTTTCAGAATTTTCAGGAATTTTGGGGGAATTTTGGGAATTTTTTGAAAGCTTTGGGAATCGTTGGGAATTTTTGGGAAGTTTTTGGGGAATTTCAGGGAACTTCTGGGAACCTGTGGGGATTTTTGGGAAGTTCTGGGAATTTTTGTGAAGTTTTGGGAATTCCGGGAATTTGAAGAGTTTTTTAAAAATTTATTTTTATTTTTCACACTTTTTTTTTCATTTTTTGGACGATTTTTCGGCTTTTTTTTTGCTTTTTTTTCCCAATTTTTCCCAATTTTTTTGCAATTTTTGGGGAATTTCGTGCTGCCCTGTAAATTTTGGGTGTATTTTGTGAGTTTTTGGGAGTTTTGGCGCTCACCACGTGCAGGATGGTCGGGTTGCAGCCGATGATGAAGGGAAGGTTCCGGAAGCCGCGGATCCGGTGGGCGATGCGCACGGGCAGCTCCTGCTGCAGGTACCGGGCGCTATTCTGACCAAAAAAACAACAATTTTGGGAAAATCCGCCTTTTTTATCACCCTCAGGCCTTTCTGGCAATTTGGGAATTTTCACACCCAAATTTCCGGGGGTTCTCCCCAACCAAAAGCAAAAAATTCCCTCAAAAATGTCAATTTTTACACTAAAAAATGTCAATTTTTAGTCCGAAATTTTCAATTTTTACCCCAGAATATTTGTTTTTACTCTAAAATTTTAGATTTTCCCAAAAAATTAAAATTTACCCCCAAAATTTCTATTTATACCTTCAAAATTTTTAATTTTCCCAAAAATTTTCCATTTTTATTCCAAAATGTTCCATTTTTACCTCAAAGTTTTTAATTTTCACCCCAAAATTTTTTTAGCCCAAATCTTTCAATTTTTACCCCAGAATTTTTAATTTTTACACTGAAATTTTAGATTTTTCCAAAAAAAATTTAAGTTTTACACCCAAATTTTAAACTTTCTCTCAAAAACTTTTAATTTTCTGCAAAATTTTTGATTTTCCCGAAAGTTTTCCATTTTTACAGCAAAAACTTTCAATTTTTACCCCAGAAGTTTTAATTTTTACCCAAAAATTTCAATTTTCCCCAATAATTTTCATTTTACCCCAAAATTTTCAATTTTCACCCCAAATTTTTCCATTTTCACCCCAAAAGTTTCCATTTTTACCCCAAAATTTTCAAATTTTACCTCAAAATTTTCAATTCTTACCCCAACATTTTCAATTTTCACCCCAAATTTTATATTTTTTACCCTAAAGTTTTCCTTAAAAATTTTAAATTTTACCCCAAAATTTTCAATTTTCACCACAAAATTTTTATTTTTTATACCAAAATCTTAAAGACTTTCCCAAAAAATTAAATTTTACCCCAGAATTTTCAATTTTCACCCAGAAGCTTTAATTTTTACCCCAAAATTTTTCATTTTACTCCAGAATTTTCAATTTTCACCCCCAAATTTTCAATTTTACTCCCGAATTTTCCAATTTCACCCCAAAATTTTCAGATTTCTCCCCAATATTTTCAATTTTCAACCCAAATTTTTCCATTTTTACCCAAGAATTTTCAAATTTCACCCCAAAATTTTCAATTTTAGCAAACCTCCCGCCCCCCAAAATTCAGGAAAAAACCCCAAATTTTAGGAACCCTCCGAAATTTTGGGGACCCCCCCAAATTTGGGGTCCCCCTCACCAGGATGTGGCTGCCGTCCTGCGAGCGCCCCGAGTAGAGCATCGTGGTGGGGGTCAGGCGCACCGAGGGCTGAATTTGGGGGAAAAAAAGGAGATTTTGGGATTTCTCCCAAATTTGGGGAAAGGAGGACCCCAAATTTGGGCTAAAATCCGTCCTAAAATGGAGCCAAAATCAAGGAAAAATGACCAAAAATGGCTCAAAAATCTGTCCCAAAATGGACTCAAAATCTTCCTAAAATCCCCTAAAAATGGTCCCAAAATGAACCAAAAATGGTTCAAAAACGGCTCTAAAATCCTCTAAAAATGGCTCCAAAATCAGCCAAAAATGGCCCAAAAATCTTTTCCAAAATCAGCCAAAAAAGCCCCAAAATCCACCTAAAATGGCCCAAAAATCCCTTCCAAAATGGATCCAAAATCCCCCCAAAAAATTGCCCCAAAATCCACCTAAAATGGGTCAAAAACGTCTCCCAAAATGGCCCCAAAATCCCCTAAAAATGGTCCCAAAAATCCTCCCCAAAATGGCCCCAAAATGGCTCCAAAATCAGCCAAAAATTGGCTCAAAAATCTGTCCTGAAGTTGTCCCAAATCCCCCAAAAATGGCTCTAAAATCCCCTAAAAATGGCCCCAAAAAAGCCCCAAAATCCACCTAAAATGGCTCAAAAATCCCTCCCAAAATTGACCCCAAATCCCCTAAAAATGGCTCAAAAAAAGCCCCAAAATCCACCTAAAATCACCCCAAAATCTCCCCCAAACGGCCCCAAATCCCGGGTAAATTTGAGGAGGGGTCTCCCCCAATTTGAGGAAGGGTCCCCCTGAATTTGGGGAGGGGTCTCACCCTCTCTGTGGCCACATCAAAGACCCCAAATCCCCCCAAAATCCCTCCCAAACCTCCCCAAAATCCCCCAAAATGACCCCAAATCCCCCCCGAACGGCCCCAAATCCCGGGTAAATTTGAGGAGGGGTCTCCCCCAATTTGAGGAGGGGTCCCCCCGGATTTGGGGAGGGGTCTCACCCTCTCTATGACCCAAAATCCCCCCAAAACTGACCCAGAATGGCCCTGAATCTCCCCAAAATCACCCCAAATCCCCCCCAAACAGCCCAAAATCCCGGGTAAATTTGGGGAGGGGTCTCCCCCAATTTGAGGAGGGGTCCCCCCGGATTTGGGGAGGGGTCTCACCCTCTCGGCGGCGGCGTCGATGGCGGGCTGGTGGTAGAAGGAGGTGACGGCCTTGCAGCGCTCCCGCGCCAGGTCCGGGGGGGTTTGGTCGGCGGCGCCGCGGGCGGGGGGATTTTGGGGGACCCCTCCCCCCCTGAGGGGATTTTGGGGGACCCCTCCCCAACCTGGAGGAGGTTTGGGGGTCCCACCCCCCCCCCAGGGGGGATTTTGGGGGGTCCCTCCCCCGCCTCGAAGACCCCCCCCCAAAAGGCGCCGCAGCATCTCCTGTGTGGGGAGGAAAGGGTTAATGAGGGGAGGGAACCTCCAAAAAAATTAAAGTTTGGGGGAACCCCAAAATGCAGCAAAAGGACCCCAAAATTCTCAAAAATTACCCCAAAATCCACCCAAAAAAACTCCAAAATCTCATCAAGAAAAAATCCCCAAATCCACCCAAAGGATCCCAAAAATTCCCTAAAATGACCCCAAAATTCACCCAAAGGACCCCAAAAATCTCCTAAAATGACCCCAAAATCTGCCCAAAAGACCCCAAAATTCACCCAAAAAACCCCAATAATCCTCTCAAGAAAAGATCCCAAAATCCCCCAAAATTGCCCCAAATCTGCCCAAAGTACCCCAAAATCCACCCAAAAAAACCCCAAAAAAACCCTCAAAGACCCCAAAATCCACCCAAAGAACGCCAAAAATTCTCTAAAATTACCCCAAAATTCACCCAAAAAACCCCAAAATCTCATCAAGAAAAGATCCCAAATTCAACCCAAAGGAACCCAAAAATTCTCTAAAATGACCCCAAAATCCACCCAAAGGACCCCAAAAATCTCTAAAATCACCCCAAAACTCACCCAAAAAACCCCAATAATCCTCTCAAGAAAAGATCCCAAAATCCCCCCAAATTGCCCCAAAATCTGCCCAAAGTACCCCAAAATCCACCCCAAAAACCCCCAAAAAACCCTCAAGAAAAGATCCCAAAATTCACCCAAAGGACCCCAAAAATTGCTCAAAAATACCCCAAAATTCACCCAAAAAACCCCCGAAATCTCATCAAGAAAAGATCCCAAATTCCACCCAAAGGATCCCAAAAATTCTCTAAAATCACCCCAAAATCCACCGAAATTACCCCAAAAATCTCCTAAAATGACCCCAAAATCCACCCAAAAGACCCCAAAATTCTCTAAAATCACCCCAAAACTCACCCAAAAAACCCCAATAATCCTCTCAAGAAAAGATCCCAAAATCCCCCAAAATTGCCCCAAAATCTGCCCAAAGTACCCCAAAATCCACCCCAAAAATCCCCTCAAGAAAAGCCCCTGAGAGTTTCCCCAAAAATCAAAATTTTAAAGGTCCAGGACCCCTTTTTCCCTCAGAATTCCCCCAAAACCCCTTAAAATTCCTCAAAAATAAAGAATTTAAATATCCAGGACCCTTTTCCCCTCAGAATTCCCCAAAATTCAACATTTAAAACGTCCAGAACCCCTTTTTCCCCTCAGAATTCCTCTAAAATCAACATTTAAAAGGTCCAGAACCCCTTTTTCCCTCAGAATTCCCCAAAAACTCTTCAAGAACCCCTTTTTCCCCTCAGAATTCCTAAAAAAAATGGGATTTAAATATCCAGGAACCTTTTCCCCTCAGAATTCTTCCCAAAAAATCACTCAAGGACCCATTTTCCCCTCAGAATTCCTCAAAAAAAAATCAGATTTAAATATCCAGGACTCTTTTTCCCCTCAGAATTCCATCAAAAATCAACATTTAAAAGGTCCAGGACTCCTTTTTCCCCTCAAAATCCCCCCAAAAAACCACCCCAGGACCCTTTTTCCCCTCAGAATTCCTCAAAAATCAACATTTAAAAGGTCCAGGACCCCTTTTTTCCCTTAAAATCCCCCCAAAAACTGACCCAGAACCACTTTTCCCCTCAGAATTCCCCCCAAAAAACCACCCCGGGGCCCTTTTTCCCCTCAGAGTTCCCCTAAAATCAAAATTTAAAAGGTCCAGGACTGCTTTTTTCCCTTAAAATCCCCTCAAAAACTGACCCAGAACCACTTTCCCCCTCAGAGTTCCCCCAAAAATCAACATTTCAAACCTTCAGGACCCCTTTTTCCCCTCAGAATTCCTCAAAAAAAATCAGATTTAAATATCCAGGACTCTTTTTCCCCTCAGAATTCCATCAAAAATCAACATTTAAAAGGTCCAGGACCCCTTTTCCCCCTCAGAATTCCTTAAAAAAAATCGGATTTAAATATCCAAGACCCCCTTTCCCCCTCAGAATTCCTCAAAAATCAACATTTAAAAGGTCCAGGACCCCTTTTTTCCCCTCAGAGTTTCCCCAAAAATCAACATTTAAAAGGTCCAGAACCCCAAAAATTCGGATTTAAGTATCCGGAACTCCTTTTTCCCCTCATAATCCCCCCAAAAAAAACACCCCGGGACCCTTTTTCCCCTCAGAGTTCCCCCAAAATCAACATTTAAAAGGTCCAGGACTCCTTTTTTCCCTCAGAAATCCCCAAAAACTCTTCAAGAACCCCTTTTTCCCCTCAGAATTCCTAAAAAAAATCGGATTTAAATATCCAGGAACCTTTTTCCCTCAGAATTCTTCCCAAAAAATCACTCAAGGACCCATTTTCCCCTCAGAATTCCTCAAAAAAAAAAATCAGATTTAAATATCCAAGACTCTTTTTCCCCTCAGAATTCCATCAAAAATCAACATTTAAAAGGTCCAGGACCCCTTTTCCCCCTCAGAATTCCTCAAAAAAAAATCAGATTTAAATATCCAAGACCTCTTTTTCCCCTCAGAGTTTCCTCAAAAATCAACATTTAAAAGGTCCAGGACCCCTTTTTTCCCTCAGAATTCCCCAAAATTCAAATTTAAAAGGTCCAGGACCCCTTTTTCCCCTCAGAATTCCCAAAATTCAAATTTAAAAGGTCCAGGACCCCTTTTTCCCCTCAGAATTCCCCAAAAACTCTTCAAGAACCCCTTTTTCCCCTCAGAATTCCTAAAAAAAATCGGATTTAAATATCCAGGAACCTTTTTCCCTCAGAATTCTTCCAAAAAATCACTCAAGGACCCATTTTCCCCTCAGAATTGCTCAAAAAAAATCAGATTTAAATATCCAGGACTCTTTTTCCCCTCAGAATTCCTCAAAAATCAACATTTAAAAGGTCCAGGACCCCTTTTTCCCCTCAGAATCCCCCCAAAAAATCCACCCCGGGACCCTTTTTCCCCTCAGAGTTCCATCAAAAATCAACATTTAAAAGGTCCAGGACCCCTTTTTTCCCTCAGAATTCCTTAAAAATCAACATTTAAAAGGTCCAGGACCCCCTTTCCCCCAGAATTCCTTAAAAATCAACATTTAAAAGGTCCAGAACCCCTTTTTTCCCCTCAGAATTCCCCAAAAACCCTTCAAGAACCCCTTTTTCCCCTCAGAATTCCTGAAAAAAAAATCGGATTTAAATATCCAGGAACCTTTTTCCCTCAGAATTCTTCCCAAAAAATCACTCAAGGACCCATTTTCCCCTCAGAATTCCTCAAAAAAAAAAATCAGATTTAAATATCCAAGACTCTTTTTCCCCTCAGAATTCCATCAAAAATCAACATTTAAAAGGTCCAGGACCCCTTTTCCCCCTCAGAATTCCTCAAAAAAAAATCAGATTTAAATATCCAAGACCTCTTTTTCCCCTCAGAGTTTCCTCAAAAATCAACATTTAAAAGGTCCAGGACCCCTTTTTTCCCTCAGAATTCCCCAAAATTCAAATTTAAAAGGTCCAGGACCCCTTTTTCCCCTCAGAATTCCCAAAATTCAAATTTAAAAGGTCCAGGACCCCTTTTTCCCCTCAGAATTCCCCAAAAACTCTTCAAGAACCCCTTTTCCCCCTCAGAATTCCTAAAAAAAATCGGATTTAAATATCCAGGAACCTTTTTCCCTCAGAATTCTTCCAAAAAATCACTCAAGGACCCATTTTCCCCTCAGAATTGCTCAAAAAAATCAGATTTAAATATCCAGGACTCTTTTTCCCCTCAGAATTCCTCAAAAATCAACATTTAAAAGGTCCAGGACCCCTTTTTCCCCTCAGAATCCCCCCAAAAAATCCACCCCGGGACCCTTTTTCCCCTCAGAGTTCCATCAAAAATCAACATTTAAAAGGTCCAGGACCCCTTTTTTCCCTCAGAATTCCTTAAAAATCAACATTTAAAAGGTCCAGGACCCCCTTTCCCCCAGAATTCCTTAAAAATCAACATTTAAAAGGTCCAGAACCCCTTTTTTCCCCTCAGAGTTCCCCAAAAACCCTTCAGGAATCCTTTTTTCCCCTCAGAATTTCTAAAAAAAATCGGATTTAAATATCCAGCAACCTTTTTCCCTCAGAATTCTTCCCAAAAAAACACTCCGGGACCCCTTTTTCCCCTCAGAATTCCTCAAAAAAAAATCAGATTTAAATATCCAAGACCCCCTTTCCCCCTCAGAGTTTCCCCAAAAATCAACATTTAAAAGGTCCAGAACCCCAAAAATTCGGATTTAAGTATCCGGAACTCCTTTTTCCCCTCAAAATCCCCTCAAAAACCCATTTTTCCCCTTTAAAAACCCCTCAAAAACCTTTTTTTCCCCTTTAATCCTCCTCTATTCCCACCCCTCCGCCCTCCCCTTCTCCCCCACCCCACGTCCCAAACACAACCCCGCTATCCGGATACTCCATTTCCCTTTTATTTCCCCACAAAAACTTTTTAATTTTACCCCAAAATCCTTAAAATTTACCCCAAAAAAACTCCCCAAATTTCCCCCCTCACCAACCAGCGGCCCCGGGGCCTCCCCGACACCTCCCCCGGGTTCGGCTCGCAATGGATTCGTCCGTTCCCGCCTCCTCTCCTTTGGTTCTCCCTTCCTACCCCCCCCCCTCAGCGGGTTGAGGGTGGTACGGTCCGGCCGCACTGCGCGCGCGCGGGAACGTGAGGGGGGAGTGGCGGGAAAATGGCGCCAGCTAGCGGACGAGGTATGAGGGGGGAGGCCGCGATTTTGGGGTAAAAAAATGAAATTTTGGGGTTTTTATAAAGGAAAAAAAGAAAAGGATCCTCGAGCTCTAAATTAATTTTTTTTTGAGGGAATTTTAGTGGGAAAAGGGTGCGGGAATTTTGGGGGGGGGAGGTGAGGGTAAATTGCGAATTTTGGGGGGAAATGAGGTGGAAAAGGGAATCTCAAATTCGGAATTTTAATTTTTTTTTTTTAGGGGGGAAATTGAGGAAAAAAGGGGAATTTTTGAGACTTTTGGGGGAAATTTGAGGGGGAAAGGGGAATTTTGGAGGTTTTTTTGGGAAAATTGAGGATAAAAGGGAATTTTGGAGCATTTTTGAGGGAAAATTGAGGAAAAAAGGGGAATTTTGGAGCTTTTTGGGGGAAATTGAGGATAAAAGGGAATTTTGGATCATTTTTGAGGGAAAAGTGAGGGAAAATGGAATTTTGGAGCTTTTTGAGGGAAATTTGAGGAAAAAGGGGAATTTTGAAGCTTTTTGGGGGAAATTCAGGGGAAAAGGGGAATTTTGGGGGAAAATTGAGGATAAAAGGGAATTTTGGAGCATTTTTGAGGGAAAAATTGAGGAAAAGGGAATTTTGGAGCATTTTTGGGGTAAAATTGAGGAAAAAAGTGGAATTTTGGAGCTTTTTGGGGGAAATTGAGGGGAAAGGTGAATTTTGGGGGGAAATTGAGGATAAAAGGGAATTTTGGATCATTTTTGAGGGAAAAGTGAGGGAAAATGGAATTTTGGAGCTTTTTGAGGGAAAATTGAGGAAAAAAGGGGAATTTTGGAGCTTTTTGGGGGAAAATTGAGGAAAAGGGGAATTTTGGAGCTTTTTGGGGGAAATTCAGGGGAAAAGGGGAATTTTGGGGGGAAATTGAGGATAAAAGGGAATTTTGGAGCTTTTTGGGGGAAAATTGAGGAAAAGGGAATTTTGGAGCTTTTTGGGGGAAATTCAGGGGAAAAGGGGAATTTTGGGGGAAAATTGAGGATAAAAGGGAATTTTGGAGCATTTTTGAGGGAAAAATTGAGGAAAAAAGGATTTTGGAGCTTTTTGGGAGAAAATGAGGAAAAAAGGGGAGTTTTGGAGCGTTTTGGGGGAAAAATGAGGATAAAAGGGAATTTTGGAGCATTTTTGAGGAAAATTTGAGGGGAAAATTGAAATTTCCTTTTTGGGGAAAAATTTGGGGAAAAAGGGGATCCCACCAAGGGGTTTTGGGGGATTTCGGGCAATTTTTGGTAATTTTTGATCACTTTAATTCCATTTAAGTCACTTTAATGTCACTTTTGGTCACTTTAGTGTAAATTTTATTCATTTTAAACCCATTTTTACCCCTTTAAGGCACTTAAATGTCACTTTTGGTCACTTTTATGCCATTTTTGGTCACTTTAATGCCATTTTTGGTCACTTTAATACCATTTTGGATCACTTTAATGCATTTTTTTCTCCATTTAAGACACTTTAATGTAACTTTTCCTCCATTTCCTGTAACTTCGCCTCCCCCTACCCAAATTTTGGGCTGGTTTTAGTCAGTTTTGGGTCATTTTCAGTCGGTTTTGGGTCATTTTCAGTTGGTTTTGGGTTATTTTCAGTCGGTTTTGGGTGGATTTCAGTCATTTTTTAGGTCTTGAGATGTTTCACTCCTTTTCAGCTCGGTTTCGCTCATTTTTGGGTCATTTTCTCTTGGTTTTGGGTTGTCTTCGCTTGATTTTGGGTCAGTTTCACTCAGTTTTGGGTCATTTTCACTCCATTTTGGGTCATTTTCACTCCATTTTGGGTGATTTCGCTCAGTTTTGGGTGGATTTCACTCAGTTGTGGGCAAGTTTCACTCAGATTTGGGTCATTTTCACTCCATTTTGGGCCAGTTTTACGCCATTTTGGGTCATTTTCACTCCATTTTGGGTCATTGTCACTCCACCTTGGGCGAGTTTTACTCATTTTTGGGCCATTTTGGGTCATTTTCACTCCATTTTGGGTCATTTCCACTCCATTTTGGGCCATTTTGGGCCATTTTCACTGGGTTTTGTGCCATTTTCGCTCAATTTTGTGCCATTTTCACTCCATTTTGTGCCATTTTTACTCCGTTTTGGGCCATTTTCACTGGGTTTTGTGCCATTTTTTGCTGGGTTTTGGGCCATTTTCACTGGGTTTTGTGCCATTTTCACTCCATTTGGGGCCATTTTCACTCCATTTTGGGCCAGTTTTACTCCATTTTGGGCCATTTTGGGCCATTTTCACCCTATTTTGGGTAATTTTCACTCCATTTTGTGTTGGTTTCACTCAATTTTGGGTCATTTTCACTCCATTTTGGGTCATTTCCACTCCATTTTGGTCCATTTTGGGTCATTTTCACTCCATTTTGGGTCATTTTCACTCAATTTTGGGTCATTTTCACTCCATTTTGGGTCATTTTCACTCAATTTTGGGCCATTTTCACTCCATTTTGGGTCATTTTCACTCAATTTTGGGCCATTTTCACTCCATTTTGGGCCATTTTCACTGGGTTTTGGGCCATTTCCACTGGGTTTTGGGCCATTTCACTCCATTTTGGGTCATTTTCACTCCATTTTGGGCCATTTTCACTGGGTTTTGTGCCATTTTCGCTCAATTTTGTGCCATTTTCACTCCATTTTGGGCCATTTTCACCCTATTTTGGGCCATTTTCACTCCATGTTGGGCTAATTTTACTCCATTTTGGGGTTTTTTGGGTCATTTTCACTCCATTTTGGGCCATTTTCACTCCATTTTCACTCCATTTTCACTCTGTTTTGGGCCATTTTCACTGGGTTTTGTGCCATTTTCATTCCATTTTGGGCCATTTTCACTCCATTTTGGGCCATTTTGGGTCATTTTCACTGGGTTTTGGGCCATTTTCACTCCATGTTGGGCTAATTTTACTCCATTTTGGGGTTTTTGGGGCCATTTTCACTCAATTTTGGGCCATTTTCACTCCATTTTGTGCAATTTTCACTGGGTTTTGTGCCATTTTCACTCCATTTTGTGCCATTTTTACTCCGTTTTGGGCCATTTTCACTCCATTTTAGGCCATTTTCACTCCATTTTGGGCCATTTTGGGTCATTTTCACTGGGTTTTTGGCCATTTTCACTCCATTTTGTGCCATTTTCACTCCATTTTGTGCCATTTTCACTCCATTTTGTGCCATTTTCACTCCGTTTTGTGCCATTTTCACTCCGCTTTGGGTCATTTTCACTCCATTTTGGGCCATTTTCACTCCATTTTGGGCCATTTTCACTCCATTTTGGGCCATTTTCACTCCATTTTGGGCCATTTTCACTCCATTTTGGGTCATTTTCACTGGGTTTTGGGCCATTTTCACTGGGTTTTGGGCCATTTTCACTGGGTTTTGGGTCATTATCACTCTGTTTTGGGTCATTTCCACTCCATTTTGGGCCATTTTTACTCCGTTTTGGGCCATTTTCACTCCATTTTGGGCCATTTTGGGTCATTTTCACTGGGTTTTGGGCCATTTTCACTGGGTTTTGTGCCATTCTCACTCCATTTTGTGCCATTTTTACTCCGTTTTGGGCCATTTTCACTGGTTTTTGGGCCATTTTCACTCCATTTTGGGCCATTTTCACTCAATTTTGGGCCATTTTCACTCCATTTTGTGCCATTTTTACTCCGTTTTGGGCCATTTTCACTCCATTTTGGGCCATTTTCACTCCATTTTGGGCCATTTTGGGTCATTTTCACTGGGTTTTGGGCCATTTTCACTCCATTTTGTGCCATTTTCACTCCATTTTGGGCCATTTTCACTCCATTTTGGGCAATTTTCACTGGGTTTTGGGCCATTTTCACTGGGTTTTGGGTCATTTTCACTGGGTTTTGTTCCATTTTCACTGGGTTTTGGGCCATTTTCCCCATTTTCCCCCGTTTTCACTCCCTTTTCCCCTTCTCCCCCCTCCACCTGCGCAGGTTGAGCCCCAGCAGCGCCAGGTTAACCCCGTAGGTGCCGAGGCAGACCAGGCACAGGTCCCTGAGGCCGAAGAGCAGGACCCCCGCCAGCCACAGCGAGGCCAGCGCCGAGGCCACCGACGAGGCCACCAGGGCCACCGAGGCCACCCGGCCGCGCCGGACACCTGCCACAGAGGTCACACCAGTTTGGCCCAGTTTGGTCCCAGTCTGGTCCAGTTTGGCCCCAGTTTGTCCCCAGTTTGGCCTCAGTTTCCCCAGTTTGTCCCAGTTTGTCCCTGTGTCCTCCTCACCTTCCCAGTTTGTACCCAAGACATTCCCAATGTCCCCAGTTTGTCCCAGTATCCCCAGTTTGTCCCAGTATCCCCAGTTTGTCCCAGTGTCCTCCTCAGTGTTCCCAGTTTGGTCCCAGTTCCTCCCCAGTTCGTCCCAGTTTCTCCCAGTGTCCTCCTCACCTTCCTCCACAGTTTGTCCCAGTTTCTCCCAGTTTCTCTCCCAGTTTCCCCAGTTTGTCCCCAGTTTCCCCAGTTTGTCCCCAGTTTCTCCCCAGTTTGGCCCAGTTTGCCCCAGTTTGGCCCAGCCACAGCGAGGCCAGCGCCGAGGCCACCGACGAGGCCACCAGGGCCACCGAGGCCACCCGGCCGCGCCGGACACCTGCCAGAGAGGTCACACCAGTTTGGCCCAGTTTGGCCCCAGTCTGTCCCAGTTTGGCCTCAGTTTCCCCAGTTTGTTCCCAGTTTGTCCCAGTGTCCTCCTCAGTGTTCCCAGTTTGGTCCCAGTTTCTGCCCAGTTTGTTCCCAGTTTGTCCCCAGTCCCCCCCAACCCCCTCCCAGTCCCTCCCAGTCCCTCCCAGTCCATCCCAGTGCCCTTTAACCCTTTCCCAGTCCTTCCCAGTTCCCCCCAATCCCCTCCCAGTCCCCTTTAACCCCCTCCCTGTCCATCCCAGTGCCTTTTAACCCTTTCCCAGTTCCCTCCCAGTCCCTCCCAATCCCTCCCAGTCCCTCCCAATCCCTCCCAGTTCCCTCCCAGTCCCCCCAAACTACCTCCCAGTCCCTCTCAGTGCCTTTTAACCCTTTCCCAGTTCCCTCCCAGTCCCTCCCAGTCCCCCCAATCCCATCCCAATCCCTCCCAGTCCCCTCCCAGTCTATCCCAGTCCCCCCAAACTACCTCCCAGTCCCTCCCAGTGCCTTTTAACCCTTTCCCAGTTCCCTCCCAGTCCCTCCCAGTCCCTCCCAGTCCCCCCCAAACCCCCTCCCAGTCCCTCCCAGTGCCCTTTAACCCCCTCCCAGTCTCTCCCAGTCCCTCCCAGTCCCCCCCCAACACCCACCCAGTCCCTCCCAGTCCATCCCAGTGCCCTGTAACCCCCTCCCAGTCCCTCCCAGTTTCCCCCCAACCCCCTCCCAGTCCCTCCCAGTGCCCTTTAACCCTTTCCCAGTCCCTCCCAATCCCCCCCAATCCCCTCCCAGTCCCTCCCAGTCCATCCCAGTCCCTCCCAGTGCCCTTTAACCCCCTCCCAGTCCCTCCCAGTCCCCCCCAAACCCCCTCCCAGTGGCTCCCAGTACACCCCAGTGCCCGGGGTTATTACCCAGCAGCCCCTGCAGCAGGTAGAAGATCAGCCCGATGGCGCCATTGGGCACGTTCAGGGCGCTGGCCCCGCCCAGCACCGGCTCCACCAGCCCCAGGCCACGCCCCCACCTGAAAAAGGGGCGTGGCACCGCCGGGACACGCCCACAAACCGGTTAGACACGCCCCCATGCCCATATATGGTGTATACATGCTGATAAACCACGCTCCTTATTGGTCGTTAAGCCACGCCCACCTCATTTACATATTCATATATGGTCAAGGCTGGGTTAAGCCACACCCCCTCAGTGAGATGCCACGCCTTCATATATGCAAATAGCCCATGCAAACATGGCCGCATGTGGAAATAAATGTCAGAAACCACGCCTTCATGTGCATATATGCAAATGACCCATGCAAACCACGCCTTCATGCCCATATATGCAAATAAACCATGCCTTCATGCCTATGTATGCAAATAAACCACACCTTCGTGCCCATATATGCAAATAAACCATACCTTCATGCCTATGTATGCAAATAAACCATGCCCTCATGCCCATATATGCAAATAAGCCATGCAAATCATGCCTTCATGCCTATGTATGCAAATAAACCACACCTTCATGCCCACATATGCAAATAACCCATGCAAACATGCCCATATATGGAAATAGTTGACACAAACCACTCCCTCATGCGCATATATGCAAATGACCCATGCAAACATGGCCATATATGGAAATAATTGAAACAAACCACGCCTTTATGTCTATATATGCAAATAAATCATGCCTTCATGCCAATATATGCAAACAAACCATGCCCTCATGCCCATATATGCAAAAAACTCATGCAAATCACTCTTTTATTCCCATATATGGAAATAAATTATGCAAACCATGTCCTCATGCCTATATATGCAAATAGCCCATTCAAAACATGCATTCATGCCCATGTATGCAAATAAGTGACACAAACCACGCCTCCATGCCCATATATGCAAATAACCCATGCAAACCACTCCTTCATGCCCATACATGCAAATAAACCATGCCCTCATGCCCGTATATGCAAATAACCTACACAAACCACCTCTGCATGCCCATATATGCAAATAAACCATGCCCTCATGTGCATATATGGAAATAATCCATGCAAACCATGCCTCCATAAACATATATGCAAATAACACATGCAAACCATGCCTCCATACCACATATGCAAATAAATTATGCAAGCCACACCCCCATACCAATATATGGACACAGTATCTTTATTCATGCAATATAAATCTCTAATTAACATGAACCCCGCCCCTTATTTAAGCCACGCCCCCTCCCGTAATCCATACAAAGCCCCGCCCCTTTCTCCTCACGGGCCCCGCCCACCACGCCCCCTAGCGAATCGCCCCGCCCCTCCACCACCATTGGCCACCGCCTCATGCAAGCCCCGCCCACTCTATTTTCCCGCCAACTTCGCCCCTAGCGGCCCGTTATTCCCCTCCGCGCCATTGGCCGCCGCCTCACGCAAGCCCCGCCCATTCCCGTTCCCGCCCGCCCCCTCCCGTTACTCCCGGGACGTTCCCGGTGGTTTTACCGGGATGAAAACACCCGCGTGCAGGACACCGAGGGCCCCAGGTCGCAGGCGGCTCGGTAGGACGGGTCCTTGGCCACCTCATGCTCCACATGCAGCGCGTACACCGACAGCGCCGCGCCCGCCACACACAGCGCCGCCCGCAGCGCCGCCGCCATCGTCCAACCCCGATTGGGCGTCGCCGCTGCCACTCCCACCTTCCCTGTCCTCTGATTGGCCGGCGGCGATGAAATCCCGCCTTATTTCCGGTTGAGGCGCGGGGGTGTATGGGAGTTGTAGTCCCGCGGGAAGAACAGCGCGGATGAAAAATGGCGGGAGCGCGGCCAAGATGGCGGCGGGGAGCTGAGTGAGGGCTCGGGCTCAGCCCCGCCGCTCCGGAGCCCTCCCGGAGGCCTTTGGGGAAGGTCGGGGCTCGGTGAGTGAGGCCCGGAGGGGTCCCGGGGGTCGCGGGGGTCCCGGGGGTGGCGGGGACGGGACGGAATTGGTGGGGAGGGGGGGCGGTGACGTCACGGGGCAAGATGGCGGCGGCGGCGTGAGGGGAAGTGGGGGGGGGAGGGAAATGGTGGGAGAGGCCCTGAGGGAGAGAAATAAAGCGCCGGGATTGAACTGGGATGGAGCTGGGATTAAACTGGGATGGAACTGGGATGGAACTGGGAAAGAGCTGGAATTAAACTGGGATGGAGCTCGGATTAAACTGGGATGGAACTGGGAGCCCAAACTGGGAGCACTGGGAACCCCTCATGGATCAAAATGGGAGCACTGGGATCAAACTGGGATTCTCCCATCCCAATATTTTTTTTTCTTCTTTTATTGTGTTTTTCTTCTCCTTTTTCGCCCCTAAATCCCCAATTTTTTCCCAAATTCTCCAAACTTTTCCCAAATCCCCCCATTTTTCCTAATTTCCACCCATTTCCTCCCAATTTGTTCCCATTTTTCCCAATTTCCTCCCAATTTTCCCCTTTTTCTCCAATTTTCTCCAATCTTTCCCCAATTTCCTCCAAATTCCCCTAATTTTTCCAATTTCCCTCCATTTTTTCTTCCATGTTCCCTTATTTCCCCCTATTTTTTCTAATTTCCCCCCTATTTTTCCCTTTCCCCCCCATATTTTTCCCATTTCCTCCCATTTTGCTCAATTTACCCCATTTTCTCCCATTTTCCCCAATTTTCCCAATTTTTTACCATTTTCCTTCATTTTTCCCCCTTTTCCCCATTTTCTCCCATATTTTCCCATTTTTCTCCCATATTTTCCTTAATTTACCCCAATTTTCCCCATTTTCTCCCATTTTCCTCAATTTTTCTCAAATTTTTCCCATTTATCATCAATTTTCCCCATATATTCCCATTTTTCCACATTTTTTCTCATTTTTTCTCATTCTTCCCTGTATTCTCCCCAATTCCCTCCATTTTCCCCCTTGTTTTCCCATTTTTCTCAATTTTTTCCAATTTTTCCCATTTTCTCCCAATTTTCCCCATTTCCTCCCATTTCCCCCCAATTTTCCCCACTTTTCCCCCATATTATCCCAAATTTCCCCCATTTTTTCCCCATTTACCCCAATTTTGCCCCATTTTCCCCATTTTCTCCAAATTTTTCCCGTTTTTTCCCCTTTTTCTAATTTTTTCCTCATATATCATCATTTTCCCACTTTTTTAATCAATTTTTTCCTTTTTTTCGCATTTTTCCCATTTTTCCTAATTTTCCCCCATTTTTTCCCCATTTCTCCTCCATATCCTCCCCATATTTTTCCCAATTCCCCCCATTTTCCCCATTTCCCCCATTTTTCCCATTTCCACCCCATTTTTCCCCAAATTTCTCCCACATATTTTTCCCATCTTCCCCCCATTTTCCCCAATTTCTTCAAATTTTTCCCAATTTCCCCCCATTTTCCCCCATTTTTCCCATTTCCCCCGATTTCCCCCCATTTTTCCCAATTTCCCACCATTTCCCCCATTATTTCCCCATTTCTCCCCATTTCCCCCCATTTTTCTCCCCAAATATTCCCATTTTTTCCCATTTTTACCCCAAATTTTCCTATTTCCCCCATTTTTCCCATTTTCCCCCATTTTCCCCCCATTTTTCCCAATTTCCCCCCATTTTTCCCTATTTCCCCCCATTTCCCCCCATTTTTCCACATATTTTTCCCCATTTCACCCCATTTTTCCCATTTCCCCCCCATATTTTTCCCATTTCCCCCCATTTTCCCCCCATTTCCCCCATTTTCCCCCAATTTCCCCCCATTTCCCCCCATTTTTCTCCCCAAATTTTCCCGTTTTTTCCCATTTTTACCCCAAATTTTCCCGTTTTCCCCGCATTTTCCCCCAATTCCCCCCCCAGCCCCCCATGTCCGCCCCCCCCTCCCCCCTCCCCCCCCCCCTGCACACCCTCACCCTCACCCTCCCCCCCCTCCCCCCCAAATCCCCCCAGGAACCCCCGGAAAACCCCGACAAACCCTCGGAAAAAGCCCCAAAATCGCCGGAATTCGCCCCAAACTCCCCGGAGGAGGAGGAGTGGGGGGTGCCCTGGAGCGAGGAGGAGGAGGAGGAGCCCCCCGGGGGATGGACCCCCGAGCCCCCCGAGATCCGGCGCCTCTTCGAGGCCATCGCGCGCGCCGGGACCCTCCCGCTGCGGAGCGGCCCCCTGCCCCGCCGCCAGCCCACCCCGGAGCCCCCCAGCGACCCCGAGGACGGGGGGGACCCCGCCCAGAGCCCCCCGCAGCGGCCCCCCGAGATCAAGTACACTTTGGGGCCAAAAAGCGGGGTTTTGGGCAAAAAAATGGGATTTATGGGAAAAAAACCCGGCATTTCTAGGGGGTTTAGGGGCCATTTTAGGGGGATTTTTGTGCCATTTCAGAGGGAAAGTTCAGGGTTTTGGAAGGTTTGGGATGGATTTTGGGAGCTTTCAGATGGATTTTGGGAGATTTGGGATGGATTTTGGGGGATTTAGGATGGAGTTTGGGAGATTTCAGGTGGATTTAGGATGGATTTTAGGGGATTTTGGGTGGATTTTGGATGGATTTTGGGGGATTTAGGATGGATTTAGGATGGATTTAGGAAGGTTTAGGATGGATTTTGTGGGATTTAGGATGAATTTTGGAAGGTTTGGGATGGATTTAGGATGGATTTAGGAAGATTTAGGATGGATTTTGGGGGATTTTGGGTGGATTTTGGGTGCATTTAGGATGGATTTTGGGGGATTTAGGATGGATTTTGGGGCATTTAGGATGGATTTAGGAAGGTTTAGGATGGATTTTGGGTGGATTTAGGAAGATTTAGGATGGCTTTGGGAAGGTTTAGGATGGATTTTGGGGCATTTCGGGTGAATTTTAGAAGGTTTAGGATGGATTTAGGAAGATTTAGGATGGATTTAGGAAGGTTTAGGATGGATTTTGGGCCATTTCGGGCGGATTTTGGGCCATTTCGGGCGGCGCCGGGACCCTCCCGCTGCGGAGCGGCCCCCTGCCCCGCCGCCAGCCCACCCCGGAGCCCCCCAGCGACCCCGAGGACGGGGGGGACCCCGCCCAGAGCCCCCCGCAGCGGCCCCCCGAGATCAAGTACACTTTGGGGCAAAAAAGCGGGATTTTGGGCAAAAAAACGGCGTGTTTTTAGGTGGTTTGGGGGCCGTTTTAGGGGGATTTTGGTGCCATTTCAGAGGGAAAGTTGAGGGTTTTGTGGGGATTTAGGGTGGATTTTGGAGGATTTTGGGAGCTTTCAGATGGATTTTGGGACATTTGGGATGGATTTTGGAAAATTCAAGATGGATTTAGGAAGATTTCGGCTGGATTTTGGGAGATTTAGGGTGGATTTCCGATGGATTCTGGGGAATTTAGGATGGATTTAGGCAGGTTTAGGATGGATTTTGGGGGAATTAGGATGGATTTAGGATGGATTTAGGAAGGTTTAGGATGGATTTTGGGGGATTTAGGATGAATTTTGGAAGGTTTGGGATGGATTTAGGATGGATTTAGGAAGATTTAGGATGGATTTTGGCAGATTTAGGATGGCTTATGATGGATTTTGGGGAATTTAGGATGGATTTAGGCAGCTTTAGGATGGATTTTGGGGGATTTAGGATGAATTTAGGATGTACTTAGAAAGGATTTTGGGAGATTTCGGACGGATTTTGGGCCATTTCGGGTGGATTTTGGGCCATTTCAGACAGATTTTGGCCTGTTTCGGGTGGACTTTGGGCCATTTCGGGCGGATTTTGGGCCATTTCGGGCGGCGCCGGGACCCTCCCGCTGCGGAGCGGCCCCCTGCCCCGCCGCCAGCCCACCCCGGAGCCCCCCAGCGACCCCGAGGACGGGGGGGACCCCGCCCAGAGCCCCCCCCAGCGGCCCCCCGAGATCAAGTACACTTTGGGGCAGTTTTGGGAAAAAATTGGGAGTTTTTTGGAAAAAAAACGGGGATTTTGGAGCGATTTTAGGGGGATTTTGGAGCGATTTTAGGGGGATTTTGGTGCCATTTCAGAGGGAAAGTTGAGGATTTTGGAAGGTTTGGGATGGATTTTGGGTGATTTAGGATGGATTTTGGGGGATTTTGGGGGATTTAGGAGGGATTTAGGATGGTTTACATGGGATTTAGGATGGATTTGGGACGGATTTTGGGTGGATTTAGGATGGGTTTTGGGGGATTTGGGATGGATTTAGGAAGGTTTAGCTTGGATTTAGGATGGATTTCAGAAGGTTCGGGATGGATTTTGGATGGAGTTTGGGAGATTTTGGGTGGATTTAGGCAGGTTTGGGATGGATTTTGGGGGATTTAGGATGGATTTAGGCAGGTTTAGGATGGATTTTGGAAGATTTAGGATGGATTTCAGAAGGTTTAGATTGGATTTAGGATGGATTTTGGGGAATTTAGGATGGATTTAGGATGGATTTAAGCAGGTTTTTGATGGATTTTGGGGCATTTTGGATGGATTTAGGAAGGTTTAGGATGGATTTTGGGTGGATTTAGCAAGATTTAGGATGGATTTCGGAAGGTATAGGATGGATTTTGGGACATTTAGGATGAATTTTAGAAGGTTTAGGATGGATTTAGGAAGATTTAGGATGGATTTTGGGCCGTTTCGGGCGGTTTCGGGCGGCGCCGGGACCCTCCCGCTGCGGAGCGGCCCCCTGCCCCGCCGCCAGCCCACCCCGGAGCCCCCCAGCGACCCCGAGGACGGGGGGGACCCCGCCCAGAGCCCCCCCCAGCGGCCCCCCGAGATCAAGTACACTTTGGGGGGAATAAATGGGATTTTGGGCAAAAAAACCCGGCATTTCTACGTGGTTTGGGGGCCATTTTAGCGGGATTTTGGGGCCATTTCAGAGGGAAAGTTGAGGATTTTGGGGGATTTAGGGTGGATTTTGGAGGATTTTGGGAGCTTTCAGATGGATTTTGGGACATTTGGGATGGATTTTGGGAAATTTAAGATGGATTTAGGAAGATTTCGGCTGGATTTTGGGAGATTTAGGGTGGATTTAGGGTGGATTTCCGATGGATTCTGGGGGATTTAGGATGGATTTAGGATGGATTTTGGGTGGATTTAGGCAGGTTTGGGATGGATTTTGGGGGATTTAGGGTGGATTTTGGGAGATTTGGGATAGATTTCGGAAGGTTTAGGATGGATTTAGGATGGATTTTGGGGGATTTAGGATGGATTTTGGGAGCTTTTGGGTGGATTTTGGGGGATTTTGGATGGATTTCGGAAGGTTTAGATTGAATTTAGGATGGATTTAAGAAAGTTTAGGATGGATTTTGGGGGATTTAGGATGAATTTTGGAAGGTTTGGGATGAATTTCGGAAGGTTTAGGATGGATTTTGGGAGATTTAGGGTGGATTTAGGATGGATTTAGGAAGATTTTGGATGAATTTAGGAAGTTTTAGGATGGATTTCGGATGGATTTTGGGGGATTTAGGATGAATCTGGGAAGGTTTGGGATGGATTTTGGGTAAATTTTGGCGGATTTAAGAAAGATTTTGGGGTATTTAGGATGAATTTGGGAAAATTCAGATCGGTTTTTTGGGATTTGGAGGAATTTTGGGATGAAATTTAAGCGATTTCGGGGCCATTTCCGAGCGAAAATTGACGATTTTGGGAAGCTTCGGGTCAGATTTTGGATGAATTTTTGGGATTTCGAAAGAATTTGGGAGAAATTTTGGGGGAAATTTTCAGCATTTTGGCGCAATCGAGGAAAATTTCGGTTTTCATTCTAAATTTGAGTTTAATTCCTGCAAATCCAGGAAAAATCTCCGAATTTGCCAGCCAAAATCGCCCAAAATTCAACCCAAAATTCCCAAATTTTTGCTTTTTAGGATCCCAAAATTTCCCCCAAAATCGCCAAAATGATTTTTTTCCAATTTTGTGGGATTTGACCCCAAACTTTGGGATTTTCCAGGCCCCCTCCCCCCACGGAATTCGATTTTGACGACGAGCCCCTCCCCCCCAGCCCCGCCCTGATCGACCGGCGCCGCGCCCCAGGTACCAAAAACACAAATTTGGGGAGATTTTGGGAGATTTTGGGGTTTTGGGGAGTTTCGGGAACAATCTGGGGTTTGGGGGGGATTTTTGGGGGAATTTTGGGGGGGTTTTGGGGGGTTTTTAGGGATAATTTTGGGAAATTTTGGGGAAATTCTGGGATTTTGGGGGAATTTTGGGAGGGGTTTTGGGGAATTTTGGGGGAATTTTTGGGGTTTTTTGGGGATATTTTTGGGGGTGATTTTGGGATTTTGGGGGGATTTTTTTGGGGTTTTTTGAGGAGATTTTTTGGGGGTTTTTGGGGTGATATTTTAGGGTTTTTTTGGGGTGATTTTGGGGCATTTTAGGATGGTTTTGGGGATATTTTGGGGGGATTTTTTGATTTTTGTGGGTTTTTTTGGTGGGGAGTTTTGGGGTTTTTGGGGGATTCTTTGGGGCGAATTTTGGGAAATTTTTTGGGGATTTTCGGGGGTTTGGGGATAATTTCAGGGTTTTTAGGGGGATTTTTGGGCCAATTTTGTGGCATTTTCACAGCGGTTTTTGGGCTGAATTTGCGGCAATTTCTCCGCAATTTTTGGGTTAATTTTGGGCATTTTCACAGCGATTTTTGGGCCAATTTTGGGTTCATTTTGTCGACGCTCACAGAGATTTTTGGGCTGATTTTGGGTTGATTTGGGTGATTTTCAGTGATTTTTGGGTCAATTTTGGATTGATTTTCGTGATTTTCACAGTGATTTTTGGGTTAATTTTGTGCAGTTTCACTGTGACTTTTGGGTTAATTTTGGGTCAATTCTGTGCACTTTCACTTCGATTTTCGGGTTAATTTTCGGTAAATTCTGTACATTTCCACAGCGATTTTTGAGTTAATTTTGGGTTAATTTTATCGATGCTCACAGTGATTTTTGGGTTATTTTTGAGCATTTTCACGGCGATTTTTGGGTCAATTCTGTGCATTTTCACTGTGATTTTCAGGTCAATTTTGGGTTGATTTGGGTGATTTTCACTGCGATTTTTGGGTAAATTTTGTGCATTTTCATGGCGATTTTTGGTTTGATTTTGTGCATTTCCACAGCGATTTCCGTGTTAATTTCCCCGTCTCTTCCCGCCCCCCTTTCCCCTCCCCAAACCCCAAAAATGTGATTTTTTGCCCCATTTAGGGCCGCCGAGCCGGGGGCAGAAGCGCGAGGCGCGGCTGGACAAGGTCCTGTCGGACATGAAGCGCCACAAGCGGCTGGAGGAGCAGATCCTGCGCACCGGCCGGGACCTGTTCCCGCCCCAGGGCCAGCGCCCCTTCCCCAGGCACAAAAACTGAGGGAAAATGGGAAAAATGCAAAAAAAATAACATTTCAGGCACTCCGTGCTGTTTTGGGTCGTTTTGGGGTGAATTTGGGCCGTTTTGGGCCGATTTTATGGAGTTATACATTGATTTTTGGGTGATTTTTGGCTGATTTTTGGCAGTTGTACATTGATTTTTGGTGATTTTTGGGTGACTTTTGGGAGTTGTACATTAAATTTTGGGTGATTTTGGGAGTTGTACGTTGATTTTTGGGTGATTTTTGGCAGTTGTACATTGATTTTTGGGTGATTTTTGGGACTTGTACGTTGATTTTTCAGTGATTTTTGGGAGTTGTACATTGATTTTTGGGTGATTTTTAGGAGTTTTATGTTGATTTTTGGGAGTTGTACGTTGATTTTTTGGTGATTTTTGGGGCATTTCCGGCCGGGACCTGTTCCCGCCCCAGGGACAGCGCCCCTTCCCCAGGCACAAAAACTGAGGGAAAATGGGAAAAAATCAAAAAAAAAATAACAGTTTGGGCACTCGACCGGAGTTTGGGTCGTTTTAGGGAGTTGTACATTGATTTTTGGGTGATTTTTCGGTGATTTTTGGGAGTTGTACATTGATTTTTCAGTGATTTTTGGGAGTTATACATTGATTTTATGGAGTTATACGTTGATTTTTGGGTGATTTTTGGGACTTGTACATTGATTTTTCGGGGAATTTTGGGAGTTGTACATTGATTTTTTGGGGCTTTTTGGGAGCTATATGTTGATTATTGGATGATTTTTGGGACTTTTACATTGAATTTTGGGTGATTTGGGGAGTTGTACGTTGATTTTCAGGTGATTTTTGGCAGTTTCATGTTGATTTGTGGGTGGTCTTTACATTGATTTTTGGATGATTTTCTGGGTGAATTTTGGGATTTTTTTGGTGATTTTTGGGTGATTTTTAGGTTGATCTTTGGGCGATTTTGGCTATTTTTGGGTGATTTTGGGCATTTTTACAGCGATTTTTGGGGTGATTTTGGGCTGGTTTTTGGTGATTTTGGGCTGATTTTTTGGGTGAATTTGGGGATTTTTAAAGTGATTTTTTGAGTGATTTTGGGACAATTTTGGGGTGGATGTTGAGGGTGATTTTGGGGATTTTTACAGCAATTTTTGGGGCAATTTTTTGGGAGATTTTGTGGCAATTTTCGGCATTTTTTGGGCAATTTTGTGCATTTCCACGGCGATTTTCTCATTTCCGCAACGATTTTTTTTAACCTTTTTTTTTCCCATTTTTATGCTGAATTTCAATTCCCCCCCGAGTCCCAAAAAAACCCCAAAAGTCCAAGAATTCCCCCCAAAAAACCCCAAATTTGGGGTTTCTTCATTCGCTGTCGGAGTCGACGACGCCGCGGAGCCGCGACCAGTCCGGGGGGGGGAGGGGCGACCTCGGCGGCGATTTTGGGGCCGTTTCGGCGTTTCTGCGGCGGGATCGCGCTGGGGGAAAAAAATAAATTAATTTGGGGAAATTTGGGAAAAAATTGGGAAAATTTGGGGTTTTTACGGCGATTTTTTGGTGGTTTTTTGGCGATTTTTCGTGTTTTTATGGTGATTTTTTTGGTGATTTTTACGTTGATTTTTTGGCGATTTTTGGGTCATTTTGTGGGGATTTTTTAGGTCGTTTTTGGGTGATTTTGTGGTGAATTTGGGGGTTTTACAGGGATTTTTGGGTGTTTTTTTGGTGATTTTGGGAGTTCTTATGGTGATTTTTGGGCATTTTTTGGGTAATTTTGTGGCAATTTTATAGTGATTTTTTTGGGTCATTTTTAGGTGAATTTGGGGTTTTTGCAGCAATTTTTGGGTTTTTTTTTCGCTAATTTTGGGGAATTTTTACGATCATTTTTGGGCAATTCTTTGGCAATTTTTTGGTGATTTTTTTGGGTCATTTTTGGGTGATTTTGGGAATTTTCACAGCGATTTTGGGGCAGTTTTGGGATTTCTGCGGCGGGATCGGGATAAAAAAAGAAATTCAAGGGGAAAATTTGGGGAAATTTGGGGAAAATTTGGGGGTTTTACAGCGATTTTTGGGTGATTTTTTCTGATCTTTTTTTTTGGGTGATTTTGGGATAATTTTGAGCATTTTCCCAACGATCTTTGGGGCGATTTTTTGGGTGATTTTGGAGGTTTTTTTGGGTGATTTTGAACGAATTTTGGCCATTTTCTCAACGATCTTTGGGGCGATTTTGGTTCTTTTTTTTTTAAATAAAATTTTGGGGATTTTCACAGAAAATTGAAGTTTTAAAGGGCAGAATTTTGGGGTTTTTTTTGGTTTTTTTACCGGGTAAAATGTTGGAGGCGTCGAGGGCGGCGAGTTCGGCTCTTTCCTCGCGGCGGCGGCCGAGGCGGCGGCACCGGGCCAGGGACGGGGTGCCTGAAAAAGCCAAAAAACGACCCAAAATTCACCCAAAATCCCGCTGAAAACTCCACCCAAATCTGCAAAATTCTGCCAAAATTCCCCCAAATCCCAAAATTTTCAGTCAGAATCCCCCAATTCCCTCCAAATCCCCCAAAATAACCGAATTTCACCCAAAATTCCACCCAAAATCCTGAAATTCCGCCCAAAATTCTGTGAAAATCCCGAAATTCTGCCCAAAATTATGTGAAAATTCCAAAATTCCCCCAAAATCCTTCAATTCCCCCAAAAATTTCACCCAAAATCCCAGAATTCCAGCAAAATTAATAAATTCCCTCAAAATTCCTTGAAAATCCCAAAATTTTGCCAAAAGTCCCAAAGTTCCACCCAAAATTCCCTGAAAATTCCTGAATTTCACTCAAAGTTATTCCAATATTCAATTTTACCCAAAATTTCCCCAAAATTCTGTGAAAATCTTAAAATCCCCCCCAAAATCCCCCCCAAATTCCCAAAATTTCACCCAAAATCCTCCTAAAAGTCCCCAAAAAATCCGCAAAAAACCCAAAATCCCAGGAATTTACCCAAAAAACCCAAAATCCCGGGAATGAACGCCAAGACCCCCAAAATCCCGGGAATGAACCCCAAAAACCCCAAAATCACGGGAATTATCCCCAAAATCCCATGAATGAACCCCAAAATCCCAGAAATTCATCCAAAAAACCCCAAAATCCCGGGAATTCACCCCAACATCCCGTGAATTCCCCCCAAAACCCCCAAAATCCCGTGAACTCCCCCCAAAACCCCGTGAATTCCCCCCAAAAATCCCCAAAATCCCGTGAATTCCCCCCAAAGCCCCAAAATCCCGTGAATTGTCCCCAAAATCCCGGGAATTAACAAAAAAACCCCAAAATCCCGAGAATTCCCCCCAAACCCCCAAAATCCCGTGAATTCCCCCCAAAAGCCCCAAAATCCCGTGAATTCCCCCCAAAACCCCAAAATCCCGTGAATTCCCCCCAAAATCCCGGGAATTCACCCCAAAACCCCCTGAATTCCCCCCAAACCCCCAAAATCCCGTGAATTCACCCCAAAAAGCCCCAAAATCCCGTGAATTCGCCCCACAAACCCCAAAATCCCGTGAATTCCCCCCAAAACCCCGTGAATTCCTCCCAAAATCCCGTGAATTCCCCCCAAACCCCCAAAACCCCGGGAATGAACCCAAAAAACCCCAAAATCCCCTGAATTCCCCCCAAAATCCCGTGAATTCCCCCCAAAACCCCGTGAATTCCTCCCAAAATCCCGTGAATTCCCCCCAAACCCCCAAAACCCCGGGAATGAACCCAAAAAACCCCAAAATCCCCTGAATTCCCCCCAAAATCCCGTGAATTCCCCCCAAAACCCCGTGAATTCCTCCCAAAATCCCGTGAATTCCCCCCAAACCCCCAAAACCCCGGGAATGAACCCAAAAAACCCCAAAATCCCCTGAATTCCCCCCAAAATCCCGTGAATTCCCCCCAAAATCCTAAAATCCTGGGAATTCCCCCCAAAACCTCGTGAATTCCCCCCAAAATCCCGTGAATTCCCCCCAAAATCCCGAGAATTCCCCCCAAAACCCCCAAAATCGCGGGAATTGTCCCCAAAATCCCGGGAATTGGCCCCAAAAACCCCAAAATCCCGGGAATTCCCCCCGAAAAACATCAAAATCCCGGGAATTGGCCCCAAAACCCCAAAATCCCGTGAATTCCCCCCAAAAAACCCCCAAAATCCCGAGAATTCCCCCCAAACCCCCAAAATCCCGTGAATTCCCCCCAAAAACCCCAAAATCCCGGGAATTAACCCCAAAATCCCGTGAATTAACCCCAAAATCCCAAAATCCCGGGAATTCGCCCCAAAGCCCCAAAATCCCAGGATTTAACACAAAAAAGCCCCAAAATCCCCTGAACTCCCCCCAAAACCCCAAAATCCCGGAAATGAACCCCAAAACCCCGTGAATTCACCCCAAAAGCCCCAAAATCCCGGGAATTGGCCCCAAAAGAACCCCAAAACCCCGGGAATTAACCCATAAAAAAATCCCAAATCCCAGGAATTCAACCCAAAAACCCCAAAATCCCGGGAATTCACCCCAAAACCCCATGAATGAACCCCCAAAATCTCGGGAATTCCCCCCAAAACGCCCCAAAACCCTGGGAATTAACCCCAAAATCCTGGGAATTAACCCCCAAAACCCCGTGAATTCCCCCCAAACCCCCAAAATCCCGGGAATTGGCCCCAAAACCCCCAATATCCCGGAATTCCCCCCAAAATCCCAAGAATTCACCCCAAATTCCTCAAAATCCTGGGAATTAACCTCAAAATCCCATGAATTCACCCCAAAACTCCGGGAATGAACCCCAAAACCCCGGGAATTAACCCCGGAAAAAAACCCAAAATTTTAGGAATTCGCCCCAAAAACCCCCCAAAATCACAGGAATTATCCCCAAAATCCCGTGAATTCCCCCAAAAATCCCAGGATTTAACACAAAAAAACCCCAAAATCCCGGGAATTCCCCCAAATCCCACATCCGGGCACCTCTGAGGCCGAGCTCGCGCAGGGCGCCCCTCAGCGCCTCCAGCGCCTCGCGGCGGCTGCGGCACTTCCGGAACAGCCGCTTGTAGTTAGGGCGCCACCCAGCGGCGCGGAGGTATCGCTTCATCCGCGCCACTTCCGGCGGGTCCTGGGGGCGGGGCCTCGGTCAGGGGCGGGGCTTGCGCAAACCACGCCCCCTAAAGGAATTTGGCGGGAATTTGGGGGGTTTTGGCGGGAATGGGGAAATTAAGGGGGATTTTGGGGAATTTTGGCATAAATTTGTTCAAGTTTTGGGGTTTTGGGAAATGTGGTGAAGGTTTTGTGGGGAATGTTGGTGAGGTGGTGATAAAGGAATGTAAATAAGGTAATAAAATAGAGAATAAAAATTAAAAAATAAAAATAAAAATAAATATAAATATAAAAAGAAATATAAATATATGTAAATATAAAAATCAATATAAATATAAAAATAAATATAAAAATCAATATAAATATAACCATAACCATAACTAAACTAAACTATAACTAAACTGTAACTATAACTAAACTAAACTATAAATATAAATATAAATATAAATATAAATATAAATATAAATATGAATATGAATATAAATATAAATATAAATATAAATATAAATATAAACAGAGTATAAATATAAGTATAATAATTATAAAATTAACAATTAAATAATATAAATATAAGTATAAATAGTGCATAAATGTAAGTATAAATATAAATAAAATAATTATAAAATTAACACTAAAATAATATACATACAAGTACAAATAAAAGAAAATAATAAAATTAAAAATAAAATAATAAAAATAAAAATAAAATATAATATAATAAAATATGAAACTTAAAAACTAAATAAAGTAAGTATAAATGAAAGAAATAAAATAATATAAGTTAAAAATATAGATAAAATAATAGAAATAAAATAATAAAAGTTTTGTGGAAATTTAACAAAAACGGCAAATCGCAAACAAAATCTTGTCAAAAATCGAGAAAAACGGCACAGAAATAACCAATTGTTACCTTCAAAATCTTCCGAAATTCTGCCCCAAAATTCCCCCCAATATTCCCCCCAAAATCCCAAAAATCCCCCCCAAAAATTAACCCCAAAGTCCTTCAAAATCCCCCCCAAAATTCCCTCAAAATCCCAAAAATCTCCCCCAGATTCTCCCCCCAAATTCCCTCCAATAATCACCCCAAAATCACCCCAAATTACCACCAAATTCCTCCCAAAATCCCCCCAAAAACTCCCCAAAATTCCAAAAAATCTCCCCCAAATTCCCCAAAATTCCTTGAAATTTCTCCCCAAAATTCTCCCCAAATTTCCCCCAAACCCCCAAAATTTTTCCCTAAAAATCCCACATTTCCCCCCCAAAAATCCCAAAATTCCCCCAAAATCCCAAATTTTACCCTAAATTCCCAATTTCCCCAATTTTTTTCCCAGAAAACTCAAATTTTCCCTAAAAATCCCAAATGTCTCTTAAAATTTTCCCCAAATCTTGAATTTTCCTCAAACTCCCCTCAAAAATCCCAAATTTCCCCAAAATTCCCCCCAAAATCCCATTTTTCCCAATCTTTTCTCAAAAAACCCCAATTTATCCCCCCAAAATTCTAATTTTCCCCAAATTTTCCCGCAAAAATCCAAAATCTCCCCCAAAATCCCAATTCCCTTATTTGTTTTCAAAAAAAACCCCAAATTTTCCCAAAAACCCCAAATTTCCCCCAAATTCCCCCCCCAAAATCCCCAAATTGCCCCCCAAAATCACAATTTCCTCCAAAATTTCCCCCAAATTTCCCCACAAAAAAATCCCAATTGTCCCAAGACCCCAAAATTTCCCCCCAAAACCCCAAATTTTCCCAAAATCCCCATTTTTTCCCGAAAATTCCCCCCAAAAATAAATTTTCCCACAATTCCCCCCAAAATCCCAATTTTTTTCCCAAAACCCCCAAATTTTCCCAAATTTCCCCCGAAAACCTCCAAATGTCCCCAAATATCCCCCAAAAATCAAAATTTCCCAAAATTCCTCCCAAAAATCCCAATTTTTCCCAAAACCCCCAAATTTCCCCAAAATTCCCCTCAAAAATCCCAAATTTCCCCAAAATTCCCCCCAAAATCCCATTTTTTTTCCCCAAAACCCCCAAAATTCCCCTAAAAATCAAAATTTCCTCACAATTCCCCCCAAACTCCCATTTTTTTTCCCAAAACCCCCAAAATTCCCCCAAATTCCCCCAAAAATCAAAATTTTCCCAAAATTCCCCCCAAAAATCCCAATTTTTTTCCCAAACCCCCCAAATTTCCCCCAAATTCCCCTCAAAAATCAAAATTTCCCCACAATTCCCCTCAAAAATCAAAATTTCCCAAAATTCCCCCCAAAATCCCAATTTTTTTCCCAAAACCCCCAAATTTCCCCAAAATTCCCCTCAAAAACCAAAATTTCCCCAAATATCCCCCTAAAAATCAAAATTTCTCCAAAATTCCCCCCAAAATCCCAAATTTCCTCAAAATTACCTCAAAAAAATCCCAATTTTCTCCAAATTCCTTCCAAAAAATACCAATTTTTTTACCAAAAAACCCAAATTATCCCCAAAATTTCCCCCAAAAATATTAATTTTTTCCCAAAAAACCCAATTTTTCCCCAAAACTTCCCCCCCAAAATCCCAATTTTTTACCAAAAAACCCAATTTTTCCCCAAAATTCCGCAAAAAAATCCGAATTTTCCCAAAAAAACCCCAAATTTCCCCAAAATTTTCACCTTCCTGGGATTCCACCACGTCTCCTCCTCCTCCTCCTCCTCCTTCCTCCTCCTCTTCCTCGTCCCCCGCTCTTCCTCCCGCTCCCGTTTCCGCCGTTTTTCCGCCCATTTCGCCAGCGGCAAATCCTCGGAATCCTCCGAATCCGACCCCGCCGATTTTTGGGGCAATTTCGGGGATTTTCGGGCAATTTTTGGGGCTTTTTCTTCCTCTTCATCTTCATCCTCCTCTTCCTCGCTCTCAAATTTCGAATTTTTGGTCAATTTTTTTGTCATTTTTTGCAGTTTTTCCTCAATTTTTCCTGTTTTTTTCCCATTTTTCTTGCCTGGATCTTTCTCTTCTTCCTCCTCATCCTCATCCTCCTCTTCCTCACTCTCAAATTTTGATTTTTTTGCCCCTTTTTGCCGTTTTTCCTCGACTTTTCCTGTTTTTTTCCTGTTTTTCCCACCTGGATCTTCCTCTTCTTCCTCCTCATCTTCATCTTCCTCTTCCTCACTCTCAAATTTCGATTTTTTGGTCAATTTTTTGGTCGTTTTTTGCCTTTTTTCCTCAATTTTTCCTGTTTTTTTCCTGTTTTTCTTGCCTGGATCTTCCTCTTCCTCCTCCTCATCTTCATCCTCATCTTCATCCTCCTCTTCCTCACTCTCAAATTTTGATTTTCTTGCCCCTTTTTGCCTTTTTTCCTCAACTTTTCCCGTTTTTTTCCCATTTTTCTTGCCTGGATCTTCCTCTTCTTCCTCCTCATCTTCATCCTCTTCATCTTCCTCATCCTCGCTCTCAAATTTTGATTTTTTTGCCCCTTTTTGGGTCATTTTTTGCCTTTTTTCCTCGATTTTTCCTGTTTTTTTCCTGTTTTTCTTGCCTGAATCTTCCTCTTCTTCCTCCTCATTTTCATCCTCCTCTTCCTCGCTCTCAAATTTTGATTTTTTTGCTGCTTTTTGGGTCACTTTTTGTCTTTTTTCCTCGATTTTTCCCGGTTTTTTCCTGTTTTTCCCACCTGGATCTTCCTCTTCTTCCTCTTCTTCCTCCTCATCTTCATCTTCATCCTCCTCTTCCTCACTCTCAAATTTCGATTTTTTGGTCAATTTTTTGGTCGATTTTTGCCTTTTTTCCTCGATTTTTCCTGTTTTTTTCCTGTTTTTCCCACCTGGATCTTCCTCTTCCTCCTCCTCATCTTCATCCTCTTCATCCTCCTCTTCCTCACTCTCAAATTTTGATTTTTTGGTGAATTTTTTGGTCGTTTTTTGCCTTTTTTCCTCAATTTTTCCCGTTTTTCTCCCATTTTTCTTGCCTGAATCTTCCTCTTCCTCCTCCTCATCTTCATCCTCTTCATCCTCCTCTTCCTCACTCTCAAATTTCGATTTTTTGGTCAATTTTTTGGTGGTTTTTTGACTTTTTTCCTCGACTTTTCCCATTTTTTTCCCATTTTTTTTGCCTGGATCTTCCTCTTCTTCCTCTTCTTCCTCTTCATCTTCATCCTCCTCTTCCTCGCTCTCAAATGTCGATTTTTTGGTCAATTTTTTGGTTGTTTTTTGCCTTTTTTCCTCAACTTTTCCCGTTTTTTTCCTGTTTTTCCCGCCTGGATCTTCCTCTTCTTCCTCCTCATCTTCATCCTCCTCTTCCTCACTCTCAAATTTTGATTTTTTTGCCACTTTTTGTGTCACTTTTTGCCTTTTTTCCGCAATTTTTCCTGTTTTTTTCCTGTTTTTCTTGCCTGAATCTTCCTCTTCCTCCTCCTCATCTTCATCCTCTTCATCTTCCTCTTCCTCACTCTCAAATGTCGATTTTTTTGCCCCTTTTTGTGTCACTTTTTGCCTTTTTTCCTCGATTTTCCCCATTTTTTTCCTGTTTTTCCCACCTGGATCTTCCTCTTCTTCCTCCTCCTCTTCATCCTCCTCTTCCTCACTCTCAAATTTTGATTTTTTTGCCCCTTTTTGCCTTTTTTCCTCGATTTTTCCCGATTTTTTCCTGTTTTTGCCACCTGGATCTTCCTCTTCTTCCTCCTCATCTTCATCCTCTTCATCCTCCTCTTCCTCGCTCTCAAATTTTGATTTTTTGGTCAATTTTTTGGTCGTTTTTTGCCTTTTTTCCTCAATTTTTCCCGTTTTTTTCCTGTTTTTCCCACCTGAATCTTCCTCTTCTTCCTGTTCTTCCTCCTCATCTTCATCTTCCTCATCCTCGCTCTCAAATTTTGAATTTTTGGTCAATTTTTTGGTCGTTTTTTGCCTTTTTTCCTCGATTTTTCCCATTTTTTTCCCATTTTTCTTGCCTGGATCTTCCTCCTCATCTTCATCTTCCTCCTCATCTTCATCTTCCTCTTCCTCACTCTCAAATTTCGATTTTTTGGTCAATTTTTTTGTCGTTTTTTGCCTTTTTTCCTCAACTTTTCCCGTTTTTTTCCCGTTTTTCTTGCCTGGATCTTCCTCTTCTTCCTCTTCTTCCTCCTCATCTTCATCTTCCTCATCCTCGCTCTCAAATTTCGATTTTTTGGTCAATTTTTTTGTCGTTTTTTGCCTTTTTTCCTCAATTTTTCCCGTTTTTTTCCTGTTTTTCCCACCTGGATCTTCCTCTTCTTCCTCCTCATCTTCATCTTCCTCTTCCTCACTCTCAATTTTTGATTTTTTTGCCCCTTTTTGCCTTTTTTCCTCGTCTTTTCCTGTTTTTTTCCCATTTTTCTTGCCTGGATCTTCCTCCTCATCTTCCTCTTCCTCCTCTACCTCATCCTCCTCTTCCTCACTCTCAAATTTCGATTTTTTTGCCCCTTTTTGGGTCATTTTTTGCCTTTTTCCCCCAAATTTCCCCGTTTTTTTCCTATTTTTTTGGTCTGGCTCTTCCTCCTCCTCCTCATCTTCCTCCTCCTCACTCTCCATTTTCCTCCTTTTTCCCCCCATTTTTTCCCATTTTCCCCCTTTTTTCTCCTCATTTTTCCCAGATTTCGCTGATTTTTCCCCAATTTTTCCCCTTTTCGCCCCGATTTTCTCCCTCTCTTCTTCCTCCTCCTCTTCCTCCTCCTCACTCTCCATTTTCCCCTTTTTCGCCCCGTTTCTCCCGGAATTTTCGGATTTTTCTCCAATTTTTCCTTTTTTCACCCCAATTTTAATCCTCTCCTCTTCCTCTTCCTCCTCATCTTCCTCACTCTCAATTTTCCTCCTTTTTGGTCCATTTTTCCCCAATTTTTCCTCATTTTTCCCCCCAAATTTCTTCATCTCCTCCTCTTCCTCCTCCTCCTCTTCCTCACTTTCAATTTTCCTCTTTTTTGCCCCATTTTTCCCCAATTTTTCCTCATTTTCCCCAGAATTTTTGGATTTTTCTTCATTTTTTACATTTTTCACCCCATTTTTCTTCCTCTCCTCTTCCTCCTCCTCCTCCTCTTCCTCACTTTCAATTTTCCCAATTTTTTGCCCATTTTTGCCCATTTTCCCCCAATTTTTTTCCTTTTTTACCCCATTTTTCCTTTCTTCTTCCTCGTCCTCTCCATCACTTTCAATTTTCCCCATTTTTGCCCCATTTTTTCCAATTTTTTGGCCATTTTTCAACTTATTTGCCTCATTTTTCTTTTCGTCTTCCTCCTCCTCTTCCTCACTTTCAATTTTCCCCATTTTTGCCCCATTTTTTTCCATTTTTTCATCATTTTTTCCCATTTTTGCCTCATTTTTCCTTTCTTCTTCCTCCTCCTCTTCCTCACTCTCATTTCCCCCCTTTTTCTCCCCATTTTTCCCAGAACTTTCAGATTTTTCCTCATTTCTTCCTTTTTTCACCCCATTTTTCTCCCTTTCCTCTTCCTCCTCTTCCTCACTTTCAATTTTCCTCATTTCTTTCCCATTTCCCCCCATTTTTTCCTCATTTTCCCCCTTTTTTGCCCCATTTTCCCTTTCTTCTTCCTCCTCCTCTTCCTCACTTCCAATTTTCCCCATTTTTGCCCCATTTTCCCCCATTTTTTCCTCATTTTCCCCCGTCTCTTCCTCATCTTCACCCTCCTCTTCCTCGCTCTCAAAATTCGATATTTTCGCCCTTTTTTTGGTCATTTTTTCCCTTTTTTCCCCAATTTTTCCCAATTTTTTCCCGCCTGGATCTTCCTCCTCATCCTCATCTTCCTCCTCCTCCTCCTCACTCTCAAATTTCACTTTTTCCTTCAATTTTTTCCCCATTTTTTCCCCGATTTCCCCCGTTTTTCCCCCATTTTTCCTCTCTGCCTCCTCCCCTCCCTCCTCTTCCTCCTCCCCCTCCATTTTCCTCATTTTTGTCCCATTTTCCCCCATTTTTTCCCCATTTTCCTCCTCATTTCTCTTCCTCCCCTCCTCCTCTTCCTCAGCCCCATTTTTCCCGCCTTTTTCACTTTTCCCGCCATTTCCCCCATTTTCCCGCCCTTCCGCCCATCCGCCAGGGGGCGCCCCTCTGGCCACGCCCCCTTCCAGCTCCGCGCATGCGCGCTCGGCCTCGCCGCCACCCGGCGCCCTGCGGAGAAGAAAAGGGCGGGGTCAAACAGGGCGTGGCCAAACAGGGCGTGGCAGCATCGGGGGCGTGGCCAACGCGAGGCGTGGCCCCCCCGGGGGGGTCTCCGGTGTTTCCCCTCCCCCCTCCCGGTACCGTTCGCAGCCGCTCGCCGCCGCCGCCGCCGCCATTTCTGCGCCCTCAGAGCAGCGACCAATGAGGATGGGGATGAACGACAGCGAGGCGGGGCTTGAGGCGTGGTAACCAATGAGGTGACAGCGCTGTGAACCAGGAAGCGGCGACAACCAATAGAAGTGAGGAGAAGGCGGGTTGAAGTTGAGCGGCAGCAATTTTAGCCAATCAGAAGCGTGGCGAAACAGCGCAGGCCAATAGAGCGCGGAGCAGCTTGTGGGAGTGAATGGCGGACACTTAAACCAATCAGAAGCCGGGTAGGAGAGAAAAGAACCAATAAGAAGCGGCAGAAGGCGGGGCTAAACTGCTGAGCCAGGCAGAGCACGGAAATGCTTGGCGCGTGATTGACAGCAGCGCCACCCAATCAAATCGCCGATCTCTGACGGTTTAACCAATCACACACAGCAGTAGGCGGGGTTTAATCCCGGTCCCGGAGAAGAACCCGGAAGAGGAATATGGGGTTCGCACAGAGGGGACCAATCAGGAGGCGGCGCGGGAAGGGGAGAGCCAATGAGGAGCGAGGGGAAGGGCGGGGCTTGTCCGCCATGAACGGGGCGAGCGAGGGCGATGGCGGCGGCTACAAACGGCGCTGCCGGGCCCTGAAACGGCGCCTGAAGCTGCTGCTCTACGTGAGGGGCGGGGCCAAAAGGGAAAGGGGCGGGGCTTAAAGGGCGGGAATGGAAAAGGGGCGGGGCTTGAGCGTGAGGGGAGTGGGGGGCAATGGGGGGAATGTGAAATATTGGGGAAAAAATGGGAATTTTGGGGGGGAAAATGGGAAAATTTGGGGGGAATAGGGGAGTTTTGGGGGTTTGGGGGGGTTTTGGGGAAAATTTGGGGGTTTTGGGAAAGAATTTGGGGGTTTTGGGGGGAAAAATGTGAATTTTGAAAGGAAAAATACCGATATTTTGGGGGAAAAAAGTGAATTTTTAAAGGGGAAAAAGGGTAAAGTTTGGGGGAATTAGGGCGTTTTGGGTGTTTGGGGGAGTTTTGGGGGTTTTGGGGGAAAATTTGGAGGTTTTGGGGGGAAAATGGTAATTTTGAATTGAAAATTACCGAAATATTAGGGGAAAAAAAGTGAATTTTTAAAGGGAAAAAAGGGTAAAGTTTGGGGGGAAAAAATTGAATTTTTAGGGGGAAAATTGGGATTTTTGGAGGGAAAAAAGTCAACTTTTGGGGTAAAAAGTTTCATTTTTGGGGAAAAAAGGACCATTTGGGGGTAAAAAAGGTGGAATTTTCAAGGGTAAAAGCTCAATTTTGGGAGGAAAAAAAATAGAATTTTTAGGGGGAAAAGGTGGATTTTGGAGAGGAAAAAAAGCCAAATTTTGGGGTAAAAAAAGGGTAAATTTTTGAGGGGGAAAATGGTAAATTATGGGGGAGAAAAATTCAAATTTTGTGGGGAAGAACATGAATTTTTAGGGGTAAATAGACAAATATTGGGTGCAAAAAGAGCTGAATTTTTGAGAGCAAAAAAAGATAAATTTTTTGGGGGGGAAACCTAAATTTTGGAGCAGAAAAAAAGCCAAATTTGGGTGGGGTAAAAAGGTGACATTTAGGGTAAAAAAGTCAAATTTTGGTGCAAAAATTAAAATTCCCCCAGGAGCAAGAATGTTTCCAGGAGGAGCTGAGGAGGGCCCAGCGCAAACTCCTGAAAGTCTCCAGGGACAAAAGGTACCAAAATCATCAAAATTCACCCCAAAAATTCCTTTTTTTCTTCGAATTCTTCACATTCCTTAAAATCCTCCCAAAAAATCCCAATTAAAAAAAATTATTTAATTTTATTTCCAGAATTTTAAAGTTATCAGATTTTTATTTTGAATTTCAAAATGTTCAAGATTTTTATGCCTCAAAATTACCTATTTTTAAAATTTTAGATTATTTTCTTACTAAATTCCGAGTTTTAAATTTTTCCCTAAGATTCTCAAATTTAAAAAAAAATTTTCCTTAAATTGCCAACTTTTATTTATATTTTTTGCCCCAAAATTTCCCTTCATTAATAATATTATTTTTGATTCTTTCTCCCAAATTCCTAATGTTTTATTTTTATTTTTTGATTTTTCCCAAAATTCCATGAGATTTTAACTTCAAAAATCCCCAATTTTTAGAAACTTTCCAGTTTGACTTTTATTTTTTCCTAAAATTGTTAATTTCTGGTTTTTATTTTCATTTAATTTTTATTTTCAATTTTTTTTTTATTTACCTTTCTTATTTTTCAATTTTTAATTTTTTTTTAATTTACTATTTTTATTTTTTTACTTTTAATTTTTTATTTTTACTTATCTTTTATATTTTAATTTTTAGGTTTTATTTATGTTTTTTTTATTTTCAGTTTTTTACTTTTCTCTTTTGCTTTTAATTTTTCATCTTTTTTTTCTCTTTCTTATGTTTAATTTTTTGTCTTTGTTTATATTTTTTATGATGAATTTTTTGCTTTTAATTTTTTATTTATATCTTTTATTTTTATGTCTTTTTTATTTTCATTTTTTGCTTTTTTGATTTTTTTTATTATTTTTTTGTTTCTATTTTTTGTTGTTATCCTTCTTTTTATTTCTTACCTTTAATTCATCTAAAACCCCATTTTATTCAATTTTTTTCCTTTTTTTCCCTTGTTTCTCCCCCAAAATTCTCAATTTTTTGCATTTTATTAAAAAATTTTTTCCCCCCCTTTAACCTTCAAATTTTTGGTTTTTTTCCTCAGTTTCCTTTTGGACCGGCTCCTCCAGTACGAAAACGTCGACGATGATTCCTCAGGTACCTCTGGAGGGTCAAAGGTCACACCCGGGGGGGTCAAAGGTCAAACCCGGGGCTGGCCCCGCCCCTCCCGCACCCCCTGATTGGCTCCTCCCCCTCCCCAGACTCGGAGGCGACGGCGTCGTCCGACAACAGCGACGGCGACGGCGCCAAAGGGGCGGAGCCAACGCCCGCCAAGAGGTCAGCGAGGGGTTAAAAAATCCAAGATGGCCGCCGGGGTGGGCGGGGCTTAAAAATGGCCACTCTGGAGTTGGGCGGGGTTTCAAAATGGCGGCTCATGAGGTGGGCGGGGTTTCAAAACGGCGGATCTTGAGGTGGGTGGGGTTTCAAAATGGCGGATTTTGAGTTGGGTGTGGCTTCAAGATGGCTGCCGTCATGGCGGTAAAAACCCAAGATGGCCGCCATTGTGGGTGTCAAAATCCAAGATGGCTGCCATTATGGGGGCCAAATTTCAAAATGGCTGCCGTCCTGTGGGTGAAAATCCAAGATGGGCACCATTATGGCGGTTAAGATTCAAGATGGCCGCCACTATGTGGGTGAAAATCCAAGATGGCCGCCATCATGAATGTAAAATTTCAAGATGGCCACCATTATGGCAGTCGAATTTCAATATGGCTGCCACCATGTGGGTTAAAATCCAATATGGCTGCCATCATGGCAGTCCAATTTCAAGATGGCGGCCACCACGTGGGTGAAAATCTAAGATGGCCGCCATTATGGATGTCAAAATCCAGGATGGCTTCCATCATGGCGGCCAAATTTCAAGATGGCTGCCATGATGAATGACCAAATCCAAGATGGCTGCCCCATAAGTGGGCGTGGCCAACCCGCCTTTCTCCCCACAGGCGCCGCTCTCCGACCCCGCCCCCCTCGAACTTTGGCCCCTCCTCCTATTTGGTGAGTGCCCCTCCCCTTCCTCTTTAAGCCCCGCCCATTTTGCAGACAAAGTGGGCGGGGCCTGACGTGGCCCCTCCCCGTTTCCAAGATGGCGTCGCCGCCGTACGGGTCCTTTCCCCTCCCCCCGCAGGGCGGGGCCCGGCCACGCCCCGTCCCCGCCCGGCGCAGCAAAGGGACGCGCAGAGGCCAGGTGAGGGGCGGGGCTACGGAAAGGGGCGGGGATAAAGGGAAAGGGGGTGGAGCTTAATGGAAAGGGGTGGGGCTAAGGTAAAATAGGGTGCGATTAAACGGAAAGGGGTGGGGCTAAAGGCAAAAGGGTGGGGCTAAGAAAAAAGGGGTGGGGTTAAAGAAAAAAGGGGTGGAGCTTAAGGGAATGGGGTGGGGCTAAAGGAAAAGGGGTGGAGCTTAAGAAAAAGGAGGTGGGGTTAAAGGGAAAGGGGTGGGGTTAAAGGAAAAGGGGTGGAGCTAAAGGGAAAGGGGCGGGGCTAAAGGGAAGGGGCGGGGCTAAAGAAAAAAGTGTTAAAGGGAAAATGGCGGTACCGAAGGGAAAAGGGGTGGGGCTAAAGTGAAAGGGGTGGGGCTTAAGGGAAAGGGGAGGGGTTTAATTTAAAGGGGCGGGGCTAAAGGGAAAGGGATGGGGCTAAAGAACAAAGGGTTAAAATGGTAAAAGGGGTGTGGCTAAAGGAAAAGGGGCGGGGCTAAAGGGAAAGCAGCCAGGCTAAAAAAAGAAAGGGTTAAAAGTAAAAAGGGGTGTGGTTAAAGGAAAAGGGGTGGGGCTAAAGAAAAAGGGGGTGGGGCTAAAGGAAAAGGGGTGTGGTTAAAGTGAAAGGGGCGGGGCTAAAGAAAAAGGGTTAATGGAAAGGGGTGGGGCTAAAGGCAAAAGGGGTGGGGCTAAAGAAAAAGGGGCGGGACTAAAGAAAAAGGGTTAAAAGGAAAAGGGGTGTGGCTAAAGGGAAAGGGGCGGGGCTAAAAAAGAGGGTGGGGCTAAAGGGTAGCAGGATTAAGGAAAGGGGTGGAGCTAAAGAAAAAGGGGCGGGGCTTAAGAAAAAAGGCGGGGTTAAAAGGGGAAAGGGGTGGGGTTAAATGGGGAGGGGTCATGGGGGTCAAGGAGGGGTCAGCGGTCACTCAGTGGTCACTCACTGACCCCTCCCCCCCTTCTCTTCCCCCCCAGCCCCCTCCGGCCCCTCCCCCTCTGCCCCTCCCTGGGGGCGAGGCGGGGGCGGGGCTGGGCGGGGGGCGTGGCCCCGGCTCGCCCCTCCCCCCGGCGCTGGCCCCGCCCCCGGCCCCGCCCCCCGTGCCCCCCACGCTGCCCCGGCGGCTCCTGAGCGGCCCCGGGGGCGGGGAGGGGGAGGGGGAGGGCAGCGACGACCCCCTGGACGGGGACGACGAGCTGGTCATCGACCTGCCCGAGTGACCCCGAGTGACCCCGAGTGACCCCGAGTGACCAGTGACCTCTGAGTGACCCCTGAGTGACCATCGGCCTCCCTGAGTGACCACTGACCTTCCCTGGACGGGGATGACGAGCTGGTCATCGACCTGCCCGAGTGACCCCGAGTGACCCCGAGTGACCCCGAGTGACCACTGACCGCTGAGTGACCCCTGAGTGACCACTGAGTGACCAGTGACCGCTGAGTGACCCCTGAGTGACCACTGAGTGACTACCGACCTCCCTGAGTGACCATCGACCTCCCTGAGTGACCCCTGAGTGACCACCGACCTTCCCTGGACGGGGACGACGAGCTGGTCATCGACCTGCCCGAGTGACCCCGAGTGACCCCGAGTGACCAGTGACCTCCCTGAGTGACCACCGACCTCCCTGAGTGAACATCGACCTGCCCGAGTGACCCCTGACCACTGAGTGACCGCTGAGTGACCATCGGCCTTCCTGAGTGACCATCGACCTCCCTGAGTGACCACCGAGTGACCACCGACCTTCCCTGGACGGGGACGACGAGCTGGTCATCGACCTGCCCGAGTGACCCCGAGTGACCCCGAGTGACCCCTGAGTGACCACCAAGTGACCATCGGCCTCCCTGAGTGACCATCGGCCTCCCTGAGTGACCCCTGAGTGACCACCGACCTCCCTGAGTGACCCCAGAGTGACCCCTGAGTGACCGCTGAGTGACCCCTGAGTGACCATCGGCCTTCCTGAGTGACCAATGGGAGTTTTTGGGTGTAAAAATGTCAATGTTGGGGTTAAAATTGTTTGGGTTTTTTTTAATTGGGATTTTTGGACGTAAAAATGTCAATTTTGAGGTTAAAAATGGGGAAATTTGGGTCAAATGTGGATTTTTAATGTAAAAATGTCAATTTTGGGGTTAAAATTGGATAATTATGGTTTCAAATGGGAATTTTTGGATTTAAAAATGTCAATTTTGGGAGGAAAATGGGAAATTTTGGTGTGAAATGTGAATTTCTGGATGTAAAAATGTCAATTTTGGGGTTAAAAAGGGGTTTTTTTTGGTTAAATGGGATTTTTGGATGTAAAAATGTGAATTTTGGGGTTAAAATTGGGGATTTTGGGTTAAATGGAATTTTTGGATGTAAAAATGTCCATTTTGGATATGAAATGAGGAATTTTGGTGTTAAATGAATTTTTGAATGCAAAAATCTCAATTTTGGGGTTAAAATGGGGGGTTTTGGGTTAAATGGAATTTTTGGATGTAAAAATGTCAATTTTGGGGTGTAATATGGAAGTTTTGCGTCAAATGTGAATTTTTGGATGTAAAAATGTTAATTTTGGGGTTAAAATGGGCGGTTTGGGGTTGAATGTGAAGTTTTGGATGCAAAAAATGTGAATTTTTGGATGCTGAGGGGAAAACCCTTCGAATTTGATGTAAAAAAAGTCGAATTTTATTAAAAACGTTCAATTCTCACCCAAAGTCGGGGATTTTGGGGTTAAAATCTGAAATTTTGGGTTTAAATCAGCCAATTTTAGGAAAAAAAAAACCCCAGCAATATTTCTGAGGGGAAAACCTTTGAATCTGAGGCAAAAAAGTCGATTTTCATTAAAAACGTTCGAGTCTCACCCAAACCGTGAATTTTGGGGGTAAAATCTGAGATTTTGGGGTAAAATCACCCAATTTTAGGAAAAAAGAAACCACCAATAAATCTGAGAGGGAAACTCGGTAATTCTAAGGGAAATACCACCAAATTTGAGGTTAAAAAATGATTTTTGTAAAAAACGTTCGATTTTATCCCAAAACCATGAATTTGGAGGGGTAAAATCCGAGATTTTTGGGTTAAAATCAGCCAATTTTAGGAAAAAAAAACCCCACAATAATTCTGAGAGGAAAAATTGCAAATTCTGAGGGGGAAACCTTCGAATCCGAGGCAAAAAAGTCGATTTTTATTAAAAACGTTCAATTCTCACCCAAACCGTGAATTTTGGGGGTAAAATCTGAGATTTTTGGGTTAAAATCAACTGATTTTAGGAAAAAACCCGCCAGCAATAATTCTGAGGGGAAAAGTTGCAAATTCTGAGGGGGAAACCTTCGAATCCGAGGCAAAAAAGTCGATTTTTATTAAAAACGTTCAATTCTCACCCAAACCGTGAATTTTGGGGGTAAAATCTGAGATTTTTGGGGTAAAATCAGCCGATTTTAAGGAAAAAAAACCCAATAATTCTGAGGGGAAAATTTATTAATTCTGAGGGGAAAAATATCACCAAATTTGAGGTTAAGAATTCGAATTTTATTAAAAATGTTCGATTCCCACCCAAAAATGAGAATTTTGGGGCAAAAAGCGCCGATTTTGGATCTTGGCCACTTTCGGACTCGCTTTCCCAGCGTCCTTTGCGCGCCTTACCCGGAAACAGGAGCTGTGGAAGCGGAAAAGACGTGACGTCACTTCCGTCTTCCGGCGCTTCCCGATCGTCGCTCCGCGTGCGGCTCGTTCGGTGCGGGGGGGGGGGGGGGCGGAATTTGGGGTAAAATTTGGGGATTTTGGGGCAAAACGCGCAGAAAAAATCGGTGGGGGGGGAGGGGAGAGGTTTGGGGCGAAATTTGGGATGTTTGGGGCTGAAATTGGGGGTTTGGGGGCTTAAATTTGGGTTAAATCCGTTCGGTTTTGGGTTGAATTTCTGCGGTTTTGGGTGAAATTTCTGCGGTTTTTGGGTAAAATTCCTCCGGTTTTGGGTCAAATCCCTCCGGTTTTGGGTTAAATTTTTCCGGTTTTGGGTCAAATTTGTCCGGTTTTAGGTTAAATTCCTTCAAGTTTGGGTCAGATTTTTCCGGTTTTGGCTAAATTTTTATCCGGTTTTGGGTTAAATTTCTCCGGTTTTGGGTCTAATCTCTCCGGGTTTGGGTTGAATTTCTCCGGTTTTGGGTGGAAACGGGCGAATCTGGGGAGAAAACGTCCAAATTCGTGGTGAAAATGTCCAAATTTGGGGTGAAAACGCGGGAATTTGGGAGAGAATCGCCAGTATTTGGGATAAAAACGTCCAAATTGGGGTAGAAACGCAGAAATTTGGGGTGAAAACGTCCAAATTTGGGGTGGAAATATCCAAATTTGGGGTGAAAACGACCAAATTTGGGGTGAAAAGTCCGTATTTGGGGTGAAACCGCGGGAATTTAGGTGAAAACACCCAAATTTCTTGTAGAAACGCAGAAATTTGGGGTGAAAACGTCCAAATTTGGGGTGAAACCGCGGGAATTGGGGGTGGAAAAACCCCAAATTTGGGTTAAAACCGCGGGAATTGGGGGTGAGAACATCCAAATTTGGGGTGAAAATGTCCAAATTGGGGGTGAAACCGCGGGAATTTGGGGTTACAATGCGGGAATTTGGGGTGAAAATGCCCAATTTGGGTTAAAACCGCGGGAATTTGGGGTGAAAAAGTCCAAATTTGGGGTGAAACAGCGGGAATTTGGGGTGAAACCGCGGGAATTTGGGGGGAAAAAGCCCAAATTTGGGGTGAAAATGTCCAAAATGGGGGTGAAACCGCGGGAATTTGGGTTAAAACCGCGGGAATTGGGTGTGAAAAAGCCCCAATTTGGGGTAAAACCGCGGGAATTCGGTGTCGGGACCTGTGTTTGTTTTTCCGCCCAGTGTCCCGCAGGCTGTCTCTGTCGCTGTCCCTGTCCCTGTCGCTGTCCCTGTCGCTGTCGCTGTCCCTGTCCCTGTCCCTGTCGCTGTCGCTGTCGCTGTCCCCCTGTCGCTGTCGCGGCCATGTCGCGATTCTTCACCACCGGCTCCGACTCCGAGTCCGAATCCTCCGCGTCCGGAGACGAGACCGCGCCCAAAGCGGCCGGAGGGCCCTACAGCAAGTGGGCGGGGCTTGGGGGAAAGGGGCGGGGCCAGGGGGAAAAGGGGCGGGGTTTGGGGAGAAACGGGCGGGGATTGGGTGAAAGGGGCGTAATTTGAATAAAACGGGGCGGGGTTTGAAGAAAGGGGCGAAATTTGAATAAAAGGGGGCGGGGTTTATGAAGGGGGCGAAATTTGAATATGGGGCGGGGTTTTGGTAAGAGCAGCAAAATTTGAATAAAAGGGGGCGGGGTTTGGGTAAAAGGTGAAATTTGAATAAAAAGGGGAGGGGTTTGGGTAAAAGAGGTGCAATTTGAATGAAAAGGGGAGGGGTTTGGGTAAAAGGGGTAAAATTTGAATAAATAGGGGTGGTGTTTGGGTTAAAGGAGCGAAATTTAAATAGAAGGGGGCGGGGTTTTGGGGAAAGAGGTGAAATTTTAATAAAAAGAAGGCGAGGTTTGGGTAAAATAGGTGAAATTTGAATAAAAGGGGGTGGGGTTTGGGGAGAAGGGATAAAATTTAAATAAAAGGGGGCGGGGTTTGCATAAATTGAGTGAATTTTGAATAAAAGAGGGCGGGGTTTGGGTAAAAGGGGCAAAATTTGAATAGAAAAAGGCGGGGTTTAGGGAAAAGGGATAAAATTTGAATAAAAGGAGGCAAAGTTTAAGGAAAAAAAAGCAGGGTTTGGCTAAAGGCAAATATTAAATAAAAGGGGGCGGGGTTTGGGTAAAATGGGGGCAATTTGAATAAAAAAAGGCAAGGTTTGGGTAAAAGGGGTAAAATTTGAATAAAAGGGGGCAGGGTTTGGGTAAAAGGGTGAAATTTAAATTAAAGAGGGCGGGGTTTGGGTAAAATATGGAGAAAACTTAAATAAAAATGGGCGAGGTTTGGGTAAAATAGGTGAAATTTGAATAGGAGGCAGGGTTTGGGGAAAAGGGGCAAAATTTGGGTAAAAGGGGCAAAATTTGAATAAAAGGGCGGGGTTTGGGGAAAGGGGGCGTGGTTTGCATAAAAAGGGGCGTGTCTGATGTGGCCCCGCCCCCAGGCCGCTGCTGCTGAGCGAGGATGAGGAGGACACGAAACGCGTGGTGAGGAGCGCCCGCGACAAGAGGTATTGATCGGGTATTGATCCGGGATTGGTGCTGTATCAATCGGGGATTGGGCCGGGAGCGATCGGGTATTGGTGTGGTATTGATCCGCTATTGATCCGGGATTGGTGCGATATTGGACGGGGATTGGGCCGCGATCGATCGGGTTTTGGGCCGCGATCGATCGGGTTTTGGGGCGGGATTGATCGGGTATTGGGCCGGGATCAATCGGGTATTGGGCCAGTATTAATCGGGTATTGGGCCGGTATCAATCAGGTATTGGGCCGGTATCGATTGGGTATTGGGCCAGTATCAATCAGGTATTGATCCGCTATCAATCGGGTACTGGGCCGGTATTGATCAGTTATTGGTCCAGTATCGATCGGGTATTGATCTGGTATTGATCGGGTATTGATCGGTTATTGATCCACTAGCTATTGGGTATTGGTCCCTTATTGATCGGGTATTGATCCCTTATCGATGGGTCTTTGATCCCTTATTGATTGGTTATTGATCCCTTATTGATTGGTTATTGATCCATTTTTGAGCAGTTATTGATCTGTTATTGGTCAGCTTTTGATCAGTTATTGATTGGTTATCGGTCCCTTATTGAGCGGTTATTGATCCCTATTTATCCCTACTGGTCCCAGTGGGTCCTTATTGATCCCTATTGGTTCCTATTGGTTTGGTTTCTATTGATCCCAATGGCCCCAGATCGATCCTTATTGATCCTAATGAATCCTTATTGATCCCTATTGATCCCAATGGGTCTGTATTGATCCCTGTTGGTCACAATGGATCCCTATTGATCCCTATTGGTTCCTATTAGTTTGGGGTTTTTTCATCCCTGTTGATCCCGATTGATCCCAATCGACCCAAATCGATCCCGATTGATCCCGATCGATGCCAATCGCCCCTGATTGATCCCGATCGATCCCAGGTACGAGGAGCTCACCAACCTGATCCGCTCCATCCGCAACGCCATGAAGATCCGCGACGTCAGCCGCTGCCTCGAGGTGCCCAGAGCCCCAAAACCCCCAATTTTCACCCCAAAAATCCCAGATTTCGGCTCCCAAAAATCTCCAGTTTCACCCCAAAAATCCCGCAGAAAATTCCCCCAATTTCAGCCCAAAAAGCCCCAATTTTCAGCCCAAAAATCTCAAATTTCCAACCCAAAAATCCCCAATTTTCAGCCCAAAATTCTCAAATTTTCAGCCCAAAAATCCCCCTGAGAAAACCCCCAATTTCAGCCCAAAAATCCCAAAATTTTCATGTCAAACATCCCGAAATATCACCCCAAAGTTCCTCAATTTTCACCCCAAAAATCCCCAATTTCCACTTCCAAAAAATCTCAAATTTCCACTCCAAAACTCCCCAATTTCTACTCCCAAAAATCCCCAAATTTCCCCATTTTCACCCCGAATTTTCGCATTTTTCCCATTTTCACCCCGAATTTTCCCATTTTTTTCCATTTTCCCCCCATTTTTCCGCCATTTTTCCCCTTTTTTCCCATTTTTCCCCATTTTCCCTCATTTTTCTCCCATTTTCCCCCATTTTCCCCCATTTCCCCCCCATTTTTCCCCCATTTTTCCCCATTTTCTCCCAATTTTTTCCCATTTTCCCCCATTTTTCCCATTTTCACCCCGAATTTTCCCATTTTTTTCCATTTTCCTCCCATTTTTCCCCTTTTTTCCCCAAATTTCCCCATTTTCCCCACTCCCCCCCACTTTTCCCCCATTTCCCCCCAAATTTTCCCCATTTTCCCCCGAATTTCCCCATTTTCTCCCATTTTCCCCCTATTTCCCCCATTTTCCCCTCATGTTTCCCCATTTTTTCCCATTTTCACCCTGAATTTTCCCTTTTTTTCCCATTTTCACTCCAAATTTCCCCATTTTCCCCCATTTTCCCCCATTTTCCCCCATTTTTTCCATTTTCCCCCTGAATTTCCCCATTTTTTCCCATTTTCCCCGTTTTTCCCCATTTTCCCCCAAATTTCCTAATTTTTCCCACTTTTCACCCATTTTCCCCCATTTTTTCCCATTTTCCCCCCAGATTTCCCCATTTTTCCCATTTTAACCAATTTTCCCCCTATTTCCCCCATTTTTTCCCCATTTTTTCCAACTTTTCTCCCCAAATATTCCAATTTTTCCCCATTTTCCCCCAATTTTTCCCATTTCCCTCCATTTCCCCCCATTTATCCCAATTTTCACCCCGAATTTCCCCATTTTTCCCATTTTTTTCCCATTTTTCCCCATTTTCACCTTTTTTTTCCCATTTTTTCCCTTTTTCCCTGTTTTCCCCCCGAATTTCCCCATTTTTCCCCATTTCCCCCCATTTTTCCCATTTTCCCCTCATTTTTCCCCCATTTTTCCCATTTTTTCCCATTTTTTCCCATTTTCCCCGTTTTTCCCCATTTTCCCCCAAATTTCCTCATTTTTTCCCATTTTCCACCCAAATTTTCCCCATTTTCCCCCATTTCCCCCCATTTTTCCTATTTTCCCCTCATTATTCCCCCATTTTTCCCATTTTTTCCCATTTTCCCCTGAATTTCCCCATTTTTTCCCATTTCCCCCTATTTTTCCCCATTTTCCCCCAAATTTCCTCATTTTTTCCAATTTTCCCCCAAATTTCCCCATTTTTCCCATTTCCCCCCAATTTTCCCGCATTTTTTCCCTTTTTCCCCATTTTTTCCTGTTTTCACCCCAAATTTCCCCATTTTTTCCCCATTTTCCCCCCGAATTTTCCCATTTTTCCCATTTTTTCCCATTTTTCCCATTTTTTCCCATTTTTCCCCATTTTCACCTATTTTTTCCCATTTTTTCCCCAAATTTCCCCATTTTCCCCCATTTTTCCCCATTCTTCCATTTTCCCCCTATTTCCCCCATTTTCTCCCCAAATTTCCCCATTTTTTCCCATTTTTCCCCATTTTCCCCCCTAATATTCCTATTTTTTCCCATTTTCACCCCGAATTTCCCCATTTTTTTCCCATTTCCCCCCATTTTCTTCCCAATTTTCCCCCATTTCCCCCCTATTTCCCCCCATTTTCCCCCTTTTTTTCTCCCCAAATATTCCCATTTTTCCCCATTTTCTCCCATTTTTTCCCATTTTCACCCCGAATTTCCCGAATTTCCCCTTTTTCACCCAAATTTCCCGTTTTTCCCAGGAGTTTGAGCTGCTGGGCCGCGCCTGGGCCAAGGCCAAGGGGGTGGTGGACAGGGAGGGGGTCCCGCGCTTCTACCTGCGCATCCTGGCCGACCTCGAGGACTACCTCAACGAGGTGAGACATGACAATTTTGGGCTAAAAACGCACATTTTGGGGCATTTCAAACATTTAATCTATTGAGGGATTTTTGGAATTTTTTTTGGATTTTTTTGGATTTTTTTTCCGCTTTTTTTCTGAGTTTTTCTAAATTTTTTTGAATATTTTTGCATTTTTTTCAGATTTTTTTTTTAATTTTTTTCCGCCTTTTTTTTCCGGGTTTTTCTGAATTTTTTGGAACTTTTTTCAGGTTTTTTTTTTTTTTTTTTTTTTACGCTTTTTTTTCTAAGTTTTTCTTGATTTTTCTGAATTTTTTACAATTTTTGTCAGATCTTTTTTGGATTTTTTTCCACTTCTTTTTCTGGGTTTTTCTTAATTTTTTGGATTTTTTTTGAAATTTTTTGAATTTTTTTCAGATTTTTTTTTCTTCCGCTTTTTTTTCTGAGTTTTTCTGAATTTTTTTGAATTTTTTTAAAATTTTTTTTGAATTTTTTCAGATTTTTTTTCAGGGTTTTTTTCTGCATTTTTTCCACAATTTTTCTAAATTAAAAAAACCCCATATTTTTGCATTTTTTACCGTTTTTTTCTGGACATTCTCTGATTTTTTTTTTAATTTCTTTTGGTTTTTCTTAATGTTTTTTTCCTGATTTTTTTTTTGGTGGCTTTTTTTTTTTTTTTTTTTTTTAATTTTTGTGGTTTTTAAAAGGATTTTTTTGGTTTTTTTTTCAGATTTTTTTCCATTTTTTTTCACAATTTTTCTGATTTTTAAAAAAGTTTTCTTTTTTATTTTGCATTTTTAAACTATTTTTTTTCCTGAATATTTCTGAATTTTAAAAATTCTTTCATGTTTTTTAGGGGTTTTTTTCCAATTTTATTTAGGTTTTGGTGGATTTTTTTTTTTGTGGTTTATAAAATGATTTTTTTGGAATTTTTTGGGAACTTTTCAAAATATTTCAAAAATTTTTTTTTTTTAAGATTTGTTGGGATTTTTTTTAATTATTTTGGGATTTTTTTTCTAATCTTTATTTGTGGATTTTCATTGTTTTGGGGTCATTTTTTTATCTTTTTTGGGTCCTTTTTTAATCTTTATTTTTGATTTTTCACCATTTTTGGGTCATTTTTTTAATCTTTATTTGTGGCTTTTCACCCTTTTTTGGGGTCATTTTTTTATCATTTTTGGGTCATTTTTTAATCTTTATTTTTGATTTTTCACCATTTTGGGGTCATTTTTTTCATCTTTATTTGTGGCTTTTCACCATTTTTGGGGTCATTTTTTTTATCTTTTTTGGGTCATTTTTTAATCTTTATTTTTGATTTTTCACCATTTTTGGGGTCATTTTTTTATCTTTTTTTTTGCATTTTTTCACCTTTTTTGGTGTTTTTTTACTATTTTTTCATGTTTTTTCACCATTTTTTTTTTGTTTTTCACCCTTTTTTGTGCTTTTTCCCCGTTTTTGGGCAGCTGTGGGAGGACAAGGAGGGGAAGAAGAAAATGAACAAAAACAACGCCAAAGCCCTGAGCTCTTTGAGGCAAAAACTGCGGAAATACAACCGCGACTACGAGGGGCAGATCGCCGCCTACAGACAGGTCAGCAAGGGGTTAAAAACGGGGAAAATTCGGGGGAAAATGGGAAAAAAAAGGGAAAAAAATGGGGGAAAATTAAGCAAAAAACGGGAAAAAATGGGCAAAAAATGGGGGAAATTTTGGGGGGAAAATGGGGAAAAAAATTGGGAGAAAATTGGGGGGGAAATGGGGAAAAAATGGGCAAAAATGTGGAAAAAATAAGCAAAAAACAGGGAAAATATTGACAAAAAATGGACGAAATTTGGGGGAGAAATGGGGAAAAAATTCACAAAAATGTGGGGCAAAATGGGAAAAAATGGGGGGAAAATGGACAAAAATGGGGAGAAATGGGGAAAAATGGGCAAAAAAGGGGGGAAATAGGGGAAAAAGGTGGAGAAAACGGGCAAAAAATAAGCAAAAAAATGGAGAAGAACAAGAGGGAAAATTGGGGAGAAAATGGACAAAAAATGGGCAAAAATTGAGGAAAAAATAGGAGAAAAATGTCCAAAAATGGGCAAAAACTGCGGAAATACAACCGGGACTATGAGGGGCAGATCGCCGCCTACCAACAGGTCAGCAAGGGGTTAAAAACGGGGAAAATTTGGGGGAAAACGGGAAAAAAATTGGGAGAAAAATGGGGAAAAAAATGGGGGGAAAACGGGCAAAAAATAAGCAAAAAACAGGGAAAATATTGACAAAAAATGGGGGAAAATTAAGCAAAAAACAGGGAAAATATTGACAAAAAAGGGCAAAAAATGGGGGAAATTTTTGGGGAAAATGGATTAAAAAATTGACAAAAATGGGGGGGGAATTGGGGGAAAAAATGGGGGGAAAATGTACAAAAATGGGAAAAATACAACCACGACTACGAGGGGCAGATCGCCGCCTACAGACAGGTCAGGAACGGGTTAAAAACGGGGAAAATTCGGGGGAAAAAGGGAAAAAAAAAGGGAAAAAAAAAAAGGGGGAAAATGGGCAAAAAACGGGGGAAAAATGGGCAAAAATGGGGAAAAAATTTGGGAGAAAATTGGGGGGGGAAATGGGGAAAAAATGGGCAAAAATGTGGAAAAAATAAGCAAAAAACAGGGAAAATATTGACAAAAAAATGGACGAAATTTGGGGGAGAAATGGGGAAAAAATTGACAAAAATGTGGGGCAAAATGGGAAAAAACGAGAGGAAAATGGACAAAAATGGGGAGAAAATGGGGAAAAATGGGCAAAAAAGGGGGGAAATAGGGGAAAAAGGTGGAGAAAACGGGCAAAAAATAAGCAAAAAAATGGAGAAGAACAAGAGGGAAAATTGGGGAGAAAATGGACAAAAAATGGGCAAAAATTGAGGAAAAAATAGGAGAAAAATGTCCAAAAATGGGCAAAAACTGCGGAAATACAACTGGGACTGCGAGGGGCAGATCGCCGCCTACCGACAGGTCAGGAAGGGGTTAAAAACGGGGAAAATTTGGGGGAAAACGGGAAAAAAATTGGGAGAAAAATGGGGAAAAAATGGGGGGAAAACGGGCAAAAAATAAGCAAAAAACAGGGAAAATATTGACGAAAAATGGGGAAAAATGAGCAAAAAACAGGGAAAATATTTACAAAAAATGGGCAAAAAATGGGGGAAATTTTTGGGGAAAATGGGGAAAAAAATTGACAAAAATGGGGGGGAAATTGGGGGAAATTATAAGAAAAATGGGGGAAAAAAGGATGAAATTGGGCAAGAAATGTGGGGAAAATGGGGGAAAATGGGGCAAAATTTAGCAAAAAATTGGGAAAATATTGACAAAAAGTGGGGGAAATTTGGGGGGAAAATGGGGAAAAAAATTGACAAAAATGGGGGGAAAAAATGGGTGAAAAATGTCCAAAAATGGGAAAAATACAACCGTGACTACGAGGGGCAGATCGATGCCTGCCGGCAGGTCAGCAAGGGGTTAAAAATGGGGAAAATTTGGGGGAAAAAGGGAAAAAAAAAGGAAAAAATAAGGGAGAAAATTGGGGGAAAATGGGGAGAAATTGGGGAAGAAATGGGGGAAAATTGGGGAAGGAAAGGGGGAAAAAATGGGGGAGAAATTGACAAAAATGGACAAAAAAAGGGGGAAAATTTGGGGGGAAAATGGGGGGAAAAGATGGAAAAATGGGGAAAAAATGGACGAAATTGGGCAAAAATGGGGAGAAAATGGGGAAAATATTTACAAAAATAGGTGAAAAAGGGGGAAAATTTGGGGAAAAATTGGAGGAAAATCGGGGAAAAAATGGGGGAAAATTTGGAAAAAATGGGGGGAAATTAGGAGATAAAATAGGGGAAATAGGGAAAATATAGATAAAAATGGGGGAAATTTGGGGAAAAAATGGAGGAAAATTGACAAAAAATGGGGGGAAAAGGAAGGAAAATTGGGGGGAAAAGTTTGAAAAAAATTCGTTTAAAATGGGTAAAAAAAAAAAAAATAGATTTAGAAAACAGGGGAAATATATTTTAAAAAGTTTAAAAAATGGGTTGAAAAGGGTGAAAATAAATTTAAAAAATGAATTAAAAATGACCAAAAATTGGGATTTTTTCCCCCAGAACCCCGAGCAGTCGGACGAGGACGAGGAGAAAAGCCGCAGGGACTCGGAAGGTCGGAAAATTTGGGATTTTGGGGGGAAATTCGGGATTTTTGGGGGGAAATTTGGGGATTTTTGGGGGAAATTTTGGGATTTTTGGGATCATTTTGCCATTTTTTGGACAATTTTTGGGATTTTCCGGGACAAATTTTTTGATTTTTGGGACAAATTTGGGATTTTTTGGGCTCGTATTTGAGATTTTTGGGATCAATTTGGGATTTTCGGGAAATTTTGGGCCACTTTTGGGACTTTTTTGGGAGAATTTTTGGGATTTTTGTGGGAAAATTTGGAGGTTTTGGGGCAAATTTGGGATTTTTGGGCCATTTTTGGGGAATTTTGGGATAATTTGGGGGATTTTTGGGGGCACTTTTGGGACTTTTTTCGGACAAATTTGGGGATTTTTTTGATTTTTGGGATTTTTGGGGCATTTTTCCGCGTTTTGGGGAAATTTTGGGGACTTTTTTGGGAGAATTTTTGGGGCATTTTTGAGATTTTTGGGCTTTTTTTTAGGGGTAATTTCTGGAATCTTGAAAAAATTTTGGGACATTTTGAATTTTGGGACAATAAACTAAATTTTGGGGTAAATTCGGGGGATTTTGGGGATTTTAGGTTGCTTTGGGTGTAATTTCTGGAATTTTGAAATATTTTTGGGATATTTCGGATTTTGGGCCAATAAATTGAATTTTGGTGTGAATTTTGGTGGATTTTGGGGTCATTTGGGGGGATTTTTGGGCTTTTTTTTTGGCTTTTTGCGGGTAATTTCTGGAATTTTTTTTTAAATTTTGGACTAATCTGGATTTTGGGCCAATAAATTGAATTTTGGGTGAATTTTGGGTGAATTTCTGGTTTTTTCCAGGCTCTGGTTCCTCCTCGGGGGCCGAGGACGACGCCGGGAATTTCCTGAAGCGCCGCGAGCGCGACGAGCCCCGGAGCCGCTACAAAGTGACCGAAATTGGGGGAAAAATCGGAATTTTGGGCAAATTCGGGAGGGAAAATTGGGGGGGAATTGGGGGAAAATTGGGGAAAAATTTGGGGAAAATTTTGGGGAAAATTGGGGAAATTTTGGGGAAAATTGGGGGGAAAATTGGGTGAAAAATAAGAAAAAAATGGGATTAAAATGCAGAAAAAATGGGATTAAAATGGGGGGAAATTTGGATTGAAATGGTTGAAAATTGGGATTTAATTTGGATTTAAAGGGTGGAAAATTTGGATTAAAGCAGGATTTAATTGGGATTAAAATTGGATTTGATTTGGATTAAAATGAGATTTAATTTTCATTAAAATGGGGGAAAATTGGCGTTACAATGGGATTTAATTTGCATTAAAATGGGAAAATTTTGATTTATTTGGGATTTAATTGAGATTAAAATGGGATTTAATTTGCATGAAAATGGGATTGAATCGGGATTTAATTGGCATTATTTGGAATTAAATTGGGATTTGATATAGATTAAAATGGGATTTAATTTGCATGAAATTGGGATTTAAAAAGTGAGATTTAATTGAGATTTAATTTGCAATAAATTGGATTGAATTGGGATTGAAATGGGATTTAATCGGGATTCAATTGGTATTAAAATAGGATTTAATTGGGATTTAATTGGGCGTTAATTTGCATTAAAATATGATTTAATTGGGGTTAAATTGGGATTTAAATAGGATTTAATTGATATTTTAAAGGGATTTAATTGAGATTTAAGAAGCATTTAATTTGCATGAAAATGGGATTTAATTGGGATTTAAATGGGGTTTATTTACATGAAAATGTGATTTAATTTCCATGAAAATTGGAGTGAATTGGGATTGAATTGGGATTTAATTTGCATTAAAATGGGATTGAATTGGGGTTTAATTGGGGTTTAATTGGGATTTAAAAGGAGTTTGATTGAGATTTAAATGGGATTTAATTGAGATTTCAATGGGATTTAATTGGGATTTCAATGGGATTTAATTGGGATTTAAATGGGATTTAATTGAGATTTAAATGGGGTTTAATTGAGATTTAAATGGGATTTAATTTGCATTAAAATGGGATTTAATTGGGATTTCAATGGGATTTAATTGGGATTTAAAAGGGATTGAATTGGGATTTAATTTGCATAAAAACGAGGGACAACTGTGCTTTAATTGGGCTTTAATTAAGATTTAATTTCTGTTTAATGATCTCCCCCCGGCCGGTGAACCGCAAACCCAGGAGTCGGAGTCGGAGCCGGAGTCGGAGTCGGACGAGGATTGGGGCGATTCCGCTTCGGAGTCGGACTCGGAGTCGGACGAGGACGACGGAAAATTCACCTCGTTGGCCTCCAAATTCCTCAAAAAGTCAGGAAATCGGGAAAATTGGGAATTTCGGGGGAATTTGGGCAAAAAAACGGGAAAAATCGGGTGAAAAATGGGAAAAATCCGGGGGAAATTGGGTAAAAAATGGGGAAATTGGGGGAAAGTTGGGTGGAAAATACGGAAAAATCCCGAGGAAAATTCACCTCATTGGCCTCCAAATTCCTCAAAAAGTCAGGAAATGGGGAAAATTGGGAATTTCGGGAAAAATTGGGTGAAAAAATGGGAAAAATCGGGTGAAAAATGAGAAAAATCCGGGGGAAATTGGGGGAAAAATGGGGAAAATTGGGTGAAAGTTGGGTGGAAAATACGGAAAAATCCCGAGGAAATTTGGGGAAAATTCACCTCATTGGCCTCCAAATTCCTCAAAAAGTCAGGAAATCGGGAAAATCGGGGATTTCCGGAGAATTTGGGGGAAAAAATGGGAAAAATCGGGTGAGAATTGGGAAAAATCCGGGGAAAATTGGGTGAAAAATTTGGGAAAATTGGGGGAAAGTTGGGTGGAAAATACAGAAAAATCCCGAGGAAAATTCACCTCATTGGCCTCCAAATTCCTCAAAAAGTCAGGAAATCGGGAAAATCGGGGATTTCGGGAAAATTTGGGTGAAAAAATGGGAAAAATCAGGTGAAAAATGGGAAAAATCCGGGGGAAATTGGGTGGAAAATGGGGAAATTGGGGGAAAGTTGGCTGGAAAATACGGAAAATCCCGAGGAAATTTGGGGAAAATTCACCTCATTGGCCTCCAAATTCCTCAAAAAGTCAGGAATTCGGGAAAATTGGGGATTTCCGGAAGATTTGGGGGAAAAAACGGGAAAAATCGGGTGAAAAATGGGAAAAATCCGGGGGAAATTGGGGGGAAAATTGGGGAAATTGGGTGGAAAATTGGGTAATTTTGGGGGAAAATTGTGGGGAAATTGGGAAAAATCGGGTGAAAATTTGGGAAATTTTGGAGAAAAATTGGGTGAAAAATTGGGAAAATTGGGGAAAATTTGGGAAGAAATTGGGGAAAATCGGGTGAAAATTGGGGAAATTTTGTGTGAAAGTTGGGTGGAAAATAGGGAAAAATCCGGGGGGAAATTCACCTCTCTGGCCTCCAAATTCCTCAAAAAGTCAGGAAATCGGGAAAATCGGGGATTTCGGGAAAATTTGGGTGAAAAAATGGGAAAAATCGGGTTAAAATTGGGGGAAAAATGGGGAAATTGGGGGAAAGTTGGGTGGAAAATACGGAAAAATCCCGGGGAAATTTGGGAAAATTAGTGGGAAAATTTGAGTGAAAATTGGGGAATAATTGGGAAATTTTGGGGAAAAATTGGGTGAAAATTGAGGAAAATTGGGTGGAAAATTTGCACGAAAATTGGAGGAAAATTGGGAAATTTTAGGGGAAAATTGAGGAAAATTGGGAACAATTCGAGAGAAAATTGGGGAAATTTGGGAAATTTTGTGTAAAGGTTGGGTGAAAAATTGGGGCAAATTCACCTCTCTGGCCTCCAAATTCCTCACAAAGTCAGGAAATCGGGAAAATTGGGAATTTTGGGAGAATTTGGGGGAAAAAATGGGAAAAATCAGGGGGAAATTGGGGGAAAAATGGGGAAATTGGGGAAAGTTGGGTGGAAAATACGGAAAAATCCCGGGGAAAATTCACCTCGCTGCCTCCAAATTCCTCAAAAAGTCAGGAAATCGGGAAAATCGGGGATTTTGGGGGAATTTGGGTGAAAAAACGGGAAAAATCGGGGGGAAATTGGGTAAAAAATGGGGAAATTGGGGAAAGTTGGGTGGAAAATACGGAAAAATCCTGGGGCAAATTCACCTCGCTGCCTCCAAATTCCTCAAAAAGTCAGGAAATCGTGAAAATCGGGGATTTTGAGAGAATTGGGAAAAATTGGGTGAAAAAATGAGAAAAATCAGGTGAAAATTGGGTGAAAAATGGGTTAAAATGCCTCAAAATTGGATTTTTCGGGGGATTTTTTGGTGTTTTTTTTTTAATTTTTTGGGATTTTTTTGGAATTTTGGGAATTTTTTGGGAATTTTGGGAAATTTTTTGAGAATTTTGGGAATTTATGGGATTTTTTGAAATTTTTGGGAATTTTGGTGGGAATGTTGAGAAGGATTTATGGGACAAAAAATTCCTGAAAAACGGCTCAAAAATGGCTTCAAAATGGGATTTTTTGGGGGATTTTTCGGGATTTTTTGGGGAATTTTGGGGAATTTTTGGGGAATTTTTTTGGAATTTCGTTAAATTTTTGGGAATTTCGGCGAAAAGAGTTACAGGGCAGGAAACTGCTGAAAAATGGGTCAAAAATGAGTAAAAAATCACTTTAAAATGGCCAAAAAATGGGATTTTTGTGGGGATTTTTGGGAATTTTTGTGGGTTTTTTTATGGAAATTTTTTGGGAAGGTTTTCGGAATTTTGGATTTTTTTTGGGATTTTTTTGGGGAAGTGTTTGGGAATTTTGGTGGGAATGTTGAGAAAGATTTATGTGACCAAAAATTTCTAAAAAATGGCTCAAAAATGGCCTCAAAATTGAATTTTTTTGGGGATATTTTTTGGAATTTTGGGGGATTTTTTGAGGAATTTTTTGGGAATTTTGGGGATTTTTGGGAATTTTGGTCAGAATGTGGAGGAGCAGTTATGGAGCAGAAAATGGATCAAAAATGAGTAAAAAATCACTTTAAAATGGCCAAAAAATGGGATTTTTTGGGGATTTTTTGGTATTTTTGGGGATTTTTGAGAATTTTTTGGGTTTTTTTTTGGGAATTTTGGGAATTTTGGGGAATTTTGTCAGAATGTAGGGTAGGAGTTACGGAGACGAAAATTACTCAAAAATTGGTCAAAAATAAGTAAAAAATCACTTTAAAATGGCCGAAAAATGGGATTTTTGTGGGAAATTCGGGGAATTTTTTGGGAATTTGGGAAATTTTTGGGAATTTTGGTAAGATGGTAAAGGAAGAATTTCAGGGCAGAAAACTGCTGAAAAATGGGTCCAAAATGAGTAAAAAATCACTTTAAAATGGCCGAAAAATGGGATTTTTGCGGGAATTTGGTGGAATTTTTTGGGAATTTTTTGGGGAATTTTTTGGGAAATTTGGGAATTTTGTTAAAATTGGGGAATTTTGGGATTTCCCCAGGGACGAGGAGCGTCGCGGGGCGGAGCGGCGGCGCGAGGAAAAGGCCAAGAAGAAACTGGAGCGGAAAAGCCGCCGGGAGGAGGAGGAGGAGGAGGAGGAAGGGGGAGAGTGGGAGAAGGTCAAGGGAGGAGTCCCCCTCATCAAGGTGGGAAATTGGGGCGAAAAATGGGGATTTTGGGAAAAAGGGAATTTTGGGGGAAAAAAAAATGGGATTTATGGGAAAAAAATTGGGGTTTTTAGGGGGAAAAATGGGATTTTTAGGGGGAAAATTGGGGTTTTAGGGAGAAAAAATTGAACTTTTGGGGTGAAAAATTTGGGTTTTGGGGGGAAAAATTGGATTTTTGGGACAAAAAATTGAATTTTTTGGGGAAAAATGGATTTTTGGGGTGAAAAATGGGATTTTAGGGGATTTTGGGGAAAAAATTAGAATGTTTGGAGATTTTAGGGCTTAAAAATGGAGGTTTTGGGGGGGAAAATTGGATTTTTGGGACAAAAAATTGGATTTTGGAGAGAATTTTTAATTTTTGGGGTAAAAAATGGGATTTTTGGGAAAAATTTTGATTTTTTGCACAAAAAGAGAATTTTTTTGGGATAAAAATGGATTTTTTGGGGTGAAAATTAGGATTTTCAAGAAAAAATTGGATTTTTGGGAGAAAAGATGGGATTTTTAGCAAAAAATTGGGGTTTTTAGGGGGAAAAATTGAATTTTTGGGAGAAAAAAATTGAATTTTTGGGGTAAAAATGGATTTTTGGGGTAAAAATGGGATTTTAAGGGATTTTTGGAAAAAAAAATTTAATTTTTGGTGATTTTAGGGGTGAAAAATGGGGGTTTTGGGGGAGAAATTGGATTTTTGGGAAATTTTTTTTAGATAATTCAGGGAGGCTTTGGGGGGAAAATGGTTTTTTCAGGACAAAAAAATGGAATTTTGAGGTAAAAAATGGGATTTTTGGGGTGGAAATTGGAATTTTGGAGGGGGGGAAATTGAATTTTTGTCAGGGAAATTGGGATTTTTTGGGGGGGGGAAATTTCAATTTTTTGGGCAAAAATCAGAATTTTGGGGGGATTTTTATGGGATTTTTTTTGATAATTCAGGGAGGTTTTGGGGAAGTTTTTTTTTATTTTTGGGGGGGATTTTTGTCACTTTTTGGATCATTTTTTGGGGCAGGAAAAGCCGAAAATGTTCGCCAAGGGCACGGAGATCACGGTGGGGCTGGTGATGAAAAAACTCAACGAGATCCTCCAGGCCCGGGGCAAGAAGGGCACCGACAGGTGGGCCAAAAAAGCCAAATTTCACCCCAAAATTACCCCAAAATTCACCCCAAAATTACCCCAAAATCACCCTGAAATTACAGCAAAATTCCAGCAAAATTCCATTTAAATTCACCCCAAAATTCCCCAAATTAACACAAAATTCACCCCAAAATTTCAGTAAAATTCACCCCAAAATTCCATCAAAATTCACCCCAAAAATTCCAGAAAAATTCACCCCAAATTCCCCCTGAAATTACCCCAAAATTCCCCCAAATTCATCCCAAAATCCTCCTGGAATTACCCCAAAATTCCCCAAAATTTACCCCAAAATCTCCCTTAAATTACCCTAAAATTCCAGCAAAATTCCATTAAAATTCGCCCCAAAACACCCCAAAATTCACCCCAAAATCACCCCAAAATTCCAGCAAAATTCACCCCTAAATCCTCTTGGAATTACCCCAAAATTGCCCCAAAATTAACCCCGAAATTCACCCCAAAATTCCATTTCAATTCACCCAAAATTGCCCTGAAATTGTCCTGAAAATCCCCAATTTTTTCCCAATTTCCCCCAATTTTTACCCCATTTTTCACCCCTTTTTTCACCCTTTTTTCACCCAATTTTCACTAAATTTCCCCCAATTTTTTTCCTCATTTTATCTCAATTTTCCCCAATTTTTAATTTCATTTTTAACCCTTGTTTTACCTCCAAAAAGACCCAAATAAATCCCATTTTTCAACCATTTTTCCCCCATTTTTCCCCATATTTTCCCCATTTTTGCCCCAATCTCCCCCGGGTTTTTTGCTTTATTTTTTGCTCTATTTTTTTTGCCCGATTTCCCCGTTTTTCACCCCATTTTCCCCTCAGGGCGGCGCAGATCGAGCTGCTGCAGCACCTGGTGGCCGTGGCCCACGAGCACCAGCTGGGGGTGCCCCTGGAGCTGAAAATCAAATTCAACATCGTGGCCTCGCTCTACGACTACAACCCCAACCTGGCCGCCTACATGAAGGTGAAATCGGGGCAAAAAACGGGGAAATCGGGCAAAAAACACAGAAAAAAAAAAGGGGAAATCGGGCAAAAAATAGAGAAAAAAAATGGGGAAAATTGGGGCAAAAATGGGGTTAAAAATGTGATTTATTTGGATTTTTTTTTGATTTTTTGAAGGTAAAAGAAGGGTTAAAAATGAAATTTAAAAGGGAAAAAAATTGGGGAAAATTGAGATAAAATAAGCAAAAAATTGGGGAAAATTTAATTAAAATTTGGTGAAAAAAGGGTTAAAAATGGGATTTATTTGGATTTTTGGGGAATTTTTTAAGGGAAAATAAGGGTTAAAAATGAAATTATAAAAGGGAAAACTGGGGGGAAATTAAGATAAAATGGGGAGAAAATTGGGGAAAATTTGGTGAAAATTGGGTGAAAAAAGGAATAAAAATGACGATAATAATGGGATTTATTTGGGTTTTTGGGACTACAACCCCAACCTGGCCGCCTACATGAAGGTGAAAACGGGGCAAAAAACAGCGAAATTGGGCAAAAAATAGAGAAAAAAACCCGGGGGAAATTGGGGCAAAAATGGAGAAAATATGGAGAAAATATGGGGAAAAAAAGGTGGAAAATTGGGGTTAAAAATGTGATTTATTTGGATTTTTTTGCGATTTTTTTAAGGGAAAATAAGGGTTAAAAATGAAATTAAAAAGGGAAAAAATTGGGGAAAATTAAAAGAAAATGAGGAAAAAATTGGGGGAAATTTGGTGAAAATTGGGTGAAAAAAGGAATAAAAATGGGGATAAAAATGGGATTTATTTGGATTTTGGGGATTTTTTAAAGGTAAAACAAGGGTTAAAAATGGAGGAAGAATGGGGAAAATTGAGATAAAATTAGGAAAAAATTGGGGAAAATTTGGTGAAAATTGGGTGAAAAAAGGGTGAAAAATGGGGATAAAATGGGATTTATTTGGATTTTTTTAAAGGTAAAACAAGGGTTAAAAATGAAATTAAAAAGGGAAAAAATGGGGGAAAATTGAGATAAAATGAGGGAAAAATTTGGTGAAATTTGGTGAGAAAAGGAATAAAAATGGGGTTAAAAATGGGATTTATTTGGGTTTTTGGGACTACAACCCCAACCTGGCCGCCTACATGAAGGTGAAAACGGGGCAAAAAACGGCAAAATCGGGCAAAAAATAGAGAAAAAAACCCGGGGGAAATTGGGGCCAAAATGGGGAAAATATGGGGGAAAAACGGTGGAAAATCGGGGTAAAAATGGGATTTATTTGGAATTTTTTTGGGATTTTTTGAAGGTAAAAGAAGGGTTAAAAGTGAAATTTAAAAGGGAAAAAAAATTGGGGAAAATTGAAATAAAATAAGCAAAAAATTGGGGAAAATTTAATTAAAATTTGGTGAAAAAAGGGTTAAAAATGGGATTTATTTGGATTTTTTAGGAATTTTTGGAGGTAAAACAAGGGTTAAAAATGAAATTAAAAAGGGAAAAAATGGGGGAAATTAAAATTAAATGAGGAAAAAATTGGGGGAAATTTGGTGAAAATTGGGTGAAAAAAGGAATAAAAATGGGGGGAAAAATGGGATTTTTTTGGATTTTTTTTGGGATTTTGTGAAGGGCGGATCTGTGGGTCAGACAGGATCTATGGGGCGGATCTATAGGGTGAGTTTCTATAGGCGGAGCTGTGGCAGCGCTGCCTGGGATGTATAGAGGAGCTCCTGGAGCTGCTATGGGGCAGATCTATAGGCTCGGGGCGGATCTATGGGCTCGGGGCGGATCTATGGGGCAGATCTATGGGTCAGACAGGATCTATGGGGCGGATCTATAGGGTGATATTCTATAGGCGGAGCTGTGGCAGCGCTGCCTGGGATGTATAGAGGAGCTCCTGGAGCTGCTATGGGGCAGATCTATAGGCTCGGGGCGGATCTATAGGGCAGATCTATGGGTCAGACAGGATCTATGGGTCAGACAGGATCTATGGGTCAGGGCGGATGTGTGGGTCAGGATCTATAGGGTGATATTCCATAGGCGGAGCTGTGGCAGCGCTGCCTGGGATGTATAGAGGAGCTCCTGGAGCTGCTATGGGGCAGATCTATGGGCTCGGGGCGGATCTATGGGGCAGGATGGATCTATAGGGCAGGATCTGTGGGTCAGGATCTATGGGGCAGATCTATAGGGTGAGTTTCTATAGGCGGAGCTGTGGCAGCGCTGCCTGGGATGTATAGAGGAGCTCCTGGAGCTGCTATGGGGCAGATCTATAGGCTCGGGGCGGATCTATGGGGCAGGGTGGATCTATAGGGCAGATCTATGGGTCAGACAGGATCTATGGGGCGGATCTATAGGGTGATATTCTATAGGCAGAGCTGTGGCAGCGCTGCCTGGGATGTATAGAGGAGCTCCTGGAGCTGCTATGGGGCAGATCTATGGGCTCGGGGCGGATCTATGGGGCAGGATGGATCTATAGGGCGGATCTGTGGGTCAGACAGGATCTATGGGGCGGATCTATAGGGTGATATTCTATAGGCAGAGCTGTGGCAGCGCTGCCTGGGATGTATAGAGGAGCTCCTGGAGCTGCTCTTTGCCCACCCCGAGATCTTCGTGGGCGAAAACGTCCTCGAGGAGTCCGAGAACCTCAGCAACCCCGAGCAGGTATGGGGCAATCTATGGGGCACCTATGGGGCACTTGTGGGGTACTTGTGGGGCACTTATGGGGCATTTATGGGGTGTGGGGGCACCTATGGGGTCATTTTTGGGGTCACTTATGGGGTAATCTATGGGGTCATTTATGGGGCTCCTATGGGGTCATTTATGGGGTGTGGGGGCACTTATGGGGTTATTTATGGGGCACTTATGGGGTAATCTATGGGGCACTTATGGGGCACCTGTGGGGTCACTTATGGGGCACCTGTGGGGTCACTTATGGGGAACTTATGGGGCACTTTGGGGCACTTATGGGGCACTTATTGGGTTATCTATGGGGTCACTTATGGGGCACCTATGGGGCACTTATGGGGCACCTATGGGGCACTTATGGGGCACCTATGGGGTCATTTATGAGGCACTTACGGGGCACTTATGGGGCACTTATGGGGTACCTATGGGGCATTTATGGGGCACTTGTGGGGTCATTTATAGGGTCACTTTTGGGGTCACTTATGGGACACTTATGGGGATTTTGGGGTCACTTTTGGGATTTTGGGGTCATTTTGGGGTCAGTTTTGGGGTAATTTTGGGTTTATTTATGGGATTTTATGGTCGGTTTTGGTTTTTGGGGTAAATTTTGGGGATTTTGGGTCCGTTTCAGCCGTTCCGGGTGCGCGGCTGCGTCCTGACCCTGGTGGAGCTGAGGGGTCATTTTGGGGTCATTTATGGGTTTTGGGGTCACTTTTGGGGTTTTTTGGGTGGGTTTTGGGTTTTTGAGGACAGTCACGGATTTTTGGGGTAAATTTTGGGGATTTTGGGTCCGTTTCAGCCGTTCCGGGTGCGCGGCTGCGTCCTGACCCTGGTGGAGCGGATGGACGAGGAGTTCACCAAGATCATGCAGAACACCGACCCCCACTCCCAGGGTGGGTCCGGCTGTGGGGCAGAGCTCGGCCCCATAGATCCAAAAACCCCAAAAAAACCCAAAAACCCCAAAAAATCTGAAAAAATGTGAATTTTTGGTCATTTTTTGGCTTAATTTCCTTTTTTTTTGGCCAATTTTGGTCATTTTCACTCCAAATTTGGAGGTTCTGTGGGGCAGGTGGGATGTGGGGCAGAGCTCGGCCCCATAGATCCCAAAAACCCCAAAACCACAAAAAAAAACCCAAAAAAAAATCTCAAAAAATGTGAATTTTTGGTCTTTTTTTGGGAAATTTTCACTTTTTTTGGCCAATTTTGGTCATTTTCACCCCAAATTTGGGGTTTTTGTGGGGCAGGGGGGAAGTGGGGGAGGGCTCGGCCCCATAGATCCCAAAAAACCCCAAAAAACCCCAAAAAACAAAAAAAAAAACCCAAAAAAACCTCAAGAAATGTGAATTTTTGGTCATTTTTTGGCTTAATTTCCTTTTTTCTTGGCCAATTTTGGTCATTTTCACCCCAAATTTGGGGTTTTTGTGGGGCAGGTGGGATGTGGGGAAGGGCTCGGCCCCATAGATCCCAAAAACCCCAAAAAACCCCAAAAAACAAAAAAAAAAATCTCAAAAAATGTGAAATTTTGGTCATTTGTTGGCCAATTTTAGCTTTTCATGGCCAATTTTGGTCATTTTTACCCCAAATTTGGGGTTTTTGTGGGGCAGGTGGGATGTGGGGCAGGGCTCGGCCCCATAGATCCCAAAAACCAAAAAAAACCCCAAAAAACCCCAAAAAAACTCCCCAAAAAAACCCTCAAAAATGTGAATTTTTGCTGATTTTTTTGGCCAACTTTGGCTTTTTTTTTGGCCAATTTTGCTCCTTTTCACCCCAAATTTGGGGCTTCTGTGGGACAGGTGAGCTCCGGGTGGGCGGAGACTCACCTGGGTGAGGTTTTGGGGTTTTTGGAGGGGATTTTTGGGGTATTTTGGGGTTTTTTTGGGTTTTTTGGTGGTTTTTTGGGTTTTTAAAGTCTCACCTGCCCACCAGGTGTGCCCAGGTGTGTCCAGGTGTGACCTCAGTGTACCTGGAGCACCTGAAGGATCCAAACCCTGAACGGGGGCTCACCTGGAGCTCACCTGGCTGTGATTTCGATGGGATTTTTGGGGTTTTTTTGGACTTTTTTGGGTTTTTTGGGGTTTCTTGGGGTTTTTTTGGCATTTTAATCCCTCACCTGCCCACAAGGTGTGCCCAAGTGTGCCCAGGTGTGCCCAGGTGAATCCTCAGAACTCCTGGAGCACCTGAAGGATCCAAATCCTGAGCTGGAGCTCACCTGGCTGGGATTTTGATGTGGTTTTTTGGGGGTTTTTTGGGTTTTTTGGTGTTTTTTGGGTTTTTAAAGTCTCACCTGCCCACCAGGTGTGCCCAGGTGTGACCTCAGTGTACCTGGAGCACCTGAAGGATCCAAACCCTGAACTGAGACTCACCTGGAGCTCACCTGGGGCTCACCTGGATGGATTTTGGAGGATTTTTGGGGTATTTTTGGGCTTTTTTGACATTTTAATCCCTCACCTGCCCACAAGGTGTGCCCACAAGGTGTGCCCAGGTGTGCCCAGGTGAATCCTCAGAACTCCTGGAGCACCTGAAGGAGCTGGAGCCTCACCTGGGGCTCACCTGGAGCTCACCTGGCTGGGGATTTTGGGGATTTTTTGGAGTATTTTGTGGGTTTTTTGGGTTTTTAGGTCTCACCTGCCCAACAGGTGTGCTCAGGTGAGTCCTCAGAACACCTGGAGCCTCACCTGGGGCTCACCTGGCTGGGTTTTTTGGGGATTTTTTGGGCTTTTTTTGGTTTTTTTGGTGTTTTTTTGGCATTTTAATCCCTCACCTGCCCACCAGGTGTGCCCAGCTGTGCCCAGGTGAGTCCTCAGAACACCTGGAGCACCTGAAGGAGGTGGAGCCTCACCTGGAGCTCACCTGGCTGGGATTTCGATGTGGTTTTTGGCTTTTTTTTTGTCCTTTTTTTGGTTTTTTTTTTGGTTTTTTTTCTTTTTTCGCTATTTGCCCCCTCACCTGCCCGCCAGGTAACCCAGGTGTGTCCTTTCAGAGTACGTGGAGCACCTGAAGGATCCAAACCCTGAACTGGGGCTCACCTGGCTGGGATTTCAATGGGATTTTTGGGGTTTTTTTGGGTTTTTTGGTATTTTCAGCCTCACCTGCCCGCCAGGTGACCCCGCCAGGTAACCCAGGTGTGTCTTTGCAGAGTACGTGGAGCACCTGAAGGAGCCGGAGCCTCACCTGGAGCTCACCTGGCTGTAATTTTGATGTGGTTTTTGGCGCTTTTTTGTCCTTTTTTTGGATTTTTTTTTTGCATTTTCCGCTATTTCCCCCTCACCTGCCCGCCAGGTAACCCAGGTGTGCCTTCACAGAGTACGTGGAGCACCTGAAGGAGCTGGAGCCTCACCTGGGGCTCATCTGAGGCTCATCTGGAGCTCACCTGGCTGGGATTTCAATGTGATTTTTTGGGGTATTTTTGGGGATTTTTGGTGTTTTTTGGGTTTTGAAGGTCTCACCCCTCAGCCAGGTGTGTCCAGGTGAGTCCTCAGAACAATTGGAGAACCTGAAGGAGCCGGAGCCTCACCTGGCTGGGATTTTGGGGATTTCTTGGTGTATTTTTGGCCTTTTTTTGTCCTTTTTTTGGGTTTTTTTGGGGTTTTTTTTGCCACTTCCCCCCTCACCTGCCTGCCAGGTGTGCTCAGGTGTGCCCAGGTGTGACCAGGTGTGACTTCAGTGTACCTGGAGCACCTGAAGGATCCAAACCCTGAACTGAGACTCACCTGGAGCTCACCTGGAGCTCACCTGGAGCTCACCTGGGGCTCACCTGGGGCTCACCTGGCTACGATTTTGGGGTTTTTTGGGCTTTTTTAATCATTTTTTTGGATTTTTTTCCTTTTTTCACTACTTCCACCCTCACCTGCCCGCCAGGTAACCCACCAGGTAACCCAGGTGTGTCTTTCAGAGTACGTGGAGCACCTGAAGGATCCAAACCCTGAACTGGGGCTCACCTGGAGCTCACCTGGCTGCGATTTTGGGGATTTCTTGGTGTATTTTTGGCTTTTTTTTGTCCTTTTTTTGGGTTTTTTTTCCTTTTTTCGCTATTTCCTCCCTCACCTGCCCGCCAGGTGAGCTCAGCTGTGCCCAGGTGTGTCCAGGTGAGTCCTGAGAACACCTGGAGCACCTGAAGGATCCAAACCCTGAACTGGAGCTCACCTCGCTATGATTTCTATGTGATTTTTCGGGGTTTTTTAGGTTTTTTGGGCGTTTTTTTGGCATTTTCACCTTTACCTGCCCGCCAGGTGACCCCGCCAGGTAACCCAGGTGTCTCTTCCCAGAGTACGTGGAGCACCTGAAGGACGAGGCGCGGGTGTGCGGCATCATCGGGCGGCTGCAGCGCTACCTGCAGGCCAAGGGCAGCCCCGAGGAGCTGTGCCGGGTGTACCTGCTGCGCGTCCTCCACACCTACTACAAGTTCGACTACGCCGCCGCCCGCCGCCGCCAGGTGCGGCCCCGCCCGCAGGTGAGCCCCGGCCCGCAGGTGAGCCCCGGCCCGCAGGTGAGCCCCGGCCCGCAGGTGAGCCCTGACCCGCAGGAGAAGGAGAAGGAGGATGAGGAGAAGGAGAAGCAGGAGGAGGAGGAGGAGGAGGAGGATTCGGAGGCGTTGATGGAGAGGTTGTGCAGGTGAGTGGGGCACACCTGGGCACACCTGGAGGGCATCAAGACACACCTGGATACACCTGGGTGGGGTCAGGGCACATCTGGGTGGGGTCAGGGCACACCTGGGTACACCTGGGTACACCTGGAGGTGTTAAAGACACACCTGGATTGGCTTAGAGAACACCTGGATACACCTGGAGGGGGTAAAGACACACCTGGGTGGGGTAAAGGCACTCCTGGACACACCTGGAGAGGGTCAGGGCACACCTGAGTACTCCTGGGTTGGGTCAGGGCACACCTGGGTGGGGTCAGGGCACACCTGGGTGGGGTCAGGGCACACCTGGGTGGGGTCAGGGCACACCTGGATACACCTGGAGGGCATAAAGACACACCTGGATTGGCTTAGGGCACACTTGGAGGGAGTCAGGGCACACCTGGAGGGGGTAAAGACACACCTGGGTACACCTGGGTGGGGTGGGGGCACACCTGGGTGGGGTTGGGGCACACCTGGATATACCTGGATACACCTGGGTGGGGTTTGGGCACACCTGGGTGGGGTAAAGACACACCTGGGCACACATGGATACACCTGGGAGGGCTCAGGGCACACCTGGGTGGAGTCAGGGCACACCTGGGTTGGGTTAGGGAACACCTGGATACACCTGGAGGGGGTAAAGACACACCTGGACACACCTGGATACACCTGGAGGGCATAAAGACACACCTGGATACACCTGGGTGGGGTTGGGGCACACCTGGAGGGGGGAAAGACACACCTGGATACACCTGGAGGGGGTCCAGGCACACCTGGGCACACCTGGATACACCTGGAGGGGGTAAAGACACACCTGGGTACACCTGGAGGGGGTCAGGGCACACTTGGATACACCTGGGTGGGGTCAGGGCACACCTGGGTACACCTGGGTGGAGTAAACGCACACCTGGGCACACCTGGGTACACCTGGGTAGAGCAAACGCACACCTGGACACACCTGGATACACCTGGAGGGGGTCCAGGCACACCTGGGCACACCTGGGTACACCTGGATACACCTGGGTGGGGTCAGGGCACACCTGGAGGAGGTGGGGATGCACCTGGGTACACCTGGATACACCTGGATGGGGTTGAGGCACACCTGGGTACACCTGGAGGGGGTCAGGGCACACCTGGATACACCTGGAGGGGGTCAGGGAACACCTGGAGGGGGTAAAGATACACCTGGGCACACCTGGGTACACCTGGAGGGGGTCAGGGCATACCTGGATACACCTGGAGGGGGTCGGGGCACACCTGGACACACCTGGATACACCTGGGTGGGGTCAGAGCACACCTGGGCACACCTGGAGGGGGTCGGGGCACACCTGGACACACCTGGATACACCTGGGTGGGGTCAGAGCACACCTGGGCACACCTGGAGGGGGTCAGGGCACACCTGGGCACACCTGCAGGGAGACGAGACACACCTGGAGGGGGTCAGGGCACACCTGGACACACCTGGATACACCTGGAGGGGGTCCGGGCACACCTGGGCACACCTGGATACACCTGGGTGGGGTCAGGGCACACCTGGAGGAGGTGGGGATGCACCTGGGTACACCTGGGTGGGGTTGGGGCACACCTGGGTACACCTGGAGGGCATAAAGACACACCTGGATTGGCTTAGGGCACACTTGGAGGGAGTCAGGGCACACCTGGGCACACCTGGAGGAGGTGGGGATGCACCTGGGCACACCTGGATGGGGTCAGAACACACCTGGGTGGAGTCAGGGTACACCTGGATTGGGTTAGGGAACACCTGGATACACCTGGGTGGGGTCAGGGCACACCTGGGCACACTTGGAGGGGGTAAAGACACACCTGGAGGGGGTTAGGGCACACCTGGGTGGGGTTGGGGCACACCCGGGTACACCAGGAGGGGGTCAGGGCACACCTGGGTGGGGTAAAGACACACCTGGGCACACCTGGGTGGGGTTGGGGCACACCTGGATACACCTGGAGGGGGTCAGGGCACACCTGTCCCTAAAATCTGTCCCTAAAATCTCAGGATTTTTGGGTTGAAATTCTGGATTTTTGGCATTTTTTTACCTGCCCAGGTGCGCCTCACCTGTTGCAGAAGTTCTCACCTGGTTTTGGGCCCTCACCTGTCCCTAAAATCTCAGTATTTTTGGGTTAAAATTCCGGATTTTGGGCATTTTCTCACCTGCCCAGGTGTGCCTCACCTGTCTCACCTGTCCAGGTGTGCCTCACCTGTCTCACCTGCGCAGGTTCGTGTACGCCAAGGACCGCACGGACCGGATCCGCACCTGCGCCATCCTGTGCCACATCTACCACCACGCCCTGCACAGCCGCTGGTACCGCGCCCGCGACCTGATGCTGATGTCGCACCTGCAGGACAACATCCAGCACGCCGACCCACCTGTGCAGGTGAGTCTGATACACCTGGGCAGGTAAATCACACACCTGGGCAGGTAAATCACACACCTGAGGGGGTTAAACACACCTGCAGGACAACATCCAGCACGCCGACCCACCTGTGCAGGTGAGTCTGATACACCTGAGGGGGTTAAACACACCTGGGCAGGTGAGTCTGATACACCTGGGCAGGTAAATCTGACACACCTGAGGGGGTTAAACACACCTGCAGGACAACATCCAGCACGCCGACCCACCTGTGCAGGTGAGGGACACACCTGAGGGGGTTAAACACACACCTGAGGGGGTTAAACACACCTGCAGGACAACATCCAGCACGCCGACCCACCTGTGCAGGTAAAGCACACCTGGGCAGGTGAGTCTGACACACCTGTGCAGGTAAATCACACACCTGAGGGGGTTAAACACACCTGGGCAGGTGAGTCTGACACACCTGTGCAGGTAAATCACACACCTGAGGGGGTTAAACACACCTGGGCAGGTGAGTCTGACACACCTGGGCAGGTGAGTCTGACACACCTGAGGGGGTTAAACACACACCTGGGGGGGTTAAACACACCTGGGCAGGTGAGTCTGACACACCTGAGGGGGTTAAACACACCTGCAGGACAACATCCAGCACGCCGACCCACCTGTGCAGGTGAGTCACACCTGGGCAGGTGAGTCTGACACACCTGAGGGGGTTAAACACACACCTGAGGGGGTTAAACACACCTGGGCAGGGAAATCACACACCTGGGGGGGTTAAACACACCTGCAGGACAACATCCAGCACGCCGACCCACCTGTGCAGGTAAAGCACACCTGGGCAGGTGAGTCTGACACACCTGAGGGGGTTAAACACACCTGGGCAGGGAAATCACACACCTGAGGGGGTTAAACACACCTGCAGGACAACATCCAGCACGCCGACCCACCTGAGCCCTAAAATTGCCAAAAAAATTTCCAAAAAATGCTAAAAAAAATCCCCCAAAAATGCTAAAAAAAATCCCCCAAAATTGCCAAAAAAATCCCGCAAATTTTCCAAAAAAATTGCTAAAAAAAAACCCCAAAATTACTAAAAAAATCGCCCAAAATTGCCAAAAAAACGCCCCAAAATTGCTTAAAAAAATGCCCCAAAATTCCTAAAAAAATCACCCAAGTTTTCCACAAATCACCAAAAATTGCTAAAAAATCACCCAAAAGTTTCCAAAAATCACCCAAAATTTACAAAAAATCACCCAAAATTTACAAAAATCACCCACTTGTCTCATCTGAGACTCATCTGGGCATCCTCATTTTTTACCCTAAATCCCTCCAAAAATCCCCCTCAAAACCCCCTAAAATCACCCAAAAATCACTGAAAATTGCCAAAAATCCCCAAAATCCCCAAAACCCCCAAAATCTCCTTTTTTCCCGCAGATCCTGTACAACCGCACCATGGTGCAGCTGGGCATCTGCGCCTTCCCTCACCTGTCCCACCTGTCCCAAGAAACCCCCTAAAACCCCCTAAAATCACCCAAAATTGCCAGAAAAGTCACCAAAAACCGCCTTAAATCACCCAAAATTGCTAAAAAATTCCCCAAAATTGCTAACAAATTTTTCCAAAATTTCTAAAAAAATCCCTCAAAAATGCTAAAAATATTCCTAAATTTGCCCCAAAATTCCCCAAAATTGCCAAAAAAAATTCCAAAAATTGCTAAAAAAAACCACCCAGAATTTTCCAAAAATCACCCTAAATTGCCAAAAAATCCCCCAAAATTGCCCAAAAAATCCCCCAAAATTTACAAAAAATCACCGAAAATTGTTAAAAAATCAACCAAAAATCACCAAAAAAATCCCCAAAATCCTCCCAAAATCACCAAAAATCCCCCTCAAAACCCCCAAAATCCCCCAAAAATCCCAAAAATTCCCAAAAACCCCCAAAAACCCCCCAAAAATCTCCTTTTTTTCCAGATCCTGTACAACCGCACGATGGTGCAGCTGGGCATCTGCGCCTTCCCTCACCTGTCCCACCTGTCCCAAGAAACCCCCTAAAATCACCCAAAATTGCCAGAAAAATCACCAAAAACCATCTAAAATCACCCAAAATGGCCAAAAAAATCACTAAAAACCACCTAAAATCACCCAAAATTGCTAAAAAAATCACCCAAAATTTCAAAAAAAAAAATCCCAAAATTGCCCAAAAAATCCCCCAAAATTGCTAAAAAATCACTCAAAATTGCTAAAAAAAAATCACACAAAATTTACAAAAAATCCCCCAAAATTGCTAAAAAATCCCCTAAAATTGCCCAAAAAATCACTCAAAATTGCTATAAAAAATCCCCCAAAATTGCCCAAAAAATCCCCCAAATTTGCTCAAAAAAATCCCCCAAAATTGCCAAAAAATCACTCAAAATTGCTAAAAAAATCACATAAAATTTACAAAAAATCTCCCAAAATTGCTAAAAAAATCCCCCCAAAGTGCCATAAAATCACCCAAAATTGCCAAAGAAATCCCTTAAAATAGCTAAAAAATCTCACAAAATTGCCAAAAAAATTCCCCAAATTTTCAAAAATAATCCCCCAAATTTTCCAAAAATCACCCAGAATCTCTAACAAAATTCCCCCAAAATGCTAAAAAATCCCCAAAAATTGCTAAAATAAATCACCCCAAAATTTTTTTTTAAATCCCCCAAAATTGCTTAAAAATCCCAGAAAATTGCTAAAAAAATTCCCCAAAATTGCTAAAAAAATTCCCCAAAATTGCTAAAAAAATTCCCCAAAATTGCTAAAAAAAATCACCCGAAATTGCAAAAAAAACCACCCAAAATTGTTTAAAAATCACCCAAAAATCACCAAAAAAATCCCCAAAATCCTCCCAAAATCACCAAAAATCACCAAAAAAAACCCCAAAATTCCCAAAATCCCCAAAACTCCCCAAAACCCCAAAAATCTCCTTTTTTTTCCCCAGATCCTGTACAACCGCACGATGGTGCAGCTGGGCATCTGCGCCTTCCCTCACCTGTCCCACCTGTCCCAAGAAACCCCCTAAAGTCACCCAAAATTGCCAAAAAAATCACCAAAAACCATCTAAAATCACCCAAAATGGCCAAAAAAATCACTAAAAACCACCTAAAATCACCCAAAATTGCTAAAAAAATCACCCAAAATTTAAAAAAAAAAATCCCAAAATTGCCCAAAAAATCCCCCAAAATTGCCAAAAAAATCACCCAAAATTGCTAAAAAAATCACCCAAAAATGCTAAAAAATCTTCCCAAAATTGCTAAAAAGAAATCCCTTCAAAATAGCTGAAAAATCCCCTAAATTTGCCCCAAAAATCCCCCAAAATTGCCAAAAAAATCACCCAAAATTGCTAACAAAATTCCCCAAAATTGCTAAAAGAATTCCCCAAAATTGCTGAAAAATCACCCAAATTTGCTCAAAAAAATCCCCCAGAATTTTGCAAAAATCACCAAAATTGCCAATAAAATCACCCAAAATTGCCAAAAATCACCTACATTTTCCAAAAATCACCCACCTGTCCCACTTGGGACTCACCTGGGCACCTCAAATCCTCATTTTTTACCCTAAATCCCCCTAAAAATCCATCAAAAATCTCCCTCAAAACCCTCTAAAATTCCCCCAAAGCCCCTTAAAATCACTGAAAATTGCCAAAAATCACCAAAAACCCCCAAAAATCTCCCTTTTATCCCCAGATCCTGTACAACCGCACGATGGTGCAGCTGGGCATCTGCGCCTTCCCTCACCTGTCCCAAGAAACCCCCTAAAACCCCCTAAAATCACCCAAAATTGCCAGAAAAATCACCCAAAATTGCTAATAAAATTCCCCAAAATTGCTAAAAAAATCACCCAAATTTGCCAAAAAAATTCTTCAAAAATGCAAAAAAAATTCCCAAAAAATGTTTAAAAAATTCCCCAAAATTGCTAAAAAAATCACCCAAGATGTACAAAAAATGACTCGAAATTGCCAAAAAATACCCCAAATATTGCCAAAAAAATTGCCCAAAAATTCCCCAAAATTGCTTAAAAATCCCTCAAAATTGCGAAAATAAATCCCCCAAAAATGCTAAAAAACCCCCCCAAAATGCTAAAAAAATCCCCTAAAATTGCAAAAAAAATCACCCAAAATTGCCAAAAAAAGCACCCAAAATTACTAAAAAATTTCCCAAAAATGCTAAAAATTCCCTTTAATTTGCCCCAAAAATCAGCCAAAATTGCCAAAGAAGTCCCTCAAAAATGCTAAAAAAATCCCCCAAAATTGCCATAAAATCCCCCAAAATTTTCCAAAAATCCCCCAAAATTGCCAAAAAAATCCCCCAAAAATCCCCAAAAACCCCCCAAAATCCCCAAAAATCCCAAAAAATCTCCTTTTTCCCAGCTCCTGTACAACCGCACGATGGTGCAGCTGGGCATCTGCGCCTTCCCTCACCTGTCCCAAGAAACCCCCTAAAATCACCCAAAATTCCCAAAAAAATCCCCCAAAATTGCTAAAAAAATCCCCCAAAATTGCCATAAAATCTCCCAAAATTGCTAAAAAATCCCGCAAAGCTGCTAAAAAAATCACCCAAAATTACCCAAAATATCCCCCAAAATTTACAAAAAACTACCCAAAAATGCTGAAAAATCCCCCAAAATTGCTAAAAAGAAATCCTCTCAAAATAGCTGAAAAATCCCCTAAATTTGCCCCAAAAATCCCCCAAAATTGCTCAAAAAATCCCCCAAAATTTCTTTAAAAATCCCTCAAAAATGCTAAAAAATGACCCAAAAATCCCCCCTAATTTACAAAAAATCACCCAAAATTGCTATAAATATTCCCTAAAATTGCTAAAAAAATCACTCAAAAGTCCCATAAAATCACCCAAAATTGCCAAAAATCACCCACATTTTCCAAAAATCACCCAAAATTGCTAAAAAAATCCCCCAAAATTGCCAAAAAAATTCCCAAAAATGCTAAAAATATCCCCCAAAATTTACAAAAAATTCCCAAAAATTGCCAAAAAATTACCAAAAAAATTCCCAAAATTCCCCAAAATCCCAAAAAAAACCCCCAAAATCTCCAAAACTTTTTTTTTTGCAGATCCTGTACAACCGCACGATGGTGCAGCTGGGCATCTGCGCCTTCCCTCACCTGTCCCAAGAAACCCCTGAAAACCCCCTAAAATCACCCAAAATTGCCAGAAAAGTCACCAAAAACCATCTAAAATCACCTAAAATTGCCAAAAAAATTACAAAAAACCGCCTTAAATCACCCAAAATTGCTAAAAAAATCACCCAAAATTTCAAAAAAAAAATCCCAAAATTGCCAAAAAAATCCCCCAAATTTGCCCCAAAAAATCCCCCAAAATGCTAAAAAATCTCACTAAATTGCCAAAAAACTTCCTAAAATTCCTAAAAAATCCCACAAAATTGCTAAAGAAATCCCCCAAAAATGATAAAAAAGTCACCCAGAATTTTCCAAAAATCACCCAAAATTGCCAAAAAAATCCCCCAAAATTGCTAAAAGAATCACCCAGAATGTTCCAAAAATCACCCAAAATTGCCAAAAAAAATCCCAAAAAATGCTAAAAAATATTCGAAGTTGCTAAAAAAACATCAAAATTGCCATAAAATCACCCAAAATTGCCCAAAAACTCACCCAAAATTGCCAAAAAAATTCAACTAAATTGCCAAAAAAATCCCCCAAAATTTACAAAAAATCCCCCAAAAATCACCCAAAATTGTTAAAAAATCACCCAAAAATCACAAAAAAACACCCCAAAATTCCCAAAACCCCCAAAAAACCCAAAAACCCCTTTTTTCTCCCCAGATCCTGTACAACCGCACGATGGTGCAGCTGGGCATCTGCGCCTTCCGGCAGGGGCTGATCAAGGACGCGCACAACGCGCTGCTGGACATCCAGAGCTCCGGCCGGGCCAAGGAGCTGCTGGGCCAAGGTCTTCTCCTGCGCAGCCTCCAGGAGCGCAACGCCGAGCAGGAGAAGGTGGAGAAGCGCCGCCAGGTGCCCTTCCACATGCACGTCAACCTGGAGCTCCTCGAGTGCGTCTACCTGGTGGCCGCCATGCTGCTGGAGATCCCCTACATGGCGGCGCACGAGTTCGACGCGCGCCGCCGCATGATCAGCAAGCAGTTCCACCACCAGCTGCGCGTGGGCGAGAGGCAGCCGCTGCTGGGTGAGGGGCAGATTTAGGAATTTTTATCCAAAATTGGGTTCTTGAGGTCCATAATTACCTCAGTTCGGTCTTGGTTTGGTTTTTCTATCACTTAAAATGGCAGTTGTAGATCTTCTTGAGGTTCCTCAGACCATTTGTGGCATTTTACCAGATTTGGAGGTTTTGGGATGAAATTTTGTGTTCTTGAGGTCCATAATTATCTTGATTTGGTCTTGGTTTGGTTTTTCTACCCCTTAAAATGGCGGTTCTAGATCTTCTTGAGGTTCCTCAGACCGTGCTTAGAGATTTTGACCAAAATTTTGGGATTTTGACCCAGAATTGGGTTCTTCAGGTCCATAATTACCTTAATTCAGCCTTGGTTTTGTTTTTCTATTTCTTAAAATGGCGGTTCTAGATCTTCATGAGGTTCCTCAGACTGTGCTTAGAGATTTTGACCAAAATTTCGGGATTTTGACTCAAAATTGGGTTCTTGAGGTCCATAATTACCTTAATTTGGCTTTACTTTGGTTTTTGTATCACTTAAAATGGCCGTTCTAGATCTTCATTAGGTTCCTCAAACCATGGTTGGTGGTTTTTGAACATAATTGGAAGTTTTAGGTTGAAATTTTGGGGTTTTGGGGTCAAAAGTTGGGTTTGGAGGTCCATAATTATCTTAATTCGGTCTTGGTTTGGTTTATCTATCTCTTAAAATGGCGATTCTAGATCTTCTTGAGGTTCCTCAGACTGTGCTTAGAGATTTTGACCAAAATTTCAGGATTTTGACTCAAAATTGGGCTCTTGAGGTCCATAATTACCTTAATTCAGTTTTAGTTTGGTTTTTTTATCACTTAAAATGGCGGTTCTAGATCTTCTTGAGGTTTCTCAGACAAAAATTGAGTTTTTTCACCGAAGTCTAGGAATTTTGACCCAAAATTGGGTTCTTGAGGCCCATAATTACCTTTATTTGGTCTTGGTTTGGTTTTTCTATCTCTTAAAATGGCGGGTCTAGATCTTCATAAAGTTCCTCAAATCATGTCTGGTGGCTTTGACCAGAGTTTGTTGATTTTGACCCAAAATTGGGTTCATCAGGTCCATAATTACTTAATTTGGTCTTGGTTTGGTTTTTGTATCACTTAAAATGAAGATTTTAGATCTTCTTGAGGTTCTTCACACCATGGTTGGTGGTTTTTACCAAAATTTTGGGATTTTGACCCAGAATTGGGTTCTTCAGGTCCATAATTACTTAATTTGGTCTTGGTTTCGTTTTTCTATCTCTTAAAATCGCGGTTCCAGACCTTCATGAGGTTCCTCAGACCATGGTGTGGGATTTTGACCAAAATTTTGGGATTTTGACCCAGAATTGGGTTCTTGAGGTCCATAATTACTTTGATTTGGTCTTGGTTTGGTTTTTTTATCTCTAAAAATGAAGATTCTAGATCTTCCTGAGGTTCCTCAGACAATGGTTGGGGATTTTGACCAAAATTTCAGGATTTTGATCCAGAATTGGGTTCTTGAGGTCCATAATTATCCTAATTCAGCTTTAGTTACCTTTTTTAGCCCTTAAAATGGCGGTTCTAGATCTTCATTATGTTCCTCAGACCATTTGTGGTATTTTACCAAATTTGGAGGTCTTAGCTTGAAATTTTGGGGTCTTGAGGTCCATAATTACCTTAATTCAGTTTTAGTTTGTTTTTTTTTATCACTTAAAATGGCGGTTCTAGATCTTCCTGAGGTTCCTCAGACCGTGATTTGAGATTTTGACAAAAATTTAGGAATTTTTATCTAAAATTGGGTTCTTGAGGTCCATAATTATCCTAATTCAGCTTTAGTTACCTTTTTTAGCCCTTAAAATGGCGGTTCTAGATCTTCCTTAGGTTCCTCAGACCATTTGTGGTATTTTACCAGATTTGGAGGTTTTGGGATGAAATTTTGGGTTCTTGAGGTCCATAATTACTTAATTTGGTCTTGGTTTGGTTTTTTTATCTCTTAAAATGAAGATTCTAGATCTTCCTTAGGTTCCTCAGACCATGGTTTGGGATTTTGACCAAAATTTCGGGATTTTGACCCAGAATTGGGTTCTTCAGCTCCATAATTACCTTAATTCGGCTTTACTTCTGTTTTTTACCCCAAAAATTCCCATTTTTTTGCCCAAAATCACCATTTTTCACCCCAAAACTGCCAATTTTTTACTCCAACCTGTCTCAGGTGCTTTTCTGACCTCCAAAATCCAAAAAAAATCCCATTTTTTTGCCCCAAAACCACTGATTTTTTGGGATTTTTTTTTATTTCCCGTCCCCTCACCTGCCCCAGTGTCCCTCACCTGTCCCAGGTGTGTCTCACCTGTCCCCCCCAGGTCCCCCCGAGTCGATGCGGGAGCACGTGGTGGCCGCCTCCAAGGCCATGAAAACGGGCGACTGGCGGCGCTGCCATCGCTTCGTGGTCAATGAGAAGATGAACGGAAAGGTCTGGGACCTGTTCCCCGAGGCCGACCAGGTGCGCGCCATGCTGGTCAGGTGAGCACACCAAAATTTGGGGGGTTTTGGGAAAATTTGGGCGAAATTTGGGCGATTTTTGGCCATTTTTTGGTGATTTTATAGTGATTTTTGGGGGGTTTTTAGGGGCATTAAAGGGTTAAAAATGAGGGTTTGAGGTGCTCAGGTGAGTCTCAGGTGAGCCTCAGGTGAGTCAGGTGAGTCCCACCTGGGCCAATTAAAAATTTTGGGGGATTTTGGGAAATTTTGGGCGAATTTTGGCAATTTTGAGCAATTTTACGGTGATTTTTTAGAGATTTTCGGGGGTTTTTGGGGAGGATTTTCGGCAGGAAATGAGGATTTAAAGTGATCAGGTGTGTCTCAGGTGAGTCTCACCTGGGCAGGTGTGGCCAGGTTAAAAAAAACTGTGAATTTTGGGGGATTTTGGGCAATTTTGGGTGAATATTGCCAATTTCGGATAATTTTTGGCATTTTTAAGTGATTTTTGGGGGTTTTGGGGTGATTTTGGCCGTTTTGGGGGGATTTGGGGAGGTTCAAAGTCTGGGACCTGTTCCCCGAGGCCGACCAGGTGCGCGCCATGCTGGTCAGGTGAGCGACCCCAAATTTTGGGGGGTTTTGGGAAAATTTGGGCGAAATTTCGGCGATTTTTGGCCATTTTTGGGCGATTTTATAGCGATTTTTAGGGGTTTTTTTGGGGCGTTAAGGGTTAAAAATGAGGATTTGAGGTGCTCAGGTGAGTCTCAGGTGAGCACACCTGGACACAGGTGAAAAAATTTAGGGGGAATTTTCAGGGATTTTGGGCAATTTTGGGCAAATTTTGGCCATTTTTGGGTGATTTTAGAGGGATTTTAGAGGGATTTTTGGGGGTTTTTGGGGAGATTTACGGTTAAAAATGAGGATTTGAGGTGCTCAGGTGAGTCTCAGGTGAGTCTCAGGTGAGCACACCTGGACACAGGTGAAAAATTTTTGGGGTAAATTTGGGCAAATTTTGGCAATTTTGGGTGAATTTTCGGCAATTTTGAGCGATTTTAGGGCGGTTTTATGGGGATTTTCGGGGTTTTTTGGGAGATTTAGGGTTAAAAATGAGGATTTGAGGTGCTCAGGTGAGTCTCAGCTGAGTCTCACCTGGGCAGGTGTGGCCAGGTAAAGAAAAACGTGAATTTCGGGGAATTTTGGGCGAATTTTGGCAATTTTGGGTGATTTTAGGGGGATTTTAAGAGAATTTGGGGTAAAAAATGTGGATTTGAGGTGCCCAGGTGCACCCAGGTGTGCCCAGGTAAGGAAATTTAGCCAATTTTGGAATATTTTGGGATATTTTGGGACATTTTGGGGCAGGAAATGAGAATTTGGGGGGTCAGGGGCGTGCCCAGGTGTGCCCAGGTGTGCCCAGCTGCCCCCAGGTGTGCCCAGCTGCCCCCAGGTGTGCCCAGGTGTGCCCCAGGTACCCTCAGGTGTGCCCAGGTGTATCCCAGGTGTGCCCAGGTGTATCTCAGGTGTATCTCAGGTGTGCCCAGGTGTGCCCAGGTGTGCCCAGGTGCCCCAGGTGTGCCCAGGTGTGCCCAGGTGTGCCAGGTGTGCCAAGGTGGCCCCAGGTGTATCTCAGGTGTGCCCAGGTGTGCCCAGGTGTGCCCAGGTGCCCCAGGTGTGCCCAGATGTGCCCAGGTGTGCCCAGGTGTGCCCAGGTGTATCTCAGGTGGTGCCCAGGTGTGCCCAGGTGTGCCCAGGTGTGCCCAGGTGTATCTCAGGTGTGCCCAGCTGTGCCCAGGTGTGCCCCAGGTGTGCCCAGGTGTGCCCAGGTGTGCCCAGGTGTATCCCAGGTACCCCCAGGTGTGCCCAGGTGTATCTCAGGTGCCCCCAGGTGCCCCCAGGTGCCCCCAGGTGCCCCCAGGTGCCCCCAGGTGTGCCCAGGTGTATCTCAGGTGTGCCCAGGTGTGCCCAGGTGTGCCCAGGTGCCCCCAGGTGTGCCCAGGTGTATCCCAGGTGTGCCCAGGTGTGCCAGCTGTGCCCTCTGTGCCCGCAGGAAGATCCAGGAGGAATCTCTCCGCACGTACCTGTTCACCTACAGCAGCGTCTACGACTCCATCAGGTCCGTTTTTTGGGGGGAAAAATGGGGATTTTGGGTCAAAAAAAAGAAAAAAAAATAATTTTTGGGGTGAAAAATGGGGATTTTGGAGTTTAAAAAAAAATATTAATTTTGGGGTAAAAAAAAAGCTTATTTGGGGGTAAAAAATGGGAATTTTGGGGTATAAAAAGCGGGTTTGGGGGTAAAAAAAAGTGAATTTTGGGGTAAAAAATTTGAATTCGGACGGGAAAAATTGGTGAGTTTTGGGGTTAAAAATGTAAATTTTCAGGTAAAAAATGGAGGAGTTAAAAGGGAAAAATTGGTGAATTTTAGGGTAAAAAAATAATTTTGGGGTATAAAAAGTGGGTTTGGGGGCAAATAAAACTGAATTTTCGGGTAAAAATGTGAATTCTGAACGGAAAAATTGGTGAATTTAGAAGGGAAAAATTGGTGATTTGGGGTAAAAAATGGATTTTGGGGTGAAAAATGGGAATTTTGGGGTAAAAAAACCTGGATTTTGGGGTAAAAAATGTGAATTTTGGGGTAAAAAAGGGTGATTTGGGGTAAAAAAAAAAGCGAATTTTGGGGTAAAAAATGTGAATTTTGGGGTAAAAAAGTGTATTTGGGTATAAAAAAAAGTTAATTTTGGGTAAAAAATAGCGGCTTTACAAGGCAAAAATTGGTGAATTTTGGGGTTAAAAAAATGTGAATTTTGGGCTAAAAAATGTGAATTTTGGGGTAAAAAGGGGTGAATTTAGAAGGGAAAAATTAGTGAATTTTGGGGTAAAAAAATGTGAATTTTGGGGTAAAAAGGGGTGAATTTAGAAGGGGAAAATTAGTGAATTTTGGGGTAAGAAACAGCTATTTTAGAAGAAAAAAACTAGTGAATTTTGGGGTAAAAAATATAAATTTTGGGGTAAATAAGAGTGGATTTAAAAGGGGAAAGTTGGTGAATTTTGGGGTAAGAAATGTGAACTTTGGGGTAAAAACTAGCGATTTTAGAAGGGAAAAATTGGTGAATTTTGGGGTAAAAAATCATAAATTTTGGGGTAAAAAAATAATTTTAGGGTACAAAAAAAGTTGATTTTGGGGTAAAAATGAATTTTTCGGGTAAAAAATAGCAGATTTAAAAGGCAAAAATTGGTGAATTTTGGGGTAAAAAAATGTGAATTTTGGCATAAAAAGGGGTGAATTTATAAGGGAAAAATTGGTGAATTTTGGGGTAAAAAGGGGTGAATTTAGAAGGGAAAAATTTGTGGATTTTGGGTAAAAAATATTAATTTTGGGGTAAAAAATGTGAATTTTTGGGTAAAAAATAGGAATTTTGGGGTAAAAAAATAATGAATTTTGGGGTAAAAAGGGGTGAATTTAGAAGGGAAAAATTAGTGAATTTTGGGGTAAAAAAACCACAAATTTTGGGGTAAGAAATACTTTGGGTGTAAGAGGGCCGGATTTTGGGTTGAAAAAGGGGGATTTTGGGCCGGCAGCATGGAGACGCTGGCGGCCATGTTCGAGCTGGACCTGCCGACGGTGCACGGCATCATCAGCAAGATGATCATCAACGAGGAGCTGATGGTGAGCGCCTTTTGGGGCAAATTCCGGCCGGTTTGGGTCAAAAGGGAAATTTGGGGGATTTGGGGTCATTTCCGGCTCGGTTTGGGTCACCCGCGGGCAAATTCGGGGCAGTTTTGGGGCAGTTTTGGTGTTTTGGGGTCAAATTTGGGAACAGGTTGGGTGATTTTGGGTCAGATTTGGGGCAGTTTTGGGGTCAATTTTGGGGTCAGATTGGGTGATTTTGGGGCAGTTTTGGGGTCAATTTTGGTGATTTTGGGTCAAATTTGGGTTCTAATTGTGTGATTTTGGGACAGTTTTGGGGCAGTTTTGGGGTCAATTTTGGTGATTTTGGGTCAAATTTGGGTTCTAATTGTGTGATTTTGGGACAGATTTGGGATCAGGTTGGGTGATTTTGGTTCAAATTTTGGGTCAGATTGTGTCAAATCTTGGGTTTAATTTGGGGGAGTTTTGGGTCATTTGGGCTCATTTTGGGTCATTTTGGGTCACTTGGGGTCAATTTGGGTGATTTGGGGTCAAATTTGGGGCCGTTTTGGGGTCAATTTTGGTGATTTTGGGTCAAATTTGGGGCAGTTTTGGGGTTAATTTTGATGATCTTGGGTCAAATTTGGGGTCAGGTTGGGTGATTTTGGGGCAGATTTGGGGCGGGTTTTGGGTCAAATTTGGGGTCAGATTGGGTGATTTTGGGTCAGTTTTGGGGAAGTTTTGGGGTAAATTTTGGTGATTTTGGGGCAGTTTTGGAATCAATTTTGGTGGTTTTGGGTCAAATTTGGGGCAGTTTTTGGTGTAAATTTTGGTGATTTTGGGTCAATTTTGGGAACAATTTGGGTGATTTTGGGTCAGATTTGGGGCAGTTTTTGCGTCAATTTTGGTGATTTTGGGTCAGATTTGGGATGAGGTTGGGTGATTTTGGGTCAAATTTTAGGGGTTTAGATTGGGTCAAATCTTGGGTTTAATTTTGGGGAGTTTTGGGTTATTTGGGCTCAATTTGGGGAGTTTAGGGTCACTTGGGGTGAATTTGGGTGATTTGGGGTCACATTTGGGGCAGTTTTGGGGTCAATTTTGGTGATTTTGGGTCAGATTTGGGGCAGTTTTGGGGTCAATTTTGGTGATTTTGGGACAGATTTGGGGCAGTTTTTGGGTCAATTTTGGTGATTTTGGGTCAGATTTGGGAACAGGTTGGGTTATTTTGGGGCAGATTTGGGGCAGTTTTTGGGTCAAATTTGGGGTCAGATTGGGTGATTTTGGGTCAGATTTGGGGCAGTTTTGAGGTCAATTTTGGTGATTTTGGGTCAAATTTGGGGTGGTGTTGGGAGATTTTGGGACAGATTTGGGGTCAATTTTGGGGTCAATTTTGGTGATTTTGGGTCAAATTTGGGGCAGTTTTGGGGTTAATTTTGATGATCTTGGGTCAAATTTGGGGTCTGGTTGGGTGATTTTGGGTCAGATTTAGGGCGGTTTTGGGTCAATTTTGGGGATTTTGGGTCAAATTTGGGGCAGTTTTGGGATCAATTTTGGTGATTTTGGGTCAAATTTGGGGTCTGGTTGGGTGATTTTGGGTCAAATTTGGGGTCAGGTTGGGTGATTTTGGGGCAGTTTTGGGGTCAATTTTAGGGTCAATTTTGGTGATTTTCGGTTAAATTTGGGGCAGTTTTTGGGTCAATTTTGGTGATTTTGGGTCAGATTTGGGGTCAGATTGGGTGATTTTGGGTCAGATTTGGGGTCAGATTGGGTCAAATCTTGGGTTTAATTTCGGGGAGTTTTGGGGCATTTGGGCTCATTTTGGGGAGTTTTGGGTTACTTGGGGTGAATTTGGGTGATTTGGGGTCAATTTAGGGCGGTTTTGGGGCAAATTTGGGGCAGTTTGGGTGATTTTGGGGCAGATTTGAGGCAGTTTTGGGGTCAGTTTATGTGATTTTGGGTCAAATTTGGGGTCTGGTTGGGTGATTTTGGGTCAGATTTGGGGCCATTTTGGGGTCAATTTTGGTGATTTTGGGTCAAATTTGGGGTCAGGTTGGGTGATTTTGGGTCAAATTTGGGAACAAGTTGGGTGATTTATGTCAAATTTGGGGTCAGATTGGGTGATTTTGAGTCAAATTTGGGGCAGTTTTTGGGTCAAATCTGGGGTCAGATTGGGTCAAATCTTGGGTTAAATTTTGGGGAGTTTTGGGTCACTTGGGGTCAATTTGGGTGATTTGGGGTCACATTTGGGGCAGTTTTGGGGTCAATTTCAGTGATTTTGGGTCAAATTTGGGTCACTTGAAATTTGGGCTCAATTTGGGTCATTTTGGGGTCGGTTTGGGTGATTTTGGGGCAGATTTGGGGCAGTTTTGGTGGGATTTCAGGTGGGGTTTTGGGGGTTACCTGCAGCACAGGTGAGTCACCTGTGACCCCGTTTGGGGCCATTTTGGGGTGATTTTGGTCGGGTTTGGGGCAATTTTGGGCAGTTTTGGGGCAATCTCAGGTGGGTTTTCAGGGGTTACCTGCAGGACAGGTGAGCCTCACCTGGGCCCACTTTAGACCTCACTGGATGAGCCCAAGGTCACCACGATGATGGGGTGACCCCATTTGGGGCCATTTTGGGGTGATTTTGGGCAGGTTTGGGGTGATTTTTGGTAGTTTTGGGGTGATTTCGGGTGGGTTTTTGGGGGTTACCTGCAGGACAGGTGAGTCTCACCTGGGCCCACTTTAGACCTCACTGGATGAGCCCAAGGTCACCATGATGGTGGGGTGACCCCATTTGGGGCCATTTTGGGGTGATTTTGGGCAGTTTTGGGGCGATTTTGGGTGGGTTTTTGGGGGGGTTACCTGCAGGACAGGTGAGTCTCACCTGGGCACACCTGCAGGCCTCGCTGGACCAGCCCACGGCCACGGTGATGATGGGGTGACCCCGTTTGTGGCCATTTTGGGGTGATTTTGGGCAGTTTTGGGGTGATTTTGGATGGGTTTTTGGGGCGGTTACCTGCAGGACAGGTGAGTCTCACCTGGGCACACCTGCAGGCCTCGCTGGACCAGCCCACAGCCACGGTGATTGTGGGTTGACCCCATTTGATGCCATTTTGGGGTGATTTTGAGCAGGTTTGGGGCAGTTTTGGGGTGATTTCGGGTGGGTTTTTGGGGGTTACCTGCAGGACAGGTGAGCCTCACCTGGGCCCACTTAAGACCTCACTGGATGAGCCCAAGGCCACCATGATGATGGGGTGACCCCGTTTGGGGCCATTTTGGGGTGATTTTGGGCAGTTTTGGGACGATTTTGGGTGGGTTTTTGGGGGGTTACCTGCAGGACAGGTGAGTCTCACCTGGGCACACCTGCAGGCCTCGCTGGACCAGCCCACAGCCACGGTGATGATGGGGTGACCCCGTTTGGGGCCATTTTGGGGTTATTTTGGGCAGTTTTGGAGCGATTTCGGGTGGGTTTTTGGGGGGGTTACCTGCAGGACAGGTGAGTCTCACCTGGGCACACCTGCAGGCCTCGCTGGACCAGCCCACGGCCACGGTGATGATGCACCGGACGGAGCCGACGGCCACGCAGAACCTGGCGCTGCAGCTGGCCGAGAAGTTGGGCAACCTGGTGGAGAACAACGAGCGGGTGCTGGACCAGCGGCAGGGCGCCTACGGGGGGTACTTCAGAGGTGAGCACACCTGGGCACACCTGGGCACACCTGGGGGCACCTGGGAGGGAGAGAACAAAAAAAACCCGGTGGAAATGGGGTGAAAAATGGGGATTTTGGGGGGTTTTTGGGTTACCTGGGCACACCTGAGCCCTGCCCCGTTCTCACCTGTCCCATCTTGTCCTGCAGACCAGAAAGATGGCGGATACCGCAAAGGTGACGGGTACCTGCGGCGGGGCGGCTTCCGGCAGGAGCGCGGCAACTACTGACCCACACCTGCCCCATGGATCCTTACCTGCCCCATAGATCCCTTACCTGCCCCATGGATCCTCACCTGTTCTACAAATTCACTCACCTGGGCAAAAAGTCATCACCTGCCCCATGGACCCCTCACCTGCCCCATGGACCCCTCACCTGCCCCATAGATCCCTTACCTGCCCCATGGATCCTCACCTGCCCCATAGATTCCTCACCTGCCCTATGGATTCCTCACCTGCCCCATAGATCCCTCACCTGCCCCATGGATCCCTTACCTGCCCCATAGATCCCTCACCTGCCCCATAGATCCCTTACCTGCCCCATAGATCCCTTACCTGCCCCATAGATCCTCACCTGTTCTACAAATTCACTCACCTGGGCAAAAAGTCATCACCTGCCCCACGGACCCCTCACCTGCCCCATAGATCCCTTACCTGCCCCATAGATCCTTCACCTGCCCCATGGATTCCCTCACCTGCCCCATAGATCCCTCACATGCCCCATAGATCCTCACCTGTTCCATCAAGGGTCCCACAGCTGGAAATGAATAAATTAATTATTAAAGAGCATGGTAATGAGGAGTTAATTAATTCATTAGGCAGGGGCTGCCCCATAGATCCTGGCCCTGCCCCATAAGTGGCCCCAAAGTTTCTCCCCTCACGTTTTCCCGCCTTTTTTCCTCACATTTTCCCGCCTTTTTTCCTCACGTTTTCCCGCCTTTTTTCCTCCCCTCACGTTTTCCCGCCTTTTTTCCTCACATTTTCCCGCCTTTTTTCCCCCCTCACGTTTTCCCGCCTTTTTTCCTCCCTCACATTTTCCCGCCTTTTTCCTTCCCTCACGTTTTCCCACCATTTTTTTTCCCCTCACGTTTTCCCGCCTTTTTTCTCCCCTCACGTTTTCCCTCCATTTTTCCTCCCCTCACATTTTCCCTCCTTTTTTCCCCCCTCACATTTTCCCGCCTTTTTCCCTTCCCTCACATTTTCCCGCCTTTTTTCCCCCCTCACATTTTCCCGCCATTTTTGTTCCCCTCACGTTTTCCCGCCTTTTTCCTCTGTCACATTTTCCCGCCTTTTTCCTCCCCTCACATTTTCCCGCCTTTTTCCCTCCCTCACATTTTCCCGCCTTTTTCCTCTGTCACATTTTCCCGCCTTTTTCCTCCCCTCACATTTTCCCGCCTTTTTCCCTCCCTCACATTTTCCCGCCTTTTTCCCTCCCTCACATTTTCCCGCCTTTTTTCCCCCCTCACATTTTCCCGCCTTTTTTCCCCCCTCACATTTTCCCGCCTTTTTTCCCCCCTCACATTTTCCCGCCTTTTTTCCTCCCTCACATTTTCCCGCCTTTTTTCCCCCCTCACATTTCCCGCCTTTTTTGTTCCACTCACATTTTCCCGCCATTTTCTTCCCTCACATTTTCCCGCCATTTTCCCCCCTCACATTTTCCCGCCTTTTTCCCCCCTCACATTTTCCCGCCATTTTTCCCCCTCACGTTTTCCCGCCTTTTTTCCCCCCTCACATTTTCCCGCCTTTTTTCCCCCTCACATTTTCCCGCCTTTCCCCCCCCCTTACATTTTCCCGCCTTTTTTCATCCCCTCACATTTTCCCGCCTTTTTTCCCCCTCACATTTTCCCTCCTTTTTCCCCCTCACATTTTCCCGCCTTTTTCCTCCCCTCACATTTTCCCTCCTTTTTCCCCCTCACATTTTCCCGCCTTTTTCCTCCCCTCACATTTTCCCTCCTTTTTTCCCCTCACGTTTTCCCGCCTTTTTCCCCCTCACATTTTCCTGCCTTTTTTCTCCCCTCACGTTTTCCCGCCTTTTTTTTCACATTTTCCCGCCTTTTTTCCCCCTCACGTTTTCCCGCCATTTTGTTTGATCCACAAATTCCACTCCCATAACTCAATTTTAATAAAACAACAATTTTAAAACCCTTAATTAATTATCCCTCATTAATTAACAGCGCCCCCTGCGATGTGACTTTCCCCGTCCATTCCGCCCCATTGCTCCCACCCATTTTAATAAAATTAATTCATTGATTAATACAAATATGAATTAATTAAACGATTACTTATTAATTAGCGATTTATTAACGAGCAGCAAACCCCTGCCCCATAATCAACTCCCCATTTCCATAAAATTAATTAAGTGAAAGATGAAAAACACGCATCAATTACCTTAAATTATTAATTAATTAATCAATCAGCCCTGGTTAATGAGCGACGAGGGGCTGCGCCCTGCCCCCAAAAACCTTCGGCCATTAATTACTCATTAAAAACCCTCGTTAATGAGTGACCGGGGGGGGGAGGGGCGGCTGTGCCCCTCATTAATCCCTCACTAATTAACCGCGTTAATGAGTGACTCGGGGGGGGGTGGGGGATAAAATTCCCTCCCCCACCTCCCTCAGGGCCTTCCCGGCGCCGCCATGGGGCAGGGGGGGTCCCTGCTGAGATCTGTGGGGCAGGGGAGATCTGTGGGGCAATCTATGGGGGGATTTATGGGGGGATCTATGGGGGGATCTATGGGGCAGGGGAGGTCCTTGGGGGGATCTATGGGGCGATCTATGGGGGGATTTATGGGGGGATCTATGGGGCAGGGCAGATCTATGGGGCAGGGGAGGTCCTTGGGATTTATGGGGGGATCTATGGGGGGATTTATGGGGGGATCTATGGGGCAGGGGAGGTCCTTGGGGGGATTTATGGGGGGGTCCCTGTGGAGATCTGTGGGGCAGGGCAGACCTATGGGGGGATTTATGGGGCAGGGGAGGTCCTTGGGATTTATAGGGAGATCTGTGGGGGGATTTATGGGGGGATCTATGGGGCAGGGGAGGTCCTTGGAGGGATTTATGGGGGGATTTATGGGGGGATCTATGGGGCAGGGCAGATCTATGGGGCAGGGGAGGTCCTTGGGATTTATGGGGGGATCTATGGGGGGATTTATGGGGAGATCTATGGGGCAGGGGAGATCTATGGGGCAGGGCAGATCTATGGGGCAGGGGAGATCTATCGGGGGATTTATGGGGGGATCTATGGGGCAGGAGAGATCTATGGGGGGATTTATGGGGGGATCTATGGGGCAGGGAGCATCCCTGAGGGGATTTATGGGGAGATCTGTGGGGGGATTTATGGGGGGATCTATGGGGCAGAAACCATCCTTGGGGGGATCTATGGGGCAGAGGAGATCTATGGGGGGATCTATGGGACAGGGAGGGGTTAAGGGTGGATCTATGGGTCAGGGAAGCTCTATGCCGAGATCTATGGGGCAGGGAGGCTCTATGGGCGGATCTATGGGTCAGGAGGGTTCTATGGGGGGATCTGTGGGTCAGGAGGGATCAGTGGGTCAGGAGGGCTCCATGGGGCGGCGTGTGGGGCAGGAGGGATCTATGCCGGGATCTATGGGTCAGGAGGGATCAGTGGGTCAGGAGGGCTCCATGGGGCGGCGTGTGGGTCAGGAGGGCTCCATGGGGCAATCAGTGGGTCAGGAGGGCTCCATGGGGGAATCTGTGGGTCAGGAGGGATCAGTGGGTCAGGAGGGCTCCATGGGGCGGCGTATGGGGCAGGAGGGATCTATGGGCGGATCTGTGGGTCAGGAGGGATCTGTGGGTCAGGAGGGCTCTATGGGGCGGCGTGTGGGGCAGGTGCAGGCGCAGCTGGGGCAGGGCCGGGCGCTGGCGGTGCTGACTTGGGGGGAGCTGCTCCGGGCCCTGCTGGTGCTCGGCCTGTGCGCCCACCCCCGGCTGCAGCGCGACCCCCAGGCGGTGAGACCCACAAGTGGGGGGCGGGACCCATAGAGACAGCCCTGACCCATAGACAGACCCATAGACAGACCCACAAGTGGGGGGCAGGACCCATAGAGACAGCCCTGCCCCATAGAGAGCCCTGCCCCATAGACAGAGCCCTGACCCATAGATGGAGCCTGACCCATAGACAGACCCATAGACAGACCCACAAGTGGGGGGCGGGCCCCATAGAGAGCCTGACCCATAGACAGACCCATAGAGAGAGCTGTGACCCATAGACAGACCCAGAGACAGACCCATAGATGGAGCCCTGACCCATAGACAGACCCATAGATGGAGCCCTGCCCAATAGACAGAGCCCTGCCCCAGAGACAGACCCAGAGACAGACCCACAAGTGGGGGGCAGCACCCCATAGACAGAGCCCTGACCCATAGAGAAACTCCATTTCCCCCCATTTCCCCCAATTTCTCCCCATTTTATTCCCCCCATTTCCCCCAAAATTTCTCCCCATTTCCCCCATTTTTTTTACGTTTTCCCCAATTTTTTCCCAAATTTTCCCCAATTTTTCCCTATTTCCTCCCCTTTTTTTTCAAATTTCCCCCAATTTTCCCCATTTTCCCCCATTTTCCCCCATTTCCCCCCCATTTCCCACCCATTTTCCCCCATTTTTTTTACTTTTTTCCCAATTTTTCCCCATTTCCCCCAATTCTTTTCAATTTTTTCCCAATTTTTCCCAATTTTACCCAATTTTCCCCATTTTCCCCCATTCCCCCCATTTTCCTGCCCATTCCCCCCCATTTTCCCCCCATTTCCCCCCATTTTATCCCCATTTTCCCCCCTTTTTTTTCAATTTTTCCCAATATTTTCCCAATTTCCCCCCATTTCTCCCCATTTCCCCCCATTTTCTCCTTTTCCCCCCATTTCTCCCCATTTCTCCCCATTTTACTCAATTTTTTCTCATTTTTCCCCATTTTTCCCCATTTTCCCCATTTTTCCCCATTTTTCCCCATTTTTCCCCCATTCCCCCAATTTCCCCCCATTTCCCCCCATTTTTTCCTATTTTTTCCCAATTTTTCCCCCATTTCCCCCAATTTCCCCCCATTTCCCCCCATTTTCTCCCCAATTTCCCCCCATTTCCCCCAACTTTATCCCCATTTTTCCACATTTTCCCCCATTTTCTCCATTTTTCCCCCTTTTTTTTTCCATTTTTCCCTATTTTCCCCCATTTCCCCCCATTTTTCCCCATATCTTCCCATTTTATCCCAATTTTGCCCCATTTTTTCCCAATTTTCCCCCATTTCCCCTATTTTTTTTCTATTTTTTTTCAATTTTTTTTCAATTTTTTCCCAATTATCCCCAATTTTTTCCCATTTCCCCCATTTTTTCCCCATTTTTCCCTATTTCCCCCCTTTTTTTTCAATTTTTCCCAATATTTTCCCAATTTCCCCCCATTCCCCCCATTTTTTTCCCAATTCCCCCCATTTTCTCCCCATTTCCCCCCATTTTCCCCTTTTTATCTCCATTTTCCCCCATTTCCCCCATTTTCCTCCATTTTTTCCTAATTTTTTCCCAATTTCCCCCCAATTTTCACCATTTCCCCCCATTTTATCCCCATTCTTCCTCATTTTTTCCCCATTTCCCCCATTTTTCCCAATTTTCCCCCTTTTTCCCCCATTTCCCCCCATTTCTCCCCATTTTCTCCCCAATTTCCCCCAATTTTTTTCGTTTTTTTTTTCCCGATTTTCCCGATTTTCCCCCATTTTATCCCCATTTTACCCATTTTCCCCATTTTTTTTCAATTTTTTCTCATTTTTCCCCATTTCCCCCAATTTCCCCCCTCTCCCCGCAGTTCCTGCTGCTGTCCCGCCGGGCTCTGGGCCGCCGCCTCTGGCGCTCGCTGCTCTCGGTGTCGCTGTGGGGTCACTTCGCTGTGGGGCTCAGCCCCACGGCCGTGGCCGCTCTGGGCCGGCGGCTCCGGGCCCGGGGGCTGCGGCCGATGCTGGCGCTGCCCATGGAGGGGGACGCGCCCCACGGACAGGGGTCAGCACTTGGGGGGCAAGGGGGGGCGGCTGGGGGGCGGTTGTGGGGGTTTGGGGTCATTTATGGGGCGGGTGTGGGGCAGTTATGGGGTCACTTATGGGGCAGTTGTGCGGTTTGGGGTCACTAGTGGGTCACTTGTGGGTCCCTTATGGGGTTTTCGGGTCACTGATGGGTCACTGATGGGGTTTTGGGGTCACTTATGGGGCAGTTATGGGGCAGTTATGGGGCCGTTGTGGGGTTTTGGGGTCACTTATGGGTCACTGATGGGGTTTTGGGGGCACTTTCGGGGCAGCTATGGGGCAGTTATGGGTCACTATGGGTTTTGGGGTCACTTATGGGGTTTGGGGTCACTCATGGGTCACTAATGGGGTTTTGGGGTCACTTATGCGGCGGTTATGGGGCCGTTATGGGGTCACTTGTGGGTCACTAATGGGGTTTTGGGGTCACTTGTGGGTCACTGATGGGGTTTTGGGTCACTTATGGGGCAGTTGTGGGTCACTAATGGGGTTTTGGGTCACTCATGGGGCAGTTATGGGGCAGTTATGGGTCACTGATGGGCTGTAGGGGTGATTTATGGGGCAGTTATGGGTCAATTGTGGGTCACTAATGGGGTTTGGGGTCACTTGTGGGGCAGTTATGGGTCACTGATGGGGTGTAGGGGTCACTTATGGGGTTTTGGGGCCACTTATGGGGCAGTTATGGGTCACTGATGGGTCACTAATGGGGTTTTGGGGTCATTTGTGGGGCGGTTGTGGGGCGGTTATGGGGGTTTGGGGTCACTTATGTGTCACTGATGGGGTTCGGGGTCACTTGTGGGGCAGGGATGAGTTTGGGGTCATTTATGGGGCAGTTATGGGGTCACTGATGGGGTTTTGGGGTCACTTATGGGTCACTCGTGGGTCACTGATGGGGTTTTGGGGTCACTTGTGGGGCAGTTCTGGGGTCACTTGTGGGGCAGGGAGGCTCTCAGTGTCACTTGTGGGGCAGGGAGGCGCGGCTGCAGCAGAACTGTGGGGCGGCGCTCCGATGTGTGGGGCTGGCGGCGGCCGCGGGCCCCGAACCCGCGATGCAGCTGAAGCTGACGGCGCTGCTGGACCCACGGCTCTGCGTGAGTGGGGCAGAGGGATCTGTGGGGTGAGATCTGTGGGGTGGGATCTGTGGGTCAGGGGGTGTGGGGCGGGATCTATGGGGCAGGGGGATGTGTGGGGCAGGGTGTGGGGCAGGGTGTGTGGGGCAGGGGTGTGGGGCGGGATCTGTGGGGCGGGATCTGTGGGGCAGGGGATGTGGGGGAGGGGAATGTGTGGGGCAGGGGGGTCTATGGGGCAGGGTGTGGGGGTCTATGGGGCAGGGGGTGTGGGGCAGAAGGATGGGTGGGATCTGTGGGTCAGGGGGTGTGGGGTGGGATCTATGGGGTCTATGGGGCAGGGGGATCTGTGGGGCAGGATTGGGATCTATGGGGCAGATTTGGGATCTATGGGGCAGATTTGGGATCTATGGGGCAGATCTATGGGGCAGGATTAAATCTATGGGGCAGATTTGGGATCTATGGGGCAGATTCGGATCTATGGGGCAGATTTGGGATCTATGGGGCAGATCTATAGGACAGGATCGGGATCTATGGGGCATTATGGGATCTATGGGTCAGGATTAAATCTATGGGGCAGGATTAAATCTATGGGGCAGCTCAGCCCCTCCCTGGCCACGCCCCCAGGAGAAAATCGCGCTGCGATTGGCTGAGCCGGAAGGGGCGGGGCTGAGCCCGGAAGAGGTGGCGGCCATGTTGGACGGGCAGGTAACCACGCCCCCTTTAACAAACCACGCCCCCTTTTACCAAAACCACGCCCATTTCACATAACCCCGCCCCCTTTTCAGGCGCCGGCGCTCGATTGGCTGAGCCCGGACGAGAACGAGGCTCTGGGGCGGGGCCTGGGGCGGCTGCAGCGCGTGGTGCAGGTGAGGGGGCGGGGCCTGGGCACACCTGGGGGCACCCAAAATACACCCAAAACACACCTGGGCACACCTGGGCACACCTGGGGCACACCCAAAACACACCTGGGCACACCTGGGCACACCTGGGGGCACCCAAAATACACCCAAAACACACCCGGGCACACCTGAGATACACCTGGGACACGCCCCCGACCCCCCAAATTCCAATTTCCTGCCCCAAAATGACCCAAAATCGCCCAAAATTGTCCAAATTCCCTTACCTGGGCACACCTGGGCACACCTGGGGGCACCTGGGAGGGGGAGAACCAAAAAATCCCGGTGGAAATGGGGTGAAAAATGGGGATTTTGGGGGATTTTGGGGTTACCTGGGCACACCTGGGCACACCTGGGATAGACCTGGGCATGGTTTAACACACCTGGGGGCACCTGGGCACACACCTGGGCACACCTGGGCACACCTGGGCACACCTGGGCACACCTGGGTACACCTGGGGGATATTTTGGGCACACCTGTGACACACCTGGGAGGCGGAGAACCAAAAATCCCGTTAGAAATGGGGTAAAAAATTGGGATTTTGGGGTTACCTGGGCACACCTGGGGCACACCTGGGGGGTATTTTGGGCACCCCTGGCACACCTGGGCACACCTGGGCACCCCTGGCACACCTGGGGGGTATTTTGGGCACACCTGGGCACACCTGGGCACACCTGGCACACCTGGGGCACACCTGGGGGGTATTTTGGGCACCCCTGGGCACACCTGGGGGACACCTGGGCACACCTGGGGGACACCTGGGCACACCTGGGCACACCTGGGCACACCTGGGCACACCTGGGCACACCTGGGGGACACCTGGGCACACCTGGGGGATATTTTGGGCACCCCTGGGCACACCTGGGCACAGCTGGGCACACCTGGGGGTACCTGAGATACACGTGGGCACACCTGGGGGATATTTTGGGCACACCTGAGACACACCTGGGCACACCTGGGCGCACCTGGGCACACCTGGGCACACCTGGGCACACCTGGGGCACACCTGGGCACAGCTGGCACACCTGGGCACACCTGGGATACACCTGGGCACACCTGGGGGGTATTTTGGGCACACCTGGCACCCCTGTGCCCGCAGGCGGCCGTGGCCGGGGGCGTGCAGGTGCTGGTGGACGCGGAGCTGTCGCACCTGAACCCGGCCCTCACCTGCCTCACCTGCGGCCTCATCTGGCGCCACAACCGGGCGGGGCCCCGGCCCTGGGTCTGGCACACCTGGCAGGCCTACCTGAGGGTGAGTGCACCTGGGCACCTGGGGGCACCTGGGCACACCTGGGGGTACCTGGGCACACCTGGGCACACCTGGGAGGGGTGGGGCTAAAGAAACCCGGTGGAAATGGGGTGAAAAATGGGGATTTTGGGGGGTTTGGGGGTACCTGGGCACACCTGGGCTCACCTGGGGCACATTTTGGGGTTACCTGGGACACACCTGGGCACACCTGGGGCACACCTGGGCACACCTGGGCACACCTGGGTACACCTGGGGCACATTTTGGGCACACCTGTGACACACCTGTCCCCCCAGGACACGGAGTCCCTCCTCGGGGCTCACCTGGCGCAGGTGGGGCACACCTGGGTGATATTTTGGGTATATTTTGGGCACATTTTGGGCACATTTTGGGCACACCTGTCCCCCCAGGACACGGAGTCCCTGCTCGGGGCTCACCTGGCGCAGGTGCGGGGGGCGGGGCTGCGCTGTGGGGTGAAGTTGGTGCGCGGGGCTTACCTGGCCCAGGAGCAGGGGCGGGCCCGGGAGCGCGGCCGCCCCGCCCCCACCTGGGACACACCTGAGCAGACCTCGGCCAGGTACGGGAAATTGGGGGGATTTGGGGGGATTTTGGGGTAATTTTTGGGAAATTTTGGTGGTATTTTTGTGGGAATTTTGGTGGAAATTTTGGGGAAATTTGGAATAGTTTTTGGGAAATTTTGGGGAAATTTTGTGGGAATTTTGGGGAAATTTGGAATAGTTTTTGGGAAAATTTGGTGGAATTTTTGGGAAAATTTGGGGGAAAATTTGGGGAATTTTGGGGGAATTATGGGAGAATTTTAAGGGAATGTAGAGGGAATTTTTGGGGAAGTTTGGAATAATTTTGGGGAATGTTGGGGAATTTGGGGAAAATTTGTGAGAATTTTGGGGGAAATTTGGGAGAATTTTAAGGGAATGTAGAGGGAATTTTGGGGGAATTTTGGGGAAATTTGGAATAACTTTGGAGAAAATTTGGTGGAATTTTGAGGAAATTTGGGTGGAACTTTGGAGGGATTTTGGGGAAATTTGGAGGGATTTTGGGGGAATTTTGGGGGAATTTTGGGTGAACTTTGGCCGATTTTTGGGGTGATTTTTGGGTGAATTTTGGCTGATTTTGGGGTGATTTCTGATCCAATTTTTGGGTGAATTTGGGGTGATTTTTGTGTGAGTTTGGGCCAATTTTGGGGTGATTTTGGCGTGATTTCTGATGCGATATTTGGGTGATTTTGAGGTGATTTCGGGGTGAATTTTGGGTGAATATTGGGTTATTTTGGGGTGATTTCTGATCCGATTTTTGGGTGAATTTTGGGCGATTTTGGGGTGATTTCTGATCCAATTTTTGCGTTGATTGTGGGCCGATTTTTGGGTGATTTTGGGGTGATTTCTGTGTGAATTTTGGGTGAATTTGGGCCGATTTCTGGTTGAATTTTGGGTGAATTTTGGCCGATTTTGGGGTGATTTTGGGGTGATTTCTGATCCGATTTTTGGGTGATTTTTGGGTGAATTTGGGCCGATTGCTGGTTGAATTTTGGGTGACTTTTGGGCCGATTTTTGGGTGAATTCTGGGTGAATTTTGGGCCGATTTTGGGTGAATTTTTGAGTGAATTTCAGGTGAATTTTAGGTGATTTCTGGGTGATTTTGGGGGTAATTTTTGGGTGAATTTTGCCCGATTTTGTGTCTCTCTCTCCCCCAGCTACGAGCGCTGCCTGGCGCTGGTTTTGGCCGCTCTGGCCCGGCCCGACCCGGGTCTGGCGCTGATGGTGGCGACGCACAACGAGGAGTCGGCCATGGCCGCGCTGCGAGGGTCAGCGGGAACGGCGGGAATAACGGGGATTCCGGGAATTCCGGGGGTTATTGGGATTTATTGGGGATTATTGGGGAATTTTTGGGGAATTTATTGGAATTTTTTGGGAATTTTTGGGGAATTTTTAAGGATTTTACTGAGAATTTTTGGGGATTTTTTTGGGAATTTTCTGAGAATTTTTGGGGAATTTTTTGGGATAATATTGGGATCTTTTCGGAATTTTTCTGGGAATTTTGGGGATTTTTCTGGGAGTTTTTTAAAAATTTTTTTGGTATTTTTTTAGGAAGTTTTTGGGGAATTTTTTGGAATTTTTTAGGATTTTTTTTCTGGGAATTTTTGGGGAATTTTTTGGGATTTTTTGAGATTTTTTTTTTGGAAAAAGGTTGGGATATTTTTAACAATTTTTTTTGATTTTTTTGGAATTTTTTAGGATTTTTCTGAAAATTTTTGGGGAATTTTTTGGGATTTTTTGAGATTTTTTTTTTTTTAAATGTTGGGATTTTTTTGGCAACTTTTTTGGATTTTTTTTTTTTAATTTTTCTGGGGGGAATTGTTTTGGAATTTATTGGGAATTTTGTGAGATTTTTTTAGGATTTTTCTGGGAATTTTTGGCGAATTTTTTTTTTTTTTTTGAGGTGTTTTGAGAATTTTTTTAGGAATTTTTTGTTCAATTTTTGTTAATTTTTATTCCATTTCGGGCTGATTTTTTGTTCATTTTGGGTGTAATTTTTCTTCAATTTTGGGTTAATTTTTGTTAATTTTTATTCGATTCTGGGCGGATTTTGCCCAAAAAGCCCCGATTTGACCCCAAAATCCCCCCCAGGATGTCGCGGGTCCCGCCCGGCTCCGTTTGCTTCGGGCAACTGCGGGGGATGGGCGACAGCCTGAGCCTGGCGCTGGGTGAGTGACCCTGAGTGACCCCTGTGACCCCTGAGTGACCCCTGAGTGACCCTGAGTGACCCCTGAGTGACCAATGAGTGACCCCTGAGTGACCCCTGAGTGACCCCTGAGTGACCCTGAGTGACCCCTGTGACCCCTGTGACCCCTGTGACCCCTGAGTGACCCCTGAGTGACCAATGAGTGACCCTGAGTGACCCTGAGTGACCCTGAGTGACCCCTGAGTGACCAATGAGTGACCCTGAGTGACCCCTGAGTGACCCTGAGTGACCCCAGTGACCCCTGAGTGACCAATGAGTGACCCCTGAGTGACCCTGAGTGACCAATGAGTGACCCCTGAGTGACCCCTGTGACCCCTGAGTGACCCCTGTGACCCCTGAGTGACCCCTGTGACCCCTGAGTGACCCCAGAGTGACCCTGAGTGACCCCTGAGTGACCCCTGAGTGACCCTGAGTGACCCTGAGTGACCCTGAGTGACCCCTGAGTGACCCTGAGTGACCACTGACCACTGAGTGACCCCTGAGTGACCCCAAATCCCCCTGAAATCCCCAAAATCCCCCAAAAATCCCCAAAAAACCCCTTAAATGACCCCAAACTGACCCCGAGTGACCCCGAGTGACCCCGAGTGACCAATGAGTGACCCCTGAGTGACCAATGAGTGACCCCAAATCCCCCAAAATCCCCCCAAAATCCCCCAAAAATCCCCCAAAATCCCCTTAAATTCCCCCAAACTGACCCCGAGTGACCCCAAGTGACCAATGAGTGACCCTGAGTGACCCTGAGTGACCAATGAGTGACCCTGAGTGACCCTGAGTGACCAATGAGTGACTCCTGAGTGACCCCAAATCCCCCAAAATCCCCCCAAAATCCCCAAAAAATTCCCCAAAATCCCCTTAAATGACCCTGAATGACCCTGAATGACCCCAAATGACCCCTGAATGACCCCGAGTGACCCCAAGTGACCAATGAGTGACCCTGAGTGACCCTGAGTGACCCCAAATCCCCCAAAATGCCTCAAAAATCCCTAAAAAAAACCCTAAAATTACCCCAAACTGACCCTCAGTGACCCCGAGTGACCCCTGAATGACCCCAAATGACCCCGAGTGACCCTGAGTGACCCCTGAGTGACCCTGAGTGACCCTGAGTGAGCCCAAATCCCCCAAAATCCCAAAAAAATCCCTCAAAAATCCTCCAAAATCCCCTTAAACGACCCTGAATGACCCCAAATGACCCCGAGTGACCCCAGTGACCCTGAGTGACCCCTGAGTGACCCCAAATCCCCCCAAAATCCCCCAAAAATCCCCATAAATCCCCTTAAACGACCCCAAACTGACCCCGAATGACCCCGAGTGACCCCGAGTGACCCCGAATGACCCCGAATGACCCAGAGTGACCCCTGAGTGACCCCTGAGTGACCCCTGAGTGACCCCTGAGTGACCCTGAGTGACCCTGAGTGACCCCAAATCCCCCAAAATGCCTCAAAAATCCCTAAAAAAACCCCTAAAATTACCCCAAACTGACCCCAAATGACCCCAAATGACCTGAATGACCCCAAGTGACCCCTGAATGACCCCAAATGACCCCGAATGACCCTCGAGTGACCCCGAGTGACCCCGAGTGACCCCGAGTGACCCCCGCGCTGTCCGGCAGCCTCTGGGGGGTTCCGGGTGTACAAGTCGGTGCCGGTGGGACCCCCCGAAGTGACCGTCCCGTACCTGGCGCGGCGAGCGGCCGAAAACCGCGAGGCCCTGGGCGGGGCCCGGCGCGAGCGGGAGCAGCTGTGGGCGGAGCTCCGCCGCAGGCTCCGCCCCTGGGCGTGAACCCCGAAATTTCCCAAATTTTCCCCAAAATTTTCCCCAAAAATCCCGAGATTTGTACGCAAAAAATAAAAAAATTTGCATTGAAAACGGCCAAAATACGCCCAAATATGGGAGTGGGCGGGGCTGTGGGCGGAGCTCCGGTGCAGGCTCCGCCCCTGGGGCTGAACCCCAAAATTTCCCAAAATTTCCCCAAAATTTCCATCGAAATCCCGAGATTTCTATGCGAAAAATAAAAAAAATTGCATTAAAAACAACCAAAATACGCCCAAATATGGGAGTGGGCGGGGCTGTGGGTGGGGCTAAGCACAGGCTCCGCCCCCTTGGTGTGAATTCCAAAATTTTCCCAAAGTTTTCCCAAAATTTATCCAAAAATCCCGAAACTTCCAACAAAAAATTTTAAAAATCGCATTAAAAACAAGCAAAATATGCCCAAATATGGGAGTGGGCGTGGCTTAAACACAGGCTCCGCCCCTGGGGCTGAACCCCAAAATTTCCCCAAAATTCCCCAAAATTTCCATCAAAATCCCGAGATTTCTACGCGAAAAATAAAAAAAATCGCATTAAAAACAACCAAAATATGCCCAAATATGGGAGTGGGCGGGGCTGTGGGCGTGGCTTAACACAGGCTCCGCCCTCTTTGTGTGACCCCCAAAATTTCCCAAAATTTCCCAAAATTTCCCCAAAATTTCTCCAAAAATCCCGAGATTTCTACAAGAAAAATAAAAAAAATGGCATTAAAAACAACTAAAATATGCCCAAATATGGGACTGGGCGGGGCTGGGGGCGTGGCTAAGCACAGGCTCCGCCCCCTTGGTGTGAACCCCGAAATTTCCCAAAATTTCCCCAAAATTTCCATCGAAATCCTGAGTTTTCTACGTGAAAAATAAAAAAAAATCGCATTAAAAACGGCCAAAATATGCCCAAATATGGGAGTGGGCGTGGCTAAGCACAGGCTCCGCCCCCTTGGTGTGAATCCCAAAATTTCCCAAAATTTCCATCGAAATCCCGAGATTTCTATCCGAAAAATTAAAAAAATTGCATTAAAAACGGCCAAAATATGCCCAAATATGGAAGGGGGTGGAGTTATGGGCGTGGCTAAGCACAGGCTCCGCCCCTGGGCCTGAATCTCAAAATTTCCCAAAATTTCCCCAAAATTTCCATCAAAATCCGGAGATTTGTACGCGAAAAATAAAAAAAATCGCATTAAAAACGGCCAAAATAGGCCCAAATATGGGAGTGGGCGGGGCTGTGGGCGTGGCTAAGCACAGGCTCCGCCCCTTGGCGTGAACCCCAAAATTTCCCCAAAATTTTCCCAAAGTTTCCCCAAATTTTATTCAAAAATCCCGAAATTTCCAAAAAAATAAAAAAAATCGCATTAACAACAACCAAAATACGACCAAATATGGGAGTGGGCGGGGCTGTGGGCGTGGCTAAGCACAGGCTCCACCCCTGGGCGTGAATCCCGAAATTTCCCAAAATTTCCCAAAATTTCCCCAAAATTTCCATCGAAATCCCGAGATTTCTACGCGAAAAATAAAAAAAATCGCATTAAAAACAGCCAAAATAGGCCCAAATATGGGAGTGGGTGGGGCTGTGGGCGTGGCTAAGCACAGGCTCCGCCCCCAGGCATGATTTCTAAAATTTCCCAAAATTCTCCCAAAGTTTCCCCAAAATTTTCATCAAAATCCCGAGATTTCTACGCGAAAAATAAAAAAAATTGCATTAAAAACAGCCAAAATATGCCCAAATATGGGAGTGGGCGGGGCTGTGGGCGGGGCTAAGCACAGGCTCCGCCCCTGGGGCGTGAACCCCAAAATTTCCCAAAATTTCCCCAAAATTTCCATCAAAATCCCGAAATTTCTACGCGAAAAATAAAAAAAATTGCATTAAAAACAGCCAAAATATGCCCAAATATGGGAGTGGGCGGGGCTTAAACACAGGCTCCGCCCCCAGGCGTGAATCCCGAAATTCCCAAAATTTCCCCAAATTTTCCCCAAAAATCCCGAGATTTGTACGCGAAAAATAAAAAAAATCGCATTAAAAACGGCCAAAATATGCCCAAATATGGGAGTGGGCGTGGCTTAAACACAGGCTCCGCCCCCTTGGGGCGAATCCCAAAATTTCCCAAAATTCCCCCAAAATTTCCATCAAAATCCCGAGATTTGTACGCGAAAAATAAAAAAAATCGCATTAAAAACAGCCAAAATATGCCCAAATATGGGAGTGGGCGTGGCTAAGCACAGGCTCCGCCCCTGGGGCTGAACCCCGAAATTTCCCAAAATTTCCCAAAATTTCCATCAAAATCCCGAGATTTCTACGCGAAAAATAAAAAAAATCGCGTTAAAAACAACCAAAATAGGCCCAAATATGGGAGTGGGCGGGGCTGTGGGTGTGGCTTAAACACAGGCTCCGCCCCTGGGCGTGAACCCCAAAATTTCCCAAATTTCCCCAAAATTTCCATCAAAATCCCGAGATTTCGACGCGAAAAATAAAAAAAATTGCATCGAAAACAGCCAAAATATGCCCAAATATGGGAGTGGGCGTGGCTAAACACGGGCTCCGCCCCCCAGGTGTGAACCCCAAAATTCCCCAAAATTCCCCAAAATTTCCATCAAAATCCTGAAATTTCTATCCGAAAAATAAAAAAAATCGCATTAAAAACAGCCACAATATGCCCAAATATGGAAGTGGGCGGGGCTAAACACAGGCTCCGCCCCTTGGGCGTGAATTCCAAAATTTCCCAAAATTTTCCCAAAATTTTCCCAAAATTTATCCAAAAATCCCGAGATTTCTACGCGAAAAATAAAAAAAATCGCATTGAAAACAAGCAAAATATGCCCAAATATGGGAGTGGGCGGGGCTTAAACACAGGCTCCGCCCCCTTGGTGTGAATGCCAAAATTTCCCAAAATTTCCCAAAATTTCCCAAAATTTCCCCAAAATTTCCCCCAAAAATCCTGAGATTTCTATGCGAAAAATAAAAAAAATTGCATTAAAAACAGCCAAAATATGCCCAAATATGGGAGGGGGCGTGGCTAAACACAGGCTCCGCCCCCTTGGTGCGAATCCCAAAATATCCCAAAATTTTCCCAAAGTTTTCCCCAAATTTACCCAAAAATCCTGAGATTTCTACGCGAAAAATAAAAAAAATTGCATCGAAAACAGCCAAAATATGCCCAAATATGGGAGTGGGCGGGGCTGTGGGCGTGGCTAAACACAGGCTCCGCCCCTGGGGATGAACCCGAAATTTCCCAAAATTTCCCCAAAATTTTCCCCAAAAATCCCGAGATTTCTACGCGAAAAATAAAAAAAATCGCATTAAAAACGGCCAAAAGATGCCCAAATATGGGAGTGGGCGGGGCTGTGGGCGGGGCTTAAGCACAGGCTCCGCCCCCAGGCGTGATTTCTGAAATTTCCCAAAATTCTCCCAAAGTTTCCCCAAAATTTCCACAAAAATCCCGAGATTTCCATACGAAAAATAAAAAAAATTGCATTAAAAACAGCCAAAATAGGCCCAAATATGGGAGTGGGCGGGGCTGTGGGCGGGGCTTAGGTGGAGGCTCCGCCCACATTTTAAAAATTCAAAAATATCCCCCAAAAATCCGGGAATTTCTGGCCAAAATTTACAAAATTTTTATTTAAAAAGCTCAAAATTGGGCTGAGGACCCAAAAATTTCAGAAATCCCCAAAATTCTCCCAAATTTTCCACCCAAGTTGGAATTTTTTGGGGAAAAAATTGGGAAAAAAAGATGGATTTGGGGTAAAAAAAAAACTAAAAGTGAATTTTTTTGGTATATTGGGAAAAAGAAAATTTTGGGGGGAAAATTGGGATTTTTGGGGGGGAAAAGAAAAATTTTGGGGACAAAATGCGGAAGTTTTGGGGGGAGAAAAAGGCGGATTTTTGGGGGAAAAAAGTGGATTTTTTGTCTGGAAAAATGTGGATTTAAAAAGGATTTTTTATTTTTTAACAGTAAAAGGGAAATTTTGGGAGAAAAATAAAATTTTTTAGATAATTCAAAGAGGGGAAAAATGTGGATTTATGGGAGTAAAAAGGTGAATTTTAGGGTGAAAAATGTGAATTTTGGGGAATGAAATGCAGATTTTGGGCAAAAAAAGGTGAATTTTTGGGGAGGGAAGGGGGATTTGAGGGGAAAAAATGACAATTTGGGTGGAAAAATAAAAATTTTGGGGGAAGAAAATCAGATTTCGAGGCGTAAAAGTAGAATTTGGGTCAAAAAATGTGGATTTTGGGATTAAAATTGTGAATTTTGTGGATTAAAATTGTGGATTTTGGGGTAAAAAATGTGGATTTTGTGGTTAAAAAAAAGTGATTTTTGGGTGATTTCTGAGCAGATTTTCGGGTGATTTTTGAGGTGATTTTTGGGTGAATTTACACCGATTTTTGGGGTGATTTTGGGGTGATTTTTGGGTGATTTTTGAGCCGATTTTGGGGTGAATTTTGGCCGGTTTTGGGGTGATTTTTGGGGTGAATTTGGGATGAATTTGGGTGAATTTTGGCCGATTCTTGGGGTGATTTTGGGGTGATTTCTGGGTGATTTCTGATCCGATTTTTGGGTGATTTTTGGGTGATTTTTGGGTGATTTTTGGGTGATTTTTGGGTGAATTTTGGGTGTATTTGGGCCGATTTCGGGTGAATTTGGGCCGATTTTTGGGTGATTTTTTGATGAATTTTGGGTGAATTTTGGCCGATTTTTGGGTGATTTTTGGGTGAATTCGCACCGATTTTTGGGTGATTTCTGAGCCGATTTTTGGGGTGATTTTTGGCTGAATTTGGGCCGATTTTGGGGTGATTTTTGGGGTGATTTCTGATCCGATTTTTGGGTGATTTTGGGGTGAATTTTGGGTGAGTTTTGGGCGATTTTGGCGCCTTTTGGGAGGGGCTTGAGGGGGGGCTCAAAATGGCGGCGGCTCCTGAGGGGCGCGAAAATGGCGGGAAAACGGCGGGGTGGGCGTGGCTTGGCGCGCGGGGGGGGGCGGAGTCACCGGCAGGGCGTGGCCGCAATTAATAAATATTGATTAACAACCAATTAATCGATCAGGGCGTGGCTTTATCGATTAGAAGGGGCGCGGCTTTCCCGCTGCGCGGCCAATCAGCGCCGCGCCCGCGCCGTTGCCATGACAACGCCCTGCCATCATGGCGCCGCGGCCGCGCCGGCTGCTGATTGGTTCTCCCTCCTCTTGGCGGGCGTGTCCCGACCAATCAGCGCTCCGCTTTTCCGTGAGGGGGATCCGCGCCATTTTGCGGCAGGGCGGGAAAACCGCGGTGGGCGTGGCTTCGCTTAGAAAAAAGGAGGAAAGGGGCGTGGCTTTTGCTCCGCCCAATCAGCGCACGCCGCGGGCGCGCCGCACCCAATCAGCGCCCGCCTTTTGGCCACGCCCACCTATATTGAAGCCCCGCCCACCTCCCCCTCACTCCGCGCCCCCCTTTCCCCTCAGCGCCCCCCGCCCCTCCCCCACCGCAGCCCCCTCCCCTCCCCCACCCCTCCCCCACCCCTCCCCCACCCCTCCCCCTCCTCCTCCTCCTCCCGGCCGCGGCTCCGGTCGCGATTCTGTCGCGACAGTGGCGAGATGGACCCCGCGAACTGGAGCAGCTTCATCTTCCAGGTGGGGGAGGGGCGGGGGGAAGGGTGGGGGGGGATGGGGGGAGGGGGAGGGGCTGGAGGGTGGGGGAGGGGGAGGGAGGCTCGGACTGGGAGCACTGGGAGGGACTGGGAGGGACTGGGAGGGACTGGGGGGTGGGGGCGGGGGAGGGGGGTGAACTGGGAGCGCTGGGGGGTGGCACTGGTGAAACTGGGAGCACTGGGGACTGTACTGGGAGCACTGGGAGCTGTTACTGGTGGTACTGGGAGCTGTACTGGGAGCACTGGGGGGTGGTACTGGGAGCACTGGGGGATGGTACTGGTGGTACTGGGAGCTGTTACTGGTGTTACTGGGAGCACTGGGAGCTACTACTGGTGGTACTGGGAGCACTGGGAACTGTTACTGGGAGCACTGGGGGGTGGTACTGGGAGCACTGGGGGTGGTACTGGTGGTACTGGTGGCACTGGGAGCTGTACTGGGAACACTGGGGGGTGGCACTGGTGTCACTGGTGGGTGGTACTGGTGGTACTGGTGGCACTGGGAGCTGTTACTGGTGTTATTGGGAGCACTGGGGGGTGGCACTGGTGTTACTGGTGGCACTGGTGGTACTGGGAGCTGTACTGGGAACACTGGGGGGTGGCACTGGTGTCACTGGTGGGTGGTACTGGTGGTACTGGTGGCACTGGGAGCTGTACTGGGAGCACTGGAGGGTGGTACTGGTGGTACTGGTGTCACTGGGAGCGATGGGGATACCAGTGTGGCTCTGTACTGGGAGCACTGGGAGCTGTTACTGGTGTTACTGGTGATACTGGGAGCACTGGGAGCTGTTACTGGTGGCACTGGGAGCGATGGGGACACCGGTGTCGCTCTGTACTGGGAGCACTGGGAGCCGTTACTGGTGGTACTGGGAGCTGTTACTGGTGTTGCTGGGAGCACTGGGAGCAATGGGGACACCGGCGTGGCTTTATACTGGGAGCACTGGGAGCTCTTACTGGTGACACTGGGAGCTGTTACTGGGAGCACTGGGAGTGATGGGGATACCAGTGCGGCTCTGTACTGGGAGCACTGGGAGCCGTTACTGGTGGCACTGGGAGCACTGGGAGTGATGGCAGGGCTGTTACTGGTGTTACTGGGAGCACTGGGAGCTGTACTGGGAGCACTGGGGGATGGTACTGGTGATACTGGGAGCACTGGTTTCACTGGGAGCTCTTACTGGTGTTACTGTTGTCACTGGGAGTGATGGGGACACCGGTGTCGCTCTGTACTGGGAGCACTGGGAGCTGTTACTGGGTGCACTGGTGTCACTGGGAGCTGTTACTGGGATCACTGGGGGTGGTACTGGTGTTACTGGGAGCACTGGGAGCGATGGGGACACCAGTGTGGCTCTGTACTGGGAGCACTGGGAGCTGGTACTGGTGATACTGGTGGTACTGGGAGCTGTTACTGGGAGCACTGGGGGATGGTACTGGTGTTACTGGTGGCACTGGGAGCACTGGGAGCGATGGGGACACCGGTGTGGCTTTATACTGGGAGCACTGGCAGCTGTTACTGGGAGCACTGGGAGCACTGGGAGCTGTCACTGGTGTTACTGGGAGCTGTTACTGGGAGCACTGGGAGCACTGGGAGCACTGGGAGCTGTTACTGGTGGTACTGGTGTCACTGGGAGCTGTTACTGGTGTTACTGGGAGCACTGGGAGCTGTTACTGGTGTTACTGGGAGCACTGGGAGCTGTTACTGGTGTCACTGGGAGCTGTTACTGGTGTTACTGGGAGCACTGGGAGCTGTTACTGGTGTTACTGGTGGCACTGGTGGCACTGGGAGCGATGGGGACACCAGTGTCGCTCTGTACTGGGAGCACTGGGAGCTGTTACTGGGAGCACTGGGAGCACTGGGAGCGATGGGGACACCAGTGTGGGTCTGTACTGGGAGCACTGGGAACTGTTACTGGGAGCACTGGTGGCACTGGGAGCTGTTACTGGTGGCACTGGGAGCACTGGGGGGGCTGTTACTGGTCTTACTGGTGTTACTGGTGGCACTGGGAGCGATGGGGACACCGGTGTGGCTTTATACTGGGAGCACTGGGAGCACTGGGAGCTGTTACTGGTGGCACTGGGAGCACTGGGAGCTGTTACTGGTGTTACTGGGAGCACTGGGAGCGATGGGGACACCAGTGTGGCTCTGTACTGGGAGCACTGGGAGCCGTTACTGGTGTTACTGGTGTCACTGGGAGCTGTTACTGGGAGCACTGGGAGCTGTTACTGGTGTCACTGGGAGCACTGGGAGTCGTTACTGGTGTTACTGGGAGCACTGGGGACACCCGCTTGGCTCCCGTTACTGGTTTATACTGGTCCATACTGGTTTTACTGGTCTGTTACCGGCCCATACTGGTCCATACTGGTTTTACTGGTCTGTACTGGTCTATCGCTGGTTTTACTGGTCCGTACGGCTCCTTACTGGTCTAAACTGGTCCCTACTGGTTTATACTGGTCTGTAGTGACCCACACCAGTCCAGACCAGTCCAGACCAGTTTATACTGGTTTATACTGGTCTGTGGCAACCCCCACCAGTACTAAACCAGTCCAGACCAGTTTATACTGGTTTATACTGGTCTCTAGTGACCCACACCAGTACTAAACCAGTCCAGACCAGTCCACACCAGTTTATACTGGTCCATACTGGTCTGTGGCGACCAAAACCAGTCCAGACCAGTTTATACTGGTCCATACTGGTCTGTAGTGACCCACACCAGTCTAAACCAGTCCAAACCAGTCTATACTGGTTTATACTGGTCTGTAGTGACCCACACCAGTCTAAACCAGTCCAGACCAGTTTATACTGGTTTATACTGGTCCATAGTGGTCCATAGTGACCCACACCAGTCCAAACCAGTCCAGACCAGTTCATACTGGTTTATACTGGTTCGTAATGACCCACACCAGTCCAAACCAGTCTAGACCCGTTTATACTGGTTTATACTGGTCCATACTGGTCTGTAGTGACCCACACCGGTCCAGACCAGTTTATACTGGTTTATACTGGTCCGAACCAGTTTTTACTGGTTTATACTGGTCCATACTGGTCCATAGTGACCCACACCAGTACTAAACCAGTCCAAACCTGTTTATACTGGTTTATACTGGTCCGAACACGTTTATACTGGTTTATACTGGTCCATACTGGTTCATACTGGTTTATACTGGTCCATAGTGACCCACACCAGTCTAAACCAGTCCAAACCAGTTCGTACTGGTTTATACCGGTCCAAACCAGCTTATACTGGTTTATACTGGTCCACACCAGTTTATACTGGTTTATACTGGTCCAAACCGGTTTATACTGGTCCAAACCAGTTCATACTGGTTTATACTGGTCCAAACCAGTTTATACTGGTTTATACTGGTCCAAACCACTTCATACTGGTTTATACTGGTCCATAGTGACCCACACCACTCCAAACCAGTTCATACTGGTCCATACTGGTCTGAACCAGTTTATACTGGTTTATACTGGTCCAGACTGGTTCATACTGGTTTTTACCACCCCCCCTCCCCCCAGGCCGCCCCTCCCCCTCCCCCCTCCCCCTCCCCCCTCCCCGTCGACCTCCTGCCCCTCCCCCCTCCCCCTCCCACCCCCGACCCTCCCCCCACCCCCACCCCCGCCCCTCCCCCTCCCACCATCGACCCCTCCCCCCTCAAACCCCCTCCCCCACTCCCGGAAGCCACGCCCACCCTGGTGACATCATCAATGACGTCATCAATGACGTCACCGCGCAAGAAGGGCGCGCCGCACGTCTGCGGCCTGTGCGCCAAGGAGTTCAAGAACGGCTACAACCTGCGGCGTCACCAGGCCACGCACGGTGACACCGCGACGGCGACAACACCCAAACGCGGCCACCACCCCCGCCCCTCCCCCACCTCACCCCTCCCCCACCCAAACCCAATGGAAGGAGGAGGAGACAACGAGGAATCGGCGCCGAAACGCGTCGCGGCACGGAAGAGTCACGCGTGTGACACGTGTGGGAAGGCGTTCCGCGACGTGTACCACCTGAAGCGGCACCGGCTGTCGCACACGGACGAGCGGCCGTTCCAGTGCCCCGTGTGCCAGCAGCGCTTCAAGCGCAAGGACAGGATGGCGGCGCACGTGCGCTCCCACCAGGGACACGTGCACAAGCCCTACGCCTGCGGGCACTGCGGGAAGAGCTTCTCCAGGTGGGGCTGGGCGTGGGGTTTGGGGTCATGGTTGGGTCATTGGGTCATCATCATTGGGTCATCATCATTGGCTCATGGTTGGGTCTTGGTCTTGGTGGGGTTTGGGGTCATGGTTGGGTCATGGTTGTCGTTGGGTCTTGGTGGGGTTTGGGGTTATCATTGGGTCATGGTGGTTGAGTCATGGTGGTTGTTGGGTCATGGTGGGTCATGGTGGGACTTGGGGTCATGGTTGGGTCTTGGTCATGGGGGGTCTTGGTCATGGTTGGGTCATGGTGGGTCATGGTCGTTGGGTCATGGTTGGGTCATGTTGGGACTTGGGGTCATTGGGTCATCGTTGGGTCATGGGGAGTCTTGGTGGGGTTTGGGGTCATTGTTGGATTTGGGGTCATGGTTGGGTCATGGTGGGTCTTGGTCATGGTGGGGTTTGGGGTCATTGTTGGGTCATTGTTGGGTCATGGTGGTTGTTGGGGTCATTGGGTCATCGTTGGGTCATGGGGAGTCTTGGTGGGGTTTGGGGTCATAGTTGGGTCTTGGTCATTGGGTGTCATGGTGGGGCTTGGTCATGGTGGTTATTGGGTCATTGTTGGGTCATCATTGCGTCATGGTGGGGTTTGGGGTCATGGTTGGGTCATGTTGGTCATTGGGTCATGGTTGGGTCTTGGTTTGGTCTGGGGTCGTGGTTGGGTCATGGTGGGTCTTGGTCATGGTGGTTGTTGGGTCATGGTCATTGGATCATGGTTGGGTCTTGGTGGGGTTTGGGGTCATCATTGGGTCATGGTCATTGGGTCATGGTTGGGTCATGGTGGGTCTTGGTGGGGTTTGGGGTGATTGGGTCATGGTTGGGTCTAGGTGGTCATTGGGTCATGGTGGGTCGTGGTCATGGGGGGGTTTGGGGCCATTGTTGGGTCATGGTGGTCATTGGGTCATGGTGGGGTTTGGGGTCATGGGGTCATGGTGGGTCTTGGTGGGGTTTGGGGTCATGGTTGGGTCATGGTGGGTCTTGGTCATGGTTGGGTCATTGGGTCATCATTGGGTCACAGTTGGGTCTTGGTGGGGTTTGGGGTCGTTGGGTCATGGGGTCATGGTGGGTCTTGGTCATGGTGGTTGTTGGGTCATTGTTGGGTCATGGTTGGGTCATGGTAGGTCTTGGTCATGGTGGTTGTTGGGTCATCGTTGGGTGATTGGGTTGTGCTGGGTCTTGGTCATGGTGCGGTTTGGGGTCATCGTTGGGTCATCGTTTGGTCATGGTCATTGGGTCATCATTGGGTCATTGGGTCATGGTGGGTCTTGGTGATGGTTGGGTTTGGGGTCATCGTTGGGTCATCGTTGGGTCATGGTGGGTCATGGTCATGGTGGGGTTTGGGGTCATCGTTAGGTCATGGTTGGGTCTTGGTGGGGTTTGGGGTCATGGTTGGGTCTTGGTCATGGTGGTCATTGGGTCATGGGGGGTCTTGGTCATGGTGGGGTTTGGGGTCATGGTTGGGTCATGGTGGTAGTTGGGTCATGGTTGGGTCATGGTGGTCATTGGGTATTGGGTCATGGAGGGTCTTGGTCATGGTTGGGTTTGGGGTCATCGTTGGGTCATGGTTGGGTCGTGGTGGGGTTTGGGGTCATTGGGTGGTCATTGGGTCATGGTGGTCGTTGGGTCATGGTGGGTCATGGTGGGGCTTGGGGTCATCATTGGGTCATGGTGGATCTTGGTCATGGTGGTCTTTGGGTCATGGTTGAGTCATGGTTGGGTCATCGTTGGGTCATTGTGGGGCTTGGGGTCGTTGGGTCATGGTGGGTCTTGGTCATGGTTGGGTTTGGGGTCATGGGTCATGGTTGGGTCATGGTGGTTCATGGTGGATCTTGGTCATGGTGGGTGTTGGGTCATCGTTGGGGCATGGTCGTTGGGTCATCATCATTGGGTCATCATTGGGTCATGGTGGTTCATGGTGGATCTTGGTCATGGTGGTCATTGGGTCATGGTTGGGTCTTGGTGGGGTTTGGGGTCATGGTTGGGTCATGGGGTCATGGTTGGGTCACTGGGTCATGGTGGGGTTTGGGGTCATGGTTGGGTGATGGTGGGTCTTGGTGGGGTTTGGGGTCATTGGGTCATGGTTGGGTCATGGTCATTGGGTCGTGGTGGGGCTTGGTCATGGGGGGGTTTGGGGTCATCGTTGGGTCATCGTCCTGGTCACTGGTGGCACTGGTCAGTCACTGGTCAGTCACTGGCCAGTTTTGGTCAGTGGTCACTCACTGGTCACTCACTGGTCACTGGTCACCACCGGTCACTCTCTGGTCACTCCCCAGGCCGGACCACCTCAACAGCCATGTCCGGCAGGTTCACTCCACCGAGCGGCCCTTCAAGTGCCAGGTGAGACACGCCCTGACCCCTGACCTCCGACCCCTGACCCCTGACCCCAACCCCTGACCCCTGACAACTGACCACACCCACAGACCGCTGACCCCTGACCCTCCAAATGACCCCTGAGTGACCCCGAACCACCCTAAATGACCTTTTGACCCCCCAAATGACCCCTGACTGACCCCTTGACCACCCAAGTGACCCCTTGACTGACCCTTGACCCCTTGAGTGACCTTTTGACCACCCAAATCACCTTTAAATGACCTTTTAACCCCCTCAATGACTTTTTAACCCCCAAATGACTCCTGTGTGACCCCAAACCCTCTGAGTGACCCCTTGACCACCTGAGTGACCCCTTGACTGACCCCTGGACCACAAAAATGACCCCTGAGTGACCCCAAACCACCTTAAATGACCTTCTGACCTCCCACACCGCCCTTAAATGACTTTTTGACCTCTTAATGACCCCTTGACCACCTGAGTGACCCCTTGACTGACCCCGTGACCCCTTGAGTGACTTTTTGACTGCCCAAACCACCTTTAAATGACCTTTTAACCCCCTAAATGACCCCTGACTGACCCCTTGACAACCCGAGTGACCCCTCGACTGATCCCTTGACCATCTCAATGACCCCTTGGCCACCTGACTGACCCCTTGACCCTCCAAATGACCCCTAAGTGACCCCGAACCACCCCTGAATGACCTTTTGACCACCCAAACCACCTTTAAATGACTTTTTGACCCCCCAAATGACCCCTGACTGACCCCTTGACCCCTGACTGCCCCCTTGACCCCTTGACTGACCTCTTGTCCCTCCAAATGACCCCTGAATGACCTTTTGACCGCCCAAACCACCTTTAAATGACCTTTTAACCCCCTCAATGACTTTTTAACCCCCTGACTGACCCCTGACTGACCCCTTGACCACCTGAGTGACCGCTCGATGACCTAAGTGACCCCTTGACCCCTTGACTGAACTCTTGACCCTTCAGATGACCCCTGAGTGACCCCGAACCACCCCTGAATGACCTTTTGACCTCCCAAACCACCTTTAAATGACCTTTTAACCCCCTAAATGACCTTTTAACCCCCTCAATGACTTTTTAACCCCCAAATGACCCCTGTGTGACCCCAAACCCCCTGAGTGACCCCTTGACCACCCGAGTGACCCCTCGACTGACCCCTTGACCATCTCAATGACCCCTTGGCCACCTGACTGACCTCTTGACCCTCCAAATGACCCCTGAGTGACCCCAAGCCACCCCCTAATGACCTTTTGACCTCCCAAACCACCTTTAAATGACCTTTTAACCCTCTCAATGACTTTTAAACCCCCTGACTGACCCCTTGACTGACCCCATGACCCCTGACTGACCCCTGACTGACCCCTTGACCACCCAAGTGACCCCTTGACCACCTGAGTGACTCCTTGACCCTTTGACTGACCCCTTGAGTGACTTTTTGACTGCCCAAACCACCATTAAATGACCTTTTAACCCACTCAATGACCCCTGACTGACCCCTTGACCCCTGACCGACCCCTTGAATGGTGCCTTTACTGACCTCTTGACCCTCCCAATGACCCCTGAATGACCTTTTGACCACCCAAACCGCCCCAAATGACCTTTTAACCCCCTAAATAACTTTTTAACCTCTCAATGACTTTTTAACCCATTAAATGACTTGTTAACCCCCCAAATGACCCCTGCCTGACCCCTTGACCCCTGCCTGACCCCGTGACCCCTGTGACCCCTGTGTGACCCCCCCCAGCGGTGCGAGGCGGCGTTCGCCACGCGGGACCGGCTGCGGGCGCACGCGGCGCGGCACCAGGAGAAATCACTGACTGACCCCTGACTGACCCCCTGACCCCTGACTGACCCCCTGACCCCTGAATGACCCCTGACTGACCCCTGAATGACCCCTGAATGACCCCTTGTCCACCTGAGTGACCTCTCGACTGACCCCTTGGTCCCTTGAGTGACCTTTTGACTGCCCAAACTGCCCTTAAATGACCTTTTAACCCCCTAAATGACCCCTGACTGACCCCAAACCCCCTGAGTGACCCCTTGACCACCCGAGTGATCCCTTGACCAACCACTTGACTGACCTCTTGACCCTCCAAATGACCCCTGAATGACCCCAAACAACCCCTGAATGACCTTTTGACCTCCCAAACCACCTTTAAATGACCTTTTAACCCCCTCAATGACTTTTTGAGCCCCCAAATGACCCCTGACTGACCCCTTGACCACCTGAGTGACCCCTTGACCACCTGAGTTACATCTCGACTGACCCCTTGAGTGACCTTTTGACTGCTCAAACCACCCTTAAATGACTTTTTAACCTGCTAAATGACCCCTGACTGACCCCGTGACCCCTGCCTGACCCTGTGACCCCTGCCTGACCCTGTGACCCCTGCCTGACCCCTGTGTGACCCCTGTGTGACCCCTGTGTGACCCCCCTGTCAGCGGTGCGAGGCGGCGTTCGCCACGCGGGACCGGCTGCGGGCGCACGCGGCGCGGCACCAGGACAAGTCCCCGTGTCCCGTCTGCGGGAAACTGCTCAGCCCCGCCCACCTCGGGGAGCACCTGCGCGGCCACGGACACGCCCCCAGGACAGGTGAGAGGGGCTTGGGGGCGGGGTCAGACGGGGGTCACATGGGGGTCACGCTGGGGTCACTCATTGGTCACTCAGGGGTCACTCATTGGTCACTCGGGGTCACTCAGGGGGGAATTGAGGAAGGGTTTGTGGTCAGGAGGGGGCGTGGCTAAAGTGGGTGTGGTCAGTGGGCGTGGTCACGGGTCAGTGGTCACTCATTGGTCACTCAGGGGTCACTCAGGGGTCACTCAAGGGTCACTCCTTGGTCACTTGGGGGTGGAAATAGGGAAGGGTTTGAGGTCAAAAGGGGGCGGGGCAGAGTGGAGGGGGCGTGGCTAAAGTGGGCGTGGTCAGTGGTCACTCATTGGTCACTCAGTGGTCACTCGGGTCACTCAGGGGTCACTCATTGGTCACTCATTGGTCACTCAGTGGTCACTCAGGGGTCACTCAGGGGTCACTCAGGGGGGGATTTGGGGAAGGGTTTGAGGTCAAAAGGGGGTAAAGGGGGCGTGGCCAGCGGGATGGGGGCGTGGCTAATCTGGGCGTGGTCAGTGGTCACTCAGTGGTCACTCAGGGGTCACTCATTGGTCACTCATTGGTCACTCATTGGTCACTGAGGGGTCACTCAGGGTCACTCGGGTCACTCAGGGGTCACTCGGGGTCACTCAGGGGTCACTCAGGGGTCACTCGGGGTCACTCAGGGGTCACTCAGGGTCACTCAGGGTCACTCAGGGGTCACTCAGGGTCACTCATTGGTCACTCATTGGTCACTCAGGGGTCACTCATTGGTCACTCAGGGGTCACTCAGGGGTCACTCGGGGTCACTCATTGGTCACTCAGGGGTCACTCAGGGGTCACTCAGGGGTCACTCAGGGGTCACTCAGGGGTCACTCATTGGTCACTCAGGGTCACTCAGGGGTCACTCATTGGTCACTCAGGGGTCACTCATTGGTCACTCAGGGGTCACTCATTGGTCACTCAGGGTCACTCAGGGGTCACTCAGTGGTCACTCAGGGTCACTCAGGGGTCACTTGGGGGTCACTCATTGGTCACTCATTGGTCACTCAGGGGTCACTCATTGGTCACTAAGGGTCACTCAGGGTCACTCAGGGGTCACTCATTGGTCACTCAGGGGTCACTCAGGGTCACTCAGGGGTCACTCATTGGTCACTCAGGGTCACTCAGGGTCACTCAGGGGTCACTCATTGGTCACTCAGGGGTCACTCATTGGTCACTCATTGGTCACTCAGGGTCACTCAGGGGTCACTCATTGGTCACTCAGGGGTCACTCAGGGGTCACTCAGGGTCACTCATTGGTCACTCATTGGTCACTCAGGGGTCACTCAGGGGTCACTCATTGGTCACTCATTGGTCACTCAGGGTCACTCATTGGTCACTCAGGGGTCACTCATTGGTCACTCATTGGTCACTCAGGGTCACTCAGGGTCACTCATTGGTCACTCATTGGTCATTTTGTCTTTTCTCTCCCCTCCCCCCCGCAGGTTCCGGCTGCCCCTCCCCCTCCCCCGGCCCCGCCCCCGCCCCTCCCCCACCCCTGGACGGGGCCCCCGGGGGCAGCCAGGGCTGGTGAGGCCACGCCCACCCACAGGCCACGCCCCCTTTGCAAACCCCGCCCCCTCCCTAAGCCACGCCCCCTCCTTTCACAAGCCCCGCCCCCAATGGGGAGGAACCAATAAAAATCCGATCTCTGAAAAGGCTCCGCCCACTTTTTAAAGAGGCGCGGGATTGGCCGGGGAGGGATGGGCGGGGCTAAGAGGTGATGACGTCATGACCACGCCCAGGTAAAAATAAAATTTCAGGAATTTTGGGGCAAAATCGGGAATTTTGGGCAAAAAAAAAAAATTCAGGTTTTTGACTCTCAAATTCTGGATTTTTCGCACCAAAATTTTTGTTTCTTAACCCCGAAATTGAAATTTTGGTCGAGAAATTGAGATTTTTGATCCTAATTTTTTTCATGGTTTCTTTTTTACCTAAAATTGTGAAATTTCTGACACAAAATTCCAATTTTGGACGAAAAATTGAGATTTTTGACTCTTGGGTTTTTCGGGTTTTTTTTTACCCAAAATTGTGAAATTTCTGACACAAAATTCCAATTTTGGACACAAAATTAAAATTTTGGACTCTCCGGTTTTTAATTTTTTTTTTTACCCAAAATTGTGAAATTTTGGACACAAAATTCCAATTTTAGACCCAAAATTTGGAATTTTTTACATAGAATTCAAAATTTTAAACCCAAAGTTTTCAATTTTAACACAAAATTGACATTTGGACCAAAAATTGAAATTTCCTCCCCAAAAATTTGGGAATTTCAACAAAAAATGAAGAAAGTCGGGCCCAAAATTGAGATTTTTGATTCTCGGGTTGTTCGGGGCTTTTTTTTTTTACCCAAAATTGTGAAATTTTGGACCCAAAATTCCAATTTTAGACCAAAAATTCAGAATTTTTCACCCAGAATTGAAATTTTTGACCCAAAGTTTTCATTTTTTAACACAAAATTGACATTTTTTGACCGAAAATTGGCATTTTCTTCCCTAAAATTTGGGAATTTTGGCAACAAATGAAGAAAGTTGGGCCCAAAATTGAGATTTTTGACCCCAAACTGTGAATTTTGGACCCAAATTTAAATTTTTTACGCAGAATTGAATTTTTCAAGGCAAAATTGAAATTTTTTACCAAAAATTGAGAATTTCAGACCCCAAATTGAGAATTTTTGGGCCAAAATTCAGATTTTTTTCTTCCATTACATTACAGAATTTTTGCCTGAAATTCAAAACTTTTAACCCAAAATTAAATTATATTAAATTAAATTAATTTTTTCATCCCCAATTTGAATCTTTTTGGTCCAACTTGGGAATTTTCCACCCCAAATTCAAGAATTTTCTCAAAAAATCAAATTTTTTCCAAAATTTACTTTTTTTTCCCCCAAAATTCCCATTTTTTGCTCCTAAACCTCTTTTTTCCCCTAAAAACCACAAATTTTCCACCAAAACCCCCAAATTTTCCAAAAATATCTTTATTTCCAGCTTAAAATCAATTTTTCCCTTAAAAATCCCGTTTTTTCCCTTCCAAAATTCTATTTTTACCACCAAAAATTATTGGACTTTTTAAAAAAAAAAAAAATTTCCATTTTTATCTTCTGAAATTCGAATTTTCTTCCTTAAAATTTTGGATTTTTTCCTCCAAAATTTCTTTTTATTCTTAAAAAAAACCCTCCATTTTTTCCTTCTGAAATTCGAATTTTCTCTCTTAAAATTTTGGATTTTTTCCCCCCAAAATTCCATTTTTTCTCTGAAAAGAATTTCCATTTTTCCTCCAAAAATTGCATTTTTTTTGCAAAAATTATTTTTTTTTAATCCAAAATTCCATTTTTCCCCCCTCTCCAAATTTTGGATGTTTCCCCAAAATTTCAAAATTTTTTCCCCAAAATTTTGGATTTTTTTTCCCCCTGAAATTCCAATTTTTTCTAAAAAATTCCGTTTTTCTTTTCTCTCCCAAAATTCCGTTTTTCTTCTGAAATTTGGTCAGTGACCGGTGCAGGGGTCACTCAGTGGTCACTCAGGGGTCACTCAGTGGTCACTCAGTGGTCACTCATCGATCACTCCAGGGTCACTCAGTGGTCACTCCAGTGGTCATTTCAGTGGTCACTCCATGGCCAATCCAGTGGTCACCCACTGGTCAGTTCAAGGCCAATCCAGTGGTCACTCAGTGGTCAGTTTGTGGTCACTTCCAGGGGCCAATCCAGTGGTCACTCAGTGGTCACTCCAGGGGTCACTCAGTGGTCACTCACTGGTCACTCAGGGTCACTCAGTGGTCACTCACTGGTCAGTTCAGGGTCACTTCCAGGGTCACTCATTGGTCACTCAGTGGTCACTCAATGGTCAGTTCAGGGTCACTTTGTGACTGACCCATGTTGTCACTCAGTGGTCACTCAGTGGTCACTCTGAGGTCACTCCAGGGGTCACTCAGTGGTCACTTCCAGGGTCACTCCAAGGCCATTCCAGTGGTCACTCAGGGGTCACTCCATGTCCACTCCATGTGGTCACTCCGTGGTCACTCAGTGGTCACTCAATGGTCAGTTCAGGGTCACTTTGTGACCGATCCATGGGGTCACTCAGTGGTCACTCAGTGACCAGTCCATGGGTCAATCCAGTGGTCACTCAGTGGTCAGTTTGTGGTCACTTCCAGGGGCCAATCCAATGGTCACTCTGTGGTCACTCCAGAGTCACTTCAGGGTCACTCAGTGGTCACTTCTAGGTTCGTTTCCAGTGGTCACTCAATGGTCACTCAGTGGTCACTCCATGGCCAATCCAGTGGTCACCCACTGGTCAGTTCAAGGTCAATTCCAGGGTCACTCAGTGGTCACTCCAAGGCCATTCCAATGGTCACTCAGTGGTCACTCATTGGTCACTCAGTGGTCAGTTCAGGGTCACTTTGTGACCGATCCATGTGGTCACTCAGGGTCACTCAGTGGTCACTCAGGGTCACTCATTGGTCACTCAGTGGTCACTCAGTGGTCACTCAGTGGCCGCAGAAGACGGCGTGAGCAGCCAGGGCGACCCCTCCGGCCGCGGCGATGGCGACTTCGGCCATGAGAGTGACCACAGCGACGGCCAGCGGCTGCTGGGGGAGGGGCAGCTGCGGACAGCGGGCAGCGGTCACTCGGGGTCACTCGGGGTCACTCGGGGTCACTCAGGGTCACTCAGGGTCACTCAGGCGTCACTCAGGGTCACATGGGGTCATTCAGGGTCACTCGGGGTCACTCAGGGGTCACTCGGGGTCACTCGGGGTCACTCAGGGGTCACTCAGGGTCACTCAGGGGTCACTCAGGGGTCACTCATTGGTCACTCAGGGTCAGGGGTCACTCAGGGGTCACTCAGGGGTCACTCAGGGTCACTCAGGGTCACTCGGGGTCACTCGGGGTCACTCAGGGGTCACTCAGGGTCACTCATTGGTCACTCAGGGTCACTCAGTGGTCACTCAGGGTCACTCAGGGGTCACTCAGGGTCAGAGGTCACTCGGGGTCACTCATTGGTCACTCAGGGTCACTCAGGGTCACTCAGGGGTCACTCATTGGTCACTCATTGGTCACTCAGGGTCAGGGGTCACTCATTGGTCACTCGGGGTCACTCGGGGTCACTCAGGGGTCAGGGGTCACTCCGGGGTCAGAGGTCAGAGGTCAGGGGTCAGAGGTCACTCACCTCTCCGGCCAGGTTGGCGAATCCGTTCCCGTAGGCCCCTCCCCCCACCAGCCCCTCCCCCACCATCAGCGCCGCGGCCACGCCCAGCCCCGGCAGCAGCTGATTGGTCGCCACCGCAGCCAATAGGAACGCGGCGAGCAGCGCCTGGGGGCGGGGCCAGAAAAGGGGGCGGGGCCAGCAAAGGGGGCGGGGCCAGCAAAGGGGCGGGGCCAGCAAAGGGGGCGGGGCCAGCAAAGGGGGCGGGGCAAAGGGAAATGGGGGAGAAAAGGAGAGAAATGGGAAAAATTAGTTAAAAATGGGGAAAAATGTGTTTAAAATGGGGGAAACGGGGGAAAAATGGGGGAAATTTGGGGAAAATGGGGGGAAATGGGGGAAAATGGGGGAAAAATGGGGAAATGGGGAAAAAAGGAGAGAAAGAGGAAAAACGAGTTAAAAATGAGGGAAATGGGGAAAAAATTGAAGGAAATAGGGAAAAATTGGGGAAAAATGGGGGAAACAGGGAAAAAATTGGGAAAAATGGGGGGAAATGGGGAAAATGGGGAGAAAATGGGGGAAATGGGTTAAAAATGGGGGAAATGGGGAAAAAAAGGGGGAAATGGGGGAAAAGAGCAGAGAAATGGGAATAACGAGTTAAAAATGGGGAAAATAGGGAAAAAAGGGGGAAAATGGGGATAAAATGGGGGAAATTGGGAAAAAATGGGGAAATGGGGAAAAAATGGGGGGAAAATGAGGAAAAAGCGGGGAAATTGGTTAAAAATGAGGGAAAAATGAGGAAAAAATGGGGGAAAAAATGGGGGAAAAATGGGGGAAATGGGGAAAATGGGGGAAAATTGAGAGAAATGGGAAAAATTAGTTGAAAATGGGGAAAAATTCATTTTAAATGGGGGAAATGGGGAAAAAATGGGGGAAATAAGTTAAAAATGGGGAAAATGAGTTAGAAATGGGGAAAATGAGTTAAAAATGGGGAAAGTTAGTTAGAAATGGGGAAAATTAGTTAGAAATGAGGGAAATGGGGAAAAAAATGGGCAAAATATGGAAAAAATTGGACAAAATGGGGGGAAATGGGGAGAAAATAGGGGAATAGGGGGGAAAAAGGAGAGAAATAGGAAAAACGAGTTAAAAATGGGGAAAATGGGGAAAAAATGTGGAAAATTGGTTAAAAATGGGGAAATGGGTTAAAAATGGGAGAAATGGGGGGAAATGGGGGAAAAAAGAGAGAAATGGGAAAAATGAGTTAAAAACGGCGTCAGGATCTATAGGTCAGGATCTATAGGGTGGGATTGGGATCTATGGGGCAGGGCTGGGATCTATGGGGCAGGATTTCAGGATCTATGGGTCAGGATCTATGGGTCAGACCTGAGCCAGCGCCAGCCCCCAGAGGGATCCATGGGGCAGGATTGGGATCTATAGGTCAGATCTATAGGTCAGGATGGATCTATGGGTCAGACAGGATCTATAGGTCAGATCTATGGGTCAGACCTGTGCCAGCGCCAGCCCCCAAAGGGATCCATGGGGCAGGATTGGGATCTATGGGTCAGGATTTCAGGATCTATGGGTCAGGAATGATCTATAGGGCAGGATGGATCTATGGGTCAGATCTATGGGTCAGGATCTATGGGTCAGACCTGTGCCAGCGCCAGCCCCCAGAGGGATCCATGGGGCAGGATTGGGATCTATAGGGTAGAATTTCAGGATCTATAGGTCAGATCTATGGGTCAGACAGGATCTATGGGTCAGGATTTCAGGATCTATGGGGCAGGATCTATGGGTCAGATCTGTGGGGCAGACCTGTGCCAGCGCCAGCCCCCAGAGGGATCCATGGGGCAGGATTGGGATCTATGGCTCAGGATGGATCTATGGGTCAGATCTATGGGGCAGACAGGATCTATAGGGCAGGATTTCAGGATCTATGGGGCAGATCTGTGGGTCAGACCTGTGCCAGCGCCAGCCCCCAGAGGCGCCGCAGGCGGACCCAGCGCAGCGACGAGCGGGAGGCGAAGACGCCGGCCTGGTACAGCAGCTGCAGCCTGGGCGGGAAGGGGTTAAAATATCACGTTTTTGGGGTTAAAAACGGACATTTCAGGGCTGAACACTTGGGGATTTTTGGGGTTAAAATTTGGGATTTTTTGGGGTTAAAATTGGGATTTTTGGGGGAAAATTTGGGATTTTTTTGGGTTAAAAATGGGATTTTTGGATATAAAATTGTGGAATTTTGGGGTTAAAATTTGGGATTTTTGGGGGAAAATGTGGCAATTTTGGGGTTAAAAATGGAATTTTTGGGGGGAAAAATGTGGCAATTTTGGGGTTAATGCTCAGGAGTTTTGGGGTTAAAAATGGGATTTTTCTGGGGGTAAAATTCGGGAATTTTAGAGATAAAATTTGAGAACTTTCGGGACAGAATCTGGAATTTTGGAGTTAAAATTTGGGAACTTTCGGGACAGGATTTGGAATTTTGGGGATAAATTTTGGGAATTTTAGAGATAAAAGTTGGGAACTTAAGGGGATAAAATTTGGGGATTTTAGAGATAAATTTTTGGAACTTTCAGGACAGAATTTGGAATTTTGGGGATAAAATTTGGGGATTTTGGGGGGATAACATTTGGGAATTTTGGGGTTAAAGTTTGGGATTTTTTGGGGGGAAAATGGGATTTTTGGGGTAAAATTAGGGAATTTTAGAAATAAAAATGGGGAGATTTTGGGGATAGAATTGGAGAATTTTAGAGATAAAATTTGGGAACTTTCGGGATGGAATTTGGAATTTTGGGGATAAAATTTGGAGATTTTGGGGAGGTAAAATTTGGACATTTTGAGGGATAAAATCTGAGAATTTTTGGTTGAAAATCGGGAATTTTGGGTATGAAAACCTGGGAATTTTCGAGGATAAAATTGGGAATTTTTGGGGATAAATTTTGGAAAATTTCGGGGGGATAAAACCGGGAATTCGGGCAACAAATCTGTGGAATTTTTGGGGTAAAAAAGGGGAATTTTTGGGGTAAAAAAGGGGGATTTTGGGTCACTCACGTGCGGTACTGGGCGCTGTGGGGGAGGGGCGAGGAGGGGAAGTAGAGCAGCTCCATCTGTGGGGGAGGGGCGGGGGGCGGGGCTAAACGTCACAAGCCCCGCCCACTGCTAAATTATGCAAATCGCGCCCCTCCCCCACCCCAAATCCGCCATTTTGGGCCCTCCCCACCCCAAATCCGCCATATTGGACCCCTCCCCCATAAAAAATCCGCCATTTTATCCCCTCCCCCATTAAAAATCCGCCATTTTAGCCCCTCCCCCTCCCCAAATCCGCCATCTTGGACCCCTCCCCCACCCCAAATCCGCCATTTTAGCCCCTCCCCCACCCCAAATCCGCCATATTTTCCCCTCCCCCACCCCATTCCCCCCATTTTTGCCCCTCCCCCACCCCTTTAAGCCCCTCCCCCAACCCTTTAGGCCCCTCCCCCACCCCCTCAAGCCCCTCCCCCACCCCTTTAGCCCCGCCCCTCTCACCAGCCCCATGTTAACGAAGTACTCGGCGAAGTAAACGACGCTCAGTGGCGCCCCCTGCCGGAGCGCGGCCTGCGGGGGCGGGGCTTGTTCAGGCCACGCCCCCTTTTCATCACCAAGCCCCGCCCACCGCCCCAAGCCCCGCCCACTTCCCTCAGCCCCTCCCCTCCGCAAATTCTGAATTTTAACCACAAAAATTCCCATTTTTTACCCCGAAATATCCGAATTTAAACCCCCAAAACCCCCAAAATTTTAATCGCCAATATTCCCGATTTTTGAATCCAAAATTTCCATTTTTTTACCCAAAAATATCCTAAATTTTATCCACCAAATTCACGAATTTTATCCCAAAAGTTCCAAAATTTTAACTCAGAAACACCCAAAATTTGATCCAAAATTCCCCAATTTTATAACCCCAAATATTCCCATTTTTACCCAAAATTGCCTAAATTTAAAGCCCAAAATCTCAAAAATTACAAAATTTTAACTTAGTAACACACAAAATTTGATCCAAAATTTCCCCAATTTTTTAACCCCAAAAATTCCCATTTTTCACCCCAAAATTTCCCAAATTTAAAGCCCAAAATCCCAAAAATTCCAAAATTTTAACTCAGAAACACTTAAAATTTGATCCAAAATTTCCCCAACTTTTTAAACCCAAAAATTCCCATTTTTTTACCCAAAATTTCCCAAATTTAAAGCCCAAAATCCCAAAAATTCCAAAATTTTAACTCAGAAACACAAAAAATTTGATCGAAAAATTACGCAATTTTTAAACCCCAAAAATTCCCATTTTTTTACCCCAAAATCTCCAAATGTAAAGCCCAAAATTCCAAAATTTTCTCCCCTAAAATTCCCATTTTTTAACCCCAAAACTCCCAAATTTTCTCCCCATAACTCTCAAATTTTATCCCGAAAAATTCCCAATTTTTAACTCCCAAAGTCCCAATTTTAAACTCCAAAATTTTGTGTTTTTTTTACCAAAAATCCCAAATTTTAACCCAAACATTCCAAAATTTTAACTCAGAAACACTTAAAATTTGATCCAAAATCTCCCCATTTTTTAACCCCCAAAATTCCCCAATTTTTTACCCCAAAATTTCCAAAATTAAAAGCCCAAAATTACAAAATTTTCTCCCCTAAAATTCCCATTTTTTAACCCCAAAACTCCCAAATTTTCTCCCCATAATTCTCAAATTTTATCCCCAAAATTCCAAAATTTTAACCCAATAGATCCCAATTTTTAACCCCAAATTTCTTGAATTTTAGCCCAATAAATTCCCAATTTTTAACCCAAAATTCCCAAATTTTAACCCCAAAATTCCCAAATTTTAACCCCCGAATTTCGTGGGTTTTTTTAACCAAAAATCCCAAGTTTTAACTCTAAAACACCCAAAATTTGATCCAAAAACTCCCCAATTTTTTAACCCCCAAAATTCTCAATTTTTAACCCCAAAACTCCCAAATTTTTACCTCAAAATTCCAGATTTTACCTCCAAAAATTCCCACTTTTTCCCCCAAAAAATTTCCAAGTTTAATCCAAAAAACTCCCAATTTTTAACTCCAAACTTCCGGTTTTCAACCCCTACAATTTCTATTTATTTACCCAAAAATCCCAAAATTTTTTATCCCAAAATTTCTAGGTTTTTTCAACCATAAACCACAAAATTTAAGCTCAAAATTCCCAAATTTTATCCCCAAAAATTCTCAAATTTTAACTCCAAAACTCCCAATTTTTAACCCCAAAATTTCCAGTTTTTCTTTTACCCAAAACCACCAAATTTTAACCTCAAAATTTCCAATTTTTATCCCCAAAATTCCTGATTTTTAGCCCCAGAAATCCCAAATGTTGACCACAAAACTCCCAATTTTTATCCCTAAAATTCCCAATATTTTAACCCCCAAAATTCCCAATATTTTAACCCCCAAAATTCCCAATATTTTAACCCCAAAAATTCCTGATTTTTTACCCCAAAATTCCCAATTTTTGACCCAATTTCCCCTTTAAGCCCCGCCCCTTTCTCACCTTGGCCACGCCCCATTTCTCGGCCCAGGCCCCGCCCCCTTGGTCCGGGGGGGGGAGGGGCGGATCCGGCGGGGGGGGAGGGGCGGGGCCCAGCAGGAAGAAAAAACTGAGGGAAAAAAAGGAAAAATTGGGAAAAAATTAAAAATATTCATTAAAAACGGGAGGGGGAGGGGCCAAGGGAGGCCACGCCCACTCCGGGAGGGTTTTGGCGGGAAAATTGGGAGGTTTTGGGACAAAAATTGGGAGTTTTGGAAGTTAAAAATTTGGGAATTTGGGGATAAAATTTGGGAATTTTTTGGGATAAAATCTGGGAGTTTTGCAGTTAAAATTTGGGAATTTTAAGGGTAAATTTTGGGATTTTCTGTGGATAAAAATTGGGAAATTTGGGGTTAAAACTTGGGAATTCTTGGGGTTAAAAATTCAGAATTTTGTGGATAAAATTGAGAGTTTTGGGGGTAAAATTTGGGAATTTCTGGGGTTCAAATTTGGGAATTTTGGGGACAAAATTGGGGAATTTTGGGTTAAAAATTGGGAAATTTTGGGATAAAACTTAAGAATTTTGGGATAAAATTAGGAATTTTTGGGTGAAAATTTGGAACTTTTGGGGAAAAAAAGTTTGGGAACTTGGGGTTAAAAAACTTGGGAAATTTGAGAATTTTTGGGATGAAATGTGGTGATTTTGGGGTTAAAAACTGAGAATTTTTGGGTTAAAATTTGGCATAATTGGACATTAAAAATTGGAGAATTTTGGGCTTAACATTGGGAATTTTTAGGTTAAAAAATCGGGATTTCGGGGATAAAATTTGGGAATTTTGATGTTATATTTTGGTATTTTGGGGTAAAAAACCTGGAAATTTTCGGGTTAAAAATTTGGAGTTTGGGGTTTATAGTTTGAGAATTTTTGGGCATAAAATTTGAGAATTTTGAGCTTAAATTTTGTGGTTTATGGGTTAAAAACCTATAAATTTTAGGATAAGATTTGGGAATTTTGGTAAAAAAAAGGGAAATTTTGGGGTTAAAAACTGGAAATTTGGAGTTTAGAATTTGGAATTTTTCGGGTAAAAATATGGGAATTTTTGGATTTAAAATCTGGAATTTTGAGGTTAAAATTTGGGAGTTTTGTGGTTAAAATTTGGGGATTTTGGTGTTAAAAATTGAGAATTTTTGGGTTAAAATTTGGCGTTTTTGGAGGTTAAAAATTTGTGAATTTTGGGGTGAAAATTGGGGAATTTTGGGTGAAAAAAAGGAAATTTCGGTCTCACCTGAGCAGCATGAGGGGGGGCAGGGCCAGGAAGGGCAGCAGCGAGTGGGGGAGGGGCAGCCACGCCCGCAGCCCCCAAAACGCCAAAGCCCCGCCCAGCCCGGCCCCGCCCGTCCCCGACGACCAATGGGAGAGCCCGGAGCTGCGGGGGGCGGAGCCCGGTCAGAATGGCCACGCCCACTTCGAATTTTACTCAATTTGTGCGATTTTTGACCCGATTTTCGGAATTTTGGACCCAATTTTTGGGATTTTGGACCCAAGTTTTGGGATTTTGGTCCCAATTTTGGGAATTTTTGACCCAATTTTTAGGATTTTGGACCCAATTATTGGGATTTTGGACCCAATTTTTGGGATTTTGGTCCCAATTTTGGGAATTTTTGACCCAATTTTTGGGATTTTGGTCACAATTTTTGGGATTTTGGACCCAATTTTTGGGATTTTGGTCCCAATTTTTGGGTTTTTTGGACCCTATTTTGGGAGATTTAAGCCAATTTTAAAGCCTCGGCCCCAATTTGCATATCCACGCCCACCTGACCCTGCCCCAAGCCAATTTTTTGTAATTTTAAACGAATTTTTGCAAATTTTGACCCAATTTGGGTGATTTTGACCCCATTTTGCTGAATTTGACCCAATTTTTAGATAATTTAAAATAAATTTAAAGCCCCAACCCCATTTTTGCATAACCACGCCCACCCACAAGAAGCCCCGCCCACCTGACCCCGCCCCAATCCAATTTTTTGTAATTTTTTACCAAATTTTCAAAATTTCGAACCAATTTGTGTGATTTTGACCCAATTTTGGTGATTTTGACCCAATTTTTGGATAATTTAAAGTCATTTTAGAGCCCCAACCCCATTTTTGCATAACCACACCCACCCACAAGAAGCTCCGCCCACTTGGTGCCACCCCAAATCCTTTTTTTTTTATAATTTTGGATAAAATTTGGCCAATTTTGACCCAATTTTGGGTGATTTTCACCCAATTTTGAAAGATTTAAACAAATTGTAAAGCCCCACCCCCATTTTTGCATAACCACGCCCCCTCACCAGAAGCCACGCCCACAAGAAAAAAATTTCAACTATTTTGGTGATTTTTAACAAAATTTGGCCAATTTTACCCCAAATTTTTGGGGTTCTTTTTGGCCCCTCCCCCTTATGAGGCGTGGCCCCAGGTGGGCGTGGCCCTGAGGTGAGGCCACGCCCCCCGAGCGAGGCCACGCCCCCTTACCTGGGGTAGGAGGAGGCCAAGGTCAGGAAGGTCACCTCGCCAAGCCCCGCCCCCGCACTGCCCAGCGCCACACCTGAGTGACCAATGAGTGACCAGTGAGTGACCGGTGAGTGACCTCTGACCCCGAGTGACCCTGAGTGACCAATGAGTGACCAATGAGTGACCCCGAGTGACCAATGAGTGACCCCGAGTGACCAATGAGTGACCAATGAGTGACCCTGAGTGACCCCGAGTGACCCCTGAGTGACCAATGAGTGACCCTGAGTGACCCTGAGTGACCCTGAGTGACCCTGAGTGACCTCGAGTGACCAATGAGTGACCCTGAGTGACCCTGAGTGACCCCTGAGTGACCAATGAGTGACCCTGAGTGACCCCGAGTGACCCCGAGTGACCAATGAGTGACCCTGAGTGACCCTGAGTGACCAATGAGTGACCAATGAGTGACCCTGAGTGACCCTGAGTGACCCTGAGTGACCCCGAGTGACCCTGAGTGACCAATGAGTGACCAATGAGTGACCCCTGTGACCCCTGAGTGACCAATGAGTGACCCTGAGTGACCCCAAGTGACCCCTGAGTGACCCCTGAGTGACCGGTGAGTGACCGGTGAGTGACCTCTGACCCCGAGTGACCCCTGAGTGACCCTGAGTGACCCTAAGTGACCAATGAGTGACCACTGAGTGACCAATGAGTGACCAGTGAGTGACCAGTGAGTGACCTCTGACCCCGAGGGACCCTGAGTGACCAATGAGTGACCAATGAGTGACCCTGAGTGACCCTGAGTGACCCCTTAGCGACCCCGAGTGACCCCGAGTGACCCCGAGTGACCCCGAGTGACCGCTCACCCCCCAGGCCGCTCAGGGTCCCTCTGGCCGCGGCCACGGCGCTGAGGCTGCCCCAGAGGCAGAGAGCCACGGCCACCGCGCGGCACCTACGGGACAAAAATCCCCTTTTTTACCCCCAAAATTCACTTTTTTAACCCAAAATTCCCTTTTTTATAATCAAAATCCCTTTTTTCCCCAAAAAAATCAGTTTTTACCTCTCCAAAATTCCATTTTTACCCCCCTTTAAATCCCATTTTCTCTCTAAAACTTGTAGTTTCCCCCCATAAAAATTCCCATTTTTCTCCCCAAAATTCCCTTTTCACCCAAAATTTCCTTTTTCCGCCTAAATATCCTTTTTTCCCAAAAAAATTCCTTTTTTATTCCCCAAAGTTCCACTTTTTCCCCATAAAAATTTCCTTTTTTCACTGCATATTCACTTTCTCCCCCAAAATTCCATTTTCCCTTATAAAAATCCCCCTTTTTCTCCCCAAAATTCCCTTTTCACCCTAAATTCCCTTTTTAGCCTAAAAATCCTTTTTCCCCAAAAAATTTCTTTTTATTCCCCAAGATCCCACTTTTCCCACATAAAATTTTCCTTTTTTCACCCCCCAAAATTCCCTTTGCACCCCAAAAATCCATTTTTTACCCCAAAGTTGATTTCTTCCCCCAAAAATCCTTTTTTTCCCCTAAAAATTCCTTTCTCCCCCTGAAAACTCCCTTTTAATCTTTTAATTCCCAAATTTACAATTTTTCACCCCAAAATTCCCCTTTTTCCCAAAAATCACACTTTTTCACCCTCAAATCCCCGTTCTCACCCCAAATCCCATTTTCCATCCCAAAATTCCCCTTTTTTCCCCAAAAATCCCATTTTTTCCCCTCGAAATTCCCCTTTTTTTCTCAAAAATCCCATTTTTTCCCTCCAAATTCCCTTTTTTTGCTGCATATTCACTTTCTCCCCAAAATTTCCATTTTCCCTCTAAAACTTGCATTTTTCCCCATAAAAATCCCCTTTTTTAACCCCAAAATTCCCTTTTCACCCTAGGTTCCCTTTTTCTGCCTAAAAATCCTTTTTCCCAAAAAAATTTCTTGTTTTATTCCCCAAAACTCCACTTTTCCCCCATAAAAATTTCCTTTTTTCACCCGCCAAAATCCCCTTTTTTCACCCCAAATCCTCTTTACCCCCCCAAAATTCCCCTTTACCCCCTCACCTTTCTCATTTCCCCCCCAAAATCTCCATTTTCCTCCCCAAATCCCCTCCTTGCTTTAGCCCCGCCCCATTTAACCCCGCCCCATTTAAGCCACACCCAATTTAGGCCACGCCCATTTAAGCCCCGCCCCTTTCTCACCTGTCGGGCAGGTACGGCCCCAGCAGGGGCAGCAGCAGCTTCACCACCAGGGCGGGGACGACGTCGGCCAGTAGCACGGCCTGAATGGCCACGCCCACACGGCCACGCCCAGTTAAGCCCCACCCACTTTTAATTTTAATCCCTCTCTTAAAACCCCGCCCCTTTTAGCCACACCCAATCAAACCCCGCCTATTTAAGCCCCGCCCCTTCAAGCCCCGCCTATTTAATCTCCATAGTTTAAACCCCACCCCTTTAAGCTCCTCCCACTAAAGCCCCTCCCACTTAAGCCCCACCCCTTAAAGAATTAACAATTTAAGCCCCACCCACAAAGCCCCACCCCTTTAAGCTCCTCCCACTTAAGCCACACCCATTTAAGCCCCACCCCCAAAGATTTTCCTATTTAAACCCCACCCTGTTAAGCCACACCCCTTTAAGCTCCGCCCTTTAATGCCCCACCCACTTAAGCCACGCCCCAAATAATTTCATAATTAAACTCCGCCCCTTTAAGCCCCACCCCTTTAAGCTCCTCCTACTTAAGCCCCACCTATTTAGGCCCCACCCAACAGCTTTTCCTATTTAAATCCCGCCCCTTTAAGCCCCACCCCTTTAAGCGCCTCCTATTTAATCTCCATAATTTAGGCCCCACCCCTTTAAGCTCCTCCCACTTAGGCCCCACCCATTTAAGCCCCACCCCCAAAGATTTTCCCATTTAAACCCCGCCCCTTAAAGCCTCACCCATTTAAGCTCCTCCCACTTAAGCCCCACCCATTTAAGCCCCGCCCTCAAAGCAATTCCCATTTAAACCCCGCCCATTTTAAGCCCCACCCCTTTAAGCTCCTCCCTTTAATGCCCCACCCACTTAAGCCCCACCCCTTTACCAACCTGTCACTTTAAGCCACACCCACAAAGCCACACCCATTTATGCCCCGCCCCTTTTGCCACACCCACTTAAGCCCCACCCCTTTCATACCCTGTTAATTTAAGCCACACCCACAAAGCCACACCCACAAAGCCACACCCATTTAAGCCCCGCCCCTTTTGCCACACCCATTTAAGCCCCACCCACCCCTGTCCCCACAGGGTCACAGTCGTGCCGGCTCCGATTCCGCGGCTCCTCCCCCTAAAAAAACCCGGGAAAACCCCCCAAAATCCAGTCAGAAAAGGGGCGTGGCCACCCAAAAAAGGGGCGTGACCACCCAAAAAGGGGTGTGGTCCCCCAAAAAGGGGGCGTGGCCACTCACGGGGCGTGGCTCCAGCAGGTCGCGGGCGGCGCTGAGCATCACCACGTACGGGAGGTTGTTGCACAGCCCCAAAATCCTGCGGGGGGCGGGGCTTAGCTGGGCGTGGCCACACCAATGGGCGTGGCCACAGATGGGTGTGGCACATCTGGAAGGGGCGTGGTTATAAGGAGGAAAGGGGAGGGGCCAAAATGGGGCGGTTTTGGCGGGAAATTTTGGGGGGGTTAGGGGTGGGGTTTAAATGGGTGTGGCCAAAGGGGCGGGGCTTAAATGGGTGGGGTGTCCACAAAATGGCTCCATTTTGGCGGGAAATTTTGGGGGAGAGTCTGGGTGGGCGTGGCCACAGGTTAGGGGGTCAAAAATGGGCGGGGCTTAAATGGGTGGAGTGCCCCCAAAATGTCTCAATTTTGGCGGGAATTTCTTAAATGGGGGAGGGGCTTAAATGGGTGTGGCCACACAGGTGGGTGTGGTCCAAAATGGGCGGGGCTTAAATGGGTGGGGGTGTCTCCAAACCTGCTGAGTTTTTGGGGGAAATTTGGCGGTTTTAGGGGTGTGGGAGGGGCGTAGGGGGCGTGGCCTCTTGAGGGGGCGGGGCACTCACCAAAAAGCGGCTCCGATTCGCCAGGAAGGGGTCGGAGGGGGCGGGGCAGGGGCGGAGTCTTCATCTGAGGGGGAGGGAGGAAAAGAGAAAAGTTTCCAAAAGGATTTTGGGGCAATTTTAAGAGATTTTGGGGTTGTTTTTTCCCATCCCGCTCCCCGCTCCCCGTTTCATTTCCTGCCTCCATCCCTGTCCATTTATCCCCGTTTTAATTCCAGGTTTTTATCCCGAATTCCCAATTTTTAACCCCATTTTTTAAATCCATATTTTTTTCCCCTCTCACCCTGCTGCAGCAGCGGTTCCTCGTCCGCCATGTTGAACGCCGGTCATGTGACACCGCCATCACGTGATTTCACCAAACTTAATCCCCATTGGGCGCTGCGTGGGCGTGGCTTTGAGACAGAAAATGCATATTAATAACTTAGGGCGTGGCTTTCTAATAAGTTCATTCATATAATCACTATTATGGGCGCGGCTTAAGAGCTCATAAATAATACAGCAGAGGAGCTGTTTGGCGCCATATAAGGTAAAAAAGGCGTGGTTTTGACCATATATGGTGTGAAGTGGGCGTGGCTTGTGCCTCCCCCTTTCCCTCCCGCTTCTCCCCTCAGGAGGCGCCGCCATTTTCTCCCCCCGCCGCCATTTTCTCCCCCCCCTCCGCCATCCCCGTTTTTCCCCTCATGGCGCTCGTCTCGGCCGATTCGCGCATCGCGGAGCTGCTGGGGGAGCTGCACCAGCTCATCAAACAGACGCAGGTACCCCCATTTATTTTAGGTTTTTCCCCTTTTTTATTTATTTTTTTTTTAAGGATTTTTGGGGGTTTTTTTCCCTCAGGGTTTCCCCGTTTTGCAGCCCCGGGTCCCGTTTGGCCCTGAGGGATCCTCAAGGGTTTCGGTGTTTTCGAACTTTTTCCGCTGAGGGGGCCCAAAATCAACAATTTCACCCCAAAATCAGGCTTTTTCCCATCAGGGTTCCCAAAAAATCACACGTTTAACCCAAGAATCGCCCATTTCACCCCGAAATTTTTTTTTCCCCCTCAGGGATCTCAAAAATCACCAATTTCACCCCAAAATCACCCATTTCACCCCAAAATATCTTTTTTTTTCCCCTCGGGATCTCAAAAATCACCAATTTCACCCCAAAATCAGCCATTTCACCCCAAAATATCTTTTTTTTCCCCTCAGGGATCTCAAAAATCACCAATTTCACCCCAGAATCACCCATTTCACCCCAAAATATCTTTTTTTTCCCCCTCAGGATCTCAAAAATCACCAATTTCACCCCAAAATCAGCCATTTCACCCCAAAATATCTTTTTTTTCCCCTCAGGATTCCAAAAATCACTCATTTAACCCCAAAATAACATTTTTCCCCCTCACTGATTACAAACATCACCCATTTCACCCAAAAATCACCCATTTTACCCCAAAATAATTTTTTTCCCATCAGAGATGCCAAAAATTACCAATTTCACGCCAAATCAACCATTTCTCCCCAAATAACTTTTTTCCTCTCACTGATTACAAAAATCAACAATTTCACCCCAAAATCAACTTTTATTTCTCTCATGGATCTCCAAATTCACCCATTTCACCCCAAAACCCACACATTTCACCCAAAATCACCCATTTCACCACAAAATCAACTTTTTTTTCCCTCACGAACCCCAGAAATGACTCTTTAAACCCCCAAATCAGTTTTTTTTCTCTCAGGGATCCCAAAAATCACCAATATCTTCCCAAAATCAACTTTTTTCCCCTCAGGAATCTCAAAAATCACCAATTTCACCCCAAAAATTGCCCATTTCACCCAAAAATCAGCAATTTCGTCCCAAAATATATTTTTTTTCCCCTCAGGGATCCCAAAAATCACCAGTTTCACCCCAAAATCAGCCATTTCACCCCAAAATCAATTTTATTTCCCCTCACAGATGCTCAAAATCACCCATTCCACCCCAAAATCATCTTTTTTCCCCTCAGGAATCTCAAAAATTCCCAATTTCACCCCAGTATCACCCATTTCACCCCAGAATCAACTTTTTCCCCCCTCAGGGATCATAAAAATCACCCATTTCACCCCAAAATCACGTTTTTTGCACCTTTCACCTTATTTTCTTAATTTCCCCTGTTTTTTCCTAATTTTCCCCCTTTTTACTTCATTCCCCCTTTTTTCCTCATTTCCCCCTTCTCCTTTTTTCATTTCCCCATTTTTCCTAATTTTCCCCCCTTTCCCCTCCACTTTCTTAATTTTTCCCCCATTTCCCCCTATTTTCCATTCTTTTTTCCTAATTTTCCCCCATTTCCCCCCCTTTTCCCTTCAGTTTTTCCCCATTTTCCCTCTTTTTACTAATTTCCCCCCTTTTTTCCTTCCTTTATTTTTCATTTACCCCTTTTTTTCCTAATTTCCTCCCCTTTCACCTCCTTCTTTTCCTCCTTTCCCCCTCTTTTCACCTCCTTTTTTCCCCATTTCCCCTCCTTTTTTTCTTTATTTTCCCCAATTTCCCCCCCTTTTTCCCTCTTTTCCCCCAATTTTTCCCAAATTCCCCAATTTTTCTCCCCTCAGGAGGAGCGTTCCCGCAGCGAGCACAACCTGGTGAACATCCAGAAGACGCACGAGCGGATGCAGACGGAGAACAAAAGTAAAAAAATTCCGAGGTTTAAAGGGAATTTTGGGGGAATTTTGGGGCTTTTTGGCACATTTTGACTCCCAAAATTCTATTTTAGTTTCCCCGTATTATCGCACCAAGCTCCGAGGGCTCTACACCACAGCCAAGGCTGATGCCGAAGCCGAGTGCAAGTGAGTCCAAAATTCAGAATTTTAAACCCAAGCCCCTCAAATTCCTCACATTCCTACTTTATCCCTTCAAATTCCCACTTTTTGCTTCAAAATCGCATTTTTTCCCCTTCAAATTCCTATTTTATCCCTTCCAATTCCCATTTATCCCTTCAAATTTCCATTTATTCCCTTCAAATTCTCTTATTTCCCCTTCAAATTCCCATTTTTCCCCATAAATTCCGATTTTCCCACCCCAGATTTCCACTTTTTGCACTCACATTTTCTTTTTTCCCCTCAGATTTCTGCTTTTTAACCTCAAATTCCCACTTTATCCCTTCAAATTCCCATTTTCCCCCTTCAAATTCCCATTTCTTCTGCAGTTCCCCCCTTTTTCCTCACAGTTCTCTCCTTTTTCCTCACAATTCCCTCCTTTTTCCTCATATTCCCTTATCTCCCCTCACAATTACCTTTTTTTCTCAAATTCTCTCCTTTTTCTTTAAAATTCCCTCATTTTTCCTGAAAATTCCCCCCTTTTTCCTCACAATTCCTTTTTCCCCCACAATTCCTCCCTTTTTCTTTAAATTTCCCCCCTTTTTCTTTTTAAATTCAATTTTCTTTACAATTCCCCCTTTTCCTCCCAATTTCCCCCTTTTTTTGTCCCAATTCCCTTCTTTTCCCTCAAATTCCCCCCTTTTGCCTCCTAATTCCTCCCTTTTCCCTCACAATTCCCTCTTTTTTCCTCACAATTCCCTTTTTTCCTCACAATTCGCTCTTTTTTCCTCACAATTCCCTCACTTTTCCTCAAATTCAAATTCCGCCCTTTTTCTTTACACTTCCCCTTTTTTCCTCACAATTCCCTCATTTTTCTTCCCAATTCCCTCCTTTTTCTTCACAATTCCCCCCTTTTTCTTCCCAATTCCCTCATTTTTCCTCAAATTCCCCCCTTTTTCCTCACAATTCCCTTTTTTCCCCTCAAACTCCACCCTTTCCCCCCACAATTCCCCCCTTTCTCTTCACAATTCCATTTTTCCCCTCAAACCCCCACATTTTTCCTCTCAATCCCCTCATTTTTCCTCAAATCCCCTTTTTTTTTCCTCAAATCCCCCCTTTTTCCTCACAATTCCCTCCTAATTCTCCCTAAACCCCCCATTTCTCACCCCACCTTCCTTATCCCCCCCAAACCCCTCTTTTTTCCCCTCCCCACTCCCAAACTCAAATTTTCCCCCCAATTTTTCCCCTTTTCCCCCCAATTTTTTACTTTTCCACCCCAAATTTTTACTTTTCCCCCCAATTTTTACCTTTTTTCCCCTTTTCCTCCCTCAGCGTCCTCCGCCGAGCTCTGGATAAAATCGCCGAGATCAAATCGCTGCTGGAGGAGCGGCGCATCGGTACGTCCGCTAGAGGGCGCTGCCACGCTGCCCTCACGGCGGCGAAAAAAGGCGGGAAACGCCTCAAACCCTTTCAAACCCCTCAAAATTCCGCCCAAACCCCTCAAATTTTTAAAAATTTTGTTATTTTAAAAATATTTTTAAATTTTTTTAATTCCAGCGGCCAAAATCGCCGGGATTTACAGCGAGGCGGAGCCGCCCAGGAAGACGATGAGGAGGGGGGTGCTGATGACGCTGCTGCAGCAATCGGCCATGACGCTGCCGCTGTGGATCGGGAAACCCGGGGAAAAGTGAGGGGAAATGGGGAAAAAAATGGGAATTTTGGGGAAAAATGAGGATATTGGGAGGGTAAAGAAGGATTTGGGGAGGGAAGTGGGAAAAAAAGGAAATTTGGGTGAATAAAAGGGGATCTGGGGGTGCTGAGGATGCTGCTGCTGTGGGTTGGGAAGCCCAGGGAAAAGTGAGGGAAAGTGGGGAAAAAACGGGGGAAAAATAGGAATTTTTGGGAAATAATGAGGATTTTGGGAGGGTAAAGAGGGATTTTGGGGGGAAAAGTGGGAATTTGAAGGAAAAAAAGGGAGATTTGGGGGAATAAAAGGGGATTTGGGAGCGCTGAGGATGCTCCTGCTGTGGGTTGGGAAACCTGAGGAAAAGTGAGGGGAAATGGGGAAAAAAATGGGAATTTTGGGGAAAAATGAGTGTTTGGGGAGGGTAAAGAGGGATTTGAGGTGGAAAAGTGGGAATTTGGGGGGGAAAAAGGGAGATTTGGGTGAATAAAAGGGGATCTGGGGGTGCTGAGGATGGTGCTGATGTGGGTTGGGAAGCCCAGGGAAAAGTGAGGGGAAATGGGGAAAAAATGGGAATTTTGGGGGGAAAATGAGGATTTTGGGAGGGAAAAAGTGGGGAAAAAAGGGAGTTTAGGGGAATAAAAGGATTGGGAAGTGCAGAGGATGCTGCTGCTGTGGGTTGCGAACTGTTAGAAAAATGAGGGAAAATGGGGGGGGATGGGGAAAAAAAGAGAATTTTTGGGAATTTTTACCCAATTTTCTCTTAGTTTCCCTCCAACTTTCCCCTATAAAAATCCCATCTTCCCCCCAATTTTTCCCCCATTTTTCCCCTAAAAAAATCCCATTTTTCCCCTCAAAAAAATCCCAATTTCCCCCCTATTTCCCCCCAATTTTCCCCTATAAAAATCCCATTTTTTCCCCATTTTTCCCAGGCCCCCGCCGCTGTGTGGGGCAGTGCCAGCCGCAGGCGACTACGTGGCCAAGCCGGGGGACAAAGTGGCGGCGCGGGTGAAGGCGCTGGAGGGGGACGAGCAGTGGATCCTGGCCGAGGTGGTCAGCTACAGCCACGCCGCCAACAAGTGAGTGACCGACCCAAAATCCCGGGGTTTGAGCCCAAAATTACCTCCTCTGCACACAAAATTCAGTTTTTTGCACCCAAAATTCCCTTTTATAGACCCAAAATTCCCTTTTCTAGACACAAAATTCGATTTTTGGGACCAAAATTCCCTTCTCTGGACCCCAAATCCCGGTTTTTGCACCCAAAATTCCATTCTCTGGACACAAAATTACATTTTTGGGACCAAAATTTCCTTTTCTAGACACAAAATTCCACTTTTTGGGACCAAAATTCCCTTCTCTGGACCCCAAATCCCGGTTTTTGCACCCAAAATTACCTTCTCTGGACACAAAATTCCGTTTTTTGGGCCCAAAATTCCCTTCTCTGCACACAAAATTCCATTTTTGGGACCAAAATTCCCTTTTATAGACCCAAAATTCGATTTTTTGGCTCCAAAAATGTGATTTTTTCAGATTAAAATTCCCTTTTATAGACCCAAAATTCGATTTTTTTGGCCTCAAAATTTGATTTTTTTTGGGAACAAAATTTACTTTTATAGACCCAAAATTCGATTTTTTACACCCAAAATTTCATTTTTTAGACCCAAAATTCCCTTTTACAGGCACAAAATCGGACTTTCTGGGCCCAAAATTCCCTTTTTATAGGCACAAAATTGGGATTTTTGTACCCAAACCTCCCTTCTCTGCACACAAAATTCCGTTTTTGCACCCAAAATTCCCTTTTCTAGACACAAAATTCCACTTTTTGGGACCAAAATCCAATTTTTTGGGACCAAAATTCCCTTTTATAGACCCAAAATTCGATTTTTTAGCTCCAAAATCTGATTTTTTGGGATTAAAATTCCCTTTTATAGACACAAAATTCGACTTTTTGGCTCCAAAATCTGAATTTTTGGGATTAAAATTCCTCTTTTTGTGTCCAAAATTCCCTTTTATAGGCACAAAATTGGATTTTTTGGGACCAAAATTTGCTTTTATAGACCCAAAATTTCATTTTTTGGGCCCAAAATTCCCTTTTATAGGCACAAAATTGGATTTTTTGGGCTCAAAATTGGATTTTTTTCCCCCAGGTACGAGGTGGACGACATCGACGAGGAAGGCAAAGAGTGAGCGATGAAAAACCCCAAAAATTTCATTTAAAACGCCCCAAAACCCTCTCAAACCACCCCAAAAAATCCCAAATCTTCCCCAAAAAAAAATCACAATTTTGCCCCATTTCCCACCAAATTTTCCCTAATTTTTTTCCCAAAAATCCCCTAAATTTTCCCCCCAAAAAAATCAAATTTTCCCATTTCCCCCAAATTTTCCCCAAATTTTCCCTAAAAAATCCCAAATTTTCCCCGATAAAAAACCCAAGTTTTCCCCCATTTCCCGCCAAATTTTCCCCAATTTTTCCCCATAAAACCCCCCAAATAAATCAAAATTTTCCCCCATTTCCCCCCAATTTTACCCATTTTTCCCCCCCAAAAAAATCCAATTTTTGCCTTCTTTCCCCTCCAAATTTTCCCCAATTTTTCCCCATAAAACACCCCAAATTATCCTAAAAAAAAAATCACAATTTTCCCTCATTTACCCCCAAATTTTCACCATTTTTCTCCCCAAAAAAGTCCAATTTTTCCCTTCTTTCCCCTCCAAATTTTCCCCAATTTTCCCCCATTTTCCCCCATAAAAATCCCAATTTCCCCCCAAATTTTCCCCCATAAAAATCCCAATTTCCCCCCCATTTTTCCCCATAAAACCCCCATTTTCCCGCCGTTTCTCACCAAATTTTCTGCGTATTTTCCCTGCAAACCCCCGATTTTCCCAAACCGGCCGTTTTTGGCCCCAAACCGCAGGCGCCACACGCTGAGCCGCCGCCGCATCATCCCCCTGCCCCAGTGGAAAACCAACCCCGAGACCGACCCCGAGGCGCTGTTCCACAAGGAGCAGCTGGTGCTGGCGCTCTACCCGCAGACCACCTGCTTCTACCGCGCCCTCATCCACGCCCCGCCCCAGCGCGTGAGTCCCCGGCCCCCCAAATCCCCGTTTTGGGGAGAAAACCCCGAAAAAATCGGAGATTTGGGGCAAAAACCGCGCGAAAAATGAGAAATCTGCGTGCGGAAATGGGGGCGGCCACTAGGGGGCATTGCGTTGCTAGGGGGCGTGGCTTGTTGCTAAGGAAAGCCATTGCCATATAAGGGGGTTGCTAAGGGGCGTGGCTTGTTGCTAGGGAAACCAATGCCATATAAGGGGTTGCTAAGGGGCGTGGCTTGTTGCTAGGGAAGTTATTAGCATATAAGGGGGTTGCTAAGGGGCGTGGCTTGTTGCTAAGGAGAGCCAATGCCATATAAGGGGGTTGCTAAGGGGCGTGGCTTGTTGCTATGGAGAGTCATTGCCGTATAAGGGGGTTGCTAAGGGGCGTGGCTTGTTGCTAAGGAGAGCCATTGCCACATAAGGGTGTTGTTAAGGGGCGTGGCTTGTTGCTAAGGAGAGCCATTGCCATATTGGGGGTTGCTAAGGGGCGTGGCTTGTTGCTAAAGAGAGTCGTTGCCATATATGGAGGTTGCTAAGGGGCGTGGCTTGTTGCTAGGCAGAGTCATTGCCATATAAGGTGGTTGCTAAGGGGCGTGGCTTGTTGCTAAGGAGAGCCATTGCCATATATGGAGGTTGCTAAGGGGCGTGGCTTGTTGCTAAGAGAGCCATTGCCATATAAGGGGGTTGCTAAGGGGCGTGGCTTGTTGCTAGGGAGAGTCATTGCCATATAAGGGGGTTGCTAAGGGGCGTGGCTTGTTGCTAAGGGCGCTAATACCAAATAAGGGGGTTGCTAAGGGGCGTGGCTTGTTGCTTGGCAGAGTCATTGCCATATAAGGTGGTTGCTAAGGGGCGTGGCTTGTTGCTAAGGAGAGTCGTTGCCATATAAGGGGTTGCTAAGGGGCGTGGCTTGTTGCTAAGGAGAGCCATTCCAATATAAGGGGGTTGCTAAGGGGCGTGGCTTGTTGCTAGAGAAGCTAATGCCATATAAGGGGGTTGCTAAGGGGTGTGGCTTGTTGCTAAGGAGAGCCGTTGCCATATAAGGGGGTTGCTAAGGGGCGTGGCTTGTTGCTAAGGAGAGCCCATGCCATATAAGGGGGTTGCTAAGGGGCGTGGCTTGTTGCTAGGGAGAGCCAATGCCATATAAGGGGGTTGCTAAGGGGCGTGGCTTGTTGCTAAGGAGAGCCATTGCCATATAAGGGGGTTGCTAAGGGGCGTGGCTTGTTGCTAAGGAGAGCCCATGCCATATAAGGGGGTTGCTAAGGGGCGTGGCTTGTTGCTAAGGAGAGTCATTGCCATATAAGGGGGTTGCTAAGGGGCGTGGCTTGTTGCTAGGGAAGTTATTAGCATATAAGGGGGTTGCTAAGGGGCGTGGCTTGTTGCTAGGGAAGCTAATGTCATATAAGGGGGTTGCTAAGGGGCGTGGCTTGTTGCTAAGGAGAGTAGTTTCCATATAAGAGGGTTGCTAAGGGGCGTGGCTTGTTTCTAAGGAGAGCCATTGCCATTTATGGAGGTTGCTAAGGGGCGTGGCTTGTTGCTAGGGAAACCAATGCCATATAAGCGGTTGCTAAGGGGCGTGGCTTGTTGCTAGGGAAGTTATTAGCATATAAGGGGGTTGCTAAGGGGCGTGGCTTGTTGCTAAGGAGAGTCATTGCCATATAAGGTGGTTGCTAAGGGGCGTGGCTTGTTGCTAAGGTGAGCCATTGCCATTTAAGGCAGTTGCTAAGGGGCGTGGCCTGTTGCTAGGGAGGCTAATGCCTTATAAGGGGGTTGCTAAGGGGTGTGGCTTGTTGCTAAGGAGAGTAGTATCCATATAAGGGGGTTGCTAAGGGGCGTGGCTTGTTGCTAAGGAGAGCCATTGCCATATAAGGGGGTTGCTAAGGGGCGTGGCTTGTTGCTAAGGGGAACCATTGCCATATAAGGTGGTTGCTAAGGGGCGTGGCTTGTTGCTAAGAGAGCCATTGCCATATAAGGGGGTTGCTAAGGGGCGTGGCTTGTTGCTAAGGAGAGCCCATGCCATATAAGGGGGTTGCTAAGGGGCGTGGCTTGTTGCTAAGGGGAACCATTGCCATATAAGGTGGTTGCTAAGGGGCGTGGCTTGTTGCTAAGAGAGCCATTGCCATATAAGGGGGTTGCTAAGGGGTGTGGCTTGTTGCTAAGGAGAGTCATTGCCATATAAGGGGTTGCTAAGGGGCGTGGCTTGTTGCTAAGGAGAGTCATTGCCATATAAGGCGGTTGCTAAGGGGCGTGGCTTGTTGCTAGGGAAGCTAATACCATATAAGGGGGTTGCTAAGGGGCGTGGCTTGTTCCTAAGGAGAGCCAATGCCATCTAAGGGGATTCCTAGGGGGCGTGGCTCATTTCTAATCCCGATTTTTCCCCAAATTTTCAATTTTTTGCCCCAAATTTCAGCCCCAGGACGATTATTCGGTGCTTTTCGAGGACACCTCCTACGCCGACGGTTACTCCCCGCCCCTCAACGTCGCCCAGCGCTACGTGGTGGCCTGCAAAGAAACCAAAAAAAAGTGAAATCTTGGGCAAAACCACACAAAATTTGGGAAAAATCAACCAAAATTTAAGAAGACCAACCAGGAATTAGGTAGGGAGGGAAAAAATGAGGAGAAAACGGGATTTGTAAAGGGGAAAATGAAGGAAAATTTGATTTATTGGGGGGAAAAAATAAAGGGTTTTTTGGGTAAAAATTTGAATTTTTTTGGGAAGGATTTTGGGGTTTTTTTAAGGTGGGAAAAATGGAATTTATGTGGGGGGGGGAAAAGGGATTTTAGCATGGAAAAAATGTGGGGAGGGAAAAATGATTTTTTGGAGGGAAACCTGGGATTTTTATTGGGAGAAGTTGGGAATTTTATAAAGAGAAAATTGGGTATTTTTGGGGGTAAAACTGGCAAATTCATGGGGGAAAAAAAAGATGTTTTTATGGGGAAAAAATGAGGTTTTTATAAGGGAGAATTGAGGATTTCTTTGGGGAATTATTGGGATTTATTTGAGGTGGGAAAATTTGGGGTTTTTATGGGAAATAATTAAGAATTTTCAGTGGTAAACGTGGGATTTTTGTGGTTAAAATTGACAAAAAAAGTCTGAAAATCTGTGAAAAAATATCCCAAAATTTGTTTGGGAGCAGTTGGAGGATGGGAAGATCCCAAAAAATTATTTTTTTGGGGAAAATAATGGGACAAAAATGTGAAAAAAAAAGAAAAAAATGGGGGGCAAAATGGGATTTTTGGCTCTCGAAATGGCGGCCAAAAGTGGGAGGGGCAAAAAGGAGAATGACGTCATGGGGGTGTGGCCAAAAGTCACATCCCTTTAGTTATTAATAAACAAATTCTTAATTAAAAGTTATTTTATTGTAAATAATTTAAAATGTAATTGCGGGTGTGGTTTCACGTGGGGGCGGAGCTTGGGATGATGACATCATCTGGCTCCGCCCACTCCTCTTCAGGCTCCGCCTCTCCCAAGCAGCGACGAATCAGATCGCCCCAGAGGAGGTGGGCGTGGCACCTGGGGGCGGGGTCAGAGTCAGGACACACCCCCTTTGGACAAGCCCCGCCCCCTGGCAGCCATATTGAATATTTTAATAATTAAATAAATGCAAATTTAAACAAGCCCCGCCCCCTGGCAGCCATATTGAATATTTTCTTTATAAAAGAAATTAAAATTAAAACAAGCCCCACCCCTGGCAGCCATATTGGATATTTTGTTTATTAAATAAATGCAAATTAAAACAAGCCCCGCCCCCTGGAAGCCATATTGAATATTTCCTTTATTAAATAAATGCAAATTAAAACAAGCCCCGCCCCCTGGCAGCCATATTGAATATTTCCTTTATTAAATAAATGCAAATTAAAACAAGCCCCGCCCCCTGGCAGCCATATTGGAACATTTCCTTATAAGGGAAATGCAAATTAAAACAAGCCCCGCCCCTTGGCAGCCATATTGAATATTTCCTTTATTAAATAAATGCAAATTAAAACAAGCCCCACCCCCTGGCAGCCATATTGGAACTTTCCTTTATAAGGGAAATGCAAATTAAAACAAGACCCGCCCCTGGCAGCCATCTTGAAACCGTTCCTTATAAAACAAATGGAAATTAAAAGAAGCCCCGCCCCCTGGCAGCCATCTTGAAAATATTCCTGATAAAACAAATGGAAATTAAAACAAGTCCCACGCACTGGCAGCCATATTGGAACATTTCCTTTTAAGGAAAATGCAAATTAAAACAAGCCCCGTCCCCTGGCAGCCATATTGGAATATTTTCTTATAAGGGAAATGCAAATTAAAACAAGCCCCACCCCCTGGCAGCCATATTGGAACATTTCCTTTATAAGAGAAATGCAAATTAAAATAAGCCCCGCCCCCTGGCAGCCATATTGGAACATTTCCTTTATAAGGGAAATGTAAATTGAAGCAAGCCCCGCCCCCTGGCAGCCATATTGAATATCTCCTTTATAAATGAAATGCAAATTTAAACAAGCCCTGCCTCCTGGCAGCCATCTTGGAACATGTCCTTATAAGGGAAATGCAAATTAAAAGAAGCCCCGCCCCTCTGGCAGCCATTTTGGATCCTTTCCTTTTAAGGAAATACACTTTAAACAACAAGCCCCGCCCCCTTTTTTTACCCGGGACAGTTTCCCCCCACGGGCAGCAGCTGCAGCGGCTCCGGGGCCAGGAAGAGCCGGGCCAGGCACGGCGGGTGGGCGGCCATATTGCACTGGGGGCGGGGACAGCGCAGAAGGGGTGTGGCCTGTTCCTGAAAACATCAAAACGCTGAAATTCCTGCTCGAACTGCATAAATTTGCATAAATTACGCATTTTAAATGGTTTAACTATTTTTTAACCTCACAGCGATTTATTAACAGCACATCAGGCCCCGCCCACACCCCAAATTTCCATATATTTGCGTTTTCATGCTCCAAAATTCATCAAATTTGTATTTTGTTCTCTTTTGTGAAGGCCACGCCCCTTTTAGACCACGCCCAGTATTAAACATTCCCCGCCATCCTCATTAAACCCATTTTAACCCCTCCTCTTTTAATTTAAGCCCCTCCCATATTTAAATAATATAAACCACACCCACTTAAGCCACACCGACCTCATTAAACTCATTTAAATCTAAGCCCCTCCCTCTTTTAAACCCCAATTAAGCCCCCCCACCTAATTAAACCCAGTTTAACCACTCCCCTTTTAATTAAAGCCCCTCCCATATTTAAATGACCATATAAACCACACCCGCTTAAGCCACACCCACCTCATTAAACTCATTTAAATTTAAGCCCCTCCCACTTTTAACCCTACCCATATTAGTTACACCCACCTCATTAAACCCATTTAAATCTAAGCCCCTCCCTCTTTTAAACCCCAATTTAGCCCCGCCCACCTCATTAAACCACAATTAACCCCTCCCCTTTAAATTTAAGCCCCTCCCATATTTAAATGACCACATAAGCCACACCCACCTCATTAAACTCATTTGAATAAAAGCCACTCCCACTTTCAAACCCCAATTTATTAAGCCCCCCCCACATCATTAAACCCAGTTAAACCCCTCCCCTTTTAATCTAAGCCCCTCCCATATTTAAATCATAATATAAACCACACCCACTTAAGCCACACCCACCTCATTAAACTCACTTTAATTTAAGCCCCTCCTATATTCAAATGAGCACTTAAGCCCCGCCCCTTACCTCATTACACAAGCCACACCCCCCGCCCATTTCCGCCATTTGGCTCCGCCCCTTTTTCCTTTTCAGGCGCGGTGGCCCCGCCCCCTCCTCCTGCACCACGTGATTGGGCGGGGCCAGCTCGAGGGCGGGGCCCGGGGGGCGGAGCCAGCGAATCCGCAGCGGGAGGCGGGACCAGGGCGGGGCCCAAAGGAGGCGGGGCAGCACGCGGAGGGCGAAGCTGATTGGCTGCTCCCGCGGGCGGCGGGGGGGCGGGGCCAGGAGGCGGCGGGAGGAGTTCGGGTGTTGCCACGCCCACTCGAACTGGAAAAGGGGCGGGGCTTAGTGCTCATTTAAATATGGGAGGGTTTATGATAAAAGGGGCAGGGCTTAAGTGCTCATTTAAACATGGGAGGGGCTTATGATAAAAGGGGCGGGGCTTACATGCTCATTTAAATATGGGAGGGGTTTATGATAAAAGGGGCAGGGCTTTAATGGTCATTTAAATATGGGTGGGGCTTATGATAAAAGGGGCGGGGCTTAAGTGGTCATTTAAATATGGGAGGGGTTTATGATAAAAGGGGTGTGGCTTAAGTGCTCATTTAAATATGGGAAGGGCTTGTGATAAAAGGGGCGGGGCTTAAGTGGTCATTTAAATATGGGAGGGGCTCAAATTAAAAGGGGCGGGGCTTGAGTGGTCATTTAAATATGGGAGGGGCTTAAATTTAAAGGGGAGGGGTTGAACTATGTTTAATGAGGTGGGTGGGGCTTAATTTGGAATTAAAAGTGGAACTGGTTTACATTTGAATGAGTTTAATGAGGTGGGTGTGGCTAAAGTGGGTGTGGCTTATATGGTCATTTAAATATGGGAGGGGTTTAAATTAAAAGGGGAGGGGTTGAAATGGGTTTAATGAGGTGGGCGGGGCTAAATTGGGGTTAAAAGTGGGATGGCCTTATATTTAAATGAGTTTAATGAGGTGGGTGTGGCTTAAGTGGTCATTTAAATATGGGAGGGGCTTAAATTAAAAGAGGAGGGGTTAAACTGGGTTTAATGAGGTGGGCGGGGCTTAATTTGGAATTAAAAGTGGGAGGGGCTTACATTTGAATGAGTTTAATGAGGTGGGTGTGGCTTAAGTGGGTGTGGCTTATATGGTCATTTAAATATGGGAGGGGCTTGAATTTAAAGGGGAGGGATTGAAATGGGTTTAATGAGGTGGGCGGGGCTTAATTGGGTGGGGTTTAAACTGGGAGGGGCTTAAAATAAAATGGGAGGGGTTTAGTGCTATTTAATGAGGTGGGCGGGGCTTAAAAGGGGGCGGGGCTCACCCTGAGGGCGGCGACGTCAGAAGGGAAGCCGTGGACGAAAAGTTCCATTTCCCTTTTCGGGGGGTAAAATTGGTAAAATAAATCGATTTTTAAAATAATTAATAATTATTTAATAAAATTAATCAGAATTCCACATCGAAACCCTTTAAAACCCCCCCAAATCTCCCCCAAAAATCCCCAAATTAGACTTTAATGATCAGAAATTCCCCCAAAATCTCCTGAATATTTTTCAAACCCCCCGCCGCTAAATTTCTCCTGAACCCCTCAGAATGCCCCCAAAATATCTTTTTAATCCCCTAAAATTCCCCAAAATCCTCCTTTAACCCCTTCAATCCCCCAAAATCTCCTTTTACCCCCCCAAAATCCCCTTTAAACCCCCCCCAATCCCCATTTAACCCTTTCAAACCCCCCCAAACCCCCATTTAATCCCTTTAAACCCCCCAAAATCCCCATTTAACCCCTTCAAAACCCCCAAAATCCCCTTTAAACCCTCCAAATCACCATTTAATCCCTTTAAACCCCCCAAAATCCCCTTTAAACCCCCCCAAACCCCATTTATCCCTTTAAACCCCCCAAAATCCCCATTTAACCCCTTCAAAACCCCCAAAATCCCCTTTAAACCCCCCCAAATCCCCATTTAATCCCTTTAAAGCCCCCAAAACCCCCCAAAATCCCCTTTAAACCCCTCAAATCCCCATTTAATCCCTTTAACCCCCCAAATCCCCATTTAATACCTTTAAATCCCCCCAAACCCCCCAAAATCACCTTTAAACCCCCCCAAATCCCCATTTAACCCCTTTAAACCCCCCAAAACTCCCCAAAATCCCCATTTAATCCTTTTTAACACCCAAAAATCCCCTTCAAAGCCCCCCAAACCCCCCAAATCCCCCCAAACCCTGACCAGGGCCCCCTCCCGCTGGTCTTTTTGGCCCCTCCGCCGCTCCGTCCCGCGTTGTGCTGCCGCAGCCGCCGCCGCGGGTCCACCGTGAACCCCACGTAGGCCGCGGAACCTCCGCCACGGGGGCCGCGGGCCCGGGGGGATCCGCGGGAACGCAGCAGGTACACGGCGCGCATGGCGCCCACAGTGCACCGCGGCACTTCCGCCCGCGTTCAAGATGGCGGCGTTACGGCCTCGTTATCCCACAATCCATTGCGGGACTGTAGCCCCGCCTCTTAAAAATGGCGGCGGTGATGTGCCTCGTTACCCACAATGCACCGCGGCGCCATTTCCGCCTTCGCTCAAAATGGCGGCGTTGCGGCCCCGCTATCCCACAATCCATTGCGAAATTGTAGTTCCGCCTCTTTAAAATGGCGGCGGTTGTGTGCCTCGTTACCCACAATCCATTGCGGAATTGTAATTCCGCCTCTTTAAAATGGCGGCGGTTGTGTGCCTTGTTACCCACAATGCACCGCGGCACCACTTTTGCCCTCTCTTAAAATGGCGGCATTACGGCTTCGTTATCCCACAATCCATTGCGGGATTGTAGTTCCGCCTCTTTAAGATGGCGGCGGTTCTGTGCCTCGTTACCCACAATGCACTGCGGCAGAATTGTAGTTTAATCTTTTAAAGATGGCGGCGGTTGGTGCCTCGTTACCCACAATGCACTGCGGAAAGGGAATTGTAGTTTTTGTCTCCTTAAGATGGCGGCGGTTTGTGCCCCGTAACCCACAATGCACTGCGGGAGGGGAAAAAAAAATAAATATATTTAATTATAAGCATTATGTAGCATTAATTAGCTTGTACTGGCGGTGAGCAGTTAATGAGCGTTAATTAGCGATGAATGTATGTTAATTGGTGCCTAATAACCGCCTCGCTTACCCACAATGCCGCGTTTCACTTCCGCCTCGTTACCCACAAACCTTTGCGCCTTTTCCTGTCTTTGCCTCGCTTACCCACAGTTCCCTGCTTTACTTCCGCCTTGTTACCCACAATGCATCGCTCTCCTCACCGTCCCGCCTCGCTTTCCCATCGCGCCCCGCGCATTGCCGGAAGTGACGCAGGGACCCCTGACCGGAAATGGAGCCGCCCACGGCAGAGGAGCTGCGGGAGCGGCTCCGGGAGCGGCTCCAGGCCGAGCACGTGGTGCGTCATTAATTCATTAATTAGCGGCTAATTAGCGACCCCCGCCGCGTCATTGGGCCGGGCAGGGCGGTAATCAGCCGGGAGGGCGGTTAATGAGCGGTTGGGGGGCGTTAATTGGGCGGGGGAGGGGTTAATTAGCATTAATTAGCCTATATTAGCGTTAATGTTATTAGCTGTTAATAACCTCTAATTAGCATTTAATGGGTGTCAATTAACATTTAATAGATGTTAATTATCATCATATTAATCACTTTTGTTTGTAACAATTAATTCTTACAATTATTAGAATTACAGTCATTAATAATTATTAATTTTATTGTTAAAATGAGAACTTAATGAGCCTTAATTAGTGGTAATTATCACTAATCATTAATTATCATTACTCAACGTTAATTAGCTGTTAATAAACCATAATTACCATTTAGTGGGTTCCAATTAGCATTTATTAGGTGCTAATTATCTTCTTATTAGTTAATTTTATATTTAATTATAAGCATTATGTAGCATTAATTAGCTTATACTTGCAGCGAGCGGTTAATGAGCATTAATTAGCGTTAATTAGCAATGAATTTTTATTAATTGGTGTTTTTTAACCACTAATTAGCCGTTAACGAGTGCTAATCACCCCTTAATTAAAATATTGTTCCTCATTAGCATGGGCGGGAGGGCGGGGTGCTGTCTGGCGCTAATTGTTGCTAATTAATCAGCGCTAATTGCAGGAGGTGCAGGACTCGCCCCAGCTCTGCCCCGGAAGTTTCCGCGTTCTCGTCGTTTCCGGAACGTTCCGCGGCCTCAAAACGCTCCAGAGGCACCGGTGGGGGCGGGGCCTAATTTGCATTTAAATAAAAAGGGGCGGGGCTTAATTTGGATTTAATTGGGAAAAGGGGCGGGGCTTAAATTGGGTTTAAATCAGAAAATTGGCAAGGCTTAATTTGGATTTAATTTAAAAAGGGGCGGGGCTTAATTTGTATTTAATTAAAAAAGGGGCGGGGCTTGATTTGGGTTTAATTGGGAAAAGGGGCGGGGCTTATTTTGGTTTTAATTGGTGAAAGGGGTGGGGCTTAAATTGGGTTTAATTGGGAAAAGGGGCGGGGCTTAATTTGTATTTAAATATAAAAGGGGCGGGTGTTAATTTAGGTTTAATTGGGGAAGGGGCGGGGCTTAATTTGGGTTTAATTGGGAAAAGGGGCGGGGCTTAATTTGGGTTTAATTGGGAAAATGGGCGGGGCTTAATTTGCGTTTAATTGAGAAAAGGGGTGGGGCCTAATTTGGGTTTAATTGGGGAAAGGGGCGGGGCCTAATTTGGGTTTAATTGAGAAAAGGGGCGGGGCCTAATTTGGGTTTAATTGGGAAAGGGGCGGGGCTTAATTTGAATTTAATTGGGGAAAGGGGCGGGATTTAAATTAGGTTAAAATCAAAAAGGGGCGGGGCTTCAATTGGGTTTAATTTGGGAAAGGGGGCGGGGCTTAATTTGCATTTAATTGCGGAAAGGGGCGGGATTTAAATTAGGTTAAAATCAAAAAGGGGCAGGGCTGAATTTTGGCCCAATTGGAGAAAGGGGGCGGGGATTGATTAATAATTAATTACGGAAGGGGTTAACGGGGTGTTTTAAGGGCTGGGCTGGGGGTTAATTAGCATCTCATGAATATGCAGGCTGGATAACGAGGCGCTGAAGGAGGAGCTGGGCCGCATCCACGCGCTGGAGCAGCGAACGCTGACGCCCGAGCAGTGGGAGGCGGAGCGCGGCTCATCTGCATAAATTTGCATACTGCCGGTCTTCCCGCCTCCGCTTCGCCTATGCATGGATTTGCATAAATTAGCCCGGCCTGGCTCTGATTGGTTGAGCCCACGCCCCCTTTTCAGGCCTTAAATGGAGGGGGAAGGGCGTGGATGTGATGCTCATTTGCATAAATTTGCATCAAGGCAATAAACATTCCTCATTTGCATATTGCTGTGGCGTTATTGGGTTAGGGCAGCTTTTGAATGGGGTTTGGAGGGTGATTTGCATGAATTTGCATAATTTTGGGGGGACAGGGAGGGGCTCCCAGTGCTCCCAGTTTGCTCCCAGTCCCCAACCCCCATAATAGAACCAAAAAGGACCCAAAATGCCCCAAAATTGCCCCAAAAAAAGACCAAAAATGACCCAAAGAAGGTCCCAAAATGGACCAAAAATGGTCCAAAAATGACTCAAAAGTGGCACAAAATGGCTCAAAAATTACCCAAAAAAGGTCGAAAAATGACCCAAAAATGAATCCAAAAAATGTCCAAAAATGGCCTAAAATGACCCCAAAATGGCCCAAAATTGACTCCCAAAAATATCCAAAAATGAGCCAAAAATGGTCCCAAAAAGGGCCTAAAAATTACTCAAAAAATGTCCAAAAATGAGCCAAAAATGCTCAAATATGTCACAAAATTGACTCCAAAAAATGCCCAAAAATGACCCAAAATGACCCACAAATGGCCCCCAAAAAAAGACCCAAAATGCCCAAAAATTACTCAAAAATGGTCCAAAATTACTCAAAAAAAAAAAAAATGGCCCAAAAATGACCAAAACTTCACTCCAAAAAATGGCTCAAAAATGGTCCAAAAATGACTCAAAAAAGTCCAAAAATTGCCCAAAATGACACAAAAATGACCTAAAATGACCCAAAAATGGCCCAAAATTGACTCCAGAAAATGTTTCCAAATGGTCCCAAAAATGACCCAAAAATGACTCAAGAAAGTCCAAAAATTGCCCAAAATGACTCAAAAATGGTCCCAAAAATAGCACAAAATTACCTCAAAAAATGTCCAAAAATGAACCAAAAATGAGCCCAAAATGGGCCAAAAATGACCCAAAAATGAGGCAAAAATGCCCAAAAATGGCCCAAAATTGACTGCAAAAAATGTCCAGAAATGACCCAAAATGGCTCCAAAAACGCCCAAAAATGACCCAAAAATCCTCAAAAAAATGTCCAAAAACGACCCAAAATTGACCCCAAGAATGACCCAAAAAATGACCCGAAAAAAGTCCCAAAACGAGCCCAAAATGACCCAAAATGACCCAGAAATGACAAATCCCCTCCCCCACCCCTCCCCCCACCCCTCCCCCGCCTCTGCCCGGGGTGGGGGAGGGGCCGATTTTGGGTCATTTTGGGACTTTTTCGGCCATTTTGGGGCCATTTCGAGACCCTTTTTTGGGTCATTTTCGGTCTTTTTTTGGGGCAATTTTGGGGGTTTTTTTTTTGTTTATTTTTTGGGGGGGTGGGGGAGGGGATTTTTGGGGTGGGGGAGGGGCAATTCGGGGTCGGTTTTGAGGATGGGGGAGGGGCCGATTTTGAGGTGAGTTTGGGACATTTTGAGTCTTTTTTGGGGTCAATTTTGGTCATTTTTTTGTCATTTGGGGGTGGGGGAGGGGATTTGGGGTGGGGGAGGGGCCGATTTTGGGGTCACTTTGGGACCTTTTGGTAATTTTTGTCATTTCTGGGTCATTTTGGGTCATTTTTGAGACATTTTTGGGTCATTTTTGAGCCATTTTTGGAGTCAAATTTGGGACATTTTTGGGACAGTTTTTGGCTCATTTTTCAGCCATTTTTGGGTCATTTTTGGGACATTTTTTGTACATTTTTTGGTCATTTTTGTGTCATTTTTCGAGTCAATTTTGGGTCATTTTTGGACATTTTTTGAACCATTTTGGGTCATTTTTGGAGGGGATTTGAGGGTGGGGGAGGGGAAATTTGACGCCATTTTTGAGGGTGGGGGAGGGGCCGATTTTGGGGTGACTTTGGGCCATTTTGAGTCGTTTTGGGACCATTTTTGGGGTCATTTTCGGGTCTTTTTTTGGGCGTCAATTTTGGGGCAATTTTTGGGCATTTCGGGGGGTTTTTTTTAGTTCGTTCGAGGTGGGGGAGGGGATTTGGGGGTGGGGATGGGGCGGGGAGAGGACTTTGAGAGTGGAGGAGGGGCTTGAAGGGTGGGGGAGGGGAAATTCAGGGTGGGGGAGGGGCAATTCGGGGTAATCATTGAGGGTGGGGGAGGGGCCGATTTTGGGGCCATTATGGGTCAATTTTGGGGTCAATTTTGCGGAATTTTGGTCTTTTTTTTTAAATTCTCATTTGGGGGTGGGGGAGGGGAAATTTGGGGTGAATTTAAGGGTGGGGGAGGGGATTTTTGGGGTGGGGGAGGGGCAATTCGGGGTCATTTTTTGAGGGTGGGGGAGGGGCCATTTTGGGGCCATTTTGGGGTTAATTTTGTGGAATTTTGGGTTTTTTTGGGGGTTTTTTTGGTCATTTGGGGGTGGGGGAGGGGAAATTTGAGGGTGGGGGAGGGGATTTGGGGTGGGGGAGGGGAACTGAGGCTGTTTTGAGGGTGGGGGAGGGGAAATTTGGGGTGGGGGAGGGGAAATTTGGGGTTAATTTAAGGGTGGGGGAGGGGAACTGAGGCTGTTTTGAGGGTGGGGGAGGGGATTTTGGGGTGGGGGAGGGGAAATTCGGGGTGAATTTGAGGGTGGGGGAGGGGGTTTGGGGTGGGGGAGGGGTTGTGACGATGGGGGCGGGGCTCAGCGGTGGGGGAGGGGCTCCGGGAGGGGATTTAGGCGCCAAACGGGGGTGGGGGAGGGGAATTTTGGGGTGGGGGAGGGGATGGCGGCGCCCGGAGCGGGGCCGTGGGACCTGGGGGTGGTCGCGGGGTATTTCCTGCTCGTCATGGCCGTGGGGATCTGGGTAAGGACAAAAAAATAACCCAAAATCCCAGAAATTCACCCCAAAAAATCAACCAAAAAAAAAAAATCCCAAAATCCTGGAAATTAACCCCGAAAAAATCCACCCTAAAAATCCCAAAATCCCAGAAATTCACCCCAAAAAAATCAACCAGAAAAAAAAAACCCCAAAATCCTGGAAATTAACCCCGAAAAAATCCACCCTAAAAATCCCAAAAACCTGAAATTTATGCCCAAAAAAATTCACCCGGAAAATCTAAAAATTCCAAAAATTCGCCCCCAAAAATCAACCAAAAAATTCCCCAAAATCCCAGAAATTCACCCCAAAAAAATCAACCCTGAAAATCCCAAAATCCTGGAAATTCACCCCAAAAAAATCCCCAAATCCTGAAAATTTACCCCAAAAAACTTCCAAATTCCCAGAAATTCACCCCATAAAAATCAACCAAAAAATTCCCCAAAATCCCAGAAATTCACCCCAAAAAATCAACCAAAAATAAAATCCCAAAATCCCAGAAATTCACCAAAAAAAAATCCACCCTGAAAATTCCAAAATCCTGAAAATTCACCCCAAAAAAATCCACCCTAAAAATCCCCAAATCCTGGAAAATCAACCCACAAAATGTTGCCTGTACTGGTTTATACTGGTTTATACTGGTTCATACTGTTTCATACTGGTTTTACGGGTATATATTGGTTTTTACTGGTTTATACTGGTCCATACTGGTTTATACTGGTTTATACTGGTTTATACTGGTTTATATCAATCCATACTGGTCCATACTGGTCCATAATGTTTTTTACTGGTTTATACTGGTCCATACTGGTTTATACTGGTCTATACTGGTCCATATTAATTTATACTGGTTTATACTGGTTTATACTGGTTTCTATCAATCCATACTGGTCCATACTGGTCCATACTGGTTTATACTGGTTCCTATGGATTTCTACAGGGTTTTTTGGGTCTATACTGGTTTATACTGGTTTATACTGGTTTATATCAATCCATACTGGTCCTTACTGGTTTATACTGGTTTTTACTGGTCCCAGACCCTGCGCCGGCGCGGTGGGCGGAGCCTCTCCGGGTATTTCCTGGCCGGACGCAGCATGACCTGGGCACCGGTGAGTCCTTGTACTGGTTTGTACTGGTTTGGACTGGGAGGGACTGGTTTGTACTGGGAGGGACTGGGAGGGACTGGGAGGGACTGGTTTATACTGGTTTATACTGGTTTATACTGGTTTTATACTGGTTTGTAGTGGTTTTATACTGGTTTGTACTGGGAGGGACTGGGAGGGAACTGGTTTATACTGGGAATGGAGGGATCACCTTGGGGTCACTCACTGGTCACTCATTGGTCACTCAGGGTCACTCATTGGTCACTCAGGGGTCACTCAGGGGTCACTCTGGGTCACTCAGGGTCACTCAGGGGTCACTCATTGGTCACTCAGGGGTCACTCAGGGTCACTCATTGGTCACTCAGGGGTCACTCAGGGTCACTCAAGGGTCACTCAGGGGTCACTCATTGGTCACTCAGGGGTCACTCAGGGGGCACTCAGGGGTCACTCAGGGGTCACTCGGGGGTCACTCATTGGTCACTCAGGGGTCACTCGGGGTCACTCAGGGGTCACTCAGGGTCACTCAGGGTCACTCAGGGGTCACTCAGGGTCACTCAGGGGTCACTCATTAAGTCACTCAGGGGTCACTCAGGGGTCACTCAGGGGTCACTCAGGGTCACTCAGGGGTCACTCAGGGTCACTCAGGGTCACTCATTGGTCACTCAGGGTCACTCATTGGTCACTCAGGGGTCACTCAGGGTCACTCATTGGTCACTCATTGGTCACTCATTGGTCACTCATTGGTCACTCAGGGGTCACTCAGGGTCACTCAGGGTCACTCAGGGGTCACTCAGGAGTCACTCAGGGGTCACTCAGGGGTCACCGGGGTCACTCAGGGTCACTCATTGGTCACTCGGGTCACTCAGGGGTCACTCAGGGGTCACTCAGGGTCACTCATTGGTCACTCAGGGTCACTCAGGGTCACTCAGGGGTCACTCATTGGTCACTCAGGGGTCACTCAGGGGTCACTCAGGGGTCACTCAGGGGTCACTCAGGGGTCACTCGGGGTCACTCATTGGTCACTCAGGGGTCACTCATTGGTCACTCAGGGTCACTCAGGGTCACTCATTGGTCACTCAGGGGTCACTCAGGGGTCACTCAGGGTCACTCAGGGGTCACTCATTGGTCACT